TTTAGATACTCTAATCTATTAACCATTGTTTTATAGTTTTATATAAAATATAGAATCTCTGAGATATTCTAATTAAGTATTTAATTATCAAGTTAAGAATTATTAAGAATTTAACTAATTCTTTCTGTTATATAAAATATACTCTATAGATTAGCTTAATATATTAGACTAATATTCTATTAATTATTTCTAAAAGAACATATTTTCTATTATAAAATAGTCCAATTTCCTAGGCTTTCTAATCTGCTATAATATAATAATAAAATCTAGAAATAAAGATAATATTCTTTAATCTAAAGATAATACTATTCTCTTTTAATAAGCAGAATGGAATATACTGTTCTATATCTTCAAATAATATTAGAGGTGTTTCTAATATATATATAATTATTTTTAACTAGATTATAATTAGTAAATAATTATAATAAATTATATCCATAACTATTAGAAATAGTATTAAATATCTATTATTTTAATAAGCCTATTAATATATTTTCTAACTTAGAAGTCTCTTAATATATTAATAGAGTAAATCTAGACAGATATTCCTCTATCTATTAATTTTTAAATACTTCTAGAATAATAAAAGTTATTTAATATATCTAGCAAGTTTTCTGATAGATATATCTAGTTTTTGGATTTTTGTAGACTTATCAAAAGTAGTTTAATATATCTGGATTAGATAAGTATATTTATTTTAAAGTTCTTTATTAATATATCAATAGTTCTGAAAGTTGTAATTTCTATTATTCTTTTCTAACTTATAGAGATATATTTAACTACATAATCTTCTCTTTTAGAACTTTATTTATAGATTTTTATTTTTAGTAGTTTATCTATTACTTTAATTCTAGAAGATAATATAGTTTACTCTAGTCTATTATTAATAGATTATCTATTTTGATAATTTAACTAAATCCAGTTATATATCTTTTATATTAGTTCAAGAAACTTAGGGATTTCTTTCTAACTATTCTTATTTTTAATAAGTCTAGATTACTACTATACTAATATAAAAGTACCTATTATTTTATAAATATTAATAAAAACTATAAATAATAAGACAGATGGTAAGTATTTAGAAATAGAAGATATATTATTAAGAACTAGATTCTCTAAGAGTTCTATATAATTATATAATTCCTCTAAATTATATAGTTCCTCTAAATTATATAAATTATCTAAATTATATAAATTATCTAAATTATATAAATTATCTAAATTATCTAAATTATATAAATTATCTAAATTATCTAAATTATATAAATTATCTAAATTATATAAATTATATAAATTATCTAAATTATATAAATTATATAAATTATCTAAATTATATAAATTATCTAAATTATCTAAATTATATAAATTATATAAATTATCTAAATTATATAAATTATCTAAATTATATAAATTATCTAAATTATATAATTTATCTAGATTATATAGTTTTTATTTAGAGATATTCTTAATATCTAAGTTATCAAATAAAGATAATTCTTAATTAATTATTAAGACATAGTTATCATAATTCATTATAATAATCTTAATATTATCAATTTCTAAGACTTCAAAACAATTACTAATGAAAAAGAATCCCACCCAGACAGTAAGACAAACAATATTATAACTAATAACAGAACATTAGCAAGCTCAACAGCCAGGCTTAACTACCACAGACACCAGTTATATAAGATTAATATCCTTAGAGATTACTATATCTATAATACAGAGAATAATAATAAAGGATATTTAGAATAAATAGTCTTAATATAATAGACAAGAATAAATGATAATAGAAAAGAAAATAGTAGAATATAAATATCTTAGTTATAGTAATTCTTAAATATACTAATAAGATGAGATATATTAATATTAAATGATTATATCTATTTATTATCTTTAGCTCTATAATTCTTCTATTATATAAGATACTAAATAACTAGAGTTTTATATTAAATATAGAATACTATATATTTACTAAGTATAGTCTTTACCTCCTAATAATTATCTTTATCTAGAAACATCTTATTAACTACCTTAGATAGCTTAGAAAATATACAACTATATATATTTGGATTATTAATATAATAAGTAGATTTAAGCTGAACTACTAATATAACTAAATATATAGATTAAGATATAGATAGATCTAGATAATATACTTCTTATCTAATCTTCTTAAGAATAGTAAAAGATTTAGTATACTACTAATTAAATTTCTACTTAATAACAGAGTTAGATAGTATAATATACTTCTTATATAGTTATAGATATACTTAGTTACTAGATATAAATATTATAGACTTTTAATAATTATAACTATTTTTTATATAGATAATAATATACTTTAATACTTCTTCTATATTATAGTAATATCTAAAGTCTTATATATTAGTATCTATTAGATATATATCTAGATTATACTTTCTTAGATATAAGAAATATCTTAGTTATTCTATATATTAATTATTTTTTATAGTAAATAGAATAATAATCTTAATATAAGAATAAGAAGTATTAGTAGAGATATCTAATATATTATAGAGATTCTTAGATATAGAAATATTAGTACCAGGAATAGAATTAGAAATAATAATAGAAGAATATCTTAGAATAGCTTTCTATAATATAATCTTCATAGATACTAGAATTAATATAGTAAAATACTAAATAACAACTAGTAAGAACTTTCTTTTATAGTAGATAAAGATATTAAATTAATAACTAAGATAATAGAGAAGAGTATTAATAACTATAAGTATTTTTAAGTTACTCTATATTAAAGTATTACTTCTATTATCTAGATTATATATTCTGACTATTTATTAGTTTAGAATAAATAGTAGTACTATAATACTACTTTAAATTTAGCTTAAAAAATAAAAAATAGTAATTCTTAATACAAATCTTATCAAGACTTCTATAGTCTATATAAAGATATAGACTATTATCTTTTTTAGAAATAAATAAGATAAAAATTATAATGGAACTCTTAGAGAATTAAGTATATTTTGATCCAAGAATTTTATTAATATAAATACATAAAATATTAAGCCTAGTTTTAGATAAGGAATATATTAGATTATATAGAAATATCTTACTAGCTTTAAGATTAATAGTATAATCTATAGAACTATAAGATATTAATTATTAGAAAGAGTCTATAGAAAATAGATCTCAGAATTCTTAGAACTTAATTAAAATTAGATTAGAATTTAGAAGTAGTGTAGCTGATACGCTGGGCCCGAAGCCCTCTTTCTAGACACCAAGGTGTCAAGATGTTATGACTATATGAAGTTATTGTTCTATTATTCTTCTGCTATATAAGATCTTAAATACAGAATAGTAGAATAAGAAAGAAAGAATTATTATAAGATAGAGAAAGAAAAGATATTAGTCTAGTTAAGAGTCTATATCTAATAAGTAGTCTTATTCTTATTTTATAATATTCTTATTATAATTTACTATATAAGTTTATCAGAATAATATATATTATTATTATTATTATTATTATTATTATTATTATTATTATTATTATTATTATTATTATTATTATTATTATTATTATTATTATTATAGTTATTATCTTTAGTAAAGATATTCTTATAATAAGTATCTTTAATAAAGTTATTCTTAGAAATAAAATAGAAGTTAATAATATTTCTATTATTATTTAATATAATATATTCTTATACTATTAGAAAAGTAAGATAATTATATACTTCTCTAAAGATATATTTATATTCTTCTACTATTTATCTATAATATTCTTAAGAGTATCTTTAAGAAAATTAATAAGTATAAACTCTATAAGTATAATTTAATAGCTTAAAGTAATTCTATTTATCTAGTTAAGTATAGTAACAGCTACTATAAAATTTAGAATAAGAATATAATAGTTTTCTATAGAGATAATATTCTATTATCTTTTATTGTTCTTATTAGCTTTAAGTACTAGATTAATAATATCTATATTAGATTAATTCTAATTAATATAATAGTAAAGATAATTACTATTATAGTTTAAAAAAAGAATTAGAATATAATAGAATCTATTTATTAGGGTAGAAAATCTATTAACTAGATAAGAAATTAACTACTAAATACTATATATTTATCTAGTAATAATAAAGATAGTCTATATTTATAAAATAGACTAATTCTTAAGAGATGAGTAGTCTTCTATAGAAGAATTAGTATCTTATAAATATTAGGAAGATGTAGGTTTACTATTAATGCCCTTACAACTCCCATAACCACTATAGTATATCGTCCCAATGACCCTACTCCTGATAGTAGTTGTTCTATCACAGATTATTAAAATAATATACTATAGTAGTTATAGAGATTATAAGATTATTAATAATAAATCTATATTTTTCTAATATCTATAAGATACTAATTTCTCTATAGAAGACTACCAAATCTCTTGAGAGTTAGTCTATTTTATGGATATAGACTATCTTTGTTATTACTAGATAAATTCATAGTCTTTAGTGGTTGATTTCTTACGCAGTTGACAGGCCTTCTACCCTGATAAGTAGATCCTATCACAAATCTACTATTCTAATAACTTCTTCTTTATAATACTTAATTTATATAGATTAATATATATAATGATCTATAATTTAATTCTATTAAGATGTCTATAAAAAGTTATCTTTAGAATACTTAAAAACTTTAGTTATCTTAGTTATAGATAAAATTAACTGATATAAAAAACTTTAATAGCTAATTTATATAATTCTTTTAATTTATAGCTTTTTCTAATAATTAAGACATTTTTGGTAGTGATATTAAATATTTAATCAGTTGATATTGACGCATTTTAAGGAATGCTTGGCATGTTGGGCCACCTGCTTACTTGGGCCACTCGCTTACTGATTACATTAGCTCAACATGGTCCGAAGCCTCTTACCGCCTTGGGCAGAACTTTGAGCTACGATGAACTTTTCTTGGAACACGCTGAGCTGCCCCCCGCTGAGGGAGGCACCCGCAGACAAAGCCCTCATAATGACTAATCTGCCGCTGTCGATGACAAATGCACTCATTACATTACTGACTTAGGCAGCTAGCCCTCATGTCGACTGCACGTAGCTCGCTAGAGCGTTCGATCAACCACCCATAATTTCTCGAAGTTGATCTCAGTGAGTTTTTGGACCTTCTTAGAAAACTCACACATCACAATGAGAGCGATTGGTCAGGATCCTTCTGCAGCAGTTCGTCCCACATGACTTTCAGTCCAGTGGTACTAATTATGACCTACAGGCGTGCATGGCGGCAAAGGAAGTGCTGATGCTCTTTTCATTGAGGAGATCCCGATCCCGGAGCCGAAATGTGGCGATGCTCTGGTTAAAATCAAAGCATTCGGTTTGAACCGAATGGATCTACTTCAGCGGGAGGGCAAATATCCTGTTCCTCCGCAAGCCCCAAGTACCATGGGTGTAGAGTTCTCTGGCGTGATTGAGAAAGTTGGACCAGCTGATGGCAACGGCTTTCATGTGGGCGATGAGGTTTTCGGTCTGGCGTATGGTGGTAGGTGATTTCCGAAAGGACCATTCTATCTCTAATTGACACTTGGTGTGTAGGTGCATATGCCGAGTACATCGCTGTATCCACAAACATGTTAATACATAAGCCATCCGAAATGACATGGATAGAGGCAGCAGGGATACCGGAGGTAAATCTAGTCATTTTTTCGAAACACGGTCTTTGTCTAACATGATGATATTATCACCACAGACATGGATAACAGCCTGTCAAGCCCTGTACTTGATTGGTGGTCACATCCCAGGCAAATCTGTTCTCTGGCATGCTGGAGCATCATCAGTCTCGATAGCTGGAATTCAGCTCGCACTAAATAGTGGTGCATCTGCTGTTTATGTAACTGCCGGGTCCCAGGAGAAGCTCGACTTCTGCGTTCGTCAACTAGGTGCTACCGCGGGGTACAATTACAGGGATCGCAGTTGGGCTTCCGATATCTTGGATGCGACCAATGGTCGTGGCGTTGATGTTGTGATCGATTTTGTTGGTGCGACACATTTTCAGGGCAACCTGAATGTAGCGGCGAAAGATGCTCACATTGTCCAATTGGGGCAAATGAGCGGATCAGTACTCCCTGCTAATATTGACATCAGTGGTATTTTGATGAAGCGGTTGAGGATTGAAGGCAGCACACTACGCAGCAGAGATGAACAATATCAGAAAAAATTGCGTGATCTCTTGGTTAATCAAGCGCTGCCGAAGTTCAAGAATGGGGCCTTCAAAGTCTATGTGGAGAAAGTTTTTCCATTTGAGGAAATTGCTGAGGCTCACAAACTGCTTGAGAGCAACCGAACCAAAGGCAAAATCGTCTGCACCATCAACTAACTAGTCTGAACATCGGCCAGTCACTTGTGATCTGACGCAGCTCAAGTTAGGCGTTCGTAAATATTCAGCTATCTACAAAGCTAGTCAAGAAGACATCCGCAGCTGTGCTGTACCACTACTTCTCATGAAAGTTTATGGAATCTATTCGATAGGATTCCAGAAGTACTACCCTCCTTGGCAAATTAGAATACAACTCTTCGGGAGCCATAGTTGAAGTATCTAGCCTATGCACGTTACCTATAACATGATCAGCATGCGAAACGAACATGCACAATATGCATGCAAGCAGGCCCAGCCTTTGTGTATAGAATGCTTGTTAAACATTGCATTATCAGATATGCTCAGCAGCGTGCAGGGTAACCTGGCTTACTGTATGGGGAAACTTACTCCGGATAGTGGAGCCAACAATCTTATCGGCCACCTCCGCGGCAGAACTTTTTTCTCTCGAGATTTTTTTTGAGAGAAAAATAAAAAGAAAGAAAACGAAACAATACACGGAGCGAGGTGTTTATTTAGATTCTTTTACTCTGTCTTGGTATATCAATTTGTGGTATATTCTCACTAATTCACTCATTATGACGAAACGCGAGTATGGAGCGGGACGCACAGAAGACAGAGTGATGAAGAAGTCTAAGAAGGAGCAGCACACCGCGAAGAAGACAGACAAACTTGGAGATAGCACGGAGAAAGAGACGAAATACGTGCAGTCGCGTGCGTTGAGTGATTTGCCATCATCAGACATAGAGCATTTTCTCACTGAGAACACGATCAAGGTCACGGACACTGGAGAAGATGCCGCGAACCTGCGACCAATCCTGTCATTTTCACATCTTCCTCCCTGCGACGGCAAACTTTACGATCCTCTGAGTTCTTTCAGCTCTCCTACCGCCATTCAGTCGACAACTTGGCCTTTGCTATTTTCCGGTCGCGATGTGATTGGTATTGCTGAGACCGGTAGCGGCAAGACTCTTGCATTTGGACTGCCCTGTCTGAAGAAATTACATGACACTAAGCGGAAGTGCAATAAAAGGCCTTCTCAACCAATGGCGGTCATTATCTCACCAACCAGGGAGCTGGCGAAACAGATTCATGACCAGCTTGTCAAATTTGCCAAACCAATGGGCGTCGAAGTAGCCTGCATTTTTGGTGGTGTCGGAAAAGATGAACAGCGCGAAGCTCTGAAGACTGCACCGATTGTTGTCGCTACGCCCGGTAGATTGAAGGATCTCCAAAACGACGGATCGGTCGATCTTGCAAAGGTCAAGTACCTTGTCTTGGATGAAGCCGATCGTATGTTGGATAAAGGATTTGAACAAGACATCAAGGACATTATCCTTCCTATGTCTACATCCAGACGGCAGACCGTCATGTTCACAGCAACGTGGCCCCCAGTTGTCCGAAATCTTGCCACGACATTTATGAAGACGCCCGTTACTGTTACAATTGGCGGGGATCCATCAGCGGATCCCCGTGCGAATACGAGAATCAAACAGGACGTTGAGGTCATTCAACCGCATGAGAAAGAACAGAGACTTGTCCAACTACTCAATCAGAGTCAGCGAGGCCCCAAGCCGCCTAAAGTCTTGGTTTTCTGTTTGTATAAGAAGGAAGCAGTTCGTGTTGAGAGGCTTCTTCGGAACAAGGGATTCAAGGTTGCGGGCATACATGGCGACCTTGGCCAGCAAGAACGATTCAGGAGTCTTGAGGCATTTAAAAGTGGAGCTGCTACTGTTCTTGTCGCCACAGATGTGGCAGCTCGCGGACTGGATATTCCTGCTGTCAAACTTGTTATCAACGTTACATTCCCACTCACAGTCGAAGATTATGTACATCGAATTGGGCGGTAAGTGGTTATGGCATTGAAACAGGCACATGCGCTAGCTAGCGGGATCTCGACTGACATATTCTAAAGAACTGGTCGTGCAGGGGCCGAAGGACATGCCATTACCCTTTTCACCGAGTTGGATAAGGCACAATCTGGAGGGTGAGTTCTGTCCTTATCATAAACGCAACCTGGGCACCTATGCCTGTACCGTTTTATCTCACAGTGCTGATACTTCGTAGGTTGATCAACGTGCTCAAAGCAGCCAAGCAGGACGTGCCAGAATCCCTTCTCAAGTTTGGTTCGACAGTCAAGAAGAAGCAACATGACGCCTATGGGGCATTCTTCAAGGACGTCGACACGAGCAAAGCAGCAACTAAGATAGTCTTTGATGACTGACGAGATAATTATGATGTCTTGTACTTCGTTCTATATCTCAGTATTTCGTTGATTTTGATGCTTTGTGCTTTCAAGTATTCTCTTTCAGAATAAAGCCTATTGGCGCGCATGTTAGTTAGTGATTGGACTACATATAGATATTGAAGACCTCAATCTGAACTTACACAATCATAATGTATAAAGCACTATACATCACGGTGCCTACAATATTTCCGGAGTTGAGTCTGTAAGAACCTCTTTTCATCAAAAGTGTCGAAGTGACGATGCCAGCCAGGAACGTCTGGGGCTTCGGAAGCAGCTCGTGTAATTCTATTGTCAATGCGCGACGTTGTAGAAAGGACCGAATAAAAGAGAAGCTCCAGGTGGTACGGATTGCCATGTTCACAATATTGGCATAGATCATCCCCTGCGCACCCAGGTCACAGACCACCAAGAATAAGTATGCTGCTGAAACAAAACAAGCTGAAAACCCCCCCATCCACAGTGCTTGTTTCCGAACTTCCGATGGGCTAGCAGCCGACGAAACGAATGCCTCGCTTATGCCATTGAAAGCCAGGAATGGTATATAGAGGCAGTAAAGGGATAGTAAGCTATTTACCTTTGTGGAGGCCCAGCTGCGACCACCTATAAAATCGAGCACCAAAGGTACCAGAGCTGGACCTAGTGGAAAGGCCACTGCAGCTATGATACCGTAGGCTCGTAAAATTTCGGCTAGATGCTTCTTAGCGAGACCGAGATTCTTTGCGCGTTGATTCTCGGGCCCGCTACTGTGGAGCAATGAAGAAAAAAAGGAGCGACTACTTTCTTCGATGGGCTGAAATACAATGCGGGCCACAAGGCCACCATAGTTGGAGGCGAGGGCATAGATGCCTTGATCTTCTAGGCTTGTCATGGCTGCAAGGATCATCGAATCGCCTTGCGTGAGTAAATGTTTGACTATCGACTGAAGAAAAACACTTGCAGCCAGCGAGATCATTGACCACGGAAATATATTCATCAAGTAACCGTGATGACTGCTCTGGAAGTCAGATTAATGGGTATGCTTGAGTACGATTGCATACACACTTACATTGACTGAAATCTTGTGGGAAGTAAAGAGAAGCTTTGTTCACTCGGCACCTTTCTTGTAGCCACGAAAAAGCCACCGAGAAGCGTACATGCGTAGCTCAAATGCCCAAGGGCAAAGGGTAGAACATCGATGCAGGATTTATTCCCAAAGGGGCCGCACATGTAGATAGAACAAGTTACCAGGCTTTTGATAAATGCAGCACTCATCTCGACAAGTGCGCGTCGCTTGTATAGGAAAAATCTCTGTATCACATTGAAAAATGGTTCACTTGCAAGCTCGAGAAGGGAAGCGATAGTGATTATGATCACACTTCGGTGATAAGATGATGTTTGAGAGACTTCATCTGAGGCAAAGTGGAAGTATGAGGCACCCAGTATCGCAGCGAAGAGAAAACCCATTCCTAGACTCAAGTAGGACATATTGACCACAGTTTGTGATTCCACTTCTTGGGTACTCGGCTGCCGAGAGGCGTCCGGTTTGTTGTCAATTGCATCGATGTCATAACGAACTGTCGCGGAGGGGATAGAGACGACAAGCGGTTGTCTTTGAATCGACAACCTGATACTCTCTCTTGAAAAGAACAGTATTGTAATGAGATAGAGTTCCAGCTGAGTTGCTACGCCAAGAGTAGCTGGTGGCAAGTCCCTTAATATTAGTTGATTCGCCGCAAATGTAAGTACTTTTGAGATCAGCTGAACGAGAACAAGAAGTGTTGTAACCGAAGCTGTTGACGTTGGCACAGTACTAGCTTCGGCATCCGGGGGAGACATGCTAACATAGGCTGTTAACGAGTCTGAGGCTTAACTATGATGTGAGGCTTGACTATGATATGAGTTGGATTGGAAAATGAAGACGAAGAGGAAGTAGAGGAAAATTAAGTGGACTGAGCTCGATATTGGGCATTCAACTTTGAAGGTCATTCATTACCTTAGTACTAACTAGACCTACACTAGACTGACCTGATCCACGGGCAGCTGCATCACCTTGCGCTAGTTCGTCGGATCTCTCGCCTACTGCCCCCTATTGGCCCGCCGTCTATTTTGTGCTCTTGAGTCCTACGTTGCAGGTACCTTTACTTACCGGGGTCGATATTCTCTGAAACGCAATTACTGCATTATGAGATCACATAGAAATCCTCGGCCCTGCCATCCAATTTCTAGCCATTATACAATTGCCGTAAGACAGCCCGGGCTTTTGACCCGAAGAGGCGCATGGACGAAACAGCCTTGATTCATTTTGAAAGCTATGTTGTAGTACCATATGAAGTGAATTACTTCGAAGCCAGCTGCAGTAGCACAGCCCGCATGACAACTAATGCACTTCCACGAATATATGTGCCCGCCATATTGAATCTGAACCAGGTACATCACCGCCATCATACTCATATGCAGCCCCCTGCGGAATCCTTGTTCCTAGCCCCCAATCCCCTTTGTCATCTTCTGCCTGATAGAACATTTACCCTTATAATCGCATTCCATAAGGCGCGATGTTCATACTAGAAAGGCGGGAGAAAGAATGGATAACCACCATTCTTCACCTTGAAAACACTTAGAAGAAAGCTATACATGCCCAGCAGAACAGAGCCCCAAACGATAACAGCTACCTGTTGTCTTTTGTTATCAGCAATGCGAGGAACCTTCATTGCCAGAGCAATTGTTGCGAATGAGAGAACGGCATCTGTGAGTAGCAGAGGTTAGCATCATCGTATGCCAGTCAAAGCAAGCACTCACAAATGGCAGCAATGATTTGTGTTTCCATGCCAAATTGGTTTGAAAACCCTCCAGCAAAGTAGCTGATCCCTCCTCTCCCATCCCCGGCGACATATGGTACTTTGCGAATATGGTTAAACATGTGGCCACTAATGAACAGGAGGATCGCGATAAGGCTTATAGCAGCCCATATGTTTCGATTCTGCACAATAGGAAACACATAAGGTGACAGGACTGTGAAGAGAGTTACTACACCCATAAAGATTGTTACTCCAGAGACTATGCGCATGTAGTTGATCGGGCGAATGATGGGAGGTTTTGGACCCTCGGGGAGATGACGAATGATCCATGTATAAAGTTGATCAGCCGAGATGGGACTGCAAGACATAGACATTTCAGTGAGTGATTTCGTTACCCCAGCTTGAAGCGTGCCTTACCCGCTAAAGTCGAACCGCAAAGGTGCATCGTCAACCTTTGCATGAGGGCCAACAGTGGGGGGAAACACCAGGAGAACAGGCGCAGTTTGGAGCATAAGCTTGAACACATTAGCCTAGGGAGTTCTGTCCCACGAAGCGCGCATTATTGCCTTACTTTCTGGAAGACTTCCTTGCCATTGGTAAACTCAAGGGTAGCATAAAGCATTCTAAGATCACCAGGCGTAGAACCTTTGTTCCAGCTGCGCGCTATGAGCTCCCATTCAGGTTGAAATTCGCGACATAAGATACATCCAAAGCGAGCTTCAGTAGCAGTCAATAGCACCGCGACATGATAATCCCGAGGTTTGGATGTTATATCTGCATAGGAAGAGTCGTCGAGAGTGATGGGCGTAGACCTCGAGTGTGAGCGGTAATTGTCGTACTTGTCGGTATTTGAATTGCCACAAAGACCATGAGGAAGTATAGCGAGGAACGGAACTAAAAAGTTTAAGAGCTTCATGTTTGCATTTCAGCCATGCACTAATATGGGAGGTGGGAGATTAGGCAGATGGAGGGTGGGCGACTCGCAATGATGGATGGTGTCTAATGAGTCTTTAAACACGTGTAGTTTACTACTAGTAGTAGTATGGGTGGTAACTGTGTAACCAATTCAATTCACTACTAACCATTTGGTTATAAATCCAGCTATGGGTCATAGGTGTTCACTACGTACTGGAGGTACGGTGCTCCCTTCGTACTTCATTGGTACTGCTAATTACAGTATCGGTGGATAGAACACTACTTGTTATTATACCTAACCCACAGCATGGGACGGTATTGACTCGTCTCGACAGTGTACAGTACATACATGTTATACCCGCCAGAAAGCACAAAATCTAATCCATGTTCATCGCAGCAGGAACAATACTCGAACTAGCTGAACAACCATAACTGGAGCCTTTCAGGTAGCTATCGATATTTCCGGTACATTGTTGTAGCAATATACACACAGCCTAATAACAGATCGATAAGTCCTTGGGAGTACAGTACAATCTGCGATCTCGTAGCATGCCTTAAAGTGATAGAGAAGAGCCAAGTCATAATAATGCATAAGTGGGGAGTCATTCTATGTGTACTTCAGATTACTTCAAAGTGATTCACTGGGCCTTGCATGGCCATAAGTCCTCCCGCTCCGGCACTGCTTGAATCGACGGAGAGGAAAACTCATAAAGTCATGAAACCTACCTGTACCGACCACTCCATGTCGGGTGCTTATAGTTTCATTTAATCACTTCCATATCCCCGAGGATCAGCTTCTGATCATGTATAAGCCCTCATTTTCATACATTCCACATTGTATACGTTTGGTTCGCCACCTCACCATTAAGAGACACTCATCCTCGAAAAGATGGCAGACCCGCCAGCTCAAGGATCATTTTACTAAAGAAGCTGTGGTTCAAGGCCTGAAGAGCCGAGCAGCATTCAAGCTTCTCCAGGTATTTCCAGCCTTTTCTCAGATGTGCCGTTACAAATCTGATGCAAGTCTGATGTTCCACCACTAGATTGATGATAAATACCGCGTGTTTCAGAGCGGACAAACCGTTGTTGACCTTGTATGGTAGCCAAGATACGAGATGCAAATTATTCTTAGCCAGTTGACACTTCCATCTCAATCATTTAGGGATATGCTCCTGGCTCTTGGTCCCAGGTACCTTGGCCCTTTCTTCAACAAGGACGGCAGCTCACTTTCATATTAGGTAGCAGTGGCTAGAACTGAACCTGGTGGCAGGATTCTCGGTGTTGACGTCATTCCAGCTCAGCCTCCCAAGGGAGTCTCTACGATTCAGGGCAATTTTCTCAATCCTGAAGTTCAAGATTATGTCCGTAAATTTGTACGTGACCCTAACAGAGGCAGGCCACGCGTTATGAGTCCTGGCAGGAATGGCCAGCCTGAATGCGATCAGAGAATGCCCTTGGAGATTGCACAGGGATCCAACGAACTTGGTGCACTGAATGACATCAACGAAAGAACAGTTGATGTGGTCTTAAGCGATATGTCTGCTCCCTGGCACCAGACTATTGGCTTTGGAAAGAGAAGTCTAAGTGATCCCTATAACAGGATGATGAACACGAGTGGTATAAGCTCTAAAGATCACGCCGGCAGTATGGTACGTGGTGTGATTCCTCTTGCGCATCAGGATATACTAAATTTCATAGGATCTATGCCATGCAGCCTTACAATTCGGTCGTGAAGTCCTCCGGACTGGTGGTCACTTCATCTGCAAATTCTATCAAGGCGCAGAAGAGAAAGCATTCGAAAGAGAGCTTAAAGATCTTTTCCAGAAAGTCTACAGGCACAAGCCCGAATCCTCACGTAATGTAAGCTTCAACTGCTATATTATAGGTACATAATACGTCAAAGAAAATACTAACACTAGACAGGAGTCAAAAGAGTCTTACTTCATCGGCCTCAATCGAAGATAGGCTGTCGCACCGACGACAGAGACTAGATTTCCCATCACGAAGCTTCCTGGTCGATGTTGTCGGTTTCGCCATAGTCCGATTCTTCGTCCCATTCAATGTCGGCAAGTGATGCTTCAGCTGATGCCTGGACCTGCCATAATGTCAGTATCGTCAATTGCATATCTATTTTTAAAGTGCCCGAAACGGGCAATTCCAGCTAGTTTTGTATTTTACTCTTGAGGTAAAGGCGGAAATATATAGGTGATCAAGGAATGGGATTTAGCTTACCTCTTTCAGTCCACTCAATTCTTCCAAGTATCCAGGCTCATTCAAAGCCCTGTGTACGAAATCCCAGCCATCCATTTTGAACGTCTCAACGATGTTGTCCGAACATCCACTACAGAATCTGTAATTTTTCCCTACCACCGAGACATTTTCGAAAGTTGACAAGAATCCCCGAATTTGATGTGGTATAAGACCTAACGGATGGTCACCTCGGTCCTGATTACGTGAAACTTGAGCTGGCGCTGCTGCACCCAACGGGTGTTGGATAACGGAGACAAGAAGCTCTACTAGCATAGCGGACGCTATAGCGGCGACGCCGGGACGAGTAACTGTACATTGCTGATCCAGCGTTTGGTCTTTGGTGGACTAGTAGACATTTAGAATTGTGCCCTGACTCATTGGATTTGAAACTCACATTCATTGGTGCAACGACATCATTGCAAAAGTAGCAACCCAGTTGCGCCGAGTCATCGGTTTCTGACTGGACTCCATGACGCATCACCACGAAGGAGTCAAAGCCCAGCGCTGCATTCATCACAATTTTGCCTGCAGCCTTGCTCATAACTGTCGGTAGCCATCGAGATTCCCGTGTATCCATCAGAAGAAATACAGCATCATGCTCATCAATTAGTCTTCGCAGTGTCTCAAACTCTGCTTGCGTTCTCTCGACATCCATGACAGGGTGTCCCACCATTGGCACGGAAAGTACATGACCCGCGGACTCTACCCCTGGATAAATCTCAGATAGAGCCTGCGAAGCTCGAAGCGCTTTCTTGGCCCCTCCTTCTAGACAGTCGGTGAATTTGAAGAGCGGCTGTCTTACTGGATTGGAGAAAGAAACGGAACCATTGTCCACGAAAGTGATTTTGGAAACGCCCCATCCCTGCAGAAATTGAGTATTTGCGACAATGCAGAACAGAAGAAATTTCAATTTACCATCAGATTTCGAGCAACGTAGCTGCCTAGCGTGCCCGCCCCTAACAGCAGGCATTTGGTAGCTTTTATTTTCTCCAGATTCAGATTTGGGCTAATCCTCCATTTCATGAGTTTGAGATTCAAATCAACGGACTGGTCGGCCAATCTTGACGAATTAAAGGCATTGTTAGCTCGAGATTGCTTGGATTTAGGAAAGGGTAATGTACTTTTTGGGGTCCATATATTCCGTAAGGTCAACCAACCGTCCTGTCAATCTTCCGGATGGATTGCGCTCCCAGCCTGTAACTTTCGGCATATTTCTGGAGGGACTATGAACGTTCGCAACGCTTGATGTTTGCGCAGTCTTCAGCTCTAGTGTCAGCACAATACTGCGACATTGACCACGCCCCGAAGGCCCATCGCGGTATCTCAGCACCCGGATCTTATCAAGTCCCCAGCGATGTTTGGCAAGCAATAGTAGATTTCTGAGAGGCCAGCCTGGTGCATCTTCATAGTTGGAGGGATCCGCAAAGCCGACCAAACATTCATCAAAGTCAAATCCCTCAAAAAAGCCTTCCTCAAAGGACGAAAGACATGCGATTTGCCATTGCGGCTTTCGTATCTCATCTGTGTCTCCGGAACTTTGATTTGCGACCACTTCTCTACGATTTGCGTACTTCTCAGCAATGTATACTTTCCGAGCCAAGAAAAAACCTCGCTGACGGTCGTCTACTGTGTGGCTCCATGTCTGAATTGCATCGACTAGAGCTAAGCTTTCACTCTTCGGCCGAGCGTCCGCGCGTCCCACTGAACTCTCACCATTACCGAGCTCCGCAATTGACAAGGGTTCACCCACAGGGACCCATGAAGGATCCGAATGCAAAGCAGGGAATGCAAACCAATAGTGGAACTTGTACTTCTTCAAATCGGCGTAGGATAGAATCACGAAGGACGAGAGTAGGGATGGACAAGAGTAAATACTTCCATCGCGTACGGCATTCCATATCTGAAAACCAGCTATCGTTAATGCGAATTCGGCGTAGTAAGAAGTGAAGAACAAACCTTCTCCCCGGACTGTCGGAGCAGACGTGCTCTATCAGTATTTGTGTATTCTTCGATGGTGTTAACATTCTTTATTATACCCTCAGCGTGATAATATCCAGAAGGAATCCTGAATCATGAATCCAGTGGTCAATAGTTGCGCACTAAGGAGAAGTAAGGCCAAGGCTACAGATCAACCCAAGCTCACCTGTCACTAGTGAGTGCGTTCCCGTGTATTTGCATTCGACACGAGGCGTTTGGAGCGTCCGTAGGCCGAATTTCATAAAGGCCTAGGACTCGGCGAGCCGAATCATCAAGCTTGTCATGATTTATTTTCAGGGATGTTAGGGCAGTGTAAAAGGGCAGTTCTATATCCGAGGCAAACGGTGCGTAGAGCATCGCGAGTTATACGCTCTGAAGAGAAGTGGCGCTCTAGGTAGCTTGAGTCGGTTGATGAACGTCCCGCTCCAGATCGAAGCCCGTTATTAATCTCAGAGGTTGATCGGTTTGGCTGGCCCTGCCACTTGCTAGTTATGTAGTGCAGTGTACAGTGCACCTAGGTAATAGTTTCGTCGAAGATCGAGAGTTGGAGGGAAGAGTCTTTGATCAGTAGATCGTGTCAATGTAGCAGTCGACTTTCTGTCAGCTATACCCAAGGTGGGGTAGGTGGGGCTAGTGCAACCCGGCATGAACCTCGGCGCTCCACACAGTATCTTGTCACCTTGCGGCTTGTGTAGCAATACAGTATTGTGATATGCTGTTTGCTAGCACTGATATCGACCATAGACACCGCCCGTACGGAGAATTCTAAAGACATTGGCCTTGAACCTAGCAAGGATGGGTGTCCGCGTTGGCACCTTTAACCCGATTGGGAATTTACCATACAAAAACAAATGCGGGCAGGATAGAAAAACTGGCAAAATTAACCACACACGGCTCGCTAGCCCTATATACTACTAAAGACACCAAAATACCAAAATACCAAAATACCACTGAAATAACTGAATTTGACATCAATTTGAGACAGATTTCCTAGTAGACAGTAATTCAGATAGCTCAAAGCCCAAGGATGAAGCTGAAATTTCACTATTTACTTGAACTGTCAGCGGTGTTAAACATAGATGAGGCTGAATCTATACAAGTAGTATCTTAGGCCGTATCTTAGGCGGCATCAAGGGTGCACTGGTAATTATGAGGATATTTACATACACATACTGAGTGCGCTTGTAATGCCAAGATTACCGCTATACCATATGTAGAGAAGGCCAATGTCTTTAGAATTACGGGCGGTGTCTATAGTCGATATCGCTAGCACTGTACCTCCGTACTCCGTACTGTACTCAATCGGCAGATACAAACAGATAGTTGACGATACTCCGCGATCGATTGCTGACACATAATACAATCCGGGCTGTTTTAACGAAATACTATTCCCATATGACCTTTGCAGTACTTAGTACAAAGAGAATGATAACAACCAAGATGCACATTTACAGCACTTCGGGTTCGAGGGTCGCTCATGAATTGAATTTATAGACCTAGCCTAATTGTCGGCCTCAAACTTGCGTACCAAGAATCCTCTTTCATCGAGGTAATTCTTTACTTCACTGACAGTATATTCGCCGCGATGAAACTGTCAAGAAACACGATTAGCAAATCAAGCGAATAGGCAAATTTGCAGAATCGGGGATTCACATACCATGCCGGCGCCTAGGGCCGCATCAGTGGTGGTGTTCTGGAATACCTCGACAAAGTGCTCAGGGTTCCCAGCTCCGCTGGACGCAATGACGGGGATCTTGATGGCGGTTTTGACATCGTTGATCAACTCCAGGTCGAATCCACTGTTGCTTCCGTCCCTGTCAATGCAGTTCAGCAAAATTTCACCGGCGCCCATTGCTTCAACAGCTTGCGCTAATTGCCGCACGTCCAGGTCTCGCGCCTCTCTGCCACCTTTGATGGTGCATTGGTACCAACAGAAAGACCGCCCCGAGTCATCTGGGTACTTAGTCCGGATAGTGTGGTGTGTGGTGTCCTCCGGTCCGCTCACGTATACACGCTTCGGATCAACACTTACAACCACAGCTTGATTACCATAAGCCTTGGATATCGACTCTATAGCTGTTTTGCCGTTTAAGGTCTGGCCAGCCTCGTAAAATTCTTCGGCTGCAATAACAGCATCAGACCCGATGCTCACTTTGTCCGCACCCGATTTGAAATACATCGTTGCAACATCCAAGGCCGATATACGGGTGCCATCAGTATCAGTAGTGTCTCTGATCCCGCCGCCAATAGTGAGCGGCACGAAGACCGTTTCCGATGTTCTCCTCAGAATTTCCAGCATAGGCGTATCCGCAACTGGACAGTTTCTGAAGGAGGTGATGTTCAGAAACGTCACTTCATCAGCACCTTGTTCATAGTACCTTTTAGCCATATCGACGGGCTTTCCTAAATTTCGGACTTGGCCTCCTGTGCTGACGCCATCTTTCTCTCGCACGTCATACTGATCGCCCTTAGTCACAACAAGATCACCAGCATCATTTGCGCGCACGTCAAGGCAGGCAATAACCCTACGAGTGAGCCCGTCTTTCTTTTCCGCGGAAAGTGGCAATTCTGGAGATAACGTCTGCAAGCGATTTCCATCTAGGAAAGCACGGATCGTCCGCAAGCCAGCCTGACCACTTTTCTCCGGATGAAACTGCGTCGCGAAAATGTTATCTCGAGCTATAGCTCCAACAAATTCTTCGTCGCCATATGTAGCCGTAGCCACTGACCAACCTTCCTGTTCTAGGAGACCAGGGGTATAGAGTGCTGCATAAGAGTGGACGTAGTAGTACTTGCTGGTAGGGCCCAACCCATAGAAGGTTTGATTCCTAGTTGAATTGACGTTGGTGTTTATCGCAGAATTCCATCCAATATGAGGCACACTTTTGGTATCGGCTTTGAACTTCTGCATCCGAGCAGGAACTATGCCCAAACCAGGCACCTCGGAATTTTCCTCAGACCCGAGGAAAAGTGCTTGTAACCCGACACATATGCCCATAAATGGTTTGCCGGAATTGATGTGCCGTCTAATCGGTTCTAAATAGCCACCTTCGGAAAGCTGAGTTAAACAATGGCCGTAGTGACCAACTCCCGGGAGGATAAGTTTCTGTGAGGATCATTGGTAAGCGTGTGAGATCGCCCATTTAAGGATTGAATTGAAAAAGCTCACCTCCACATTCTCAAGATCGCTTGGGGACTTGATCCATTCCACCTCGTATCCAACTTTGTTTATCGCATTAACCAAAGAGCGGACATTTCCAGCTACATAATCGAGCAGGTGAACAGTAGGCATTGTGTTTTGTGGGCTCCGCTAATCTATGTTGAAGAGGATGTGATCAGAAGACAGCGCCTATACCGAGGCGAGAGAACCAGGAACGGAAAGTCAAGGATATACAAATTGCATATGCTTACTCAATTGACTTCCGGAGGTTCATCAATTTGGGGTCAACGAGGAACTTGAAAGAGGATATGTATCTTTAGTTACTCCACTAAACCAGGAGAGGTGAGTCATTGTTCGCCGCAACCCACTTCCCGGGACATTTTTTTTTCCATTGGCTGCTATCTGCCAGCAACCATTTCTACCGCCGGGTGTTAGTCAGTTTGATTGTCAGTCTTTATGACACGCAAAATGTGCACGCAATATACAATCTGATACAACGCAAATTGCGCTATATACAGCAAGGCAGTAAGAAAAGGACTTCGCATACTTTTACTGGGATACTATAGGGCGCTCAGAAGTCTCTCATAAAAGCATAATGCAAGGCAATCCCCCAAAATCCCCTGACAGGTGACAACCGAAGCGCCTGAAGCCTGAAATTCATTATATGAAGAGGTCTCAATATCTTCTCGAATGTTCAATAGACACTTGTAAATAGTTAGTTATAGAAGCTTACTGGTCGAGCCGTCTACAATAGCTTTATCGCCTTAGTAGCCTTTGGCACGCGTAAGATTGGACGTGTAAATAGCAAACGTCTTAATTTGCCAGCTTAACCATGATTTGCTACTTCGATCAAGTCCGGGCCCCAACTAATTTAAACAATAATGATGTTTTTATTTGGCTGGCACTACGGGCGTTTAACTACCACTTCTTCAATGTGCTTAGACAGCCAGGGATCACCGCGACCCAACCATAGCCCATTTGACGACTTCTTCCCACTCTATGCTTAGTAGTATCAAGTGCGATTTGCCTTAGAGGTGACCGCTCGCCGGAGCTGGAATACCACTTCGACTTGACCTTATCAAAGGGGTCCGTGGCGCAATTGCATGACCGGGCTACATGTTCTTGATTGTTTCACTTGAATGTCATACGAAGCTATCAGCATTCTGAATAACATGACGAGTTCACATCATCAACACATGTGGACTGTAGAAGTGCAGTGTGCAGCGCGGACTCTGGCACGTGAAACTTAGGCAGTATTGTCGGACTCTTCCAAGTATATCAAACCATTGCGGGGCTGTCAAGACGCTGCTTAGTTAGTTGTTACAGCAGTAGTAAGAGCGGAACTCACCGGTGAAAACTGCCTTAGCCTCACATTAGCTTCTCGTAGAATTGCGGCGCTCTGTACTCAGTTAGTTAATTCCTTATCCGAATGATTTGACAGATATATACATCATTGTCCATATTGTATCCCTGCGAGTAGACAACCTCAGAGATCCCCACTTGAGCTATCTTAACTGTGCAGGTCAAGCAAGGGCAGCTGATCGATCGTTGTGATTAGCGATAAACAAAGCATTTTCATACGTCGAAGCTTACGTATCGCAATATAGTATTGTGCCTTCCCTGATGCGCTCTCTTCCAGCTTCCAGCAGTGCATTCTCTTCTGCGTGTAAGCAAAGACAAGTAGATAATCCTCTGCCCCCTCCCTCCCCACTGTTACATCGTGGGCCTGCAAAATAGTAAGCTTTAACGACTCCATTAAACCAGCGGGATGTTATAGAGCTTGGGGGTTCCTCACATCCACCTTCGTTGCAGTTTGTCAGGTGCCGTGGAGTCCCGTTGTAACCTGTGCTTATAACGCGACGCTCTCGAACAAGCACACAACCAACCCTTCTTTTCATGCAATTACTGCGTTGGGCAGCGAGAGATGCTAGCTCCATGAAATAATGATCCCAATGTGGGCGTAACCTTTTCTCGTCGGCCAAGTTGATCGCTTTGAGAGCTTTATGCAATTCCTGCAAGGATGAAGAGGAATTGAAAAGCCTAACTTGTGCCCTGTCGGTGAGATAGACGCGTCCAATATTCTTGTCATATAGGTGTTTATCACTCCAAAGCACAAATTCCTCAAGGGGAGGAGGCAATAGCTGCATCTTTCGACGCCTATGTTGAAGTGTCAGATATGCTGCGAGCGATATTACAACGGGAACGTTTAGTTGAAATTGTATGAGTACGAACCTATCCACAAATCGTCTCCATCGAAGACTCACTGGTGCATCGATGCTCACTAAGAGGAAAAAGGGACGTTGCAGGAAACGATCCATTACTGCCGAATCCCATATGTCCGTCGTGACCCATAGTCCTTGCCACCTTTTCGTTACAAAGTTTAAGAGAGCTTCCGCATCCTCAAATAGAAATCCTGTTGAAGAAGAGCTACTTTCCTTGTGGGATAAGTCTGACGGCTGTAACTGACAAAGTCCTCCAGACTCCTCCAGTATTCTAGTTTCCTTCCTACTTTTCAATTCAAGTAGTTGAAAACCTTCCTCCTGGATTAGATACTCGGCAACCGCATGCTTCCCAGAGCATATACCTTGTCCGAATTATTAGCCTGCGCCGACCGAAGAATAAGGTGACGAATGAAGACTAGGGGTCTGGGTGGGAAATCCGTGTAGGCGGGCTTTGCTAACCTCCGCATAATCCAATTAACATATCTAATGACTGTAGCAGTTGCAGAGAGTTATAATGTAAGTTGCACAAGACAAGAAAGTCGAGGAATGCTGAGAAAGAACATAAACAATTCACCTCGGAGGTTCTGCTATGTCTTGGAGTAGGAATGGCAGGGTCTTAAGCAAATTTTATTTCGGGCTTGTTGCTACTACTACCAAATGTTACCGAAGTACCTAGGTAAGTATGTACTGTCTTGTATTCATCCAAATAAGAATATTCCTATGTCCGCCAATCAGCTTGAGCTTGGGTTACCACACATATGATAGCATGACGATAAAATCTACTAAATTATTAACTCAGTATCAAGCGTACTTGATATGAATACACCTACGAATGCATCTTAGCGGGAGCATGCTTCATGTTTGAATCTCAAGCCGGGCTCGTAAGCTTGGCACACAAGATCCATTTCTTTTCCCAGTTTGAGCAAACAATACACACTGGACCGTACATTTACCGCCTGGCTTTGTTACACTTCAAGTTAGGTACCTTTGGTACTCCGTACCTGTTGAACGGACAAAGGCTGACCAACGCTGATGGCTACTAGTCAAAAGACATAAATAGAAACCACACAAAGCGATACTAATCACCAAGGGATACAGATAGCGATTGGATGCTTCTAGAAATATATATCATTATTGATGGATGACTAATTCACGACGTAGTTAACTTAGCTCGATCAACGTTATTTCCAGGTCTCGGACCCGACCATAGTTAAGTAACAGTACTACGTACGGAGCACAACAGTACAGAAAAGTCAATGCGGGTCACTAATTACGTACTGTCATCATGTGACTTCAGCAATGAAAGACCACACTAGTCGCTATCTGCAGTGCCTTTCAATGGTTGCCACCACCTCTCTACCGTTGTCGCCATCCACAGATTATCCTTTCAATCTCTCGCTAGGGCTTTTGCTCCCCTTGTCCCTCTCAACAACTCACGCAGAGCTCCTCTTCGACAATTGTCTATCCTCTTTGATCTGGCCTGCCCCTTGCCTTTGTGCGCATGCTTACGTTGCGACCGGACAATACCAGGAGTTTTGCTACGCGAGTATATTAGGATCCTTCCTACTTCCTTATTTTCTTATTCTCCATATGCTTCTGAGCCCTTAATCCATCGAACTTCTCCCAGATTCAGAATTATCGCTTAATCACCGAGGTCTCCCACCTACTAAGTCTGTTGGCATTGTAGGTCAGGAGATTTCGGTCCGCTCAGACTTAGTCTGACGAGCTAGCGAAGCCCATAAAGCTTTATTGAGAAAGCATTCCGCCTTATTGCAAAATCGCTTGCACCATCCTTGTATTCGTCACAATCGTCAGGCTTGTCTGTGTAAGTCATTCAAGGCAGTGACCATCCAGTTTAGAAGAAAAGTCCTTGCATTTTGGAGCGACGCCTCTAAGCAGGGCTAGTCTCTCGATCTCTGGAATTGATTACAAGAGACTGTCTGCAGGTCAACTTGTTGTTTGTGAATCTGCAAGCCCTCCCGTTCGTGCTGTTATCATCTGTCTACCTTGTTCTTCAGTGTATTCTTTGTGAAACTGGCATTCCTCTTTTGATCTAATTACATTGACAACGCAATCATTGGACTTCCAATTGAATAAAATGTCATCATCTGTTCATTTCAAGTTCAAGTCCCAAAAAGAGCCCTCCAGGGTAACTTTCGATGGCACCGGTATATCCGTCTTCGAGCTCAAACGAGAGATTATCAATCAGAGTAGGTTGGGTGATGGAACTGATTTTGAGCTTTCTGTCTACAATGAGGATACTGGAGAAGGTCAGTTGATTCCAACGAGTTGATCTGTTAAGACTTGCCTTTTCGTTCTGCTCATGGGCATCTGATGATAAGGTGTCGATGTACATTCGCTGACGAATTTTCCGAGTAGAGTATGACGACGACACCAACATTATACCGCGATCAACTTCAGTCATAGCTCGAAGGTTGCCTGCATCAAGACCCGGAAAAGGTGGCGCCGCCCGATATGTCTCCGGCAAAATGCCAGTTAATGCGCGCAGCGCTCCTCGTAATGATCATCAATCATTGGCTCGAACTTCCACTCAAAGCCAACCCGTTAGCAACGGCGTTCTCGAACTCAACAATGCCCAGACCGAAGAGGAAAAGATTAATGCCCTTTTCAATCTGCAGGCGCACCAATGGAAAGAGCAACAACAGGAAATGGCGAAGTAAGTACACGAACCCAGCAATCAGATTATCTTTCACGAGAGCGAGATATGCTAATCTTGTATAGCGCCACTCCCGTTCCTTTCGGACGCGGAAGGGGTAAGGTCATACCCGGGGTTTCTCAAGAGCGTCCTATGCCCCCGGGTTATATTTGTTATCGCTGTCGCGAGAAGGGTAAGTTTTAAACATCTACCAGGCACAATGCGGAAGCTAACCTGATCTTATTTACAGGCCATTTCATCCATGAATGCCCCACAAACAATGACCCTAAGTTCGATGGCAAGTACAGAGTCAAACGGTCAACCGGCATTCCGCGGTCACTCCAAACCAAAGTAGAGAAGCCCGAGAACCTTGCGTTGGATGGATCGAATGAAGATTCCAGAAACACCGGCGTCATGGTGAACGCTGATGGTGACTTTGTCATTGCTAAACCGGACAAGGCCGCCTGGGAGTTGTACCAAGAGAAAGCCAAAGCTTCTGCGGCGGCGGCCGCTGAAGCTGCTGCGGCCGAGCACAGCAAAGAGCTTCAAGCACGTGGTCTAGAATGCCCAATAGATAGAAGGATGTTCTTGGAGCCCACCAAAACGCCATGCTGTCAGAAAACATATTGCAACGATTGTATTGCAAATGCTTTGATAGAGAGTGATTTCGTTTGCCCTGGATGTGGAACAGAGGGCGTTCTTCTCGACAATCTTTCTGTGGATGATGAAGCTATTACGAATATTAAAGATTACGAAAACGACAAGCTAGATCAAAAAAAGGAGAGGGAAAAACAGCCGGTGGACCAAGAAACTCAGTCAACCAGCAAAACTTCTATCCCAGGTCAAACTACGATGGCAGCAATTGAGGTTTCGCCTGCCATGGCCTCATCCAGCGCATCAGTATCTTCCAAGAAACGCCCCGCGGATGCCGAGCCTATTGGGACCACCGCCGAAGATTCGAGCCCAAGCTCTGAGCCCAAGAAACGGAGAACAGGCGACTCTCACAATAAACCCTCTGGCGAGCCTCCTACTACACAAGCTCAAGATCTTCCCAACAGCTTCCAATCGGCGCCTTTTGGTCAGCAAATGAATTTTGCCGGACTAGGGTTTGCGCAAAGTCAAGGAATGCCCGCAATGCCATTCTCTGCTCCTGGATTCACTTCTGAAGGAGCCGGCTTCCTGAACTATATGGGCATGCCTGCAGCCAATGGATTCCCGCCAAACATCAGCCCGGCTTGGAATTCGATGAATGGTGCAAATTTCAATCAGCTCCCAGGTGTAATATATGGTGATCAAATGGGTGGTTATGGCCCGCATATGTTTGGCAGCGCGGGAGACTCAAGTTTTGCCATGTTTCCAATGTCACAGATGAATGGGCCACTCCAGGCAAACACTGAATTTTCACAAGGCCTGGACATGGGCCAGTTCTCAAATCAGCAGCGAACCACTTTTAGTACCCCGTTTGCCAGAGAGGAGGACACTGCATATTTTCGCCAACCTGTCAACCCACAGAGACACCAGGCAAGACATCGAAGGACAAGGCCGAGCGACTACCGAGAACTCTGAGGATATGTAAAGCTGTTAGGAATAGCTTCATGACCCTGCTGCTTTTGGCGCTTAATCCTCTTATCTTGTCATACTGTGATCTTCTGCATAGAATCACACTCTAAAGAAGCTTGTTTGCCTCGTTCTATCAAAACCATCAGGGTCCATGCGATATGTACTTTCAACAAGCATCAATCCATTTCAAATGAGTTATGACTACAATTCAAACCAGATGTGCTTAATTATCATCTCAATCCACATAATCCCATTTCGTTGATTGTTGTTAGGACCTTCGGACTGGTAAAAGTGCGGACGATCGGTGATCCGGTGTAGAATTTTGCCGATTGATAGATAGATAGATAGACAGACAGACAGATAGCTAGATAGATTAATTGGTTGATTGATTGATCATTTCATGCACGCGTCTGTCAAGCCATTCAGCCAAGTCGCGGCAGGTCTGATTCTTAGTGCCGCTTTCAACAGTTTGACAGATAAATCAAGAGCTCTTAGACTTCTGTCCCTATGTTGACTTAATAATTATATACAAGCAGATTCCTGTCACGTAAGAGGTCTCTGTAACCGGGCCATATTGGTTAATATCCTTTAGGCACCGTTGTGCTATCTGTATTAGTTATACTAAATTCCCCCTTCTTTCAACTATAGTTAAAGCTCGGGCCGTTTACTTTTTGTCTAAAATTTATAGTACTTTCGAGGCTAGCCCTAGGTCGTACTTACTTAGAGACTATACTTATCGCTGTACAGTCTTCGATGTAAGGTTCCAGAAAGTGTAACTACTTGTTTGATGGCCTCTACTCCAAAAGTATCTAGGTTCTGAAGAGGTGGTTTTGATCTTAGGAGACCAATTGGTAACTACGGGATCTGAACTTATATCTCTGTACAGCATAGGTACGCCAGCAGCCAATGAACGACTTCGTTTTATCAATGGCTTGCAGGTGAAGGCGGGCCGGGGGCATCTTCAGATTTCCAGAGGGTCCTAAACTGTCAGACCATCAGACCGGTGCGGTCCCAAGCAGGATATCGACTATAGACACCGCCAGTTTTTCTAGACATTGGCGTTAAACCTAGCGAGGGAAGGTGTCTGCCTTGCCGCCGCTAACCCCATTAGGAAAAGGTATTCAGTTTACCATACAGAAACGAATATAGGCGGAGTAGAAGAACCGGCAGAATTAACTACTCGCGGCTAATTCTATATACTAAAAACACCAAAACACCACCGAAATAACCAAATTTGACATTGATTTTAAGATAGATTTATTTGATTTCTTTGACTATTTAAATGACTACTATTTAGGTAGTAACTTGGATACTTTAGAGTTCATGAATAAAGTTGAAATTCTACTATTTATTAAGCTGTCAGCAGTATTAAATACTGATAAGGCTGATTCTATACTTTAAATTACTATAAATTTTGGATACTATACTCCAAATAGCATCTTAGGCGGTATTAAGAGTATACTGATAATTATAAGGAGATTTATATACAAATACTGAGTACACCTATAATGCCAAGACACTGTACTATACTGTATGTGGTTTAATGCCAATGTATTTAGAAAACTGGCGGTGTCTAAGGAGTATAGTCAATATCCCAAGCAGCGCCGAGATCAGTCATTACAGACGAATACATACTCCGTATACGCATAAGAGAAGGGAAGGATCCACCCGTGACCCTCTTCTGTGACCTGTCACTTCCCCAACCCTTTGGGCCGTCAATAGTTACATCTTGCCAGCCAACTCCATCTATTGCTCTTATTGCAACACCCTTTCATTTCTGGCTCTTCAGAGACCAAAAAGAAACTTACTTGTTCTCGGATATCTGGTGACCCAGAATAACATTACTGCCTACAACCATCGCACGGCCATCGCCAATTCGAATCGCATCACCCGCCCAAAGTTCCTTACCCCAATCACCAATTCACCATGGCCCAATCATCAAACAGTACCATTAGTAGTAGTAGCAGTCAGTTGCAATGTTCTCCTGAGAGGTCTCCTCGAGTCACTGTGCTTGCAAGCTGTTACAGTGTGAACACCGCTACCTCCACGGTCAGTGGGTTTCACTACTGCACTACTATGGGCGCCGGTAACGATTTCCGTCCCTATGAAGACATTATCCGATCATCACATGCTTACCAAGCTCGACACTCAGGAGCACAGTGGTATCCCTGAGGTTCCCTCGGGGTTCAAGTCGCCCATACGTCCTCCCCTCGATTTGTCCATTGTTCCTGGCCTCGGAATCAGCTGGCCAGGGAACGGCTCATCGGGGCATAAAGGGGAGGCAGCGCATGCTATCCCGGAAGAGTGTGAGAGGCTCTTCTGCGAACACCTGTCTGTAATATTCTTTGGTGAGAGGAGAATAGCTGAGCAAGTGTCACTTGGGATGGGTGCGTCTCAGAGCCAGCCAGACATTGTCCAGGTTAGGCATACGCCGATTCAGCATTGGCTGGAGGTTCTGGACTACACGAATGACATCACTTATCGAGGGTTTGTGACGAGCACAACCGATGGCCAACCTACCATGTTTGTGTTTCTTGAGAAGATGTTAGGTCACGGCCTCAAGACTGGGTATGTGATCCCAAACCTGATCGCAAAACAGCGCTATCTTTCTTACACGCTAATTTACGAATGGTTATAGTTTGGTGGCGTTATTCGAGCTTGCAGGCATTAGTACATTTGACTGCTCCCAGATTGTTGCATGTATACCACGCTCGCAAGATGCGATCGAGCTCGAAATTGTGAGAAATCTTGGGTGGTGTGGATTCAACCTGACTACCTTAAAGCCTTGGAATGTCCACAATTGTCTTGATCGTCCTCTGAGTGATAGGTGGATCTTCTTAAACGCTGAGGTCTAATTAATCAAACATGTCCTTGTTGTTTCAGAATTCTCTGTTTGAGCATGCCATGGCGTGCTTGTTTTGGTGACTTTCCACTTTTTCATATAAGCTCGTTTGGATGCTTACCCTCGAATATACTTCGCTCTTTTCCAGGCCTCGTGCATACGAGTTATATGGCGTCATCTAGCACATACTTGACGACACTTTCCCAGGGATCTTAGTACACACTGTGTAGTGGACGATCAAGGGTTATCGATTCATTATGATTGGCTGTACCCAGCTTCGTTGAATGACGATCCGCGTGTGTTTGACTAGGTACCTTTATTCAGGGACGGCTGGTCGCGAGTGCCAAGGAAAAAATGGCGGATCACGCGGAAATGACCTCAGGACTATGGATAGTAAGAACATGAGGGAGGCAAGTGCCAGAAGGAATAATTCTGCAAAGTGTCACTAGTCTGTTCGTGACATGAAGCATCCTTCGGCATCGGCGAGGCTTTTGTTGACTGTATCTAGATGATCAATGTCTCCACAGCTCTGATGTTTCCTAAGTTTTTGCTTCACCCAGGAATTTCTCGGCCCAGGCAGGTCGCGAGCCCAGGACCGTCTGAGCTAAGCCAAGTACCTGGTCTGGAGACGAGCAACGACACCGAGAAATTTCTAGAGGGCCATATTTCCTGCATTCGTTGCTCTCATTGCGCGGCAGATTTATGCTTGACATCACAGATAATTAGCAAAGGATTCACTGGCCGCCATGGTCGTGCGTTGCTAGTATCTCCACAGATTGTTGCTAGTGCAGTTTCTATCCATCCATCTTCTGCAGCGACTGAATGTTTGCCGAACACTATCGTGCAGAAGCCTGTATCTCGGCGATTGGTGACCGGGGTACACACGGTTAGTGATATCAACTGTGCGCTTTGTGGAACTGTGCTCGGCTGGAAATATGTCTCCGCAGAGGAGGAAACACAACGCTACAAGGTCGGAAAGTTCATCCTAGAGAGCGAGAAAATTACAACATCTACTTCCTGGGAGTCTACACCCCGTGTGCCTGTTGATTTGATTAGATTATGCTCTGAATTGCCCCTGGAAAGATCACCGGCACACAATATGGAATTTGATAGTCAGGACGAGGATGAATGTGAAGACCTCTTCGCAGGAATTTGGAGTCCTGGCTTGGCTGTGCGCAGGAGAAGTCGCAAAATGGAACGCTATCTGTCCATGTTTACATTCAACTCCTTGTGATTCGAGATTGAACGAATTTAGACGGAGGGAGCAGCCATGCCTTGGACTGGATACAATGCATCCGTGCCTGTTCCCATGTGCTCAGTGCAACTGTTGCTTAACACAACTTTATTTTGTGGTGTGGTGTTTGTCGACCGGCGGTCGCGTTGCTCCTAGGCGCGGCAGTTTATTGTATCAGTTGTTACACCTATCACCGGATAAACACATATACCTTCTAATAAAAGCTAGTGGTACACGATGTTCCTATTTCAACTGGGTATCATAGTTGACCTTCAGATCAAACATGGCGACAAGACCATAATGGAAATTTTGCATTGTTGGCGGGTAGAAAACGCCGCGCCCGCGGATACGGTAGGAGATTGAGTCGAGACAAGAACCACCATTACCTTATATCCTTAATGTCGGGCATGCGGGCTCTTTTCGGTTCGCAGTCATGGGTCTCATCTTCAGCTGTACGCTTTCTCACTGACTCAGTGCTCTGAGATTGTGAGGAGCCAGCAGTAGACTTGCGTTTCACGAATGCGGATAAGTCATTTGCGTTCTTCGTGACTGCGTCAAGTCGGGCTTGCTGTTCAGAGAGCGGCTGTCCCACAATTTGTCCCAGAATGCCTTTTAGCACAGAGTCTCCCATATCACCAGCCTTCACAGACGAGGCGGCAGGGCGTTGGAGATCAATGAGCTGTCACAATATGTGAGACTCGACATCCCAGCAAGAGTCAGAATTCAAGGTAGAGGCTTACCCTTTGCTCCATGTCAGATATGATGTCCTTCACGTTGTCTATCTTTCTTTTCAAGGCAATTGCCTTATCTTCATTTAGTGAGCTATCACTGACCAGTTTCATCTGTTCCTGGACCATCCTGACTCGACAACTCTCAATAGCATGTTCCATTTGTGTAACAGCCTCTTTTCTCATTCCCTCATCAACCTTATCATTTTCAGCCTGGCCATCATTGTCGGCTCTATCAACTGACGCAAACTCAAGGGCGAGGGACAGCTTGTAATGGCATTCGGCAACAGATGGGTCTTCCATGGGAAACAGTGACTGTCTCAGACTGAGGGCTATCCTTAGATCTGCTACTGCATCTATGAACCTTTCAGCTTCAAGTGAGATCTCTGCTTGTAGGTCATATGTATCGGCAAGTCGTTCTTTGACTTGTTTGAGGTCCATAGGTTGCTCCGCAGATTTCCCTTTCCCATCCTCCTCCATTGCATTTAGCTTCTTCTGGTAAAGTATGCGCGCCAAATCGAGGACTTCGTACGCGTTGGCGAAGTCATCCTCGTCTTCTTCGGCGACCGCGTTATCAACCTCGTCCTCAGTGTCGGATTCGTCAAAATTCTCGTCACCAGTGAACTGGAAGTATGGCCTGCTTGTATTACCGTCCAACTGAATTTCGGGACCAGGCACCATTTCTGCGGCTTGCGCCTGAGCGATAGCATCTTCAACAACATTTTGAGTTACTGTTTTCGAGTCATTTGAATGAGACGGGGCGCCCTCGGTCGCCACTTTTGATCCAAGAACGTCGCTTTTGCTAACAGCAACATTGTAAAGGGCTCTTCCGTATGCGAAGAGAAGATCGGCGTTCTCGAGTGCAAGTTCGCCATTTAATTTTGCCTGGATCTCTGTGGCTTCGGAATAAAGCTCGGCGGCAGCATGAAAGTCTTTGATTGCATCCTTCGCTGCAGCTTGACCGATAAGATCGTCCAATGAAGCCCTGTCATCACTACCGCAAACTGCTCGTGGAGAAGTGATATCCAACTCACTTGTTCCAGACATTTTAGCCATTTAGAAGTCGATTGTATTCATGTGCCTGTGGCTTGACTTAGCAATTTAGAAGTAACCCGATCGATGACATCTGATGGGAGACGCATGCAGAATTCATCTGAAGTGCGGGAGGCAAAGGATGACCCAGGACGAATTCTGTCGCTAAGCAGAAGGGGCAATGGAGCAAAAAGCCAGGGCGGAGGCAAGTTAATCACCTTTAGAACTCAGCATCAAGTGGCTTCTGACAAGGTTTCCGACAAAGAAAATTAAAGATCTCCCGGGTAATCCCTGATAAAGTACTCCGTAGTCGCGGCCGGGCGCGTGTGCCGCGTGACACCACGCGTTTCGCTTAGGGCGAGATAGAGCTGTACGTGCTGTGCCGTGTTGCAATTTGTACCGCATTGCTTCCGATTAATTACTTACTGTTGAGTCAACTTTGACAACGCAACGACCCAAGAAGCAGAAAGTCAGGCGGCTTCGCCCCGTTGCTTGCAGGGCTCTCGTGCGCTCTTCTTCGTGCTGAAAGAACAAATTGTACGGAGTACCATCGCCTGATTTCAAACCTGCAGCTGATCGACAACTACGAACACTTAACATCGATCATCCCTTGGAGTGTCAAGCATGGATATCGATCCGGTCCCCTCATCTTCGCCTGGCTTTGGCACTCCCCTACACGCTTTTCGCAAAACAAGGTCCAATCCCCCCTCGACACGAACTTCGATACTTCCTATCTTACTTCCACCTTCCACCCTTCGTCCTGTAGCCTTTCGGACTTTTACGCGAAAACATAATTTGACCATCTCATCGTCCGCTCTTCAGACCTTGGCGAGCTTTGTGGGAAAAAACTGTGGCTCGGGATGGCGGGAAGAAGGCCTCGCTGAACGTGTGCTGGATGAAGTTGCGAAAAGCTGGAGGAGAGCCGGAGGGGGCGTGATTGTTGATGAAGGCAAGGGAGCCTCACTGAAGGCCATATTGCAAGTCCTGGAGGGCAATATGAGTGGAGGACGATTGGTCGCTGGGAAAAATACACCGATACATGAGGTAACCTCGAGCAAGTTAAGTCCAAACTTGGACAGCAATCTGATTTCAGAGACTGTCCCTGGAGCGAACACTCGCGAAGGCGGAGAGTCTGAAGAGGGCGACTTGATTCTCCACCCCAGGCGATGGTTGAAAGTCATTGAGGCATTTGATATTCCGCGTCTAACATATCACGGGGACATGAAGCATTTTGAAATTGCTAAATCAAAGCCCTCGCTCTTCCCGGCGCCGTCTCATAAAACTGCCTTGTTCAGAGATCGCTACAACATTGTTCACCAACGGCTACTCCGAAGCGAATCATTCCAAACGTCATCCGGGCTATCTAGCCATTCGTTACCCTCCCGAACTTTATCAACCGGTTACAAACTGACACCAATTGCAAATCTGCTGGGAAGAAGCGGGACATCCCACCTAATTCTTGGCTTACTATCAGTGTCACCTACGGGAGAGCTCTCTCTAAGTGACCAAACAGGAAGCATTGTTCTTGATCTGGGTCATGCACGTATCGTCCCGGAGGACGGTTCTTGGCTTGTCCCCGGCATGTTTGCTCTCGTGGATGGAATCTATGAACAAGAAGGACATGTTAAGGGTTCCTCACTCGGCGGGAATTCCGGCGTAGGGGGTGCCATCGGAGGGAGATTTATAGGCATATCGATCTGTGGGCCTCCATGTGAGCGACGCGATATCACCTTGGGAACAAGGCACCGACAAAGCAACAGTGAAATTAGCTCAAGTGGAGGTCTTGGCTGGGTCGACTTCCTCGGTGTTGGGAGTGAGCGGGCACGAGGCCCCCGCATGAGACAAATCCAGGCCCAGTATCTACAAACTGTTCACAATAACGACGGACATGGCCGCCGACTCAAAATAGCTATAATGAGTGAGGTCAATCTTGACAGCATAGGAACGCTGGAAGCACTAAAGACGGTCTTCAATTACTACAGCAAGCTCAACGTGACTGACATTCCTGTGGCATTTGTGCTAATCGGGAATTTCGTGCAAGAAGCAATAATCAATAGCAGTGGTCAGGCAGGCAGTATCGTGTATAAGGAATACTTTGATGCACTATCCTTGACACTCTCTGAATTTCCTTTGCTCCTACAGCAATCAACATTTGTCTTTGTCCCAGGCGACAATGACCCATGGTCATCAGCCTTTTCTACTGGTGCTGCTTCCACAGTACCACGTCATGCTATCCCAGAGTTGTTCACCACCAGAGTGAAACGCGTCTTTGCCACAGCAAATGCGCATGCCGATCGTTCCAAGATGAGTGAGCCGCCCGGTGAAGCAATTTGGACTTCTAATCCCGCGCGTTTGACCCTATTTGGACCTCTTCATGACATCGCCATATTTCGAGACGACATATCGAGTAGGCTTCGACGCACTTCAATCAAGGTCGGGTCAGACGCCGGCTTGAAAACGATCGACCCAGATGAGAACAGTGGCTTGGACTTTGAAGATCAGTCAGCTCCTCGTACGCAACACACGTCTCCTGAATCCAATGCGATGAAATCCATCACAGCTATTGCCCGGAAACTTGTCAAGACCATCCTCGATCAAGGGATCCTATCACCTTTCCCGCTCCCTATGCGCCCTGTTCTCTGGGATTATGTATCTTCACTTCAGTTGTATCCACTTCCAACCGCACTGATCTTGGCCGATTCGGAGTCAGTTCCGTTCTGCATAACATACGAAGGCTGCCATGTTATGAACCCAGGAAGGCTGTTTCCAGAAAATGGTCTGTCTTCAGTCCAGTGGATAGAGTACGACGTCCTCAGAAACAGGGGGCGTGTCAGAGAAGAGCGTTTCTAGTCATTTCGAGAAAATGTGACCCGGATGATTTCTAGAAATGAAGACGGACATCTCATTCACCCACCGACCTTTTGCCGTGCTGGACATGATGATAAGGATATGATTATCTAGAGATACTACTGCCTGAAAAGTGTATAAGATAGGTAACAACGCGCAATAGGCAAGCCCGTTGCTGTGGTCGAGTATTTTGTACTGCGCAGGCCAAGGGACTCCAGATTCGATATGTAGAACTTTGTTGAATGCGCATCGGCAATCAACCTATGTCGAAGGCATGGAATAGGCATTGATACTCGGCTGGCCAGCGGTCAAAGATATTGGACTCCAAGCAAATGAATCATTGCCGGTGAGTTGGACCGCGTTAGAAACATGCGTCAGGGAATAATCGATATATGATACAGAATTAGCAGATTAGAGTGCGATTTATAGAAAAATTTTTGATCCATCGTATGTGAGGCTCATTGAGTCCAGGATCTGTAAAAATGAGCTACTATCCTAATCAATCATAATGACATCTGCAGTATTCGAAGTAACGCTCTCAGAATGTTGAAAGCTTCTCTCCTGTAAAGGAGTAGCATGTGATGATTCCTGCTGCGCCGAAGCCGTCACCACCATCGGAGCCGCCGCATTGAGCGGTGCGGGTTGTGTGAACTTGCTATCAGATTGTCCCCTGACACTGTCTTTATCCAAAGGAGATTCAGAAATGGAGGCAGTAATACAATTGTGAAGTTCTTTCAGGAGAATCCCAATCCGGTCAACTCGTGCAATCACACCATTTCCAATCCCTCTCCAGTCATCGCTTTTGGCATCATACAGTAATTGCTGTATATTGCACATATGTTTGGCCTGGTCAGAACTGGGCTCAGAATTGTCCACATGTCTGAGCACCCATACTGGGCGATTCGAACGTATCCTGGCAACCAAGCGAAAGTATAGATTTGCATTAGGATAATGAATGGTGTATGTCATGGCGTTTCGCACCGTCACCTGAACTTGTAAGGACTCATTCCGAGAAGTGTTGTCCATGAGATCATCCAAAGCTCGCATTAGGGGCAGGGTAGTTGCCAGAAGCTCAGCGATGGTTTCCATGCTGACATCAGTCGTGGCACGATTTAAACTAGATGCGAGAGCTCCTTGGATCCGACGATGAGGATTTGTGGAGTCAAACCGTATACCGAGCTGTAAATGGAAGATTGAATCAGAGCTAGATGCAAGCTCAGCGGCATCCATTTCTGAAAAAGAAGGATTTTTTTGAATCGCAATCTCGAGCCTAGCAGAGAGATCCTTCCTAGCCCCATAGGTGAAGGAGATGCCTTCCAGCGATATTGCTGTGACCTCTATCTTCTTTTGTTGTAAGGAATCTAGAATAGACAGTACACATTCGAGTCTCTGTAGGTTTTCCATGAGATTGATAATGACAGGTCGGCCTGTCGGTGCGAAGAGACGAATTGAAAAGCCGTCATGGCTCTCCTGGAACACCAAAGAGCGGTCCCACTTCGAGATGAGGGCACCAAAAGCTTTCACCGGAATGTTGAGTCTTCCGTAGGCTCCTACTATAGCGAGATTTGTGTGAGAATCGATCCCTAGGAATGTAAGACGAATGGTTTGTTTGATGAAGTGTTGCTTTCTTATTCCTGCAGGCAGGACTAAGCGGAAGGCACTGGGAAGTTTTGCAGATTCATATCGAATAAAGATGTCGGGAAACCGGGAGCAAGCATCAATTTTCAATTTGTGTATAGGTGGGTATGCTTGAATGGCGCCTAAGTCGGCCAAGAAACGGGAATTGGCATATATTGTCAGAATGCCCGCTAGGCTGTGCCCAAGATCCGCGAGAGATACATAATTCCTCTCGAACCGAGGAAGGAAGAGGGTGTTGCTGACGACCTGAGCCACATGAAAAGCGGGTTGGCTTCCAAGATTCAGGTCGTATGTTAGATGTCTCCTGGCCACGACCCCGGGTCGAAGCTGAACGAGCCACCAACTATCACCATCCATGCTACTCGTCGCTGCCACAATCCACCTTCGCTCCCAGAACCTGTTACTGAAAAAGGAGCAACGAAGAACGTTTGGTGGAAACACCTTGCGCACGTCTATTTTCAAAATTTTCGGGTTCATCACGTCAAAGCCTAGCATTTGCAAATAGCATTCGACTTCTTCTATGGCCGCAACGCAACGGAGGCGTGCGACGCGGGTGACAATGTCATCGACAGTAGATTTGTCCGCGGGCCGTTCAGTCTCAATACGCTCGAGGATAATCGGTGTGGTGGAAAAGACGTTCGTGCCTGACATTGGCTCGACGGAAACCCTCAGGTATCTGGTTTCCGTGAGTTGAACCTCAAGTCGGCAGTTACCGGGCTCAGTGGTTGTAAGCTGGGCTTGTAGGGACAGCAAGCTGGTCGAGTAGAGTAAGCTTCGACTTATGCTATGATAGGCCGAGGAGATGATATGAGACATATGTAGCGCAATGGTACTTCGTAGTAAACGTTCCATAGAGAGGTCGGCTGTGTCGAAATGAATTTGCCGAGGAACAACTTCCTCGCCGTCTCTCATCCAACGCAATCCCAGAAATGGTGGCATAGAGACCCCATTTCTTGGCCCGCGACGGCCGCTATTAATCCCAACTTCTACCCAGCTCTTGTTACCAGGCTTCCGTGCCCAGTAATGGACAACAACCGTTCGATGCAACAGCTCGATGCGCAATACATCTGCCCAAAGCCCCCTTGCCATTTCAGTAGCTTGTTTGAAGAGGATATTGATCTTATTCGTAAGAACCAGATTATGCAAGAAATCAAAACAGCCGGGCAAGCCGCGCTTTTGAAGTACATCATTGACTTTCAATTCAAGCTCGTTGAATATTCGCCCTCTTGGGATCGGTGAAGATGGACGAAAGAGGAAGCGAATGTCAACGAAGTAGAATTGCGAGAGTCCAGTGCCTTCCCCAATAGACAAGTCAAGTTCAAATTCAGCGGGTACAATGAAGGTGACCCGACCGTCATGAATGCGGTATGTTTGAAAGGAGGGAGGAAGCTCATCATACAGCGCAAGCCGGGTACTCAATAATCTGTTGATTTTGTGCAACTTCCTCAAGGTTCGTCTCGGCGTCAAATTCTTGGGAGGTTTATAACCGAGCTAACACACATTAGTCAGATAACAGCACCGGTCTCAGGCTCACATAGAAGCTTACATCGAACATCGACGCCAATTTCCCCTTCGACAGCACCTCAAGGGACGTTCTAATATCAGGATTTGCCACTTGCGCCCGAACGAGGTCTTTTTTCATCTCTCCCACCCATTGTAGAGCTCCTGTGTAAGCTTGATGACGTATACGTATGAAATTCTGGATGTCAATAAGCTTGCTGACATCCGCTGCCTGTCGACCCCATTGAGAAAGAACGAGTAGCTTGATGAACTCGGCACGTTTAGCATGGGCAAATTCGAGTAAGCGGAGCTTTTTCTGTATATTCTCAGAAGATTGGTTCCCTGGTGATTTTCCCATGATAGGGACTGATGCGTATACCGACTCGAGAGGAGCCACCTGAATTTCTGCGAGTTCCGTGATTATTTCGAGCAGATCGTTCCAGCACTGTTGAGCCGATCTATTGATCAATGTCGAGAAGGGAAAGAATCCTTGCATCACATGTGGTAAACCTGGCAACTCTCCTCGTTTCCCTATCGCAGATAAGACGGTCGATGCGTCTGGGCGATAAACAGAACCCTTCTCCAGGCCATTTGCATGATAAGAACCGTTTTGAGGAACAGCAGAACCCTTTGACGAGAACTTCTCCCCAGCTGGATATGATGTTCCATTCTGAGAGTCTCGGCCTGAGACTTCCACCTGTCCGCCGATGTTGGCAGTGTCCATGACGACGCCCGGCATGTTCCAGAAGACATAAACCGGGTTCCAGTTACTTGAAAACCTCCCCTTCTCACCCTTTACACGAGAAAAGGGGAGTAATATTGTCTAGACTGTGCTGGTTGAAGACAGACAGAATAGACGTAAGAAGGGAGCCGAGTTTGGATAACACGAATAGCCACAAGTCGGACCAGAGGTCATGTATATGGTCCACATAGGAGTTTGACCAGCTCTAGAGCAAGTATTGAGAACGTATCGCTATGAGCATACGATACTCGAAATCAAATGTCCTTCGCAAGCCAATGCATGCGTAGGTGGCCGCGGTTCTCTTGCATCCAAACGGCGATTTTTGAAGGCCGAAAGAATATTCTTGCTTATCTTTAACGTGGATTTGAACAGCCACCACATGTGACCGCAAAGGGCAAGAGATTTCGCAGCGACGTTCGCGTCTAAGGATTCAAGTAGAGCTGCGAAAAGAGTCGATTTGATTGCTTGGTTGTGGAAGGTGGCGTATCGAAAGGATGCGGATCGTATAACTTGGAGGTCGGAAGTCAGTTGATATAGAAATGCAGAATAGTTTGAGATAATAGCTTGTGGCGAAAATGGCAAAAGCTCCGATTCTGAGAACTGCAGTGAGCTGAAGAGTCCGGGATACTGGGATTCTGGTAAATGAAACAAGGCAAGATGATTGATATAAGAAGCCGGCGCGATGCGCTGCAAATGCACGAGCCCAGGTCCCAGTCCAGCCCAAGGTGCTCAGTGAGTCTAGATTACATAATACAATATAATCAGTTAACTAACTAACTTAACTAGGTAACTAGTTAACTTATCACTAGTTGATCCGACTGATTCCAGAGTCGGACTAGCGAGCTACTATGGTACATTCCGCATCCCGTACATTACTGCTCTTCTTACGATCTTATTTAACATGCACTTTGATCATTCATCCAACAGTTTCCTTCCTTATGTTATCTTTGTAGTCCGGAGAACTCGTCCGCCACAGTAAACAAAGACTACATTTACATCTTTGTATGCCATGGTCTCATATTGACGCAAATCTTGTCTTCTGGCTTTAATGCTATAGCCCTTCGCCATCTCTATACGCCTTTCAAACTGCTTCGGGAGACATTTCGAGCCAACATGCAGGGAGATCAAGTGGCTGGATCGAATCCTCCGCAATATCCCGGTGATGATACAAGATTTACCAGTAAGAAGGAGCTCGCTGGCTGGTACAGCTATGGTTGGGCTGCAGAGGTCTTCGCCGTATGTGCCATGGGTATGTATCAACTGACGCGTTGCTATTGATGCTTGTGTCCTGACTTGCTGGTTCTCAAAGGGTCATTCCTCCCGATCACCCTAGAGCAAATGGCTCGGGAACGTGGTGTCCTTCTATCAGACCAAATTACCCCATGTAGTGCGAGCTGGAATCACTCCCCAAACCATGCACCACCAATCCTTGTGTATGCTAAGCCTGGGTCACCCAGGGCAGCCCAGTGCGTGGTGAATATCCTGGGATTCCAACTGAACACTGCAAGCTTCGCTATGTACACATTCTCGGTGAGTGTCTTTGTTCAGGCTATTTTTATTGTATCAATGTCGGGCGCCGCAGACCATGGCAACCATCGCAAGATGCTTCTAGTGCTGTTCGCATTCGTCGGCTCCGCTTTCACCATGTTATACCTTGCAATATCGTCAGAACTATATATTCTTGGTGCGCTGTGTGCAGTCATTGCCAACACATGCTTTGGAGCCTCTTTTGTGCTTCTCAATTCGTTCTTGCCTTTATTAGTTCGTCACCACACTTCTTTACTCAAAAGACGGACTAATGGTTATACTCGGGCTGTTAACCCACACCGCGACACCCCAGCATCTGCTCCTGCGCAAGCTGAAATTGGGGAGACAACCCCACTGGTTCAATACAACCAGCTGTGTCACCTAGCCGATACCAACCAATTTTCCACTAAAATTGATCAGGAGCTCGAGCTATCCTCCAAGATTTCTTCTTATGGAATTGGCATTGGCTATATTGGCGCGGTGTTATTACAAGGAATCTGCATTGCAGTAATCTGTGCAACTAAGCAAACCACTTTCTCGCTACGTCTTGTGCTATTTCTGATCGGATTATGGTGGTTTCTCTTTACGATTCCTTCCGCGATGTGGCTGCGTTCTCGACCAGGACCACCTCTTTCCTACACTTTACACAGCAAAAACCAAGGCTCGTGGGGAGGCTATATCGCATATGCCTGGAAGTCTCTCGGCCGGACAGCAATGCGCACTCGGCATCTTAAAGACATTCTGTTGTTTCTGGCATCGTGGTTTCTCCTCAGTGACGGGATTGCTACAGTTAGTGGGACAGCGGTTTTATTCGCTAAAACTCAACTGGGTATGCAACCCGCTGCATTGGGTCTGATTAACGTGGTTGCAATGGCAGCGGGTGTGCTCGGCGCATTCTCATGGAGCTATGTTGGACGGATATTTGGCCTTAGTGCATCGCAAATCATTATTCTATGCATTCTGCTTCTCGAATTCGTGCCGCTCTACGGACTCCTGGGTTTCATACCAGCTATCAGAGAACTGGGGTTTTTGGGTCTTCAACAACCATGGGAAATGTATGCGCTGGGCATCGTATACGGCCTTGTCATGGGAGGACTATCGTCGTATTGTCGAAGTTTCTTTGGGCAATTGATCCCCCCAGGCTACGAAGCAGCGTTTTATTCCCTTTACGCTATCACCGACAAAGGATCCAGTATTTTCGGCCCAATGATTGTTGGGCTCATTACGGATCGATACGGCGAAATTAGACCTGCATTCTTTTTTCTTGCCATACTAATCATGTTTCCACTGCCGCTCATGCTTCTGGTGGATGTCGACCGTGGGAAGCGGGATGCTTTAGCACTCTCGAGTGAATTAGCAGGCGAAAGGGAGGCATAGTCACTACCTAGCTTATAGGACGATTCCACGCGAGGCCACTCACCGTGAGTCACCAGTCATTCGAAGCGGATGAGCTATATGTGTGGATATAGTGCATGTATAGTGCATGTCGTATAGTAGCAGGACCTAGATGCTTCTGCGTACCGTCTGTTCCCGTGTGTTTCTCGTTTTCTGTACCAGAAGATTTGCTCTCCGGTTGCCAGAATGGAAAGTAAGCCCTCGTCGAAGGCTAGTGACATTAATTCTGTTACAGTGAGAACATATATTGGTCAGCTCCAGACATTACTAATGGAATGTCTTCATGTAGATCTAGCGCATTCAGAATCTTTTTACAAAAGAGATGGCAGATGATTTCTAGGATGGTTTTATCTTAGCGAAGGTATCTGTGGCTTGTTGCTGGGAAGCTTCCGCGGGCTTGTTTGCTGTACTGTACGTACCATTTTGTACGAGTCACTGTGTAGTATAATTACCGTAAAGAACGTTACTATCTTCGAGTGAATCAATTCCACAATTCCACCATTCCGATGCAATACCAATGCCATGCGGCAAAATATCTGAGGTGCTTAGTACTTATAACTATAATTCAGGTGATATTGACTATAGATACCGCCCATATTTCTAAAGACATTGGCCTTAAACCTAGTAAGGGAAGGTGTCCGCCTTGGTACTGCTACCGATTAGGCATTTACTATACAAAAACGAATACAGGCGGAGTAGAAAAACTAGTAGAATTGACTACTTATAGCTTACTAGTTGTATATACTACTTAAAATACTAAAATACTAAAACACTACTAAAATAACTGAATTTTATATTAATTTAAAGATAGATTTTAGATTTCTTTAATTATTTTAGTAACTACTATTTAGACAGTAACTTGGATAGCTTAGAACTTAAGAGTAAAGTTGAAATTCTACTATTTATATCAAGGGTGTTATCATAGTCGTTCGTTTCGAAGACGTTCATCATGAAGATTCTTGGTAATGAAGTTGTTGATTAAGGAAGATCTCGAGATGGGGCGAACTAACTAAGATCCCGCTCCAAGGCGGAACAGCACGGCAGAATCCTCCCGTCATCTTTCACTATTAAGGTGTACTGGTAATTATAAGGAGATTTATATATAAATACCAAGTGTTCTTGTAATACCAAGAAAACCACTATACTCTATGTGGTTTAAGGCTAATGTCTTTAGAAATACGGGCGGTGTCTATAGTCGATATCAATTCAGGTACCACTACGCAGTAGGTACTAAGTCAGGAGTACGTATGATAGTACAGAATAAATGGCTCTTTTTCGGTGGTCCCTTGCTGAAATGGGTGGGGCCAATCGAACCAGTCAGCATGTTCGAGCTGCAGCTTACTGCAGAAAGAACAGTCTGTCCTCAACTCCATTCCCCATACTTTCTCAAACACTATATAAGTTCTTAATTACCTAGCACTCTTAATCAACCCTATACACTGTCAATCTTCCTCCCTTCCAGCCGCCAATCTGAGGCATCCTTACACCTGCACTTGTTTAGTGTAGCTTGGGTGATAATAAAGAATACAGGAATTGGTGTGATCGCCCATCATCAGCAACCCCGAGCCTAGAAAGTTTCCCCGTTCTTGCTTCACTGAGCCTCGCTATCAGCCATTCTCGCCACGATGCGATCTTTCGCCCCCTTGGCTCTCGGCCTTCTTGGAGCATCAAGCGTATCATACGCTACGGACGCTGAGTCTAATGTGATCTCATTGAACACGGATACTTTTGAAAACTTTATGACTGAACATGATCTGGTGCTTGCGGAATTCTTCGCCCCCTGGTGTGGTCATTGTAAAGCTCTTGCTCCTAAGTATGAGGAAGCGGCTACCGAGCTGAAGGCAAAGGACATTCCTTTAGTCAAGATTGACTGCACTGCAGAGGAAGATCTGTGTCGCAGCCAGGGTGTCGAGGGCTATCCAACTTTGAAGATCTTCCGTGGACCCGACTCTAGCAAGCCTTACCAGGGTGCCCGTCAAGCAGAAGCGTAAGTCTACCCTGATAGCCTCGATGCCTCCTCGTAGAATGCGAAGATAAATTCTAATTTGCCCTCACCCTCTAGGATTGTGTCCTACATGATCAAGCAGTCACTTCCTGCCGTGTCACCGGTTGATGGAGAGAATCTTGAAGAGATCAAGACTATGGACAAAATTGTCGTTATCGGCTATATTGATTCCGAGGATAAGAAAACACATGACGCTTTCGAGACATTCGCTGAATCTCAGAGGGACAATTACCTTTTCGCTGAAGCAAGTGACCCTGCCATCGCCAGGGCGGAGGGTGTCGAACAGCCGGCTTTTGTTCTTTATAAAGACTTTGACGAGAAGAAGGCAGTCTATGATGGTAAGGTGGACCAAGAGGCTCTACTCAGCTGGGTGAAAACCGCCAGTACTCCCCTTGTGGGAGAGATTGGACCCGAGACTTACTCTGGTTACATCACAGTAAGTGAAATACAAAAAGCCCCTCTCGATATGCTGCCTGCTCTCTCATGGAGCTGGTGTGTGTGTGTACGACTAACCCATACTCTCATAGGCCGGTATCCCTCTGGCGTACATCTTCGCAGAGACGAAGGAAGAACGCGAACAATTCGCCGAACAGTTCAAACCCGTTGCGGAGAAGCACAGGGGCTCTATCAACATCGCAACTATTGATGCCAAGATGTTTGGTGCACATGCTGGAAACCTCAATCTCGATCCGCAGAACTTCCCCGCCTTCGCTATTCAAGATCCTGCTAAGAACGCCAAGTATCCGTTTGAACAGTCCAAGGAACTCAAGCCGGATGATGTGGAGGCCTTTATTCAAGATGTTCTCAACGGCAAAGTCGAGCCCAGCATAAAATCAGAGCCAATCCCAGAGACCCAAGATGGCCCGGTTACGATTGTCGTAGCGCACTCTTACAAAGAACTTGTTATCGAAAACGACAAGGACGTTCTTCTAGAGTTCTATGCGCCATGGTGCGGGCACTGCAAAGCGTATGTTCTTTCCTGCGTTTTCCAGCTTCACTGAGCGAACATAACTGACTAGCTGTAACAGTCTTGCACCGAAGTATGATGAGCTAGCTGGTCTATATGTCAACAATCCTGATTTCGCGGCTAAGGTGACTGTCGCCAAAATTGACGCGACGGCCAACGACGTCCCCGATCCGATCACTGGTTTCCCAACCATCAGACTCTATCCTGCCGGTGCTAAAGACTCCCCTATTGAGTACGAAGGATCGCGCACGGTTGAGGATCTGGCCAAGTTCATTCTCGAGAATGGTAATCACAAGGTTGATGCCTACACGAACTCCGAGGAACAGCAGGAAGAGGCAGACGTTACTACTCCCCCTGTTGCGACTCCCACTAATGATGAGGCCCCTGAAGCTGCCAAAGAAGCGGCAGAGCATGATGAACTTTAATTGTCTCAAAGAAGATCCTGTTCTCCATAATGAATTGTACCTTATTTTACTTGAACTTTCAGCATGTCTTGGCTTCGTCTATAGCTCCATAACCTCTAAATTGCTTGTATGTCTGCATAGTTCGGTTCAGTTTCTTTGCAGACCAAGAAGCCAAGAAAACTCTCCGGAAATGCAAAGGAACAGGCGGTCCATGATTGCGCATGTCTTGATGTCGAAGCCATGATTGTCCTTACTAGGTAAGACTTTTGCAGTCATGTATTGCGCCCCTTGCTCATTAGCTATCGATCACATGTGACCCTATGGTTACCCGAGGCTGAAGAGCTTGGAAATTGGCAGATCAAGGCTCAGGCCTATGCCGCGATCCACCGTTGCTCGTAAACGCAAAGCATTTCTTTGAATCGTCACTCAACTCGCCGTATCACAACACCACCACATATCATTCACTATGGAATGACCTACTCAATGATGTTGGATACGGAATATAATCCTTAACTCTTGTTTAGGGGCATTCCAGCCAACATAGCATCTGTGGTAAAAACGTTTTGCCATTATTCCCGAGGTTTAAGTGGTTGACTCTGCTGCCGCCAAGATCTCCAATGCATCCAAATCTTCATCAAATTCGTCGGCAGTTATGGCCGGAATTGAGGGCTCCAAACCATTAAATTGTTGCTTGGAATGGTGGGTTGATTTCACCGCAAGGTCTTCCTGAATATTTGACTCGTTTGAAGCAGGAGCCTGGGTATGGGCGAGAGGGTTACTTGTCCTATTCTCGGAGCTTAAACTCCAATCGATAATCTCGTCCGGTCCATACCGATCAGATAGCCATTCATTGCATTTCTTGAAATGCTGATTGGTGAACTACAGCCGAAGTACTAGTCAGTAAAGCAACCTGCGCGTTCATGTCTGGAACTCTACTCACAAAGCCCCTGGATGCGCTTAGCGGACTTGGATGAACCGATTGTAGGACGCAATGTTTCTCTCTATTGATTCCCGTCACCCTTTTTCCGGCCGGAGTGCCCCACGCCAAGAACACAACGCCACGAGTGCGGACTCGGGTCACTAAGTCGATGACTTTCTGTGTGAATTGTTCCCAGCCTTTGTTCGAGTGACTGGCAGCTTGATGTGCACGGACTGTGAGACATGTGTTGAGTAGTAGTACCCCACGTTCCGCCCAAGGCGTCAGAAGGCCTCCTTTGTTCGGTGGTCGCTGAAAATTGGGGTAGTCATTCTTGATACCGGTGTATATATTGACAAGGGACGGAGGGGCTGGTGTTGGAGGTCGGACAGAAAAAGCCAGACCATGGGCTTGATTATGGTTGTGATAAGGATCCTGCCCAATGACTACTGCCTTGACCCTGTGGAGAGGGGTATGGCGCGACCTGAAGCGATATTAGTTTATTGAAAGCTATCTGACTTCGGGACACCAGACCAAGAATATATTTCTTCCTCTGGGGGAAAGATCTTGACCCCGGCCCGCTTCTCTTTCAGTAGGAAGCGCTTCAAAGCTAGGAATTCGGGTTTCACGACCTCATCCTTAAGTTGCGCTAACCAACTCTCGTCTAAAGTCTCAATTTCTAATTGAAGGAGCTCTTTTTGCTCAGGAGTCAATGATGCCGCCCACTTTTGCTTATCGAAGTTGGATGAAGGCCTGGTCGACGGTATGGTTTCAACCGAGACTGTAGTTTTCGGAATGCCGAAAAAGGAAGTGATGCTACCGTTGGTCCTGGGCTTCTTTCGGTCTGCGACTTGGGTTTTGAGATGATCAGCATCCCGTTTGCTGCCAGCTGGACCAGCCATATTGCGAATAAAATTGCGTAGACACAGTCAACGAGCAGTCTGCTGGACGTTATGTGGAGAAGGTGTATGGTCGACAGCGATAGCAGAATTACCCAAATGAGAGCGTTGAAGCGAGGCACACAGTGCTTACCAGAGATCTCTGGACTCACTAGCTCTGACGCATTGGCTGAGACAGAAAGACAAGCGAGGCTGGAGTTATGGCATTGTATTCGTGAGTCTTTGCTGCGAAACAAAAGCTCCGAGGCAATCAGCACGCGTCAGCATCGCGCGCGCGCGGTTCACGCGTCAGCAGCCGAGATGGGATAACATTGAGCCGATGTTAAACCTGGAGCTAGATGGAGCTGTACGTAGTAAAGGGTACCGTTGACTAACTACTATTAGCTAGTAACTTACATGGCCCGAGTGGTTTAATCACCGTAATCGTATGTTAGTCTGACATGACATACCGTACCTTATCTCCTTATCCTAACTTATACGAAGTAGTACTCCGTACTGCGTTGGGTGTCGATAATAACCGCCTGTGGTGTATACTGTGTTACAGTACGGAGTACGGAGCTTGTACGTATTATAGACAAGATAGGTAAACAACTCAGTTCTGTACGTCAGACTGGATCAGTACTCCGTAACCCGTACTAGGTACTAATTACTATGTGACTATGTGCCTATGCCTAGCCTCGGTGTGCCTTGTGCTCTCACATTAATAAGTATCTCAAGGTTGTGCAATATTGCTCTAACGTCAAGAGACCGATCGATCAAATCCCGTGATATATATAGAGTAAGCAACCCCCCCACCCCACTCATACGATAACAATCCGATGAAGGATACATAGGTTTTTCCCTACGAGATAAACGACCTGATATTGGATTAGATATGGAAGTCGTCTGTCTCCCCGTTATGTCATATGCTAGACGCCGCCCTAGGGCATTGAAGGCATGTCCTTAATGCTATAGAGGACAAGGGTGTATTGAGTTTAGGATACCTCCTGCAGCTCTCACGCGGCGACAGAAGTGTATGGTAAGCTGTGAATATATGTTTTCGTGGTATAGTATAGAAACGCCGCTCTTATCCTGATATGGAGAATATCATGAGCACACATCGCAGCTTATACCAGTAAGAGAGACAATCTCGAAGGTAGGCCCACAAGAGCAGCAGTACGAGGACAGCGGGGTTGCTCGGCAGTATACTCGCACCTTTGTATCAGAGGCCTGGAACACACCAAGACCCCGTGGGATCCCACGCTCAGAACGCTTCGTAGGGAACTTGAACCCAGAAGCCGTGATACGTGAGGAGTTAGATTTGCCAACGGACGTCAGCAGCCAGGCCACTTCGGCCTTCAAGTTAAATCCTCATCTAGGCAGATACATGAGGAACTTCTGTCTCAGTCTGAACTCGCTCAGGCTCATGGATGATGCTCTAAGCTTATTCCCGGGTCGCTGGCTTGTTGAATGTCTCTGAGCTATACCAAGAATCTTCTTTTGCGATGATAGCCCGAGAGCGCTTATCCCCTTCAACGCAGATCACCTATTTATTGCCCCTTCTTGACAACGAATCGTTGTCAGCCCCAGCTATAATGCAATATTTGTGTCTTTTAAAGGCGCAGTGTGTCTTATAGCAGCGAAAGATCGCCTGGCTGATCCTTGTCTTTGCATATATGAGGGAGATCAACTTATGATCTCATATCAATCCTACTCTGAGCATTGGCCTGGAAGTAGACACCATTACACACATCCGTATCCTGGAGCTCCTGTCTCTGCATTCTGAATGCTATGCGGGTGCTGAATCTGCCTCAATGCACCTCTAGTAGGCTAAACGCCAACATAGGACAGTGGCTACATCTTCACCGTCCTAGCCGGACATGGATGAAACCCTGTTGGGATATTTTTTTCTTTTTGTGCTTGTGGGTTCTCAATGCAAGCCTGCGTAGGCAGCCACCCTGCTCTCATGCCTGAACGTGACATCGGCATTGAGAAGCCACATTGTTATGATTTCTCTGCGACAAAACAGGATTCGACATATGACTTGCGATCTTAAGCTTACTCGTCCACAATCCCGCTGCAGACCACACACTTGGATGGAGGAGACAGGATTCCTCTTGTTTGAAAGTATCACAGTGAACATGTCTTCTGACTGGGATTTCGCGACCCTAAGAGTGATCGAGTTAGCAAGGAAACACCGTTTCTGAAAGAAATGCTAAGAGTAGTGAAGTTTTTCTAGAAGTATACTCCCCCGTTGTCTGCATCCTTTCTGCAAGATACCAACAAACAGGCTTGTTGATGTCCTCCCCGGGATCGTCGGGACATTGCAGCAGTCCGAATATACTCCATCGTAGCTATCAAATCCACTGAGATCTAGCCCCACTGCTGATTGTTCCATATGACTTGACATTATCCAAGGGGAGTTATAAAGCAGCAATTTGGCCCAAGCAATCTTATTACCCACTTGAATCAATCCAAAACTGACCTGGGAGCCTACTGTGCCAGCTCGAAAAATCTTAAGTGCCTACTGCAGAGACTCTGGCCCGACTTGGACGAAAATCCCTCCTTCAGAAAAATGTTTCGAAACCCGGACGCTGCGTAGGCCAACTTATCTGGAAGAAAGATATATCTCTACAACCGCAAGCGCCATCCGATACTTTGGGGTCACAGCACCTTAGCGCCTCCGACCACGAGTGCAGCCAATTCGCCGATATCGACTTTTCGTCAGAGAAATTCTAAACCTTGCTCCCCGCTCTAACATTTGGGATTTGGTCTTTTGAGTGCGGATTAGCCCTAGGCATAATGCTGCGCGATAGGACTCCATTCATTCAAATTTGGTTATCGATTGAATGACTCCGTTGGGAAGCTGTGCTTTCGGGAGGCTCATCTTGGCTTGGCACCTTGGGAATCCACCGGGCTAATCCGTAGGCACGATTTTGAGTTGCCGGAGTATTCTATTTGTTGAATTGCCGATGATCTCTATCTTGTTGGACGAGTAGGAAGAATATCTTCATAGTGACATTTGCAATAGATGGTGAAGACCTAAACTTAGTTGTGGCCGTGCAAAGCAAGGAAAGGAAGAAGGAGGAGGAGGGAGGGTAACTACCAGTAGCTATGTACACGTATCATCCAGATTGCGAGTTCGATTGCTATCAACAAAGTAAATAAGTACAGTAGGAGTCTATGATGGAGTCCAAAGTCTAGACCCGACCCCGCCCCTTTTCGCCTTTCCACACTAGGGAAGAATACGGTTGACTACGGTAAGAAAGAATTTATCGAGGGGACTGCCGGCTTATTTGTCTAAGTTAACTTATTGGCTCTGTTGTATGTAATTAAAGATGTACGGAGTAGGGAGTAATACTACCTACCTAGGTTAGTTGACTGCTGGCCTTTAATAAAGAGTAACTATCCTACTTGTTAACTATCCTTCCATAAATTCGGTCTGAGGTGATCTTTGCTTCTCTCCTCCTCCAGCACCATCACCACCGTCTTTTCCTCACCATTCTTCTTCCTGTATACTCCTGTGACCCGGGCGACTTGGATCCTCGAACACTCCCCTGTCGAATATTCAGGTAATGAAAGATCCATTCCAACCAACGACGGAGACCATCCAGTACCTTGTATCAACTACCACATGCAGCTCGATCTATTTTCGTACTGAGTGCAGCAGAGAGTCCGTGAAAGATAACATCCTCCGCTTTCAACGCTCCACGAGGGTATTTTCCAGCTTGTCCCTCGCGACTGGCTTCTCATCTAACTCTGTTTTCTTTCTCTTTTCTTCTTTCTCTTTCCTTCTTGAGTTTATTCTTTCGTTCGTCTTTCGCTTCTTGATCTTCCAAGTGCCACATCTTGCCATCATTCAACTTCTGTGCATCCCGTCTTGCACCAATCTCAACGCCGAGATTTTCCACAGCTTGATTTGCAATGGGCTCCTCCACCCGGCCTGCACTGTCTGATGGGGTATAACCTGCACATCTCGCGGAAATAAGCCTGTAGAAGGGGTAGTTCTCCACGGTCGCGCCCACTGCCGAATGCAATTGGAGATTTTGTCGTAAAGTCTCTTGTGAGTCGAACCGTGCAACGTGACAGACCTGCGATTTTCTTCATGGCCGACGTGTTTGCGAAACAAGAAGACCACGCCGCCCCTGCTGATGTTTCCTCAGCAGGGCGAGGTGACTACATCGTGTCGAGCAGGCATATCGGCCAATTTTCGACACATCCGATCCCCAAGCTGCAGGGCGCGTTTGAAGAGTCGATAGCGGAGACCCGCCATATAGCAAAATCACATTCAATCGAGCTTGATGCTCAAACGAGACGCCGAGATCTCCTTGAGACACCGAAATATGAGCGACTCTGTGGTCGAAAATGGCGCCAAAGAGCAGATGAGCAGTAAGTAGTCGGGTCAGAAGTCGTTACAGATCGCTCTGCTGTGATATGACATGCTGAAGTTTGGCAGATACCATCCACTCTGGAAGCTTACCGCCCAAATGTCTTTCGGTGTCTATCTTCTGGTCGGAGGATTGGCCAAGTCAGATACGGAAGTTCTAAAAATTCTTCAATCCCACGTGGACGAAGTAGATGGATTCTTAGGGAGAACAGCGGAGGATTTTTCCCTTATACAGCTTGATGTGCGAACACGCTTACAGTATCTTAGTCTACCTCTGAGGAACTTAAATTGTTTCGACGAGATGCTGAGTGACCGTAGCTTTCGTCTCTCGATAATAGACTACAATGAGCGGATTGAACATGCGGTTGAGAGATTCACGATCGCAGTCCAGGATGCCCTGAAGGACATACAGAAGGGAGGGGAAGCGATTGGTGCCCTTTGGAAATACCTTCTAGAATCGGCAAATGAGTATGACCCATTGCCTGCGAGAATGGTAGCTATCTATAATGCCATGCTATCGAATGCAGAGGGTTGGAATGATGCGTTCTCAGAGCTTCAGCAAAAGGGAGTGGCCCTTCAAGATGCACTTGGTCAACTTGGCTTGGCTATAGCTGAAATGCAGCAACGTGTCGGCGTGGCAAGCCGAAAGTCCGTGGTCAGTATTGAATGATACCATGATTCTCAACATTTGTGAGTCCTAACATAAGTGTAGTTCTCCTCAATACCAGCACAGCGCTCTAATCGGCTCCTGCGAGGACGATCGCTTAAGGAACGAGTCTTTGAGGGTCGTCCCAGTGCCACAACCTGCTCTTCCGCTTTATCCAAACCTCTTCCTCGTGCCCCAGATCTCCCACAATCAGTGTCTACTACCTGGCCGACAGAGCGCCGAAGGCTGGCGCAGAAAAGTGTTCCAAATTTAAGGGCGGCCGGGAGAAGCGCCGAACAGAGCCCTTTCCAAATAACAAGTACAGCAGCATCTGTCACTGAAATTGCGGAAACCGAAACCTCGAAAGTATTTGCCCCAAGCATTCGGCGGAACTTAGTCACGCTCTCCAGATCTACGTCGAAGCCGATGGAACCTCAGGGTCAGCCAGTCCAGAGACCTTCGACGGCTGCATCTAGGGCATCAAGGGCTCGAAGCATTTCTTTGAACCACCTCAAATTCCTGCATAAGAGCACAAGACATGAAGGAGACTCCGCTACTACGCAAGCCGACAAGCCACCTATGCCTCACGTATCACTCAGGCGCGAGACGTTGAAAGCCCAGCTCTTGCAGTTTTTTAAGTCTGACCGCGTGCAAGATGCCTGGGATATTGCAGCGCGCAATGAGAATGGGGTTGTTGAGATGAATTCTGGTCTTCAGAAAGATGGACCGTGGAGTAAATTTCACACCGGGTCGTCTAAACATAATGGTGCTGTGCGTGGGACGAAGACTGATGTTTGCGCGCAATCCTCAAATGAAGATATGGCATGGGTCCCCAAGAAAGACCCAGAGACGCTCAATACCTACTCACTAAAGCCGAAACCCAATACTGCACCTCGCTTCCACCTGTTCCCAGCCCAGACAAGCCTGCCCCAGGAGCTTAAGACGCTCAAGATCAAGGTTACCACCAACGATGGTGCAAGAACGCGGAAAGAAGTTATGCAACCGGTGATTACGGCTCTTCCTTCTATACATATGAGAACGGCATACGTGCAGCAGCGTTCTCCAGCTGCGCATCAATGACCACATGAGCACCTGGGATTGAAGCCTGATATCAACCAGGGATCAGAAAGAATCTTCGCTGGACGAGCCGAGCCACGTTAGCGGCCGTTTGAGTCTGGTCATTCGTCGATGATGCCTGAATTGAGGCTTATTTTGAATACTGCCTTTCACTAACTTACAGTGGTATAATTTGATGAGCAGGGGATGTTGGAAAATGAAGACTGCACCCTCCCGTGACTTGTACTTTCATTGGGCAAAGTTTCCTAGGAAAAGCCGACAACATGATATTAACAAAATGGACTTTCTAGTGAATTTGTTCAACCCCTGGTCTTCATAACAAGAAAAAGCACAAGACCAATTTGGAGAGAAATAAGAAAAGTACTGCAACGGATACCGTGCAGATCTTGCAATTCCTAAGGTAGTGTAAGAATGGCAAACAAACAATACCCTATTTACACCGTTTCTCGACAATGTTAGGACCATGTTCCTCGAATTCTTTCTTCGAAATCCATAATTGATGAAAAGTTCCGAGACTAGCCAGAATACTTCCGCCGATCCAAGAGCCGAATTTGCGTTCTGCAGTGTTTCCTGGAGCCGATATGCGCACGCGCGGCCCCGGGTACATCTGCATTAGCTCTTGGTTCAGGCGGTCTGTGAATCCGTAGAGCAAGCTGGACGCGCCTGTCACAACAACATTCGCCAACAGATGTGGTCGAACGTCCACATCAACGCCGTTCAATGCATTTTTGATAAGTTCGGGCACTGTCTGCGCCTGCGTGGGTGCTGGAGATACCGATTCAGGATCTGAGATTGCTGCCTTTGCGTCAAACAGGGACTCGACAACTCGATAACGATCGACTCCGAAGACCTGATTATAGCCGTCAGGGAACTCGAAAGGCCGTCCGGGACTGGCTTTAGCGAGGTCTTCATTCGAGACTCCATTGGGACCCGCTGCAGAAAGCTTATTAGGCCCAGGCCAAACTTGGACCACGCATTCCTTAAATTCACATAGCGTCCGTTCCTCGAGAAGAGCGCGATAGGTTGCATCCGGTGCCTTCTCGGGAGCAAATGTCTTATATTTGACTTGTGGAGGCTGTCCTGCATCTACAGCAACTTTAGAGGAGATGAGATAGTGTGGTGTCAGAGAAATCGGTTGCGGTGTGTTCAACTTGAAGAGCGCGCGAAGTTGCGATGAGATATAGTCTCCTCCAAGGGGGGAGTGCTGAACCCCTCGCTTCAAAATCATGCCATCATGAACCGGGGTTACGGAAATATTGGAAGCGCCGATGTCGATAACTAACGCAGACGCCTTGCCGGCCGCGAAGCTAGAAATAGGGAGTGAGATAATGAATAAGACTGACCTAGATAGTAGTTCAAGGCGACTTACGCTGCGAGAACGCCATTTCTTGCAAGATAGAAGGCTGGAGTACCCCATTTTTCCATAGCGATCTCGATGGTCTTTTCGCGAGCCTTTGTCGGATTCCAACCAGGTTCCGACATCAACAACGGGCTATCCGCGAGAGGCTTCTCTTCGGTTTCCACACCCTCCATCTCGATGGGTAGCTCGCTTTCATGGGCATCATTCAATCCATTCTGCAATGGGTTCCCTGGTTTCGGTCCTGTAAGGCGCGAAGTGAATGAATATTCCCAGACTCTCTCGGCCATATCCCAATCTTCCACTATCCCATCTCGACCCATCGGGTTGTTGATTGCAAGGCCAGGACGCGGCGTGACGAAAATATCGTCCCCAAATATCAATTTTTCCTGACCATCGTAGGTATATTTACCGTAGCACGTCGGGATTAATGATTTAGGCGTGTCTTCGCCGGCGAATCCTGCGCGTGTCGTGGAGTAGCCCGGGTCAAGCACGATCGCAGAAACCTCATCTGCACATACCCAGCGGTTAGCAAGTGCCAGAAGTCACATCGCTTCTCTTCAACTATAGCTGGGAGATAAAAGCGATTCCTTAATGGTGCACAATTGGGTTCTCAACATACCTCCGCCGTACTCGGCTGTTGAGGGTGGAATGGAAGGGTTCATGGCCGAAAGGGTTGTCCAGATAGAGGTGGGAGTAAGAATGGTTTCGTATGATTTGGCTTGGTATTATGCGGTCTAGTGCCTGAAGCGAGAAAGTAAGAAAAGAGGAGGGTAGTCCAAGGGGGTTTTTCCTATAGCCAGCTGCCCTTGGGCGACCAAAAACGAAGGGAATGAATCTACTGCACGGCCGCGGGAACTGAATGATGATTCCATGCATTGAAGGAATGAATAATCGCCCACGATCGCCCCCGGCGCCGTAGCTAGTAATTTACCCGCCAGTGCCAACCACTACACAGTAATCACCATCAACCACCCCCAAGCAACTTCAACCTCGTTGTCGTCTACTGCTCGTTCTCATCCAGGCATCCTTTTTTACTCGATCTGCCTCGCGGTCAATTTTGGCATGGTTTTTGCCTCCATATTGCGACCATGGACACAGAAATTAACCCGGCTTCTCTCTTCCGCCCAGTGAAGAAGAGAAAGTTCTTGCGACGGCGACTGGAGGACAGCTCAGAGCATGCTCAAGTCACTATCACGGAGGACACTGGCCAGTCGTTGGATGGACCCTCGTCTCTGCCTCAGTCGGGTGGCTTGAAAGCAAAGAATATTTTAGATGCTGCTCGTCTCCGGCGATTGCAACGGACTCGCAAGGGAGGCATCGAATTCTCGGCCACCTCACGGCCAACGCTCGAGGGTGACAGCCAGACAAGTCTAACTCATGCGACAGCTGAAGACTTGGAGAGTGAAAGGTTGCAAGCGATGTGTGATAGGTTCACAGCGCATACAGGTCAGACGGTGGACGTTGATAAGCATATGTATGAAACGTACCATTCCCATTCTTATGTATATCCATTCAGTGTTGTTTCGCAATGTTGGCTAACGAGCTAAGGATGGCTTACATAGAATCCGAGATGGCTAAGCGATATCGAGGCAGCGTGTCGACGGAGGAGACTCGTGATAACTCATCCACGTTAAACACAGGGCCACCTGCTCCGCCGGTAGCTGACCTACCAAAACGTGAACCGGCGTCGCTGGGAAAATTGCACGAAATAGACCTTGGTCAGGAAACCAAATTACAAAATATCGCTCGGACTGAAGCAGCTACGAGAAAGCTTGCTGGGAACGACAACGAATTGGCCTCCGCGGTAGAAGCTGACTCCAAGGCGACATCTTCAGGGAAGGAGTTGAGATCATGGCGCAACCGGAATCGACGAACCAGAGAGGATGTCGAAAGAGATCGACTAGTTGAAGAAGTGTTACGAGAAAGTAAATGTGAGTCTCTTTCTCAAGGTCCCTGGTTTTTCCAACAATAATCTCTAACCGAAATTTAGTGGACGTCTATGATGGCCCATTGGAAGACGAGGAAGATGGAGTAGGGGAAGCGGATGGCCAAGCCGCCGACGACCGAGTGGCAGAACAATTCCGAAAAGATTTTCTCGATGCGATTCAGTCCCGTCGTCGAGTGGCAAGAGCGAGAAATACCAAAACCACCAAAACTGAAGCTCCCCGGGGACCCAAGCTAGGGGGGAGTCGAAGTGCTCGGGCTGCAATGCGTGAGATGCAGGAGAAATCAGGACGAAAATAAAGCTCTGGCGTTTTCCCATTGCAAGGTGCAACAGGAATGTTACGGTGCAGCGTTTGTAGCTCTTAGTATCCAGTAGTAATGATGATGAATCAAGAATTGCGATATGATTCAAACTCACGTGGATCATCATATAATAAACGGTTACACGGCAAAATGACCATTATCCGCTCCACTGCGCGACACTTTCATCGCCCCCCATCTCATCCTCTACACCTCGCTTTTTTTTCTTTTTTTCTTTTTTTCTTTTTTTCTTTTTTTTTTTTTTTTAAAAAAAAAAAAAAAACCTCTCTTTTTTTTTTTTTTTTTTTTTTTTTTTTTTTTTTTTTTTTTTTTTTTTTTTTGCTTTTGTTTGAGATGGCTACTTTGCATGCTGCACGCTGGGTCTCCTCACTCAATCCGTCCTGCATTCCTCCTAATGTGCTTGATGCGACCGCCCGCAGTTTTTACAACTGGGTCGGGTGCGCTGTTGGGGGCAGCAACCACCCCGCCGTTTCAATCGCGCGCAGCTCCCTTTCTCGGTTTTTTGGCGCCCCGACTTCGTCCTTACTGGGTGCTTTTGGCACCCGGGTGGACGCGCAGCATGCAGCATTGCTCAATGGCATCGCATCGCACGTCCATGATTATGATGACACCCACCTAGAGACCATCATTCACCCAACAGGCCCTGTGGCGGCTGCCCTTCTGAGTATCGCCCAGTCGCTTGATCAACCCGTATCAGGCGCTGAGTTTCTCACTGCCCTTGCTGCTGGGATTGAACTTGAATGCAAGATTGGACTAGCAGTCTGGCCGAGCCACTACGATGTGGGCTGGTGAGTACGACCTGACCAGTACTCACTTCTTAAACTAACAGGTCTTTTGACCAGGCATATAACTGGTTCGACGGGCTCCATCGGAGCAGCCGTAGCAGTCTCGCGTCTCCTGAACCTCTCACCTGAGAAGACGGCCCATGCTATTGGCATCGCTGCCACGCAAGTTACCGGTCTTCGTGAAATGTTTGGCTCGCATACCAAGTCCTTCCATCCGGGTCGGGCAGCCCAGAACGGACTTCTAGCCGCTATACTGGCATCAAATGGGTATAGCAGCTCCATGCAGGCCTTGGAGGCTAAAAGAGGATGGGTGCAGGTCATTAGTCATGATGACAAGCTACAAGAACAGATGGCCAGATTGACAGCTGGAGATCAATGGGAAATAGAGAAAAACACATTCAAGCCCTTTCCGTGCGGAATCGTTAAGCATCCAGTCATTGATGGCTGCATCTGGCTTCATAACGAACTCCGCGGACGGAGGCTACCACTGGATGCCGTGGAAAAGGTCCGAATTACTGTTCATCCATTGGTGTTAGAGTTAACTGGCAAGGCCCAACCTCTTGATGGATTGCAGGCGAAGTTTAGTGTCTATCACGGCGGCGCCGTTGCTCTGGTATATGGAAAGGCAACGCCAGCACAATACGAGGATGCTGTTGTGACCAATCCAGAAATTATACGAATGCGTGAGAAGATCATCGCTACAGTAGCGCATGATATTCGCACGGATGAATGTCAGATTGTGGCCGAGTTAAGCGCTGGCGATGATACAATTAGACGACATGTGCATCATGCCATCGGTAGTCTTGATGCGCCAATGACTGACAGTCAGTTAAGAGAGAAGTTTACCGGCCAGTGCAGCCCTATCTTAGGGTTGGAACAGGCAAAAAAAGCCAGTGACTGGGTCTGGGAAATAGCAACAAAGGGAGACGTCCGACAGATTGGACGGCTCCTCTAGATTTCCACTCATGCAAGCTTGTACTGTACCCAGAATTGGTCCCCGTTAGCACATAAGACAGTAGTTTTACTCCACGTCTTGTTCCATTGATCTACTTTGGCCATTTTCCTCAGCCGACAGAGCGGGTAAAGCAGAAGCCTTCAATCATCCCTTTCAGTCCATAAGCAGCCTGAGATAAACTTACATGGTTCGGATCAGATAACTATAAACCTTCTGCAGTCCATCGGAGTAAGTACGCAGCATGGCGACTGGCTTAGCCTTGATCCGAGTGGGTGCTTCTGGTCTACCAATTCGACCTGGGAAAGACACTGTGTTGTCTGGACAGACCAGCATGAGTCTCTGGTGCTGGTTTTGTGCCGCCCGCTGGGGCCGGAGGCAATGGGATAAGTCACGGTAACATTCAGGCATAGTAATCTTTTCGCTTGTGTCAAACAGATGACGAAAGGTGCCTCAAGGTGCCCCCAAGTGCTCCCAAGTGCCCCCAAGTGTCCAGCCAGGCCCCCCAGCCAAGCTTCACTCTAAGATGGGTCTTAGCAAAACAGGTTGACCCACCAGGTTCAATTCAATTCGAAAATTTAAAGCTTAAGTCCACGAATGTTGGATCGTGGTAGCGCAGGCAAGTGAACAAAACCTTTGATGTGGTTCCGAATCCACGATTGATCGACCACTTGAAGAGAGGAAATGGAACTATTGCTCTGCCCGTCAGCCTGTCAGTTTCTCGTACGGTTTTCGAAGAGAACCGTGAAGGACGGGTTGTGGCCCCAATCTGGTCAATTACCAACTATGTGCGGAGCATTGGTTAATTCTGGTGGTAGTTACTTGTACTCCGAGTACGTACTTAGTAGTCTGCGTCTGACTTATTGTCTGGGAGTCTGGGGTGATTTCAGGACAGTGGGGCAGAACGGGCTTTGCTTTGTTTGTCCTAGGAAAGTGTGGTTGGTTAGCTGGCTGGTTGGCTGGTTGGCTGGTTGGTTGGTTGTTCGGTCTGTCTCGACTTTCTACGGAGTCATTTTTGCCAGCCCTGAGAGCTAGAGATGTCTTTTCTTTGGACGCCTCAGTCTTTCTCATCCTCCCTTTTTGTCGTTCTCTTTTTCCTTTTACTTCCTGCTGCCTCCCACCCCACCAAACTTGATCCTAAGTTATCTTTTTGTCTTCATCTTTAGTTCATTTTCTTTCCAACGGTCGCGTAGTATTAGCCTGCGTTCGTCATGGAGAGTGTGGCTCTTTGTATTGGGCGTAGTCACTATCGTGCGGTTGGTCTGGGAAGAGTCTAGACTGGGATAGGGCGCCAAGTTGCCGGCTACTCGAACAGCTGGGTCTGTCCCGACCCGTCGCTGACACCAACCAGAAACCGCTGTTTGAACTTGAGTTAAAAGGGGGTGGGGGTGGAAGGAATCATGGATGGTACATAGGTGACAGTAGTTATTATTAGTAGTACGTACGAAAACCTGGTACTCATAGAAGGCTAACTACAGTGTAATTATACGGAGTGTAGTAAGTCCATATAACAACTACCCACAGTCTGGCCATTTGGTCTTGTGATTGATCCTACTGAGGAATATCCCTTTTCCCACAATGCCAATTCACACTTTGTACGGAATACACTGTACAGTATTCCGTACATACTGGGTAAATTACTCTGTACTTCCAAATGAGTCCATAGTTAGTACTCCGTACTCCGTACCTAGTTAACGTCGGGGGAGACTAGTCTGAATATGACTAAGCTTGTAACAGGGTTGTGGGGGCGCGGCTGCCCTTAGCCTATCAGTTCTTCATGCTTCAGTTTCATAGCCCCTGGCTAATTCTAATCCAGCTTTAGTGGTCACGGTCTCATCCCGTTCCGCCCGCTCGAGCGCTTCAATATTTAGTGACGCCAATCTCTTCTTCGTCTACGCAGGTAGCAAAATTGTAATTTATCATTGGAAATGTCCAAGCTACAGGCTAACGGAGTACCTAGTTAACAGTAACTAACCAGTAGTTAGCCAATTTACCTATCCCTAATCTCTCCTCCATCCATCTCCGTTCCTCTCTTCCTTTCCTTCCCCCTCCTTTTACCGCTTGTCTCCATCCTATCCACTTCCCATTAACACACACACACACTCATTATTCCTTAGTAGTTTGTACTTCTTTCTCCCGTCTTTCTCAGATCTTTTCCTTCTCTACCTCTATATCTCTGACATTGCTTTGTCCGCTTTGCTTTGGCTGGGATTGACGTCGATTCATATCCCTTGTACACTCTTTTTGCTCGATCTTTCTCTCGCTTTCGTTGTTGTATTGTTGATAACCTCTTCCCCCAAAATCTCCTAACAAAGTCAAGCGAATATTGCCCACTGAAGAACTGCCTCTTGGGAGATCCTGCAAAACCACTCTCCAAGACCCGATACGGCCTGATTCACGTATCTCATCATTGCTGGACCTAGCAAGAGACAGGAGGTCCAGCAAGTGAGGGATTCCGGGCGTGCCCTGCCATTCATTTTCTACCACCCGCAAAAGACGCCTCCTCGACTGTCGGCTTCCAACCCGAATCGTCGCCTTTGTTCTTTTTTTGTCCAGGTTGAACCTGTTGACCCTCGGGACCTCGTTGTTATCAAGTCGCTGTGCGATTTCACCGGACAAGGGGTTCCTCACACATCTCAATAATAGGCACCATCTCGACCTGACTCACCACTCACTCTTACATTGGGGCGAGCAATCTAGGTTCTGGATGTTGACACTTTGAGTTCAAGATCCCACGAAGTCTGCTTTTTGCTAAACGAAAATGCGGACCACTCTCGTTACACAAATCACGCTGGCTACGTTGGGCCTATGGGCTTCTCAAACTCTGGCTGCGGACACATTGAGTACTAATGGGTTATCAACGTGTCTGACAGACTCAGCCATTCAAGTCACTAGTCTAGACGTCACCTACACCAAATCAACAAACGAACTCGTTTACAACGTCGGCGGTACTAACTCGAAAGAACAAAATGTGACCGGCTCCATCACAATCTATGCATACGGCAATGAACTCTACTCCAAAACCTTCGACCCATGCGGCACCGAGTATTACACGGCTGCCCTTTGCCCGGTGCCGGCCGGCAGCTTTGAAGCTCAGGGACAAATGCAGGTTCCCGATTCCATCGCCAGTGAGATACCTTCGATTGCCTTCGCCATTCCTGACCTCGATGGCCAAGTGAAATTAGAGTTGCTGTCGAAAAATAACAATGATGATGAGCTCGCTTGCGTTCAAACACAATTGAGTAACGGCAAGACGATGCAAATTGCAGGTGTGTCTTATGCTGCTGCTGGCGTGGCAGGAGCGGCTCTGGCTGTAAGTGGGCTGTCTGCTCTAGGTGCTGCTGGCCACCCTGGAGCTTCGACATCCAGTCCTTCTTTCGGCGATGTCATGACTTGGTTTCACACAATGGCTACAAACGGCATGCTTAGCGTCAGTTACCCTACGGTTTACCGCAGCTTTGCCAAGAATTTCGCCTTCAGCACAGGCCTTATCCCTTGGGGCCAAATGCAGGAGTCTATTGATAGCTTCCGCCGAGTGACAGGTGGTAATCTTACGGAAAACAGCTACGCATATCTCATGAACGCAACTTTGGTTTATTCGAGTGGCTCCTCATCAGATTCAAGCACCAAGTCGAAGCGCGCGTACGACTGGGTAGTTAGCGCTGCCAACCTCGTCTCGCGCGAGCTCACTACTTCCAATTCCACTACCACCAACAGTACCAGCGATAGTACGAGCAGCGGCAGTGGTTTACAGCATGTGGTTTCAGGGATAGAGGCCTATGCAGAGCAATTGACTGTGCCTCAAGGGAATACCTTCATGACCGTGCTGCTAATATTTGCTATCCTCGTCGCCGCTATCACCGTGGGCATTCTACTTCTCAAGGTCATTCTCGAGGTATGGGCTTTGTATGGGTCTTTCCCTCAAAAGCTTTCCAGCTTTCGCAAGGACTATTGGGGTCTCCTTGGGCGAACAATCACCAACTTGATCTTGATCCTGTATGGAATTTGGGTCATCTGGTGTGTATACCAACTTAGCAGCGGAGATTCTTGGGCTGCAAAAATTCTGGCTGCTGTTGCTCTGGTTGTATTCACCGCTGTGCTCCTTTACTTCGGCATTCGCATTGCGTATTTGGCACGGAAGTTCAAAAAGTCCGAAGGTGATGCATCTCGCTTGTACGACGATGGCGAGACCTGGCGCAAGTACAGTCTCTTCTACGATAACTACAAGAAGGATTACTGGTGGATTTTCGTGCCCGCAATTGTGTACATGTTTGCTAAGGGTTGTATCATCGCGGCTGGAAATGGTCATGGCCTTGCACAAAGTGCTGGTCAGCTTATTGTTGAAGCGCTTATGTTAGCCATGCTGCTGTGGAATCGACCGTACGTGGTCAAGTCAAGCCAATGGATCAACACAAGTGTACAACTTGTACGTGTTTTGTCTGTTGTTCTTGTTCTGGTTTTTGTGGACGAGCTCGGTCTTTCGGAGACAACGAAAACGATCACTGGCATTGTTCTCATTGCGGTTCAGGCTGGCTTCACGGGTATCTTAGCTATTTTGATTTGCGTCAACGCCATACTCCTCTGCTGTCGTGAGAACCCTCATGCCAAACGGAGAAGAGAAGCCGGTAAGTCAAAACATTTTCGGACCTCTGGATTGATTACAGCGACGCTAATATATCATCTGCCGTTATAGACAAGATGAATCGCGACATGGATGACCTCACTCCCTTGGACGCTCGCGAATCTCTTCTCATGGACAATCCTCCTCGTAAAGACTATGCCGAGATGAGCAAATTCAACTTTACCGGTCCCTATGAACCTTACCGTGACCAGTTCGATCACAAAGGACGACAGAGTCCCACTGGCAGCATGGACCGCTTAGTCGATTCGGGCTATCACCTTGACGAGCGACCCGATCGAGCAGTGAGCCGGGAGAGTCGACGGAGCCGTGACAGCCATGATGCTCCTGAAAACCATCATGCTACTACCCCTGGCTATGGTTTTGCTTATTGAGCCTCTGCCAAAGGTGGATCTGGGATCACGATTGTTACCATATTTTTTTCTCCAGGTGTAGAAACTCTTTTCTTTGGACATAGACTTTATTCTGTCGGTTTCCACGACTTTAGCGTATCTCAAGGATTGACTACTGTTGCTTTGTCAGTGAGTTCCTTGCGAACTTGTGCCCCTGTATCATCACAGGATCTGTCATTGTTTGCATTGAATAATTCTTGGAAATATATTTTGTTTCTATTTCTGTCTAGATAACAGGCTGTAGTTATTTTCCCTTCATGTGCCTCATTTAACGGTGTTCTGTCGGCTGTGTTGCCATCAAGCTGAGACCTCTTTCTTACTATGGCATTGGTGCCCCCATGTTCTTTACCAACTAGACTTATCACGCATGATGCAGATCCGAGAGTAGACATTCAATTTTCCATTCCTCACACGGCAGGAACGGGTGTTCCTATGATAAGCGATGACATTGTAGAGTGGAGAATAAAACAAAAGACTGTTGCAGTCCACACCGAATCCCTTGCACAATTTTGGACTGGCTCGCATGCATACACCGTGAGAGCACAAGGATAGCACTAGAGAGAGGGAGAACGTCATACAATCTGAAGAGTCACGACAGGAACAAGATAGAAGACAGGCAACGGTTGGGCGGAGCCTTGGGATGATTTTAAGGTGGTTGGTGTGAAACCGAATGCCACTTTTACTGCTGCAAGATCAAGCCATTCTGGATTGCACAGCTTAAGAACAGAAAAACAGAAGAGAAAGTTTCCTCAAACAGCCATGAAGAGAAGGGAGGGGGTTGCAACGGAAAGATTTGCTTAATTGCACGAGAGAATCCCAAGTGAAGGGTAGAAACTAGAACTGGGGTGCACATGTACAACAGCGTGAAGATGAGAAGCACAAAATTGAAAGGCAGATCATATCACTTTAACCCCGCGAGTAAGGATGGAAGCCCCGGTGACCTCCGCGACCCCCACCACGATAATTAGCGCCCGGCTTACCAGCATTCTTCGGCCCTGTCGGAGCATTGGCGGGGGCAGCACTCTGAGGTTGTGGAGTCGGACCTTGATGAACCGAGGTTAGCAAGTTTGGGCAGACAGGGCGGCACATTACAAGATATACGGGATGGAAGGGCAGGGAAGAGACATACCGCGTCCCATGCTCCCCGCGCGGGTCATGGCCTGGGGCCCGGTCGGGATGTTCGGCTGAGGTACTTCATCATACATACCTTCCCAAGAAGTTGGTCCACCTTGCTGGTAGGGAGAGAAGGCCCGATTTTCCATGGCACGGCGTGCCTGTTGCTGCTCGTATTTCTGCTGCTCGAAGGCGATCTGTTCCTGAGCATTGTAGCCAGGTCCACCACGATGGCCCGAGAAATTCCCATTGGCGCTGGCTGCGGCCATGTTCATTCCATTGCCACCTCCTCCCATCTGGCCAGTCATGCCGCCGGAATTGCTGCTCTGGCTTTGATTCTGCATCTGCTGCATCTGTTGCATCTGCTGCATTACTGCGGGATTCATCATGTTCGGTGCCATTGTCTGGGGCGTAGTGCTTTGCGACGGAGGGCTAAGGCTGCCTTGCGGCGCTTGACCGTTCCCCATTTGCATTTGCTGCATTTGTTTCATTTGCTGCATCTGTTGCATCATGGCTGGGTTCATTCCACCCATGCCCATTCCGCCCATGCCTTGACCTTGAGCCGCAGCAACGGCCATCTGCTGTTGCATTAGAGCAAAGTATTGCTGCATCCTCTGCCAATATTGTGCCATCATTTGCGGGGTGAGTCCACCGGCCATGCTGCCTTGGCCTTGAGCACCGGCTTGTTGCTGCGAACCATCGCCGCCCATCGCGCCTCCGTCACGGAAACTCTCCCTGCCACGACGGAACCGGCGGTCTTCCTCATCGCGTAAATTGCCCCTTGGCTGGGCTTTTTTCACCTCGATTGGCTTACCGAGAATTTCTAGAGGACGTGAGAGTGCTGCCTCGACAGCCGCTTCGCTATCAAATGTCACGAATCCAAAGCCACGGGGGCGACCGGTATCCTTGTCAATCATCAGGGTTGCATCGATTACACGCCCGAACTGAGTAAAGAATTCTCTGAAATCATGCTCATTTGCCTCTTGGCTGACACCGCCAACGAAAATTTTACTGGTCTTTTCCTGCTCGTCCCGCGGGATTGCACGCTTGGGGTCGATCTGTCCCATGTTGGTCAGCTGGCGAAACCTATTTCGAGAACGGGCTGAGATTTGGCGGAAGCTCTTACAATCTTGCCATCCAGATAGTGTTCCTTGACCATGACGGTGTTGACAGTCTTCGGATCCCTGAACGTCAAGAAACCAAAGCCCCTCGAGCGACCCGTAGCACTATCTCGCATCACAGTACATTCTTGTACCTCTCCAAACTGAGAGAAGTAATCTTTCAAGGACTCTGATGCAATATGTTAGATGACTTAGGGACGATAGATGTAGCAGTATTCAGCCCTGGAAGAGTACATACGATCTGTAGTCTCCCAATTCAGACCTCCGATGAACATTTTCCTAGTGCCATGACTCAATTAGCAAGCGTCAAATTGCAATACTCAGTTAGTACCGCTCCGAAGGATATTGGGGGGTGGGGCATCTTGATCGAGGCAAGCTTGGGCATGAATCAACGACAGCAGCAACAACATTCAAAAAGTGACACAAGACATCAGAATCTCGGTTGTGGACAAGTGAAAGTGGAAAGTGATGAAGAAGAGGGATGCGACCAATCCGTTCCAAAGCGCTATTCCTTGGTGCTGTGAGGGCACTCGGTTAAGGAGTGCTAGCTGCATGACCTCTATCGGTATTCACTGACTGGCAGACGAATTGTCATCGAAAATGGGCCAAATCCCTTCGCCGTATGATTCACCATGGCCACAAAACCGATTGAATTCAGACAGGGCATTGACGATCTGAGAAGAAGCTTCAAACGCGGGTTGATCTGGGCCAACAATACATTGGAATGAATCTCTTGGTCCAGGACAGCACTGAATTATGTCTCCAAGTCAGAGAGCACCATTGGTTTACAACACCATCCAGTGAGCTGAAACCAAATGAGGGAGCTTCAACATCGTAAAGGTATGCGGGTGGGTGGTGTCACCACAGGTTGGAGCATATGAGGCGGATGGATTATGTCCATTTTCTTTCCCTTATCTGTCTGTCTGTCTGTCTGTCTGTCTGTCTGTCTGCCTGTCTGCCTGCCTGTCTGTCTGTTTGGCCAAAGATTCTCTGCCTGTCTGTCTAATCAAGTCCGATGCTAGGTAATCTGTTCGAGAGTTTCCCAGACTAGACCGCCAAAGTCTCAAACCTTGCTGCCCTCTATCATGATATATCGACATGAAGCTATATAGTAACGGATGTACTATAGTCGCACGTGACACGGCTATGGAGAGCCAAGGAACCGAGCATTGTCTTCCTGAGTCTCACATCGTTGCTGGAACGTCGAATAAATCTGTCACCCGAGCCTCGTAGCGTGGCTGAAGTTTTGTCTTTTTGCTTGTACCAGACGGAGCTCAACATCGCCAGCGAGGGAATCCTCCTAACACCATAATTTTCTTGTTCAAGGCCAAGATCTCTTTGCCATCCAGAAACCATGAGCGACCCTATAGAGGAGAACCCTTGACAGATACCTTGACTGAGATAAAACCCGACCCATTCGCACACAACATCAAGACACCGAAATAATCAAGACCCGAGCACAATTCATGATTGTGGCTGTTGCGGGAGTGCGGCATAGTTTTCGAGAATCCCTTGGGCGCTGCTTGAGATATAGTGGGCCGACACAAATGGGAATAGCCATGCCATGATGCATACCCTCTTGACAATCGGGGAGAGAATGAGGAATGAGATGAAAGGAAACAGGGCTTCTGCGTGACCGTGACCGCTGAGGTCACAAATGCAATGGAAAGGGTGCATAATACCAATGGAAGATATTATAGGAATATTCTATTGAAAATAGCACTCACCCATCTTCTTTAATTCCCGTCCCTTGAGGTTCGGATTCGCCCACCGAGGCTGCAGCAGGATGCGCAAAACCAGCGCCCCCGTTCTCTCCGCCTGCGTGGTTTCCAGACTGATGAGAATATTGATACGACCCACCAGCGTCGATATCACCATGGCCGTGATCCGCATACTGCGTTCGAAGCTCGGTAGCAGAGGCATGTGGAGCAGGAGTGATAGGCTCGGGCATCTGTGGAGGCTCTACAATAGGCTTCGTCTGAACAGTAGTATCGTCCGCATCGTACCTAGAATATGAAAACTAAGCGTCAGACGATGGCATAAAACTGAGCATTTGAGACGAGGCACCATACAGATCGGCGAAAAGATCTTCCTCAACATCGTCAGGTTCGGCCATCACTGCTCAGTGACTGTATCGATTACACAAGGAGGCGAAAAGATTCGAAGGAATAAGAGAAGGGAAATCCGTGTAGGATTCAGAGATAGTCAGCACCGGCAGGTGAAGTCAAATTGGCTCAAACAAGAGCCACAGAACTCAACCGGAATAAGTATTGACTAAGGCAGTACGGATTGCTACCGGGACCAAAGTCCTGAAGACAGGAGAAGAGAGTAATGGGAGGTGTTTGTGCTGTGTGTTTCTGGGGGGGGAGGGAGCGAGGGAGAGAAGCATGAACAAGGGAAGGAGGATGGATGGGAAGAAGAACAAGAAGAAGAGACTAACTTACGAAAGCAGGAGCGGAGATTGAAGTTAGGGAAAGGCAATGCAATACTGAATGTATGGTATGTATGAATCGCACACTCTGTACTTCGTACTGTATGTACAGTCAATGTATGGTACTGTACTCTGTAGTTACCCGCTGTATCTCTTGTCCTTCAGCAACTCACGTTAAGTTAGTGACCATGGCTGACTGAGCAAAGGCCATGACGACACAAAGCCCAGTACTCTTTTCCCTCTCGCATTATTGTCGCGATATACTCCGTATATAAATTTTGAGAAACCCTTTTTTTCATATGCATACAAGACGGAAAGGAGGAGTTCTTCTCGGAGGACATGATACTCTCTGCATCTGAATTTGGATCCCACGTGCCGTGATCTTCTTTACAGTATAACGTTAGTAGTGCAGCAGTGCTTCCTTCTCCCCGCACTCTTTCCCCTTGCCCCCGTCTTCGCTCCCTCTGGCTACCTTCTTCCGCGTTATTTGACTTTCTTGTTCCTGCTCTTCCTCCCAGTCCTCATGTTCACTTAACCTTGTACCCTCTGCACGACGAGATTGTTGCAATGACTACCAAGAAAGGCCAACAGCAGGTAAGTCAACCATAACTGCTCTTTTCACAGCCGTCTCACCTTTTCCCAAGCACCTTTCAAAGTGACGGGGTTCGCTAATTCCATCATTTGGTCATCAGGAAATGGTCCAGGTTGGTTCGTACCTCTCTCTTCCAGGCGCTTCCTTTTGTCTCACACTCGAAATTCCGCAACTGATCCATTCCATCCCCTTTCGTCACAGACCGCACTGAGTATGTTAACCTCAAGTTTCAATTGTTTGTAACAAACCTTTGGAAGCAATTGAAGCTGTTTCCTCAATCTTACTTCTCAAGAACTTGCTAACCAGGGCCTACGTTCGCTGAAGAAGGAGCAATTCGCCTTTCTGGAAGGCAAGATCGGTGTCCCATAACCAAGCATCGTCCAAGACCCCGGATCCAAACACCGTTGTCGGAGCCTCATATTCCCATGCCAATATATCAATGTTAGTTTCGCTACTGCCTGGCTCGATAGCGCTTTTTTTTTCAAGAGATTGACCAGAGTGCATGCCCATAGAGGGGGCCCGCAGCAACATGCCCGTCCGCGAACACCCCCTCCAGTGACTTCCGCCAACAGCTCGCATGCTACCTTGTCTCCCCATCGGCCGGGTTTGTGGGTTTCGTCACCACGAAATTCATACTCTGGCATTCTGAATGGGGGGTTGGAATCCTGGGAAAGCTATCGGGTGGGCGAGGGGCAAGAGGAAGATGAGAATGACGAGGATGGGGAAGGGGGTATAGCCTACGATGATGACGAGGATGAGTTTGGACTCCCAAGCATTACAAGCATGCGCAAGAAGCAAAGTCGAGCTACTGCTCCAACTCAACCTAGTACCCTTGACTCAGGCGGAGGGGTGGGACATCACTTGACCCTTGGTGTTGGCCTCGGAAGTAATCGACAACGAGCAAATAGTTCTGACATCGCGGAGGAGCGTGGGGTGTCGATTTATCCTATCACCAGGAAGGCAGAAGGCAAAATTCTACGGCCTCAGTACAAGGAGATTTTAAGAGGTTGGTGACGGTTTTGGGCGCGACCTATGTTCGGGAACATCTACTGATGGGTTCTAGACCCCGCACACGCGCTTAATCTTATAGATCATGCACCACCACCGAAAAATGCACCACCTAAAGAAATGGATGTCTATTCGAGCCGCATCTTAAGAATCAACAAGTTCAAGCGCTTGCTACAGACGAGCACTGTTCCTCTCGCAGAACTCAGGAACCTGGCGTGGTCAGGGGTCCCAGAGGAGGTGCGAGCAATTACTTGGCAATTATTGCTAGGGTATTTGCCGACAAACAGTGAACGACGCATTTCGACTTTGGAAAGGAAGCGCAAGGAATATCTGGACGGGGTCCGACAAGCATTTGAGCGAAGTGCCCCAAGCTCCGCCAACCCGCCTTCGTCCGTCACAGGACGAGGTAGAGGCTTAGACGAAGCGGTCTGGCATCAGATTAGTATTGACGTTCCTCGCACCAGCCCCCATATCCAGCTCTACAGCTACGAAGCTACTCAACGCTCTTTAGAAAAGATACTGTACGTTTGGGCTATTCGTCATCCTGCTAGCGGCTATGTCCAAGGCATCAATGATCTTGTGACTCCGTTTTGGCAAGTATTCCTCGGGCTATATGTTACCGACCTCAACGTTGAGGAGGGCATGGATCCAGGCCAATTGCCCAGGAGTGTGCTAGATGCGGTGGAGGCGGATTCCTTCTGGTGTCTCACCAAACTTCTGGATGGCATTCAAGACAACTACATCTATGCCCAACCAGGTATTCACAGACAAGTAAGAGCACTACGCGACCTAACGATGCGCATAGACTCTACACTGGCCAAGCATTTGGAGCAAGAGGGCGTGGAATTCATGCAATTCAGCTTTCGATGGATGAACTGTCTGCTCATGCGAGAAATGAGCGTGCAAAATACCATAAGAATGTGGGATACATACATGGTACTATATCAATCCCCTTAGCTATAACATACCTCATAGATGTACTAACCATTTTTGACAGGCTGAAGAGCAGGGCTTCTCGCGCTTCCACATATATGTGTGCGCCGCATTCCTTGTGAAATGGACAGATCAATTAATTAGAATGGATTTCCAGGTGGGCACTCAATGTGGAAATAGTATTATTTCGTGATGAGCTAATTAGAATCAGGAAATTATGATGTTCCTACAAGCCCTGCCGACAAAGGGCTGGACTGACAAGGATATCGAACTGTTGCTGAGTGAAGCCTACATTTGGCAAAGTCTTTTTCAAGACTCTCGTGCCCACCTTCGTCCGGCTGGAGATCGGTCGCCCGAGGATGGCTTTCAATGACGACTATCGTGATTCATTAGGAATGTTATGTACGCATATAGCATGAAGTTTCAAGGACGGGTATGCGCATCCCTCTCGCCAGCTGTGGGATTAGGTGAAATGGAAACCCTTCTGGTTGAACGCCCACAAAAGCTTCAGGAAATCGTTCTCATCACACATCCTGGCACGCTTATCTGCGAGGCCTGTTTCTTCTTCCAGTACCTGCCGAACTTTCTCCCGAACCAGCTCTCCCACCTTTCCTCTCTTCTTACGACTTGACCGACCCTTCAGCGCCTCCTGTATACGAGCATTTTCTTGCTCTCTGAAGAAGTCTGGTACGTCGTCATCGTCATCCAAATCCATGACTTCTTCGACCTCGTCCTCGTCCTCCTCTGCCACGTTGCCCGTGTCCATTGCGTCTGCTCCAGTCTCATCCGCTGGTCCGTCCTCCACGGGAATGTCGTTCTGCGCGCACCACGTTCGATAGTTGGCTTCCAGCATGTCCATTACAGTAGACTTGCCGAGGAAGCTTGATCGAATTGTCTTGTTCTTTCGGACAAAAAGAATTCTCAGAAGCCCGTCCCATTCGTCATAATTGATTTGTGGTCTGGGGTTTTTGGGGACCAGTCGGACTACACTGGACTCGACCAGAGGAGGTGGTTTGAAGTTGTTCTTTCCGACTTTCATGATATGATCAATCTTAGCCCACATCTGGGCATTGACGGAGAGTCGACTGTAGAGTTTGTCGCCCGGTTTGGCGAATAGTCTCAGCGCAAACTCTCGTTGAAACATTAGAATGCAGACTCGGGGAGCTGGCGAGGTTGCGAGAAGCTTGAATGTGAGTGGAGAAGAGATCTGTGTGCAAGCGGGTTAAGGATTGGACAAGAAAAGGCTTCTGTATAAGATCGCACCTGATAGGGAGTGTTGCTGATGCAAACATCGAAATACGGAAGTTCCGTCTTCATCACGTCGCCGAGTATGACATCCAAGCGATTCTGGGCGGGCGTGCCCTGGACACGTTTTGTGACTTCAGCAGCCATTCGAGGGTCTAGCTCAACGGCGATGACTTTCTTTGCCTTTTCGAGAATTTTGACCGTCAAGTTACCCGTACCAGGACCGATTTCCAGCACGACCTGTAGAGGCAAGACATACCATGTGGTTAAATTGGCTCGAGCATATGGTGACTATGGCGAAAGCTTTGACTTACATCACTCTGTTTTAGCTCAGCTTTCTCAACTATCCGTTGAGCGACGCCAGGGTTTTTCAGAATATGTTGACCAAGGTCTGTGTTCATCTTGAAAATGCTGTTGGCTGCTTTAGTTTTGGCTGCGGCGTCTGCATATGGATTGGCTTTGGAAGCGCTGTTGCGCTTCTGTTGTTTGACTTTGGGCATGGTGGTTGTTCAATCCGGGCTAGTTGTCACGGTCGATCTTGTTTTTGATGATATAATGAAATGTAGCCAAAAGTCCGCGAAGAATCCCCTCCTGCCTCCTTCTGTGCTGTGCTCCACTCTGTGTTTGCTAGGCAGATTTGAATATTAGCAAAAAAAATCAAAGTAATTGCGGAGACTTCCTGATAAGATTACCGGAGCCGGAATAAACTAATTGCGACCGCCTTGCGATGGCCCGCCGCAAAGCGTCAATAATGTACGCCGCTGTCGCCGCCAGTACCTCGTCTTGTACTAGCTAGGCCTTGCTTGGGTCCTTCAGCTTAATTCACCTTCTTGGACATTTTTTCCCGGTCAGTATGGCCTCTGGGCGGAAAGACTTCTTAAGCCAACCCGCTCCCGAGAATTACGTGGCGGGTCTCGGTCGAGGTGCGACTGGTTTCACCACTCGTTCGGACCTTGGACCTGCGCGAGAAGGGCCCACGCCGGAGCAGATTCAAGCGGCTCTTGCCAAACGAGCACAACAGCTCGGCGCAGCACCCCCAACAGCGTATGGAGCTGGGCGAGAAAAGGGTGGAAAGGACGACAAAGCTGAAGAGGACGAGGATGACGAGCGCTTCCAGGATCCAGACAATGAAGTGGGGTTGTTCGCCTACGGACAGTTTGATCAGGAGGATGATGAGGCCGATCGCATCTACCGGGAGGTGGATGAGAAGATGGACAAAAGACGCAAGATGAGAAGGTTAGTAAACCGCACCTCATTCGCAGTGATTCCGGGCTATTTAGCCACTTTGTCTCGTGATGGACTTGACTACTAACATGGAGGCTGGCCCTTACTAGAGAAGCCCGGGAACGGCAAGAAAGAGAAGATTATGAGCGCAAGAACCCCAAGATCCAACAACAATTTGCGGATCTAAAGCGATCACTAGCCTCCGTCTCTGAGGATGAGTGGGCGAACCTGCCGGAGGTGGGAGACCTAACGGGAAAGAACAGACGCGCAAAGCAGAATCTCCGGCAGCGCTTTTATGCTGTTCCGGACAGTGTTATCGCCAGTGCAAGGGATTCGACCCAGTTCGAAACCACCGTGGCGGACGATGGTTCTCAAACCAGTGCCCCGAGCATAGAGAACGCAGATGGAACGATAACGAATTTTGCCAACATCAGTGCTGCTCGTGACAAAGTACTACAAGTCCGACTGGATCAGGCTGCCATGGGATCATCTGGGGACTCAGCCTCAGGAAGCGCCACCAATATCGACCCAAAGGGATATCTTACGAGTCTCACTCAGTCGGAGCTGAAAGCGGGTGAGGTGGAAATTGGCGACATCAAGCGGGTTCGCGTTCTCCTGGAATCAGTGACAAAGACTAACCCCAAGCATGCCCCCGGATGGATTGCTCTAGCTCGTCTGGAAGAGCTTGCTGGTAGATTGGTGACGGCCAGGAATGTTATCGCCAAAGGCTGCGAATTATGCCCGAAGAGCGAAGATGCTTGGCTAGAGAACATTCGACTTAACGAAGGGCACAATGCCAAGGTCATAGCCGCGAATGCGATTAAGAACAATGATCGCTCTACAAGACTATGGATCGAGGCGATGAGACTGGAGACTGAGCCTCGGGCCAAGAAGAATGTGCTCAGACAAGCTATTCTTCACATTCCCCAGTCCGTCGTCATCTGGAAGGAGGCCGTCAACCTGGAGGAGGACCCAGCTGATGCACGTCTTCTTCTGGCCAAAGCAGTTGAGATCATACCTCTCTCGGTAGAGCTTTGGCTTGCTCTGGCCCGTCTCGAGACCCCAGAAAATGCCCAGAAGGTTTTGAATGCTGCCCGAAAAGCCGTCCCCACAAGCCATGAGGTATGGGTTGCAGCTGCAAGATTGCAGGAGCAAATGGGTACATCCGAAAAAGTCAATGTTATGAAGAGGGCTGTACAGAGCTTAGCAAGAGAAAACGCGATGCTCAAGAGGGAGGAGTGGATCGCTGAGGCTGAGAGATGTGAGGAGGAAGGCGCCATTCTCACCTGTGGTGCTATAATCCGTGAGACCCTTGGCTGGGGTCTTGATGAGGATGATGATCGTAAGGACATCTGGATGGAGGATGCTAAGGCTAGCATTGCCCGTGGCAAGTACGAAACAGCTCGAGCTATATACGCCTATGCCCTCCGTGTCTTCTTCAATCGCCGATCCATCTGGCTTGCTGCTGCAGACCTTGAACGCAACCACGGCAGCAAAGAAGCACTATGGCAGGTACTTGAAAAGGCCGTGGAAGCCTGCCCGCAAAGCGAGCAGCTGTGGTTGCAGCTTGCTAAAGAAAAGTGGCAGTCTGGGGAAACTGATGATGCTAGACGAGTGCTCGGTCGAGCTTTCAATCAGAACCCTAACAACGAAGACATTTGGCTGGCCGCTGTCAAGCTGGAGGCCGATGCTGACCAGACAACCCAGGCTAGAGAACTGCTTTCCACAGCCCGCCGTGAAGCAGGGACGGATCGTGTATGGATCAAGAGTGTCGCGTTTGAGCGGCAGCTGGGCAATGTTGACGAGGCGCTTGATCTCGTCAACCAGGGTCTTCAGCTATACCCCAAGGCTGACAAGTTATGGATGATGAAAGGTCAAATATACGAAGGCCAGAACAAATATCCTCAGGCAAGGGAGGCTTATGGAACAGGTACCCGAGCTTGCCCCAAGTCCGTGCCACTCTGGCTGTTGGCCTCGCGCCTGGAAGAGAAGGCAGGAGCCGTTGTCAAAGCTCGCTCCGTTCTGGACCGCGCCCGTCTTGCGGTTCCCAAGAGCCCGGAATTATGGACTGAAAGTGTTCGCGTGGAACGTCGTGCCAACAATATCGCTCAGGCGAAGGTTTTGATGGCGAAAGCCCTGCAAGAGATTCCCACATCTGGTCTGCTATGGAGCGAAAGCATCTGGTACCTTGAACCTCGTTCGCAAAGAAAGGCACGCAGTTTGGAAGCTATTAAGAAGGCCGATAATGACCCAATTCTCTTCATCACGGTGGCTCGCATCTTCTGGGGAGAGCGTCGACTAGAGAAGGCAATGACATGGTTCGAAAAAGCCATTGTCACCGACAGTGACTTGGGCGATGGCTGGGCTTGGTACTATAAGTTCCTATTGCAGCACGGCACTGAGGTACGTTTGTCTTTCGTTCTTTTGCCTCTCTCTCTAATACGCCCGCCTTCCGAGCACCTTGTATTTGTGTCTGGATGCTCGGTAGCTGACTGTTTTGTTCGTGTGCAGGAAAAACGGGCAGACGTAGTGGCTAAATGTGTAACGAACGAACCAAAGCACGGTGAAGTCTGGCAATCGATATCAAAAGACCCGGCCAATGCACGCAAGTCGGCGGAAGAGATACTCAAATTGGTTGCAGAACGCCTCACTCAATGAAGTAGCGGTATACGAGCCAGTCTATAATCTTAACTCGAGTCCGGCCCTAGTGACAGCCTACCGAGGATTTGGCCGGGATTCGCGTGGAAATACATAACGGCCACAACGAACCGCCACCATCCCGGTCAGAGTAAACAAGCTCGCATTATCAGCAGGATGCTTAAGTGCGATGACTCGAGATGTTCTTAGGATCGAAGGTCGTGTTCGTTGCTTTCGGACGACACTGGAATTAAGAATCAATGGTTTTTTCTTCCATGAATTGATGGTACTTGGGCTGCATGCAACCAGCCTATCTAGCGGATATCCATACCCGAATTGCTAATGTACACTACATAACCACAGCAAGAATGTTACTCGCCAGGTCCACAGATTTTGCCTTTGCATACTCTGGCCCGAAGGTATAAATAATGAGCCAAATTCTTTTCTCCGATCGTCCTTGTGTATGATCAATCAGTGTTTTTTTCTAGCAGATCAAATTACCGTAGCGGGCAGCTCAAGCCATCGCAAAATTTGGTCACAGTGGCTTCCTACCTTGAATAGGCTGCAACTAGTGAAGCCATTCAGACCTCATCTGTAGAGACTGCTGTTGCCTCTCAATAATAATTATAGGGATTTGAACTCGCCTCATCGGCATCATAGCTGAAAGCTGACCTGTCACATTGAACCAGGTTGGCTCCCTATGAGGTGATTAGGGAAGCAAGATGCAACAAGCCGTGTAAGTGAAAAAGCAGAACAACACAGTTAATTTTGAAGAAATGAAAGCAAGTCTCTTTGAACTCCATACCCGATGCAAAAAAGACAGTGTCGCGCACCATAGCGGCAACTCTTATGGACGCCCAGGACGCCTAGACGCTTCCCACCGGATCCAAGATGATGACTTCACTCATCAGTGAATCCGATTCGAACGTGTATGAATGTGTGTGTATCAAGAAGAGAATTCATAAAAGTGCAAGGCATCAAAAGCAACGGATATCAGGCGGCTTGAATCTGTAAAGGCAGAACAAGAGAAGGAACAGCAATTAGAGGACAGGTCGACGATGAGGAAGCTCGCAGGAAAAGAGAGAGAGCGTGGTAGAGAGAGTCGCTCACGAGGCCATAGACAGGCACTCGTCCAGTAAAGCGCTCAAGTGCACCCTATCAGCCGTTGTGCCTCCCTCCCAGTCTGATTCGGTGTCATCAATCTCCATTTCATCAGAGAAAATATTCTGTCCAGAGGTGTCATTCGAAATCTCTACCACGTCGTCAACTGTGTCAAATTTCTCTGCTTCAAGGTCATCTTCGAGATATCCACTCATAATTTGATCAACAAGCAAAGGCATATGGCTGAGGACACCACTGCCGAGTTCCAATGCTAATCGGAGATCTCGAACGCCCAATGGTTTTCGAACACTTGCCTCCTTAGCTTCAATGGGCAACAATCCAGTTGCGCTGTCTTTGACAATTTCGCCCCTGGTGAAGGCTAGTTCTTCTCTTTCTAGCTGTTGTCGATACTTGCGCATCATCATGCCATTGATCGTCCCCGAGGGACCATTCGACCTCGTGCGTGAGAAGACCACTGATAATACTTCCTTGACAAACGTTTCTGTTGCGATGGCCATATATTCCGCACAGGGTAAGCTTGCGCCACTGACTATAGATTCTTCGTAGCATATAGGGACCATGCGTGCATGAATTGATTCAGCATCCGGAAACTCGCCAGTCTCCGATGCCAAGGGTTGTGCATAACGTTTTCGAATCTCTAATTCCCAGTCTATTGAGAATGAACACGGTAAGTTTCTATCTCCAGCATGAATGGTTGAGTTGTCCGCGAAGCATGAGACCTACTTGTCTTGTTCAAACCACCGGCGCTGGCCGGTACCTGGCTAGGCAGCTTGATTTGCTTCGCCAGGTGGTAATCTACCAAATCATTGGGTGAGACATCATGTGAGTCACGCTGGTCGGTAAAACGACAATCATGTTAGACTTGTCCACTGACGACTTTGTGGCGTGGTTAGCCATAGATCAAGACTGCCTACCTCGGGTATCGCCTTGAGTCTGCGCCGGTCCCTTGGAGGCAACTGCATGACCTCCGTTTTGAGTCTCTGTTCGGCGGCATCCCCCGACGTCGGTTTCGGCACAACTGAGGGCTTATCATTTGCGGATACCCAACTGGCAACTCCATGGTCGGGAAGATCTCGGGTCAGGTTTCCGATTATCGCGCAAATGAAGTTGTTGTGGAGATGCTCAGTTTTCTGATCAACGCATATTATATGATCGACGCGCGATGAGAGTTCGCTTTGATTAAGCTGCCCTGTTCGTTGACACAAGTCTTCAGCATCCTGAATTGAATGGAGGCAGAGCGGAAATGTGGGATCACATAGATACAGCTGTACAAGCGGCAAAGCGATTTCTTGCGAGAAGCCAGAAGCGATGATCATCCGGGGAGCAGGTGAGCTTCATCATGTCGGACTCACCAAGAAGAAAGAGGGCGGTAGCCTCTTTGTACTCGGCCCATTGGTCACCGATGGCGGCTTTGAGCTCCGTGTAGACAGGCTCCAAGTCGAGTCGCGGAACGGAGATCAGCGCCTTCGTCGACTTCTGTAATGCAGGGGCACTAGGCGCAGAACCCTTAGACGAGGTGATTGCGGTTGATGTAGAGTCTGACCGACTCAGAGTAGCCGGGTCGATCTGCATGGTTGCAGTGTTCGCAGAAGCGCGACGGGGCTGCGCGAAGCCGGCAGGGCGAGTGGGAGAAGGAGGGAGGAACTAGGCCTTCATGAAGAAGATAAATCCATCCATTCAAGCGAGCTGAACCGACAAGAATCTCAAGTAATTGAGTGGGATGAGGGTTGGATCATGAGAGAGATTGTTGGGGCAGATGCAGGTGAAGACGCGGGCGTTGATAGAAACAGACAGCGGGGAAGAGAGGGAGGGAGGGTGAGTGAGAGATGGAGAAAGGGACGGACGAAGGAAAGGAAGTTGTTCAACCTGCCGGCAATCCGCAAACACATTTAATTGAATTTCCCTCCCCAACCAAAAAGAACAAGAGATGCAGACACGCAACTCAACTCGGTATCTAATTGATTAAATTGATTTTCTTCTTGAATACTACTTTTTGACCCCCCACCAGCGATTCTGTTCCCTGTGCCCGTACACTCCCAGTCCCTGTTTCCATCGCGTCAACAATATCTAAGCATACAACTTCACGGCATCCTCATCCAAAACTCCAAAAAGGTGACCTATTTCCTGGAGGATAGCTTCAATCTCACAAGACAATTGCCCCACTACTAGGACTATGTCTAACATTAGCTTTTTTGGAGGGGGGGTCTGGGAGGCAACTTGAGCGGAGCAAAAGACCTACCATATGCATACAATAGGGCGTAGTCCTCGTCGGTCGACGTCCGGCTTGCTTCGGGGTCTTTACGATAGTGGAAGAGACGCGCCAGGAGTCGATCCCGGGCGTGCTCGACGTTGGGAAGAGCATCGCTCAAGGGATATTCCAGCTTCATCGAAGAGGCCATAACTGTTTTAGAGATCAGTTCCAATCCATCGATGCCACTGTGCATTGGACTTTACCTGTCAGCAAATGACTGATCCGGTAAGACAGCTGTTGCCTTTCCTTCACAGTGTATCTCAAGATCGATAATTCTCCCTCGGATGCCGTCATATTCTTGAGCAGTTCCAGGTTGATGGCTACAAAGGCGTCCACCATGCTGCGGGTCCGACGAAGAATATTACCATAGCTAGCATCGGGAAACGCTTCCCTTAGCTCGAACTCGGAACGGGCGGAGACTTGCAGAGACTCCAGGTGTGACAAGAACCGTTCGACCTCTAGCTTCTCCCGGGCGCTCATAAATCCGGCAGACTCCTGTGGGTTGGCCATAGTGGACAAGGGCCCACGCTTCCAGATCAAGCTCAAGCGAAGCCATAGCAGACTCAGTCCATCTTTCAGCCTCTCTCGCGCACTGATCGGCCAGATCATCCGTGTGATAATGATGCCCCAGAGACAGCCCGATAAGACAGCGACTACGCGGTGAAGGGCAATCTCGGTGATAATGGGGCTGTCTCCTCCTTCATCTTGGTCATTCCTTCCTTCTCTTTGAGCAAGTGAATAGGCGTAGAGCACCGAGAGGTTGTATGTTAGCATAATGAATCTGCCCATCGGCCCCTGACCTCGCACAATGATAATGTAAAAATTCCAACTAGCCATGAGCAAGCCTAGAAATGCGAGACCAAACACATTTCCACCGGTGACATACCATGAGAGGATAGCACAACCGGCGCCCAAGCAAGTACCGAGAAATCGAGCGTAGCCCGTCGTGTTCGATGCTCCAATGGTCATGGAACAAACCAACATATATGAAAGTAAACCCCACTCGCCTCTCCAGTGGCCATACACTGGTCGAGTGGACGGAACAAACGCGGGTAAAGCATAAAGCGCAGCGCCGGTGCCGACTTTGATCGCAAACTTGGTGTCGTCCCGGCGAAAAACGCCCAGGGAACGCCACAAGCGATACCCAAGTCGTTGCTTTGCAGGACTTGTTGCGATGGCATTGGATGATAGAGCCGAACTCCCGAGCGGCTTGGGGATACTGGTATCGCCCAACTGAGCCTGCTCCAGTGTGACATCCAATCTTTCCTCCTTTGTTGTCAGGTCTGAGGTCCAGCGCCAGATCTTGAGCCAGTTCCATGATCGGCCATTTGGCCTCTCCTCATTCTCAAGCTGCAGCTCGTCGAGAATGGCGAGAAGCTCTTTCAGCTGTTCCCCAAATTCAAGCAATGAAAAACTGAAGTGCCCGCAGCTAGCAGACACCTCCTCCAGATCAGCCTCAACTGCCAGCGTCTGAATCCCTAGAACTTCTCGTTGCCGATAAATGGTCTTGAGCGCTTCTTCTCGCGAATCTCGGTATAACTCCAGCGCCCGATCAAGACTCGAGCGGTATCGGCTATTGATTGATACTCGATAGTCGTTTTCCGGCTTAAAAGGAATGTCGCGGAATATCTCCTTCAAGGTGAAGGCGAGAGACCTCTAAAGGCCATCATCAGCGTACTTATGGTAAGAACCACCCCGTCAGGTCCACTTACCATCGAGGGCCCCAGATGGCTAATAAATATAGCAAAAATGTCCGCCGGGTGAAGGATCTGCCCCTCTCCAGTACTAACACCATTTTCGGCACAAGCATCGTACCCGGCCCCAGCCGTTGCTTCCAATAACTCTTCTTCCGGTCTCTCATATATAGGTTCCAGGAGCGGACGATCTTCCTGCAATGACCATGGACTAGGTAGCGGAAGAGAACCGAGTCCAAAATTCAAATCTTCTGGCCCCTGGTAGGCAGTCTCAACAGCTTTGGTTTGTTTGAGCAGCTGGAATTGCAGATGAGCAGCACTGCGCAATCCGCCCAGGTTATGTGTGATGTCTTGGACCCAGCGGACCAATGTCTTCTCCAATCTGTATTCCTTTTCTGTGCCTACAACGAAATGCTCCATTTTTGCTTCACGCACAAGCTTGTCCAGCTGACCATATGCTTTTTTATGTCGTGCGGCGGTTTCACGAAATTCCGCCGTTTGAAGCTCCTCTTCCGAGCCACTTAGAAAGCTCTCAGTGATCAATGCCAACATGGTTGCCAAGGTTTCTGTGACTGTGGTGAGGTTTGATCGCAACTGCCTTCTCGCCGATATCGGAAAGATCAAGAAGGACACTGCCATGGAAGCAGTTACGCCCATCACCACCATCTTTAAGACTTGGGAGATCTTTGCAAATGACAGATCACCACTTTGCACCGCGCCTTCCTTTGTCAACACCGTGATGGTAGAAAGAGAAGCCAGAGAACAAGCGACATTGACAAGAGGATCGCCAAGCCTTTGTTTTGTCCATCCAATGAAGCCCAGACCTCCTCCACAAAACACGATCAAGACGACAGCGTGACCGAGGAGGAACATGCCTAAGGTGTCCTGAAAGAACCTCGAGACGAACATGCTGGTTACAGAAACGAGAGCGGCGTAAAGGAACGCGGCGAAAGCACAGATCAAGGCCTTGTACATGCTCCCTTGCGAGCGCGCCGGATGGAAGTAAACTGTAACTGTGGCCACCATGTGTTTGCCATCTTGATGGCCCAAGAATGAGGATATAGCGGGCACAAAGGTCGCGAGGGAGCCGAGCAGATAAGCCAGACTACATTTCAAGACGCCGATTCCCAGTTCTGATGAGAGGAATCCATGCGCTTGCGGGCCTATCTTCTTGACTTTACCCCACAGACGCGCAGGTAGCCTGCTGTGAGAAGTAACAATCTCGCCGCTCAGAAGCGCTCGGCGCTCCTCATCTTCGCTACTGCCATTCAACCCTGAACCCGGATTCCGTAGATGGATAAGACCTTTTAGGCGCTGACCGGTCCGCGGTAGGACAAATGTCGCATATCGCAGCTAGATGCAATTTTCAGAGGCGTCAATTACCGTGGGGATCAAGGCTAAGACGGGGGAGGAAGGGTGGATGAGGGCAGGGAAAGATGCTGAAGATGAATAGCTAACTGGCTGGCTGACCTTTTTGGGGCGTAGAATGCGACGGGAGTTGTTTGAGGAGTCCCCGGACCGAGACATCTTATAACTTCATGATAGTCAACTGGCTTTAGAGGCAAGGGAAAACGCAGATACAAGGAGAGAAGGAGGAGGAGGAGGAAGAGGGGATATATACACAAAAGAAAAAGAAGGGAGAAAAGAGAAGGAAACGATGGCAGACCGGTGAGGAAAGTCAAGCAGGGCAAGGCAATGATGGAAGAACACCAACGACGCCTGGACCATACCTATCTATCTAGCGCTCTCTCTCTCTCTCTCTCTCTAAGAATTCATAAGGCATGCATGACTGGATGAATGACTGGATGATGAATGGATAAGTACAGAGTACTAGGTACTCCGTACGTACTACCTTATTGATGGGTGGAAGCTTGAACAACTTGAAAGTTGGACGCCCGGGCGGTGGAGAGCTAATCATCCGTCCAATGATCAGGTCGTGCGCCCCGGGGTGGGGGGCGTCGATCTAGAATATACAACAGTTAAGTCCGGACGAAGTACGGAGTACGATCAAGTAATGCTCAGTACTGTATGTAGTACGTGTGTATAAGTACATTTGTATTATATGTATTGTATGGTATGTCTCCCCGCTACAAAGTAGGTACTGTACAGTAGAAAGTAGAAAAAAAAGAAAAACGGGATATTCATATATGCTCTAAGACGATGAGGCTTGTTGTCTTCTTTTGAGCTCATGTGCTGTACTGAATGTATGAACAGTCGAAAAAGAGTAAGAGAAGAACTACCACAAAGATCCGATCATGCCAGCCCTTCTACCTTCCACACCTTAATTGCTGCATCCGCTCCAGCCGAGGCAACCTTGGATCCTCCCGCAATCCAAGTAACTCCATTCACACCTTCTCTGTGGGCATTCGATACTTGCAGCCAGTCTCCTGGTTTAGTCAAGCTCCACACAAAGATGTTGGTGTCAAGCCCTCCACTGACCACATGGGTATTGTCCTCGTTCCAAGCGATTGAGGTAACTCGGGAGGTGTGCGCTGTCCACCGGTCAGTGACCAATTGACCATCAGTAGCCTGGTAGACCAGCACGCGGCCCCGAGTATCCCCAACGGCCAGAAGCGAACCATCCACCGAGAACGCCAATGCCGAGATCGCGTTCCGTGATGCCTTGAACTCGGTCTTGGGGGTCAAACCCTGGGCTGAAATGTCGCAGATTAGGACTGAGGAGTCCTCCCCACCTATGGCAGCAAGACTACCATGGGCTGCGACTGTGGTCACGGCAAACTGGGGCTTGAATTCAGCAGACTTTTGCCCATCATGATAGATCTCCACGCTCTCGGTCGTCCCGACTACTATCTTGTCCTTCGCGGTTGCGATGCCCTTGGGTTGGCCAGACAATTTGGCCGAGATGCCAGTATAAGTTTTGGCACCAAGATCAACGGATCGAATCGTATCATCCCAAGCGACGCTGTAGATGCGGCCGGTGCCCTCCCGAGTCGGAGCGAGCCCGGCGATGTAGGCCGTATGTCCGTCCCCTTCCACTTCTTCCGCACATCCCGTGGGCAAATCCCAGTGACAGACCCTCCCGTCAAAGCTACCTGACCATAGTGTCTCTGTGTCGCTACCAGAGCTGAACTGGACTAGGGATGTAATGTTCTTTTGATGGCCCTGGATTATCTGCCGGGGTTTGGGAGTGCCTTCGACGAGGTAATTCAGGTCCCCGCTCAACGAAAGACTGATGAGTAGGTTGTCACTTCTCGCTGGAGGCCATACCACACCAACTTGCTGATCTCGGATGTTTGACGCTCCTTCTTCTCCTAGTTCCCAGCTCTGTGTAACCTTACCCGCTTCTACATCCCAAATCTTCACGGTTCTGTCAGCACTGGCAGTCACAAACTTGCGCGAATCTTTAGCCCACGAGACAGCAAAAATGCTTCCTTTATGCTCGCCATCCCCAATTTGACTTCTCGGCTCACCGGTTTTTCCATCGTATAGCCAGATTTTCCGGTCAGCACCGACACTGACTAATGTTGAGCCATCGGGGCTAAAGCCAACACCGTAGATATAGTTGATGTGCTTGTCTCGGATACCTGTATTGAACTTGAAAGGTGCGCCGTGATAGAAGACGAGATTCTTATCATCACCCGCAGCAGCGGCCCGCAACGGTCTCTGCTGTTTGATGGAAACAGAGTTGATCTGTTGGGTGTGTCCATATATTTCGCCGACTGTGTTACCGCTGTCCCAGGTAATGCAATGCCCGTAACGCTGCTTGCCATCGCCAACTGCAATTATGCGTTGCGAGTCGCCGTCCCAGGCAAGATCATTAATGCGGCCGTTCACAATGCTATATTCACCTTTCGTGATGCCGTCTCCAACACAGTCCCAAACACGCACAATACCGGTCGCATCTCCACTGGCCACATAGAATCCAGAAGGAGAAAAGCGGGCGACTGTTGTCTGGGCCTTGTGTTCAGTATACTGCCTGGCGATGGCCGGGTTGTCTATGGAGCGCAAGAAGATGGACTTGTTCGCCTGTGCGGGTGAATCAAGGGTTGGTCAGTGCCCAAGTAATATTGTAGAATCGATGCCCGGTCAAGACGTACCGCATATGCAAGGCGCTCGCCTTTGGCGTCCGACGAGAGCTGGGTGGGCTGACCCCTCGTAGTGGTGGGGTTGGCAGCCCAGATTGATTCTACAGAGTAGGTAGTCAGCAGGGGGGGGGGAAAGAATTTCGAAGCTAGTCAAGAATAGTTGTTGTAGGCAGACCATTGGTGATTGGCATGACTGGTCCAGCAGACAATATCAGTAATGATGGTAACCTTGTGGGAAGAGTAGTTCTGTTTTGGGAGGCAGCACAGATGGGAGAGGGGTAAAAGGGAAAGTAGAAGATGGGACAAGGGGAAGAAGGAATGTTGTTTACTGTTGACGTAGTGAGGAACCAACTAACTACACATAGTAGTCAACAAGTTAACTAGTACGTCGTTTCGGTTGTTTCGGGGCCTAGGCGCATGAGTGGGCCTGTTCTATGTGTACAGTACGGTGTACTATTGCCGCTGCTTGGTTATGCCTGCATATCTGCCAATTTCTACTCCAATCCTCACAAGGACGTGAGTAGTTATACTCTCAACTACATAAATAGGTTGAACAAATGAGTGCAGCGACTCTATGCCTGGTAACCTAAGAAGTGTTAAGGTATGAGTTCAAATGCCTCGAGAACAAAACCGCGAGCGGAATCGATAGTACAAGTGCATGGTCGCAGCCTCAAAATTGTGAAATCGTCATACTAATTTACAGCACATGCAATAGATCATATCAGAACAGGGTTCAAGAGGCAATAAAAAGAAGAAGCAAATCCGAGCAGACATCACCCAATGCGATGGCTAGAGGTACGTCTCTCAAAATGAGCTGCCTCCCTCCATGCGAGCCTTTGCCTCCGCAGCCAAGATTTCGGGGTGTCGATGCACACTGGGCATTAACCCAAGCCCGATTGCCCTACGAATAGCCTTGCTCATTTTTCGTTGATTGACTGGACGCAGACCCGTGTCGCGGCGGTGTTTGATCCGGCCCATAGGTGACATGTATTCGGACATGATCGAGAAGTTCTATCAGAAGCAGGTACCCAGTAGTCAGCAGTTGAATTTCGCCGCCTGTACGATCTGAGCGTCGAGGTCGTGTTCCACATACCTTGTACAGACTTAAAGGATTCAAGTTCAGAGAAACGAAGATATCGGTGGGCGGTGAGCGGGGCTCGCCCCATTCTCTCATCTGCGCAGGACTGAGATCATGAGGAGCATAAATATCACCGGCCTGCCAGCGACGAGACTGAAACTTCTCCAGGGGTCGGCTTTCGTGGGCAGTCTTCTGCTCGTCGAAAGCAGCTCGACGGGTTGCTCGACGAAGCCTCGGCCGCGAGACTATAATAAAACCATGTACAGTTAGCAAAACCAGTCGCTCGAACGCGTTGTCGGAAGAAGAGGGGCAGAGTAGTGCCCACTTTGCAGGAAAGTCACATACCGTGGTGGTCGGTACTGAGTTGGAAAGATCGCTCAGCGGTCGAGGCAGCACTTGAGGCAGCGGTCGAGTTCCAGCGACGAGCAGACACAGCACTGAGTGTCGAGCCGACGATGCGCAGTTGTGACCATGAGAAGAGTGGTAAAGCCATGCTGGTGAAAAGTCAGATCAATCCGTTGATTGCCTTCAAACGGAGAGATCGAATGTGAAGCTGAGGTGAAATCGATTTTCGCCTGTTCGGGAGGTACGCCAAGAGCCGACCTCCGACAATCATGGAACTTTCCGCCCTCCTTCGTCCGTCTTTTTACATCCGAATCCATCCCCATCCGTCCAACTGGTTCAAGCTACATTACAACAGCCTCAAGTTGCGGACTCCATCCCTGCAAGCCATGGTTCAACGTAGCTCGGCAAGCTCTCAAATACACCTCCGGTTTTTCCTCCCGATTCATTCTTAATCTGTCCCTCAATCCGGTGTTTCGCGAAGCATCGGAACTCCCAAATGCAATCTCATCTCACCCGGCGGGTTTTCCGCGCGATTCTTAACAATGAACCGCTTTCCACTTCGCGCTGCCTCCATCGCTCACTACATACTGTCCGGAGCCATCTGCCTCGCAGGATCACTTTCCTGTCTCTCTCTCATAAACAGCGACGCGGCCTCTTCGCGTACAATGCGATACCCACCGCTAGTGCCCAGCCTGCAACTTTACCCTCTGAGATCGGCCTAAAGCCAATGAGAGACCTCATGAGATCAATCTCCGACAAAAGCAGAGGGCCTAGTTTTGAAATCTTGGCCAATGCCTTCAACGACTTCTTGGACCAACGGGCAGCAATCCCTGGCGTTATCACCGACTTCCATGCCACATTGCTCTCTGTTACCTGGCATTACATGCGAACTCATGCGGAAGAATTGAATCCCGAGGAGTGGCAAAGGACATTATCTACTGAAGCTCTTGAAAACATGCTTTTCGTCCTATCACAGGCAAAGTGTCTCCATGAATCACAATTGACTGTGCGCGAATTGGCTCACGCTGCTTTCTCGGAATTGTGCCGTGACCCGTCGCCCGGTATGAAACATATCAGTCGTTCGGCTTTCATTGCATATATCAACATCCAGGCTTTGAATGGCAGGCCAGATGAAGCGCGCGAAGTCTTGGAGCGTTTCTGGTTCAGATTGAAGACGGCTCGCCCAACTCCTTGGCATGTGGTTATCAAGGGCTTTGCTATCGTAGGTGAGAAGCGCCGCCTAGAACAGACGGTCAAAAACCTTGAGAAATTTGACGTTGAGTTCGAGCAAAAATCGCATGAAGACCTGGTTAAGCTGCTTATCCAAGAGAGACTGCTTGCTGCAACAAAGACAATTTATGAATGCCCCTTGTCGAACGGACAGACACCCACTGTGGCTACCAAAGAGGCTGTTATCAAATATGCAATTCTGAACTCCGAAACCGCGTGGGCGCAGTCAGTGTACGAGTCACTTTCGCATTTACCGGTCACACAGACCCTAGGCATCACCCTTTTCTGGGAAGCTGTGCAAAAGCAGAGTGCATCCGCCGTCTCAGATAAGGCCAGCATCTTGATGGCGGGCGATGAGCTCGCAAGGACAGCCTTGACCATCTCGTGCGTGAACGATCTGATTGAGTACGCAAATGCCATTGAAAACCCTGGTCTAGCAGCCAAATTCGCTGTGTTAGCCTCTCATTGGGGTCTAGAACCAGACGCAAGGACACAACTTCTGCAGTTAGAATCTAGCATTCTAGCGGGCGATATCGGAGGAGCCTTCAGCTCTATGGAGGATCTGCATGATCCGGAAGCGCTAACAGTTGTCAACATGCCACTAATGAACAAATTAGTCAGACTTCTTTGCCGCTCTGGTCAGGACGATGCGATATTTGACCGTATATCAGCCTTTCTGGATCCGTTATTCGAGAATAATGTACGGTTGGAGGCAAGCACCGTGGCAGCGATTACACGCATGCTACTCTACCGCCTTGACTGGGAGGGCGTTTCAGGCCTGCTCAGACCACGCCTCGGCCTGTATGACTCTGAGGAACGGACAATTATTCGCAACTCGCTGGCCAAATTTATAATGGAGCCTTCCCAAAAAGACACCGACGCCTGGGAGGCATATAACTTGTTACTGCTTGCCTTTCCGGAGACCGGTGTCATCTTGCGCACAAATATCATGACCTCGTTCTTCAAACGCCACCGTAGTGACCTCGCTTACCTCGTCTTCGGCCACATGCGACAGGCGGAGGACTTCGCCCGACGACCCAAGCCCGACACCTACGCCCGCTGCTTCGTTGGCATTGCTCGCACCAGATCCGTAAAGCACCTTCAACTCGTGCACAACATGCTCAAACTTGATGTCGAGGTCGATCTGACCACACGCGTGCTCAACGGGCTTATGCTCGCCTACGCCTACTGCGACATGCCCGAGCAGGCAATGAAGGTCTTCCGAGACATACTCCAATCGGATGAGGGCCCGTCCCCCAAGACCATTCGCATCTTCTTCGAGACTTGTGCCAGACACAACAATGGCGTCGATGAGGCCCTTAAGATGATGGACAAGGTCAAACTCTTGGGCATAGAGCGCAGCCGACAATTGTACATGACGTATGTCAAGGCTCTGGCCGCCCACTGTGAGTTCGATCTTGCTACTGAGGCCTTGGAGAAGATGGAGACCGAGACTGGCTTCACGCCGACCCGCAACTCGTTAGTATCCCTCCCTGTCCAGCAGCTTTCTTGTGCTCTGCTTCTTCCTAATGTGATGCTCATGTGCGTTGCTAACTCGTCATTCAGCATCGGCGAATTTTACAATACGATCCCTTATCAACATTGGAAAGATGAGGTGGAGAAGTGGGCTAGAGCCAGATTTCCCGAGCTGTGGGCACAGCTGGAACAGGTCGAACGCACAGAACATGATGAAGGCCAGCAATTCAGTATCGAAACGAAAGAGATTGACGTCGAGACGTGTTAGTCGGATGTACTTTCTGAAAATGGCAAGTGTGTGTATATAATGCATTTCTAGCGGTTTATTAAGGTTCCGATGGGTCGGCGTTCGTTGTTTATAATAACGTACATGCAACTGCACCAAAGTGACATGTCACCACCTGGTGAGATTCGGGAGAGGAGCGGGGAGTTGCGTCGTCTGACGCGACAAAGATTCGAATGTTCCTCAGAGCGTGCTCATTATATGCGAGTACACTTGCGAAGAAAAGACTAGGTGCTCGAATTGCCATCCATGCTACGAGGAGACAAGCGATGTCAATCAAGGGAATCAAGAGCACTATGTATGTCGATGAACAAATCATTATATTAGGCTAGGCTTGTTGGCTTTTCTGTACATCGGACATCCAGTCATAATAAAATATATCCATAACAAACTGCATGCATATGTGCAGCAGACATAACCCCGGAGGATGCAGTGTCACCGTGTGTACTTGCTGCTGGAAGACTCAAGCAGACCATGTATATTCGCCTAGAAATCATGTTTCACGCCTGGGAAATTTGCGCCAGCCGCTTCGTCATGCTGGAGGTGAAATTAGCGAAGCTGAAATAGCCGTAACGGCAAGGAACTTACAAGTCAAAGAAGGAGAATTGACTCGGGCTGCTACCATATTCGTAGACAAACCGACTGGCAAGATAGCTGCCGAAAATAGCCCGTAGGTAGTTCTCCGGCACCCGCTGAAGGATGGTGTCCAGGCCGATCTTATTCAAAAGCAACTTCGGGAGAGCATCATGGAGTACCGAGCGGCGGAGCTCGATGTTGTCCCACAGCTCGGTGTTCTGAAGCTCTTCATCCAGCTTGGTAATCGCGATGCTGAGCTGGTCGCTAAGCACGCTGCGGAGCACCCCAGTCTGCTCATGCTCGCGCCAGATAGCCTCAAACTCCAGAGTGGCATTCTGCTTGATCACCTCTTGCACCTGCTTGACATATTCACTGTAAAAGGCGGGAACAGTGCCGTCCTCACGAATGCACATATTCTCCACAAATTCCGCATCATCGAAGGATAACGAGGCCAGAACCTCCAACGAAGACGAGGTCACGCCGCCCTTGTTGGCGGACGCGTCCTTGAACAGGATGCAGCCGGCACGTTCCAAGCGGAGCTTGCTGTCCTGCGTGATGAATAGATTGGCACCTTCGACGATGTACGGAATAGTGGTTTTGCCATCATTTATCAACTTTCCCACAGTAGACAGGTCAATTGACTCGGGTCGACCACCGCAAGGCACAAAGGTGTCATACTGCTGGTCATTGCGCAGATGGAACAAGTTGCGGAAGATCATTCCATTGTGAACAAGCTCACCGCTGGGCAGTCTCACGTTACTTTCGTCCACCAAAACCCGGTAACCTTGGGGAGAAAGCTTCGACAGGTCAAACTCCGAAATTGTGACCCTGTTTTTAGCCAATCGGACAAGTTCCTCATGGTTAAGACCTTGGGGGTCAACAATAACGCCAGAGCCGTCCACAATGGCGGTGTACTTCTCATTCGCGAGAAGAATCTCGTTGGAGCCCAAATCGCCATCGGGGCCACCAGTCTGCAGCTTGCGAATGGTACTGGGATCTATTTTCAACTTGCGGTAGATTCCAAGGACATACTGACGCACAGATAAGGTCGTCATTCCATAGGTGTCGTGAGGGATACCGCCGAGTCTGGGACTCTTCCCTGTGAAGAAAGACTTCCACCAGGGCGCGCCACGATTCCGGGCATGTTCTGTGGCCCAATCGACCAGCTCTGCCGTATTCTCATCTGGACCCATGAACAAAATCTCGTCTTTGCCGTACAAATCAACAATAGGGTCCTTGATACCGGGGCTGACCGGTGGTAGTAAAAGATCGAGGATACTATCGATATACTTCTCAAAGGCGACACGAGCCTTGTCCTGGTGGTTCACATCGAGCAGGATCACACCCTTGGCACCACCCTCGGGTATATCCTTATTCTTGCGTTGCTGAGTATTCGCCAAGTTATAGTTCTCATCGAAAAGAGACCGGGCGTTGATGCTGTAGGCTTCCTTGTTCCGACTCTTGACGATGCGGATACCTCCGCGGGCAATATCACGGAACCGCAGGTGGAACCCGCGGAATTCGGAGCTAATGACCAAGAACATACCATAGAGAGGCTGAGGATACTCGTGCTCGGGAAGGAAATGAGGATTTAATCGGAAGCTGAGGGCCACCTTGGTGGGTGTGAAAAAGTTTGTCTTGAGAATAGACGCGTTGAACACTCTGAAAGCGCTCATAACCATTTCATCATGCTCGTTGGCAGCTGTGCTCGAGATAAGCTGCTTCAGCTTAGGACCGTCAAGGACCTCGTCTACCTGCAGCCGCAGGTAACTCAGCGTGGGGAGGAAATCATCTTCGGCTGGGCCACGGGTCTGCACGTAGTGAGTGTTGGCAAAGTCGAGGTACAGTTTGTGAATCAACTCTGGATACTTGTTGACGATCTCAGAGATGTAATCTGAGGTAAAGGTCTCAGTACGCAGACGCTTTTTGATTTTAGCCAACAACTCCGCGTGAACGCTGTTGTTGGAGTCCAAAAGGTCAGTTAATGACGTGTATTCCGAGCCTAGGCGGTTCAGGAACTGCTGGACGAAGACCCACGCGCAGTGGGCATAAATCGTCTCCTGCAAGCTGAGACGACCAACTGCAAAATGATGTTGAAAGCGGTTCTGAGGAATGCAATACAAGAGGGAGACCTCCTTGATGATTTGGTGAATCGCCGCCTCGATTGGGGGGAATTTGGCGGCAATTTCTTGATTGGGCAACGGACGGAGATAAAGTGATATCACCGTGATCCCGTTGGAAAAATGCTCCAAGTACTTTCGGGAACTGGTCAGGCGGTAGTAGTGGTATAAGTCAGAGAGAGCACTGAAAAGACCCATGGCCGAGCCTTGCCGATAGGCAATAACCAGTCTTTTCTCGCGACTCTTCTCGATCTCGAACATCTCAATAACCGGACCAGAGCGGCTGACCGCATTGCTGATGATCTCTTGGTAGATAGCTTTGGTGTTCGGGGTTGCCTTCTGCAAGAATCTCTTCTCACCGATGATATCGATGTTGGTCTCGTTGGCGTCCGGGTTGGGGTTGGCGAATTGACACTTGTAAACGAAATAACAACGAAGCTGCTGACCATCATCACCGGGAATCGAGGTGGGCGAGCGGAAAGTCTCTACTCGATAACTATTCTCCGGAGTCGAGCCATTAATATACTTCTTATCGATTCGCGATTCGTAGCGCGGGCCCTCGACAGAAGAGATACCGGGCTTGCTGGTGTCAATATAAACCGCGTGATCCTCGGCCTCCTTGTCCAGTCGGATTTCGAGCTTCTTATCGTCTCGTGCGTACGCGGCAACCTTGGCAGCGTACAAGGACAGGATTTGGGTCACAATGGCCTCAACCGACTCTGTTTGGAAGTAAGTGTCATCAATCCCGAGTTGGTTATAGAACCACTCCGTCTCCCCCACAACGAACTCTAATGGAATGAACCCCTTCTTTTCCAGCTGGTCCATAACTAAATACGCAGGAAGGTCAGATTCTGCCTTGAACACGAGCCCTTAATGCAAGTAGTAACTCACCCTGTTCCATCTGCTTCTCCTTGCCCTCGAATTTGGCAGCAACATAGCCCGGATCTTCCTCAGACAAAATCCGGTGTGAGCCACCTCCGGGAATACCCAGGTGGGTAGGTTGTGGGGATGGTTGACGGATGCTGGAGCCAGCTACACTTTCGAGAATCTTATTGTGAGGGTGACGTTGGAACCCGATGGGGGTACCAGCTCCCGAATAGGCGCCGTCGTTGCTGCCATAGAGCTTGGGACCGGCCCGTACAGGCAGGGTGTTGACGCCGTTAAGTTGACCATCGGGAATGGGCGAGGAAGAAGGTGCAGGGGATACCATGATGAGTCGAGATCTCGAGGCTTGTGTTACAGATTGTAAATTCAGCGGACGATGAGGGACTCGGAAAGTCTGCAATAGTATGAGTACTGCAATCAGCCAGATAAAGCGCGTGGGATGTGCAAGCAATGAAAACCAATGGGAACAAGTCAATTGTATGTGGAAAGGGAAGAGTGAAAGCAAGCAGGGATATATGCAAGAAAATGGTGAGGAATGTACCCGGCTTCAAATCTCGTTCGAGAAAAGTGCAATGAGAATGGATTCTCTAGATTGCTTAGTGGGTAGGCTTGTTAGGCAGAAGGGGGCAGCTTTACAGTTGTCAAGCTCAGCCATGCAATGCAGTCGACACGTCAACTGCAATTGAACCAAGAGATAAGAGGAAAAGATGCGAATACGAGCGCGAGATAGAGGGAGGAAGAGGTTCACGAAAGTAGTGAGTGATATGTGTTCCTCTAGTTGATAAAGAGGACCCGGAAGATAGGAGGGTTGGGGAGAGGAAGAGATCAAAGAGAATATGTTACGAGTAGGATGAACAACTTCATTCACTAGGTGACTGACTGAGTGCTGGGGAAGGTGACTCTTTATACCATTGAATGTTTTTTCTTTTTCCTTCTTAGGAGAGAATAATTTCAGTCAACTATTCTAGAAGGTTTACCAGTACCATGTAATATATTCATCTGGGTGGTAAGGACGGATACGGGGAGTCTACAGAATAGTATTATTTTTATTATAATTATGATGATGATGATGCTGAATGATGTTACGACATGGTAGGCAAGTAACAGTCGCCGGTGCTATGCGATCGGCCAGGAACGGACGGGAAGGGGGGGGGGGGGGGGGGGGGGGGGGCCAAGCAGCTTCCCGGTCCGGGGCAAGCTTGTGGTAACTAAAGTACTCCGTACTTAATGAGTATTGAGACAGTCTCGTATCTGAATTTCGCTCTGCTTTCTACTGTGCAACTTGCCTGAGTACCATATGCTGTGTGGCTGTTCCTTTCTTTCCAGAATTGTTGCGGGCGAGGAGGAAAGGAAATCCCTCACCATTTCGAGGAATCTCTAATCTTTCTTCTTCTTCTTCTTCTTCTTCTTCTTCTTCTTCTTCTTCTTCTCTTTCCTTTTCTTTTCTTTCTGGCCTGGGGAATAGACCGTAATGACAACGATCAAACGACAAAGATTCATCTGAAATGATAACAACGCCAAAGAAGTGGGCCAGACTCACTGCTACGGATGGCGCAAATGAGGCAAAGAGCTGGAGGTTAAGGAAAGAAAATGCCGCAGCTATCATTTTTCATTGGCCTGGAACCCCGAGGTGGAGAGCAGGGGGCCTAATTTTGGAAATTTTCTAATTGTCCGTCTCAGCAGCTGGAGATAAGTAACTAAAGTAAGTTACTAAATTCTCTAGGAGAGATACAGAACTTCTATGTTTGTACTATGTATTAGGTAGTCAGATAGCCAAGAGTGAATGGTGTATATATGTAGTGTTTACTACGAACTGTGGTAGGAGGGGGAAATTTGAGCAAAGAGGGAGGAAGGGCATAAAGCCGTATATTCAGGGACCGTTCCCCCCCTCCTCCTGCTCCACTTACCGGTATACACAGTAGATAATAAATATACACAGTACTCCCGTACTCCGTACATGAGAAGCAAAAGAGAAGTCACTGACCGGCAACATTCCAGGCTGGAGTTGGCTGGCTATGTCAGCTGACCGGACCGGTTCGAATGACCACCCCCACTTGATGTGTCATGGTTTGTGACCGCCCGGTTTCCGCTGCGTAATATGAATCATCGAAAATGCCGCATTGCCCTTCTTGGATTCTCGTCTCGGTGGTTAGGATGATTAGAATTCTGGATATAGAGTTGTCTGAAGCTGTATGATGATTCTTGTTGAGATTAGTGAGTGCTGCGTACGTGACTACACCAATTGAGCTGTGCTGTGAAAGGGGACAACTTCAGTTCTCAGTCTCTGATACTTACTAGTCAAGGTCACTGGAATGAGAAGAATGAAGTCATGCGGAGAAGGAACTAGGCTTAGGTAACGAAACTATTAAAGTCGATCGTTCCTGGATCGACTCCCGATCCAGAACTCCATGGAATTTGAGGAGTGAGAGAGAGGAGAGAAAAGGAAAAGAGCACTCCAACTATTTTGCGGGGAAAGCAATGAAGAATCTGTCCCAATAAGGAATCTGGCTGATTTACGGAGTGAAAAATGGCTCAAATTCGAGTTTCCTTAACTCATAGCCCCGGCAATTACCCCATCAAAACTCAACTTCCCCAACTTTCCCCCGCCCTGTCGGTCCCAGTCCATCTCGGCGGATTGATTTCCTCTCAGGTGGAGTGATTGATGATAGTCTTGCCTTCTGCAGACACCTTACACCGTTCCAAAATGACTGAACTACTGAATTGTGGAATAGAAACCACGATACGATACTTGGCTAACGCAAGTCACTGTCAACTACTGGTCCGGCGACGACACTGCTGACTAGGTACTAGGTAGCTCATTTGGCCTGCCTTGCATAGCCGTCACTCGATTGCTCGGATCAGTCAGCTGCGCACCAGCACGTGGGGCACTTCTCAGGGACCCAGAGTCGACACTCTTGCGATCAGCCCAACCGTTGATCGCCAGTGGAAAACCAGCATGGATGAGCGAGCCCGCAAGACTGGAGCGACGCTCTGAGAGGTTCGGGGTTACAGGGAAAATGCATGACTGACGAGCGGATTCGGCTGGGTGGTCCGAGTCACGCGAATCACGCGCGAATCACGCAAAGAAACGGAAATATATTACAACCATTAAGTAAATATCTCATGATGGCCAGCAGACCTACTCAATGCAGCAAACACTTGTTGATTCTCAAGGCGTGATCCTGACGAAAGCGCACTATTGGGTGCGCGTTCAACCCAACCCTCTGCATCCGTGCCTGATAGTCACTTGTGCCCTATCAATGAGTGCATCTTGTATGGGATCCGTCTTTCGCAATCTCCCGAAGAGGTCGCCTTAGCTGTACGCAAGTGGGCTCAACTTATAGCACCTAGCCTCTTTTTTAAATAATGCCGTCGGGCCAGCGCAACCAAACCTCAAGATATGTAATGAGAACTCGTCTCCCTATACAAGAACGCCGCTCTATGCATATGTGACCTTCAGATCAATTCAAACTGATAATCGGCCATCATGGACAACATTCCGGGAAGCCACCAGCAAACATCTATTTTCAATTCTGGTCTCGCACAAAGAACTAGATCATATCATACATCCACCGCAGCTACCGCTTCTTAATGCTCACGTCAAGGTTGCCTACAACCCACGCGGCTACAAATACCGCAAGAAGGCCTGCCGTGATCGTGACCGGCTTGCGCAATCCATCCCACAGAGAATATTCGTAGGTCACCTAGTGCAGTAGTCAGTTCGGTGGGAGCCAAGCATGCATGATCGATTCGATGCAGTAAACTTACCACAAGTTGGGAGTCGCGAGCTTCGTCAGTCAGTCCATCAACGGTAAGAGTCAATGCCGTCCGCCCAAGAGTGTCCATGAAGGTTTTGTGGTCGGACACGTCGGCCTGGATCTGGCTGGCACTGGGAAGTCCGTTGCTGGAGACCTTCTCAAGCGTCTCCCAGCGAACGTTCCGGGCGCCTTCGGGCAGGATCACCCGAACAACGACTTTCTCGTACTGTATGCCCTCGGTGACCTTGGGTCCTTCAATGAAGGGAACCTTGAGCACGTAAGAGTCAGAGCTGTCGACAGCCCGACGCAGGAAGGCGGAAAGATCGTTGTTCCAGCCGATACGGAAACTGTAATTCCAGCCGCCGAAAATTGGGAACCGCGGACGAAGCTCCAATGAAGCGTCTCGGCTTGGAACCTTTCCAGGACGGTAGCGGCTTGTAGAAACATTGCCGATATCATCGATAAAATAAGGGTCAACAGAGCCAGGTTTCAGGGCATACTTCAACTCGCGGATTGACGAGGATGGAAGCTGCTGGTAGCTGCTCAGAGTCCATTCCACACGCGAAAAATGGTCCAAGAGTTCAGAGCCATTATTGCGCAACCAGTAGCGCTCCTCCGTGGCCAGGTTTCCGCCCCAATGAGACACCTCCAGGTCGCGCTCTAGGAGTGAGGCTGTGATGACTGGCTTGGTGAATTCATAACGAACGGTGATCGGATAGTTGCTTCCGGGAGCCACCTTGGTTGTTTCGTAGGGTCCGTAAGTGTAGCTGGTACCCAGACGTTCCGGGTCCGCACCCGACTTCAAGTCCGTAGTCGTATAATCCGGAACATTGGTGCTGGGAAATTTAAGTTTAGTTTTCTGTGTCACTGTCGTGTATGCCGAAGGGGCGTAGGCAGAGAACGAATAGGTGAGGTATTGTCGGTCCATTTGCTTAACAGCGGCCGGGCGCGGGCTGAAAGAATTGAGCACGGAGTACGAGATTCCTAGAGTAATTTGAGACGAGGGCTTCAGGGGTTCGGAAAAGTGGACGATAAAGTATTGAAGATCCCTGCAAGTTCAAGAGAGACCATACGTTAGTGTTATGTCGCCCAAGGAAGCATTGAGCAAGGCTTGCGGATCAAGCAACCGTGGCTTCGTCGACAGCATTGCCTACGGCCCCCGAGCCATTGGCAGCTAGAATCACCCACTCACCGGCTTGAATCAATTTCGGTGGCTTGCACATCGAGCCTTCCCTTCTCCGGTGCTGATTTATCGCGGACTTCGAGGACCCCAACCTTAGCGTAGAGGTCGGATGGCAAGGCCAAGTAATAGTCACTTTGAGCTTCTTTATCCACATTCTCCACTACGACATTAATTGTCTCGCGAAGATAACTCTTCTCCAGATTGGTGTTTCGAACAAGATTTGTATTCTTGAAAGCCTGAGGGGGCTTAAAGTCGCGGGGTAGAGCGACTGGTGAGCTTGACAAGGTGGAATCGGCGCATACCAAGGTGCTGGATGATAGAAACAGCCCGCATAGCGTTGTGAGTACGGTAAACGGCCTCATTGTGAGAATGGGCGATCGTACAGCAGACCGCGCCTACAGCACAGACTTTCTCGCCACAAAAAAAAAAAGGATCACAAAATGAGGTTGGAAGGATGGGAAGCAAGACAAGAGGAATAGGCGAGCGGGAAAGAGACGCGGAGATGCTGAGGTGTCCCGATTTGGGGTGATTACGAGTTCCGTCCGGACCTCCAGCTAAGTTCCTTCTCCGCCTTTCTTATCATTTTATCTCCCGCATCAGTCGTCTATGTCCTTGTCTCTTTCCCTGTCCCGTCATCCCGGCTCTGAGATGTTCCATCTGGTTTGGAAACCAAAGTCGGATTTCTGTAATTGTCTCTGATATCTCTCACTCGATATAGGACTCTTCAAGTCTTGTGCAACGGCTGTCTGTCAAATGCTCGCCTTTCGACTTGCCGCTCGCACAGGCGGGCGGACAGTGAGAATCTTGGGCGCGTCTCGACGATATCATGGTCTCGCCAACAGCAGTCTGTTTAAAGTATCAGAGGAAGTTCGTGATGCTGTAGCCACTGGAAAACCTGTTGTGGCCCTTGAATCCACCATATACACGCACGGTACAGCCTCCGTCAGAGGCACGCACTAGATTGACCGAGGCATGGCTGACCATGGCAGGATTCCCCTATCCGGAAAGTGTCGCCCTGGCAAATCTGCTGGAATCCGTAGTACGTGCCAATGGCGGTATTCCTGCTACCATCGGCATACTTCACGGGGAAGCGCGGGTTGGCCTCGGCGCAGAAGAGCTCGTCGAATTAGCATCCACTGCGGAGAAAAAGAACGCTTTAAAAGTGTCCCGGAGAGATTTAGGATACATCTGTGGTCTAGTAGGGCAACCCACTGCAGCTTGCTCGAAGAGAATGACTAATTATTCCCAGGGACTGGCTGGCAAAAAGCTACACGGAGGAACCACTGTGTCCGGCACGATGGTACTCGCTCATCTGGCCGGAATCAAGGTCTTTGGCACGGGAGGCTTAGGTCCGTACTTCCAAGTTATAGCGTCATTCAGTCTTGTTGATATACCATAGGCGGAGTACATCGCGGTGGGGAGGACTCGATGGACATCTCCGGTAGGTTCAAATACTTCTTGTGATGGTATTTTCCGCTAATCTCGGCATAGCTGATCTCACCGAATTGGGACGGACGCCGGTGGCAGTCATCAGTTCCGGGTGTAAGAGCTTCCTGGACATTCCGCGTACTCTGGAATATCTCGAGACAGAGGGGGCCTGTGTGGCGACATTTGCCGATGAACGTCAAGGGCTTGTGGATTTCCCAGCCTTCTACACTCGCGACAGTGGGATCAGAAGCCCAAAGACTATTCAGAATGAGGCCGAAGCGGCGGCGATTATCTGTAAGTATAATACCACAAGAAAGGAGAGGCCTACTCTAAACCTCAAGCGGTTTCTCTCTATCTCCAAGCATCGTGAATTTCTGGGATTCTGTGCGAACTGAAGTTACTGATAGTATAACAGACGCACAGACACGTATTCCTGTCTCGTCCGGCATCCTTCTTGCCAATCCTATACCCTTCAAACATTCAATTGCAAGGTGTGAAATGGATGACATCATTGATGAGGCTATTCGTCTTGCTGAGTATGAGGGGCATCGAGGTAGTGACAACACGCCTTTTGTACTGCAAAAGATAAAGGACCTCAGTAATGGAAAGAGTGTGGTAGCCAATCGAGCCCTTGTCGAGGCTAATGTGGAGCGCGCAGCCAAGGTAGCCGTGGAACTCTCCAAACTCGAGCGTTCCGGCGGGTCGTTGAACGAACGGTAAGCATTCATGTTTATGTATCAGAATGAGACACCCTAATGTCAAGATGGTCGGCGCAGACACATGCCAGCTATCTCAGAGACCACTAGGGCTGACCGAGCAACTGCAGAAGCAGAGCTGGACCTCAATCCGAGCACTGAAGCCTTAACAAATCGTGTCACCAAGGCGGAAATCGTTGTGGCTGGCTCATTAGCGATCGATCTGTCTTGTGATTTCTGTCCCACGGAAGCAACAAGCATCTCCCCTATCTTGGAGACGTCGAATCGCGCTGTCATGAAACAAAGCCTTGGTGGTGTTGGTTACAACGTGGCAATCGCGGCAAAATATCTCAAAAGCTCTGTTCTCTTCTGCAGTGTTGTCGGGGATGATCTGAGTGGTCGTACCGCGCTGTCTTCCATTCGTGATGAGAACTTGTCCACAGCCGGCATCCATGTCCTTCCCGCGTCGTCAGGGGCACGTACTGCGCGGTATGTGGCTGTGAATGATACAAAGAAGGACCTCGTTGTGGCCATGGCTGACATGGCCATCATGGAGATGCCCGCGAAAAGCCTAGACTTTGACGGATCTTGGGAGCCGTTGATTGCGCAAGCTCAACCACAGTGGCTGGTTGTAGACGCTAATTGGAGCTCGGAAGTGCTTTCAGAGTGGATGACAATCGCGAAGAAGCATGGGGCTCGAGTGGCCTTCGAACCCGTCTCGACCGGTAAAAGCCGCCGGTTGTTCGGTCAGCGCTCTGCCATTACGCCGTCCCAATGTGTTCCTAATCATAGTGTTAGTCTTGCGACACCCAATCAGATGGAGCTCACAGAGATGTACGCCGCCGCGCGGGATGGTGGCTTCTTTGAGTCCGAGGACTGGTGGCATGTTATTGACGCTATGGGGATGTCGGCATCTGGGTCGCGAGACCGACTGGCCACCATGACCTCAGCCGAGCTCGTGGACCAAGGCATTCCGCAACAAAGCATACAGCTTCTTCCCTTCATTCCGTGTATCATCACAAAGTTGGGCAGGCAAGGAGTCCTCCTGACGCAGCTACTGCGCCCAGGAGACGCGCGACTCACCAAGCCGGATACTGCTCCATATATCCTGTCTCGAGCGCCGATCGATCATGCAGTGATTGGAGGTGTGTATATGCGATTATTCCCCCCGGCAGCGGTACTTGCGGACGAGGACGTTGTCAGCGTTAACGGAGCTGGTGATACTTTGCTCGGAGCGGTGATGACGGGCTTGGCTCGCGGGCACGTGGTAGAAGACGTGTTGCCTTCAGCACAGGAAGCCAGTCTCTTGACGCTTCAGTCCCCTGGAGGCGTTAGTCGCAACCTTGGCACGCTTCCGTTTTTTTGATCTCACAATTTGTATTTGAATCGTATCCAACGATTGATCTATCCCACGCATAAATGACCTAGCTATTGGAACAATTCGAACCCATCAATCTCACTATTTGCTGCCATAGGTAGCTTTAGCCGAGAAATGTGAGAAATGATCAAGTCCACGCTATGTCATTATAGAGTCTACAAGGACAGAGGCCACCATCCCTAGACCTAACTCAAGCGAGAATCCTCTCCACTCCTTCCGCCCCAACTACAGGAATGCGGTCGACGAGTTCTGATCCTGCGCGATTGGGCCCAGTGGCGCTAAATCCCGACGGCACAAGTGCCGGGTCCAACAAGCCGATCTGCATCAGAACGCTTGCTTGATCCCAGTAGACATTGAGACGAGCCAGCTTTCCAGCACAAAAACTCGCCGCCATTACGAGAGCGATGCGCACGGGCCGATCCGTGGGCGGGACAGAGGGTAATAGCCATGGAATCTCTTCGGTGTGGGTGAACGACAGGTGAAGCTCATCGATGATGCGGTCTGCACCTGTTGTGCGCGATAGAAGACGAACCCGTTGATCAGGGGGTCCTGTCGGAAGGAACTGCGTGGTAAAGAACTCAATGAGAGACTTTGAGGTGGTTCCTGGCGAGTATACATAAATTGTATATAGGTTAGATACTGCCTTAGTTCGTACCTCTTTTTCGAAAAAGGGTGGAGAATAAGGAAGAAAGGCAATAGATAGGTGGAGATGGTACAAGGACAGGTGAACAGCTCAGACACTGGTAAAAGGAAGGAGGACAATGCAGCTTTGGCTTGCCTACTCACCTCCCATGAGGGTGGGCACACAATTCACCGATGGAGTGCCCTTAGCCGAATGTTCATCCCCCGAAGCATCGCAGGAGCCCAATGCGTTCAAATGCACGCCACTGCTGCTTCCTACCATCAATCCAACGATCTCAGCTGCCAAGCGCTCGCGCTCGTCCGTTGCCGTGACCGAACCCTCTTGCTCGCCTGCCAGGAGCCAAGCCTCCGACTCCGCCAGACATCGCCAGTATTCTTCCCAGACAGTTTCCACATCCGGAACCTTCCATCCTGCACCGTTTCCGGGCCAGCCAAAGCCGCGTTTCAGAACCTCAAGAGCCCGTGACCAGGCTAGTCGCGCAGCGATTCCGTCGTATGTGGGCGAGCTGGGCTCCGCGAACCCGGCGCTAGACTCCGGGTAGAAGAAAGAGTGGCAGCGGTGGCGCTTGCGGGTATGAGTAGAGGTGGAGGATTTGGTGTCGGCTGAGCAGCGATCTCCGGCGAGATGAATTTGAATGGGAAGAAGAGTCACAGAAGGGGGATACGACGTTGGAGCGGTGGATGACGAGGTTGTAGTATGGGCATTCGTATTGCCCGTAAGGACTTTGCTCACGGGACTGCCGTATGTGTTTATAGAAAGGTGGTCCTGGTCGATGTCGGACTCTTGGGGGTAGTAGGCTACCAGGGCGCAAAGTCGGGGAAAGGGATTAGTAGATGTTGCTGGTTGGTGATGGGACTCGAGAAGCAGTGAGGCAGGCTTGCTGTAAGCTGGTGACGAGCTACTTTAGTTCATGATGTTTACTGTCATTCCGGGCAAGAGATCTGAACCATGCAGCTGCAAAGTGCAAAGGGAGGGTCTCTAACCAACAACAGCATAACGTTCTCCGGGCTCAAGGTCATCTTCTCGTTCCTGCAGGAGATATTCGAGTTCCTTGCGGTCTCGCTCGCGGTCCGTATGATATCGTCCAGGAAATGGTAAGTATTCAACGTCAAACCCCTCTGCACGGAACCGGGCTAAAAGGCCGGCATCGAACTCGGGGGTATCGGATGTCAGATACAACCGTCGGGGAACACCGTGGTCTACTTCTTTGCGACGACGATCAAAACTAGGAGGTGACTGAAGAGGAGTTGTACCGGACGAACTACTGCGGCGTCGTCGGAGATGTTGGCGAAGGCGTTCCATGGAGTAGAACAACAATATAGATATGGGATTGTCGAACCAGAATGAAGCTTAGAGACAATAATAAGTTTGAATCAGTTACAGTCAAGACGTGACAGCAAGAGCGAGACTCATGGAAAGTGGCTCTCAGATATAAGGAAAAGACAATCCGACTCCCTCCATTAGGCAGGCATGCGGCGTGCTGGGCTGACGTCGACGAGTATTGCGGAGTTTCTTGAGTCGACGTGGAACCAGCCGCAGTTCCCTTGGCCTCTTGGAGAAATCACAGAAAAAGATAGTTCAGAATGACGAGCAGGTTGCAATGGAAATTGTTATTGTTTATGGTGTGAAGTGTTAGCGTGTATCTGTATATATCGCTCATAGTCAGTCGTTGGCGTTGAGATTGTTCAGAGCCGTCCCGTTCCGGGGATCCATCCCTTTCTAAATCTAAATGCACACCCTTGGAAGTGAAATCAGCACACGTATGTACAAGCATACCCTCAGCCTTCCATCCTAGATCAGGAGCTATGACGCATCTCCCTTATTGTGATTCGAACCGCGTCAACCACTGGCGCGCCTCCCTTACGTCCTCTGCGCAATCGTTCCCAGCTAGATAACACGCATATGCCGGCCGCTGCAGACTCCGACGCGCCACCTCACAGTCCAGGCGAATGTCCTCCACTAAGGCCTCAAGTGACACATAATCGTACTCGGGTCGGATGTACCCCAAAATCAGGAGGTGTAGGTCTGTGCCATAGAAATCCGGGAGCTTGTGAAACTTCGTAGGACCCCCGTCAGCGGTGGGTGACGGCGCCGACAGAGATGGCATGATATGGATTTCCTAGCAACGGCCGAATCTTAGTCATCGGACAATCGAGTCCGAAACGAGGAAATGCCTTACGATCGACCGCGTCTGGTTTTTATAGAAAGGATTGTACCCGATGCTCAACACAGCTGGTCGGATCGGCGACGAGTCATCCTCTAAGGCAGATCGGGCCGGATCCAACGCCACTACCCCGTAGTAAACGCCCACCTGCAGGGCCGGATATGCAGCGAGGCCCTCGGCCGGGATATTGGCAGTGGGAATACCCAACTGCAACACAAAAAACGCATGGTCAGTACCACACAGCACGTAACTGAGAACATAATTAGCTGAGAATGCGGCGGGCACTCACCTCTTTGCTGCCCCGCCCAAAGCCCTTGATCACCGGACCGGCCAGGCGGATGGGATAGGGAGGCACCGGGCCTCCATCAGGCCCGGTCACAGGATCACGAGGGCCATCCGGTCGCATGGTCGATCTACTGGAGGGAGCAAGAGAGAGGGGAGAAAAGGAGGGGAATTTGAGCTGCACAGTTTCGAGGAAAGAAACAAAAAGATAAAGAAGAGCGAGAAGCGATAAGCAGCTAGAGCAATGCGGGGGAAACCGGCGGGCGGTGAAGCAAGACATCATCACCAACTGGCCAGCCCACCTACTCTAGTACTGTACCTACAGTCCAGTACATACAGCCAGCCGGGTTGCACCACCATGTCCGGCGACAAGTACGTTTACAGTACTATGACATGCGAAGAGAAAAGACTGATATGAAATTGAACGCTTTTATACCATTAACTCCGTACCTCTAATATAAAGGGTAGTATGTGGGAAATCTCGTAATACACTCGCTATTTACTCCATCTCAATGGTGGCAGGGGGCTTGCTGGAAATGTCGTATAAAACACGAGAGACTGGACGGGCATCAGTATGTTATTTATAGTCACCTTAAGATGCACTCAAAAGCGAACTCACCACCGTGGACCTCGTTGATGATGCGGGTGGAGCAACGAGCCAAGAACTCGTTGTCGAAGGGGAAGGCGCGTGCGGTCATGACTGGTAGACAGACCATTATTAGTCAAGGTTAAAAATCTCAGCCCAAGGAAGCAACTTACAATCGGTAGTCTCGACGGCACGCAAGATAATAATCTCAGCATAGACACGCTTATCGCCCTGTTCGAGGATTAGTAAAAGAGATTTTGAACTCTGGTTATGGAGAAGGGGGATCCAGTTCTTACCATGACACCGACAGCCTTACTGGGATCCAAAGCGGCATACGCTTGGGCAATCTTGTCATACAGACCAGCCTCACGAATCATGGAAATGAAAATGTGGTCTGCACGACGAGCAATCTCAACACGCTCGGGGGTAACCTCACCCAAAACACGGATGGCAATACCGGGTCCCGGGAAGGGGTGGCGCATAACCAGCTCGTGAGCAATACCCAGCTGGCGGCCCAGGGCCCGAACCTCATCTTTGAACAGCTCACGGAGAGGCTCAATGAGCTTCATACCCTGACCATCAATCATGCGCTCTGTATCTGGTTAGCCCTGCAATCTTCCCGTGAGGAAGGAATCTGTGACTTACGGGGCAAGCCGCCGACGTTGTGGTGGGTCTTGATGGTGGCAGAAGGACCCTTGAAAGAAATACTCTCAATGACGTCGGGGTAAAGGGTACCCTGCAAGAACCACTTGATCTTAGCACCAGCATGCTCGGCTTCGGCCTCGATCTTCTTGGCCTCTTCCTCGAAGACGTCGATGAAGGTGCCACCAATGAACTTGCGCTTCTTCTCAGGATCGGTGACTCCCTTGAGTCCGTCCAAGAAACGCTGGGAAGCGTCAACCACCGTCAAATTGATGCCCAAGTGCTTGTTGAGGGTCTCGGACACAATCTCGCATTCGTTCAGGCGCATGCATCCGTTGTTAACAAGAACGGCATGGAAACGATCACCAATAGCTTCTTTCATGAGCTTGGCAGCCCTAACAGCAGGTATTAGCACTGGGAGAGGGGGGGGCCAGTAAGGGAATGAAGCCGGGCACTTACACTGTGGAATCAACACCACCGCTGACGGCACCCAATACATGGTCAGTCTCACCAACCAAGTTGCGAATGCGGGAGATTTCCTGGTCGACGAAGCGGGACATGGTCCAGTTCTGTTGAGCACCGCAAATGTCGACGGCGAAATTCTTAAGGAGGGTCGTGCCTAGACCAGTCAATACCTGACAACAGCATCTCGCACAATTCATAGACAAGCGTACCTTTCGGGGTGTGGGTGACCTCGGGGTGGAACTGAACACCATAGATGGGCTTGGATTCGTGGGCAATACCAGCGTACGGGGAATTGGCGGAGGTGGCAATCGTGTGGAAACCCTCGGGCAGCTTAGCCAGCTTGTCGCCGTGGCTCATCCAGACCAGCATGTCATCCTCAATACCGGCAAAGAGCTTGTCAACGTGACCCTGGGAGTCGAGGCGCTTAGCGTTCAAGTCGGCGTGGCCATACTCGCGCTCGGTGCCGGCGATAACGTTGCTCTTGTCCAAGCGGTAAGCAATCTCTTGCAGACCGTAGCAGATACCGAGAATTGGAACTCCAAGATCGAAAAAGGCGGGATCGACGTGGGGAGCTGTAGGCGGGGAAGGGATCCGAATGAGTCAACCGGGCAGGGTAGAATGGAGCTTTCTTGGATCACTTACCGCCCTCCTCATAGACACTGTAGGGACCACCGGAGAGAATGATACCCTTGGGCTTGAAAGGAAGATCGGCTAGCTTCTGAGTGCAAGGGAGCATTTCACTGTAAACATTGATCTCTCTCAGTCTCCGGGTCAGGAGATGAGTCTAGATGATGAGGAGAGTGTCAGTGACTCAGGTTGCAATAGGCGGGGTACATCCCGACACTGAAGGAGGGGGGAGGCGGAGAAGATACTGACATATTGAGAACCAAAGTCCAAGGTGAGTATGGTATCGAAGGTAGCATGGGGAATTTCCTGGTCAGCCATGGTGACGGATCTTTCAATTGCTCGTCCCAATTAAGGAAATGATAGAGGGATTGAATAATGGCGAGGAAAAGAGAGTCGGAGGAGAAACTGCGGGCGCTTTTTTTTTTCTTTTCCCTTCCCGTCGCCTTTCTTTTCCGGGCGGTGAGATGCGCCCGATGGTAGGTTCGCAGGCTAATTGGCTCAAAGTGTCAGGCGGTCTGAGCGATAACGCTAACAGTTATTAATCATTTATGCCATTAGTAATTGAACATAAGTCATTTAAGGCACTAACTACCTAGTAGTTACTGTTCTGTACTCCATACTCCGTATTGTACATAATACGGAGTACATACAGTCATACACAGCAGTCAATAACATAGTCAACAGTACTGCTTAGCTGATCTGATATAAGCTGTCTCCGGCGCTGGTAAAGTATCCCGAACTGAGTTCTGTGTACCTAGTTAGTCCGTAGTGTGTACTAAAAGGAGGAACTCGAGTTCCCGAGGTGCTTTCCAAGCAACAATTCCCCCAGATCATCACAAAGGTTGCGAGAAATTGAGGAGCCCTGCAGCATGGCCCCCATTGGCTATGTTTCTCAAACATGGGCTACACAGTAGAGCAGTGGTGGCGATGCTAAACCTGGCGAGCCGCCCGCTCTGGACTGCGTCCAATAGCCCCATCCCCCGCTAAACTAGTACTACTCAGTAGTCGAAAAAGAAATTAGATACATATTCGATGTGTACTGTGGTATACCTACTACTCAACTCCTTCCCCCTGCAAAGAAATCAAGCCACCCTGCACGTGACTTCCAGACTATTTCCCGTGGGGACCCAATACGAGCCCTCACCCGTGAGAAAAGGGGGGAGGAAAGAACACTACCTACTCCGGGATAGGTACGAAGTAGGTAGATATAGATTACAATATCTGCGAAAAGATGTGGGGTATGAGCTCAGGCTGGCTGTCAGGTATCGTCGAATCAGTACATAGACATGCACGCTTCGACATATCCACTGATTGTTTCATGGCACGATTGCAAACCCTCCATGAAACGGACGAATGAACTGCAGGCAATGCCACTCCAATTACGGAGTACACTTGGCTAGAGAGAGTCTATAATGTGGAGCTTGCACAGGGTTGTCCCTGGCTCAATACGGAGGAAAGGGTCCGCGCGAAATGGGTTAAGCCGCAGACTTGCATGTTTGCCTATGATCCCGCTGCAGCCTTTGGTACCTGACGTTTCCATCAATCAATTGGGCGGCCAAAACCCTCCAGGATTCTCCTCTACCTTAGTTGAGACTAGACTGAACCATACCAGACAGACTCTATTGTCCTTATTATCTGGTATAAGAAATGGGAAATTCCTATCTCCAGACACGATTCCCCTTTCCCTTTTGTTCTGGATTTCTTGTACGTGTAGTGGTGGTGAACCGTTGTCCGCTCTTTTCATCCTTTCATTCTCTGCTGTTATACTTTCGAAGAACATTTTCTATTGTACAGGAAAGAGGACGCTACCTTAGGTCCATCCATTCATTATCTATTTATCAACCGCCAGAATGCGCACCACGACTCTCTTGACCACTGCCGCCACCCTTGGCCTCGCAACCATCACTAATGCCGCCACCACTACTACCATCAACCTCTTCCAGCCTGGTGAGGAGACCATCCCCTACGATGATGTGGAAGCAAGCGTCATCGCTGTCAATGGGGATACCACCACTCTTGCTATCGTTTGCGGTCCTTCAGCCGCTGCATCGACTTGTGCCCTGCACAGCCCAGTTACCATCACCGAGGGTCCTTCGACTTTCACCGTAAGTGCTGTCATCACTTCCACCACCGACGATGCAGCATATACAGTTACCCTCATTGAAGACTGCGATATAACATCGGTAACTCAAGGTGCCTCCTGCTCCATCTCTATGGATTACACCGTCGCCTATAGTGGCATAACCACCTCTTACGCAACCTCTGCGGAAGCCTCATTGGAGGCTAGCTTGATGAAGTACTCGCCTGTGACAGTCACTGCGGGCGCGGACAAGTTATCTGCTAGTGCGAAGGCTACCGGAACCTCGTCTGGCTCATCTAGCAGTGACAACAAGAGTGGCTCTACTACCAGTGCTACTGGAAGCGCTGCGACTCATGCGGCATCTTCCTCCAAGACCTCCTCTGGATCTAGTGCCTCCAGCACCCCCAATGGCGCGGCTGGTCAGAGCACCATGACCCTGGGTGGCGCCTTTGCTGCCGCTTTTATTGGTGTCATCGGCCTTCTGTGAGTGCGAGCAGGGCTTAAATGACTGGATGAACCGTCGCTTGGTATGAAAGACCCTAGCCACCGACAGACGAGGCAGTGATGAACTCTTAACTCCATTCTCTTATTCCCACATACTGGAACATGCACATCTACATGAACATATTCGCACTTCTTCATCTATAATCTCTTAAGTTCTCGAATAGTACGATTCTTCTATGCTGCCCTACTTTGCAGTTCTCCAGTAAAACCAGCAATGACAATGAGCTGCAATGACTGCCACGGCCGAAATTTTGGTTGATTGCTATTTATACACAGATTTGAAGTAACCAATGCATATACGCCGACTAGTCATAGTTGATGCAGTGCAGGCTACCTTTAAAGCGTACAAGTCTTCTCTTTACATGCTAGAGGTTGTACTGTTTACCGTTCACTCTAATATGTAGATAGTATGTATCTACGGAGTACATGACTACAGTAGTAGCAATGATTTAGTTATTTGTATTGTTCCGTGCAATGCAAATCAGGTGATCTTCCGGGGCCCAGTGGAGGAAACTAGTCCCAGACGGGGAAGCAAGGGTGAGAGGGAGTGAGTCCATCACGTCACACGCACACCACCGCTCTGGAAGCGGAGTCACTTTCCAACACCCGGGCGTTTGACAGTGGCTTTTAGTCGTTCTCAACTCCCCCGCATTGATAGAAGGGGGGAAAAAGGATCAGAAATCTGAATATTGATCAAGAGCTTGGTCTCACTTATGTGGAACCATCTGCACTAGTTCGCTAGCTTGCCTATTTTATTCTCCACACATATATACCCTTGGCTACTCATTCTTACAAGCCAACCTATTCCAGTATCTGTCATTATTCTACAAAAGTACTTCGAACTGCAGAGGGTGTGGGTGCTTTTTCCTTATGCCCGCGACGCGACCATCCTTCGCAAGATAGGCAACCCGCCGCCATCGTCTTGCATCACTAGTGAAACTGCTCAGTCCTCTACAGTGATTGCCACTACCTTGAAACTCGCCCCCCCCCCTCTAAAAGATCTCACTTTTTCTGAGCATTTCGCTTACTCTCTTTCTCTCACTGCTCCTTGCTATTTCGACGGATAGAACCTTGAGATGAGCGTCATGGGCGTCATGGCCCATACTTCACTGTCTGTCGTCCTTGTCGCAGCCACTGTAATTGCAGCCCTCACTAATAGGGTTGGAGCATCATCCGTCGGAATTTATCCAGCCTTGAGCGCTTCTCCAACGCCTTCCCCGACTGCTACCACACAAAAATCCGTCTCTTACCCGGCTGCCTCGGACAATGGTGGGAACAATGACGACAATGGAGAATGCAGACTACTTGGTCCCTTTTCGCTGCTGGTGCAGGCTGCACTCGGGGCTCTGGCGCTCTTATCGCTCGTCTACAAGCGCTGGCGGGAGAGACCTCAGCGACCAGTGAAGGTGTGGGCATTTGATGTGTCAAAACAAGTCTTTGGCTCGGCCATGTTGCATCTGGCCAACCTCCTCATGTCAATGTTCTCAGCCGGTCAATTTGAGATTCAAAGCAAATACAAGCCTAACCCATGTTCATTCTATTTACTGAACTTGGGGATAGATGTGAGTGGTCGATCTTAATCCTGGATGGCGTTAAATAGGGACTGGCAACTGATTTCGGCCCCTGCAGACTACTCTGGGTATTCCCATCCTCATCTTCATCTTACACATCTTGAACCGCCTCGCCATGTTCACTCCCCTAGCAAATCCGCCGGAGTCTATTGAGTCTGGAAACTACGGTCGCCCGCCTCGTGCTTCTTGGTGGTTCAAACAGTCGATGATATACTTCCTTGGGCTTCTAGGAATGAAGATTTGTGTCTTCTTCGTCATACAGTTGCTGCCTTTCATAGTCAAGGTGGGCGACTGGGCCCTGCGGTGGACAGAGGGTAACACCGCTATCCAGATTGTCTTCGTCATGCTTCTCTTCCCGGTAATAATGAACGCCATCCAGTATTATATCATCGATACCTTTATCAAAAAGCCACTATCTCTGTCAGAGAATTTTCCCGAGGAAGCGAGCGGCAATGCTGGAGCAGGGGAGCACGATGACGAGCACCGCCATGGACTGCTAGCGGGTCTGGATGATGATGTTTCCTTCGCCTCAGACGATGATGACCCAGTGGGTAAAGATAGGAGAGGACCCGATCTGGAGAGCCCCATTCCAGGTAAGGAAGATCTAGTGCGATTTGGCTCAGTGGAATATCATCCTGCGGCTCATGGCGAATGCAGCTCAGCATCATCAACGACGGTTTCAGCCAAGTCTATCAGCGACCGTGATGGCCTGGGGCTATCATCTTCGTCGGTCAAAGTGAGAGATCAATAAATGGATACGCTTGACGATTTACACACACACACATGCTATCTTACGGGGGGGGGGGCGTTTGTTATTTCTTCGAACATGTTAGTGATTTGAGGTTCGTAAACGCATGGCGCTTGATTATATACACAGCACATACTTGACTCGGCTGCATGAATGAACGCGTATATGAACCATTAGCCATGATAAATTTCAGGTCACAATCATACCAATTCTTTTCCATTTTAGTCTGGCGTATTGTTGTCGACTTATGGAGTCCCTTGCCGACTTTTTGGTGCCTGATTTCAAGGTCACAAAATAGTCCACCGCAAATCTCACCGCCCGCATCTGCCGGCCAAGCGAAAGAAAATTGTTCGGCAACGGGGATCGCATCTGCAAATCTACCTCAGACATTTGCCTCTAACTTTTTGCACCCTCTTCTCTCCTCTCGCCTGCCCGTGAATCTATTTTGCAGTATATATTCGACTTCTCATACCTCGTCCGGCGTCCTCACCCGGAGAAGGTGGACCAGCCCACAATGCCCAAAACTAGCGTTAAGGAAAAGTCCCGCCAAAAGTCCGAAGACGCCTCTTCGCACTTGGTCTACGAGGCGGGTAAACCTATTCGCGCCCAGAATGATGACGACGATTTAACCAGCAGTGAAGGGAGCAGCGATGAGGATGTGCCCGAGAAGGACGAGGCGGAACTGAAGCTGGAACAGATGCTCTTCGGCGACGACGATGGTTTCCTTGGCGCGCTGAAGACCCAGAATGAGCGCGGTTTGGTTCTGGCTGATCAAAGCGATGAAGAAATGGCAGATGGTGATGAACCAGCGGAAGATGATGAAGAGCAAGATCTAAGCAAAATGGCTGACTCCGATGTATGCGATGTTCTTTTGGCTCCCGCAACAAGAATGTGCTAACAGACCTGACTCGGTACAGCTTTTCTTCCTTGATTCCGGACCAGGACCGGTTTCCGATTATATTGGCGAGGCACCTTCAGTCCCGTCTGACGAAGAGGGTAGCGATGAAGAGACCAATGGCCTGCCCGCATTGTGGCATGATAGCGACGACGAGCGCATTACGATCTCGCTGGCAAGTCACCAGCGGTTGCGCAAGCTGCGCGTTGCGGAGTCAGAAGACGTGATCAGCGGCAAGGAATACATCCGCCGACTGCGCAGGCAATTCATCCAGCTTAACCCGTTGCCCGACTGGGCGAATCCCGAGAAAAACCACGAGAAGAACGACTCGGGTGCCGACGACATGGATACGGATGACGAGGAGCTCTCGTCCACGCAGCCTCTCGCGAAACTGCTTCAAGGTGCCACAGACCTCGTCAAACTGGAGGACAATACAGGCCCCAGTGGTAAGAGAAAGATGCGTCAGGAGGTAATTGACATTGCAAGACTCAAGGACGTCGGCAAGGACCAGCCGGTAAGTGTGATCCCTGTCGTTGTATGTCTCACAGGAAACTAAAGAGAGATTCATAGTCGTCCATCGATTCACTTTCTTTCCACCCGCATTATCCACTGCTTCTCTCCTCCGGACAGGCAGCCACTCTCTTCCTGCATCACATCTCGCCCTCCGCCCCGGTTCCGAACCCCCTTCTCACCTCCTTCCACATCCGCCACACGCCGATCCACACTTCTGCATTTCACATGCCCAGCGGAAACCGCATCTTTGCGTCGGGACGTCGACGATACTTCCATATCTGGGATCTGGAAACTGGCAAGGTGGACAAGGTCAATGGCACCTCAGACCGTAAAGAAGAGCAGAAGACGATGGAGCGCTTTAAGCTGTCTCCGTGCGGACGGTTTGTGGGATTGGTGGGCTCGTCCCGCAAAGGTGGTGGTCTCATCAACATCCTCGACTCCAACACGGCGCAGTGGATTGCGCAGGTCCGCGTGGACGGCCGGGGCGGTGTGTCGGATTTTGCTTGGTGGGGTGACGGGGAGGGTTTGACGGTGGTGAGCAAGAGTGGTGAAGTCTCGGAATGGAACAGACGCGTGAACCGAGTGGTGGCCCGCTGGATGGACGCCGGTGCGGTGGGCACGACGGTCCTCAGCCTGGGCGGACGGTCCGGACGCACTCAACTTGGCGGCGATCGCTGGGTCGCCATCGGCAGCTCGAGTGGGATTGTTAACGTATATGACCGCCGGGAATGGGCGGCCGCATATGCCAAAGCTGCGTCGAACGGCGGGGACGAGACCACTCAGACCTTCATCCCTCGGAACCCCGACCCCGTGCGTGTACTGGACCAGCTCACCACGCCGATTAGCCACCTGGTCTTCGCACCGGATGGACAGTTCTTCGTGATGGCGAGTCGCTGGAAGCGCGATGCGCTGAGAATCGGTATGTTGCCTCCCCATTTCTTATCCACGTTTGAAGCAGAGGATGATTCGCTCACTCACAAATCTCTTAGTCCACCTCCCCAGCTGTACGGTCTACCGCAACTGGCCGACCTCCAACACCCCTCTTGGCCGGATCTCAGCCGTGGCCATCTCGCCCAACTCGGAGCAGTTGGCCGTAGGTAATGAGCAGGGCCGGATTCGTTTGTGGGAAATTCGCGGGTGAGACGACGGGGAGCTCCTTATGCAGTTGAACATTACTGTGGCATATAGACGTGTTGTATGATTTCCACCCGGGTGAAAGTGGCATGCATATAAAAAGTAATTGCGCTTGGAAACCAGCTCTCACTTTCGTATCGGTTACGCAACCTGCCAACCTTTTGTAAACCAACAACGCAGTCACACTTGACAGATTCATAAATTCGGATCTAATAATACTAATCATAATAATAATAGTCTGAGCGATAGATACTGAAGAAAACCCCCACAAAGTCAAATGCTGTCCCCCTCTCTCTCCTCCGCACACTTGCTCTCCCTTCTCCTCTTGTCCATTGCTTTTCCATTCATCTTGGCCAGATCGATAAGCCTCGGCCGCCCACCACCATCAATGCGAAAGAGACTAGTTCTAATCTAACGCAGCTAGACAGGCGGGCGAATGGCCGTTAGCACCACGGCCCTCGAAGGTAGCCCAGACATGGACGGTCCGATGTAGACAAACCCCAGTCGCAACAGACAGACTGTAAGGGTCGGGCAGGAGAGCGAGATATCCCAAGACAGAAATTTAAAGACCAAGACTACCAAGGTCACCGAGACCAAGCTACAACAAAGATCATCGCAGACACCACGGGTCAGCTGAGGGTTGGCTGAGAAGAGGGCAAATCACACAAAGACACTTACGGAGCCTAGTATGCCGCTGAGCTGTTTTCGTTTCGAGAAGGTTAGCTAGAGAGAGAGACGCTGGGGTAGAAATCTCCTTACAAAGTCTTGATCGCTTTCTGACTATATCAATCGAAAAAAGTCTTGTTAGCAACTTGCAACAGTAGCATCTCCTTCCCAGTCGGCAAGGGAGAATTTGGGAAACGTACATCCTGCTTGGCAGCCTTCTTACTCGGTTGGGGAGTGCTGCTAGACTTGCTGCTAGTGCTACTGCTGCTGCTGCTGGGCTTGGAAGAAGGCGAAGTTGTGGAGGACGACTCCTTGGGGGTAGGTTGAGTGGCGCTGTCGGGACTGTCCTCCATTGAGCTCATACTCATCGGCGAGCTGGCCATCCCCATATCGCCGTGAGGAAGAGCCAGGGCCCCCGTGGCTGTCAGAGCAGCAGTGGCGAGAAGAGCGAGAGAGAGCTTCATGATGATCGGAAAATGAGAGACGAGTTTGGAAAAGAGTCAAGTAGCGAAAGTGGGGGGAAAGAAAGAAAGAAAGGAAGGAACGAAGGTAGAAATGACAAAGAGAGGGAAGAAGGGGGGGTGCGTTTGGGTGTATTTATTTAGGGCTCATTCAATGGTCTGGGTTGGTGACATACCAGCAGAAAAGGAACATTCGAGGGATAGGGAGAGGGTTTTAGGTTTGATGATTTTACACTGGCATCTCAACTCCACTTCTCACAGATCACGATTCACGCTGCACGCCCCTTTTGAGAAGGGCAATTCAGGGTTGGCTGTGAGGGATGCCGCCGCGTAGCTGGAATGTCTGTCTGACTGTCCCTTTGCTCCCTTTCAGCCACTTCCGCGTGCAAATGGGATCCCATCAACATTCTCCCTTCGATGCTCTCGATCAGCACAATTTAAACCATGGAAGGTATGCATGCCTTATTGCCGTTGATCGACAACACTTCCAATCACTCATATTCATCCGGTATACCCACTTGTAGCTGTATATACTCTTGCTCTTTTCCTCTTCTATCATTATCATCATCATCCACTACCAAACCCCCTCCCCCCCAATCCTCCAAGCGAAAAAGAAACCTCAATGAAATCAGCCGCTTTCAAGCACCACGCTGCAAACTCGAAATAAAATCCAAAATGGCCTCTTCTCCACTTTCACATATTTACAAAAGGGTCTTCATCTCGTTCGTGTCGCGGATACCCACCACATTGCCGGCCTTGACACGCTTCAGAGTCAAAGCAGCGATCAGAGCAGCACCAACACCGGAACCATCCTCGGCAGCCTGAATACAAACCTTGTCCTGCTCCTGGGGGGCCCAGTCAAGGATCTCCCGCAATGCCTGGGCCCCACGGGCCTTAAAGTGCGGGTACTTGGTGAACACGGAACCATCGGCACCCACGTGGCACGACTCGATGTTCTTCTTCTTGCAGATAGCAGCAACGCCACAGGCCGAGAGACGAGCTGCACGCGTACCAATCAGCTCGGCAAGGCGGCGGATCATTTCCAACTCGGACTGAGTCGCCTTGATCTTGAGCTTGCGCTCCAAAAGCTCCTCCGTCTCCTGCAGGTTCTCGTAAGGATCCTCCTCAATGGCAGCCAAGAAGGACGAATCCAGGAGGTAGGGCTTGCGCAGCTCCGAGGTATTCTGACCGTTGAAGATTAGGCCAGGGTGAGTCTCCAAGAGGTCAACCAGGGCGAGACGGAAGATCTCACCCAAGTACAGACCGGCAGTCATCTTCTCGAAGGCCTGCTGGCCGGGACGGGGAGAGTCCCGGTCGATGATATGATCGTATTTGGTGAGCGGGAGCACGATGTGCTCGTTGTCGAAGGCACCATACTCGCAGTTGATGGCCACGGGCATATCGGCAGGCAGGTTCATGTGAGCCAGCTTGGGAATGGAGCCCGCATTCTCCATGTACGCAGCGTTGACACCGGTACCGAAGATGCAGCCGATCTTCATAGCGGGATCGGTGTAAGCGGACGCAATGAGAGTTCCGGTAGTATCGTTGATTAGGGCGGCCACCTTGATCGGCAGTCCCTGCAAGTGGCGACAACATCACATTAGCGCGTCTCCTTCAGCACATGCACATGGAGAACACCCACCTTCTCCTTGAGAATTTTCTCTAGAGGAGGAACAACGTCATGACCCTCAACTCCATCAATGTCAAAGCCCTTGGTCCAACGCTGCAAGACACCGTGGTCGATGTAATCCTGGGTAGCGGGATAAGAGAAGGTGAAACCCAGAGGGAGCTTGGAAATTTCTTCGCCCTCGTGGTGAGATTCAATGAACTGTTGCAGGCAATCGGCGATGTATTCCCACAACTCTTCCGCAGTGCCGGTCCTGAGCTCCTCGGGCATGCGGTATTTAGACTGGGTAATATCGAAGCCCCCCTTCTCCTTCGTCAAGGTGATTTCACAAACCCGCAAGTTGGTGCCACCCATATCCAGGGCAAGGAAAGTTCCCTGCTCATCACCATCAGGGAATCCCATGACCCAGGTGACGTTCATGGGCTGATGCGGAGTCGGCCGGTTAGTCCATTGTAATCCTTATCGGTGGAAGTCCAGTGCCCGCCCGGTCAGGCCATACTCACAATGTTACCACCCTCGACACTCAGACCTGTTCAAAGTTCGATTCATACCTGGTCAGCTTTGCGCAAGGAAAGATTAAATTTGTTGGGGTTTGCTTGATCATCGCATTGGATGTGATATGATTGTACTTGACTGGTTGTTCTTGTTGTTGAGGGGAGGGAAGCTCTATGACGTACCTTTCTCCAACTCCTTGACAAAGTGGTCGACAACCTTCTTGAGGGTGGCCCGGTCAACGGTGAACATCTCCTCAAACTCCTTGATCTGCTGCAGGAGGTTCTGAGGCACATCGGCCATGGATCCTATAACCGGGGGGAAGTCAAAGTGAGCATCGGCATCCCGAGGGGAGAGGAAGGGGGGGGGGGGAAGAGATGATGAGACGTACCCTTACGGGAAGGGGGACGCTTGGGACCAAGTCCGACCATTGTGAAGATTATGTGATTAGAGTGATAGTAGTGAAGGATGAGGATGAAAGTAAGAGAGGGTAAGAGAGAGAGAGAGAGAGAGAGAGAGAGAAAACAACAGCAGCGAGAGACAGACCGAGACACGGCGATGACGACGTGGGGCAAAAGGTCGGGTTTGGCGGGGAAAATTATCGGGGGCTGAGTTGCTGGCCACTCGGCGCTTTGTGCTCCTCCTCACCGGTGACTGGCTTGGGTCGCAGCAGCGGGTCAAAATAAAAAATAAATACGATGGAAGTTGTAAGGAAGACTAGTTCTTGAACCCCTTCTTTGCTCTTGTTGTTATACGATTGAGTTAAGATGGTAAACCTGAGACGGAGTTGGACTGTCCCACTTCTTCCCTCCTGCGGAGAATTAAGGAATGCTCCGATGGTGATTCGGAGGAGAAAGGTGGAGGAGGAGGTGGTGATGGTTGGGGGTGGGGGAGGAATGGATTAGGGCTGGAAATTGTCTGTCTTCCACCCCGGAGCATTGAGTTTCTATCCAATTGCGTTTGTATTTCTACTCCCATCATTACTATATGCAGTACTATAACTCTTTGTCTTGGAAGGTCTTGAGTTGTCTCGATAGAATCGTCAGCATCATCATCAGGGTCATCATTAATTATCATCAGCAGCGCACCCACAGTCAACACACGCCCGATCCGGACGGACGGAGGGGTTGACCAGCCACTCAAACCCATTTTGCTCCTTTCTCATAGGAATCCAACCCCGTCTTCGGCAAAGACCACACACTCTCGCTATTAGTATTTAGGCTTTTTCCGGTCTGCCTTCTCTCGTGGTCCGTGCTAGATGGGGGAAGACATGGGCCAGCCTGTCGGTGCTTGTCTCCCCCGCATGCGAGCTTTCGCTGTTATTCGCCGGATTGGTTCGATCTGCGCGATCCGCTGTCCCCGCGACAGGTCCTCCTAATTGTTGTCGAACACGTTTTTCGTACTCCTGCGAGATCCCTAGCGTGCGATCGACTTCTTCCGTGAGACGCTCAACTTCCTCTTGTAATTTCTCCTCGCGCGTCCGAAGCGGGGTAGCCTCTGCCGTCTGTGCGCCGCATTCCTCCGGCAAGTTGGTGGCCTCCCACAGCGCCTCCAACTCCTCTTCCCAGCCCAATGCGCGCGCCAATCGACGCACCCCGGTATCGCAATCGCCCAGAACCAGGACGTCGTCGGGGCGCGATCCCAATCCTCCGACCCGCTCCATGTTGATTAGTACCCGCGGCACCCCATCACGGCAAAACTGAGGTAAACTGGCAAATGGTTGCACCGTCAAACTGGTGCCCATCACAATGCAGAGATCGGCCTGTTCGGGCAAATCGCGGCTGTCAAAAAAGTCCGACGGTAGCGCCTCCCCGAAGAAAACGATGTCCGGCTTCACAAGCCCGTTACACTGTTGACAGTGAGGTACCTCGCCTGCGGCAATGGCTGCCTTCATCTGGTCCCCCGGATAATCCGCCTTGCAGTCGATACACCGCTGGGTGGCGAAGCTTCCGTGAGCCTCGACGATCATCTCCCCCGGCACCCCCGCCAAACGCTCAAGGCAGTCAATATTCTGCGAGAAATGTTTTAGTAGGCGCCCCTTGTCGTAGAGCAATTTGATAAACGAGTGTGCGATCGTGGGACGGTATCGACCGGGAGCGATCTCGCGGGCCAGAGTGTAGAATGGCTTAGGGTTCTCGCGGAAGAAACTGATGTCAAACACGGCTTCGGGATCGGGCAGGTCTAAGTAGGCCAGATTGGAGTAAATGCCTGTATCGGGGGAGCGAAAATCGGGAATGCCGGCCGAGGTGCTGATGCCTGCGCCCACCTGAATGCCGGGGGAGCCCTCTCGTCAGCCATGGCTTCGCATCGGATCTGGAAATGCCTTACCATCACTACGATGCGTCGCACGTCTTTCTCGAGGACGTACTTGGCGACTGCCTCGATCGTGCGCTTCTCCAGCACGGACGGGTGAGTCTTCTCATCCACGACATTGGAGGAAGATTCGTTGCCCATGATGCGCGCCACACGACGGACTCGAGGCTGTGGTTGGTGGGAATAGGGACGAAGGGCAATAATTCGTACTCAGCTGTAGCTCCAGCGCGTCAGTAAAAGTGCGCTCGGCTCGAGACACAGAGCAAAGCAGCAGGAAGTGGCGTGCAATGCAATGGAAGAAATTCTGGAGATGACGTCGAGACGCAAAACGGCCGATTTCCGAGAAAAGAGAAGGCTTTAAGTGAAGCGGGCCCTCTGCCGCTGACCGCCTTCCGTGATAACTACGGCTATGTTGTTATCAAATCCCAGGCTTCGATGGACTCCATTTGACACAATTCCTGCGGTCCAGCAAGTCGCTGCTCCTTCCTCATGCCCGACAATGGTCAATTCACCGCTTGGCACAGCTAATGGCTATTCTCACGCCGAATCCAGCCCCAGCAATACCCCTACTACCGTCTACAACGCCAGCTCCGTCGCCGAGATCAAGGCCACGCTGTCTCACCTACACGAGCAAGAAGCCTCGGTGACCGCTCGCCTAGATGCGTTTGTTGCTTCTCAGAAAGACTTCTCGCGAGAACTCGGACGTTTGGATTTGCTTCGCGCAAATCTAGGCTCTCAAACTAGTACCACGCGAGCCATCAGCCATGGCATGCTCGCCGATGCGGCTACCACTGCCGACCGCATTTCCAGCGCGGTCCGCCGGCTGGATCGCGAACAATCCCGAGTCAAAGCCACTCTAGCTGTGGTAGATCAGGTCGCGGAACTCAAGGCATGTGTACTGGGGGTGGCTGGCTCGATGGGGGCTCCGCAGGACTGGGAGACCGCGGCGAGTTACCTGCACCGCGCGGCCAAGATCCCTTCCGAGGTGGTGCATGGGGCTTTTGCGGCGGAGATGGTGCCCACCGCGGAGGTGCCTGACCCGCCCCATGTCACCCTCGACAACGCCGCCGAGTCCCTCTGCGGTCTCTTCCTGCGCGAATTCGACAAGGCGGTTCAGGAGAATAACGGTGCTCGTATCACTCGCTTTTTCAAGCTCTTCCCTCTCATTGGCCGCTCCGAGGTCGGCCTTGACGTCTATGGCCGCTATGTCTGTCAGGGTGTGGCCGCTCGCGCTCGAACCAATCTTAATGCTGCCGGCGGCCAGGCCAAAGATGGCTTCTTCTACGCCAGCGTACTCACGAAGTTGTTTGAACATATCGCCCAAATCATCGACGGCCATGGTGGCCTCGTCGAGCGTCATTACGGCCCGCGCAAGATGAATCGCGTCATCGAGCGTCTCCAGCTGGAGGCTGATGTCCAGGGTGGCATCATCCTTGACACCTGGAGCGACGAGCGCCACGTAGATCGCAAGCTGACTGATATCAAGTCTTATGCCTTCACCTTCCTCGTTCAGAGCTTCTTACCGCCTCCGCGCGGCGGTGGCACCCCTCGATCCAACTCGCCTGCGACCCGCGATGGAGCGGCCGAGGACGAGGGCGTCGACATGAAGGAGATCGACGGGCTACTCAACGAGATGGCCGTAATGCTAGGACGCTGGTCTCTATACTGCCGCTTCCTAGCAGATACCTGCAATGTAGGTTGCCTTTCAGTGGTTCCCACGCTATTATCTGACGCCGAAAACTTGCCAGCCTCCTGGCGAGAAAGATTCCACAGACCAGTTCGCCCTGCCCGAGTTTCTCCGCGAGTCCGCTCTTGCGAACAAGATCAACGACCGTCTCGCTGCCCCTTTCAACGCCATGACCACCTTCTTCTTCCGCCGATCGGTTGAGAAAGCTTTCCAGCTCGACGAGCAACCATCCGGTCTGACCCTCAATCCGCATAAACCTCTCAAAGCCGACCCGCCACACATCACCTCAGCCGTTGATGACATCATGTACATTGTCAACAAAGTCATTCAGCAGTCTTTAGCCACCTCGCAGATGAACGTCGTCACCACTGTCGTCCCGACAGTTTCGCGTGTGCTTGGCTCCGACTTCATTGGCATGACCCAACGGAAGATGCGAGACGAATGCTATCCGCGCGCCGCGGTTCAAGGCGCGACACCCCCGGAATCCCTCACCATCTCCTTCCTTGTGCTCATCAACAACCTCGATGTCGCGGTGGATTACAGCCGACGCATTCTTCACAAACACACCGAAAAGAAGGGTACCAGCCAGTCCGAGCCCTCGTCCACCACTACCACCGATCCCATACAGGCCCTGTTTCCGAGCCCTACGGAAGCCCAATTGGTCACTCAAACCCTGCATTCCCTCGCCAGCTCTTTTGAATCCAAGGTCACCGATCTCCTCACCGACGGCATCCAAGTTGTGTTCAATAACGTCATCAAACACCGCCTCAGACCTATCCTATCTGACGCCTTCCGCGACATCGAATATCAACCTCGAGACGACACTGATCCGGTCCGCACGACCTACAATGCCCCGGTACCCACGAGCATGAACGAATACTACGACTCGGACGACCCAATCATCGGATCCACCGGTGCGGCGACCGCCGACGGGGAGGCCGACCCGGGGGCGGCGGAGCTGGTCGGCCCGCGCTTTGCGACCGCATGGAACGAGCTTCTTCTCCCCATCAGCCGCATCCTCACCACCTCGGCCTTCGACCGTCTTCTGACCATTACAGTGGCCTATCTGGCCCGTCTCCTGGAGAAACGACTGTGGAGCTACCACGGCCGGGTCAATGCGCTCGGTGCGACGCGGCTCGAGCGCGATGTCTCCGGCGTGGTCAGCGCGGCGGTGGACGTGGGTGGCTCGCAAGGCCGGTATCGACACCGTGACGCGTTTGTGCGGTGCCTGCAGATGGTGCTGGTGATGGGGATGGATGAGGACGAATGGGACGACGTGATGCGGGGCGGAGAGACGGCGGAAGTCGTCGAGAAGTTGAGCAGGGAGGAGAGGATGCGGGTCCGGGCTATGGTTCGCCGAGCTTAGACCTCTTCCCCACTGCTGGCTCGTGAGGGCAAGAAAGAGTCAACACCGCTGGAGATGAGTTAGCATAGAACGGGAGGCATAGGGAATCCCCGGCTGTGTGCGGGGGAGGGATGTCGTATATAGATAGATGGATGGATGACTAGGGGTAGATTGTCACAAATACAATTCACATGTATTTTCATTCAAAGTTCTTCTGCATGCATAGCTACTTATTAGTACCTGCATAGGGCGTTGCACCCTTGGAAATACCCATGTCATCAAAGCTCATTATTGATTTGCTGGAGTTCTCTGCACTTCTGCCACGTGAAATCCCCACGCCGGGGAGGAGAGACCCGCTGACCATGTGACTCTGACTAAAAATGACCTGCACGAGGCCCTGAGAAGCTTGTTTCTTTTCCCGGTGGGCCGCACCGCAAATCCGAGGATGCTGAGTCGGAACGTCAATCAAGTCCCTCTTGACTGGTGTCATCTACAAATTGTGCACACTGAAGCCTTTATGTAAATAATCAAATCTATGCTTGTGCTGGTATCATTCCTGAACACTGGTGAGTTCCGCCCGCCAGCTAAAGAAGTAATATATACAAACCGCCCAGCAGGTAGGTATACAGATCCCGCGGGTGTACTGATCCCCATATGACGCCATGTAAATAGATATCAAAAACGCGATACCCGGACCAGAAAATTATACAATGAAAAGGTGGACAAACGATAAAACTTTGCTCAAGGGGAAGGCGACGCTGGATATCATAACAGAGCAACAATGGAAGGGGGAAAAGACAAAACAAGGAGTAGGCGAGATGCTCATCAAGTCGCGATTTTCTCCTGCATAGGAGCTGCAGGTACCGGCTCACTGACGGGAACGGGCTCGTGCGCCGGATGGTGCTCGGCCACTTGGCGCGGCGCCGGTGCCATCTTAATCTCCTGGATGCCCGAGTCGCCTTCGCTGCAACCGCGACTATCCACGCCAACCGGGGCGTGGCCGTCCAGCATCATTTCACTGTGCTCGCCAATACCGTAGCGGGCCGCAGCAGGGATTTCATGGCCGTCCTCCAACTGATCGTGCTTCTGTGGGGTCCAAGCCAGGTAGTCACGACGAACTTCCACATAGTCATAGGCAAATTCACCCAATTGATCATCATCCATACCCAGGAGTTCCGCTTCCTCCGAGGCGCGCAGCTTGAGACCGGGGATGGCGTTGATAGCGTATGCAATTATGGCGGACATGACGAAGGCATAGGCGCAAGTGGCCACGACGTAGGCGATTTGAATGTATAGTTGCTTCCAGTTGTGAATCACCCAACCACCCGAGCGAGATCCCGTGTTCACCCCGTCGAGTCCGACGATCGCATCATCCGCGAAGAAGGCGTTGAAGATCAGACCGACAACACCCGCAATTCCGTGTTCGGCAAGCACATCCATGGAGTCGTCAATTCCCACCCAGTATTTCACTGCGCTTGTTAGAATCGGTGCCATCATTCCGGAACGGGAGGTGAAACTTACCCTTGGTGGAGTAGTTGCAGACAATGCCAGTAACAACACCTAGAATCACACTGGCCCATGGAGGGATAAATCCCGAGGCTGGGGTAGCTGCGACGAGGCCAGAAATAGTACCAGAACACCAACCGACCATGGACCATTTGCGTGCCAGACGCCAATCAAGCAACACCCAGGTCATAGCCGCGAAGGCACCCGTCAGATTAGTGTTCCAGCAGGCCATGGTGGCACGCAGATTAGCGCCAAAGGCCGAGCCACCGTTGAAGCCCAACCATCCAAACCAAAGAAAGACAGTGCCCAACAAGATAAGTGAGACGTTGTGTGGGCGGAAATTGAGCATCATCCTTTCCTGTCGGCGACCAAGAACCATCGAGTAGGCAAAAGCAGACAACCCAGACCCAATCTCGACGGGACCACCGCCAGCGTAATCCAAGACGCCATACTTGTACGCCCAACCATTAACATTCCAGGCCCAGCATGCCAAGGGGCAGTAGACGATGGTGGCCCATATGAAAACGAACACCATGGCTGGCAGCATCCGACCTCGTTCCGCTACAGCTCCCATGATGATCGCTGCTGTCACACCGCAGAATTGCATCTGGTCACCAAGAAATGTCAGTGATCCGGCTCCGAAACCGTAGAGACCGCGGCGGAGAATCCTACCTGATAAAAGGCATACAGCAGATTTGGAACGAGTGGAGATCCAGGACTGGGATCGGCGAGCGTCTTCATGAGACCGAAGTTGCGTAAGTTGCCGATGTATCCATTGGTGGCCGTGGGCGAAAAGGCGAGGGAGTAGCCCCAGAAGTACCATTGAAACGTGACGACGGAGAAGGAAGCCATACAGGCCCAGATCATGCTGAGAGCCGATTTTCGACGCGCAAGACCAGAATAAAGAAAGGCTAGACCGGGAATCATGACCATTACCATGGCAGAGGACACGATGATGAACGCCTGGTCACCGGACTGAAACCATTTGTTCAGGTTTTCCGTTCCTACGAGGAGTCTTAGCATCGATATGAGGGGCAATAGGAGGCTAGCTAGCCCGCAGAGTCACGTACGAGAATTACCTCCCAGTTCATTGGTAGCAAGAGCTTCGTAATCCGAGGGTGCGCCCGTCCAGTTGTATGACGCATATTTGGGAATGTAAACACCCACATTGCCCGACATTTTGACAATATGGAGATCAGTCTAGTTGAAAAGAACAAGCAATCAGGGTCGTATGGACGCAAAGGCCGGAGAGTGAGTCGGGTCACCACCGCCCGAATTGTCCTCAAGCTGAGAACTGGCGGATGGCGCAGGAGGTCAAATGACGAAATGGACCAGTGGCAAGTTGTCGACAGATGTCCAGTACTCTAGTTTCCGGGGTGCGTAAGGATGTGATATCCCTGAAGGGGAGAACTCGAGAGATATTAAGCACTAGGATAGGATGTGGAGGAAGGGCGTGACAACGGAGGAATTGGAAGGGGAGGAAGAAGTCTGGATCGTAGACGATGTCAATCCGAGATCGGAGTGTGGGTGAGCAGAATGTTAGTGGGGAAGAGGAAGAGAGTATATGGAGAGGGTGAGAGAAGAAGAGGGTGAAGGAGGGGAGGAAAGAGGGAATGGAGAGGCGAGGCGGAAGAAGAGGATGAAGTAAGTCGAGAGTAGAGGATTGTGTAAAAAGTAGGAAGAAGAGATATGCGTAGTAGAACAACTCCGCCGTCGGATGTGGAGAAGGAGAAACCGCCACAGGGCGGAGGCGTGGGCAAGATATAAGTACGAAGTGTAATTGACTGGCAACGAGTTTCTGGAAAGACACCGGAGTGGGTCGAATGAAACCACAGGACGATTGAGTAAGTAGTGACTGGTAGATGGTCGGGTGGTCTGGTAGATATACGGAGTAGAGTGAGAAAGGCTCCCTGGATTTCCCTGAAGGTCTTTTCTGTTTCTGCTCTGAATTGAAGCAAGAATGGATCCCGATCCCCCCCGTTGGGCACCGGAAGGTCAAGGTGGAGCTTTTTTTCACGGCGAGCCGAAGGATTGCTCTACTCCCCAGGCACAGATGAAACCGGTCGGCCCTGTCTTGCGTTCGGGAGAAGACAGTGAAAGAGAGAGAGAGAGAGACTTTTAACCGATCTTTGATTGACCTCTGTAGACGGATGGAGGAAGCTGTATTAGAAGAAGGTGAGAACAAGAATGATGAAATGGAAACAGATGCTCTGCTCCTTGATGGCTGGAAATAAAAAGGCTGTCCGAAAAAAAAAAAAAAAAAAAAAAAAAAAAAAAAAAAAAAAAAAAAAAAAAAAAAAAAAAAAAAAAAAAAAAAAAAAAAGAAAAAAAAAAAAAAAAAAAAAAAAAAAAAAAAAAAAAAAAAAAAAAAAAAAAAAAAAAAAAAGAGAGAGAAGAAAAGAAAAAAAGAAACAAAAAGAGGGCCAAGAAAATCCAATGAAGTAAAAAAGAAAAATAATTAATGAGCGATAACGAACAAGAGGTTCAAAGAGTTGAAAAATCAAATGGGATAAAATAAACTCGGGCCCGGCGATCTTCGACTGAAGGGCGAACGAACCCTTGCAACTTTCCGTTCTGGGGGGATTCATACATACGGAGTACATACACAGTAGTATATACTATACTATAACCCAGTACAGTTTCACCATCCATCTTTCCATTCATCAATGGGAGAAGCAAAGCAGTCTAGACTTCTAGTAGCATTCAGCTGCTAGTCATCTCTCATCGTTCATCATTGCTTGTCGTCTATCCCCATCAACTTCATTCTGTCAATTTCCCACCCTGTCGATTTCCCTCGTGGCAAAAAAACAGCCGGACGGGAACGGGGCAGACCACCCCGAAGTCGGTGCCACCTCTTCTTCTTCCCTTTCCCGACCTATGGCATAGTATACCTTTGTAGGCATACTTATCCAATGGACAGGGAATTTATCCTGACTGTTGCACGACTGCGGAGGAAATCCTGGGGTCAACAGATAAGCTGATCGCCCTTCCAGCTGTAAATGACCGTCATCACTCATCATCATCATCATGCGCCTTCAATTTCGGTGTCGCAATCAAGGTTACGAGATCCCATCCCGCTCGCCTGCACTGGCCTCATCATTGGCCCCTGCGATGCAATAGGACAGTCGAGTCTTGAAAGCAGGTGGCTTGAGGGCAGGGCCGTTGGCCTCGGAAGATTGTACTGCAGAGACGCCATGTACAATTGGTAGGTACTGTACACGACTGACAATGAGGTCCTGAGGTCCGACTTGTCTGCAGAGAACAATATCTAGACTTTCAAGGAGACAGAAGGGCTCGATGTATTTGTATTTATGTCTACAGCCCTCGGGCAGCTACGGTAGGAAGATACTACCTACCTACCTAGCTACGTATCATGCATCTATCCTATCGACCTGGCTTCCCTATCGGTCCTTTCCGACGATAACAGACGGACAATGATCGGATTTGCGGGATTGCTCCTGTGAAGGGCTCAATTGACTGTTACTGTGTAGGTGGCAGTGGCTCGCGTGTGATTCCATGCATCATAGTTTTGAGGTGGTCAGTCACACTGAGAGGCATCCCATCATTGAGAGCGGTACCCACGCAGTCGTTCGGTCATCTATCTTTCATCTGGTGCAGCAGTGTCGATCCCAAGGTTGAAGGTTTCACGGTTTGAGATTCGCCTGGCTTCTGTCTGGAGGAATATCCACTCAGCCTGTTCCGTGGATGGAAAAGATAAAAAAGATACGGAGTATTTGGTCTTATCAGAGGTGGTTTCTCTGAGCTCATCATTGCTTGGGAACGATTGGCTGAGAGAAGACGATAAGGTGCTGCACGCCACCCAAGCCGGGATGGGGCTCCACTAATGCCGGAAAGAGATTCGTCCAGGCATCAAGCGGCTTCATCGTGCTGATAACAAGAAGCTTGGCCAATGGCAATCCCCTTGGCACAGGATAGACTACCCTAAATCACCCGTGGCCTATTGAAGCCTTAGGCCGACATAAGCAAGCCGGAACCCCTGCGTTTAAGTCAACTGAGGTGGTACGGAGAACGGAGTAGTTACCGTGTAACTGGTAACCTAGTCCTCGAGGTTGACGAAATCCTCTTCTAAGAATCACATACATATAAGAGAGGAAGAGGAGCATGTTGAGTCGTAGCCAGGCAGAAGAGACGATCTATACTCCGTAGATCGCAAGTACACACACAGTACGTGGTAACAACGTACAGTAACTACATCAGCACCCTGTCCCTGGGCGCTCGTGCCTGGGCCCATCGGGATTCCAGTCGGCTCTTCTACCAATCCTGCAGGTTTAGACTACATCGTAGTACATACACCACTGCAGAAGTCCTAGGAAGTCAGGGCTCTACCGGTAGGATTTAAACCGGACATAGAGGGAGGCAAAGCCTGGGTGCGGAGGTATGGAGTCCTTCCAGCTTGACCCCACTTTCTCGTCTTCTTGCTCCTCTCTCGAATCTTACTAAGGCACGGTGGTGGATCGTACATTGCCCGCCCCAAAACCCATCTAGGCATCTGCTATCGATCCTTGGTAGTGTTTGCCGCGGGCGAGGCAATGTTGCAGGAGACTAATGAATAGCCTTTGATTGCCTTACCGGTCACAAGAAGACATCCATTCAATCTGCTAGCTGAACGACATTGTCCAGGAAATCCGATAGTAGCGGACCATCTTAGTAGACAATGATCACTCCTCAAGCAGGCATGCTTGGCCAGCAACAAGCTGGTCGATCTAGTGAAATCACCAAGTGGGCAGAGGAGAATCATGCCAACCAAGTGCCGGAGGTCTCCGAAAGACTCGGCGGGCCGGCGGCGAGTGCAAGAGCGAGAGGCGCGTAACCCGCGGAGAGGGCATTCCGACTCTTTCCGAGCGGACATCGGGAACTCGCGGGAGCCAGAGCGCCCAGCCCGCATCGTTGGTCCGGCATGCTGTAGAAGGTGAGCGTCGAGAGGAATGGGACGGAACGGAGTACATACAAGGCCAAGACAGAAAGAATCAAAAACGAAAAAATGAGGTAGGGCCCGAACCGCGATTCGAACGCGGGACCTCGCGCATATTCTGGTTTATACTGAATGGAGCTTGTGGGAACAAGCGACACTCAATGACCCCGAAGCGCGAATCATACCACTAGACCATCCGGGCTATGATGATGTAATTAACATACTTTGTAGGATATTATCCGAAATTGCAGTGTGATTTGCTCTCGTCAAATCCGTCCAACTGGCTGCTGGGCTTTACAACTCCACATGTTAATGTCTTATCGTTTAATGGCGCTGAGTATGGGTTCGAGTTATATTCGTGTACAGTTCATATGGGTCGGTGTTGTGTCCAGGGCAAGTCAAAGTGGTGAGGATGGAAGTTAGAATAGACATAAGAAATAATGAGGGAAGAACAAAACGGACTTGGGGGTGAGGGGGGCAAAGAACCTGAATATTTTGTGGGCCTAGAGAAAGCACGGAACCTCTGACATTCGCATCTCGAGCTGGCTAGTGAAGTCAGTAGCGTAGAAATGGGTTGTGGTCGTGCTTGTGGCCCGAATACGGCTTCTTCTGGGATTGCTATTGGGGTCTCTCTGGTGTCTTCTATCCAAGCAAGCCCTTCGTCCCCTGGAGTTGCGGGTCTTGTCTGGTATAGGACTTGCAACTCGAGCCAGGAGCCTGGCATGATATCCGCATAGTTCGAGGGTGTATGGTTAAAGGGTGTGTGTGCTAGATCACTTGAATTGACGGTGCTTACTTCCAATTTCATGTCTTGAATTTATATGGCTCTAGGCCCGCCATTTATATTTACCACCAGTTGCCACAATGCGTAGTTGCTAGCAGGCCTTGATATTGTCGAGTTGTGAATGTAATACCACTATAGCGTGCCCCTGTTGATATGGCCTGCGTCGCTTGATCCCGTCGTCGCATTCATTCGACGTTGTGACCATCGCGCAAACTGCATTGTTGCATGCGCAGAGTGGGTAACATAGTCTAACATAGATCGCCGCCACTTGTATATACTCCCATTGGTCAAACGATGCCTTACTATCAACATCGGCCCCTATGTGCCGAGTGGCAATAGACTTATCACAGGGACTTTGATGAAGCTTGGACCCGTATTGCCAGGGAGATAGACAAAGTGAATCACCATTACCTGCAGAACTGCAATGAGTATAAAGGGGGGTCAAGAAGTTCTTTTTGCGCTGTAATGACAGAGCCAAGCGTATCATTAACAGCAAGGCCTGCTGGCCCAATGGTAAGGCGCTTGACTACGAATCAAGAGATTGCAGGTTCGAGCCCTGCGTAGGTCATTATATTTTGCTTTTTCTTTTTCTTAACCTATTAAATCAGTCAGAACAGAACAGGTCTGTCTAATCATGCAAATCCGAGCTCTCGAAGCAGCATATACAGTACAGTACAATAGGTTCAAGCAATGGACACAGTACCAACGAAGACCTTATATCATACATTCTGTTATTTCTGCAAAGCTATTATCAGCTCCGATAGATCCAATTATAGATAGACCTCAAGGCCCAAGCATTCGAAATAGTCCATACAGCTCAGTACACCAGGTCCAAGCAACAGACATAGCACTAGCGAGTGCGATTGTCATATGTGACCTGTGAGACCGCATATGTTAATGGCCCATAAAATACAACTCTTGAGGTCAGACCCACAACATTACCAGTCGTGAGCTTCCATTTGTCCAAAGGCGTCCACCCATAGCTGGCATGCAGCTGAGGGACCGTCTACCCCGATCTTCCCCAACAGCTTCGAATTTTAAACGCTGCTGTTGAGTAGAATATATCCTTTAATGCAAATGCTAGCCATACACGCGTTTCTCTATCCGTCAATATCAAGATACATAACCTTAGCAGTTGCTTTAAACACATCCAAGCCATAGTGACATTAATTACCCGGAGACTCGAACACGACCAATACCCATACTTGTGTACGTATCAGACATTGGAGCTGTATCCCACCCCCACGGCCCTTCGCCGCTGCAGAGCCATATAATACTTCCGTGCCTCATCTACCCAGAACACACTGCTGGAAATACATACCAGCTTGAAAAGGTGCGCCAGGTTCAGCGCCTCCGTCTGAAATACCCGCTGCAAGAATGGTAGGTAGATGACACACGCCTGGCCAGCTAAAGAGCCCAGCACGGCGTAGTTAAACATCTTATTGCCAAAGAGCGGAATCTCGCCCCGCAGCACTGACTTGCCCTCACTGCGACAGGTTAGGGCGTTGAACATATCGAACAGTACAAAGCATGTGAATGTCATTGTTGTGTCGTGGGCGGTGACCACGCGCGCACGTTTGCCGGGATGACCGATATCATCGACATCGCCCATCTCATAAACGTAGATAGCCAAGGTCCCGAGCATGATTACGATTGCCGAAGTAAGAACCCTCTGAATAAGTGGTCTTGTTAGGACACGAGCTGACCTCGGACGTGGAGGGCGGTTCATGATAGAAGGATCGACTGGCTCGACGCCCAGAGACTGCGCTGGGGGCCCATCCATGAGAATGTCTAGCCAAAATAGATCAGCACAGTCAAAAAAGTTCCTAGTGAAAGGGCTACCCACTAATCCAAAGGATCTGCATCGCATTTAATGGATTCTTGAAGCCCAAAGTTGTGCTCAACAGTACGAGACTAAGAGCAGCCACACTAGTGCTGAGCTGGAAGGTGATGAAGTTCTGGATGTTATAGAAGATACCCTTGCCCTGCTCGATGGCTCGAAGAATGGTTGAGAAGTCGTCGTCAGTCAAGATCATATCCGCCGCCTCCTTGGCAACGTCCGTTCCCAGCTTGCCCATAGAGATTCCAATGTCCGCCTTTTTCAAAGCTGGTGCATCGTTGACACCGTCTCCCGTCATGGCCACCACGTCTCCGCGGGCCTGCAAGGCGCGAACTAGCTTCATCTTATGATCTGGACTCGTGCGGGCGAAGATCGAAGTAGAGGCAATCACCTGAGACAGTTCGGTAGTGCTCATTCGCTCGATTTCCTCACCACTGATGACGGGTCGAAAACCCGGGGCATTGTTGATGGGCATTCCCAGCTTCTTAGCGATAGCGACTGCAGTGGTCTCGGCATCTCCAGTGATCATGATGATTCGCACCCCTCCAGCCATCAACCGCCGAATAGATTTGTGCACATCCTTGCGAGGAGGATCATTCATGCCTACCAACCCAGCAAAGACGAGTCCGGTGTACCGATCATCATCATCGCCTTGACTAGTGCGTGATACGGGGGTACCGGATCGGCTGCCAAGAGTTCTCCCCTTCACACCATCCCTGGATACACCACTAGCGAAACCGAGGACTCTTAGGCCTTCCAATGCCATATGCTCCGCCGCCTGCCGTACGGTTTGCCGTCGAGGTTCATCCAGGATCACTTCCCGTCCATCCTTGGTCAGGTAGGTATCGCAACGCGCGAGAACCTGCTCAAGTGCACCCTTGATATAGGCCATGTTAGTGCCTCCCGGAGCGGCGACTGAGGTTGATTCGCCAGGTGTGCCGCTGCCAATAATCACACCCATCCATTTGCGCTCGGAGCTAAAGGGGGTTTCTGCAACGCGAGCGCTGATTCGATCGCGCACATCGTCCTCACCAAATATATCCAGTAGGTCGAGTATAGCAACATCAGTCGGCTGCCCAACCCATCTGCTCCGAACACTTCCCGAAGCCGTGTCATCAGTTGAAGATAGTACGGCAGCAGAGGATGCACTGGCCGGGGAATTTGCATGTACACGGGATAATCTGGCATTATTGGCAATGTTGCCGATGCGAAGCACAGTCCGGGCCGCGGGACCTGGGGTCAGCGATGCAATGTCGTTATGTACCTCAAATGGCTCCGCGCAATCGAAGTGCCACATTTTGGTGACAGTCATATGATTTAGAGTTAGCGTACCGGTTTTGTCACTGCATACAACATTGACTGAGCCCAAAGTCTCGACACTGGGCAGCCTTCGCATGATAGCTCCTCTCTTGGCCATGCGCAATACTCCCAGTGCCAAAGTCACCGTAACAATGATTGGAAGTCCTTCCGGAATCGCGGCAACCGCGAGCGAGACACCAATAGTGAACATCTCGAGAAGCTTCCGACCCTGAATCAATCCAATCACAACAATCAATCCAATAACACCGAACGATATGTAGCTCAACTCTTGACCGAGCCGATCCATTGACAGCTGCAGGGGAGTTCGTGGGCTTTCGATTTCCTGAAGCGAGGCCGAAATGCTACCAAATTCTGTCTGCGCACCAGTTCCAATGACAATCCCCTGTCCATATCCGGAGCGTACCAAAGTCCCCATGAACGCGATATTGTGTTGTTCATTCAATCGAATATCTGCGCCAACGGCGCCGCTGGCGGGGGCATCGTATAATGGCGATCGAGGGGGTTGTAACGAGACGGGCTTCGAACTGCGAATGGCGTCCGAATACTTGACCACTGGTTCATTCTCGCCAGTCAGATTGGATTCGTCAATGGCTAAATCCGTGGCTGCTGTAATCCTGATATCGGCTGGGATACGGTCTCCAACGGTGAATAAAACCAAATCACCAGGCACCAATTCGTTTGCTGGGACCGTGGTTGACGCTTTGACGGCGTTAGAGATAGACGGACTCTTGCTTTGAAGCTCCTGCAGTTCGACCTCTCCATTGACTGCCGGGACCGAACTTGCCATAGGGGGCCCATTCGAGGGAATATCGCGAATCAGATGCGCATGGTGCGGGACGAGACGGTTCAAAGCTTCGAGAGACTTTTCCGACCGGTATTCCTGGACGAAGCCGACGCTGACGACGATCGTGACGGCGAGGGTAATGCTGATTGCATCGTCGTAATTACCCATGATGAAGGATATACCTGCAGAGGCCAGAAGCAGCAGGATCAGAGTCTCGCGAAACTGCTTCAGAAAGCGGAGCCATATAGGCTCCGGGTCTTCATGAGGTAATTCGTTTGGTCCATCGCGTGCGAGTCGAACCTCCGCCTCCGCGGGGGTCAATCCATGAATGAGAGAGGTTTGCAATCGCTCAGCAGTTTCTTGGGGGCTCAGTAAGGAATACGTCGAGGTGGATGTCTATCGTGGACGCGGTGACGGAAATTAGCCAGGCTTGCGATTCATAATAGCTATAGGCATGTCGGGACAAATCTTCATTGTCGAGAATCTTATCCACTTACTGATGGGGCTATAGTAGAGCGCACGCCCGCAGGCGTCGTCGACTGAGGCCTTGAATCGGTCCGGGCATTATGAAGAGGTAGCGCGGGCGTTTCGGACCTTGACATTTCTCATGCTTTGTCCGTACGGAAGGGGAAAATTTGAAGTCCCAAGTAGATCAAGCGCCAGCTGTTATCATCCCGTCGGGAACCGAATTTGACCTGAGTGTATGGGGGTGGCGGCTATTGGATAGGGGAAGAAAGGGTGAAGAAATTCAGATCACAGGAAAATTGCAAGACGGCCGGCACGGCGAGAAAGCCACGTTCTAGTACTCGTAGGCGCGAATTGGCCGTAACTGCATCGATAATAGTTCAGGTGGTTGAAAGCCAGGATGGGGGGAGGGGGGTCACTAAGTGGGCACAGGGGATAGGGCCGTGCAGTGAGGAGAGAGGGTCGGGATCGCGCCCACTGATTCGAGTACTGTGTAAGTTGTGGATTAGTTAGTACGTATACTGTACGAAGGTACTGATTGCACAATGAGGACGTTGCTAGTATGTGAGCTGAATTTGAAATTGGTGAAGCAAGAGCGATAGTCAAAACCAAGTAGAAGGAATGTAGAGAACTTGACTCTGAAAGGAGAGTTCTTGTTACAAGCAGGTCAAATAAGTTAAGCTTGGAAGAGTTGGTTCCATTGAGTATCGAATAAGTCAAGTCTTTTGCTGCCTCTTTGGGACTTTCTTTTCGCTTTTCCCCATCTAGACTAGTGTTTCCGGATGACGCGTTGATCCGTGGGAATCGCATCGGGGATAGTGTGAGCCGCAGAAGCAGCTGACAAAAGAGAGACATACCACGTGATCCCAGCCATCTGTCCTGTTACCAATCAGCTGACAAGGGATTTTCAGAGAGAGAGAGAGAGAGAGAGAGAGAGAGAGAAGAGGAGGCTGGGATAATTACCGTAGGTATTTCTGGTATTGTACCACACTCCCCGTACTCCGTACAGTAACCTCAGGTAATTTGGTTGACTGACCGACCGATTATTTGCTGCCGTGTGTTGTTCATGGACGGTTTTATCAGTCCTTTCCCGCCTTGGAGACCACCCCCCGGTACGCGCTCTCTTGTTTCCTTCTATCCCACCTTTCATCCTACATCTCTCTTCCTTCGAAACCCCCCTCCCCCAAAACCCAACCGCCTGCTTTTCTTGTTTCTGACGAAACTCGTTCATCTTCCCGTTTCCCCTCCAACCTATTTTTGTTGTAGAGGTTATGCTGAGGTCGCAACCTACGCGACTACCATTCAACCACATTTAGTCACCTCTATTTAGTTCGAATCGGTCGTGTCAGTGTGGTCACACCCAACTCAAACGCCGTAGGGGGCGAAGCACTACTCGCTGATCCTTTTGTTTTCGGCTCCCGGCGCGTCATCGTACGTTGGTTGCCAGGGAGTTAACTCTTCACTAACACCTTCATCCCTCCGCTCTCCCCCGCTCCGGGCGGGTTTTATTTGGAAAGGCTTCCTCTTATCGCTGGATTCCTTTACTCTTTATCTTGGCCTGATTTCTATCTTTTCATCGCCGATATGTTCTACTCGGAGACGCTTCTGTCGAAGACCGGGCCGCTGGCCCGCGTTTGGCTGTCCGCTAACTTAGAACGCAAGCTTTCCAAGTCGCATATTCTGCAGTCCGACATCGAAAGTAGTGTTAGCGCTATTGTTGATCAAGGCCAGGCGCCTATGGCCCTGCGACTGAGTGGTCAGCTGCTTTTGGGAGTGGTCCGCATCTATAGCCGCAAAGCGCGCTATCTTTTGGATGACTGCAATGAGGCTCTTATGAAGATCAAAATGGTATGTCTGGCTGTGATATGCATATATCGAACGGTTTGTCGCTAATTACCTGACTGTACAGGCTTTTCGCCTAACGAACAACAACGACTTGACGACCACGGTCGTTGCCCCCGGTGGCATCACATTGCCTGATGTACTCACTGAATCCGACCTCTTCATGAACCTGGACTCAGCCCTTCTCATACCGCAGTCGCTCAACTTGGAACCTGAAGGCAAGCGACCCGGCTCTATAGATTTTGGTAGTCAACTCCTCCCTGATACTGGCTTGCGGCGCTCGGCCTCCCAGGAACCAGCGCGCCTCGAGGACCACACTTTGGTTGATCTGGACTTGGGAGAAGACGAAACACCATTGGGTCACGACTTCAGTATGGAAGTTGGTCGAGATGCTCCCGCCCCACGTCCAGTTGAAGAAGATCTTTTTAGTGACGGAGGGAAATTCAATGATGTCGACAATTTGCAATTGGACCTTGACCTTGGCGAAGACGATGCGCCCTTGGACAAAATGGATCTCGGCGATGACGGTTTTCACGACAATCTCATGCAGTTGGACGATCCTATGGACTTTGGAGGCGCCGAAGAAGCTGTCCCCGATGCCGATGAGAGATTTGAACGTGAAAGCACTGTTCTGACCGATATGTCGGAGGAACAAGTAAATCGGCTTCTGGATTCGGACGAAGAGGCAGCAGCGCACGAAGACAGAGATGAAGAAGACGGGGAAGAGACAATTGCTCAACACGAACAACGAGCCAAGCGGCGGAAGGTGTTCGTCATGGGTCTTGACGAAGACGCCGATTATCCCCAGAGCCAAATGAAAGACCGGGGTAAGGACTGCGCACATATCATGAAACCCTCCTCTTGGCTACCCCGCGACCCTGTGCTCTTGACCCTGATGAATATGCAAAAGAACGGTGATTTCGTGTCAAGCGTGCTCGGTGGTGATCGCGGACGTGGCTGGGCTCCTGAACTCAGGGGCCTGCTTTCGTTCGACACGGTTCAGAAGGCTGGTGAATTGAAGCGAAAGCGTGACAGTGGAATTGCGGACATGGACGTGGAGGCGGCCACCGCTCCCGCCTTGGAGCTCGGCGAAGAAGAAACCATTCTGCCGATTGATGAAGGCGTGGGAATGGATTCTACACTCCATCAGCGCTCGGACATTGAATTTCCAGGTGACGAGGAAGACCACCACGGTCTGCACTTGAGCGAAGACGAGGGATTGGATCATACTTTGGAAGAAACCGATGATATGATCGTTCAAGATAGTGGTCCCGTCTCGCTGGGCACGAAGCACGCTGTTCACATTCTCCGTGAACGCCTTGGAGAATCAGCCGAGGCACAGAAGAAAAGCGTCAAGTTCCAGGAAATCTTACCGGAAAAGAAGGCCTCGAAGGCCGATGCGACCAAGATGTTCTTTGAGGTCCTCGTTTTGGCGACCAAGGATGCTGTTCAGGTTGAGCAACGCCCCGAGGTTGTTGGTGGCCCCCTCAAGATCCGCGGTAAGCGGGCTCTCTGGGGCTCGTGGGCCGAGGAGGGTGCCAGCGAGGAGTCGGCTTCTCAGGTCACACCGGCTACCGCTTAAATCATGAGATGACTTTTTTTTCTCTGTGTGTTCATGTATATCCTTGACTTCAGGCTGAATGAGAGAGTGAGTTCATGGGGGTGGAATAGGTGAATTGTGTACGTGATGCCCTTGGAGACTGGTTGTGTATCGTTGCTTATGTCATTGTGGAATCGATTGGCGTTTTGGAGGTTCATTATCTGTCTGCTTGGGATCGAAAAGGTGGGCTATCAAATGGCTTTTGCCAAAGAGCAGGGATCTTGCTCTGCGGGTCTTCAAGGGGGGTCGAAGATTGTGTTCAGGTGATAGCTAAGGAATACCTTTAGTGTAATAGAAGCCATCTTCGTGGGAGTGTCACTTCAATGAGAACTCAGTATGTAGTACCATGGTGTTCTGCTTAATTACACTTGCTGCTAACTAAGCTGACAATTTCCCCCATACCAAATAAACAGGCAGCATTGAAACCTAACCAATTCTTCAAAGTCGTAATTTAATTCTGCACACTTCTTTTATCACCACTACCATCGGAGTCAACCGATGAGTGGGCTGCTCGGTCTTCGCTCAAAGCCGAGGCGAGACTAACACAGGCCGCCGAGCCCCGTAGTTAAACGATCAGCGGGGGTTAGCTAACTTGATACGCTTGGGCTGGGTCTTTTGTATATGTAAGCTGTGCGAAAGCTGGTTAGTTAGTCAATTAAAGGTAGTTACTCCGCACTCATAGATAACTACTAGTAGTAGGTACTATACCTATGTAGACTAGTTTCTAGAAGTAGAACCAGGAATCCATTCCGGTCCCCGCGGTCGATTCGAGGCTCGCTTTCCTGGTCGGAGTGGGGATTACCCATCTACCTACCATTTCCCCCTCCCCGGCCCCCGAGCTTCTCCTCTCAGTTCTCCGTCCTCAATCCCAAATCCTCAATTCTCAATCCTCTTCAATTACTTCTCCCCCCTGCATGAGCCAAGCCGTCACAAGCTTTGGTGGGAGATATTCTCCGAGATACGGCCCTTTTCCGTCGAATTGGCTTGCAGATCGCCTCCTGCTCCGGGAAGAAAAAGTATACCCCGACACCCCGTACTTTTCGGCAACTAGGAGGAATTTCGTGATCAGACGAGAATAAATCGACAATAGCTCAAAAGATACAGATAGCAAGAAGCAGCAGACGCATGTGTCTCAGAAATCTTCGGTGATTGATATCTCCCCATGGTTGCATACAGCGCTTCATCTTCTCTCGCCCAACACCATGTCTGAAACCGGGCAGGCGGAAGAGGCCTCGAGGGAGACGCCTGAGCCTTATCTTGAACGAAGCTCTACGAGCACGCATCAGGATGTCGAAAATGATGTGATCCAAATGGATGGAGCATTCGCTCCCATCACTGGTCGCGTTACACATGAGAGCCAGATGCGACGAGTGCACTCGCGCAGCTATTCGTTGACCGACGGCTATAGCTATAATATGCCAGACGACGATGAGGTCGAAAAGGTTCCGAGTCGGAAAGAGGGACTAGCCGCTGACGATCCTGACGCTTACATTGTTAGCTGGGATGAGCAGGATCCGATGAATCCACGCAACTTCAACACCTTGCGAAGATGGCTGATTGTGATTATCTGCTCACTGGGCTCACTTTGCGTGTAAGTATCCAGCGCCAATTCATTTGTCAGGCTCTCGCTAATATCACCGTCTCCTTGGAAGGACCTGCACATCGTCCATGTACACTGTCACCTATAATCAGATCACAGAGGAGTTCAACTGCTCTCGATTGGTCGCGACGCTGGGATTATCATTCTTCATCTGGGGCCTTGGTACGTCAGAGCGATGAGTTTGAAAATAGTTTCCCCGGTGTGGTCAATACTAACCTGGAATTTTCCAAAGCGGTCGGGCCGCTATTCCTTGCTCCTTTGTCAGAGGTTCGTGCAATTGCTGGCTTCTTAGTTTAGCCCCTGGACGGTGATTGGAGCATTATAGACGAACTAACTCCTCGCCAGTTCTATGGTCGACGATATATCTATATCTGCTCATTCTCATTCTTCTTGATCTGGCTTATCCCTTGCGCAGTAGCCAAGAATATTCAAACTTTGATCATCTGTCGCTTTTTCGGCGGCATCGCTGGTAGTGCATTTCTCAGTGTCGCTGGTGGTACTGTAGGCGACTTGTTTGCTCGTCATGAGCTTAGTGCACCGATGATGCTGTACACCAGCTCTCCCTTCATAGGTCCTGAGCTGGGTCCCCTGTTAGTTTCTTCGTTCTTCTTCACATAATAATGCAATGAGTGCTGACAGCCCCAGCGTCGGTGGCTTCGTTAACCAATTTACCACATGGTGAGCTCGCCTCCCTTTGCAGCCAACCTGCTCAGCTGACGACCTGATTTGTTCAATGCAAGGCGCTGGACGTTCTATCTCCTCTTGATCTGGACGGGTGCACTGTTAGTCTTCATCGTTTTATTCGTGCCCGAAACTTACCATCCCGTGTAAGTAGTGCTTTCCCCAACTAATTGATGATTGATGTCTCGTACTGACCATGCAGTCTGCTCCGACGTAAAGCGCGAAAATTGCGGATCGAGACGGGCGATGAGAGGTGGCAGGCGCCGATTGAGAAGATGCAACGCTCGGTAGCACAGACAGTCTTGCGGTCTACATACAGACCCCTGATCCTGCTGACGATGGAGCCGATGTGCCTGAATCTTTGTATCTTCTCCGCCATTTTGCTGGGCATTCTATATTTGTTCTTTGGTGCATTCCAGCTCGTCTTCGAAAACGTTTATGGCTTTGAGTTGTGGCAGCGTGGTCTCTGCTTCCTCGGTCTCTTCGTCGGTATGCTCCTTGCCATTTTCACGGACCCGTTGTGGCGGCGTAATTATGTCCGCCTGGAGGAGAATCATGAGAAGGCGACTGGACAATCAGATGACTTTCAGCCGGAGTGGCGGCTTCCACCAGGTATGTCTTACTTATTGACCCGTCAATTGGCTTCTAATACCAAAGATAATGCAGCAATCGCCGGGGGTCCCCTTGTGACTGTTGGCCTTTTCATATTCTCTTGGACGATCTATCCTCATGTGCACTGGGTCGTACCACTTATCGGCAGTGCATTCTTTGGAGCTGGGTGAGTTTGCGCACTGTTTGAGCTTATGCATGTAGCAATCTTCATTTGTCAAATGTTCACACATGACCCGTCTCAAAGCTACCTTCCCCACCGTCGGTACTGACTTGTCGCATACAGTACCATCCTGGTGTACTCGGGAATCTTCACTTTTCTAGTCGACGCATATCCGACCTACGCTGCCAGTGCTTTGGCCGCTAACAGCTTCGCGCGTTCCCTCTTCGGCGGAGTTTTCCCTCTTTTCGGTATTCAGAGTAAGTCCCCGCCTCAGCATAAAGGATTGTCGTAGTTCCACGCTATATCGGCTATGATGGGTGCTTCTGCTTTTGAGCTTGTATGGCTTTGTTCTAGAGCCTATCAATTCTCGATGAACTGCATTTTGACCGCTCACTGCTAACAAAGGTTTCAGTGTACGACAACTTGGGTTATCACTGGGCGACATCGCTTCTTGCCTTTCTGACGCTTGTTATGTCACCGTTCCCGTAAGTACATGATGCTGTGTGAGGGAGAGAGAGAGAGAGAGAGAGAGAGAGAGGAAGAGAGGTGGAGGGGGATATATGTGTGTTTATGTATGGGAAGTTGTTGATCTCTGGATCGTTTCGCGTGGACTTCAATGTTCGCCCTGCGATGCCGTCGGCGGGTTCGACCGCCATTGTTTCCTTGCATGGGGATCGACAGCGGCGGCAGTATTGCACATCTGGCGCCTCACGCACTCCCACTCCTCTGTCCCTCTGGCAAAACTCTTACTTTCCGTGGAGACAACCTGAACACGAGTACTGACTATTCTGGGTACCTCTTCTGAATAGGTACGTATTCTATCTTTATGGTAGCCGCATCCGGAAGAAGAGCCGATTTGCTGCATGATCGATCATTACCACGTCTTTCATGGTTATGGGGTTGCTGAGGCCGACTTATGCAACGAGCTTTGCCGCCTACATCTGATTAATGAAAGAAAACTCAGAGCATCTCCAGATGAGGCTTACGGAATAAGACTCCGAATACCCAGCGAACGATAGCACTACTGCTGCTGGGCATGCTTGAACTACGGACCTAGGGCGCCAGGGTGACCTTGGCGGATATAGTCAATATTCTACAGTCAACACCAACTAACTTCATGATGAAGGGAAATAGAGATCTCATACAATCGGTCATTCCTGTTTTCTCCAGCAGGTAGATCATTTACGGGTAGGGAGCCGATGTCTACTATCCATCCAGTACTATGTTTATTAGAACTATACCTCTTCACAATGGCCCATAAGAGCCCTCGCCTCATGGCAAACTTTTCTTCCCTCTTTCTTGACAAGCGTAGAAGACAAATCATATCATATTCCATAACCGAGGCATACTCGACATGAACCTTGATTGTGAAACCTGAGGCGTGAGAGTCACAACCACGGTCATATCGGGCATATTCGGGTAACAGGACCTAACCCAGCGGGAAGTCTCGGGGTAAGACTCTTCCAGCAGGGATGTGATTGGTGCGCCGGTTCATCTTTGAGGCATTTGTTTTCTCTAGTTTCTTCTTTTCTTTTTCTTTTTCTTTTTTCCCTCGCTTCTTCTCGCAGGTAGAGGGGTCGGCTTACACGTGGCAGAAGTTTGAATCTAAAGGCAGGGAAATGAAGGATATACTACTAAGGTGTGCCGTGCCAACTTACCAAGAGGTCTGTACTATACAGTACATACGGGGTACTAAAGTGTTGAATTGATCAGCCGGGTATTGTGCTGATATGAGCCCAGTATCCAACTAACTATTTATCTATATACGGAGTACTTCTTTATGAGTGGAACTCATGTCGAAATCGTGATGAGCCTGAAACCGAGGGAAGATGAGGATTCTTTCTGACTTTTCTGTATGCGAATCTTGTAATATGGATTGATCAAGAGTAGTTGCAGTGCGGGGGAATCGAATAGCTCTGTAGAACAATAATGATGTCTTTCTGTCACATGCAGTAGCTGATTATCCCTCTCATAGCTTCATCATATCTCGAATTTCCACATGGTAATTACAGCTCCCAAAGTCCTCATTGAGCCCTGAGTCCTTACCTCGATGCTCTGGTTTCGTGCATGCTTGCCCCCTACACCAATATCCTTTGACTTATCATTATCATTATCATCATTCCTCCTCTATATTTATCCATTGATTCAGATCACTGGGTCCCGCAGAAAGATTGGTCAGTGACAAGCAACACGCGACACGCGACAGTTGATCTATTGCATGCATGCATGCTTGCATGCATGGCTTGCAGTATAGTAGTTGTATCTGTCTGATATCTAATATCTAAATCTGGTACGGTAACCGTACCGAACCCTCCATCCATCCATCCATTCATCCAAATCCAATTATCCCACCATTCAGGCAATCATCCAGCGATTGAAACAAACATCCTTGACGCCCTCGTGTCTGTCACAATTTTCTTTTCTTTTCTTTTCTTTTTCTTTTTCTTTTTCCTTTTTTGCTTCTCCTTTTTCTCCCTCCATATCCAATTCTTTTCTCAACCTGTCGCACCACTGCTTATTCTCTTCTTGGTGACTCTTCTACCCCCGCGTTTAGTTATCACTTCTCTTTTCTCTTCAAGGTCTTCTTCTTCTTCCTGTTCTTCTTTACCCCTCCTGTTGCAAATCCCCTCTCCCCTCTTCTTCTCCCGCCGGGTTCGGTACCTTACAAATCCTCCCCGATCGACTTTTATTACTGCGCCTGGTCCTTGGGTTTTCTTTCCCCGCAGTCTCCGACCCTCGACAAATTGAGCCCAATCTTCGCTCTCCACTCGCCCTACCAATATTATGCGTTAAACGATCCCACTTCTCCCCCTTCTCGGATTCCACCCGCGTGATCGTGAAAAGCATCCTTAGATTTCTATTCTTCCACCATCTACCCTTTAACTTTCTTGTCGCCCCTATAAATCGACTTTTTTGACCCTTCTTCATCGGGTGCGCCGGTCCTGCTGCCAATACCTCTTCCAGCTCTCCCCTCCTCATCCGCCCTGTCCGTCCTCTTCAATCTTACGGTCTGCCGTCGCTCTCCGCTCTTCGTTTCGTCCTCGTTCTACAACTTTCGTCGCTTGTACCCCGTATCTGCTTGAATTTCATGCGCCCGAACCGCGACACAACTGCATATCTGCTCTTTCCAGATTAATCCACCGGGGGACTTCCAGAAGAATCGGTACTCGAAAAAAGGGAAAAATCGTGGCACTGAGGCTGTGAGACATCCTCGGCTATTTCGCTGCGTTCGAATACTCAGGTGGCAAGCCTTCTTTTCGAGACGAAATATTCGCACGTGCGCAGCTCGGCTCTCGCCTTACACCGCTTCCCGAGTCACCGCTCCGTCGGTTCATTCATGTCGAAATGGACGTGGACGCCAAGGAGAAGAGCTCCCCAGCTCCGTCGGTCGAGCCAAATGGGCCCAATCACGACATCAGGTCTGCTGACGAGCACTCGGAAACTCACAAGACAGAGGTGAACGGCGACGAGAAGGACAAAGGTGCCGTGGAGCTTGGACAGAAGTCGGCCAATGCAAAGGATCCGTCGAGGCCGAGGAGGAAAAAGGCGCGTAGGGCATGTTTTGCTTGCCAGCGGGCGCATTTGACTTGCGGTATGACTGACCTCGTCTGAGCTTTCCTTTTACCCCCCCCTCCCTCCCCTTCTGCATTGGCAATTCTCGCGCTTTTTTTCACAATCAGCCGTTCAGGCGCTCTACCTAGCGCCTTCTAGCAAACGCATCGCGGCATGTGCATCGCGTCGTTGGAGTAAGGACGTCCAACTAACTGAGCTTCGTGCGCATAGGTGATGAGAGACCGTGTCAGCGGTGTATTAAGCGTGGGTTGCAAGATGCATGTCAGGATGGTGTCCGGAAAAAAGCGAAGTACCTCCATGATGCACCTGATGGGGCTTTGATGCCGGGAATTGGCGGAAGCTTCTACAACAATCCCATGCGCAACAATAGCCTGCCGCTCTCGAGGAACGGCGCCAACGCAGTCAATGCGGCTGCACCGCAAAATTCCGGGGCCAGTTTCTATCCAACCCCCCAATCCACGTCCTACAATGTTTACCAGGAAAACCCCATGAACCAGACTTCGTTCCCTTCGCAGTCACCCGTATCACCGTCCTTTAACCTCAAAGCCACTCCGACCGTTCGAAACAATAGTCTATCTTCCTCAGTCAACCAACAACAGCAAACGAATACGAGTACTTCGGGTCCGTCTACACAGAACCCCAATCCCTTCGCCGGTCCGTTCTTCGATCCCAGCGATCCTGCCCTATTTAATTTCGACCTTTCTAGCATGAACTTCGAGAACAGGTACGGTGCGCTGGAGTTCGGTATGCTCGGACACATGGCGACAGGCGCCGGGGATTCGCCTAGCGATTCAGCTACGCAGCGAGGGTCTATGGGCCGCAGTGGTTCTGCGCAATATGCTTCCACTCCTATCACTGGAGGGCCGGGGTTCGGTGAAAGTCCCGGCAATCAGCAGCCGTTTATGTTCGGTGACCCACTTCTGAATGAATGGCCGAGCAGCCAGGCGCCGGGACAGACGCATGTTACCGTTCCTAGCGTCTATCCCCAATCCAGTCAAGGAAATGTGATACCTGGACACTTGTCCAAAGCCGATGCGCCGCATGCGTTTGCGATTGAAAGCGGTCCGGTTCATTTCAACAGCCCTGGCGCAACCACCAGTCCTCTGCTGACGAGCGGCTTCGAAGAGTCTCCCTTTGGCACTGCGGTTGCCACCAAGGCTAATGGTATGGCTCCGATCAATCAACGACCCGCCATAACGACACCCAGCCTGAAGCATCAGAATCTGCATGTGGGAGTGCGCCGACGACAAAGGAATCCGTCCTCGATATACGAGAGCGTCAAGGAACCTTACGCATATACCAGTCGCTTTCACAACCTTACTGCCTTCATTCAGCGGCGGTTCAGTCCGCAAAAGACCCTACAAATTGCCAAGGCGCTGGCATCAATTCGACCCTCGTTCATTGCGACAACGAAAACGTTGAATAGAGACGATCTCATCTTCATGGAGAAGTGCTTCCAGAGGACGCTGTGGGAATACGAGGACTTTATCAACGCGTGCGGTACGCCTACGATCGTGTGCCGTCGAACGGGCGAGATTGCGGCGGTGGGCAAAGAGTTCAGTATTTTGACTGGATGGAAGAAGGATGTGCTTCTGGGCAAGGAACCCAACCTTAATGTGAACACGGGGGCCACTTCGGGCCCAAATTCCGGGACATCCTCGCGCAGCTTCACTCCGCGCGGGTCGGCGGGCGAGAATTCATCAACCCCAGGGCGGCCGCACCCTGTTTTCCTGGCAGAGTTGCTGGATGACGACAGTGTGGTGCAATTCTATGAAGATTTCGCCAGACTAGCTTTTGGGGATTCGCGTGGCAGCGTGATGCGAACGTGCAAGTTGTTGAAGTACAAGACGAAAGAGGATATGGAGTTGGCATCGGAGGATAACCAACGCTGGAATAATCACCTGCGCAAGGGTGGAATCGCCAGCGAGGCGGGCATGAACCAGCTCGGTTTCAAGGATGGCAAGGTTGAATGCGCCTACTGCTGGACAGTAAAGCGTGATGTGTTTGACATTCCGATGTTGATCGTGATGAACGTGAGTTTCCCTACCCGCCCCCGACTCTGGATTAGGGCTAATGCACCTGCAGTTCCTTCCATGCATTTAACTTGCGCGTGATGATCGAACCATGTTCGGCATCATGGTTTGACCCACATGTTTTGACTATCGTTGATTGCTTGTCTGAAGTTTTTGCTTTCCTCAACACCATACCCAGGCCGGATTGACATAAAAGTAACCTTAATGAGCCTCTGTTTGTTTCTGACGTTTCTGTTCATGATCGGTCTGCATTTGGAGGCTGTTTGGATGTGATTTCACTTCTTTTCTATATCGGTACATATCGATTCGCCGCATGATTCCCATGGAGCCTGCTCTTGTTTTCTTGTGTTTATATGTTGGGGGTCTATGATAGAGTGGTGAAAGGGGGTTTTATGACTCTTTTTACCTGCAGTAAATTCGTCTGGGCTGTTTGTGATGGAAAGTGGTCTTTGTACGTCAGCTTGTTGCCATCTGTATACGGATCAGAGCTCGTTTCGCCCTGGAGCAATCTAGGAATTAAGTCACCTCAAAGAGGGGGGAGGTGAATGGTCTGAAAAGATTAGGGGCCGGGGCCCCTTGCAAGTTGATCATTATGAGCTGATTCTTCGGTCATTTTGTGCGATGGGAATTGGGCCACCACCAGTGACTGGGGCTGGGACTTGGCCGATCAACACTGCATCCATGATGGACACGCCGGTCTTTTGAACACTCTTGTTTGAGAACGCCACCCTTGACTCTACTGAAAGACAGTGACGAGGACTAGTTATCTGGTGCACCATCGTCTGATCTTCTTTATACGGCAGGTCACCTTGACTCCGATAGGTCCCTCGAACCTCTGGGCACCTTAGCTATGGTCTAGAATCCATAGATTCGTCACCGACTTCTTCCGGGGCCCCAGCGCTGGGCCCAAGCCTACGCCAAGTGCCGGATTCCGAGACCTGAAAGGACGCTACAGTTTTGCTAGTCAGGCAACATAGACCCATTGCAAGGCGTGTATCGTAAAATTCGACATTTAAGCTAATAACTGTCTAATTCGAGTATAGCAGAGGTCCATATAAATTTCACCCATTTGAATCCAGAAAAATGTTCTGGAAGTCCCTTTTACAAAGAAAGGACCTGAGCAAAAAGAAAAGAAACAAAAAAGACCTTCCACTATGACTCCATCAACCCAGTCCCCAATACCCGAGCTCATTCCCTATCTTCGCCCGCACACACAGGGGTATATGGAAGATAGATTTGAAATAGATATCAAACTCGATGGAACTGAGTATAGGTGATGACGAGGTTTTTCCACCCAGACTCATTCCAAGCGAAGCATAGACGGCTTTACAGCATAAGTCTCTCAACCTTGTCCTTGAGGGTACGGATCTGGCCCATCAGATCACTGGCCTCGTTGGTGGTGATGCTGGCGGCGATGACGGGGCGGGAGACACCGCAGGCACGGCCGAGAGCGAGCTTGCTGGGAACGAAGACGTAGACGCAGTTCTTGTCCTCGGCGAGCAGAGGGATGTGCATGACGATGGCGAGAGGGGAGGTATCGGCAGCAAGGATGACCAACTCGGCGGTACCACGGTTAAGGGTCTTGGTGGCTGTGAAAATAGGAGTGTTAACCAACACGCTGCAACGATGATTCGAAAAAGGCGAAAAGATTTAAAGAAAAAAAAAGAAGAAGATATCATCATCATCCAGCAGGAAATCGGAATCACTTACCCTCGTTAGCACCCTTCTTGAGCTGGCGGTAGTGGGAAGCCTGCTGGACAAGATCCAAAAGGCTCTGGGTTAGGCTCTCGTCGGCCAGAGGCCAGGCTGTATCGAAGAAGACATGTCAGTATATGAGAAATCTTTTTTTTTTCCCCAGAGTTTTCTTCTGCGACGGCTTGTGGTGGTGGGGGAGTGTGAAGAGGATTCTTACCAGCAGAGGTGTCAGCCATGGTAGAAGATGGGTGAATTTATGAGCAGACAAAAGATGTCAGAGGTCTATCGTAGAAGCAGGCTCACGCAAAGGATCACTGCCGCGGTGCAGGTCGAGATGCTGGAGAAAAGGAGGAGGGTAAAGAAAGTGCAGTGGTCAAGTTGAAGGTCTCCGTCCGGGCCCAGCGATGAAAAGAAAATCTTTTGGAGGCGGTCGGCCAGGTGTGGGGCAGAACAGAAGGGAAAAATCTTTATGCCTGAGAAATCGGGCAGTAAAGTGTACGTACTATACCTCCCGAGCTTAGACTAACAAGCGCTAATGAACGACTAGGCAGGAGGCTCGGCTCTTAGCACTACGAACTAGACTCAGTAGACTATAACGACTTACTGCTAAGCATTCTCATTTTCCAATATCAGAGATGACTGTAACTGCATCATGTCCCCCACAACTCATGACTCTCAGAGTGGGTAACTACTATCTAGTATACATAGTACGTTTAGGTACTACGAAGATACTGAGTAACTTGAAGTTACACGGAATATAAAGGCGAAGCTAGTCGGCTAGGCTAGCCTCACGTAGGTCGCTCAGGGGCAAAGGACCATTGACTGCATGATGATCTTCACCAGCCTGATCCACTGCCAACGTATGATGCAGCTGGGGAGCGATCGTGGAGACCCGAGCCAAGCATTCCGGGGCCCCAGCTGCACAGAACCCTGTCCGTGATCCCAGTGAGTCCTAGAAAACAGTATGTTTGGTGGATTTGGCTACCAGATTCAATGAAGGACCATGAAGTCTGCGCATCGCATTCCATGAGTTTGCCCGCAACAGCCGCAAGTGGCCGGCGATCGAAATGATTATATTGATAGCAGTGACTAACCGGTGCAACGGAATTGATCCCAGCCTGAAATAACCCATTCTGTACCACTTTCTCCGGACTTCAGCCAGAGTCTCATTCTACCCGCCGGCAACCCTCTCAGACCCATGAATCAAATAAGAGCCACTATCAAACCCAGAGGAGAAAACAAACGCCGAGAACCCCACGACCAACCCATGTGAATACGCAACCAGATGCCGGCAAAGGGCATGCAGAGAAAGCGACAAAAAGTAATCATCACGTCATTCTATACCATGCTGCTGTTTGAGACGTTCCAAATTCTCTTGCCTTTCCGCCAAGTCCTCTTTCGACCTAAGCATTTTTTCCGGCTGGTGGTATAGCACTAGGAGGTGAAGCGGCGAATGTCAACCAGACTGTCCCCGTCACAATAATTTCGAAAAAAAATGCACCGCAGACAGAAAAACGTACCGACGAGATATCTGTTTTGGAAATTGAATCCATTGAGCTTATCGCATGCCTGTTTGGCGTCGTGAACGTCTTCGTATACCACAAAGGCAGTGCCCTTGGAGTTATTCGCAATTCCCTGTCGTATTTGTCTGACGGAGAGAGCGTTAGTTTCGGGTCGAATGGCAATGAGACGACAGCGCGTGAGTCACTGAAAGGCCTACCGGATGGGACCGAATTTGCCGAAGAGGTCGAAGAGTTGCTCCGCTGTTACGTTGTAGCTGAATCAAAAACGCCTCGTTAGCAGTCACTTCAAGGGATAGACGTGATTATTTCCATTGATGTATTTGATAGGACAGGCATGCGACGATCGACGGGCGGGTTTAAAGATTCCGAGTGTGAAGGTAGGCATACTTGAGGTTCTTGACAAAGAGAATCCTAAGAGATGTTAGTCACATATTCCACCAAATCCAAATCTTCCAGTAAAGAACGCCATCATGGTGCCTAGTTCCCCGAGCCCTAGGAGCGCAGCGGAGACGATGGCGGGTGACCGGTAGGGGAGGGGTAGAATTGTTCGAACAGAACCTACCGATTGGCTTCGGGGGCGAGCTTCCGGCTCATTCTCGGGTGGGACAGTAAATGCTGTAGAAAAGATGTGAAAGAAAGGGTGAAGGTCGCGTCAGATACCCAACGGGGGTCTGGGGGAAGAGTATTTATGAAAGGAAAGGAGGAGAAGCAGGTCAGAGAGAAAGCAAGATAGAAGGGAGCAATTATCCGCGACGAGCACGAGGTTCGAGAGATTGACTGCCTTGCCAGTTCGGGCTTAGTGGCCTTGGAGGAGCCTCACTTTGATGGAAGTTCGAAGTGGATCAAGAACTCCAGGACGATAACCAACTCGTGGTACAAGAGCTTCGCTGAATTGGAAGAACATCGGAGACAAGATAAATTATCATGCTTTTAACTCAAAGTCCAGAGATACACGGATAGTATGCAAATATATCCTCAGTTAGTTATGCATGATAATGGTTGGTGCCGCAAACGACGACTTACCGGTACATACAACAATACTAACAACACTTGTAAGTCGGATGGTTGCCTGAGGCTAACACCCTCTCTCTCTCTCTCTCTCTCTCTCTCGTTGATCTCCGTCCGGCGACGACCTCCTCCTCCTCCTCCTCCCCTCTCCTCTCCTCTCGGCCTCATCGCCGCCCCCCCCCGTCTATCTGCCTTTCAAAGATCGCTTCTCCTCCTCTCCCTCTCCCCCTCTCTCCCTTCAATTCTGATGCGCATCATTTCAATCGCTCAAGCCTCTTGATTCTTATATTCTCGGTTTTCTAATCCGCTTTATTCTATTTCTCCTCCACTCTCGACCGTGGTGCAGCTGTCTTCCGTCTCCCAGTTGCTTGCGCGCTCTCTCTTTCTCTCTCTCTCTCTCCCGCCCGTCGGCAGAGGCTCGCTCAACTCCCCCCCTCCCCTCTCAACCTCCGCCGTGCGACTCTGCTCCGTCAACTCCCTCTCTCCTCCGTCCTCTTCCCCCCCCAACCCACAACTCTGCCCCTCCAACCTTTCCATTTGAGCCTTGTTTTCATCTCATTGTTCCTCGTGCGCTCTACACTCTGCCAGGAATGACTCTCTCTTTGCCTGCGGTGGCCCGTCTTTAGCCCGTGTGGTCAAATCTCCCCGCTTTGCACCCGTCTGCCGCAAGCACGTCTCGTCTCCTCCCCCGGGCTCCTTCTCACTCTTTTCCTCGTCCGATATCTCATTTTAGACCTCATTATGATTAGTGCAACATCCTTCTCAACTCACCTCGGGACCCGACCGCCGCGTTACCGCACTCCCTCACCTCCGCGACGCGCCGTCGAACCGATTTCACCCTGTTCAACCTCCGACATCAGAGCCTCATGGATTGACCGCAGCATCGCAAGGGTGGCTGCCTCCGATCGCGACTTATACCCCCAGAATCAGAGTGACTATCCTCTTGCAGATCATGCGGCTGCTCATCGACCGAGCCATGGCAGATCGAGTTCGACCATCGACGCTCTCGCGACCATTGCTTTAGCGACAAGTCCTACCTTCGCACCTCTCTCCTACCGACCTTCCTCTCCACACTCAAAACCTGCATTGTCGCTGTTCCCCTCCGGATCTAGTGACTCCTCCGAACGCCCCGCCAAGCGACCGCGCTCAGAAAAAGATCAATCGCCATTCCTTTCCCATCGGTCGCTGCCCGGATCGGATGCAAATTCTTCTTCGCTGCTCGATAGTATGAAGACAGATGCAGAGCTTCTATTGAATTTTGCCCGACCCACCAACTTTCAACCTACCTTTCAATCCGTCAAGCGGGTCAGCATAGATGAGCCCGCTCTTTACTCCGGCGATGACACACGGCGTTTCGACAGGATTGGGTCCGCAGTGGGATCATGGGCCGCTCATACCGAAAACTCTACCCACTTTGGTTCGAGCAATAACGCTCTTCCACAGTCCCGAATGAGGTCACAGTCCGACGGTTCAGCAGCCATTGCGCGACCAACAATACAAGGCCTGCGACCTAACACCAGTTCTTCAACGCTTCCACCAATTCTCTGGCGGGATGAAGAGGACGCGGAGGACGATCACTGGGTATCAGCAAACAAACAGATCTTGGGCGGCGCACAGTCGGGCCCACAGTTTATCGATGTTATGCGTAGCACTCATGCCGGGTCAATACCGAAAGAACTACCTTCCAAGTTGGAGGACGACACAGAGTCGGAGGAGTCTGGTCAAGCCAGCTGCGCCGCTTGCAATCTCGTTCGTATACCAGTCGACACTGGTGAGCAGGGTGATGTGACCTGGATCAGTTGCGACGGCTGCAAGCGCTGGTTCCATATTGTCTGCGCTGGTTTCAAAAACGACAGAGAGGTGCGGACTGTGGATAAATTCATTTGCCGCGCCTGCGGCCCCTTCCATGGACGAACCACATTTGTTCGCAAGTCATCTCGCGCCCGTACCGCCATCGATTACGCTGGGCTAAACCAAGGGCTAGTGAAAGCCGCAACAGACTCACTGGAACACCATTACATTGATCCCATCCGCCAAGGCAAGATTCGATTTCTTCCTGAAAACTTTCCCCGCATGCGCCCGGAGCTCATCACGGCCGAGTACTTCGAACGAGGCAGTGGCATGACGGAGCCGATAGTCATCCCTGCCGAATGGAATACACGGGACTCAGTCCCAACCATACACCCGGACTTAGATGCATTGGCGCAGGAGGCCTCCACGCAAGAGATGTTCGATGAACTCTTGGACCATCTCAACGCGCAAGAGGAAAGCTTGGAGCAGGTGGTAGATTGTGGCCAAGATCAACTGGACATGGTGATCCCTCAAGGCCTGACGGTCAGACAAGTGGCCGAGCTTTATGGACCCGAAGAGAGGGTCGAAGTCATAGATGTCAAATCCCAACAGGGAGAGGACAAGAGGTGGACTATGCAAAAATGGGCCGACTACTATGAGAGCACTGGTGACAAAGTAGTGCGAAATGTCATCAGCTTGGAAGTGTCCCAAAGTCCATTGGGAAGGTTAATTCGACGACCGAAAGTGGTTCGCGACTTAGACTTGCAAGATTCAGTCTGGCCTCAAGAGCTTCAAGCGATTGGGGACTATCCAAAAGTCCAATTCTATTGCTTGATGTCAGTGGCCGATTGTTATACCGACTTTCATATCGACTTTGGTGGATCATCTGTCTACTACCACATCCTGAAAGGCAAGAAGACTTTCTTCTTCATTCCACCTACGGACAAGCATCTGAAGAAATATGAGGAGTGGTGTAACTCCCCGGCACAAGACACGACCTTTCTTGGTGATCAAACCAAGGAATGTTATCGCGTGGATTTGGCTGAAGGAGATACGATGCTGATTCCCTCGGGCTGGATTCATGCCGTGTGGACTCCGGAGAATAGTCTGGTAATTGGTGGTAATTTCCTGACCAGATTGAATTACGGGATGCAGATCAAGATTGCAAAAATCGAGAAAGACACCAAGGTGCCAAGGAAGTTCCGATACCCCTTCTTCCAGAAAATCCAATGGTATACCGCGTTGAAGTACCTTGAGGAAGATCCGGTTCCGCAGGGCGTTCTCGATGCGTTTGCACAGGATGAGAATTACCGCTTCCATCGCGACTATCCCATTTACTATGAGTTCGGAGATAGGACGAATACTGCTCCTGCGGGCTCTCCCTATCACAATTCACGCTTCTACTCACAAGCCGAGCTGGAAGGCTTGCCAGATCTTGCAAAGTACCTCCTGCGTACCGCCTTGATTGCTGGTTCCTACCTTGTGGAAGGAGTAACGATGGATGCTAGGAATGCGGTCAAACGATCGATACCGAAGACACCGGGAGACCCAGTTGACGTTGTTAAGCACTTTGGGATATGGGTTGCATGGAAACGTGGAAACGAGAAAGCACCTCACTGGACTCGTCCCGGCGTGATTGAAAGCAACCCAAAGCTCAGCCTCGCTGAGAAAAAGCCAGCCGGAAGACCTAGTCGTCGCTCAGAGCGCAATGTGGACAGCCAGCGTACTTATGCAGAGCGGCAGGCTGTGCAGCGACTACCGGAGCATCCAAAAGACTTGGCGAACGAGTCTAGCGACAAGAGCAGCTCTAGTGTGCCTTCGACCACGGATTCTCATATGCCAGCGAGCGTGTCAAGCACCAGTACGGGTATCAAAGAGGAGCCCGTGCCTAAGCCACGAACTGCACCTCGGGCTTCTGGGTTAGGCCCCAAGCGGGTTGCATGTGATGCTTGTCGCAAACGCAGAATCCGCTGCCATCACAAGGACGAACAAAATGATAATCTCTCATCTAAACAGACGGCCATGGGGGCTTTCGGTGTCGGGGTCCATTCGCCGGCGCACGATGCAGCGTCGGCTCTGAACTCCTTGGCGGCCATTGCATCAGAAGCGGGTCTTCAGGACAATGGTGCCAGTAGGAATATGGATCGCTTCGAAGCCTCAATGATCACTGTGGGCACCCCGCATGCACAGACTAACAGACTCAACGATCTCAGTCCCGAGGGGCCAAATACCGGAAAGAAAGGCCGGAGCAAGGCCTGCGACGACTGTCGGAAGAGCAAGGTTGGTTTTAGTTGTCTCCAGTTTTTGTTTTACAGTCGCTAATTGATCCTAGCGCCGGTGTATCCATGATGAGTATGGAAGAATTGATCCCGTCAAAGCTCAGGAACGAGCGAAGCCACGAGCCGCGGCCTCCGTGAAACGACCTCGTCCCCATGAAGAAGGAACTGGCTCAGCCGTTAGCAAACGCTTGAAGCAAGAAAGTACTTCTCCCATGTCGCGGCCGCTCCAATTCAATAGTAGAGACAACGGTATGCTGGAAGCACAGGACCAGGTCGGTCATGCTCCGAAGGATCTTGACCTCAATGGCCCGTATGCCGATGTCCCTCACGAGGTCCACGGCCCTCTGCAACAAGCAGCAACGGACAAGGAAGCCCCGCTCGGGCAGACCTCGTACGCATCACCGCCTGCCTTCCAGTCCGATACCGTGGTGACGAGTGAGGTCAACTCTGCTCTTGCTTCTAAGCCAACAGCTACTCTTGTTTCTCCACCCACGTCGTTGGTGGACGAGACCGATGTTCCCAACGATTATGCAGATGGCGAAGGGGAACACGTGGTGATCCTTCACACGCCCACATCTAGCTCGCGACATTCTTCCCGTCAACCTCGCCAGGTCGACCGGTACGTACCCGAGGTTTCTGTTAGCAAGACGAATAAGCCGGCAACGCACATGCTTGGCGCGCGCCGTTCATCATTCGGCGCATCGACGACCGGTGTACAGAGATCTACTCCTGGCCCATCCTCGGGGACGAAGAAAACAGCGTCACGGCCCTCATCATCACACAATGCGAAGAAGAGCTTCTGGCCCACGGACGAGAAGAAAGGCGAGCGTACTACTGCATCTTCGACTTCGCCCAGTCAAATCAACAAATCCACGAAGCGTGCGGCTGACGACGAGCCGGATGCTGAGAGTCTTCGTCTGATCCGTGAACTTCAAGAAGCCGAGTTTGGTCTTCGAAAGCGATCTACAAGAGCGTGAACCGGTTGCACGTCTCCCCGCGGGAGAAAAAAATTCGGCTTGCGTTTTTCGACCGCATCTGGATTGTTTTCAATTGGGTCACCGACTTGTCCGGACCGATAACGGTTCGAGGCAACGATTCGGCTTTTACCTGGGATGCGGAGTTTGAGAGTTGGGGGGTGTCTGATGGACATGGTAATGAATGTTTTTTCTCATCATTCTTTGATTTGGTTCATGGATTGCGAGTTCATTTGGCGTCCCGTTGCTTGGTTGGGTGTTCTGCAGAGTTGTCTTTACCCATAACCCCCGTGTCTTTTTTACGTCGTTCGAGAACCCTTTCAGCCTTTTCTTCTTTCTCGTGTGTGTGTTGTGTGTGTGTATCCGGCGTTGTTGTTACATGGTTGAGCTGTTCTGATACGGCCGGTCGACTGTCCAGATGATGTTCTTTCTGGTCAGGTCGCTCCTTCTGGCCTCTCTTTTATCCTCTGACACACGGTCAACGTCCAATTTCAGTTCCTTTTGAGGGTCTACCCTCAGTATCTGAGGCAATCTGCTACTTGCTGCGCAACTGCCGCTCACATTTGGTCCCAGCGTTGTTTATCTCCTACCTTTAATCCAGAACCCTAGAGCCTGCTTCCCTTCGCTATAACTGGGTGGTTGATCTTCCAATCAGTCTTCTGCAACAGCGAATACCTTGTCCTGAGTGACTGTGTCTGATATTTGCTTCTTTTCATTGCTTCATGGAATTACCCTCATACTTCGCTTGGCTTGCACCTTCCTTTTACTTTATTTCCTTGCCCATAATAACATGTCACTGTAGTGAGTACTAATGATTCACACTGAAATTCCAGATTCAAGCTAATAAGTCTGTAATGTGGGAAGTCAGTCTACTGACAGTGATACGGTCCACCTGATGCAACATAAAAGTGGATTGATGCCTTTGCTCCATATACATAACTATATAGTTAGGCACCGGACGACATTATTACCACCTTCGCTATCGTTTTCATATCCGGCACTGCCACTGGTTCGCAAGGCTTGAGACTGTCACACCTCGTGATTCATTCCAACTCTATCTCTAGACACGCACCTTTCCTTCATGTGAAAGAAAATAAAAGGACAGCACCGATGGCCAGGATTCCTGAGTGAGTGGGGTAAATACGAACTTGACCGCGGTATCTTGACGGCCGTGGTGGTACATAACTCATAGTACTCGTTCTTGGGCTTGCGTCACTCAGCACCAGGCAGGTCCCGTCCTTGGGTACCGAGTGGCGGTATGATAGTGCTAGAAGGGCATATCAATTAGGTCCCGAAATTGCAAATTCCTAGATGGGAGAGCTTGTTTGCTGGGGTAGGGTGAAGATTAACTAGGTCATTCAAATTGAGAGCTTGAGATGGTATTTGTATTTGGGGAAAAGCAACACACTCCGGTATGCATGGGGTCCGATCCCAGCACTTCAAGGCACCTGCCTACTTAGTAAGGCAATACACCTCCATTGCCCTGGGTTGGAGGTCATTCTTTGGCAGGTACTGTATGTACAAGCCTCATGATTGGATGCAGCGTAGGCTCAGTCCCGTTAAATGGTTGGGGACTAGGATAACTAACCCGGAGCGGACATGCGTTCCGGCCTCAGTCATTGTGTTCGACAAGACTTATGGCAAATTAGGTATGTTTCGATTCAATGAGAATATGATCTAGAATTTGCTTCCATTGAATACCACGCCATCCATTCACATCGAATATATATCCAGTAACCGGAAAACTCTCATAAGATAGTAACAAAAAAAGAACAGATCCTGGCTCCGCTACTCATAGTCTCCGGCTAGAACAAAATAAACGATGTACAAGATATAGGCGGAGTGAGCAGCGGTAAGGACTCCATGACTTCATGTCTCTCATCACCTCATAGTTCTTTGGTTTCCAGCCCAAAATCAATCATGACGCCAGTCATCAATGCAATCATGCAGAAAAGAAAAAAAACAACATGCAGGGGTATATGTCCCACCGAAAGTAACAAAGTAGAAATAAGCATGGTAACAAATAGCAGTTAGTATAGACATCCGAGACTAGCCTCTAGTTGCGTGGATTCTCGCCAGGGTTCAGGGACCAGCACTTGCCCATCGACGGGGCCGAGCCTGTTCCCCAATGTAATTTTTGATGACGCAAGGGCTGTCATCGGCTTGCTGGCAGACCTTACGCCGATTCAGATGCTTAAAACGTGGGCCTAAAGGCCCGTTAACATAGTGGTACTGACCCGCGAAACGGTATTGGCGCTCATCGCCTAGCGGATAGAACTTGTCGCCCCAGTGCCCATTGAAGTAGAACCACTCAGTCGGGGCGGCGGGGCTGACAGTGGAGGCCCGGAGAATGTCGCTAGGAAAATCATACGTGTATGTATGCACGTTCAAGAGCGGATCCCACAAGGGACCGCGATCGGTCTGGTCGTGCAGCAAGCCCCAAGGCAGGATGTAGGCGTGCACACCGGGAGTGGCATACATAGCGTGGGTGCCCAATGCAGAATAGATGACCGGCTGGTACACGGTTAGTGGAGGGAAACTAACGACCCGGGACCGGAGGGAGCAGTAGGGATCACAAATGGCTTACCCGTTGGCCGATCTTCTCGACAGCTTCATAACTGTATGCTTCGCCCGCTGAGTGTGCACTGAAAAAGAGGGCCTTTGGCCGGCCGTTGTGGAATCGTACAAGACAGTGTTCCCAATCCCCGACATGGTTGCCGAACCGAACGTTCAACACCACGTTGCCAAGGTTGAAGCTGTAGAAAAAGAACCAGAAGGCATCCACAATGCCGTTGCCTTTGTCCATCACCAGTAAGATGGCTGGCGCATTGCTGCGCCCACCCGTAGTCTCAACATGAATGGGATCACCGCCGAACCGTTTGCGCAGCTCGTCCCGCAAACTCTCATCTTGTTGCAAATCTTCCGGGCGCAAATAGCCAAGTTTCTCAGGCGACCACCCAGCATTGTCGTCGCCGTCATTGAATTTCTCTCCTTCACGCAAGGCGTGAGCTGCGTCGTACCACTGGGCTCGGTCGCCGGGTGCATCATTGGGGATGGGCCCATCGATCCGCGCATCCCAGTCCGGCCAAGACTGTTCCAGATCACTATAGGGGTCATCCGGGATGTTCTTGTCGCCTTCCATCCACGGCGGTCGATGTTCGACATTGTCATTGCTGGTGAGAAACACATTGTGTCCCTCTTGCCACTGGTTGAGTTGGTCGAGATCATGGAGGGTGGGATGATTCCAATACGACTGAACGGGAGTGTAATTGAGCATCGGAGTGATGTGGTAGAGATGTTCGGCGATATCGCAGGGCCAAAACTGCTCATCCGAGAACAGATGGACGAGCGGCGCATATCGAAAAACGTAGTCTGGGATTTCGCGGCGGGAGCGTTCGGCCTCGTCCCAGACGGCCTCTGGATGGGCGGAATCATTGAATTGGGCGGCACGCCAAGCGGAGAAGTCCTCGTCCTCGGACCCTCGGCCAGCCTCCGGGACGGCCTTGCGGTGACCGAAGCGGGGACGCACCAGGCGAAAGTGGGCGGTCCCACATAGGCCGAGCCAGCGGCAAGCTTTCCGGTCTAGCCAGGACGAAGATGACGAAATCCAGCGACGCTCGTCCTGATCCTCCTCGTACCAAATGAACGCCGATGGATTAACAGCGCGAGCGACGCTGTTGATCACGACGTAGGCAATCAAGGAGGATAGAGTGAAAATCGCTGCGGTTGCTGCGCGCACCATCTGTTGACCGGCACTCGCAGAAACGGCCGAATCGGCGGGGTGCGGATGCGACTGGGCCGATGCGACTGGCCAACTGACCTCGTCTTGTTGATGGCGAATCTGATCCTCGAGGTCACGGTTGGCAGAGACCGAGGAAATATGCGTGACCAGTTGCCCGTTTGGGTAAGTCACAGTCGTGGTCGAGGATGAATCAGGCACAGCGATCAGAGCAAACTCATTCAGAGGCTGCGTTGTGAGAGGGGAGGAGGCACACAGCAGTGACGAGGATGAGAGTAACAACAAGCAGAGGAGGATAAAGGAAGAAAAACAGTAACCAGACCGAGTTCCCAGACCCAGAACTGGGCGCCAGGGCAGCAGGGGAGACACTATAAGAAGCCGAGCGAAACGCGGCCATGATCCGTCAGCCGAACCAGGTCCATAGGTCGAGAACAGCGATGGAGAAATGGATTCAGGGTTCTTCGTTGGTCATGGAGCTTGCCGGGTAGGGCAGAGCCAGGGCGGGCGCATCCGGGGACATCCGGATATGAAGAGGATCGCCATGGATGGGGTTGGTTTAGGGCTGAGAACAACAGGGCATCGGGACGAACGGAAGGTGAGAAAGACGGGGGGAGGGAGGGGGACAAATAATGATTAGATCATAAGTGGTGGGAGGAGGAGGAAAAACGGTGTGGTGAAATGGAGGATCTGACGGATGCAGGTGGAGAGGAATGCTCGTTCCGCGGTGAGCCGGTGAAAGTGAGTGTGGATAGAGAGAACAAGAAAGAACAATTCATTCATTGTAGACGGAGCAATTAGAGAGAAGTCACTTACTGCTGCTGCCCTGCTGCTGCTGCTGCTGATGATCATCATGATGATGAGTGATCATGATGATTAGCAATGATGCCAGTTGAGCTACAGAGTACTCTCTCTCTCTGTCTCTTGAAGTGGGTGGGGTTGAAGCGATAAATTAGAGACTAAGAGAGAGAAAGAGGAAATGATGCAATGCAGCAGTAATTCGACAATTCATCAGAATCGGATGATGTTGGGACTAGATCCAAGCAGACCTATGCAAGATAATGACAAATGGATTGATTGATTGATAGTTGATGATGATGAAGCTGTTGATTTCTGCTGGAGAGCATCGAGGCTGAAGGGAAATCCTCAGTTAACTTAAGGATGATTGATGACTACAGCATCTTGACCCCAATTGGCCAATTCTGTGCACACCGCCTTGTGATGCCGGCTTTTCTAAACAAATTACAAGTAGTTAGCATGGAACAGATTGATTATCTTCAGTACTCCCAAACATAACCATGTCCCTCCCTCCTCCCATCCCGGTCGACCCGGCCATGCTAGTCGATCAGCCTCATCCCGATCTCGACATTGACTCTGACTATGAATACGAATATCATCCCACCGAGACTGAGGTCCGCCTTGTCTTGTTTTCCCCGATTCTCTTCCTTCCCTTTCTTTCTGACAATCAATAACCCACCATCTACTAGTAGACCGTCTACCTCACTTTCGACCTCTCCACTCTGCATGGCCCACTTCGACCACCTCGCCGCCGTCAACCTTCTGCGACCGCCACTTTGACGACATCATCAGGAACAACCACATCCGACGAACCCGATGCGGCGCGTTCCAGCACCGAATTCACCCATACCGACTCACCAGCCGACGGCCTACAGCTTCTCGCTCTTCACACCCCCAACCCTTTAATCTCGTACCAAAACCAGATCTTCAGCGGTACCTGGGCAGACCAACTGGGCACAGACTTGATCTTTGCTCATCCGGGTGAGGAGAGCAGCGGAGACCAAGACGAGACCGCACCCCACGATCCCCATCGCGCCCACCGCACAGATCAAGGCCTCACCCCGCTCCGTCGTGGGCACAACTACGACCTTCTCGCTGCTCCCAGTATCAAGATCATAGGTCGCAAGGCCACCCTCATCTCGTCTACGCAACACGCGACAGCGACAGCAGAACCAGTATCAGATGGAGGAACAAATGCTAGCTCTGGCCAGTCCGAGAATCTCCCCGCTGCTGGGATGACGCCCACCGCACTAATGACCGGGATCATCCGGGCCCCAAATCTTCCGTCGAGTAATCAAGCGCGGTTCCTCGAGCGCCTGGCCAGTTTAAAGCGAAGCAAAGGAGAGACCGACACGGTGCGAACGGTCTTTAGCACGAAACGTATCCAGTCGGACCAGGCATCATCGATGAGCGGGCGGTCTCGTGGCTGGGCGCGCACCGAGGAACAACTGTCGGAAATTCAGCGCTTGAACGAGCTGGCGCTGCAAGGCGATGCAACGGCCATGGCAGAGTTAGAGGCGCTGTACGCGCGGCTTGGTGAGGATGTCTCGAGAGAGACGGAGAGCGAAGATGATGAGGACGCTGGCGCTGACGATAATGATATCGAAATGGGAGGCGTGGAGAGGCAACAAGAGGTCGCGGGCGAGGATGCCTCGCGAGATCTGGATCAAGATCAGTACCTTGACCCGGAAGCATTACTCTCGCAGGCTCGACGGACCTCTCAGCTTTCTCAGCAGCCCCAGCCTTGAACCGAAATTTATTATTTGGGATACAACAACAGCCTGCATGTCCAGAACGGATGATCCCTCCCTCGTCAGTCACGTGAACGCCCTTGACCCGAGACCTTCAACCGAGGTCCGGTTCCCAAGGCTGATCCGCCTCAATCTAAAGGGGAAACAAGCTTTCATAGTCACAAGTACTATTCATATGGACTGACAGTGCGACGCACTCGGCCCTACCGAGGCTCGCAAGTACGAGTCGTGACTGTGAACATGAACAAAAATAGAAAAAAACAGAGCAGGGCTAGTCACGAACTCGGAAACCAAGGATGACCCCTTGGTTTGCAAGTGTGCTACCGTACAGCGAGGGAGCGACCTGCAATGTCAAAGACCGCTACCATCGAGTAGGTTACAGTATGCATAAGCTAGACCTTGCAGTGGCAACTTCAAGCTACTGTCTACCGAGGTCCCTTCAGTACCTGTCGACTTTGATGATGAACCATGCCGTCATAGGAGTCTCGGCTGCAGGTAGGTACGGAGTATAGCTGACTGAGTATATGTGTGATTTTCCTTCCCTGCATTTGCCCGAGTCCGAAGATCTGCAAGCGTTCACATCAGGGTTCAGGCTCATGATTGGATGTGCTATCTACTTGGTTGCTCGAGAGGATTTTTCGTAGAGTGATGACGAGGTGTGATCTCATTCCATGGTCCAAATGTCCTTAAGAGACGAAGCTAGATTTATCGGGCAGTGATCTACTCTCCAAAAAGCTGGCCAAGTCGGGTCTTCCGTGGGGATTGTGCACAGCGGCAAGCAGCATCTACCATACGCTTCGTGGTCTCCCAAAATCAGTCTTTTTCACGAGCATGATCGAGTTTCCACAACTATCGCATTCATATGTCTTAGACCCCGATCTCATAATATACACATACCTCCAATTATATGGAGTGTACTCGACAAGAACTGAACCAAATTCAAGAACCCCCAAAAAACATAGCCCCAGTTGGAAAATCCCCATTATAGTAGCACGCCGATTAGAACAGATTTTGACCCACCGACACCAGAGAAACGAAAAAGAGAAAGGAAAAGAAGGAAAGATTAATGCGCAACCTATGAGAAGGACGGGAGAACACCACACGATTACAACACAGAGTCCCCAACTGAGCAGCCAAGAACATGGGAGTCACAGATCAAAGCCTCGCCAGACTCAAGAGGGAGCCGAAGCTAGATAAAATCATCGACCCCATAGCGCTCTGGTCTCGACGGGGGACGGAGGAGGCGGGGGAGGGGGCATGGGAACCTCCAATAGCCCCGTACTCGTCGACGTCGTGGGTGTTGCTGCTGCTGTAGCTGCTCCACCCGTCGTTCGGGGTGCGGACCCGACGGCAATGGATTTGGGGATGTGGTTGGCGGCGGAAAGGATGGCGGCGGAGATGTCCTGCGGAAAGGTGGAGGAACAGGAGGGGGTGATGAGGGTGGGCCGGTGACGTTGCGGGGATGTATTGGTCATTTTGGCTTGGGAATTGATGCCTTTGCTGTTGTGGGTGGTATTGATGGAGGTTGTCAGGATTGCGGATGAGGGTATAAGTAGTAGTAGTAGTAGTAGTAGTAGTAGTAGTAGTGGCGGTGGTGGTGGGTGTTGTTGATGATATGCTGCGGTTTAATTTGAGAAAGGCTCCTCTGATGGGTCAAATGGAGAATAGATGCTAGATGCGTAGCACTGTAGATGAAATCTTTTTAGCAAAGCGCTTCAAGCTACAGGAATGGTGGGCCGTGGTAGATATAAGTAAATAACCACTTCGGCAGACGGGGACCCGTAGGGCCGAAGTATAGTACATAGAGTTGCTGGAGCTCCGAAATCCACCGAGGCAAGAAGGGATTCCCGGAGGACAAAATATATGAAATGAAGAGTAGACATAATTGCTTACCTCTAGTCGCTGATTTAGAAACCGAAGCAACGGATTTGTCGTAGTAATTGTTTTCCCAATCACACGGTGTCTGCACGAGACCAAGGAGCTGGGTTCCGAGGATAGGGAAGAAGACAGAGGTGCCTTCTTAAATCCCCCGTCGACAACGAATAATGACTAAGGGACAGAATCCAGGGTAGCCAAGCCACTCGATGCCAGCAGTGTACAGTCAAGGTGGTGTACTATGTAGTCAAAGATTCAAAGTAGCTAGTTTGCAAGGGTATGAATTCTGATGGAGGGAGGAGAAGGTGGTCGAGTGTTCAAAAGCCGACTAATGGAATTCCAATGCGAATCAGTGGAGTGTCTACACGGACAGTGGATGAATCCTCCACTCGATCCTTTGTATTCCATACATAGTAGTACTCCGTAGTACTCGATCGTATCAACTAGGTTCAAAGCTGGGCCCAGGGGGGGAGGAGGGGGGCGGGGGGAAACGTTTGAACGCCTCACTCACCCACCAACTCGGTCCACAGGGTGGATGCCAGGATGGATGGCTGACTCCTGCATGCTTGCTACGACGACGGGACGGCAGACAGGGTGGACCTTCCGGGGAGAGAGGAGAAAGAGAGAATCCAGTGAAAATAAGTTAGTAGTAGTTAAAAATACATCTGGAAGTTGAACCTCGAACATCCAAAGAAAGAAAAACCGGGGGTCGCCAAGGGATGGATGATTCAGCCAGGGCGGATGGAGAAACGTACGTGTGCCTTTTGTGGGGAAATTGCGAAACAAGGGGATGTTTTTGGATGATGTGCTGGACAGATAATTATGTTGACTGGGGAGCTGAGAATGTACGATTATTCTAGAAGACCTTTCATCTTGTTGTATGTATGCATATCCATTCCATCCTCCTATAACTGAACAAAAAACAGAGCGAGAAAGAAACGCCTGCTGTTTCCTGAGTTCTCTCCTCATCCCCAACATTCCATCCCGCCCATCATTCTGGAGACTGGAGAAGAAAGGAAAGAGAGAAGGGGAAAAAAAAGAAGGAAAAAAAAAAAAAAAAAAAAAAAAAGAAAAGATTCAGTCGATCAAATCATCCGAAGCAGTCATGATCGACAGCTTAATCCGGAGAGTCTCTGTCCAGCGCATGCTCCAGTCAATTCCTTTGGCTCCTTTGGCCTCAGTGCGTCGTCGCCTTCCTTTCGCAAACATCAAACTGTTGTTGCATTGAAGACTTCATTTGCCCCCTCTCGATGTCACCTATCAACTCTACCCCCCTTCAGTATCATCATCTAGCCAGCATAATGCGTAGACAAGAAATAGATGTACGATGTACGCAGTACATTGAACTTACATGTGCCACATCCACTGATGTCATATCGCAGCATAGCAGGGGGAAAAGGGACTCCCCCACACCCTCCATATTCATCTCTCCAGGTTGTCTTCCCAACACCATCTAATCAAAACAAGCCCTGCACGGGGCATGATAGGGCACAGAAAGAGCAAAAGGAAAGGGATGGTTCTAGACTTGATCCTACACACTTACTTCCCAGACCAGGTAGAAGCCCGGCCAGAACTTACACACGCACCTCCTTTCAGCCTTGGAGATCGTTCGAGATGAAACTAGTTATACATTGCACACGCATAGAGACATTCGCACAAGATCAACGGGAGGAGGAAGTCACCATCACCCTGGATCTCTCAAAATGTGGGGGTGAAACAAAAGTGCGGCTTGTTGTTCGTCTCCCCTTCTTTTCTCTACGGTGACTACGGTGTAAATCCTGTTCAGCCCTTGTAAATGTATCTCATTCCGTTCACTACTCTATACCCTGGCTGCCACGCGACGGGCAGAGGGGCAGGAGGGGGAAGAAGGGTGAGTCTATACACAATCTCACCCAGTCGCTTTATCCCTTTGTGCAACACGCGACACGCGGTCGGTTGCTGCTGGTTATACACAGAAGACTAGAAAGAAACATACCCACGTGAAGATAAAGTTAAAAAGAATAAAAATGGGGTTAATAAGCAATTGAGAATCACGCACTCAAGACGCACATATACCAGCCAGAAGCACCTAACGCCTCGCAAATCAAGACCAATCGGCCAGCAACCCAATGCAGCCGAAGACCCCCAAGGTCGTAGCTGATAGCTCGACGGCAACGAGGCCAGAACGGATGAAGAGGAACAAATGGAAAGGATAGAATGAGTCTTTGATGATGATGATGATGATGGTGATGATCAATCACTCCTCAAACTTCCTCTTGACCCCATTGTGACCATTTGGAGGTCCACCACCAGGGCCTTGTCGATGGCGTTTCCGAGCTTCTTCCTCCTGCAACGCCTGCCGCTTTTTCCACGCCGCCTTGATGGCGGGCGCCATGCGAATGAGATCCTCCTCCGTGACGCGGTCCTGGATACTTTCCAGAACCTTTTCCACCGTCGAGATGTGATTGGCGTCCGTCTTGTCATCCCGCAGCCGATAGAACCGCCATCGGCCTTGGTCGTCCTTCGCACATTCAACGATTGTGTCATCCAGCGGTTGGCCCAGGGCCTTCAAGTCTTCCCACTCGTCCGGCGTGACGAACATCTCCCCAAAAGGCTGGTATTCATTGGCGCGCAGCATGACAAACAGATGAAAGATCGGCATGGCCTCGTAGTCCATATACGGCTCCGTAATGCCCTCGGCCTCGTCATCGGTATCCGGTTCGAGCAAGGGGAACTCCAGCCGCATACGGAAGTCGATGGTGTTCTCCGCCGGAGGCTTCCACTTGAGAATGTGTTCGTCCGTCCCGATCTTGTAGGGGGTGCTTCGACACGTGAATATCAGCCCGTCGTTGCCGTGGATCTTCTTGACTTTGGGGATGATCTCGCGGAACATCATCTCGAGCCCGTAGCTGAACTGCGTCGACTTGTCCTCCACAGTGAATGTACGGTGCGGGATCTCTTCGGGAAACTTGCGATACATGGCATTGTACGGCCGCAGCACCATCTCCTTGAAGTAAGCTAGCCGCTTGTCGAGCGTGCGGTGCATCAGCGACTGTCCGTCCAGCACCAGGCAGTCGAACACCAGGTATTTCAGCTGCTGCGTCCCGTCCTCGTAGGTGTCGTTCACGAGCTCTCCGTCCACGATCGTATCCACATGAAAGTTCCGAAAGGTGTCGTCGCCGGGCAGCGGGAAGTGCAGCCCCGGCACCCACCGGTATTCGTTCTTGCGGTCGATCAGGTAATGTACTTCCGGCGTGTCCGACTCGGGTTCCCCGCGCGTAAAGTACATGAGGCACCGGATGCCGTCAGTCTTCTCGCAAACGTAGTAGTCTTCACGCTGTAATTCGGTGAGATGGCGCGTTGCGAAACTAACTGGCTGCGCCCCGGGGAAATGTAGGCTGTTGCGCCCCAGAAGAGTGGCGACCTCGCGCCGGAGCACTTCCGCCAACTCCGGCTCGGCTTTGACGCCGACGGCATCTAGATCGGGAACGGAATTGCCCATCTTGCAGCTGGGGTGAACGAGGACGAGGAACTGGGTACGTCGGTAGTTGGACGAGTAGGTAGGTAGAGAGAGAAGCGAGAAGGGCGAGGCGAGTTCAGGATTCAGTCGGGAGAGGTGAACTCGACAACGGACGGGATCGAAGTTGGGAGAGGACGAGCGATGGGAGTTCTTGAGGCTGTGTACAAAGTGCGTTCGGGATATTTAAAGTTCAAGGAAAAGTGAGATGAGACCAAGGCCTCACCTGCAAAGCTGCGCGAAGCTTTGCGCGGTATTTAAAGAAATGAGCGTGAGGTGAAAGAAAGGTGGGTTGCCGTTTGTCATGTCGACTTTCGGCGGAGACCATCGTTGTGGTGGCCTGAGGCATCAACACTACCGCCAGTATACATACTTCCGACAAGCGAGGATAAAGGGACTTAAACACAGCTCCAGCTCCTTGATAAGCAAGATCACCTTGTTACACATTAAGAATGCTTTATAATGTTATATGTTATGTTGATTTCAATCTCTATCATGTCAAATCACAAGTCAACCCATATTAGACGCAACTGTACACCGGCCCAAATCAACAATGCATGCGTCCATCCTAGCGCATTCAACACGGGGTATCATATCATCAGAGAAGTCAAAAGAGCACAGAGAAGTAGAGGTACCCAATAAACGCCGTCAATCACTCACCCATGCCGTGGGAGAACCCCCCAAGACCAAACTGGCACCAACCCAAAGGAACCACCTAACATGCTTAAGCACAGAAGTCATAAAGAATCAATCACCCTTTCGTTCGCGTAAGGGAAGATTTCACGAGCTCGCTGCCACGGAAAGTTTCTTGGGCGCAGACGCGGCCGGAGTCTTCGCATCGGCGTCTGCCGCATTATCCGGCACAGTTGCGGAGACCGGCAAAGCCATATCAATTTCGTCCACGGGGGTGAAGAGGTTACCATCGGAGAAGAGGGAAGGCGTAGATGAGGTACTGTCGCCGGTGGAGAAAAGCCCACCGCCGCGCGAGCCTCCCAAAGCATGGGACAGCATCTCTTTGATGCGCACGTACTGGTACTTCTTCTTAGTGGAGATCAGCGTGTGAGTGACCAGAGGCTGTGGCTGTGAGCGCGTAATCGCCGCCATCACGGCGTCCTTCTCTTCGTCCGAGTCCACGGGACCATTATTGTCCTGGTCGTCCTGCAGCGGCGCGTTGGCATCAATGGCAGCCTCTGTCAAGAAGTCATTAGTCATGTTTTCACCACCCCAAGATCGAGTGACAAAAAGACTTACTCTGCTGCCTCGCCTGGTTCTTCTTCTGATAAGCCTGTAGCAACATGTCGTACGGCAGCGAACGTCCAGGAACCGCTCGCTTTGCGCCCATCGAATGACTTTTACAGGTCAAAGATCGCGCGCACTGCGCGCCATTCGGCAGAGTAACACCGCACTGCTTCTCAACATCAACAGGACCCTTCGGTTTGGCGGTCTTCGGTTTTGGCGGCTCCTGCTTCTTCTTTTTCGTCTTTGGCTCCTTGCTATCCTTTTCGTCCCCATCCGCTGGCTCCGTCTTCCGTTTCGTGCCTTTTTTCGCCCCAATCTCGGTCGTACCTTTGACGGCGCTCTTCTTCGCGCCCATCTGGCCCTTCATTGACGAATCGTCTCCCCCTTCTCCTTTCTCGCCCCCAGGTCCTCCAGCCCCGCTGCCCCCGCCGACTTCATCATTATCCTCCTTATCACCAGCCTTGGCCCGATTCGCTGCGTCACGCGCTTCCTTCCTCTGCCGCGCCTTTTCCTGCTTCGCTCGAATGCAACCCCGGATGTGCTCCACCGCATTCTGCTTGAGGACCGGCCTCTTGCAGGTTTTACAGATGACTGTCTCCAAATGATCCTCCTCGCGCGGTTTGCCCGTCGGAAAGGCGGCCATAGTCTTTTCGTCAATTTCCGGAAGTATCGGGGACGAGCCAGGGGAGGCAGGAGGTTCTGTATTGCGAAACAAGTTTGGACTTTTTAGCATCGTTTTCTTTCCTTTCTTTTTCTTTTTGTTTGTGCTTTTGTTTCGTGTTCAGTGAGAAGTCAACCATGTTCCAGTCCTTTCTCCTCAACCCCACCCTCGGAGAGAAAGCAGAGCGCGCAACAACCACCTCAGCCCCAGATAGGCCGCACCAAGCCCAGCAAAACTCCCCGACGACAAAGAAGGGGAAAGAAAAGAATCAAAGCAAAACATACCGTCAACCTTCTTCCTCCCGCCCAACTTGGCCGATTTCTTCAACTTGATCTTCCCCGGTTTTGCATCCTTTTCGGAGAATTTATATCCAGATGCATCAACCAGACTGCCCGCAGTAGATGATGAGGATGCGCCAGAAGCGGCTGGATCGAGGGTCACATGAATCACAAAATTAGCGTTTCCAGTCTTCCAACATGAATACTTTCGTCCCGGAGGGTAACGTCCCAACAATTTTGCCCCCGAACAATGCCAGAGATTGAGGACACTAGAACAAGAAAGAACATGGAAGATGACACACCGTTATTGGAAGTAGCCATGATGTATGTACTCAAAGGATGAAGAAGCCCAGAAGACTGGGTTTCGGGGCGCTGGATTATAATTGAAGGCACGACCGCGACCACGGCTGATATACCGTCCCAACTACCGTGGCCTTTGTGTTGGGTAGTCGGCTATGTCTTGCCTTCGGGTGTGAGGAGAAGGCGCCGGGACGCGCACTGTCATGTAAAGAACGAAAGGGTGGATCTCATGCGCGAGAGACAGAAGACTCGTATCCAAGGAGAGAATCGGATTAGAAGCCGATGTCGATCGAAAGGAGGGGAGGAGCGGATGTTGCGACAACACAGCACGGCGTAGGGTTGGAATAGTTGTGGTATCGTGGCTTGCGATGCGATGATCGAGGCTACGTCCGGGGTCGGGGAGACGGAGGGAGAGGGGGGGGGGTTTCCCGCATGGGGTGGGTCACGTGGGCTGGCTGGTGAATAGACGCTGGATTCTTTGACTGATTTCAGTGGCTATATGTCTACTAGTAGTCTATTCTAGAATCAGGTGCTTCTTGCTCGAAATGTCTTGATTCTATATATTATCGTTCAATAAAGAAACTGAACTATTGTTTTGGGACCTGAATAGTGGAGGCCTAAAACAATAGGCTTGTAACTCAGAATGAAGCCTTTCAACAGCAACGACTATTCAAGTCCAGCCATCTTATATGGACCTTTGGAAGCACCACTCGTCCCAGATGACTTGTCGTCATTGTTTGTGTGGCTGAAAAAAGTTTCTATGCAGATAATTAAGTATGATATGTCCACGCTAAAGTACATTCGTCCTATTGATACAGTGCAGCATCCATGCAAAAGGAACACCAATACAATAATATGATACACATAACCTAGATCTTGAGCTTCGAGAAGCACAGAGTGCTGTTGGTCCCTCCGAATCCAAAACTGTTTGTCAAGGCCACGTCGATACGGCGCTCCTGCGCCTCGCTAGGCGCATAATTGCAATCGAACCCATCCGCTAGCCGCTCCAGATTGATAGTCGGAGGCATTATATTCTGGACCGCATTGTTAGTTCTGCAGAACAATTTCATCTGGCTAATACAGAGAATAACATGCTTACCTCATTGACTGCAAGGACAACAAACGCAGCCTCAATGGCGCCAGCACCACCAAGAAGGTGGCCGACAGCACCCTTTGTGCTGCTGATGTTGACCTCGGCCGCTTTCTGCTTTCCGCCTGGACCCAGAAGCAAAGCTTTGATTGCGCTGTTCTCCGCCGCATCGCCGACCACCGTCGAGGTGGCATGAGCATTGACGTAGTCGACAGCGGAGGGCGCGAGCCCCGCGTTTTTCAGCGCTTTCCTCATGGCTAAATATGCGCCTTCACCATTCTCCTTGGGTGCAGTCATATGGTGCGCGTCCCCAGAACAGCCGTAGCCATTCAACTCTGCATAAATACGAGCCCCACGCGCTTTCGCATGCTCGAGCTCCTGAGAGTTGGTAAGCACGTATCCCAAAGACAATCCGGAAACAGTAAGGTGTACCTCTAAGACCACCATTGCAGCTCCTTCCCCTACCACAAAGCCCTCTCGATCCGCATCAAACGGCCTTGAAGCCTTTTTCGGGTTGTCATTGTAGCTGGTAGCCAGACTGCGGGCCCGCGCAAAACCACCAACAGCTAAAGGATGAATACAAGACTCCGCTCCGCCGGCTAGCATTACGTCTGCATCACCGCACGCGATGAAGCGAGCTGCATCACCGATGGAGTGTGCCCCTGTGGTACACGCTGTGGTTGCTGCGTGGTTTGGTCCCTAAGAGCAAACAGTCAGCCGCGATCAAGTAATGAAGGGCGGGTTGTCTGCCGACCATGAGCCCATATCTCATAGAGATGTGACCGGCGCCGAGATTGATCAACAATTTGGGCACAAACAGGGGCGATACTTTGCGGTAACCCTAGAAAGATAACATTAGTCAAGGTAAATATCTGATCCTTTGGTGGATACTTACACCCTTCTCGTAAGTCACAACCGTGTCGTAAATCTCATCGAAGTTACCGATACCCGACCCGAGGCATATCCCCTAGACATGGTCTCATCAGTAGCGAAGCACCGGAGTGTGAATGGTTCCGAGCACCTACTGTTGCTTCTCTCTGCTCAAAAGTGGTCGGCTTCCAGCCCGCATCTTCCAATGCCTCTTCCGAAGCGGCCATTGCGTACTGCGCAAATCGAGCCATCTTGCGCTCATCCTGACACGGACAATCAGCCGAGTGTTAGAACAATCCCAATGCAATACTCACATCTTTACTTAACCATTCCAAAGCCGTCCACCCGCCTTCACTCTGCGTCCCGTGCGGTACAATGGCAGCAATCTGACATGGTACGTCCTTAAACCTGGCATCGCGATGAAGGACATTGACGATACCACAGTGACCATCTAGTAGACGTTTCCAAGTCCGGCGGATGCCTATGACTCCCGGTTTTAGTAAGTAATGAAATCAAAAAAAAAAAGAAAAAGACGCAAAGTCAAAAGATGAAGACCGGCTAGGACGTCCGATTAGACTCCAGGTGAGAAAGTTGAAGCAGCGTGTCCCCTGGATGATGGAGGATGGAATTATGCTCGACCTTCCCTTTTGGGCATGCTAGGAGTGGAGAATGATTGGGAAGCAGACGGAAAAGACGGATGGGGATGTACTCACCGACCCCTAAGGGTGTGACTGCGCCTAACCCTGTCACGACGACTCGACGCATGGCATTTCGAGCTGACAGAACCGTGTCTGTCTGTATATATCGATATATATGGTTGTATAGCAATCGGACCGAGATTTTTCCTCTTTTTTTCTTTTTTTTTTTTTTTTTTTTTTTTTTTTTTTTTTTTTTTTTTTTTTTTTTTCTTTTTTTATGGTAAAAGAAAACTAGTCAAAAAGACTGTTGTAGTAGTTCGGAAACTTTACCCTTAGATGCGAACGCGATAGATGACAAGTGGAACCACCAAGACTGTAATCGGAGTAGGTATACACAGTATGTACTTTGTATAAAGTGGATGAGAGAGAAACGCGGAGTTTGGGGAAAAGAATGGAGGAGATTCAATTGCTTTCCCGAAAGGGAAGGTCCGCACGACGTCAGAGAAACCAGGCCACAAGGCCGCCAATTTGCACTGCTTCGGCTCCTTACAACCAATAAGAACCAATAACCAGCGCATTTCCTATCGATTACCTCTCAGGTAGTTGGTAAGTAGTAGTTGAAACTACGTACCTTACTTACTCCATAGTAGTAGCGAGACACAGAGACCAGTCTTTAAGAACTACTCTTCCCTTCGCTCAGTCTGTTCCATCTGTTGACTTTTCTTTCTCACCTCCCCCCCCCACCCCCCTTCCCCCCCTCCCACTAAAACCCGAGATAGACAGACTTGCTACATAATGAGATCCCTTACGTGGGCTGCCTGTCTGGCTTTCGCTGGCACCGCCCTTTCCCATGCTCACCATGACCATGACGAAGTGGTGCCTGAGCGATTGCGCGAGGAGTTGCTGAAGAAATGGGACCAGGAGGTGAGCCGATCATCAATTGATCCTCTTTTGTCAACATCAATCTAAGTGCGATCTATGTTTCCCCCCTAGTTCACCTTCTCTGGGATCGCCAGTTTCGCCCACATGAAGCCGGTTAAGTGTCTCGTCGAACCCGACGAGCGATACGACATTGCCGTGATCGGTGCTCCCTTCGACACAGCTGTCAGCTACAGACCAGGTAAGCTTCACAGCCATCTACATCGCTCTTGTCTTCACACATTCCTAAACACCCAAACCACAACAGGCGCCCGGTTTGGTCCCCGCTCCATCCGTGCGGCCAGCGCCCGCCAGATGGCCGGAACCAGCTACAACACCCGCGCGGGGATCAACCCCTACCAGTCGTGGGCAACTGTCAAGGACTGTGGTGATATTCCCATCACCCCGTTCGACAACGGGCTGGCTGAGCGGCAAATGTACGAAGCCTTCCTGGAGCTGGGCTCCCGGCCGGCCGTGACCCGCGCCTCCTCCAGTTACGGCACAAAAGGCATTTCGGCCGGAAAGTCCAAGCTCGTCACTTTGGGAGGCGATCACAGCGTTGCGCTCCCTGCCCTGCGCGCCCTGTACCAAATCTACCAGAAGCCCATCACGGTGCTTCACTTTGATGCGCACCTAGATACCTGGAATCCCGTGCGGTACTCGGCCTACTGGCTGTCGGAGCAGTCGCACTTCAACCACGGCAGCTTCTTCCACAAGGCCAGCCGTGAGGGACTAATCTGCAACGCAACTTCGGCACATGCGGGGCTGCGCACACGGCTGACGGGTGTGGACGACAGTGATTACACTAACCCCGGTCCCGAGCAGGGATTCATGCGTATTCACGCAGATGATATCGATGAGCTGGGCCCCATGGGCATCGTGGATCGGATCATCGAACGCATCGGCCTGGACCCCGAACAGCCAGTCTACTTGTCGGTTGACATCGATGTTCTAGACCCGGCGACTGCCCCGGGCACCGGCACTCCCGAACCTGGTGGCTGGACGACCCGCGAGTTCATCCGCATCCTGCGCGGCATTGAGAAACTGAACATCGTTGGTGCCGATATTGTCGAGGTCTCTCCCAGTTATGACAACAAGGGCGAGACCACAGCTCTGGCCGCGGCTCAGGTTGCTTTCGAAATCATCACTAGCATGGTCAAAGCTGGGGCAGGGGAGGATCTGGGTGGCTGGTATGGGCGCAAAGCAACACCAGAGGCTGAGATCAAGGTCGAAATCGAGGCCGAGGACGTTGTGGTTGAGAAGGAAGTCAAGGACGAACTGTGAAATGCGATTCCATGCGATGATGACGATATATGTATTATGAGTTAGAGAAGTGGTTGCCTCGTCCAATGCAGGTAAATTCCGTACATTCCAGCGATAAAAGGCCGTTGTCCATGGTTGGGCCCATACCCTACCAGTTCTCCTCTACATGCAACGCGACCTCATAATGAAAACTGAGTTAAAACTTCGATCATCACTATTGTATCTGTGTTATCTAATCCAGGCCTCGGAAGAATGGTTTGGGGGGAAATTGCACAGCACATTGCGATAGGCATGATAACAAATTGAGGGATCTGAGAGGGAAAAAAAAAGCACATATCGGACCATCAGCCAGCCAAAATAAGACGCCTCGACTTCCAACGCCAATGAAGACGATGAGAGTTTAGAAAAGGAGTAGAAGGGAAATGGAAGAGAAGGAAAAGCTTGGAGGAAAGGCGGGAGGAAGATAAGATTGACAGTGGAAGGATAATCGAATGAGCACGGAGAGATAAGTAAAGATAGTGGGAGAGGTCGGAAAGGTTCGATTCGGGGCCAATTGTACACGGCTTTAATCGGAAGACGAGCTGGTGGGCGATGAAGTAGAGTATATGTTCGTGACCCTGTTCTTGCTTGGGGCCGCCCTCAGCAGTTTTCCCCAGGTGCAACCGAGTCACAGCGGGTCTTGCACTCGAGTGTCATAGCTGTGGGCTGCATGGATGATATTCACTCAATGATCGGAGACAAAAACACATATAAGTCTCAGGTCAGACGGCGGTCGAGTAAGCCTGCCCCTCCTCCGAATGAAAGTCCCAAAACTCTGTATGGCGAAATAAAGCAATCCGTTCCTCCAAAATCATACGACATATCCGCATGCCCTAATGAAAAAGTGTGCAGCTCTCTGGCATGTACCAGCCTGCGGGGTAGGAGCCGTGATTGGTTTACAAAACCACACACTTCTTAGACTTCTTGGGGGCAGGCTCGAGTGCGGCAACAATAGCCTTCGAACAGAGCGGTCAGCTTCCTCTGCATGCGAATAACGAGCGTACGTAAGACGAACCTCATCAAAAACGTCCTTGAGCTTGTACTGCGTCAAAGCAGAGCACTCCACGTATTTCACAGCACCCAGTTCTTTGGCCATCCGATCTCCGTCTTCCTTGCGAATCGGCTGCATCTTTTGACGGGAAAGCTTTTCCCGAACGGCCGGATCGTCGCGCAAATCGGTTTGGGTGCCGACGATGAGGCAAGGCACACCCGGGCAGTGGTGATGAACTTCGGGGAACCATTTCTCGCGAACGTTCTCGAAGGAGGCGGGGGAAGTGACTGAGAAGCAGACTAGGAAGACATCGGTCTGGGGGTAAGAAAGAGGCCGAAGACGATCATAATCTTCCTGACCGGCGGTATCGAAGAGACCTAGGGTGTATGGTTCATCGCCGATCCTAATGCGCCAGAATAACAGTCGCCGGGTCAGCTATCCGTTGCGAAAGATCCGTCCAGGTGTCCGACTCCAACCCCGGGTAAGACAGAAAAGGCGACAATGATGCGATCGGGAACATGGTGAAGCGCATTTCCCCAGAAGCATTTCAAAGGCTTGCCTTGCGCGAGTGACGGAGTGCAACCGACTTACATGACCGTAACAGCATAGTTATCGAAGACGGTAGGAACATATTCCGAAGGGAACTTGTTCGTTGTGTACGAAATTAACAGGCAGGTCTTGCCAACCGCACCGTCACCGACGACAACACACCTGTAGTCCAGGGCAGACAAATTAGCAAGTCGCACATAAGAAAGAGCTTGAAAGACCAGTAGACTTGAGAAAGGGGGTAAAAGTTGCAGGAGGCGGAGGGACGGAGGTAAAATGGGGGGATGGGGGGGGGATGGTTGGGAGTTGGAGGGGAAAGGGAGAGCGGAAAGGCAGATGAGAATCGCGGTGGAAGAGAAGGTGATGAAGATGAGAGCAGAAACGTACTTGATTGTGGCTACAACCATATTGTAGACCTTGGACTACCCAAGAAAGTCACCAGAGAAAGTGTGTAGACGGTTCAGGTGGAAGAGTGTCGGAATCCGAGAGGTGGACGGGAGGAAAGGTAAATGCGGTGAACCGTGAGGGGGGGGGAAAGAGGAGTGGATGAGTTAACTAAGTTAGTTAGAATAACTAAGGAAGATTGATTGAAAGGGAAGAAGATGATTTTTGGGGCGAGAAGGGAGGGGAGGGAGGAGGAAGATAGGTAGGTAGTCGTGGAAAAAGGTGAGGCGGCTAAGATAGAACAAACTTAAGGTAGAGATGGTAGGGAAATTAGAAATGAATGGGGTGTGGGTGTGGTTGACAGCTTGAGAGATAAAGGGAGGGAGGGAAGGGGAGGAGGAGTTGGAGGAGGAGCCTGAGGGAGTGAGTGAGAGAGTTGAGGGAGACGGAGGGAGAGCAGAGAGAGAGCCATGTGGTTGGATTGGACGAAGAGGAGGGAGACTGACTGACTGGGCCAGCCCAATATGGGAGACCGAGAGTGGAGGGACGAAAGGTAAGCTGCAGTGCAAATGATGGGGCAACCCGCACACCGTTTAGTTACCTACTACTAGTATTTATCCTCATCAGTCACTGAACCTTACGTTACTTTGCTATCCACTACTTACAGTTTGCCCACTGTCTTCTTTTTCCCCAGATTCAATACATAACACCCCCGACCCATAAATCAGAAAATAGACGCTGAAACACAAGAGCTGTCGGGGTTGGCGATCATATTATCCCATTAGGGACAGGGTTCAAGGGCCAGAAGACTCTGGCTGTTTGGCATTTCATCCAGACGTTTACTTACAACAAGGGCATCGCAATCATTAGAACAATTCCCACTCACATACCATTAATAGATAAACTCCTCAACTCCTCGTGGAATCGAGTCACCTTCATTTTGTGCCTGAACAGGTTATATGATGGTACCGGTTGAAAATATACACAGTATATTACATTACTGCAGGTTCACTGCGACAATTGACCCCACGAAGTCAGTAGGAAGCCTTGTGATGGTTCCAGCAGAGATGACAGAAGCTATAATCCATAGTTTAATGCGAAAGAGGAACCAGCTAGAGAAAGATCAATAAGAGCAGTGGAAAAAAAATTATACTCAGCTGAAACACAAGCGACCAGAGCACTGAGATCCCGAGTTGAGGCAGACAAAGAGTAAGTTCCTACAAGCTTACTCCGGAAAAGCTATAGAGAAGTGGATCTAGCGCAGGCTAGAACCTATAATACTAACTGAGGTACTGGCCTTACTGTCATTATCTTCTAAAAGGTGCGATAGACGAGACAAAGTGGTATCAAGTAGTATGGAATGGTAACTGTGACACCCTTTGGCTGTCTGGGATTGTTTATTGATTGCGCGCCAAGGGAGAACAAATCATAGGGTTCATCAACCAGTAAAACCGGCCGGGAATACCTCTGGTGAAACATCAACCAGATGTCAATATCTGGAATAATCAATGTCATGTTGGAGTAGAAGTCTGCTCGCCACTTGTAGTTTCAGGCATAGCGTACTACTACCTCCTTGCCCATGACCCAAACAAATCGACGGACGCTAGGTTTCACAACTTCCCGCCGTCCCAAGCCAACTACTCCTTACTAACTAGTTAGTTAACGCTGTCATTGTTTCAAATCCACTAAGGCAAAGTCCCTGCTTGTGTATGAAACTCCGGATATGTATGCATGCTGGCTGGCTGGCTATTAAATACAAATAGTCACAAAAAGTCGTCTAATCTAGTCATGTCATCTATGCGCCTTGCAAACAAATAAAAAAAAAGCAATAGTTGTCGTAGTGCTGGTGACAATTCGTTTCTCACCACTGCAGCTCAGGTTTCATGACTTCATATACAGATCACCTTTGCGGGCCAATCACGGCCAGCATAATAGCCCTTTCGACCCCGTACTATGACCCGTCAATCGCCAAGAATGGTCGAATATAGCGGCTGAAGGGGGTGATTGTCTGCCTGCCAGGTGATGGGCCCTAGAGGGGTTTACACGCATTGGCGCGAAGTTCACGCGAACAATGCTCGGTGACAAAAATGATGTTCCTGCTTCGCGTCGGGCAGTTTTGTGTAAATGTATCCATAAATGCACAACAATCAAAGAAAAGCAACCCCAAACACTTAGACTCGTTTCGAGTGTGCTTCAGATTGAGCTTCATCCGCAATTGGTTCGGCAGGTATGGGCTCGTGACGCGGAGATTCGCTCATCTGCTCCCGTTAGTCATATAAGCGCCAGAGTTTCCGTGGGCCGTACCTTGTCGAGTCGATAGTTCGACATAAGAAGGCTCAGGGGAAGTAACGGGATAGTTGCAATCAATGCCAAAACTAAGAGCTTGTTCATCGTTTCCTGATAGGCCCGGTTGATGGCCACTCGCGCAGGTGAGCCCATTGGGTATGAAAGCGCCTTGGTCAACTTGCCAAAGATCTCCCCGACATCTGCCTTGGCCTCATCAGGAAGGTATTCCTGAAGTTTGCGTGGAATGTGATGAGTCCAGATGGCGCCAGAAATGGCGGCTCCTACAGCACCACCCATTTCCATGGATGTAAGGAACATTGCCGTGGCGGCTGCAACGTCTTGATGGCTGGCGGAGGCCTGAACACCCAATTGGACAGGTACATTAAGGAGTCCGCCGCCCGCACCAACTATCACCTGGGTTCCAAGAACCAGAGCCGGTGAGCTACCTTCTTTGCGGTAGGTCAACATGAGGAAAATCCCCATTATGTAGATCACGCAGCCAACGGTAACATAGATGCGATACCGCCGTGTGTATTTAATCAAGATGGAGACCCCAAAAGCAGCAATTGTAGACGTGAAAGCAAACGTTTGTGTGACGCGGCCCGCTGTGGCTACATCATAGTCCTGAACAACCTGAAGATAAGAATAAAGGTACGGCTGAACGGAGAAGTAGAATGCCACTGCAAAAGGTCAGTATGTGGTTTATGGAGTTCCGGGATACAAGCGAATTTGACATACTGAAGTAGAAGAAGGCAAGAGTACAGCCGGCAAGGGCAGTACGCTGTTTGAGCAGATGCAAGGATAGCAAGGGTTTAGGAGCCAGTTTCTTCGAGGTTTCCCAGGCGGGTAGAGCACAAAGACACAAGATACCAACCACAATCATGGCAATGATGCTGTTGTTCTTCCACCCATTCTTCGAATTGGCGGCAAGTGTTAGGGGAACAAGAATCAATGTCACTGCCGCCGACAGCAGGATCAAGCCAAACATGTCAAGATCATACCAAGTGTGGCGAACGGCGGCAAAAAATCCACGTCGGTGAGCGCTCTTGGGTTTGATAAGATTTAGCCTCTTGGCCTTGCGCTGATTGAGCAATAACGAGAGCGCCAGAGGGAGAAACGAAGCAGGCAATATGATCGACCACATGCCGTAACCCCAACGCCATGAAGTGTGTTCAAGTACAGTATTAGCGATCGTTGGCCCGATCCAGACTGTCACCAAAAATGGAAGCTCTGGTAGGAGTGCTAGAAGTGCACGATTGAGAAGGCTACTACTATCGGCGATGAAGACTTGTTGCAATATTTGCAAGCCAGTCGAGCCGGCAGAGTAGAATATTTGGGCTGATGCGTAAGTCTGAACGTTGGTTGAAGCAGCCATTTGAATGTATCCGAGGACATATATCAGAATACTAACGCAAAAAGCCTCGAAACGGCCAAATACATCGGCGACTTTGGCCATGGGTGGCTTGATGACGGCTGTAAAGAAAGTCAGCCAGGGTTGGATTTGGAAAAGGATAAAACCGACCATTAACGACATTCTGAACGACAAGAACCGTCGAAATCAACGAGTGTTTGCTAAAAGCGCTAGTAGCATATGCCGAAAGGGACATCACGGTTTGACCCTCGAGTGATGTGCAGAATGCCATTAGAAATATACTTAAGGATGTTAATTTAAATGCGCAAATGAGTTTTTCAAATATGTTCTCGATCCATAGAAGCACTAACCTGATGTATGCTATGATCAGAGACCGCGTGGTCCATGTCAAGTTGATCGCTTCGATCTTCCTGACACCCTCCTGTACAGAATCCCCCGTGGACTCAACATCGCTATCATGGTTCCCTGGTTCATATCCTGCCTGAAGGAGATGTTCTCCTTCTTCTTCGTTGTATTGTTCCATTTGATCGATTGTGCCATAGGAGATTTTTGAGCGGTAATCAAGTAAGGGCATCGCGGATGGGCCGAATTGAACAGTGTATGTCGAATGGCGTAGTATTAACACTAGGGGCAAGGTCCATTTACTGCAACCGATCGTCCGATGATTCGTTTATGGCTGTGAAGGTGAAGAGAGAATGTGGATAACAGGCTGGATAGTGTCAAAGTTGAAGTACCTGACATCGAAGAGGGAAGGCAAACAAGCTGACACCCGCAAGGCAGTGTGGACGGGGAGGAGTATCGAGACCTGAACCAGCCAGATCCACCAACAAGAGAAAAAGCGATCAACAGGCGACAAACGGCAAGGCGGAGTCCGAGTAGAGCAGAGACTAAAAATGAACCCCGATGAGGGGTATAGGTCAGAACGGCAGAACTAGCAAATTGGTCGATACTGAATCAAGGTCAGACGGGTTTGGGTACCAGTCCTGCATCGGGTAACCAGGTGCAGAAAGTCAAGTCAACCCACAGCGAGACGCGTGGATCGCCAGATCTGTGGTACAGAAGGAAGCACAAGGGGCTGAGCTTCAAGGCTTCCAGTCACAAATGGTCTCCTCACAATGATTCACACCACTGACCACGATCGACAGGCCGCACTTATGCAAGTCGGTGTGGGAAGCTAGGATTTAGCCTATGGGCTGAACGCCCGTGGCCCAAAAGGGAGTGTGGCACCCGTCGAATCGAATTGCTGCAGCGAAAAAGAAATCCCTTGGATGGAGGAGGGAATAAAAGGAAATTTTTGATATTTGCTTCCATCCAACACCAATCGTTGGGATTGAGAGCGGCCGATGCTGGTTGTCGGGCAAGTTCGAGTGGACAAAAGCAAGTTGTGCCTTGCGCCCCAGGCAGTCATTGACAGATAATTTGATTACACGCGCGGACGAGCCAAAATAGAGGGGTAGAGGAGGAGGGGCAAGCTTTGGAAGAGTCAACAAAAATCGCAATAGGTACCCCTAGCCTTACTGCAGAGAAGGCTTCGACTGCAGGAGTTCACCTCAAAGCGGCGTGGTGGTTGCGGAAGGTTAAGTGGGGATGGGAAGAGAAGATTAGTGTGGCAAGTGGCCAGGATGTTTGAATATTACGCTGTGTAAGAGAACATCAGATATGATAAGATCACCTGGTCCGGCGGTCGGTCCGAGCGGCAGTGTGAGGGGGAAAAGCCGGGATCAGATGATGGTTGAGTGAGGATCAGGATGATCAGTGGTCCGTGGAGCAATAGTGACTTAGTTACTCCGTATTCCGTAATCAGCTTACTTATTATTCCTCTTTCTTTTTCTTCTCACAACTCTCTAATCACCAGCCCTTATGCTGAAGGCTGCATTTTATACTCTGTACTCCGTACGGAGTACTTAGCGTACTTAGAAAGGCAGTTATGTTATGTGGACGGGCAGGCTGAATGCTTCAACCAGCCAATTCGATCAAATCTCCAGGCTCACTCACCGCTGGCATTCTGCTTGGACGAGCAAGAATGAAGTTGCGCATCGCCCCCTTGCAGGCGTGGATAAACCTGTTTGGGGCTGGATTTATCATCTCCGAGACCTCTCCAGACAATCAATGATTGGAATTCCTCAGTCTTGTCTGCATGATTCGCCCGCCTTGCCCAATCCGAGGGAAGGTATTGTCATCTCACCGGGCTCCTCATGCGGCTTCGTGGCTTTGAAATATGCTTAGCATGAGAATTCTTCCTCAGTATCGGAGCACTTCAGATTGACTTACCGATGATGCCCCCCCCCCCCCCCCGGCCACGATTTAGCATGTTAAATTATTTAGGTAGTAAGTAGGCCAGATCCATTTCCTGACTAGGCTGAAGCAACACAGCATGAAGTGACTGGATGACTCGGGAACAACCGCGACGACCATCCATCCAACCAATCTGTCATTGGAGGCTACGCTCCTCCCGCACCATAGGCTGGGAGGGTGAGAGTCAGGACGAGGATTCAAGGCGATGGCGCACTCACGAATCACCTGCCAGTAGCTGTAATATTTCGATAAAAACCACCTTTCCCGCCCAAGCCGCTGTGAGAATGTCCAGGAGACATGCCCATACTGTGTACTCTTGCTGGCCAGCTGCGCCGAACCTTCGATGAATATTTGGGTTGAGCAAGACTCTATGGGTCGGACAATAATGCTTGGGTTGTACAACCGATCGGCGCAATCTACTGTGGAAGAGAAAAAGCATGGCTAGATCTCGGCTCTTACTTCACGTAGAGCGAAGGTACAGTTGTTACAAGGAAATTATCTTTTCTTACGACTCCCGCTTGCCGCTGGTTCATGCTGTTGTGTTACAAAGCTTTCAATGCACGCTCTGAGAATGTTTTTACGCTCATTTATATTGTCTTTCGCATCTTCTCTCTGCATCACTCATTCTATCTAGGTTCGTTCCGATTGGCTGCATTTCTGTGAAACGTAAGATGGTGCTTGCTTTTTCTATTTCTGTGTTCTGACTGTTTTCTCCAAATTTGGTCATTCTTCAACATTATATATATATTTTCTGCATTTTCATAATGCTTTATCTCATACCAAGACATAAATATTGGGCATAAGATCAGTTTGTCTGCAATTGCGTCCTTCATCACCGTCTTAATCCGGTACGGCGACCTGAACCCCCAAGGCTTCAGATATCTCGAAACCGAGTTGTATACTTTGCAAACCATGCGTATCAGGCATCTCATCAGCTAGGCACAATGGATATAAGATATGGTATGGCCATCATCATGCGCGATGTCGCGAGTACATCCGACTCGAGATTTTTTACGATGCATGTTGCCCTGGGGTCGAATGCGACCTGACAACCGTCGTCCCATAGCACTGGCACGTTGAGCCTAAGGCAGCGGTACGCTCTACGATCCAACGTTTGTACGTATTCTAATCTGTGAGCCAGGAGAGCGCAAAGAGATTTAATTACTGATCTCGGCGTGTGAGTGGCAGCAGTACTTGTTTCATAAGAAAATCATTAAATCGGGTGTCTATGGAAGAGATAAGACTATATCCTATCACAAATCATATATCAGGTCCTTCACTCAGCCAAATCGATAATCAGGTGGCCGAAGTTGACAATCAGCTCCTCCTTTTCGCTCGAGGGTTTGGCTGCATAGAGTCCAATCCAGAGATCTTGAACATCCGCATCTTCGAATACCCATGTCACTTCTCGAAGAGGAGACTTTTGAATGCCCTCCACCAAATAGATCCACAGGCTGTTATCAGACTCTCGGACAATCTCCAATGTGGCCGCTCCACCACCTGATGGTACGGGCTGCAGACTCCAATCCGCCCAGCGATCTTTTGCGACAGTACTCAGGTGTGGCCGGCCGTTGGCAAGCTCAATACCGGACTTGACCCATTTTCGGGTCCCGTCGGTGCCATTAAGGACTAGTATCACGCCTCCCTGGTCGTACTTGTGTTTCCAGAGGGCGTTGATAGCGACTCTGGCCCGCTTGAAGGACTTAATGGGGACACTTCTGTACAGGATTGGTGCGGTGAAGGTTTCTGTAGAGGGAGGCTTGGCCCAAATGTCGGTTGAAGGGCTCGCCTTGATGGAGAACTCGGCAGGCAGGACTCCGTCACCAGGAACCTTCTCGGAAGAGTTGGCAAATTTGAAGTCCGTCATGGTCGCCTTCTGTGCGAAATAATATATAGGCAGTACGGAGGACGGCGAGCCCAAGATGGTATTCCTGGATTGTGGGGCTGTGCGGGGGAGGGAAACCGAAGCGTACGATGTAGAGAGATTGGTATACTTAGAAGACACAAATGAAGATGGCACGCTTAGAGAGAGATTCCAAGAACCGCAATATCTATGAGTCCGAAGGATTATGGCCGAGACCCCTACGTCACTGGAGGGGAGAGGGAGCTCCACTGTTCAAAACGCGCTGGGTCAAATCTGGAGAAGGATCCCAAGGGATCATTGCCTTCTGTGGTAACCTATGACAGCTATGACTCCATCTCCGGTGGGGTTTGTTGGAACTGTCGGCCAAGATAGGAAGCACGGCGAAAATGCGATGTTGCTTAGTGCTGCATCAGCCACTGATGAGGATACTGTACCATGTTCGGATAGTCAAGCCAGATAAGCATGGCTTCTTTGTAGCACTTTGGTAAGGTACAAGGCCTGCAGAGCCAGTGTAAGTAGGGAGAATATGGAGTAAGTACGGAGTACGGAGTAGTGGTCTCGTAGTTACTTTAATGTAACCGCTCGCAATGGGCTGCATGAATGGGGCGATGACATAAGCGAGATCTGATCCCAGAAGGCGGCGTTGCGTTGTCTCACATGAATCACAAAAATGGCAAACAGCGTCAATACGACCGGCGCTGACTTGGCACAATTGGCACACACCGAATTTCAGGCATGGGCTGACTGATTGTGAGTACCTGTCTGTGATGTTTCTCCTTCGTCATGACTGCCCGCCTCCTTCACCCAGACGAGTATGAGCTAGACACTCGCTCGTCAGCGGATTCTCAGGGGAGCTTCAACCTCGACGAGGCCGATTTCGAATCACAAGTGCCTCCGCGACCTAGGCGGGTGTTGAGACAGATCCCATTGCTCGCGAGATTATTTTTGTCGACCAATTTTGCTTATCGTCCCTTGAAGCCTTCGCGACGATTTCTCTGGGGTTCGACGCGCCTTGCTTACCCCCGCCTGCGATTTCGCCGCTGCTTTCTTCGCCTCCATGCAGTTGCAGGTATCATTTGTGCCCTTGTCATCCTGACGGCGATTTTCCGACCTTCGTATACCCGGCTGCCGCCACATTATTCGTCGCTTCGAGATGCAGTATCGCAATCGACTGAACCCGGCCGTGGAAATCCCCGTAATGAGAAAGTCTTCATCGCGGCGAGCTTGTACGACCGCAATGGAGACTTGGCACAAGGGCATTGGGGCGCTAGTGTCCTACGGTTGATTGATCTACTCGGGAAAGACAATGTCTTCCTGAGTGTCTACGAGAATGATAGCGGAACGGAGGGCGAGCGTGCTCTTCGTGGTCTAGAGGAACAGATTACGTGCGAGAAATCCATTGTTTTCGAGGAACATCTAGATTTAGCCACGCTTCCAAAGGTCATTGTCCCTGACGGATCCAGGAGAACGAAGCGCATCGAGTACTTGGCCGAAGTTCGAAACCGAGCACTTCGCCCCCTCAACAATCAGCATGAGGTGCAGTACGACAGGCTTCTATACTTAAACGATGTTGCCTTTGACCCCATCGACGCACTCCATCTTCTGTTCTCTACCAATGTGGCAGAGGATGGTAGCGCTCACTATCGGGCAGTCTGTGCGATCGACTTCATCAATCCTTTCAAGTTTTATGACACTTACGCGACACGGGATTTGCAGGGTTACAGCATGGGCCTTCCTTTCTTTCCTTGGTTCTCGACCGCAGGCGAAAGTCAAAGTCGGGAGGATGTCTTATCAGGAAAGGATGCTGTTCGGGTCCGCAGTTGCTGGTCGGGTATGGTGGCTTTTGATGCGCGGTTCTTTCAAGGATCTCCAGGGAACCAAAAGTACAAAGGTGTTGAAACACCTGTACAGTTCCGTGCTTCACATGAACTGTTCTGGGAAGCATCTGAGTGCTGCCTCATCCACGCAGATATCCAGGACCCATTTGCCACAGGGGAAGACAGCGGCATTTATCTGAATCCATTTGTCCGTGTCGCGTACGATCCGCGTACTCTGTCTTGGCTCGGTACGACTCGGCGGTTTGAGAAAATATATTCTTTCATTCAAAATCTGGGTAGCCGCTTTGTCGGACTCCCATGGTTCAATCCTCGTCGAGATGAGGTTCCTGGACAAATAGTCAAACAGACAGTCTGGGTTCCAAATGGAGAAGCCGGGAGCGGTTCGTTCCAGGCTTTTGACAGGGTCGCAGGAAAGGATGGCTTCTGTGGACGCCCGGGGCTCCAGGTTATTGTTGAGGATCGCAAAGAAGGTCAAAAGGGCTGGGAAACCATCCCGATGCCGTCTTGAGAATATTTTCGGTCATATTCTCTGCGCCGTCCGTCTTGAATCTGACCCTCGCCATGTGTTAGACAATTTGGGGTACATAGATCTGCGAGGTCACTTTGTATGTGGAATGCATACTCAGTTCCCCGCCTTTTTTGTCCCTGCTTGGGCTTCGGCTAGGTTGGGTCATTCACTCCTGTGGTAGTTGATATGCTGTCATGAACCTCCACTACCTGTTGTTGCGTGTACTTGCACATAGGGATTCAATTCTATCACCTCCCATCCCCCTTTGCATCTCCCGAAGGAAAATGGTCGATAATGGAAGCTTCTCTAGCAAATTCCACCGGATTCCTAGTGCCTCAGTCAAATAACCTGCCGTAGTGCTAGGCACATCAGTCCTAGCTTTACTTCGAGAACATTACTTCTTTCAACTCCCCTTTCTTGATCCTCCGAGCTGTGTGACGTTCTACTCACCCATATATGTCTTTTTCTTGTGACAGAATATCCCATGCATCTTGCTCCGCTTTGTATTCTGTAGATCACCACTCCTTTGGAGAAATGGAGTTTAGCAACCGTGTTACTGGAGTAATCTATGGGGTGCTCGATTCTCTGATGGATCGGGCCTCCTTGGCCAGTCTCGAGGAAAGCCGTCATGCCCCCAAGTCTGCAAAGTGGAAGGCAGTGAGGACTTCTGGTGCTCGTCCCCGTCCGGTCCGTCCAGCTCTTCCTTCTCAAACTCTCCCCCACCCCTGACAGTCTCGTTTAATTGAACTTCTCATTCTGCTCGATGCTTGCATTATTCCCTGTCAGGACGTGCCATTATCTCTGACAAATGGTGGCATAAACAGCAGGGTTCTCCACTCGCGCCTGGCAATCAGAAGGCGGCCCTCGTTGCCTCTGTCAACTCAACCAACGCGTCTTCGTTCACTCCGGCTTCACCCTTCACATCTCCCTCTTCTATCTTGGACTCCGCCAACCCCCCCAGCTCCTCCTCCTCTTCCTTGATCACGCAGCAAGTCTGTCCCGAACAGGGAGAAAACAGATCTGAGGCCATGTATCCCGTCGCTGACGTGGACGATACCGCCGGCTTCATGGCTGCCGCGCGCGCCTGGAAGCCGGAGAGAGACTACTTCTCAGCCTCCTCCTCTCAGTCTGCGGACGCGTGTAATGATGACGGTAGTCACGAAGACAAGACTGGTGATGCTTTCAGGACCAACGCGGCCGCTGTTTATGATGCGTTCTGTAAGTCACCCAAGCTCACACTGATAGCAATTTACATGCTGATATTCACCTACATGTTCAGCAGGCATCCCCGGTGAGGATGCTTTCGATGGATTTGCTCCCCCTCAGTCTGATGCTGGAAACTTCGAAGCAGAATCCGAGATCCAGCAGTCAGTCACAGAATGGGACGGAACTGATAACACTGTGAAACAGGAGCAGCAGCCTATTACTGTTGCCACTGCTAGCCGATCTCTTCCTGCTACCCACGCCTCTGAGGAAGATCGCGAGAACCTGACTACTTTCAAGTCTTGGGGACCACCTGCTCCCCGGGACAAACCCGGTACCTCCCACTTTCACCGACTGCGTATCTCCGTTGAAGTCGACTAACACATCATGCTTCTCAGCTGCTCGTATCCGCCGCATCATCATTAAGGGCCTTCCTGCTGCCTGGTGTAGCCCTGCCAAAGTCCTGTCCTTCGTGCATGGTGGTACCATCGACAGCATCAACGTGACTCCATCTGGAACCGCCCACATTCTGTTCTGCGACGCCGATGCCTGTAGGGCGTTCTACGACAAATATCCCAACGGCATTGATCTGGACCGGGACAGGAAGATCACTGTGTTGGTGGAGATGGGACAGGAAGTTGATATTATCCCCTCTGGTCTCTCTTTCAGTCTTTCTGTCGGTGCTACACGTGTTGTTCGTGCCGTTGGAGCTCAATTGGATGTCAGCATGGAGCAGTTGGTCAAATTGGCGACTTCCAAGAACGGAAAGCTGGAGAAGATCATCGACACCTACACCCCCGGCGAAGTGAGTTGTCTTCCCTCTTTTGATATCTACACAAGTGCGTGGACTGACGGATTGGCCCCAGGCCCGCAGCATCATATTCCGTTTCTGCAGTGTCGATGATGCTGTCCGCTTCCGTGCCTCCTTTGTCCGCAAGGTCGATTTCGAGCAGTGCAACGTTCAGTATGCGGCTGATCCGTAAGTGAATATATCTGAACCCAGATACCTGCGCTTTAGCTAAGGATATACAGCTGCGAGACTGCGACTGGCTATCATGTCGACTAAACGTCCGATGCTTATGAGTGTGCAAGGACCTCGATTGTGGATCTCTGGTGAACTAAACGGCATCTTATGGTGTTCTGTCCTTCTGGGTGGTACTTGATCGCGTCGTCAAGTTGGAAAACTGGGGTGGCTTTAGCCTGTACCTATTGAGTTGAATTAAGCAAGCGCCATATTGCAGCTAGTTAGGATGTCATGGTTAGAAGACTAATTTCAGTGACGAGAGTCGGCTGCTGTCGCTTCGCACCCTCTGATCCATATCATTTTCTTCAATCGAATGATTGCCAACACATCTACGCCACAGCCGTCGTAGATCTAGATATATCCACCAATACCGGCGCCACATCACCTCAAGTTTTCACAAACTGAACCCTCCTTTCTATATATAAATAGTAAAGAACAATCCAAAGAAAATCACAAGAGGAGACGGAGAAACAAGAGCACAACAAGCCATCAATTCCCTTCAACAATATCACCACCTCCACCTAGGCAATCGACATCAATAATCATTGCCAACTGAAAATACCGATACACAGATACACACACCGGGTCATTTACGAGACTATACAGAATCGGCATAATAGAGATACAATACCGACCGACCATCCTTCCCCTCCATCCGCCGGAACCACCCAAGACAACCCGCACCAAACCACACTCTCAACCCCGAAGATTTGTGGAATTCAACAGAAAGAAGGTCCTTTTTCCTTTTTCACTCTTTTTGTTCTGTTTTTTTTTGTTTTTTTTTTTCTTTCTTTCTTTTTCTTTTTTGTCTTGACATCTGACAGCCATGCGCGGGCCATGCCATCATCCCATAACTGCTGCGCCGGTCCCAGCCAGCCCTGCCGGCTTTTCTAAAGGCAAGTTGGGGGGGTTTAGTTATAGAATACGTGGTAGGTAGTTATCGGATGTAAAAGTATGTCATTTGAGAGGTAAAGCGCGCCAGCGTAGTATAACTCGACCATCCGACGGGAAATCTAACCTCCGAACTTCAGTTAGTGGTTCAAGCTTCCGTTCCCGTTTCCCTTCAAGGTAAAATTTTTTACCCTCTGTTTGCGCTGGTCCGAGATCCGACCGGGAGGATGAAATGCTCCGGCACAGATGATGTAAATTCGACTCCAAGTTAGTCCTTTACTTGCGGAACCAGGGCACAGTTTCATCATTTGTGGAATGGCGTTGACGGTAAATTGAATGATATCCACAACCAAACAAGTTCCACCAACAAAGGGATTGAGGAGGAAAGCTGGGACAATCAATTCCAAGCAAGACAAAGTTGCATATTCGGAAAAACACATGCTGGTCACTCAGTGCAAGAAGTTTACAACCAGTGGTACTACACTGCTCGTTGTCCTCGGTTAGTTCTACCTGACTCGGTCATAACCAAGTCTCCGATCCCAAAAAAGGATCCCTCTTATCCCCGCCCTCTCTTCCTAGCTTGCCACGCTAGGACGAGAGGGCAATGAGGATGTCGCTTGTGCTCGGCATTGATGGGTCTCTCTCCTCATCTCACCAGTAAGCAGACAGCAGTGTTTGCGCACGTCAAACAACTGTTTTTTTTGTTGCTTCCTACTTTACCTTTTTGTTTTCCCCTGTACCTTCTTTGCTTCCATGCTTGACTGGTGGCTTTTTCTCCGGATGCCGTCACAGAGGTTTAATCTCCTCTCTTCGGTTCCAGGCTAGCACGTTTAGTGAGGTTTAGTGACCGGACTCGGAGACATACTCCTACATGAATTCGGGGCTAGAATTCCTACACCGATCTGACTGGCGCTTGCTGATCTGCTGCTAAAAAATCCTTACCGATTGTGAGTCGGGATGCAGCTCGCGTTTGCGTTGCACTCAATGTATCGTTGAATAAATGTTAGTCCTGTCAGCCTAGCCATCTGTGGAGGCTAGCCGGCCCCATCGAGGGAGATCATCGTACTGAGTGGCCTGCTCGTCTGCAATTTATATTAATTTCAGTAAAGACTAAGGTAGTCTCTAAACCAAGGTAGTCATCTATTTCAGTCCTACTGGACGTGGTAAATGCAGAACTTATTTTTTATTCCCCCAAAGATGTCGACCAACATTAGTTAGCGCAACGAGGATCCACTCCTGACAGTGGCAGTGATGGGAAAGATGACAGGCATAGCCTGACCACGAATGAGGTTTGTTGCAGTGAGAACCGCCTGTGACTCGAGCCGGTTGTGGTCATACTGAAATGCAAGACTCAACACCGGAAAACGCTGGAACCACAGGGTCAAACTGGAGTTGACCTGCAACAGGGCGCGGATGAGGCATGCCGAGATCCGGTCGAGGGACGGACCCAAGACTAAGCTATCATTGGGAGTGGATTCCGTGCGGAGATCGCCGACGATGGAGGGAACAAAGAGATGTCACCTTAGTTTCCTTGTCCCCTCAGTCAGTGGGGGCTTCCGGTCTCGAAGCCTGACGATCGCAGCGACCGGAGTCGGACTTTGAAGGAAGAGCCGTCAGAGAGATATTGATTGCTGCGTAAATTGGTTTTTTACATGGTTCTGTGGTGACTCGCTATGAAATAGGGGGAAATCCAGCGGGAAAAACTCTCCGACTCCGACTCTCCCATGTCGCCAACGTCGGCTTGTGTAGTGTTTGCGTCAAAGTGGGAAAAGGGCGACGTGAGCATACTAGTCGGGTAGGCTAAGTGAGACAAGCAAGTTTAAGAGGTGGCATCTGCACGACTGGCTCTCAGCCCCATCTGTTCCACTGAAACTTGGTGAGAAGTACGGAGTCGACTAAGCCTCCCTGAGTGCGCGCCCTACCACAATCGCTAACTGTACCCTATGAGGGCGTGGGGTCTTGCTTGCCTTACCATCATGAGGAGCTTCAGATTCGGAAAATGGAAAGGAGAGGGGAAGTTTGTGCTGGCCTCGATTTTACTGTCCGCCTGAAAAGATTTCAGCTGCCTTTCCGTTCGAGCGCCGCCCAAGACTTGGTTTCGGCGCGTAGAGGGAGGAGGGGCAGAACACACCGGCTGAGACTAGCAGCGAAAGAGAATGCACCAACGGACCCGACAGTCTGGTAGAGGGTGTGATAGTTGGGCATTAGTAGACAGTCTTGAGCGATTTGCGTCTAGTTGAGGGGTTTCTGCCTTCTGGGTAGGGTGGGTAGGCAAGGATCCTTGCAAGTGAGGCAATTGGTTTCCCAGTGAGCGCGGAAATTGGGGCGGGCAAGGTTGCGGTGGTTGTCCGTCAATCCTTAGAGTGCAGTGGGAAGGAGTTATCACGAACATAAGGTGATGAAGCTCGAGGGGTGAGCCAGAAAGCACTGACTCGGCGGTTTCCAGGTGGTTTCGTTAGCTAAGCGGTTCTTCAATCCGGTTTAAGGTACGGAAGTAAGCTTACCTGGGTGCGTGCCTTCCCGTAGCCTCCTCCTCCTTCTTCTTCTTCCTCATCTTCTTCCCTCTCCCCTCTCCCGTCAAAGGGTTCTGTGCTACTGGGGGTGGGTGGGTGGGCAGGGGGGGAGGGTGATGGGCGAAAGGCAACGGGGATGTCGGGTGGAGGAGGGGAAGGTCAAGTTGGGTGTTGGTTGTTGTGGAGGCACTAACGTTACTCCGTAATAAACGGGGGCGGGCTACTACTGCGAAAGGGAAGGAGGGCCGCGTTTACATCTAGTAGTAGTTAGACAACTACCTTGCCTACTGATCGATCTTGGTGTCGATCGAACGGGCGGAAAGTGGTGTATTGACAGTACGTACGGCTTGATGGCGTGAGACAATAATACTCTCCGTGATACTGCCAAAAACATGACATAACATAACGGGACAGGACAGGACAGGAACGTGTACTGGCATGGCATGGCATGCATTGGCGGCCGGCGGCGGCTGTCTTTTCCCATCCATGTGTCATTATCTCGCTCGCTTGCTCTCCATCTCTGATTCATTAGCGTGTTCGTGAGTGCGTGTCATCCGCTGAGGTTACCTTACCCAAATTAAATTGACGATGGTTGACTCGTGACTCAAGGGTCGTCGCACGGCCGTGTTTGATAATATCAAGCTTACGTATAGTGTACCAAACTAGACAGGTGAAGCATGTCGAGCTACGGTTGGAGGTTAGTAGTATGATTTGCCCACAATCAGACCTCAACCCATGCACAACGACTGCGCCGCATGTCATAACAGGAATGTAGATAGACAGGCCCTAGGAGAGATGTTAATCTCCTGCATTCACTGGGGAGCCGATGCGACGTACGGAAAGCCGATTCTCCCGACCACTGGAGTTGCAATGATTCAAAGCCTCTGCCAATGTCAGGATGCGCTTAGAAAGCTAGTACACCGTGGGTAAGTTTCTGTGAAAGAACCCACGCTGATGAGATCAAATGCAGGAAGGTGACTTACTGTGTAGAATCCAGGTGCCTTGTGGCGAGTGAATAAAGTGCCTCCTTGCTAACTAACTAACTACTATAGCCACCGTCGGGTCCGGACCGTCACTAACTACGCCGGCGGAGAAAGGATTTTCTGAGGCGACACGCCCCACGTGCTGAAGCGACGCAGGGGCAACAGAAGCCGATCCCAAGACTGAGACCACCCAGGAGAGATAGTTATGAGCTGTGTCCACGAAGGATAGCTAGCAGGCAAGGGTAGCTAGTGTTATGGCCTGCCCCTCTTTTACCACTAGCCAAAATTGACCCCGACTCAGAAAATCGATGCGTGATCTGAGACAGGCCACGAACGCTGCTCAAAGATGCTGTCTCCTGATTTTGCTTCACAAATGACTTGCGGGCAGAATGCCAGCGCTTGCTGTTGTTGTTGAGTCTCACGGGGGCTCATGAGTTCCAACCTATTTGTTAGCTGGCACAAAGGGGAACATCGTTCGTTGATAGAAAATCCGAACGCGAGCTTGGGGTTCAGTATATCAGGGTCTGATTTCCCCCCTCGATTGGAGCACTCTAGGCAATAATAACGGGTAATTGAAGATTCCACTCACGCCCCCGGAAGCTTTGGTAATTCGTTCCCCTGTCAGTCTGGTGCGCGGTCCACCGGAAACAGATAGCATGGCAGGTGTTCCAGCTCACTATGGTCCCATGGTTCCAGATCAGCCCCAAATGTACTCCGTACATTGGTCTGAAGTGGCGCTATCTGACTAGAAACTGATCTATGTGCCATGGGTCGTGAGATCAAACGTAGTGCACGCGGCGGAGAAGAAACGGGAAAGGGAAAGGAAAGAAAAGAGAAGAGAAGAGAAGAGAAGAAAACCACAAATTGAATCGAGTGTGCTCTGAGCCGTAGCGCCGGACCAACGAAGGATGTATCACCCGTTGGTAAACTTCAAGAGAATTAGTGTGATGACGCCAAGAGCTTCTAGCGTCACTATTTGAAAATCCTGAAGACTGTCCAAAGGAGTAGTGGTACTAGATAATGAGAGGGAGGACTGCGAGCTTCGACCACATGACTACATATAGGCATGTCTGAGTGTCAAGAAGTACCCTGGTTGATTCCTGGAAGATTAACCCATCGGTGTCATGGAGAGAGGAACAAGAGCTCCCCGTGGATTAACATATGAAACCAGCGACTTTTGCTTCACCTGCCCAAGTCTTTACAGATAGGGATTGCAGATACATATGCAGCCTTCAGCATCACTATTGACCGAGACTGACATATCACCCAACGCCATTGCGCAGAGATGAGGCATCATGGTCAAGGATAAGTGGTGTCGAAGCCGATCATTGGCGTCTGGAAACAAGACTTAGTCCTAGCTGGCGCACATTCTTCCCATTCTCAGCCTGATGGATTGAGTCCATTGACTGTCTCTCACTGTTCACGCTTTTACTGAAAAGAACATCCCGCATGGCTTCGAAAATCAAGCGCGGGCGAGATTGGCCAATGCAGTCAAGATACTGCTACGTGGACAGCTGACCCATTACTGAATAGACCTGAATGTTCTTGTTATGGGATACTCGGTGAAGTTGTACTTGCAGATGCAGAAGACTGTGGATTGGTCCACCGTTGCATCACTCAGCCATTTTGCCATCAAATGTCGGCTCTGAGAAATGACGCGGCAGAAGAGCAGCGAAAATGATGAGAAAGATGGAGGACAACAAGATACCTTCCGCCAATCGATGATGAAGAAAGCAAGATCCCCCTGGCCTATATGGTCGACGCACAGGCCAATATTCACATGTGTAAGGAATTCCTCGATCTCAACCAGCCGCGCTTTGCTTGATTAGCATAATTATGGATTCATAAGGAGTGATGCATGAGGGTCTTCGGACCAGCAGCGTTTTTTTTTCTTCGATTGAACTTTTAATTCGTGGTCTTTCCATGTTAACAGATCTGCCCTAATGTGACCCCCTCTCCATCCCCCTTCCTCCTCCTCCTCCTCCTCCTCTTCTTCTCCTCAGGCGTGAAGATGTCGGCACCAACGGTCCTGGAAAAAAGATGTTGCTACAAGGTTGGAAGAGAAGGACAATATCCGTAGAAAGGGTGATGGAGCATGTCTACCAGGATTGACCAGCTCATGGTTCATCCTGCGGGAGGCAGGCAAAAAACTCGGGTTCGACTCCGAGGTGTCGCACCACCACGATCTGATGATATCACAGTCTCCCTTGATAAAATTTGTTCCGTCCAGTCAAGACCATAAGCGCAATGGGATCGACAGGCTGGGCATTCCCAGGAATTTTGGCTCCAATGTGCGCGGCAGTGCCTATCAGGTAAGGATGGAGCTGAACGTCCCTTGAGGGTCATTGTGCCTCAAAGAGATCGAAGAGCACTCCGGCTCGCTTGCAAGTCGGCTAGTATCACTCATTTTTGGTGAAATCGTTTCAGCTTCCAAGACAACACTGCGAACTTTGGCTGCAGCATGGCAGACGGCGGGACTACATCCTTGGTGTAGTTGATCCATAAGTAGTGGAATTAATAGTGCATTGTAGCGTGGTACTAAGTGGTCTTGGGAGGGTCCATCGGCACCGCGGCAATGTCTTCAACTTCCGCGCAAGACCGTGTCTTTGATGAAGAGCCGCAAACCTTGCGCATTCTAGGTCGTTTCTAATAAGTAATGTTCCTAACCCATCTCGCAGACCGCAACGGATGTGTAGCTGAGGTTTGTTAGGCAAATTCCCGGTCAGTACGGAGTAGACCTCCGTTAGTGATGCTGTAGTGAGTTAGTTACATTGCTACCTCCTGCGCTTGACAAAGAACATAGCTGCTGATCGGTACCTCGGCAGCATGTTGTCAACAAAGAGTCTCGAGTCTTGCTGCTGTACGCTGTAAGGAGTACTCGACCACGAGTCAGAACAATGTCTTCCCTACCTTCATTCGCTGGGGAGAAGCCAACCCCTGTCGAAACATTTTCTTTGTCTTCGTCTTGTTTCCAGTGGCACTGGCATGAAGGTACCCACCACCCAAATCGCAACACTGCCCTTGACCGCCAACCAGACGGGAGTTCCCATGTTCATCAGATTGCCCAGCTGCGCCATTGCTCTTAAATAAGCCGTTTTCATAGGCTTAGGTCCTCAGCATCCTGGACAATCGTCGCCCACGTGATCAAACACACATGCGGGTACGCGTGTGATGAGACGGGCGAAAAGAGTACTAAGGTACGGAGTAGACAGGGGATGGATGGCTGTCGGCCTTAGTTGGAGCCTGGACAGTTATTGCAGTTTCTTTCAATTGTAATCGCTCAGAGGTATGGGATAAGGCAGCAATGCTTCTCTCATTTCTCACGCCCCTGTATATGTCTGTATGATACAGCCATACCAGGTCTGCTTACCCGAGTCAACTCTGCCGGTTGACAAGGGGATCTACAACAGGTACAAGGGAGCGGACGATCATCCGCCGAGTCATGTCTCTGGCTGTGGAATTGCGGGAAGGAAGGAGGAAGAAAGACCGGCCGGTCTCTCCGCGGACGCATTGGTGTGCGCCTGGTCTAGACACGGGCGCAGCTTCGGATTGCTGTATGTAGCAATGCAGATATGCAAGTATATGTGCTTTGACTGTGCTGTATAGAACCAGTAATGTAGGCGATAGAGGAGGAGGAGTTGACCGACTGCTTCGCAGCCAGAAGTCATAATCGATAGAGTGGATGTTCGTTTGCACAAGCGCCCGAAGAAGGTCCTCCACGAACAGCACATGAGTATGCGCTCTGGAAGGGGCACATGGAAGGATATAGTGAAACTTTGGGAAACTTGCGCAAGTTGACTGTGCCGCATAGCATGGTCGATAAACAATTGACCAGTCTCACCTTCAAAGCCGAGGGCTATTCATTAGTTCAGAGGGGGCACCCACCTTCGTCATCTTCGCGTCAGCAGGACCTCCGAGGTTAGTTAACGAGTCAACTGATTAAGGAGCAGAGGAAGAGGAAGCCTTGCAAGACGAATGGGAGCTATTTAGGAATGGTATGGCGGTAAGTTAAGTCTCTCTCCACTTGGTGAGCCTATCGCCTCCGGGGGCTTACACCGATGAATTTCGAATAAGATTTCGCTTACAGTGAGTGAGCAATAAGTTCATGCAAAGATGAAATTGAAGGCTGCACTAGCCTCTAGGTAAGTAAGTCATGATAATGCCAAGGCAATGGAAGACAAGGCCGGTTAGGCTGGAGAAGGGATAGAAGGGGCAAAGGGGAAGAAAAGAAGAGAGTGCCTGAGGGAAGCGGTACTGTATCTACCAGTACTACTTACACAGAGTTTCGTAACTACTTAGGTTACTCCGTAGTCTGTATTACTACTACGTACTGCCGCCCGCCGGCCGGCCGACTGACTGCTTACGACCTCTCAATTACTAAGTAGTCAATCTGTGTCCCGACCCCCAACCCAATCGACAGTCCACCCGCAGAGATACCACTTCCGACCGTCACTACAAATTGGATACCGTGGATTCCCATCTAAATACCTGAATACCTGATTTGTTGGCTCGTATAGAGGTCCCGGAGTTACCAGATCGGTGCCACAGCCGACTTGTGGAGAGATAATACTGCACCCATGTCTTTAGTGACACCATAGTCAGTCAATCCGTAATCGACTTTGTTGAACCTTTAACCCATCTTCCTTCCGGGGGAAGAGGGGGAAGACATGGTAAGCTTCTTCAGGGTTCTTGCTTTTATTGTTTAGAACAAACGTTTTTCGGTGTATCATCAGGTATCAGGTACCTTACCCAGAGTACCTAGAACAGGTAACTCTCGCCCATGAATGGCTTGCGGTACGAGGAGAGTGAGTCTTTGTGATCTCGCAAAGTTTATTTTCTCTTTTGTGTCGTTTTGCTTTCTTCCGCTTCATCATTGCTTCTTCATACCTGAAAGGTACGATGTTTTGCGGGTCCCCCCCCATTCCCCCATTGGTCTCCTTACAGCTGCAAAGCATTCGGAATCAGGCTCGCCGCCTCGGGATCTAAGGAAGGTGGGTGAGTCCGTCTGCCAGAACTTGGACCCCAGCGGACGACCACCATCCACCGTTTGCTGACTGTTTACCCAGATGGGTTTAGTAGCAATAGTCAAGTTTCTCCATCGTTGGAAAATGATGCTGCTTTTGCCAATCATTGCAATCAGAGGCTTGACAGACAGCACTAGCAGCTCACTGAAGAAGGTTGACAAATAACTCCAGATTTTCTTCTTCCCACAGACACTCTTGGCATTCCTATAGTAAGATCCACTATAACTGCTTTCCCATGAATTCCAGGCTGGTGACTACGATTCATCACGAGTACGGAGTATTCTTCTGACCTCTGTAGAAGTCGGGTTATCTGTAAACGAGGAACGATAAGTGGTTCGACAGCAGCGGAAGGGGGACTTTGTACTCCGTATGGTCGTGCGATTTTTTCCTTATGGTGAGGGGCTGCCCATTGTGTTCTTCGCCGTTATCATGCATATCAACTTCAGAACCGGGGCACGTGAAAACTGGCTATATTCCTTGCTTCGCCTTCTGACCCCCTCTTAATCACCATGGAGGGTAGTAGACATGAGCTCATCCCGTTTAATGACAATTGTGAGGGGAGGAAAATAGTGATCGGCTCACCTCTGCAGAGATGCGTTGGCAGCAAGCTCTGCAGATTGGTATCTAGACTGTAGTACAGTCGGAGTACCTGGCTGTGCATGTACAGGATGAGCAGTAAGGAGAGTATATGTTGGAGGGGAGGGTGACCTGAGAAGATCGAGTCGAGCAGCATGGTGACTGCAATTTCTATTTTTCAAAGAGTAAGATTATTATTGTGAGTATTATTGTTATTTCTCACTTAGTACTGGCTGGGTGAGGTAGTGTGGTTCGAAATCTTTCAGTCGATAGGGCAAAAATCCAGATGCAGTGCAGTGCGGTATTACTGAGTGCTGCACAGTTGTGTGGGTGGCTCATTATTTCCTCTCTAACCGGTGGAGGGGGAAAGACTGGGGGGGGAGGTGGGAGAGAAGAAGGGGGGGATTCGGGGGGTAAGTCCCCACTCACATCGTGTCTCCCGCTTGGCTGTCAGGTTTGCTGTCCTTCAGCAGCGGCCCTGTGCAATCTGAGACCATAAGAGCTAGGCAATTATAGAGCTTCGATTCTATTCGTAAGTTGGTCCCGACACAATGGTAAGCTAGCAAAGCCACTGCAGGTTGGGTTGCTGATTCTGTTCCGCACCCAATAGACGCGGGCTATGCGCGCCCTTTTGTTGGCTGGTCGCTTCCAACCATTGCTGTTTCTGTGTCTGTTGCCTGCGCTTGGGTTTCCTTTTTCCTGCAGCGGATTCGCAAGCCTGAAACCACCCGCCCCCCCAATCCCCCCCCCTTTCTCCTTCCTCTTCTCTTCCATTTCCAGTTAATTTCTGTTAGTATCTCTTCTCGCTTCCATGTCTCCAAAGAATACTACTGCAATTGATCCTTTCAGCTGTAATGGTGACAATTGTTTTCCATTTAAATTGAGTAATCATTGACTTATTTATTAATCCGTCTAGCAAATCATACGGCTCCAGCTGCCTTTTCTTGTTGCTCTGCCCTATCGCTTTCGGAGCACGGGTAAATGGCTGTGCTGCATGCTACTACGTAGCGGGAGTTCGAAACGATGCACCTTGCTTTTCCAGATCGTCCATCTCTCCACCGGCAGTTGACTTTCGTAAAGACCTCCTCTCCTGATTAAAATCCTGGGTCTCACCCCCCCCCCCTCCCTTCCTGTGATGCAGTGACTGTGCTCGTACGGATTGACAAACTGTCGGATCATTTCCTGCCACCAAACGTGTTCCCGGTACACTACTAACCGAGCCAATCTCTTCTGAGTTGGATGGAAACCATCATTTCATTTACTTTCGGATGGGTCGAGACCCGGTGGAATTCCTCGACATGGCGGGTTTTAGAGTACTCCGTAGATGCCGGCAACTTCGGGGCGAACACTGAATTGATAAAGTCCTAAACTAATTACTTTAGCACTTAATGACTCCACCGCTCGCAATGCAGTAAATGTACGGAAGGTGGTGATGAGTCCACACATACCCCAGTGCCACACTGCACACCGGAGGGAGCAAACGAACTGACCAGTTAAGCAGATCAGGTGTCGTCTGATGTTATGATCTTATGCATTTTTTTTATCTAAATTTTTTGTCAACAGCCGAATTTCTGATGAACCCTGCAATGCTTCGTTTCGGTCCACCCGTCTTGCAGCCATGGAACCGACCTATCAGCTCAGTATTTTCCTTGTATCTTCCCCTGCAATGGCAGGGCTGCAGGGCAGCTGGAGGCGGGCAGGCGTAATTTTACCGCGTCATCCTCACCTTGTTCTCTGATGTGATTTCTATGTGGATAAGTTACCATTCCCCATCATCAAGCATTACACAAGTTACACAAATTATTACATTGGCTTTTCATAAGCCTGCATTGACCTAACTTACCTGCCCGCCACTTTTCATCCAGATACTTGGCTATCTGATCGCTCATAGATCGTTCTTGGGGATCGTAGGGTTTGGCTGCTGGCTCGAGAGAGCTTGAGACGATTTGGATCATCTTAATACGTCCGCATCCTTTATCCTGCGCAGGAGGAATGCTGGTGGAGATTCGAATACGAGCCCTTGCTGCCGTAATTAACATTACGGCAAGCATGACACATTCTTCAGGGCCAGAGATATCTGAAGGAGAAAGACAAACGAGCCCCCTCCTCGACAGGTCAATACTGACTGACCAGTCACTCGTCCAGGGAAACTTCTACAGCAATATCCGATGTGACTCTGTTTCACCGGAGTTGAGGAACTCGGTATGTGAATTACAATCCGGCATTGTTCATTGTGTATGACTATAGAGTCTCGGTGTGATCATTATGACCACTGTGTGGGAATCGAGTAATCAGACCTGATACTCCATTAGTAGCTAATTCGCAGCTGATACTTGTCATCGCCCTAATAGGTTGTTCCATCTGTGTGCTCTAGTCAGAAATCGAGCTGCATGAGATGAGCTCCGAGGGAGAACCGTACGGTTTCCTGGATTTAGAAAGACATTCTTCATGACTGCATGGTTGCGCTCGAGCGAGGTTCCGTGCAAGGACGAGGATAGATCCGTCCGTCCCCTTAGTTGTTCTAATAGTCTGACTCTGTCCTTTCACTTCCGAAGCGCATGCAGTAGGATGGGGTCGTCGCTCATGCTCCTATCTGAATATTTGAGCGGTCCTAGGAGCTGGAGGGGTCATCCGATATTCCGTTGACTTTGAATGATGAGCATAGTCGAGGGTAACCGTGCGAGTCAGAGACCGATCAATTGATGGCCTTCGACCCGTGGAGCTTGGTCCATCGGACCCGGGGTCCAACTAACTACCTAGTAGTCACTCCATATCACGTACTCAATACTCCGTACCATTCGTTCACTACTACGGTTTGGCGCGGCCAGCTCTGACTGCAAACTTCAATCCTGAAAGGACAGATTTCATCCACATCTATCCGAATTTCTGCCAATCTAATCAAGGCACTTTTTTTTGCGGCTCCTTCCAATGTCGTTGGCGAGAGTGCTTCTTGATCTGATGTTGCAGGGTGCATGAACTAGACTAGACTGGCTTGCTCTTCAGTCAGTGGATCCGTTCGTCCTTTTTGGGGGGAGGTGATGACAATAGTAAGGTAGTTTTGATCGAATGGAATTTAACCTAGATCAAAATAAATCCATTGATCCTTCGATCTATTATCAGCCCAGTTATTTTGCCTTCGTTCCTCTCGAAGGTCAGTTATTAAAGGGAGAAATTAAAATAAGTTAGAAGAGAAGGAAGAAAAACTTAAAAAATACGGTGACCGCAATGTAATTACCCGGGCCAACGGGGATTCGTACAGATGTAGTTATATGTCAGTACACAGAAAACTGATTTATTTCAGGTTTGGCCAGCACGTCTTGTCTATCTGTCTGTCCTGCTTGCCTGCCAACGTGATCCTTGGATGATCTCCACTCCCCGAACTATTCCATCCGTCAATGACATCCGCATCAGCAGCAGCTTTTATTATTATTATTACAATTTTTTAATTGTTATTAATGTTATAATTGTTTTTATTATTTTTATTCCAACTCTACTTCCATTTTAGAACTTCCAAGGACCCATTTTACGTGGAGAAAAAGTGGCGAATCCTCCTAAGCACTCAGTAGGTGAATGAATATTTCCAGACGACATCCTTGCATATAAGAAACAAGCTCTGCGCTGGAGAATTCCTCTGCTTTCCTTTCCTGAATTTTGTATTTTTCTATTTTCTTTTTTATTTTTGTTTTCTTTTGGCAGGATTATTCAATCTCCTCGAAATGCTCAAAATTCTATAATCTTATATTTCGAGGACATTATCTCTTTCGACCTGATAAGTTTATCTCCTCCGAAAAAAATTCATCTCGAGGCGGATGCTGTACATCATATACAACTCTTTAGACAGAAACTGCCCATGGAGGTGAAAGACTAGAGCTGGAAAGTACGAAAGACGAAGGGCATCAAAATCACCAGACAACCACCACCATCAATCATCTCATTATCATCACCACCAACACCACTACTACTACACTACCTTACCACTACCACCATCTCCACCATCACCGCAAGGCCCTTCTTTTTTTCGCCTCCTCCATTGATCTTGTCTCGACCCCTCTCTTCTTGTTCCCAAACGACGTACCACCACCTCCAACTCCTCCTCCACCACCCACCACACCCTCCGCACCCCTGTTCAGCCTACTGCTGCTGGCGCTACGCATCACTCCGGTCAACCTCATTTAACCGCCGTAGAAGCGACATTCCCCTCCCTCAACCGGACGGGGGGCGCAGTCACCGTCGGCCTCAATTACAGGTCAGTCGGTCCCAGGGCTCTGGTACGCTGCATGGGTCAAGCACAACTAGACACCACTAACGAGACCCTTGGTCGTCCTTTGCCCTCAACCGGAAATTCAACTGGAAGTCTCGTGCGGCGTTGGTGATGGTTTTTAAGGAGGAATGCTGGCCCGAAATAATTCCATCTCGCAAAGCTCCTCCTTTTATTTCGAAAGTCTCTCTTCTTTTTTGTCTGCCTTCACGTCATTAATCTGCCCCGGACTTTTTTGTTGCAAAGAACCAAGTAGGGTACCTCACTCCCTGTGGGAAAAAAAAGCCTACTTCCGGTCTTTGTTACTAAATCCAATCTTCCTACCATCTATCACATTTGGGCGGCTTCGGTCTTCTGTGCTCCAATTTCACTTTCAGTTTTCTTCTTTTATCTCACCCTTTCTTCTAAACCCCTCTTTCTTGAATCCTCTTGAAGACCTTGACTTGTCTTTGATTTGAGATACATTGCCTGCAGGTACCCAGGTCAACTTGCTGAGGGCTCGTTCCCGATATACTTTCCTACTCCTGCCTCAGACATCGAGGCGTGCGACTTCGTCCTCGGACCGCATTTTTTTCCTCGAATACCTCAGTCTCTTCACTGTTGGCAATCACTTCATCACAATTATCCACGCTGAAGCTGCGCATGCTTCTACTCTACATACGCTTTTTGAGAGATCCGACACAGACCCCTCCACACTGTGACAATGCAAGCCGTTCACGAGCAACACCGAGCGAGCTATATGCCTGCCTCGTCTCGTCAGAGCCGCATGGCTATTGATGCTCTCTTAAACCCCTCTGCGGAAAATGAAACCGCCAGTACTCGGTCCCAATATAGCCAACAGGGTTCACCGTTATACCCCCCCAGTCCAAATCAATACTTCTACGCTCCCTACACGGAGAGCCACCATTCTTACCGGGAGGATTCGCAGGATCAAGGATATATGTCATATCAAACACGATCGGTGGAATCCTCCCCGGACCCTTACTCTCGTGATCGATACGACTCGGTATCCAGCAGCTCTAGCAATGCTGCAGAGCGCCGCCGGCCTCCCCGACCCAAATACGAAGAAGAGGAGATGTACTTTATTTGGTACCACCGTGTGGACCTCTGCCAGGAGTGGAAGGAGGTCCGTGAAAGCTTCAATCGACAGTTCCCCGACCGGCAGCGACGCGGGTTCCAGGGTATTCAGTGCAAGTTCTACCGCTTCATCAAAGAAAAGAAGTGCCCCACGTTGCGGGAGCAGCGCCGCATGCGTGACGGCGACTTTCTTCGGGAGGGGGCGGGAGTTGCCGACTCGGGGGCTCCGAAGTTTGGAGTGATAGATTGGGTGGGAATCTGGTATCCATGGATGCGTGAGGACAAAGAAGAAGTGCGCAGGCGACGTGCGCTGATGGCGTCGAGGTAAATGGTTCTGTTTTCGATTAGCTCTTCTATCCGGCAGACCTGGTGCATTCCCCCGCGCTCGCTGTTCTCTCCTCTATCTCTCTTCTTTTCGTCATCGACGCCACCATTACCTCGCACACTCATCTATTTTTCACGGCCGACTCCGAAGATACCTCTATTTTTAATCATCCTTGATCTCCGTCCTTTGTTCGTCTTTACACTCGTTATTTGCTACCGGAAATCACTTTTAGCATGTCTTGAACGTTATCTGGGAGGATCTCTGCCTTTTTTTTTTTTCCGTCGTTACGAGCATGCATAAAACGCACTGGGTTGAGGGAGGAATTTGTCAATTTGATCTTGTTAGTTGCCATCGTCTGATATCCTGAGACATACTAGTAACCCATGTACCTCTTTGTCTGAACGGATCTCTGGAATACTATTTTTTATTTGGATGGACTTGCCACACACTTGCAAAGCTTTTACATAGCCAGATTGGCGTATATATTCATGTCTCTGTCGGGGCTCCATCGCTCTTACTACCACCTAAGTCCGAGTTCGTCCATTGATAGGGACGTTAAGGCAATACAGTACAGGTATGTCTCAGAACGGTAACGGTAGGTAAATCGATACAAAGACGGGTAAGTTCGTTTTTCAGAGGTTAGTTATGCATAATTATATAAGGCGGGAAGGGGGGAGAGGGGGGAGGATGATCTGATATGATGTATAACAATGATACGTTGCTTAGTTACTTGGCTGAAGTATGACAAATAGTTCCATCTCGCTTCATTCTCAACCCGACAGAAAGAGACAAAAAGAAGTGGAAGTTACTCTAAGTTGTACTTTTACAGTGATGATGGGAGGAGATCCAGCCGCCAAATTGATATATGCTTGAATGGCTTTCGATAACTAGCTTGAGGCTGGCTGGCTATGATATGATATCATGTCTTGAGATGCAGCCGGCAGACCACCGCAATTGAGCATGGGTGGTTGAATCGAATAAAATGTTTTGACTACTGCTAACTATACTATCTACGTCCCTTACGGAGTAATACTCGATCATTCTATGCCGCCTCCATTTACTTCAAACTGATTCTACCACCGTCCTATAAACATATCTACCTATCTACCTGACAATTCGACCCCAGGGCATTCTCTCACTTGGATCCTGTGCTGCACGCATAGCAGGTAAGATCGGGAAGGGAAAGGCGGAGGGCGGGGGGAGTGTGGAGGTTACTCTAGAAACTGACTTGGCTACAATAGCTTTGCTTACCAGCCAGCTAGATCGCGCTTTGATAGCCATTCTATGGCTGTAAGCTGAGGTTGATTCCTCGGTGTCGCAGAGCATACATCATCAAACAAAACTTCTTGATATGCGCCAGGATAGGAGCCCTTGGGTTCTTCTTGGATGGCAACAGTTATATCCTCCCTATATTCAAGAACCAGCCCCCTTCCCTCCAAGCCACAAGAAGTAGTGTAGAACTACTTGACCTTGGTTCAGTACAGTGCAGCGCAGATTTGCAACTGCTAGACGATCGATCCAATAGCGCATTCAAGGTTTCCGAATGATATCGGATCTACTCTGCATCCTCTACGCGATAATAGGAGGAGAACAGGACGGAAGGAATAGGAGGATTCTTCCTTTTCCCGTTGTTTTGTCTCGAGGCCAGAGATCTGTTTCTCGTCGAGGAGGGCGGACGGTATATCGTTTATGCTGATGCAGCCCCTTCATTAGCCTCATATATTCTCCGCGGTGGTGTTCGGTGATGTTTGTTTAGTTGTTGGGTCTGTGATTTCTATACTATATGAGATTTCTCTTTGGGTTTGAGAGGGAGATTGGACGAAAAGTTCCTCGATGATGAAAGACATGATGACGATGACGATCACACTGGCTTGATAGCATTGGACTTTTTTACATAATACTTATGTCTAGACGATGGGGTGAGGTGATAGACAGCGTCGTCAGGATGTAAGCGAATGTACGTCTAGCCGGGTTATATCTTGCTTCTAAAATAACTCACAACTGACGACGATCCCAATTCCAGGAGGGAAAATCTCATTGTGAAATGAGGGAAAGAGAAAACGTATCGTTGCATGAAAACAAAGAGAAAAAAAAAAACAATACCAAAAAAAACGACAAAAAAACACAAAACCTTGTGCCGACCATAAGGTAATCGGAAAGCGCATGGATCCTCAGTCGATGATGAGATTGTGCATGTGCAAGAATCATGGGATTCAATGCAAGATGATGTCCTTCGCTTGGCTCCTCCACTGGTGGTCATTGTTTCGGTCAAGGTGTTGTTGGAGAATTGGCAAGATAGAGATTGGATAGAATTAGATAGGGAAGTACTACTAACAAACTAAAAGTTTTACCCCGCATCATCATTCTTCATCACTGGGAGTAGTCCGTCAATCTCGTCATCCTTTTCTCTTCTCTGTCGTTTCTCTTCCTCCTGCTCAAATCCGATACGATCTCTAATCTACTTCGGGTAACTGATAGCTGGCTGTTGTTCATAGGAGGGAGAACAACTTCTGCTGCACAATCTGCAACATTGAAATTGTTGCCTCTTCGGGGCGGAATCGCAGCGCTGACTGGTGAGATTGACTCTCTGGCGGATGGACTGGCTGGCTGATTTGCAAGTGAACGAATAAAGTCCTGCTGATTATTGCTTGCTACTATCATGATCCGCCTTCTTTTCGTTTCTTTTTCCACTCTACTGTCTCTATGCTGTGCTGCTGATGCTGATGCTTCATAACATGCAGAAAGCTGCTGCTGGCCTAGCAATCCTTACAATGATGATGCATGGATGTGTTGGCTTGTAGACCGAATCTCTTTCCGGGCACTACCTAAGAAACATGTCTTTCTTTGAATGCTTTAATTTGATGCCTCGTATGCTCTATCATTTTTTTACTCCCTCCTAACCAGTTCACCATTGGTTTCTCCTGCAACCCGCAGCACCGCAATCCTTCCTTCCCCCCCCCGCCCCCAACGTACCGTGACATCTCGCATTCCCTGCCACAATCAGGTAGACTTCGATTTTGCAGACGCAGTCAGAACACCACCACCCCACCACCAGCAAGCCTTGGCTGCCTTCTTCCTCCACCTGTGAATGATTCCTTCCCGTCTTCTGAGCTCAGTCCCACAGACCTTATTCGAATCCTTCTTCACCAACTTTCCTCATCCGACTCCACGTGTGACCGGAAGCTATAGTCATATCGACGGCGCCCCTCGCTGCCGGAGTCGTCAAAGTCAAATTCCTCGTCATCAGACCGCGCGTGGACCCGATATTTACTGTAGATAGCTGTCGGGTCCTCGTCCTCGTCGTCCCACGACAATTCTTCATCCGGATAATCATTTGCAGGATTGTTCTCAGCTGTCCCGTCATGCCAATTAGCTCTCCTCCTTAATCCTTCGTATCTTCTTGTCTTCGCATTCTGACAATTGTTGCGCTTGGACTTACCGTTCGAATCCGCATCTTCGCTGTCCCACCGCTCATCATCCTCCTCGTCCTCGGCGAAATTCTCCCAGTACTCCTCATCCTCTTCTGTAATGACAATGAGACCAATATCCTGACGGGTCATATCAATTCCGTGCTGCTTGAACCAGGCTTGATGGTCTAATTCTACGTTGGCTAGCGGGTCTGTAAGCAACCCGCTGACTGGAAGCGGCTTTCGGATGTATGTATCGTAGACATACTCTCCATCACTTTCCTCGTCGTCATCCTGTTCTGCAAGTAAGGGCTCGGCCACAGCAGTGGCTAAATTAGCATCTTGCACAGAGTCGCCGTCTGTAATCTTTTGTGTAGGTCGATGTTGATTGGGCGTTCGTGGTTGGTATTTTAGGGGCGGTTTAGGCATCCCAGTGGAACGAGACTGCGAAGACTGCCCAGTCAAGGACCCCAACAGCCCCATGGTCTCCCGGTTGCTCTGCGATTGTGTATACGACATATCGACTTCCATTTCCGCATCCAACTCCAGAGCGACCTGTTCCAGCTCCTTTGCGAGTCGCTCCGACTCATCCTCCCACGTCGTCTGGCGCGAAGCCTGGGTTTCCCTATCCAGGACCTGAGAAATATGCTGTTTGGCGGCCGAGATCGCGTTCTTCCGCTCTTCCCTCCATTTCCTTTCCGCCTGGTTAACCACCGGTCGCTTGCGAGGTCGAGCAGGTTCCTCCTGCGCCGCAGCACCAAGGCCACTCGAGACAACCTCCAACCCCTCAGCCCCAGATACCGCATCTGCAACCAAAGACGCCTGTCTCGAATGGGGCTTGCGCCTCAGCTTCTCCACGAGTACAGCCACTGGACCGTCCCCCTTGCGCTTCTGCACCCCCGCGCCCGTACTCCGAAGGGTACTGTTGACCGGGGTGCTGGATCGTGAGATCTGAAACCGCCGCAGCGACTGAGAGGTACTGGAAGCAGGAGTAGCGGGACTCTCGTGCTCACCAGAGGCGGTGGCAGCAACATTGCTGGCGAGGCCAGTGGGCCCAGCGGCATGGCTGGGGAGTGATGAGCGACCATCTGCCGCCGGTGACAAGGTCGCCGACGGTGCCGGGAAAGAATGCAACGCTCGCTTCAGCCGCTCATCTTGCTCCCTTCGCGCGGCTGCGAGGCGGCGTTCCTCGCGAAACTCGGCCCCGGGGGACGTAGCTCTCACCAAGGGAATGCCACCACCTGCAGCGACGGTCGAAGAGGAGACACCGCTGCTTACGGACCGGGGAGTGCGGATGACCCTCTGTTGGCCGGATGCTAAGAGTGATGGACTAGCTGTGCCACTGGTCGTGCTTCTGGGACCGCTGACCTGGACTCGTTGGAAAACAAAGTCTGTGAATCTTCGTTTGGTCTGATGCAGTTCTGATTGAATATCTAGCAGAACAAGTTAGCATGCTCGACTTGATCGTCAAAAGTGCGGTGTCGGGAGCCAAGTAAGAAGAGCCCATCGCCGCCAGATCGAAAATCTGGGGCCGGTGCTCCTTCTGGGATGACTCAAGCGAGCTTCTTACATAATGTGTCCACGGGTTCTTCCTCGCGACGACGCTTGATGTTAATTTGCTCTGGGGGCAGAGACATCTTGAGATAATAGCAAGGTATGTGGAGCGGAGGGTTGACGGCTGCAAGTGACGGCGAAGTCAAACAAACCTATGATGCTCGTGATATTCCTGTTGAGGTTAGCGCTATCGAGTTGTATACTTATCACCACGTGATCTACCCACTGAAAGCTGCTGTATCGGGCTACAAGATCAACAAACCTCATGGGCATACGTATGTAACTGACTTCTATCCAGTTATTATTACTTGCGACCTTGCACATTATAACCAGGCATTGTCATTTTCTTGGCTCTTGAGGATAGCCCTCTTCGTCTCTCTCCTATGTTCCTTTGGTGGCGGTCGCACTAATCATCATTAGGTATCAATTACCTCCGCCTGCTATATAACCCTTGTCGCTATCACAAAAAGCAACAGGGGAGTTGTGCTCTGGGATTAAATTCCGTCAAATGGCATCACATATGCAAATGGGCAGCTTGAAACATAAAGAACAGACCGAAGCCAACCGATCTGCGGTGTGGCCGAGATCCCGCCCGCTTTCGTAGCCAAATGCAGTTCAACTAAAATATTGTAAATAGCCAAAAGAAGAGAAGCAGAGAAGAGAATGAGAAGGGAAGAAGGGGCAATTGAAAATGAAAAGAAGGAAACATCATACCCAGCTAGCAATACAAGTGATGGTATATGAGGAGAAGAGAGAATTAAACAGTGTAAAGTGGTGAGATCAAGAAACGAAACATTTAGACAATTAGAGAAGGTGAGAAACCACAAAGGGCGAAGCCAATACAGAGAAAGGGGTCAAAATTGTGACACTGAAGTTAATGGTGAGATGCCATCATCGGAATAAAAAAGATTGGAATCAACCCTGTGAATTGAAAAAGAAGAGTTCTCGCGGCGATCATTTCGCTCCGATTTCCTCTTCGGCCCAACCAGGCAGCGAGCTTTCGTTCTGGATAGCCAATCCAAAACCTGCATGTTTTAGACCACCAAGGGCGGAGGTGAAGCTAGAAAAGCTGCTCTGAGGCTGGTGGGCAATCCCAGAGCGAGATGGTCCCGCATGGCTCGAGATATGTCCGAAAGGTTCCTGAGAAAACGAAGGCAGACTGACAGCCCGGGAATGTTGTGCGCGAGGTACACTCAAGCCACCAGTACTGGCTGTTGAATGGTGGCCAGGCCCTGATGTGCCATTGCCCACATTCAGGAATCCATTAATGGAAGGTTTATGCTGATGTAACGGGGCTTCAATACTCCCGTTGGTGAGCTCGCCATTGCTGAAAAGACTCTGCTGCTGAGAAGCTTGCGATTGAGACTGGAGCGCAGCAAGGGCCATTGGATCATTCAGACGGTTCTCCTGCTCTTGGGATTGCTGTGCCGACATTTGATTGAGATACATCGTCAGTGGGTTGTTGGCTCCGACATTGAGAATTCCCGAAGGCGAGGACACTTGCTGCAGAGGATGTCTACCCGGGTGACCATTCTGTGAGCCAGTGGAGCCAGGAGCAGGTGACAGAGCAGGATGGGTCGGGCTGGACCCAGAGCCGGACTGACTCAGGTTCTGCTGGTAGCCATTCAGAGCTGGAGAGGGTGATTGTGTGCCTTCCATTCCAGATCCGTTACGACCTTGCTGTCCATTACCTGCTTGGCGCGGAGGGTTCCCACATCGGTCCTTGCCAAAGTTGATCTTGAATCGCTTGTACTCGTCCCTGTTTCGCATTCCCTCGATTGCCTTGATAGCGTTGGCAATGTTAGTGAAGTTGACAAAGGCGCAGCTCTTCTCGCGCAAAGTGTTAACAAGTTCAATCTCTCCGTATTCAGAGAAGTCCTGGCGTAAACGTTCTTCCGACCAAGTCTCGTCAAGATTCCCCACATACACATTTCGAGAAGCGCCTCCGCTCACAGCTAGGGCAATGGCCGGGGGAAGTGGCCCTGAGTGTTTACCCCATCCAATCTTCAGCCGACGGTTGTGAATCATAAGACCTTGAAGATTACTCAAGGCATAGAACGAAGCCGCCGACGTCGGATCAATAAAAGTGACAAAGCAGATGTGCTTGTCCGGAATGTAGCGAATGTGGTGAAGCAGCCCGCCACGTACGACATTGCAGATCTCTTCGATCGTGGTTTCAGGGTGGATGTTACCCAGATAAATCGTGCGATTACCCAGGTTATTGACGCCACCAGCTGTGGTGGCCACAGCTGCGGCAGCAACGGACTGTTGAGCAAGCGCATTGGTGATCAGGTCACGGTCTGCTGAATTAAGAATGTGGGCGTACCCCGGAGCAATACCCAAGAACTGGGCAGCGTTCTGCTGCTGTGTCTTCGACACGTATGCGCAACGATCTTTACCGTAGAAGACGCGCCGAGGAGCCTGCCACTTGGTCTCTTGGGGCAGTTGGGATACAGCCTTCATGGCGTTACTGATTGAGAGAAAGTGGACAAAACCAATCGCCTTCTCTTTCACGATCTTGACAGTGTCGATGGGACCGAACTTGCCAAGTTCTTCACGAAGCTCCTCCTCTGCCATCTCCTCAGGAAGATTACCCAAATAGACATTCCGGGACGCGCCCGACTGTTGCACTGCAAGCGCCACTGATGTAGGCACTTGTGATGGTTTACCCCACCCAACCTTGATATCGTTGCCCTTAATGGCGAGCTTCTTGAGGATAGCATCCGAATGGAAATGCGTAGCGGAGTTACTGTCCAAGAAAGAGATGAATGCGCAGTTCTTGTCCGGAAGCAAGCGAACGGATTCGATTTGACCGCTCCGAACATGATTCAAGATCTCTTCGGCAGGAGTTTCAGCGGGGATGTTACCCAAGTAAACAGTCCGGCTCGTTCCTGAGAGCAAACCAGGAGTTACCGGGGCCGCATGAGCTCCGAACGCGGCGTTGCCCAAGCCATTCAAGCCTCCGACGGGGGATTGCGGAGCTCCCAGCATCTGTGGATTGCCCATGCCGTCTGGCGACAACATTCCGGAGTAGAGACCATGGTTCTGTGAAGGCTGAGTCGGACTCGCAAGGGAATGGCTCTGATTCTGTGCATGTGTAGGAGCATTGGCCTGGGGAAATCCACCGAAGTTGGCGAACTGGGGTGAAGCAAACGCGGAGGGAGTGCCTGGTTGGAAAGGACTACCAAGCAGTAGCTGGGACGGTAAGAGGGGGGTAAAGTTCATGTCGTACGCAGCCCCCGAGGAAGCCATTGTGTCCGAGATCGGAGCCGAGGTATTGATGGCAGGAATATTGGCACGACGAGCGTTTCGGTCCGACAGTCCCTGCAAGGGAATACTGTTCGAGTTGTATGCACCGTGGGAGAAGCCCGTGTTGTCCGCGTTGAGGTGGGAGAACTTGGAGGGAATCAAACGACTCGGGATGCTTGCATCGGAGGTTTGCATGGCGAGAGAAGGGAGCGACTAGGACGCGAGAGTCCCCTAAAGAGAGGAAGAGAGAACGGGGGTGAGTTGTCGGAGAGGGGAGATGATTGATGTCACCCAGCGAAGGGTCAAAGGGGAGAGGAGAGGACGTACGAGGCAATTGACACGATTCGAATGGCCAGGGGAGAGGGAAAAAAGCCGGGCCTGAAGATCACCTCCAAAAAGAGTAGGGGGGAAATAAAGACAAGAAGAGAGGCTCAAAGAGGCCAGAATGATGGCAAGACGATTGTGGAATGAAAGTAGTAATAAGGATAGGGACACACAGCACGGGGCAGGAGTCCTCTTTGCAACGGAGACGTGTCTAGAAGGGATCCCAGTGGTCAATTGGAATGTGCATGGACAATGAGCGGATGGGCTGGTGGAACGGAAACAAACCTGCGATGGTTTAGTTGACTGGAAGATGGGGGGGGAAATCTTAAGTTTGCGGGTAAAGAAGGCCGAGATCCAAAAGACTGGAACAGGGGCACCAGGAAAAGAAAGAAAGAAAAGTGGACGGACGAACAGGAGTTCAACCAAAAATTGTAATGTTAAAGTTGGCGATCAAACAGGTGAACAATAGTCAAAAGTGTTATGATCTGTCAAATGAGAAGGCAAGGAAAAGAGAAATCAAAGAAGAAGTGAATGAAGGGAAATATTAACCCAGCGAACCCTGCTTGAAGTGCCAGGTTGCTACGGAGTAGAGTTTCAAATCGTGACAAAGAAGGTCTGCCAAAGGCACCACGACTTAAGCTGAAAAGGGATAAGTGGGGATTCAACTGTGGAGAGTTGGAGAGTGTGTGCTCGCAAAGGCTCAATGCAAGTGAAACTGTGAAAGAGATATGCCAATTCCAATTCAGAAAAGAGAAGATGTCCAATGGATTACTCCGTATGAAAAGGGCAATAAAAACAATAAGATAAAAAAAAATAAAGAAGTGAATAAGGTACGGAGTACGTAGGAGATGACCCCTGGTAGGAAGGGGGGAAAAGGGGCGCGTGTGAGAGATAGAGCGCGCCGATAACTAGACAGTCGAGTGAGATAATATCTGATAATATTTGGGGGGGTTAGACGGGATTTCCCCAGCCCTGAAGCCCTGCTTCTCTCACACGCCTGGCTCAATGAAGAATGTCTGAATAGAAGTATAAAAAAATGACTCAAAATGACCCTCTCTAGAATTAAACAAACAACTGAGTTGGGACAAAGGAAATTAGCAACAGCTAACAATTCAAGGGGACAAAGACGAAGTTAAGAAAGGCCAGAAAGAACGACAGTTACCACACAGAGGGAGGAGGATCATGTAAGCAAGGAATGAGAGGGAGCAAGTATGTGACCGATGATATGGGGAAATTAGATCAGTCTTCGTCGAACAGGCCCTAAGTAAAAGGGGGGCGAGAGAAATTCTTCAGATAGAACCAAGGTCTATTGAGCCATCATAAGTTTTCAGAGTGTGGATAATTTTAGAACTGGCAGGTAATCTTCTTTCCCTTGTGGAGTGTGAGACTAAATTGATTAGTAGATCCGTGGTTTTGAAGCAAAGATGGGGAAGAGAACTCCATCGATTGATCCAACCGTCTGTCAGCCAGCTTGTCTGAAACAGTCTTCCTTAGTTGGCTGTCAATGCTCCTGGACAAGGGCCTAGGTTCAACACTTCGTGATACCATAGCCATGATAACGTGTATGCGCACTCCTCGGACGAATTATCTGATTCAAGTCTCGACCGAGCTTTCGTGTCTGTGTCAGTCGAGTCTCAGACGGGTATTGGCAACCTGCCTCCTGCCTCGCGCGTTAGGGTTCTGGCCAGCACAGTTAATGAGTTTGTTGTTCTTTTCTCTTCATATGGAACGAGCTTTTAGGTAGACGGTAGACTATGGCAGAATTTCGACTCGTCGTGTTCTCTGATTTCGTTCATCTGGAGGGGATGCATCGCCTTCGAACATTGCTTTGTCGCATGCTGGATCCAGAACTGGTGTCGATTACGGTGGAGTCAGTCATTATCCATATTGGGCGATGGGGGGCGTGTCAACCAGCCACAGACCGTCTCACGGTGGGTGTTCCTGGATTGGAGAGAAGATTTTCGGGATATTGCACGGAACCCATCTTGACCCGGTCCGGCTGCAGAAGCATCCACTTTTAAGTCATGTGCCTCAGGCATAAAGGGCGCGAGACGAGTCATATTTGTGGTATGCAGGGAAGCTGAACGTTTGAATTTGTTGTGTATGCTCTGTCATATTGATCTCATATCGAGATAAAGGGTTGACCGTTGCAAAGGCTAGAGCCAAAAAAGGTTCTGTGATACATCCATGAGCACAGTGTTCATGACATCCAGGCAGTGTAGAGCAAGTTTCGCTCCTAATTGCCATGATTACTCGCGGGGTAAAACGCTTTTCAAGAGGAACTGTCCTGGATAACCTAGAAAGCGGGACCACGTCTTGCTATAATCAGAAATCTAGGCAAGAGCTAAACAGTACGGACCAGATGCAACGACCGCATCAGTAACAGTGATGCCTGACGGCCTTGGTATTCTTGCCTGAGGCATACGCGGGGATCTTGGGCGGAATCCAGAAATTTACCCCTCCGCCAAAGTGAACAGTCTTCCGCACTGTGCGATCTGGACAACCTCACCTCACCTGTACACGGGATTTGCTGCGGTAGCACTCCTCTGCCTGACTGATTGGTCAAGATGTAAGTTCTATAATGTTGTTATACCCCCTGTCCTGCTGCCCCAGTTGCTCCTGATAAGACAGAGGAGGGGAGGGGCGGTGACTCACATGCAAGTCCTTAAATGAATACTTATTGGCTATTGACACAATGCCCTCTGGCAATGATCTAGATCCAATACCCTCAGCCCAATCTTTCGCAACGGGAGCAACATAATGGCCACCATCTACATCGACGAGGATGTCGGCCGGGACGAGTCGACGGCGACCGGCACCGAAGCCGCCCCTTACAAAACTCTCCTCCACGCCTTCACGCAGCACCCTCCTTCCGAGGGAAATCAATACCTGACCCGCAAGTCCCAGACCGAGCCCGCCGAAGAGGGCGCCGACAAGCTCGAATGGAAGCCCGCCACCAAGTCGGCCATCAAGAAGGCTACCAACCTCTACGAGCAGCGCAAGAGAAAGGCCGCCAAGGAACAAGAACTGGCAATCCGCGAGAAGGAAGAGGCGGAGAAGCGCAAGATCGTCCTGGAGGAAGCCAAGAAGGTCGTGATCAAAGAAGATACCTCTCTTCCCAAGCCCGTTAAGATTCGTCTTGATGAGACCGACCCCGCCGTCGTCAAGCTGGGATCTCCCGAATCTGAGACCCCCGGTACCCGTGTCCGCGTTGTTGGCCGTGTCCACCGCTTGCGCCCTCAGAAGGATGTCATCTTCCTCACCCTCACCGATGGTTACGGCTACCTTCAGTGTGTTTTGACCGGCCAGCTCGTCAAGACCTACGATGCCATGACTCTCACTCTCGAAACATCCATTGCCATCCACGGTGAGATGCGTGCTGTGCCGCCCAAGCAGCACGCCCCCAACAACCGCGAGTTGCACGCCGACTTCTTTACCGTCATCGGCCGTGCTGCTGGCGACAAGGACGCCATCACCACCCGTGTTGCCCCTGACGCTGATCCCCAGACCCTTTACGACAACCGTCACTTGGTTCTCCGCGGTGAGACTGTTTCCTCGGTTATGAAGGTTCGCGCTGCAACCCTACGGGCTTTCCGTCAGACCTACGAAGAGAAGCGCATGCTGGAGGTTACTCCCCCTGCCATGGTGCAGACTCAGGTGGAGGGTGGAAGCACTCTCTTCAAGTTCGACTACTACGGCGAGGACGCCTACCTGACCCAGTCTTCCCAACTCTATCTGGAGACTTGTCTTCCCTCCCTCGGCGATGTCTTCTGCGTTTGCCCATCTTTCCGCGCTGAAAAGTCGCTGACCCGCCGTCACTTGTCCGAGTACACCCACATCGAGGCGGAGCTGGACTTCATCACCTTCAATGATCTCCTGGACCACCTAGAGCACATGATCTGCCGTGTCATTGAGTTGATGCTGGCCGAACCCGCCACCAAGGCCCTTATCGAAAAGCTCAACCCCGAGTTCAAGCCCCCAAGCCGTCCCTTCAAGCGCATGCGCTACTCCGATGCCATTGAATGGCTCCGCGAGCACGATATCCCCAACGAGGAGGGCCAGCCCCACCAGTTCGGCGATGACATTGCCGAGGCTGCTGAGCGCAAGATGACCGACATCATCAACCAGCCCATCTTCCTGACCCACTTCCCCGCCGAGATCAAGGCTTTCTACATGAAGAAGGACGAGGAGGACCGTCGCGTCACCGAGAGTGTCGATGTGCTGATGCCCGGTGTCGGTGAGATCGTCGGTGGTAGTATGAGAATGGACGACTATGACGAGCTCATGGCTGCCTACGCGCACGAGGGCATGGATCCCTCTCCTTACTACTGGTACACCGACCAGCGCAAGTATGTTTTCGACGCCTTCCCTCCCTATCTATGCTTTATGTCCCATTGGGAGTTTCTGGCTAACTGCGCGTTCCCTCAATTATCAGGTACGGAACCTCTCCCCACGGTGGGTACGGTTTCGGTCTCGAGCGCTTCTTGGCCTGGTTGTGTGCCCGCTACACCGTCAGGGACTGCTCCTTGTATCCCCGCTTCACCGGCCGTTGCACGCCTTAGATGTTGTGATAGAGCAGAAAAGACCCATAGATCTTACCCGTTAATCGACTTTGTCCGTGACGAAATGTTGCCTGTAGGTGTATTCAAGCTGGGCACCAAGTAACCGTAGGTACCCTTCTTGGTCATGTGTCTTCTGAGGTAGCGAACAAGTACTTTGTAGTACGTGCTTTGAGACTGCCTTTGCGGAGTCGATCGTCGAGGAATGTAGATATGCAAGAGAGTCCCCTGGGAAAAGGGAAGAGGGAAGAGAGCCTCAGGCTGAAGCAGGCACCCGCCCTTCTACCCATGGTCGATATGACCCGTTAAAAGGTCCTGGCCCGGCCCTCAGCTCCGAGAACCTTACTTTCTATCTGAGATAGTCCAGTCCAAGTATATATACGAGCGACAGTGACCACCGTCTAACCACAAGGCAACAGCCATGATGTCAGGTTCACCTACATCGTCTATCATGCGACTAATGATACGCGAAGGTGGAAATCACCCCCAAGGCACGAGCAGAACCCAAGACTATATAAGAGGAAAAAGAACCAGTCACGATAGCTAGCTAGGGTCGTAGTAAAGTTGGCGTGGCAAAACAATCCACCCATGGGTTGCGTGGACCGTGCGATCTCAACCCAGAATTTTTGCGAGCCATGGTTTGGAGTGCAGAGCATATACGAGCTTGGGAAGAGGAAAGCACTGGTCTGGCCGGGGCAGACACGAGGTAGTTATACATGATGAATATCAACCCCTGGACGCGTTGAATCACGGGCCGGGGCCGCAAGTCTCCTGAATGTTGGGGACTACCTTTTCACACACGATGTTGGCGCAGATCCGTTGACAATGCAAGAGAGTTTCCTCAGAGACGGGAACGAGTCTATTCAGTTAGTCCAAGACGGTCTGCTGTCTCGCAGATCTTGCTACAAGTTGCATGCACGTCTCCGACGACGAATCGAGAAGTTGGCACTGATTGGGCTCATTCGAAGGCGACAAAGAGAGTTCCGTTTTGACGTAGCTCGTTGGAAGACTCTCATGACATATTCTATCGCAGTGGAAACAGAGCAATAGTGTCATACTGGGATACGCCCACTGCCTTTGTGTTGAAGTGTGAATTTAACCCCCCACACGGGCTAGCTAACAGACTCCGCAAATGTGGTCAAAGTGCATGCAGCTAGCACTATAAGCGACCCAGGGACTAGGTTTATGTTGTCGATGGACTTATGAAGAGAATCCTTGGGCCAAACCCTTAGCAGAGGAGATTGTGCTTTCTTCCTGAGTTACAACGTCATCTGGAAGATTCTCCGAGCAACAGGCAGACATATCTCTCCTCTCAGTCGTCGACTAAACCACATTTTTTAAGTGACAAAGAATCCCGATTGATTAGTATCATGCCGCCTGATCTCTAGAACGTCGTAGCTCAACCAAGACGAGTCGAACAGAAGCTTTCTCATCGAGTGTACCACAAATCCGCCGAATACGAGTAAAGGTCGGTAAGAGCCACAACTCGGATGGCGCTCTAATTGTTCTGTTCCTCAGATTCCTCATCGTCTTCTTCTTTGTCTTCTTCTTCGTCACTGTCATTGATAGGAGGTTCGATCTCCAGTTGAGTATAGATGTCGCTATCAGAGGGATTATCTCGAATTATAGAAATTAAGTGAGCAACGCGCGCCTGATCTCCGCTGCGGACAATACTCATAATCCGTTCAAGAAGACCCCTGTAGTAGTCTAACTCGGCTGTGAGTTCTTCGGAGGCTTGCGAGGTGGTTGAGCCAGAGTCAGGGGTCTGACTGGCATTGTCGGGATGGTCGTTGCTGAGACTATAAGGCATCGCGGAAGGTTAGGCAGAAAAGAATGAGAGGCCGGCACAATGTTTTTCAGAGCTAGGAGTCTACCTTCCATCTCCATTCAGTGAAGAGCTGCTTTCGTCCAACGTCATCCTGCTATACGATCGCAAGGCAGATATTTCTAGTGTAGGTTGGCCGGAATTCCCGCAAAATGTGTTGAGCGCCGCACGAGATGGGAGCGACACAGGTCTTTTGGGACGATTCAGGTCAGATTATCAAGCGGGGGGTATCAAAGGGCGATGAGGCTTTGCTCAGAATGAAACAGCATTTAAGGTTGATCGAATCTCTATGAGACAAGGCTCTATTCACTGGAGGACATCTGGAGGGCGGGAGGGGAGAGCTGCAGCGATTGGATGCAATGATAGTGCAGTTAGTGGTGGTGTCTAGTCCCTCCTGATCAGAGTGACAAGCTGGCATGGCAGGCTGGTAGTCGGCTGAGGCTGACCCCCTGGGCAGCAAATGCGGTGTCCAGAGAGTCACACAATCAGCCGATGCTTCCGTTCATCAACCATCAGTGTGGGAGGATAAGGCTCGTCGTCTTCTAGAGAGGGAGCCAGACAGAGAGAGGGAGGAGGGAGGAAAAGATATCCAGGTCTCTTGAGCGAAAGTAACTGGAGCGGTAGGGTGGATTGATGGGCTCGTTGGCACCTGCAGAAAAGGGCGAGCCGTCAACTTCGGCCCCAAATTCCAGCCCATACGCATTGAACAAGTGCCACAGTTCATTAAGAACCACAACAAAATCTTTCAATAGCAAATATCACTGGGTATGACTCGATCCACCCATGAATCTGTGAAGGTTGGGGCCACCTTAAACCACCACGGGAAGGTCCAGTCCGTCATTGTGGATGTTCTGCAAGGCACGATCCGCAGACTATTCAAGCCCGGCAGGATAACATGAAATCATTACAGCAACAACCATAAAATAGTAATGATCAATGCTACATGATTCAGCTATCAGTTCATGGGCGAGGAAGGTGGATAGGCTTTGGGTCGTTGGATGCCCCCGTCAAAGCCCGAGAAGACTGCTCGTCCTGATCTCAAGATCGGAAAAAGTGTCCAGCCAATCCCTGGTTCCGTTGGCGGTCTCCGCCGCCCATAATGAAGAGAGAACAAGAACGAATCTGCGACGCTTTGGAAGTATCATCCGTTTGATCGTATAGGTCCAATCGGTTTCTCGCTGCTCAGCTTTGATTTATGCTTCTTTATCTTGAGCCGATGCTTCTCATTTTGCCGCGTTAACTGCTCCTTTGCCTCCTCTCCATTGGAGCACTGCCGCACTTCGCACTGCTCCTCCCTGTCTTTGCCACTCCGCAAGTCCTCTCATCAGAGGAGCATTGCTGCAAGGGTTGCTGGCTCCGTGCACAGTCCACATGAGTGAAGACGTTGTTGCTGGGTAGTTTCTTCAGCTCGACCTAGTAAGGATCGGTCGACAAATCGGTTTCTATCCCACCAACTGCCGGCAATTAACATGTTCCAGCTGCCCTGTTTGCCACTGCAGCTCTTCCGACCTCGTTTCCCAGCGGACAACACGCGTGATTCTTCCTATGCATGCTTCTTAACAGCTTCGCGTCGATGACCATTTGTCGATGACAGTCTTCGACTGCGCTCAATCTCGAGCCGAGCCTTCAGATGACTTTGTCTTGCCCCGTGGTCACCCAGGAATCACCGTTTCAACAGACCCTATAAGGGGCTATCTCTTCTCGTCCTGATCCTTTATAGGAATTTGCTTTGAGTTCTTGCGACTACGTCACAAAGATATCGGCCATGGACACGGCCAAAATACCTTTGCTTCGATCGACAGGCGATGAAGTGTGCGAAGGAGGGCGAATACCCCAGGAGAAAGGCGATTGCAGAGGTATGCAAGTCTACCACCGTGCCCCTGGTCAACTCAGTCTATGCCTAGTTACTGAGGAAGTTTTGTGTGCGAGTTAGGTATATAAGCGCGCCGCGTGTTGTTGACTCGGTCAACGCGTGTCAACAATCGATGGTGTTAAGGGTCGTCCCATGATCTTCGAGTCAACGGTCGCAGTCAAGCCTTGAAATTGTTTTGAGACATACTGTGCTGCACATGCTCAAAAGTGGTCTGGCACATGAAAGTAACACCCAAAGCCGAGATGCATACATGCACGTGTCCGCCTGGCGCTCTTTATATCCCAGGGCATCACCTCGGTTATCGCGAATGTGTGCATAATGTGCACAACCAGTAGCAAGCTGGCGCATGGGAGCCCATGGTACACTTTGGCAGCGCGACACCTCCAAGACGAAAGCAGGGTGTGTTGATTTTAAAGAAAAGAGGACCGGGGAACCTTGTTGGCCGACGATGAACAGCACTAAAATGAATCCCCGTGAGACATTGGCAGATTGACCCAGTCAGTTACTGGCGTTATGTGGACAAAGCTGCCTTCAACCGGCCTTGAGGATCTTCAGCTTCGAATGACTGGACATGGACTGGCAAATGTGTATCTCCAGTTCATGCGTTACACTGTTAGCACGCAGTGCAGACATGCAATACACACCGGCATGAATGTTAGACCTTGGGAGCTCCATGAATGCAACAAAACAGGCACACATTATCGAGCTTCCTAGCGCTATATCACGCCCCAGTACTGTTGTGGGTACGCTGCACACTGTTCTTAAGAACTGATACATGTCTAGGCAGAATATCGATACTGAAATGAATTGGGGTCGATATCTGTCTGCCGATAATGTCGTTCATGAGGTGACTGGGTTCGTTCAGGCACGTTGGGGCAGCAAATGACTCCCGTACTAGTCCGCCTTAGCGCAGATCTCCGTTCGATGCTGCGAGGTGTCCTATCCAACAAAGCGGCTTTCCATTCGAGCACATGGGTGGTACATCTTTCCTTGTTGGCAGGATGAGATCAGGAGAATAGTTAACTGCGCTTGTATGAATTGTGAAGTTTCTTGTGGGCATCACGTCGAGCAGGCGGAGTCGGGTCGCGGTGGGCTTAAGCAGATGTCAGCGTCTAACCTATCCTTCTTCTCCGCCATGCCCAATACCATGGTTTCACAAGACACAGCTGTCGTCGATAATGTAATTGAAGAAGAGATTACATTCGAATGATGGAAGGTTAGAGAGAATTTCTCACTGCATGGCGCGACAAGGTCGGTGCATGCACTTGGACTTTGAGCCACGCTGAATAACCATCGGTGGATCCATTGGCTCGATCGGACTTTCAGCCAATCTCTCTTTCAGGTGGGTTTGTTCGTGTCACGGAAGATCGGGTACCAATGGACTCTTTTCCCGAATGGCGGCATCATCAAACACAGTCAGACCCTGGGAAATTCTCCAGCCTTGAAGTCACGATACGCTTTGGTGGGTTTATGCAGCTTCATCGACGACATCTCACATTATCTCACACGTAGATTTCCTGGTGATTTGTCAGGGAAGCAGGAGTATCAGACTCAGACCATAGTGAGAGGATGTCTGGGTTCCCAACAAGGACGCTGAGGACGCACTGTTGGAGAGGGAAAATCGGTTGAATCAGCAATATACTGCCGCAAGGTTGGGCCGGAAAATAGTTCCGGGATATGAGATCACCTTCCCAGCGCCTATTAAGCCCATAGGAAAATGGATTTGAGGAGGAAGGTATGATAAGCGCCCACTTTTCCTGATGAGCACTCGAGAGCAACAAAGATGGAAGACTCGAAGTCGAGCAGCAGCAGAGTCTGTCAGTGGAGAGCCGCAGCCCCTTCTTGTTGCGCGGGATAATGATTCCAGAGACGCCTATTGGGCTCCGTTGTTTGCATGCACAGCACTTCCATTCGACTGGTCCTTTCGCGTACCAGTCTTTGTGTGTTCAAACTGTGGAAGTGCTTGACTTTCTTACTCAGGGGCAGTCAGTCCTACCTGTCGTGACGGCTCCTCCTCCGGTCCATGGGTGCGCAACTGCTTGACCTTTGTTTTCGTGGTAGACTACGTGGTTTCATTGCTTCCTCGAAGTAAGTCGAGCCCATTTCGATTTTACACATGCTTATTTGAGATTTCATTGGCATGTTTATTCGAGGTGAGAAGTATTATGAATTGGTGCTGTGTGCTATCCCATCCCCGTCAGTATCCGCGTCCTCTTGTAAACGCCTTATTGACCGCGTCCTCTACCGTCTAGGTATTTAGCATCCTCTCGAAATTCACCACCTCCTTGTCGAATTGCAATGCCTGGGAAGCTGTCAACGTGAGAACACTGGCCCGTTGCTGAGAATCTGCTATGGTGGGAACAATCAACCCCTGCAAAGCTACACGATCTGGTTAAGGTCACGATCGTGCAGCAATCCACACTGCCTCCGAAGCACTTTTGTGATCCGTACTTCAGGGACCTGTGTATGCGGGAACAAAGCACGGTCAGAGCTACGATCGGAAGCATCGGACGCTTGTCAGTTCGATGCTTATCAATCAGTACAGTATTGAGCCAGCACACTGAGTCTGTCAACTCATATACTTGTTGCTTCTACTCAAAGTTCTCACCCCCTTTACTTCACGGTAGAGGTAGGTATATGCCGCTTGTATCTGTGCTGCCGAGGTGATGCCAACCCGCATCAAGCGGCTGTTATCACGCAAACCTATCTAGAATGCATTTGATTCCAAATCAGATTAAGCGTCGTCTCAATTTGAGTCTACACGCTTGCTCCGTGCTGTTGCACGGCGCACAAGGGAGTTCATCATCGATATCACTTTGCAGAATTATCTGCAGTCCTGAACAATACCTTATTTGAGTCCCCTAATTGACCAGTGCAGCTTGTCGCCCGCTGTCTTCCGGACACCACGTCCGCTTTAGTCGACATAGCAAGCCCCAAGATGCTTGAGCATATCATGGTTCTTAATTCTTACCAGTATCATCGAGGTATACTCAAATACTTGGTCAATCCTTAGCCTTTGTTCACTCCCCCGGCCTGCTTGGTACCTCAGCATCCGTCCTGAGTTTCCCCGTGCGCGGGAGGAAGCTGTATATGGAAACTCTCAGCGTGTTGACACAGCGTGAGGCTTTTGTTCTTTATACAATTTTCCTCTTTCCAGCACAAAGGGGATGCAGCTACATAAACGAACCATTCTGATTGTTCTGTGACTCACCCCCATGAGTGCTTCATATGAAAGCTCCTCTGATAGACATGACAAGACAAGCAACGGAACTCTGCGAGACTAACTCGAGATTTACAACCCTAATGCCACTCACAGAACATACTCTTATCCTTGTTTACCTTTAGCTTGGATCCACATACCACAATTACCCCCATCGAATACCAACTGGCCGACCAGCCCGTTGCCCCTTGGAATCGACATTCCTCCCTCCACCCCTGCTCTCTTTTCAGACCTAGATACCCCAAGACCTGATTTTAAGGACGATCCAGAGCCATCTCTGAAGTATACTCTAGTGCAAGTCAGCCAACACGCGACGGCGCTGACTTCAGAACGGCTGCCAGCATTCAACCCAACCCAACTTTACCCCCTTACTTATTCCTCCCACGCATCATGTAGGTATGGATGGCGCGCAGGGAGCTTGCCGATTTAAAGGTACCTCTGCCCATCTTACCTACTCCAAGCACTGTAAGACTTTTTAGCTCTACGTACCGCCATTCGACATCCCGCCCTCGACCAGGCGTGCAGCCCAGCCCAGCACACACTACAGTCTGACAAGCATCAGACGGTTCACTCCTTTGATCAATCACCAGTCGTTTCTTTCTACCTACAACACATCACAGCCAATACCAACCACTCACTTGTTCAATCTACTCGTCAACTTTCCCAACAAACAATATTTCTCTCAGAATGCAACTCTCCGCCCTCTTCCTCGCAACCATCACCCTCCTCGCCTCCACCGTCTCCGCTCAGACCAAGCCTCATGGCATCGACACCGGCAACGAGGCCTGCGTGGGCCAATGCGTCCGCGATCCGAAGCTGTTGAAATGCCCGAAGACGAAGGTAAGAAAAACCCCCCTCCACCCCTTTTCTTTTTGGCGCCATCCCCTTGCCTAGCCTTGCTTTGCCTTGGTTCTACCTCCCCTTTCCGTTTTCACTCCTTGAGTTAAACTCCAGCCACTCACCTGGACTAATCCACTCACCAAAAACAGTACCAACCCGATCAAAACTGCTATGTATGCTGCTGGGCGGATGACGACGCAGACGCGTTCGCGGATCATATTGACGATGACTTCGTGAAGGATTTCGATTAGACGGAATTCTTGATTAGGGTTGATGTGACTTGTCATGGGGGTTGCAGTGATGGGGTGGGTTGTGGTGCGATTATATCGTCATGGGTAGGGGAAGGGGGCATGACTGATCGAGACTGTTGCAGTTCGGGGATCAGGTGGTTTATCATGTGTGAATGTTAATACTAGGAAGACAGAAACGGATGTAATACTACAGACTAGTATCAGTCTTTTACATCATGCTTGGACAGTGGATCTTTCAGGAAGCTCTGCGATAGACATTTGTATGGGAGTGAGATTGACATCATTGTGCTTGTGCTTGAAATTGACTTGATTCCTTTCGGCATGATAAGTAGTACTGCATGCACGTCTTCAATACTTCAAGGATAATGAAGTATCCAGGATTGAATTCCTTACACTGCACAAATGAAATCGAGTATCCCACAGGGCTGATTGTTCTTTTCTTGCATACTACGCGCCGGATAAGCGGCCAGTTGAGGGTGATTATCTAGCCAAGATCTAGCTCCGAATCACCTTTTGTCTTGGCCGATGCCGGTTCGGCTCGTCTTGTTTCACCGTAAGGCTGAGTAAAAAAAGGTGGTGGGTCAGATCGAAGGAAATCCGGGGTAAGTTCTGACAGATTGCAGCCCAGGTTGACTGCCAGATACAAGCTAATGCATACGGTGGCACCGTTTTAAGCCTATCCGGGAAGATTGAAATAGTAAGTTCATATCAGATGAAGACTAAGTAGTTGTCGTTGAGTGATCACGTGGAGGGGTCTAACTAAAATCTTCGTCGCTAACTATCCGCCTGTTACCACCAAAGCCCAACACCTGACTGGTTATTAAAAAAGTGTCTATCCCATATCTCGCCGCGACAATCCATGTTCAAAATAAGGAGAAAAAGAGAGAAATTCGTAAGTGAAGTCCGCGCCAATCGCCGCACAATTCGTCTCTCGCATGCTTTCTATCATGTTTCCTGCTCGATGATTGCACATGAATGAAATACGAACAAAAGGAAGAGAAGGTTATAAGAAAAACACGGATGATGCAATTGGCATATGACCACAGTGACCACAGACCTCCATAGCCAATGGATCGTCACCCTTCAACTTTGCCGGGCACGCCAGACATCTAGCCTAGGGCTCAGACAGAGCGCATGGGCACATTGGAGCTCACCGCACCCAAGGTCGTAGTCAAAGTGGATGTCTTGTTGAGAGGCTTTTCATTCCACAGTGCACTGCTGGCGGGGAAAATGGATCCATCATTGGACATGTCGACGGGGGAGACGTCCTCAGCTTGAACAAGGACATGAGGAACTACCAGCTCGACCCCTTTGGTCGCACTCGAACTGCAAAAATGCGGGTTGTGTCGCGGCGGCAGAGGACGATATGCCGGATCGTGCATCTGACCCATGTAATCTGACGCGTTGCTACTGAACGAGGATGCGACCGTAGACGGTGTATGGGTCAGCGAGGGCATATGTCCCGTGCTACTCAGCAGAGTAGTCAAGCTGGCAGAGCTGCGATGACCGAGCCCAGGGCGACGTAGAGGCACGCCACGGTCATCGTTGTGGAACTGGGACAAGTACTTCCAAGCATCCGAGGTTGCCAACGAACTAGCACCATTGCCCGTAGGTATTACGGGCTTCCATTCAGTGGGATCCTGATCCGTCTTGGCCTCAAGCCATTCACCGGATATCCGGGCAGAGCTGGACAATCTGGAAGAGCTTCTCGTGGGAGTGAAGGGTGCGACTATCATGCGAGGCGACATTGGGGGAGAGCTAGGAGGAGTCGAAGAGGAAGACATGGATGAAGTGGATGGGAAGGATGCTGAAATTGGTTTGTGGGAGTCTTTGCGACGGCAGCTATAGATAAGACAAATGTAAGCATGTGAAAGAATTGCACAGCCAGGCAGAGAGGGAACGAGGTGAGATTTAAGAGACAACGGGGACTGTGCTCGGTGGCAAGAAATGTGCACGATAAGGAGAATCTCGTCATACCTTTCGCTGCAATAAAGAATAGTGTTGTCGGGCACTGTTATCTGCCTCTCGCACATGGCACTGTTGGTCCATTAGCTTAAAAAGAACTCTAGATAAGAGAATAGACAACAAGCATGCAAGGCAACAAGAAGCAATTTTGGTACATACCAGAAATTAAGAAAGCTGGCCGCCATCTCGGGTTGCCGGTCGTCTTCCACTCGCAAATGCTTGGTGGGCTGTCCAGAACCTAGCTTTGAGATGGAATGATGATTCCCCAAGGATGTGCCTCTCCGGTGTGTTGCTGGCCGAGAGGTTCTCACTTTGGTGGCATTCGAACCCGAGGGTGTGCGTCGATGATGAAAAGTACCTTGAGTCATGGATGGCGGTGTGTGAAGGGGTTTATGTATAGGGCAATCATAAAAAAATAATAAAATAAAATAAAAAAAATATACTCGTCAAGAGGCACCAGTGTGGCTCTATCTGAGATAGTTCGGCGGGTGGTACCTTGCGCCGATGAAGGCCGCGTCCAGTTGTGGAGCACGAGAGCTTCCCCTGATGGGGTCAGAGTATGAGGGATTTGCGGCTAGCAGGGGAGGTCAAGTGCACCGCAGGACCAACCAACTAGGCCAGCTTTGTCTCGGATAGTCGTACTGGGAAGTCCTGTAAGTCCCCGTGATGGTAATAATACCTCGCACTCGTCCAAAAAGAACAAAAGGGAGGCAATAATGATGATGGGCATGCGCTGGATCAATCCGACGGAATGACCTAAGAATACAGATTTCCTTTTTGCTTCTCTTGGGGTGGGAAAGGGAAACCCTAGCAATGAGGCAAATATGTAGCAGGCGGATTGAGAATTCTTTATGATGATAATGACGCCGATAAGCTTTTCTGTGTGTGTATCTGCGTATCTGCTGTGGCACGGCAATGGTCAGATCAGTCACAAAATAAAAAGCGCAGTTTCACTAAACGGGGAAGTGGGCGACTCGTTGGACGGTTATCAAAGGCCTCTGAGTGGGGAGAGATAAGGGGACTTTTGGAACCAGGCATAGAAAATGACGAAGAGAAACGATAAATTTAGCCGGATACGGGCGGGCAGGCAGGCATACTGTGTAGATAGTGTGTGTACTTACCAGCCAGCTGAAGCAAATGATGATTGTCTTGTTGATGTTTCTCTTCTTTATTGGATTGAATGACGGTAGTGATGTTGTCTTCAAAATACACCGCACCGCACGTGCGACTCGGCTGGTCCCAAAGAAGGGAAGTTGCTGTGCTCCCAACTATGCGGGATTATGAAGTGGCGGTGGTGGTCACTATCGTGCAGCTAGTTGTAAACTGAAAGGTAAAAAAAAAACAAGAAGTCGCTCGGAGAATATTGCGTGATCCAGGGATATTGAGGTCAGGTACACAAGACTAAGATTGTGATATATAGCAATTGTACGGAGACTCCGTAGTCGATTTAAGTCTTTCTTCGTTTTGTTTGACTCAATATGTCCGGTTGGCCGACGGACCGAGGGGAAGACGTGGAGGGCGAGGGAGGGAGGTATATGGGTAAATATAATTGAGCAGCGGCAGATTCTAGAACAGAACTCTATCCGTGTATTGGGATGAGGGGAATACCACCTAGACGAGGTCAGCCCTGGGGTTCCCTTTCTCTTTTCTCTTTTTCCTTCTAACGATTGCGCATTATTCCCTAGGGTGAAGGTGACAACCGCCGAGCACGTCAAGTCCTTCACCTTGGGAGTCACGCCATTTTGGTCTAGAACTGGGGTGGGGGGTGGAGGCAGAGATGCCCCCCTCCATCATGGCCTCAGGCACCACCCCGCGACGCGCAATCGTTGTCTTCACTTTCTCCATTCATTCATCTTAATTGGGAAACACAACAAAAATAACTGCTGCTTACCTCACCACCAGCTGGATGATCTAATCAGAGAGTATCAGACCAATGTACGGAGCACCGACCGTTACACTTGATCTCCGCTGTTGAAACAGAATTTTCGCTGGACCGGTCTCTCTAAATTTAGTAGCTGGTAGCTGTGACCGCTCTGGATCCGGTGGAGAGAGTTGAGGTCAGACTGAGGAAACAGAATAGAAAAATTGGATTCCAGCCTTCTCCGTCCGAATCCGTTGATGTCTGCCCGCATTCTTATATTGGAATTCAATCGGCATACCATCGGCACTCCAGCGTTGCCGGAGCGGGGTACGGTATCATGGTTTGGAGATAACCTAACGACGGAGTCACTTCCACCGAGCCTTGATTTCCTAGTATCGACGGAGTAGTATGCCAGACTACTCCGTACCCAGTGTGATAATTCCTAGCCCATTCCCATCACATCACCTTGCAATCTGCTCGTCTTCCCTGCCCGTTCCGATCTCTGGAATTTTCCTATAACCGACGGAACCACGCTTATCGGGTCGCGGGGGAAGACCTCATTTCCCCCGCGGCCCCAATCATGCTGTCGCATTCGGATGACATGTCGTCTTGGCTTGGACGATATGGTCGACGCCGGGGCTTCTAGGTCGGATCATCAACACCCACTCCCACCTCCACTCACTCCCCCAGCGTTCAGATTGGCAACCTTTCTTTGATTCGGGCACCCATCATCCACCGAGGGGCGTCAGCTGTCAATCCCTCCTACTCCACCGCTCTTGGGTCTAGAGTCTCTAGGCAATGTCCGAGACTCAGACTCCCCGGGTACTACAATGAGGGATAGACCAATGCTTTACGTACAAGCTTACACATGGTAAGTAGTGGGCTGGAGGCGCAGGGCTCGAAGGTTGTTCCTCTGCAGTATCAAGGGATCAACCGCCGTTTAGATCCAATGATCGCGCCATATGGCCCAGTTGCACACACATACGCGCGCACATAATACACACCGTACCTATTGACCTTGGTGGTGACCAAACAAGGAACCTTCGAAACTGCATTTCATTATGGAGTACATGCTTTATCTTTCCACCATTTCGTCCACCTTGGGGGTGTGACGCCATCAATACAAATGTCTGAAATGGTATCTGTTAGTCTTCGGTAGAAGCGGAACAGAAGCAAAGAGGGTTGGTTCGGCGGGATCAGCCACAACAGGAACACTCCCATAAACCGCTGCTCTGATGAAGAGGGGGCAAATCGCCAATCGCAATGACGAAAATAGCTCAAATACACTCAGCAAAGCAAGAATAGAGCGATGGTTTGTGCTTACAATAGACGCCATCAAGGAGGGAATAATTACCCGGACGCCATACTGAAGGCTTTGTATAGAGTAAGTAGTCTATGATGCCATCAAGACAGCAACAGAGACGGTCGATGATAGTGGGGTCCGGGAGAGTACTAGAAAATAGCCAACATGCACTCTATGATAAACACCGGCTTAATTCAAGGTAATTTGGTTTTCACCCCGTCTCGACCAACAAAACAACGAAGACAGTTTGCCCTACGACAAACGATCTGAAAAAATAATAATAATAATAATCGACTCACGGCGGATGAACATTCCCACCCAGTCATTCCAGTCGTACGAACAACTCCGGACCAAGTATCGACTCTTGTGTTTGTCAAACTCCGAGGTCCACCGATCTCGACCGTGTCAGGACCTGTTCTGGACTTCTAAGAAACCGAACTAAGCCACTTCTCCAGCCAGGATAGGATCGCTGACGTTGGCCTCGAGTGTTTTGTTTAAAGTTTGATTGACTTTGAGGCCTCGTTGACGACAGCCTCACTTCACTTCAAACCATCCCTGCGCATTACCTTATGGTTTCAATCTTTTCCCGCTCGAGATTCCAATCCTACATGGGGAGATGTTCGAGCCCTGATGGCTGGCTGCAACGGCTGCCACACTGCAAGTAACGGTCAGTAACTGCAGTACTTGCTTCTGCTTAAGGCGCAAACGGCTCTTTCTTCTTCCCGTCTCTCCAGCAGAAGTTCAACTATGAGATCGTTGCATTCAGCGGGAGTGCCGATGCGGCCACGCTACTACCAGTACCGGTACCTACTCCTACGCTCCAAGTAGTATTCAGGCCCCGCCCCTCCAATCTTCCTCCTCAGGTAGATTTTGGTTGCTATCATGCCTGGCTGATACACTCCTAAGTAATAATCGCATCCCAGCGGGCCGTGTCAAGCTCACTTTGTTCATTGACTCTCTTCCTCTTCACAATTCCGGCTATCCCGCGCCTCCCCTCGAATTGCCCCGCCAGATTGCCTCATTAGGGCACAAGATAAGCCACTGCAGATATACAATGCATACATACACCCTTGATCTAATTCACCCTTCTCCCGATCTCATTCAATCTGCATCCATCCAGAGTTCCTGATTCTTCCCTCACGTTGGGCGAGAAACAAAACTCTAAAAAATCCAGAAACCTTTTCCTCCAAGGGGTGGAAGGGGGAATCCCCTGTTCCTCAAACAAACAGACTTCCTTTCAGACCCGAAGAGACCAAGGAACATACGGTACCTCTTTCTTTCTTCCCTCTGCCCCCCGCCCGCATTCAAATCAGCCCCAGACTTATGGGGGAGGGGAGAGAACGGGGGAGGTCTCGTACCAATGCAACATCACTTTTCCCCTTCCGCATGTACCGACTGGTTAAGCTAAAGAGACTTCCAACCTACTACACCTATTACCTACTAAAGTTTTTCCTCCCTCTCTCTTCCATGGGGCTTGCGTCTGCAGTCTGCAGAGTCCACGTTGGGCAGGATAGCCGACTGTCCAGTCATACGGTTCTATACATACATATGGTTCAGTTGCCAGTTCAGCTGGTGGGTGGTAGTGAATTGGTCCCTTCCTCCTGCCTAGCACCTGGCGCCGCAGAGAAAAGGTAAGATAAGTCGGCTAACTTGACTCGAAGGAGTCCGACTTGAAATTCTGCGCATAGTAGCCCGCGCCCGCGATGGAAGATAAAATGCAAAGAGGAAATGCCATTAGGTAGTGGGCTGGGCTATTAGAAGTCCCTTCTGAGCTGTTGAGGTGTGCAGGAGAGGAAGCATAGGACCTTTCCTTTGTAAGTGTACGGAGTAACCTTCATAGACTCCGTGCGCTGATGACTGCCAACACTCCCCGCCGTCTGAGCCTCGTGCTGGAGAAGGAGAAATTTCCGCGTCGTAGCTGGCGCTGACGGCAACGATGCGCGCGAGCCGCATGATGACTCTCGTCCGTAACCAAACGCTTATTGCGCATGATCTGTGCATCCCACTTGCACCCATGACACGCGGATCCTGGGCGATTTACTTGGACTATCTTGTAAGCAGTGCTGTAGTCACCTCGTCACGTACGAGCATTGCGGCTGCCACCCTACGCCGCAACAAGGCAGCCGCCATTTTAACCGTATGCATGAGTAGACAGACATACTGCGCCTGTGTGCAGTTGATTACGTGACCGCATCTCTAACGCTACCTAGTTATCCTCTTTTTACCTAACATTCTTTCCCACGTGGAAAGGTGAGAATGTAGGATGCGACAGACTGCAGTAACTAGGAGGAATTGTTTTACCTCTGGACAAACTGGAAGCATTAATGTGGGTATCATTGGCTGAATCATAGTATTATACATATTCTGACAAAAGAGTCGGGGTTCAAGGCAGCCCAGGTGCGATAGTAATCATTGATCAATCTCCATTGGATCAGTTGCAGCCACTGCGGCGGGAATAGAAACCACTGGGGCGGGAGTAGATGCCACTGGGGCGGGAGTGGATGCCACTGGGGCGGGAGTGGATGCCACTGGGGCGGGAGTGGATGCCACTGGGATGGAAGTCGATGCCACTGGGGTGGGAGTAGGTGCAGCAGCGGGACCAGGGTCAGGTGTAGACGTTTTCGAGGTAGTCGAAGCTTCACCTGCAGCTGGAGTCTTCACTTCCCCATCCGCTTTGGTCGCAGGAGAGTCCTCGTTGGTCTTATCACCCGCAGTGGGCGCGCTCTTCGTGGTTTCCTCCTTCGCTTCCGGGCCGCCCAGAAACCTTGCCGGGACTCCGCGTGCAGCTACTCCCGCTGGGCCTACATAACACCCAAGCATTGGGCTCCAGCTGAACTTCTGCGACACGGCATTTCGGATCTCGTGATAAGCATAAGCGTTTGCGAAAGGAAGAGAGGTGTCGGGATCCCGATAGCGCGAGGGAAGTGATGTGATAACACAGAGGGATGAGGAGATCTCTATTTGCTTGTTAGTGAACTTGAATGGGGCTTATGCATATGGAAGGGATTGCACAAAGATGTGGACGTACTGGTCAGCCTCGGGGGCTTCTTGGCATTGAAGTAGATGCTGAATTCTCGGCTTTGAGCAGTCTTATCATCAAAGTTTTCCAGGATCGTCAGGTTGCGTCCCGTATGTTCAATGACTGGAGGAGGTTGAGGGACCTCTGCTTGGGTTGCGACATGTGGCTGACTAGCATGCACCTCGAGAGTCTCCTTCTCCGATAGTGTTGGCACCGGGATATTTTGTGGATCGGCCTGAGAAGGTGCTTCAGCAGCGGCCGGCACTGCGGTAGGTGAGAGCTCCTCCGAAGCTGCGACTGTCTCTGACACTTGGCCGGCGGCTGCAAGCGGCTCAGAAACAGGTTCCTTCGTCGCATCTCTTGGGTTTTCTTGCGTGTGTTGCGTGGTTTCAGTTGATTTCGGCTGCGTCTCTGGCAGGTTCAGCTCATGTTGTCCCTCGTGCTTGGCCGCAAGATCCTGGTCTTTGGAAGCCTGTGGTGAGGACTGCGACGCTCCAGCTACACTCGCTGTAGTCGCTTCTGGCTCCTTTGCGTCGACTGCTGGTTGAGCAACTTCTACCTCTCCACCTTGTGGGGGCTTATCAGAAACCTGAGTGTCTGCTTCCGCATCTTTCATTTCGATATCTACGGGATGCGGCTTGGGCACATTTTCTGTATTCGATGCCTCGATGGCAGTGGTTGGGGAAGTCTGCTCCGGGGCAGCGGCTGGGGCCTCTGCAGATGCAGGTGCAGATGCAGATGCAGATTCGAGAGCACATGGGGAAGCTTCGCCATCGGCATTGGTGGTTCTGCTTTCTGATGGCGCATTACCTTCTTTGAGCGGCTGGGAATCAGTTGGCTCGGTTTTCGAGGGCTCGGGATGTTCCTTCGCCGCGGCCTCTTCACCAGGCGCGACCGGATCCTTAGAGCTTTCGGGCTGGTCAGTTGCAGGAGGGGCTTTTTCCGACGTGGCAGGCCCAGCAGCAGCACCATCCTCGGTCGGTTTGAGTTCCGTCGCATTTTTCCCTTCTTTGTCGCTTTTCTTGCTCTTCTTGCGTTGGGGCTCCTCTTTTTCCGGCTTCGCGGTGATCTCAACTTTTCCAATGCGCGTTAAGCGACCATCAGTCCATGTTGCTATACCGCTCCAATATGACATAACCGGACCTTCGAGACGACGGTTCTGCAGTGCCTCGATCTTCGCTTTTCTTTCCTCTGCCTTTCTCTTCTCCATTTCCTCCCATCTGTTAAGACTTTTGCTGTTGTGCCGCTCTACCCTCTCAGCTTCAGCGAGACGCTCGGCCTGTGTCATCTCCTTGGGTTTAAATTGAGCCTTCCGCTTCGCTGCCTCCTCCATGGTCGCTATGAGACGGATCCGCTTCTCCTCGCTGTCTTTGAGTCGTGCGTGCGTGAGCTCCTTGTTCTGCATGGTTTGCCGGCGAGACGACGATCTCGTAGGGCCCTCCTCGGGTGTTGGAATCCAAGAAACGCGTTCGGACTTCTTTTTCGGCCGTGGGGCAGGCACTGCGGAGACGGCGGTGGGATCGATCTTGACTCTCTTAGCAGCTATCTTGTATCGAAGGTCCTCCCTCGCTCTCTTCTTCTTTTTGTCTGCTCGCTCTTCCTTCTGTAGTTGTTGTTCACCTTCAAAGTCATCGTCCTTGGCGCTGGGTCCCTGGTCATCGTCATCATCAGACGAAGAATCGAAACGCATATCGTCTTCCTCGCCACCCAATTCTTCTGCATCTACAGCAAATTCATTATCGTCCTCGACTTCTTCGAATAAAAGTGCAAGGTCGTCGTCAGCGGCAGCATCCAGAAGAGCCGACATGTGAAGCCCCGCGGTGCTTCTCTTCGCGCGTCCCTGAATAAGCGACTCGACCGGAAGGTCTTCCTCCGCGGAGGGTGTGTTTTCATGTACGTCGGTCATTGTGCGTAGACTCGAGATGGGAAGGTGACGGTAGGTAAAGCAAGCTATTTGACTGAAGCCGACCGTCAAGCCACGATGAAACGCAGGTCGGCTTAAGGCGCGTCAAGGTACAGCAGGTGTACTACTGCTGCCATGCGAATCAGCTACCCTCGCATACAGGTGTGCACAGGGTAATATATATAGAAGAAACGCGGCGGCAGAGGAGAACTTTTTTCCTGGGAATGGCAAACGGCGTGCCGCTAGCTGCACTGCGGAGAGGCAGGCAGGCAGGCAGTGCTGAGATTCACCGGACCTCTAGTCTTGTTGCCTCAGGCATAAGTATTAGCACGTGACTGAATGACTATCTTTCCTGAGGTTTCAGTAAATCTTGACGGAGTAAGTTAGTTAATTAGTGCAATATGTACCCTATACTACTCTGTAAATGGAATCTGATTCAATAATCAAGGTGAGCTTGACTCTGACTTCGTGACTGACCTCTTCTCACTGTCACTACACTTGACTACACCTGACTTGAGTCGAATTTGGGCTAGAAATGGGGAAATGGTCTTTCTTGGGTCAGGTACCATCTTGCTAACCAACTGCGGCGACTTCTTTGACAAGGTACTATTGTGCTTGTGTTGCAGGTGAAGCTCCGTTCAAGGCATTGAAGTGTTGCCAGCCCTCCTCCTCTTCTGCCTTTTCCATATTTCACTGTTTTGTTCTTGGCAGGAATTGACCTTGGGCTGGTATCCAAGGCCCAGTTCAAGTGACGAAATCGAACAGGGAATTGATCTCTTGTTAGTAACTTAGCCAGGTCACTGATCCCTTGCATCCTTTCCACTCTATTTTCCCTGAAAGGAATCAGGAGACGCTGCTTTCCAGCAAGCTAGACAGTATGTTGTGACGACATTTGACTTGATCAAGGTGCCAAATCCTTGGCCATCGCTGTGTCTCTTTCTCATTGTATCAGGCCGGGAGATAGTATTCAATAATGGCTGCAAGGTGGTCAACACTGCCCGTGTCAACCTTGGGAATGCGGGGTTTTAGCATGTTTCAGGGCGAGCATCACCCGTTCGGGGCCAGATAACATCCACGGTTTCAGAACGACGAACTGCCTCCCGCCTCATAGAAATCCTCCTTCTAGACTACTACTCGCTCACTGGCTCAGGCATAACTGGCCTATCAACTCGTGTCCCTGACCAGTAGTATGAAGATATACTCTCGTGCTAAGTTTCAAAGTTGAATGGGCGCTCGGCCACTCTTCACTATCATTAGACCGCGATCCTGGGGATGGAGGGTAGCGTCGTCACCAGACTATCTGCTGCTAGTGGCATTGTCCACCACTGCAATCTCTTTGCACGAAGCCATGGGAGTCTTGAGTACTAATAGTCACGGTCCCATGACTTCACTAACTTAGTAGCCCTGTATCAATGGTATCCTAGGTCACTACATATGCACTTTAACAGCGATGGAGATATATTCATAGGCAAGATAGATACATTGAGTTCCGAGGGCAGGAACAGGCTTTGCAAGCATAAGTCGATACTAACTTACAAATCAGAGACATTGAGAATTGTACACTAGATTCAACTCTCCTGTTCATCTTCAAAGACACAGACAGCGATAGACTACATCCTCATGATCGTGAATGGTGGCTAGGTAACACACCGATTCACACCCTGGTCTCTGCTTTTTGGGAAGTATGAGAATCACCACGAGCGCAACAATTGAGATGAGAGTCAACACAGATCAATCATCGCATTGTTCATACCTAGTTGATAATTCATTAGACTTCGAGGGTACCTTGAAAAATCCACAGTCACAGAAGTCAGAATCCCAACTCCGTCCCAATAACAATAAATTAGAACCGGTTGGGTCCGACCAACCACAAAGCCGAATATATGACATGCCCTCCCCGGGGATCCGGCAAAGTCCAGAGCTTCCACTGTGAACTCCCGTCCTTTTCCATCCTTCCCTCCCCTTCTCTCTCTCGCTCTCCGCCCAACAAGTAACCAAACCTCCACCACCACAATCAACCCACAGCTTTCCTTTTCTCCTTCTCCCCCCCCCCCCCCCCTCTACCTCTACCCCCCCCCCCCCCCCCCCCTTTCACCATTATCACCACCACTTTCTTCACCTTTTCCCAATTGTTCTCTTTCTTTGCCTTCACTCTTAATCTCACTGCCATCCTACCCATATTTATTGTTCCCTCTTCCTCTCAATCTCCAGTCTTTTCCATTCTTGTATCTTTTTTAGGCTTCCGCCCGAAACGTCGCGCAGTTTATTTCCAGCCACCTCTAGTTTAACCGGCTCTTTTGGATCTCCCGCGTTCCTCAACATCCCGCCGGGTCCCTTCTCCTGATTTCTACAGACACCCTCCCTGTCGCTCGATTTGCTTGTCCAGGCAATCTGCGTGCCTTTACGATCTTTCGAGCGGGTCCGAAGTGGCTTAGTGGAAAATCATTCATTGAGATCTGATCACTGCGGTAGATCGTGGCCATCGAGTCTGGACACTAGCCCCAAACAATTCTTACCCGTGTGCCATCCCCGGCGACTGGTCTATTCATAACCGACAACGCACAGCCTTTCACGATTTCGCATCAATTTTTGCCCTGTTCCCTGGCCTCTTGTCATCGTTAGAGCATACGTATTCTCTTGGACCCAGTCCTCGCCGACCCCCGTTACGAGTTTATTCGCAATACGCACCGCGCACCGAACCACCGGGCTTTCGAGCATTCACACGCAAATTGTTGCCTACTGCCCTTCGCAGAACTTTCGCGCATCATTGCTCCACGTCGCTGTTCTAATCGGACTGGTATACGTGGCGCGCCAACCGGTTCTCCGACTGAATAACAGTTTTGTTGACCGACGAACATCATCCTCCGTTCTCGTTTCAGGTGCGCTTAGCGTTCGGTTTCCGCCTGTGTCGAGGTGGAGGGATATAATACATAATGTTACCCGTTTCACGACCCGAGGGCCACATGAACCTCAATTATATTCCCACAACCCAACCAATGCCGGGAACGAGTACGGGCCGCAGCTCTCCTAGTGATGTATCAGTCTCTGCTGGTATGAAGCCGCCATTTGGGCCCACGACTGGTCTGAATGGCGCTGCAGGCTCCATTGGAAGTGCGAGGCTAGGGGCTGGATCCCCTTCACATGAACTGGGGGCTCGCTTATACTCGAAACGGTAGGCAGCTTCCCTACCGCGGGGAAGTAGAGTTGTATCGTCCGTTCAATGACTGACATTGGCCAAATACATTCTAGAGCACGTGAAATTCAAGCAGAGGAAGGTGTTTCCCCCAGTATCTGGGGCCCCCCAACCAGCGGCCATTCGACCCCCCTCCGCGAGAACATTCCTGAGTCCCCAAGTCAAGAGGGGTTTCCTGATTTGGTTCCCACTGCGAGCGGCTCAATCAACAGCACGGCTCGGAGAGCTCGAGCCGGGACCGTCCCCTCCAGATTCTCGCCCGTTGGTGCGCTGAACGAAGCTAATCTTCAACAACAATACATTCCCCAGACCTCAAGGCCTACGCCGTCAACTAGTCCCTTCCGTCCGACCGGGGTTACTGGCATCGACACAGGCACAAAGACTGCTACCACCGCAGGCGGAACTAGCGCAGGTTCCCTCTCGCGTCTCCGAGCTGGCTCTATGCCTCAGCGAGCAAACTTCCTTGGATCCTCTGGTCCATTCGGGCCCTCCTTGTTCTCCACTAGTTGGGCAACCGGCCGTGACCGGGCTACGACACTCACAAGCATTCGCTCCTCTGAGGGTCCGGCTTCCCCAAGTCATTCGTCCTTTTCCCGAGACGGTCTCGCCGATACCGATGTCAAAACACTGGATTATCTGGGCCTCGCGGAAACCCCGCAACAGCCGAGAGCCACACTTGTGCGGCCCTCGGTTGATATGCTTCTTCAACAGCAACAGCAGCAGCAGTCTTCACTTCCTCCGCTACTCGCTGAACTGGCGATGATGAAGAACAACAGCAGAATTCGATCCTATTCCGTCAATGCCAAAGAAAAATATGCTGATGATGAAGATCTGGAATATGAGAGCCGATATGCACAGATCCCCTCTGGCACCGTCACGCCTTCGGCCGCGGCGACGGCTGCTCAGTTGGCTGCAACCCAGGCTCAGATACATCAACACAACTTGGCGGTACAGGCTTTTGCCAACCACGCATCTGCCAGTCGCCCTCGTGCCCGGACCGCCGGAATCCTGGAAGCGCCGCCTCAGCGTTCATCGATTCGTAACTACCTAGCTACGCCCTCGCGTCTTGAAAACAGCTTCAGTGCGGCTGATCTGAATATCGCAGAAAGCGGAGAATATGACGAATTGTCTGAAGCCGTACAGCTGATGCATCTGGGCGGCAATAATGCTTCCAATCTCGGCATGCGGCCTACAGCGGAAATCTCAGATGAGAATAATCAGGACGGGCCAACTCGCGCCTTGTGGATTGGAAGCATTCCCGTTTCAACTACGGTCACGTCTCTTGAGGCGATCTTTAGCATTTACGGCAAGATTGAGTCCACTCGTGTGCTGACTCACAAGAATTGCGGTTTTGTCAACTTCGAGCGCATCGAAAGCGCCATTCAGGCCAAATCTTTGCTGAACGGCAAGGAGATCTTCCCTGGTGCTGGCCCAGTTCGCATTGGGTACGCTAAAGTTCCCGGAAGCTCTGCAGGTGGTACGCCGGGAGTCAATGGATCTCAGTCATCGCCTACTCCGGATCCCAACGCCGGCTCGAGTGGGCCAGATGGTCTGGCCAGGTCCGAGGGCGGACTCTGTGTCCCTCAAATCCCGGCTCTTGCGGAGCTTCAACCAGAAATGGCCCAGATTGTTAAAGACTTCGGTGCCACTGAAGATGACGCTCTGAACATCTCTGCTAGTGTTCAACGCGCCATCTCGTTTGATACGTTCGAAGATGAGATACCCTCGATTGCCGAGCCTAGCCAGACAAGAATGTTCGATGCTCCTCGCCTCCGTGACATCCGCAAGAGGATCGACAATGGTGCCTGCTCGGTACAGGAAATTGAAGAGACTGCAATTGCCATGCTCCCAGAAATCGCCGAGTTGGCCTCTGACTATCTGGGCAATACCGTGGTCCAGAAATTATTCGAGTTTTGTTCTGAACCGACCAAGGAGCAGATGCTGGCTCCAATCGCTCCTCACCTCGCTGAGATAGGTATCCACAAGAATGGAACCTGGGCTGCTCAAAAGATCATCGATGTCGCCAAAACCCCGAACCAGATGAGGCTGATCGTTGATGCTCTTCGACCGTACACTGTACCTCTGTTCCTTGATCAGTATGGAAACTACGTCCTCCAGTGCTGTCTACGCTTCGGTGCTCCCTTTAATGATTTTATCTTTGAGACTATGCTGAGTCGGATGTGGGAGATCGCCCAAGGCAGATTCGGGGCGAGGGCCATGCGAGCTTGTCTTGAGAGCCACCATGCTACGAAAGACCAGCAACGTATGCTCGCAGCGGCCATCGCCCTTCACAGTGTGCAACTCGCAACGAATGCCAATGGTGCTCTTTTGCTGACTTGGTTCCTCGACACTTGCACTTTCCCTCATCGACGGACTGTGCTTGCGCCGAGGCTGGTCCCTCATCTCGTCCATCTCTGTACTCACAAGGTCGCGTATCTTACCGTCTTGAAGGTCATCAACCAACGCAATGAGCCTGATGCCCGTGAGATAGTGCTGAAAGCCTTGTTCTTCAGTCCGGGTGACGAAGTGTTGGAACGGATCTTGAGCGACCAAACTTCGGGGGCGACCCTGATCTTCAAGGTTCTCACTACACCCTTCTTTGACGAGTCAATGCGCGCCGAGGTTGTCAAGAATGTTTCTAAGGTTCTCACCAAGCTTAAGGCAACTCCAAGTCAAGGTTACAAACGCCTGATGGACGAAGTGGGCCTGTCTTCCCGTGGAGGCGCTCGGGAGAACCATCATGGTCGTGATCACGGATCCAATGTGGACAAGCAGCAACATCGTTCAGCGTCTCGCCAAGCAGCATCGAACTATGCTCCACAGCCGCCTTTGGAGAGGCAGTATAGCGCCCCTTTCCCTACCATGCTTAGTCAGGACGCTGCTCGGCCAATGCCCTCGGAGCAGCAACAGACGGCTGCCGGAGTGTATGATCCTTACAGTATCAATGGCATCAGCAACCTTGGTTCTGCAGGCGGTATCAATTCTCTTGGCGGGATTGGAGGTGTCAATGGGCCTGGATATGGCCAGGACCCTATGATGCCCTTGGCTCAGCAACAACTCCAATACCAGGCCTACCTTGCGGCGCAAAGCCGTGGTCTTTCCCCGTCCGGGCTATATCCAAGTCTGGGCAATTCCAACTTTGGGTTTGCGGCTGGAGCTCCTTCAGCAGACAATCTCCGATCTCTGCAGACCCAGGCTGCCACCTTGGCTGGGCCTCCCACCCAGCAGATCAACCCTGGTTCCATGCTGAATCAGGCGGCTTTTGCTCCTCAGCAGTTCAGCCCTGTGATGAACACCGCTCAAATGTATCAGTATCCTTCGCAGTTCTATGCCCAAGCACAGCCAGCTCAGGCGCAGTCTGCTGGCGGTCGGCGTGGACGTCCAAGCCATCCCCAGCACATGTGAAAGTCCGGGACTCGCGTGCATGAATGAAGCTAATATGGGTCGCCTCCCAGCATTGAGGATTCCCTATAATGCTTTAATCCGCCATTAACTTCCACCTTATGTATAAAGTTTTCCATTTTCGCATGATTTCTTTTTTTTTTTTTTTTTTTTTTTATTTATTTATTTGCAGTTTCCGGGATACAGAGTAGTATGGCTATATGCATGAAATGACCTTTGTCACACCTAGACCGACGCTGGATCGTCTTGGAAATGGAGGAAGCACTGATATGAGAAAAGAAAAGTGTTATTGTTTATTGTTTATCCAAAGCATCATGGTGTCGCCTATGTTCATAAGCATCTACGTGATTTCCCAACCGCTTTGGAGGTTTGGTTCCATTTTGTCTACTCAAATTACGTTGGGTTATCGAAGCAGATAGCGTCTTCTGATATCTTATTGAAGCTTCTTTTATGCTCTTATTTGCTGCATTGGTTTGAGTACCTGATTAGTTGAGACTGGATACTCTTTCAATCAAGGCGAACCTTGGGGAATTCGACGATTGACGCCACGCTGTCGGGAGAAATGACAAACACCAGAATCCCACAGGAACATTCGTAAAGGAACGAGCGTGCAAGAGTTAGCCATGGACGAGGACATGGAAACTGATGTGTAGTATATATTACTAGATCAGTAGTGTCATAATCATAAGCTGGATGCCGCCCCCGGGTTGAGAGGGAGAACAGGCTCTCAATCAGAAAGGGAAAATTCCCGCCACTTGATTCAACCATCCCTCTATTTATTAAACTACCATTATGATAGCACCATCATCCATTCTCTATCAGGATCCCCAGGCAACCACCTTTCTTATTGATATTCCTACATCGATTGCACGTGCACAATTGCTTTCCCTACATCAATTAGAGCTCTTGTCCCCCGCAGGATCGCTGTCTGATTTGGAGGGCAATGGCAGGAATCGAGTAGTTCTGTCAACACCACCTCTAAGAGAGCCGTATCCAGCGCACACAGAACCCAAGACCGACGCAGCCCGGACAAGAGTTCTCGAGAGAATTCCAGTTTCGGAGAGGCTTTTTCATTCCGAAATTCTCGAACCGCTGGTCACCGAAGGATTACTCCAGATTCGCAATGCGCTCAAGCCTGGGTTTGCGTGGTGTCTACCGCGTGTTGAAGTGAATCATTCTACTCCACAATGGGTACCTCGCCATGGTAATGAAGCTCTTCGCCCTGACAGGAGGAAAGCAACTGGATCTACACGCAGCGATAGTTTCCCGCTTATAAAGGCTGCCTCCAAGCAAATGGATTCTGATACAGCCGATCCTGCTACACTCAATGAGACATGTATCTCCAGCCAAAGCCCACCGTTGATCTTGTCTCCTGGCACGAACAGCTTCAGCTCAATGTCTGAACTTTTCAGCCTCGTGGTCCGGAACACTTCGCGGGAACCAGCCGTGGTGCAGGCACCCTGTATGATGGTACAGATGGAGATGGAGAGTCCAGGGTGTTTTCATAGTAGACAAGACCACCTGTCACACTCTGCTCTTCGATCCTTCTACGTCCCACCCTTATCAAGTTTTATCCAAGGCAGGATTCCCGTCGCAGACCCCGGGGCACATACCGATTCCCCCATCCCAGGTCTACCTCACCACCAGAAATTCAACCTCATTCTTCTCGATCCGCCCTGGGCTAACCGCTCCGTCCGTCGGAGTGGTCACTACCAAACACAGACTCACCTTGACTGGGAACGGCTCACCCGGTGCATCCGCCAAATTCTGTCTGTCCACCTGGTTCCAGACCCTTCCCGTCGTTTGACACGGGACGAGGAGGCTGGCCAGCAAGAGGACAGCGGGCGGGTGGGTGCCATTGCAGCGATCTGGATCACCAACTCGGGAAAAGCTCGCAAGACAGCCTACGAAGCAATGCAGGGCGCCGGGCTTACGGTTTGCGAAGAGTGGATTTGGGTGAAAACGACGACAGAGGGTGAGCCCATCACGCCCGTTGAGGCGCTGTGGCGAAAACCGTATGAGATTCTAGTTATAGGAAGAAGGGTAGATTGTGCTTCTCGAGATGACGGTCCATCCAATTCTCATATCATCGCAGCCGCTCCAGACAACAATGTCATTACTAGAAGAGTCATTGCGGCGGTTCCAGATATTCATTCACGCAAGCCTAACCTGCGCGAGGTCTTTGAGCAGGTGTTTCTTCTCGGCGGTCCGCCTGATGAGGCTGGTATGCGGTATACTGCTCTGGAGGTGTTTGCACGCAACCTGACTGCAGGTTGGTGGGCAGTGGGCGATGAAGCGCTGAAGTTCAATTCGGAGGAATGGTGGATCGAGAGATGATACAGCACTTACTGGCTATACATAAACGCTTTTCGTCTTTGCTTTTTCTCTTTCCAGAGATATGTAGGGTGATGAGAAAGAGAAACAAGAAACCACCAGACAAAAACGAAAAAGCCCGACGTCAACCCCTCACCAGAACTCAATCATCTTAATCGAAACTCGGCCCCAAACTCACCAAACTAAACCTCAAATCCGGATTCCCGCCCTGCGCCTCGACACTCAGGAACCGCCGTACACCCAGCTCTAATGCCTTCTCACTCAGGGCATCCTCCTCCGGCCCCAGCAAACCCCTGTCTAACGGACCCTTGCGCCGTCCATCCAGCTCCCACAACCGCCCGTCCGCGCCCTTGACGAACGCCACAAAGTGCAGATCCACATTGTCCTCCGCCTGCGGAGCCTGTGTGTCTCCTAACCTGGCCGCATCCGCGTGCGCACTCTCGAGCGCCTTGCTTTCGTACAGCAGATCCGCCCGAGCGACGGGGTCCAGCGTCTCGGCCTCGCGGAGCAGGTGGTCCAGGTCGGAGCCCGGTAGGACCTGCCGGCGGGGCTCACCGTTAGCGACGGCGTGGAGCAGACCGATGAGACCACAGGCGTTGCGGATGGTCTGCTTGAACCACATCACTGGCTCGGTGGGGCCGGAGCCCGTGTACACGGGCAGGGACTGGTCTTCGGTGATGCGGGAGGTTTCGTAGGTGGAGGAGACGGGGAAAACGAGGAGGAGCGCGTGCGAGGGCCGCGGGACGAAGGCGAGGAGGTCCGGCTCGTCGATCGAGTAGACGTCCGTGAAGGCTAGGGACGGGGGCAGGCCGAGTTGGTGGATGAGGTGGGACATCACCTCTGGGTTGTTCTCTGTGTATTTGTTTCTTGCGGTTAGCTTAGGGAAGTGCTACTTGAATTTATGTCTCGCTGGTTGTTGAATGCCTGTGTGACAGTAAACATACCGAGGGGCACGAAGGCCTTGTTGGTGGATGCCACGTCGGGGTTGTCTTCAGCCATCTTGGTTGGGTTCTGGAAGCTGTGGCGATGATTGATCTGGGTTTGCTTGTTCTTAACTTATGACGATGGATGCTTTGGACTGTGCCTGCAAGAACAAAGGTCGTCGTGTGCGGGAGAGAATCTGGGGTTGGATTTTGGTGAGGGGTTGATTTGCGGTGTTGCGGGGTTTGGGAAAAAGTCTTGGGGGCTCGGGCAAAAAACGTCATCGTGCAATACAAACAATCACTCAAGAAGAGCATTCAATAAAGCGGCATAAGCCCTGTCATCATGTCATTTCTATGTAGCTCATAACATATCTAATGCAATCTCTTACGATCGTCATCTCATCCGGCCTGCGGCTTCTCCCCTCTCTTTAGCGGCCCGTATACGTTCGTCCACAGCTCGCTGGCTTCTCCCAAGAAATAGGTTAGACTGACATCCGCCATGCCCGCTTCCTCGTCACCAGAGATGGTCTCAAGCTGAGAGATGATATTCTCCAATCCAAAGGCCTTCCCGGTCGCCTGCGTAGCGCCAGCCTCCAGCATGACGTTGACGACGTGGATATGAAAGTGATAGTACGTTGGCTGATCTGAAGGCGTGAGACAGAGCGTATCAGTGTTAGCAACATCATTGCCACCGAGAACGTAGCCCCCCCCCAACCAAAAAAAAAGAAAGAAAAAAGATTTAGCCTCTTACAGTGCACATAAAGCTTCAACTGATCCTTCTCCAGCTCCGGATACATCTTGACAGTCCCCTCAAGCAGCCGCTGCCGCAGATACTTCAGCCACGGGACGTGTTTCTTCTTGAGATCGCGCAAGCTCCAAATGTCCCTCCGCTGCACCAAAGCCAGCAAGTGTAGCGATCCCATCGTCTTCCGGTCCCAGTTCAAGTCTGGGAGCATCAGGAAAGCATCATCGTAATGATACTCACCCGCAACCCCCGCCCCGCCGCGGTGACCCTCATCTCGCAGAATCACGTCCTCCTGCTCAGTCCGGCCCTCGAGGATATTAAACACCCAATTCAGCCTGCCCTCTTCGCGCTTGGCGCTCATGTACGGGCGCACGTGGTCGTGGTAGATCTCCGGCGTCTCGGTCACCATGCGGACCACCTGCTCCGAGTACTTCTTGATGTGCGATTCCGTGCAGGGCCAGATGAGGTTCAGTTTAAGGTCCGGGGGTTGCTGGGCTGCGGCGGCTGCGGTGACATTATTGGTGCCACCGGATGATGCTAGGTACCATCGATAGATGTCATTGTCGCCTAGGTTCGTCACCTGCGTGATCGCCGCGTGGAAGGCCTTGAGAACTTCAGGGCTCTCGGTTGCGAAGGCGGCGCGCTCGGCGGTCAGGATGCCTTGTTTGCCGTGGATAGTTCCAAGGATAGCTATGCGGCGGCCGCTTTGATCTGTTCAGCTGGTGGTAATTAGTTAAGAGCGTTGTTTATAATATCTTCGAATTTGTTATCTGATGATAACTTGAGGGCTAGAGAGAGAGAGAGGGGTGGGCTCTGAAGCTGAGAGACGGGGGCCGCCGCGTGGCTTCGTACCTTGTTTGAGCAATCGATCGGGCTCAAATGCCGAAATTAAAGCCTCCGGGGCAGGACGGTCGGTCTCAGCGGCCATTGCAAGGTAGGCTTGTAAATTGGACTGAATCGAGGTGTTGATGTGTGAGGAGGAAAGGTGGGGTTGTTTTCCCCAGATATTCTGGCTTGAGGCAGAATCAGGCGGGCGGTGAGCCTTATCGATTGCCTGGGAATTGGGTATCAAAGTGACTACTTCTACAGGGTAAGGAGTACAGAGTTACAACAGAGAGCTTTGATCTTTAACGGGTGTAATTGCGATCTGTAGCTCCAGCTTAGTGCAATGACACTACATATATAGTCGTTAATATTCTTGCGGCAGGGGATTGAAGCCAGACATGAGAAGCTCACGCTAAGATTCTGTCAATCCGTGCAGTAAACTCCGTCACTCCAACCATCAGATATATTTAACACAATCCCGCGATTTTAGATAGCCCCCATAGCTTGAGACTGCTGATCCAAAGGTTGGTCCCGTGTCGATGCCAGCCGAGTGTTGTGGAATAACGCCTGCCAGTGCTTTCATCTGCGCGTCTGCAGAAGAGGGGCCGAATCTCGTCACATATAGGGCTCGATATGCTTTTGCGATCATCCCCCGGATCATAAATGTCCAATGGCAAAAACAGCCACTTGCAAGGATGCTGGCACGTGTCTATGAGAGGCAGTATCTCCAGTCTCATGTGAGCCGCATGCGGTTGATGGAAGTTATTCGATATGGATGCGTCGCTCAAGACGACGGCTTCGTTTCGCTCTTGGGCTGACCGTGCATCTAAGGAAGAGATGAGAATGAGTAGAGCAAGCCTAGGTTGTCATCCGCATACCGCTTCGGCCAATGCGATCCACTCCTCTACTCCTTTCACGAAGGCATCATCCGCCGCGGGGACCAACTCATGTTGCCAGACCACGTATTCGTTGAAAGTCCCCTGCTTCTCAAGAACCTTCACCGGCTCCTCCGGCTGGACTTCCTCGACATCGGCGTCAAGATCCCTTCGGGTGGGGGGCAATACGCGGTCGGTGCTTGTTGCGATAATACCTAGGATATCGTGAGCAGGGAATTAGGCGAAGGGGTTCCTATCAAGGAAATTGGACCTTCCTCACCTTCGTAGCCTTCTGGGATCTTGACTTGGCGACCCTTGAGCCTACGGCCGCGGAAATAGGCGATCTGGACGTCCTTGTCTGTCGGGAGTTTTGATTAATGAACAAGCCGCGGCGAAAATGAAGTGCCTCACAGGCCTACCTTTCTCGTCAGCTTCCGGAGTCCAGTAGCGATCTAACGTCTTGACAGGTCCATCATAGTGGATCTTGCAGGGAAGGATGTTGGGTGTAAATCGGTCCTCTGACGGTTGAGGTTCAGCTGTAGAAGACTTTGGCGCTGCTTGGATGGCGAACATGTTTGGATTGAGAAAAGAGAGCCACGTCTGATTGTAAGCTACGTGACTAGATTACGACAGGTGAAGCAACAGGATGCAAGTTGGGTGGTAGGGCGGCTTCAATTGAGACGGCAATGCCTGGAAGTGATGCTCGACCTTGGAGAACGCGACGCGTTGCCCGCGTAAAGTGGGCGAACGGAGCGGGAGCGGGAGAGGGCCTTGCCGCTGTCCGCGGTGCACTCGAATACTTTTGTTTCTCAGTCGAAATGGACATTTACTCTTTCCAATCACCAATTTTGAGGAAAATGAGTATCCTGATGTTTGATATCTCTTTGATTTGTATGCTCTATATACTCAAAAAAGCCTCAGATGTAGAGGAGGCTTGGAACTTCATAAGCTGGGGTATATTAAAGACAGATCGTGCCGACTCATCAAGACAACTCGATCACCTCTTACGGGTCTTCTTCTTCTTCTTCTTTTTCTTCTTCTGATCGTCACCCTGCTCCTTCTCGACTACCACGCGCACCGGCCATTTCTTCAGGTGTTCGCGTTCAAAAGTGTCCTTGTCCCGTCGGTAGAGGAGCATTGTAGCCTTGGCATCTTCCACACTAGAGTGGGCTCCGTCTTGAATTTTCAAGCCCAGAAACTCCGAAGCCAGCATCTTCAAGCGAGGAGAGCCCCCGCCAGCTATCTTTCGGTAGGGAGGGTGCTTGCTGGTGTCCCTGATGTCGCGCTTGGGGTGGCTCAGAAGAAGAGCATCCAAGTCGTTGCTCACTGCGTGTCCTACAAGTATACGTCCACTGAGAATTTCCGTGACCTCTTTTTGGACTTGCTCGAGTGACCGCGCATTGACCATGTGCTTCGGAAGTATACCACTGACGTGCGTTCGCCAGTCCGTGACCATTTCCATCGGTCTGACATACGAATCGTAAAGCTGTTCGCCGTTGAAGTTGACAATACTGACGCGCGCAAGGGCAGAGTCGTTATCGGGATTGGGGCCGACGCCCACCATTTCGCAATCCATCGCAACATATTTTCCCAGCTCCGCACTAGCATAGAGTTAGTAACAAGCCCGAGACACCAATAAGATGGCGAAAAGTATACGTACGTTGGTGAACGGCCCTCGTTGACTTTGGAAGTTTTCGATTCCACGGCCGCTGCGGCGGAATTCCTCCGCGATCTCGGTTTAGAAGCATCTGCTGCGATAACCTCCTGACCTCCGTCCTCGGCGCTTTTAAACATGCTGCTCTTCTTCCTGAGTGTGGCCTTCTTGCGTTCAAACTTGGGTTTCGTATCGGCTGCGTCGGTCCGGCGTTTCTTCACTGTAGCATTCTGCGTTTCGCGGTCTGAGATCTTGCGCTTAGTGGCGGGGGCTTTCTCTTGCTTTAGCGCCCCCTGGAGTTTCTTCCAATTACTGGATAGATTTTTCAAGTCCATTCCAGAATCAGACACAATCACTGCTGCATCGTGGAATTGAATAGGAAAGTTGACTTGGGAACCGGAGTAAAAAAAGATTCAGTTGTTGCTGAGGCCGGCCCGGCAACTTTCCTGAATGGGCCTTCCCTCCCGCGCTAAAATCTCGGAACAGGATCCACTTGGTAGGCTTATCAAAACTCGGCCGCCCATAACTGTAGGTATCAGTTAACTATCAGTAGACTGAATTGAGCAGCAATACCTCTACGAAGGCATCTACGGAGTACTTGAACAGCTTACAGATTCTCCACGGATTACCGAGGTTGACAACGCCCTACGAGACCTTTTCATTTTCAGCCTTTGACCCGTATTATGTGAAATTTGCTTTTCAATATCCACCGCATGAAAACGCCAGTAGGGAATCAAGGAATCTATTTACAAGCCGGGGACCTTGAAGTCCTTGTGAGACCATTTCTCCGTAATCTTCCTCTTGGGCTTCTTGACCTGTGTCACCGGTTTGCGAGCCTCCAACTTTCCCTGAACGACCAGGGTCCGGAATCTGTCATCAAGCAAGTTGCCCTCAGGCTTGAGCAGACGCAACGAATCTTGGAGCTCATCCGGTAGTACAACCTCCAACGGCTTCTCAGGGGCACTATTGTAGGGTCAGTACACAAGAGGCATTGACAGTAGGGAGACCGTATCACATACTGTAGCTTTCCAAGAGGTCTGCGGCGCAGAGCAGTATCATCACCTTCATCGGTAGAGCTTTCTGATTGCTCGGCAAGCTCAAGCTCCTGTGCTTCAACATCTTCAGGGCCGAGATTGGCCCGCGCATACTGCTCTTGTTTCTTCTTCATTTGAGCCTCCCACTTCGCTTGCCGCTCAGCCTCCTTACGTCTCTTGATCCTGTTCCTCTCTGTCTTCGTCTTCCGTTGCGGGCGCTTCTTGTTCAGCCATTCGGGCTTCTCGTATTCACTCTCGAACCCTTCCCAAGCACTCTCATCATCTGATTTCACCATACCGTCATCATCTTTAGCCTCGGCGATCAACCGTTGTCTCTCTTGTTCTTTGCGCTCTTCCTCCAAGCGCTTTTTCTCGGCGTCAACTGCCTTCTGACCTTGCTCTTGTAGGAGCTTGTCCCAGTCTTCAAAGGTAGGATTGTAACTCGTACCAGCGGTCGGAGCGCGAACTGCAGGGATGGGTTTGCCGTTTGCAGCGAGGGAGATAGGAGCGTGCTTCAGGGTCACGGGCTCGACTTTCTGCTTCGGCTTCTCCAGGAAATCGAATTTAGGGTCATCGTAGCGGGTTGTGTCCTCTGCGTCAGCCCAAGGGTCGTACAGCTCGCTTTCAGTCTTGTTGACGGGCTTGCCCTCCTTGGCTACCTGCTTCAAGCGCAACCAATCCTTCCGAGTAACCCAGTCGCTCTTTTGCCTCTTGTTCTTCGGTTCGAGAACCCCGTCCGTCACCTTCGAGTTCGCCCGCGTGCGTGTATCCACGGCAGGGATCGCAGAGCGCTGCGCGATAATTTCCTCCGACTTCAGAAGCTTGCGCTTCTTCTGAATTGCCTGGCGGACTTCTGCTGAACCGGTGGTATCGATGACGAACAGCTCGTCGGAAGGCTTCTCAGCAATAACACCTCTGTATGTGAATGGCACGTTAGAACCGCATGGAAACCAAGCAAGTTGAACAAGATAAGACTTCCGTACCCTTTGATCTCCTCATCTTTCAAGAGGCGGAGGCCTTCTTGCACCTCCGTAATGTCAACATTTTTGCGCCAGGCTTTCTTACCCTTACGGGATGGTTGGCTGAATTGCCTGGGGGCCTCAGTGGAAGCAGACATCCTGTGAAATCTGCGACAGTGGGTATTATTGCTAGACCTTATCTTTTTTTTTTTTGTCTCTCCAGCGGCATCCTAAATTTTGATTTTCGGACCAAAAATCTGGACCCGCTTACATAATATAGCGCGGGGACGGCCGAGTAGAGTTGTCGCGCGCTAAGGCTCTGCGCGGCTATCGCGGGCAAGTGACGAACGCCGCCGGCTTCAGGACCTGATCTTGCTCTGCACCGCGTCGGTTCTCCGTCGACACTACTCACCGTGGACATTGAGGTTCCACCTATTCTTCACTCTGCGCAATATATCTGAGGTCACTATCAGGTTATCGCTAAACATATTTTGGTTGGCTCGCTCTTGTGAGCGGCCGCAGACTCTCAAACAACCATGCCTGTCGTCAAAGGAGGTGTTTGGTAAGAGCCGTCGCAACTTCATCCCGGATTTCCAGACTCTCAGCTAACAAATCACTCAGGACCAACATTGAGGATGAGGTGCTTCGTGCGGCGGTAAGTACTCGGAGACTTTTATGGGAAGAAGTGGTTTCTTGGAGCTCCGGACGATACTAATTTATTTAATGTCCTAAGGTGTCCAAGTATGGTATGAACCAATGGGCCCGCGTATCCTCTCTCCTGGCAAGGAAAACACCCAAGCAATGCAAAGCGCGATGGGTGGAATGGCTGGATCCCGGTATCCGTAAGGTCGAATGGTCTCGAGAGGAGGATGAGAAGCTGTTACATCTGGCGAAGTTGATGCCCACACAATGGCGTACGATTGCCCCCATCGTCGGGCGCACGGCAACTCAGTGCTTGGAGCGCTACCAGAAGCTGCTGGATGAGGCGGAAGCTCGGGAAAACGATGAGCTGGGCCTCGGAGGTCCGTCCGGCGCAGAGGCAGCTGCTCCCAGTGCAGATGATGTACGCCGGCTACGGTATGACTGCGACCGTTCCCAGAATTCAACTATACAGTGCACTGTTAACCTTGTGTAGTCCCGGCGAATTGGACCCCGATCCGGAATCAAAGCCCGCTCGTCCCGACACGATTGATCTTGACGAAGATGAGAAGGAGATGTTGAGTGAGGCGCGTGCTCGTCTGGCAAATACACAGGGAAAGAAAGCCAAGCGGAAGGCTCGAGAACGGCAGTTGGAAGAGTCGCGACGATTGGCGGTCCTTCAGAAACGACGTGAACTCAAAAATGCTGGCATTAATATCAAGGTCGTTACCCGGAAGAAGGGCGAAATGGACTACAACGCCGACATCCCTTTTGAGAAGCCTGCAGCGCCCGGCTTTTATGATACCACAGATGAACAATCCCGGAACGAGAGGCAGCGGGAGATGTTCGATCCTCGCAAACAACAGCTAGCCAACAAACGGAAGGGTGACCAGGACGAAGACGCGGAACGCAAGAAACGAAAGAATGACAAGAATGGCAACTCCGCTGCGTTCGCAGCTGCAGCTCGCGCAGGCCAGATGCAGAAGATCAGAGAGGCAGAGCAGAGCAGCAAGCGGAGGGCGCTGGTGCTTCCGAGCCCCCAGGTTAGCGAAGGTGAAATGGAGGACATCATCAAGATGGGTATGGCGGGTGATAGAGCCAGTAAGATGGCAGGCGATGAAGAGGGAGCTCGAGGCTTACTCGGCAATTACACCTCTATTGTCGGTGGCACTCCTATTAGGACACCCAGAGCACCCCCACAGGAGGATCACATTGCGAACGAAATCCGAAATATCAAGGCACTCACTGAAACTCAATCTTCTCTGTTGGGTGGCGAGAACACTCCCCTACATGAAGGAGCGGCCACTACTGGTTTCGATGGAATCGCTCCTCGTCGCCAGGAAATTGTGACCCCCAACCCTATGGCCACTCCGTTCCGACAAGCCAACGGCGTTGGTGCTACACCTATGCGCGGAGGTATCGGACCTGGTGCTACTCCGCTACGGACACCCCGAGATCATTTTGCGCTGAATCAGGCGGAGGCCGGGCAGCTGATCGGGACTACTCCCCGTGACATCAAGATGTATGAGCAAAATACACGCCAGAGCATTCGCAACAAGCTGGCCGCGCTTCCCAAGCCCAAAGAAACGGAGTGGGAGCTGGAAGAACTTCCCTCGGAATCCGCCGAGCCCGCTGTAGATGCAGAACTTACGGAAGAAGATGCTGCTGAACGTGATAGGAGAGAACAAGAGGCTCGAGAACGTGCCGCACAGGCTGAACTGAAGCGCCAAACACAAGTATACCAGCGCGCCCTACCTCGACCAAGTGTTCTTGACATTGATGCGATGCTGGACCGGGTTTCGCACATCACAGATCCAATTACTGCGCTGATTGCGAAAGAAGCTGCTTTCTTGATTGCGCACGATGCCCGCAAATTCCCCGTGCCTGGTGCCAAAGTTGAGGGCAAGGCGCGAAAACTGGCGCGACTTGACGACAGCCTGATTGAACAGGCCCGCGCAGCTGTAGCTGCGGAAGTTTCGGCATCTGGGAAGCTCCAGGAATGGCAAGAGATTTTTGATGAGCAGTGGTCGAATAAGCATTCTACTGTTCTACCGGGTCTTTCAAACTACGCCGACGAGGAGGAAGACGTCTTTAAACAAGAGCAGCGGATGATCGCCGCTTTCGATAACGAGCAAGCCTCATTGCTCGCTACAGCGGAGCAAGGAAACAAGCTAGAGAAGAAGCTTGCGCTACATTATGGTGGCTATCAGAATCGGGCAAAAACGCTCCGCACGAAGATCGTCGAAGCCAGCGATGCGCTCCAAAGATCGAAGGATGAGCTGGATGCTTTCCGTACCCTACAGATCTCAGAGGAATCGGCGCTTTCGCGCAGACTCGAGAAGCTTCGAGACGATGTTGCCTTCGTCATGAGGAGAGAGCGTGAGGCGCAGGATCTGTATAAGAGCAGGAAGGACGAGCTGGATGAGCTTGTGTCGGGCACGGGGGGCATGGTGAATGGCTGGCACTGAAGGCTCAGGATAAGATACCTAGTTTGACCTTTGACCTGGTTATTCGAATTGAATCATGGCCCGCATGCACGATTTGTATAGTATTGTTTGCTCGGTTCCTTAGATATGCGCAGAGCGATGTGACGGCACTTTCGTCATACAATTGGTTACAAAACTGGATTTATAGCACGTAAGTATGCTTAGCACAGCTGCCTTCTCGTCGTCAGTGTTGTGTTTGTTCTAGATGTGATGTATGCTCGTACAGGTGAGATGATGGTGAACCATACTGTGGCAAGCTACCGTAGCAGGCAGTCCTGGCTGGGGATGAACCAAAAGCGGATGGCAAAAGTTCAAAGGCGGTCTCTTCCGTCGTCTCGTAACGGTGACTCCTCCATCCTCTTCTATCGAACTCCAGCGCGTTTTCATCGCGAAACTTGTCCCCTTGACTCTGTTGCATCCGAGTAATCGTCCTCTCTTTCAGTAAAGGTTGTCCATCATTCACCATGGGCGGCAGGGACGAGGCCAACGGCACTCCCGACCCTGTTGAGAAGGGGTTCGCCACCCTCAGTACTATCCGGTAAGTGATGCCAAAACTATCTGGAAAATAAATTTAAACTCTTCAATCCTACTTTCACCGGTCGGCTGAACTGACTGAGGTACTAGGATCGGTGTGAAGGCCATGGTACAGAAAGTCAGTACTGTCGCAAGTCCCCTGCGCGGCACTTTTCTCGCCGCCGTATGATCACGTGATGCGAGGATGTGCTCTATACTACCACCTCGACTGGCAATGCAAAGCTGACTTGTACATGATTTAGGATGGCGAGTTACGAAAAGCGGAAATTCTGTCCATAAAGCAGCGTAAAGATGGGCCCTCATTCTAGTACGCTCGATCCTCCTACCATCCCCTGTACTTGTTCCCTGATTCTCGTGCTGATGGCAGCTGCGTAGTGTCCATTATGTTGATTTCAACAAGCGTCTTGATGGTAAGACTTACGACGTCTTGATTGAGGCCTGCATCTATTGACACTTTCTTAGAATGGATCGCCTCGTCACGTATCGACCTGTCGCATGAGGTTGAATGGCCTCAGCCAGAAAAACCAGAGAAGAAGAAAGCCGGTCCTAGTAACAAGGCTCCAAGCAAGAACGCACAGAAACGCGTCAGAGCCGAGAGTCGCGATGTATCAGCAACGCCTGACTTGCTCACGGGGAAGAACGCCAACGTAGGCAAAGCCCAACGTCCCTCCAAGGCGGGCGGGAAAGAGAACCGCGGCGATGAGACACCTGTGAACCTCTCTTTCGGTGGCTCTGAAGCCGTCTCTGCTGACGGGACACCCAAACCTGATTCTGACGATGTGGACATGATCGATGTCGGTTTCTCCAAAGATGTCAAGGAAGAGGAGAAGGCTCTGGGCCTCATGTCCCGCGAGGAGGAGATTGAGAGGCTACGCACCAGCGGCAGTATGACGCAGAACCCTACGGAGATTCACCGTGTGCGGAACTTGACACGACTACAAATGGGCAAGTACGATGTGGAGCCGTGGTATTTCTCGCCTTACCCGGCCTCTTTCTCTGATGCGGACATTGTGTACATTGATGAATTCTGCCTGGGTTATTTCGACAACAAGAGATCTTTCGAGCGTCACCGCTCCAAATGCACTCTGGTGCACCCTCCCGGAAATGAGATCTATCGGGACGACTACATCTCCTTCTTCGAGGTTGATGGCCGGCGTCAACGGACGTGGTGCCGTAACCTCTGTCTTCTAAGCAAGCTTTTCTTGGACCACAAGACCCTGTACTACGATGTCGACCCCTTCCTGTTTTACTGCATGTGCAGCCGTGACGAAACCGGTTGCCACCTAGTTGGCTATTTCTCTAAGGAGAAAGATTCAGCAGAGGGCTATAACCTGGCCTGTATTCTGACCCTTCCTCAATATCAACGGCGTGGCTACGGCCGTCTCCTGATCTCTTTCAGCTACGAACTGAGCAAGCGTGAAGGCAAACTTGGCTCTCCCGAGAAGCCGCTCAGTGATCTGGGTCTGCTGGGATACCGACAGTACTGGCGAGAAACGCTCGTGGAAATTCTCATGGAGTCTGGCCGGGAAAACATCAGTGAACATGACCTTTCGCTGCAGACCTCTATGACTGAGAAAGATGTCCATGAAACATTAGTTGTGTTCAACATGCTCAGATATCATGTACGCTTTACTCCCCTTTCTTCCTCATTTCAACCCTCTCCCGAGCCAACGAGTTCCCTCTATGAAAACTAACCCACATACTAACACGATCGGTTGATTCACAGAAAGGAAATTGGGTCATAGTCCTAACAGACCAAGTCGTCGAGGAGCACAAAAAGCGTCTCGAGAAAGAGAAACTCAAGGGGGCTCGTAAAATTGACCCGGCTCGCCTGCAATGGAAGCCACCAGTTTTCACTGCATCGTCACGCACGTGGAACTGGTAAGCCGACAGAAAGAAATCCAATTCCGTGGTCCGTGGCCCTGTGACCCGGCCATGAGATACATGGATCCGTGATATATACAAGACCTTCCTTCTAGCTCGCGACGTCAGCGAGGTTTGATACCCCACTTCCTCCCCCTATTCCCTTCACCCTTTCTCTTCTGTTTTTTTCTTCGCCTGGAGTCTCGTGGTGTTTTGAGGTCTTTATGGTGTCTCGTAGATATGGGATTCGTTATTATATTGACCCTTTTTTCTTTTAGAAGTGAAGTTACCGGTGAATGTGGACGGTATGAAAACACTTTGTCGTGTTCTGTGGAGTAAGAAGTGATGGTGTTCTACGGTTTGCTCTTGCGTTTATTCGGGTCTAGAAACTTCAGTACTTTCGCACTGGTTTGAATATAATGCCGCTTAGATATGACAGACAAATGAAGAACTGCGAGCATCTAGTGACCATAGTAGAAAATGCTTTTCACATTAACACAAGCATGTCCTGTAACCATATGCGGCCAGTCTATCCTGTACTAAAAGGCCGTCAAACTCCCGAAAGTATAAAAATCCCAGGAATCCGATACCCCAGGTCTAACTTGCATGTCAACAACTTTACAGCCCAAAAACCACGAGTAGATCATTCTGTAGGTATTTGAATGCACACTGTGGCACACAAAAGTTAATTACACGCTTGCAGAACGGTACAAAAAGGGGAGCTCGCTGCCCTTTCTCCCATCACTCTGTCACTCTGTGTCTGTAATCTGCAGCCCAGTTTGGCGGTTTGACCATGAGCCCTGAGGAAAATTCCTGGCAATGAGAGCCCATATCATGAGAATACAGTACAGGCTGGAGAAGATCTCACGTGAGCGGGAGAAAAGTGTGCAAAATAATGATTGGGAACATATGGATGTGATGAGGAGGATAATTGTGAATCTGATTTCGACTCGGACCGGGAACCATGAAGTCCGGGATTGTGAGTTGGTACAGCGATCAGAAGATGCGGCGTGATTTAGGAATAAGAGAGAGAGAGGGGGGGAGGGAGGGAGAGAGAGATAGAGAGATGGCGGAGGGAGGAGGGGGAAAAGAGACATCCGTGATTTGTGCCGAATGGAATGACTGCTGGCAAGGAAGTGGTAGCAACTGACGTCGGATTCTACCGCGAACAGAAGCAGACACCCCATCCCACGCTCGAAGATCAGTATGTTACTCTGAAATCAGGTACCAACAAGGTCTGGCGCCAGGGGATATTGTACGGGCAAAAGAAAAGGAAGATTAAAGGAGTACTAAAATTTCAGACCGAACCCAGACCGACGAATTTATCCCCCGCAGGCGTAGCTCATCAATACCGAAATGAACGCTCAATGAACATCTGGCAACCAGCAAAAGCCAGCGAAAATTCCAAAAGAACCAGTTTACTGGGACCCGCTGAACGTACGAGGGCCCCAGGATGCATTCCGAGATTGACGTCGTGGGGAGCTGCCGCCATTCGTCTGTTGACTGGAGTTAGGCTTCTTAGCGATTGAACTCCCGGAACCCTCGCGAGGCTTTGCAGTTTTACGAGGTTTGTAAGTTGTGGAATTGCGCGGTCGAGGGTTGAGCGGCCCCAGTTTCTTTGGAAGAGACACATTCTTCGCGACAAGAGCACCGGGAAGTCGAATCATCACACGGATATATCCGGAGCCATCTCTATCATGGAGACCGACCGAGAACGGCTCAATGCTGTGAACTTGCGTTGACTTCAAGTTCTTGGCCCGCAGCTTCGACTGCGTAGGTGGTAGCGCAGCTTGCCAAGCTGCTGGAGGAGCGTGAGTCGGCACTCTAACAACCGGCAGAGATCCTGCTTCTCGATCTTCAAACATTTCCTCTGCTTCCTCTACCTGCTTCGCAGTTACTTCACCGTCCCCAATCATGAGCTCAATGTTGAACGGGAGAGAAACCGAGACAGCAGCAACATGAAGTTGGACATCAAGTGGCTCCTTTGTCGCCGATGTGACTGCTAGAGCATTTCTCTTTTCAGGTACTGTTTTCTTTCCGAACAAAGTGTTGATTTTCTCCTGCCAGGAAGTCGCTGTCGTGCCATGCTGCGGGCCAGTGCGAGGAGGTGCAGCAACCATGGATGCGAATGTTGGCGGCGGCGGCGGCGGTGCGACAATTTTCGGGGGAAGCTTAACTATAGGCTTTGGTGCTGGGAGATGAACCAAAGGTCTGCTGCAATCACCTGTGTACACCGGATGGCTAGACATCTCTTCGGGGGGAGGTGGCGAAGGGCTCCGGTAGAATTCGGCCTCGTCAGCCATCGGCTTTCGGGGTGTCTCCGTGGCCTGCGGGAAGAAGCGTGAACTACGCACTGGGACACTACCAAGAGGGCGTGCGTGCGTGTCCGCAAAAGGAAGATTGCTAACAGGGTGTTCAAGCCCAGGGAGAGGATTTGCAAGAGGAGCGTTATTCTCGGTCGGTCTTGCAATTCCAACGACTTGTCTCTGTCCAGCCTGGTCTCCTGTCCGGACTTGGCGCCAAGTCTCGTTGAAGGTGACCTGGAGCGACGAAGGCCCCTGTGGTAGAGCACTCATTTCGTTGCGAAGCTTCTCGTTCTCTTCCGCCTCACGCTTCGAAGCAACCGCATGGAAATTGTTCCAGGCAGCAGTACCGGGAGCACGATTCTCATGTTGACGATGTTGCGTATGTTGCGAGCTAGGAGGTCCAATGGGCCCAGGTCGCCCGATAGGGTTGATAACCTCGTAAGGAACATGACGAACCTCGGGTGATGGTAGTGGAGATACTGACGCAGTTTCTTGCGGAGATCGCGCGGGCGCGGAGAAAGGCTGAGCAGGTGCAATGGGTGGCTGATCTAGACCGAGACTTCGTAGTGAGATGTCCCTTGCTGGGAAACCCCCAAGACTTTGTTCGAATATCCCATTGCCTAGAGTTTTATCGCTGCTAAGAGGCTTCCAAGGATTTGCGATTGGAGGAGCGGTGTTCACGAATTTGGGATTCGGTGACCACGGTAAATATGAGCTCGGAGGATTGATGTTGCCCCTCCATTGTGGATTTTGCTCATCAATCTTGGCTTCCGGCAGCTTGTCGGAAGATGGAGCTTGCATCTCGTTGCCTTGCTGAGTCCCATTCGGCAGGGGTACGTCTTGTTTGGCCTCACGAGCTGGAGACGATGTGCGTCGCGCACCAGCCGCAACAACAGGTTTATCCGCTGCTCTTTCCCTCTCAGCGAATTTCTTCACAGTGTCGGGATGGTGGACTTTCATCATGCCGTACTGCTTGGGCTCTCCACTTGGTTCAGGAACGGGAGGTTTTGGAGGAGAATGTAGAACATGTGCGGTGGCTTGTTGGCCGATAGATTCTGGCTTGCCAGTGTCAACTGATTCTCTGCGTAGTGACTTCGGTTTCTCCGGTGGAGGACCAAGCGCCTCAAGCTTTTGCCGAATTCTCTCACGCTTCGCAGCTTCTTCCTCCTTCTCCTGATCTAGCCTCCGCTGGCGAGCTTCCATTCTCTTCTCCTTCATGATACGTTCCTGCATTGCCACGGGATCTTCCTGAGGCACTTGCGGCACTGCCGTCTGCTCATCAGCCGCCTGGTTCACCTCGGTGGGTGCAGTAGAAGTTCTGTCTTGAACGTGAGTAGGACCCCGTGCAGGCCAAGGGCCAGGACCACGTCGCTCAGGAGAAATATCACGTGCTTGAATGTCTTTAGGAGGTTCTCTGTTGAAGACGGAGGAATCAGGCATTCCATTGACTTGAGAGCCCCTTCTGGACTCGAATGCCTTGTGAACGACATCAGGTCGACCAATCGACATCCGACGTCCAAAACTGCCGCTTCCCCCACTGACATTTGAAGATGTTCGGCGGCGAGTCCAATGCATACCATCTTGTCCACTCGAACGATGCGTTTGGAATGCCGCGGAAGGCTCCGCTGGGCCGGTTTGATCGCCTGCTACTGGTCTTTGAAGCACAGATGGTGTACGGAAAGTTTGTTCACCACGCCATGTTCCTTTCCTGGTATCAGGAGCAGGCTCATAACGACCTGATCTAGAATTGTAGAGTTCGCGGGTTCCAGGCTGCATTTCCCTCCAGGCTCGATTGAAATCATCGGCGGCGATCTCCTTGGGGGGCAATGCCCCGGTGAAACCATCAGCAACGTGAGGTTCCCTAAGAGGAGCGCGCACAGGCGGTTGGACTTGCATCGGGGGCATCACGGGTGATACTTTCTCAACCGGGGGCAGAGGTGCCCATGGTGATTTGGCCGGAGGCGGCGCGGGACTAGTCGATAGCAGGGCTGACTTGTCACTCGTTCCCTTCGCGATGATACCAGCATTCTTCGCTTGTCTTTCTGCGTTTGCTCCAAGTCGTAAGACGGTTGGATTGGGACCAACTGACGTGATGGTTTTGGGAACGGTTGGAACAATCTTCGGAGGTTCTTTTGGAGGCGCCGCTTGCTCAACCGAGGGAAACTCCTTTTTAAAGTCTGCGACGGCCTTTTCTTGACTCGGTATCGGTGCTGCCGTGGGAGGTTCGGGATGAGTGAGATTCGTTTTCGTCCCGTCAGTCCATTCGATTGTCTCCGGAGCCCAGTCGTCTTCGTCGTCATCAATATCCGCCCATTTCGATTCCGTACCCGCGCCATCTTCTTGAATCCTAGAAGTCATGTGTATACCATACTGTTGCTTAAGCTCCTCGTCAGTCAGGTGTTTTGGTGGGGGTTGTTGAACCGCTAAGGCAAGACGATGTTAGCACAGAATCCTTGATATCGTGCCGTGTAATCAGCCTTACGTCGATTTTTGTTCCAAACCTGATTTGGATCCGGCCCGCTACCACCTGCTTTAGATGCACCCGAGCCCGACTTCGATAGAGAGTCCCGTAGGCTGCTGGTAGACTTGACGACCAGTCGGGGTCGTGAGGTCAACTGCGGCGTGCCTAAGGGGGTTGAGAGAGTCGAGGAGGGGGCTGTCGGAGGTTAGAATATGGATCCAGAAAATGTTTCATCGAAATACCTTTTTCGGAGGGTTTGCTGATGGGGGGTGTGCCAGGCGCCTTGGGAACTGAAAATTTGGCAAAGGTTACGGGTTTGAATGACGTCGGCTTCTTTGAACTGGCACGCGCATGGAGTTTGCCCTCCGCACGACTTGCGTCGGATTCAGAGCCTCCTTGAGAAGCTGTGTCCTCCCCAATATCTGATCCGGATGTTACACCGTTCATTTCCAAGGCTCGTGCCGCGACCGGCACAGGAGCGTACTTCGAAGTGTCCTAGGTCTCATTCAGTATTACGGTCGGCCGCGACACATGCCTCGGATGAGGCCACTCACACTCAACGTCTGCTCGGAGTCTTCTCCTTTCCCAGTCTGGCCCGGGACTTCTGCAGCACTCGTCATGGGCTCCCCCTGTTGGGCGCTCGTCCTCGTCTCGTCTCGTATCGTTGTATCGGTATCATTCATTTCCCCAACGTCGCCTCCAACAGGTGTCTTGTCGGCGGTGCTCGCAGGAACGTCGGAAGGCGAAGAATCGCCGCCCGACCGGGTTTGGTTTACCACATCGTGGTTACTCTGCTCTGCCATAACAATTCTCGAGTCTGTGAGGCCAACAGGTTGCGACATCTGTTAGACAAGCGTTCTGAACAGGTAAATATGGGAACAAGAGGTGACTGAAATCCGAGAGTCATGGATGCAGGCGAAGGGATAGTCTGAGAATATACCTATTGTCAGGTATCAGGAATCGCCACGGTTGGACTTGCTAGCTCAACTGCTTGAGCCGTAAAAGCTCCGAACGGCCAGGTGGACGGCGGAGAGGGGAGCAGATCAGAAGGCTGGTGAGCCAAGGAAAGGTGGTAAGCGGGGGGAAGAAGGGGCAGGTGTGTGAGAGCTAGTAGATTAAGAAGTGAAGCTGCTGCCCAGGCAGTCCCGTCAAGGGGAGGTTTGCGATAGAGGAGGTAGCTGACTCTTGTGAATGAATGATCGGGTGATGGCTGCAGTCATTGACGGTTGACTTGACGGGTCGGTTCAGGTTGAGGCACTAGGGTGGCTGTTTTCGGTTAGCGCGGCCACCCTTCCCGCAAACCCTGTGGCTGGAGCCGCCCGCATCGGATGGATTCTCTCCGTGCTACTTACTACTCACTGGACTGCTCAGTACTAGTTTACTCACTTACAACTCCTCTTCACCCCTCGAGATCAGCAACTTCGCATTTCACCCGGTTTGTACTGAAACGGACTCCTTCGCTCAAGCTCATGCTCCTCGATGACTAGTCCTCAACACTACATACGTTACACCAATAACTGACTCTCCGCCGACGACAAGCATCGGTAGTCGGTCGCTTCACCATTTTCCCCTTGCCCACCAACTACCGCCGTCTCACTTAATTCACTTAGAGCGCACCGCTTTAACAACGAATTGCGATTGAAGCGAGAAGAAAGCCTGAGTCAGGCGGTCTCCTTGACTGATTTGGGTCGACTATTTCGACACAGTCAGAGGAGGATTCAATAAGCCCGCTTATGTGCAATCTAACCAGTGAAGTATCCGTGCTTTAGTCTCATGCTACACAATGAACTGCCACATTACAATGCTCATTCCATACTCCCGAGGTGCCCTAATCATGGGCCCATGATTCCGATAACTCCATTGTTGTTGTAGTGGCGGGCCGGCAGCCCAGTGCCGGAGGCTCCCTCAAAGTATGATTAGTACGGCATAAATGATATCAGCGATATGTTATGTATGATCATGGCACTACTGGTGCCTCGTCGTCTCACATACAGAGACCAAGGAACCATTTCACAGTCACTTGGCAGTTTCCCAGGTGAAGGATGAAATGAAGTCTCTGGGCTCAGCCTTGGAACCACGTGCGCCTAACCAATGGGTAAGCTCAGTGGAACCTCATGCATTGAGAAAGTTGTTCAACAGTATGTCTACCAACTATGTGGATTGCGTTACATTGTTGAGATAAAGTGAAGTATGGCCCACTCTATGAGACAGCAGGGTTCAACTGGCGGGCCATATAGCATAGGCTTTGATGTTAGCCGGGTAAGAATTAGATTCTCGTAGCAGCCCTAGGAGACAGCGCTCCACTACTCAATATCTACTCGTATATGAGGGCGACTGTGCGGCACCGAGAAGTTCTGTCATGACATCATTGCTATATGGGGAAGATGAGGGGCTGGCAAGAAAAGAAAGCCATGGAGACTACAATGCAACTGCGACCAAGAAAAACCACGCGAACTACAATATAGCTACGAGCGAATTGGTGATTCGAATGGGATTTGCATGAAGAGCTGATCCTACAGGGCGTATCGATAAGAGCGAGATCGAGCATACAGCGCATGAAAGCCTCCAAGCCAAGGCATACATGGGCAGACTGATGACATGGCGAAGTTGATTTCGAGCTCCAGCTGGTGGTGAATTGGAGTTCCTCCAAAGTTGGGTCGACAATCGAGAATCTTGTCATGGTAGAGCGATCGCCAGCGATATAGATGCAGACGTGCGAAAGAGGACTGATAGCAACTCGAGAAGTAGGCGCGTGCTCGATGGAAGGCTGGTGAACAAGGAAATGAAAATTTTGTTTTTTCTTTCATTCAGGGGAATCTATGCACAAGATCAAGGTGTGCTAGTACACCCGGGAACCCTGCTTCGCTTCATCTCATGGCAAAGGTTAACCCCCAGATGTAAAACCCAGAAACACCAAGCAACCGCAAACGACCAGATATCATTCTTTAAATGTGGGTGTCGTAGGGGATGGGGGTGATGGTCTCAGGAGCGGAACCCTCAACGGTGTGAGCCTCGCGGGGGCCGACGGGCTGGCGCTTAAGGTGGAGGTGGACACCCTGCTCCTTGGCCTGGCGCTTCTTCTCGGCGTTGAGCTTGACGCGCTTGATGAAGTCCTCACGGGAGCGGGAGTGCTTGACGTGCTCGACGCGGACGTTGATGCGCTTCTCCATGTAGCGGTTGCCGACGACCTTGTAGAGGAGGACACCGACGGAGGACTTGGTCACGTTGTAGACAACACCGGTCTTTCCGTTGTAGACCTTGTAGGGCATACTATTCCAAATCTCAGCAAAACCATTCGATCACGTTGGCGGGAGGCAACCAAGCCAAAGTCGATATTTTTCGGACTCGTCACGGTTGTATCGGGCGGAATTGTACTGACCCCTTCTGAACGGCACCGTTGACCTTGACATCGACGATGTCACCAACCCTGTATCATAACTATCAGATCCTGCAAAGCACGTATATATCGAATGATTCGGCGAAGGGAACAAATCGGGCGTACCGGTAGGTCTTCAGGTAGGTCGACAGGGCGATCTGACCCTTCTCCTTGAAGTTGCGGCTGAAGGCATACTGGTAATTCGGTCAGCGCATGCGTTCCGGACCCCCAAAATTGGCGATGCAAAAATCCTCAAGATGTCGACATACCCGAGTGCCGCTTCTCAAACCGTGCGAGTGACCCATTTCGGCGGTGTTGGTGGTGCTGGTGTTGAGAACTTGTCGACGTCGAAAAAGTGCCTCACTATGCCGCCCGTCGCGATGGTGTAGACTTCTTCGGGTAGTTAGTGTGCCCGTTCTCCGCCGCCGAGGGCTAGCCCTCGCACTAATCCGGATGCGGCTCCACCTTCGCTCGCTTAGTCTCCATCTCCAAAACGCTTCTTCATCTTCCTGATCGTCTACGACTCCCGTGAAGTTCGGTAGCACGACAATATCGCGACAACGCGCAATCAGCAGTCATGGCCCCCGTCCCGTGAGTATACGACCTGCGATGATGAATCGAGATGTCGCCTTTCTAACCCGAATTGCTGCAATGTAGCCGCGTTTACTCCAAGACCTACAAGGTCCCTCGTCGTCGTAAGTTGCCTTAATCAGTTTGAGATTCAGCAAATTTTTTGATGTTCCTGGAAGTTGGTCATGCGCTAACATCGACATAGCTTTCGAGTCGGCTCGTCTGTTAGTACTCTCCGGCCACTGATCAGAAGCGTGCTTCTGTTTATGTCGTGTGTTCCTGTGTCTAATTATGCTATAGTGACTCGGAACTGAAGGTTGTCGGCGAGTACGGCCTGCGCAACAAGCGTGAGGTATGGCGTGTCCAGCTCACCCTGTCCAAGATCCGTCGTGCTGCTCGGTATGCGAATCACCCCTCGATCACATCTTCGCCCGCGACCGCGCGATCCCCACTCGACTTCGACGCTAACCCTCCCATAGTGAGCTCCTCACCCTCGACGAGAAGGACCCCAAGCGTCTTTTCGAAGGTAACGCTTTGATTCGCCGTCTGGTCCGCATCGGTGTCCTCGATGAGTCTCGCATGAAGCTCGATTACGTCCTGGCCCTCCGCGTTGAGGACTTCTTGGAGCGTCGTCTTCAGACCTGCGTCTACAAGCTTGGCCTCGCCAAGTCTATCCACCACGCCCGTGTCCTGATCAAGCAGCGCCACATCCGGTATGCGGCCTTTGCCTTTCGTTCTACCCTCGATTTTTGCTAACTCTTGTCAACAGTGTCGGCAAGCAGATCGTCAACGTTCCCTCCTACATGGTCCGCCTCGACTCCCAGAAGCACATTGACTTCGCTCTCACCTCCCCCTACGGTGGTGGCCGCCCTGGCCGTGTCCAGCGCAAGAAGGCCGCTGCTGCCGCCGGCGGTGCCGGTGATGAGGAGGAAGAGGAGGAGTAGACGACCAAAAATTGGAGTATGGACGGGTCTCGTTAGCGGAATTTAAACTGCGGGGTTCCTTTATGGCTGCAGTATTGCGTATAATGTTGTACGGTCTGGCAATGCCATGAATGAACAAACAACCTTCGGCTCACTCTCAAGGCCTCACTTAGTTTCCTGCGTAATCAGTGTAATCAGTAATGCATATTCTTCAACCTTTGCCGCCCTCACTGTATTCAAGGGTATGAACACCAAACGCCGTTGCATCAAGTAGTAGTCCTCTCTCATATCACAATTCGTTATTTTTATACGCCAACCAATTTCTTCAGCGTCTCCTCCGCGCTTTTGTACCATCTTCCCATTTTCTCGAGTCCATCGCTCTCGCCCTCTTCCTTCTTCCTCTGAAGTTCCTGCGCCTGCGCTATGGCTTCTGCCTTCCGGCGTTCTAGAACACCTAATTCACGCTCCACCGCCTCGGCCTCTCTAGTCTTGCGGGGCAAAACATTTTGCACCGCTGCAAGTTGTCGATCAAGCGCCGCAAGTTCGGCCTCCCTTTCCGACAAAAGCTTCAGCGTAGCCGGTAGAGGCAACCTCTGGGATGATGACGCGTCTGTATCGGTCACTTGTTTAGCACGTAGCTCTTCGATAGTTGCTTCGAGGTTCTCGATTGATTCCGGTAATGTCGAAAGCTTAGTTAACTGCAATTGCACGTTCTTGTAACCTGTACGCTCCAGAACATCGTGTTAGACATCTCAATCCCAAGAGCCTGGCGCTCTGCCATTACGACGGCCATTCGAGCACTCACGATTCGCCAAGTCCCTGCCTGTCTTCTCCATCTCTTCGGTCATACTCCGGACCTCTTCTTTCCGCGCACGAAGCTCCGCCTTCACCTCGGCTAGTTGCGCTTCGAGTTCGACGTTTTCATTGTGACCAACGACCAAAGGAGGGTCACCCACGATTGCGCGCAAGAATTTCTCTTTTGTCACCTGCTCCACATAGGAGAACCGTAGCTTCGAGAACAGTTCCTTCACACGGTCAGTCAGCATATCACTTCCCTGCACTAACTTTCGACTTCGCGCTATGAGTTCCAGAGGGTTCGCACTTTATAGTGGCTTAGATCTGCCTCTAACGAGGCAGGTGTCGGGTTATCGAGGGTAGAAACATCTGAATTACGCTTCGATGGGGAAGCCGTCTGTGTCTCGGCAGTCGGAGAAAAAATCGGTTCGCTGATTCGAATGATGTTCAACTGTGTCTTCAAATCGCCATGCTCTTGTTGTAGTTCCTGGAGTTGCTTGAGGACTTGTGTGGGGTTCGGTTCAGACATAGCGCCTGTCACGACTGCGAGTTTCGATGATTTAAGGGGGAAAGTGAGATAAATTTTCAGGCCTAGTATTTAGTATTTGTGAAGTGTGTATCCGATCATAAGGATCTGACGATTTCGGGATTTCTGGTGTCGCGCGTCGGCAGAACATGCGGAGGTAAACAGTGGATCTTTTGGTTTTATCGACCCACTACTGCCTTATCGGGGCTGGGGCGGTGAAGTCTCCGCCGCCGCCGCAATGGCGTCCAGTATCGCCGCTCGTAGCTTCCAACCTGCAATTGCGTCTTGCCTGGTTGGATTCACACCTAGCAAGTCATTTGACTCAATCGATTTGTGTATAATCTTGGCTGAAGGTGAATGCGGTCACTGCTCTTCATCTATGCTTGAATTATTCTTATATCCCCTGCCCCGCTGTCAAGGATAATGCCATTTCCCCCGCTCGTCAAATCTGCAGCGTTCCCCACCCGTCGCACGGTTTGATACTACTATGTCCCCCAACTTAGCGAAGCCACTCGGCGCACTTGACGATGATGACTATGTTGCTCAAGTACTCGCACGCGAGGCGCGCGACAGCTCGATGAAGTATTCCGCGCAAGGTTTGGATGCTTACATGCCAAGACGGTGAGTAACAATGGCCGCTTCCATCGCTCTCTGTAGTCAGGAGCGCAGCAGCTGACATACATGTTCGCAAGACCTACAGGTGCCGCTCCAAAACCAAACACGCGCTTCCTTCGACATATTATCAGGGAAACCGACAGTCATAATGCGGCTTTGAAACGCAAAGAGGAGCGAGAAGCGAGGGAGCGGATGCGGCAGCTAAGGAACCAGGCGTCCACTTCCTCCCATGACACAAGCCGAGAGCATCGGCGGCGGCGCGACTATCCATCGGACAATCGAAATTCGCGGACTGAAAGCAGAAAGGAACGGGACGATAGACACGGCTCTTATAGGAGGAGATACAGGAGTCGTTCGAGGTCCAGAGAACGCGATCCCGCGCGCAGCGACCGAAGGAGATCCAAGGATGATGGGACGCGAGCTAGCGGACGTGATAATCACAGGAGAAGTCGTCGACATCGGTCATCTTCGCGGCTTAGGAGTCAGTCGCCTCGGGATAATCGAAAGTCAAGCTCCAGGAGTCTACGCAAAAGCTACCGTACGCGTGATAGATCAGAGCCACGCTCTCGTTCCCTATCCGAGGAAAGGTCCGACAATCGCGGGCAGAACGATCCCGAGAGAAGTAGACGCACTGGGGACATTGGCCATCATAGCTCTAACAGTAACAAACGGTCGCGCGAGAATCCACCACAGCGACGTCCAACAGCAACCGAAGACCGGTCATCAGAAGATGAATCAGATCCGCTAGAGGACCTTGTCGGGCCTTTACCACCAAAGAACGATGGATCGGACGAGAATGCGCCGATTCGTTCCCGCGGACGTGGTGCCTACAAACCCAATACAAGCAATATTGACGCACATTTCGCACCTGACTACGATCCAACCACAGATGTACAGCTGGAAGAGGACGATCTGCACTCCAACAACAAGAGCTCCCGCAGACACGTTCCCGGCCTTATGACAGGGGTTGATGACTGGGATTATGCCCTAGAAGCTCTCCGTGATCGAGCTCGTTGGAAGCAGAAAGGCGAAGAGAGGCTTCGTGAAGCTGGTTTCAGCACTGACTTTGTGGAACGTTGGAAAAGCAATACTAGCTCCAAGCCTGAAGACGATTCCGAGGGTAGATTGGACAGTGTGAAATGGACCAAGAAAGGTGAAGGTCGGGAATGGGACCGTGGTAAATACGTGGATGAGCATGGACATATTGATGTGAAAGCCTCCTGGTAACCCTTGTGGGCTATAAGAGGATCTTCTTTGGATTAGCACAGCGTTATAGCTTTACTTTCAGAATACATCCTAAAGTCATGTGCATGATCATGCCATTCATTAAGTTATACATTTCCCGAAGTCCATGATGCCGGCTATTAGCAATGAATGAAATGTGCTAAGTATGCTGTAAATATAAATAGAGCGGGGCCTGTACTAGTATTCACGCAGCCAAAGTACTAATGCAACGACTAGCTGCAAGAGGTTGAAAAGGGAAGCAACCCACGAGAAAACTAGATCATTGACCTTGTGAAGACAGATCTCGTACATACGTACATACGACAGTGTAGTTCATCGCCAGCGGTATGAAAAAGTGTGGAGTGTCTTCGTTCTCGTGTATTCAGAGTGCCAAGACACAAGACTCTCTAGTTCCGCGGCTTGGTCATGAGTGCGGAATTTGTCGCAATGGCTTTGCAAAATTGGTCACTAATCGCCCCATCGCGACGCTTAATAAGAGGTCGAAAAAGGTGCTCATACTATTTGAGAACAGATCTCTTGATTGGTAATAGCTTATAGACCTAGAATGTAACTTGCTAAGCTTCGTAAGCTTCGAAACCTGAAGTAGACTTCTTCACCTCCGATGGCTGTTCTGTAGTATCATGATATCACATCGGAAGTACAGACCCGCCTGTCTATACCCGAGAAACAAAGTGTGCATCTTCGGTTAATAAATCATATTGGCAGCAGTCGCAAGTACTACCCTGAAACCATCAACTCGGACTCTCGACGTTCTGTCTGAATATCCAAACGGCAGCCTCGGCCATATATACACGGAATGACCGACCAATTTGCCTTTTCATACCCTTCCCCGCTGGAGGGGTACGAGAATCTGGAGCCGCTCTCAGAGTAAGTGCCCGTAATAACCACAAGACCATGCATAATGCTTGAAGAAGCCTCTCGCAAATATCGCATACTAACAAGTATCTCTCCAGTGAGCGAAACGAGGACGGAAAGTCTCTCAAAAACCCCCAACATGGCATCCTGAGCAAAGCGTACGAAGAATTCCCCGACCCTCTCACAAAGGGCCGGCGCGGCGGTTTTGATATACATATCTATCACTTTCAAGTAAGTCTCTCCGCACCTGCCTCTCAGCCGTGTGATTGAATTTATGTCCTTATTGCCTCCAGAATAACCCCGACCAAGTCACTTTTGCCAAGGCCCTCTGGGAAAGAATCCGACGTGAATGTAAGTCTGGTTTACTGACACCTCGGCTGCCTTAAAACTTGGACATGGCTTCAATTTTCTGCGGCACTGTTACGCGTCCAGTAGCCAGGAATATGCTCTAGGAGCGCGACAACATCCAAAGCTGACATTGCTCCTGCAGTCCCCGAACTCCGAATCTACACGTTTTTCGACCGACCGATTGGCCCGCATCCCGTGGCCATGTTCGAAGTCAACCTGTTCACGCCGGCGCAATTTGGGGCCTTTGTTCCTTGGCTGATTGTGAACCGCGGACCTTTGAGCGTTCTGATCCATCCGAATACGGTGGAATCAGAGGATGAGCGCAATCACACCCAGCGTGCTACTTGGCTAGGGGAGAGGATTCCGTTGGATTTGCGAATCTTCAAATTGCTCAAGGAGAGGGAAAAAAACGAGGAGTTGAAGAACTGATGATGGATTTGGTGTGAACATTGATTGGGTCTGACTTGATCCCGTGTGCATAACATAGCATAGCATAGCAATTATGATTGAAGACTGTGATTGAGGGATTCTCACACTGCAGGGATTGATGTTCTCCTTGCTTCAATTTGCATGAACGTCACCTGCGCGAGATCACTTGATAGGGTGCCAGCGCCAAGACTATGGGTCATCTGCATGGATCTTCATTCGCGAGAAGTGGAGGAATCAATGGTTTCCCTGCAGCATCAAGGCTGACATGCTAGAGTGCCGAGTCATACTACTGGTTACAAACAAGTCTCACGCGGTCTCGACCTCCTCAAAAGCAACGGGGTGTGACCTGGACCATCACTCACTCGACCGTGATCCCAGTTCCAGGTAACTAGATAGGTATAACCCGACCCTACATCAAGGTTACTTTCTTGCCCATGGGACAGTTCAATTTCTATTAACCATGCATGACGGGCCAGACCCTAGTCTCCCTGCAACCAGGAAACCAGACAAGGTTACTTGAGGAGAAAACATTCCGAGAACTTAGAAGAGGCAAACCAGACACATCCCGATCAAGGACGCTTGATTTGAGCCGAAGCTGTAGACGAAAGCAATGGTTCGATTTCAGCGACTATCAACTGCCGCAGGGGAGATTGGGAAAAGATGCATGTTGACTGCGCACCGTGATGCATCAGGAGGCCAGGCGATCTCTAAGTATGTTATGCAACTTCAGATGATCTGGCTTGGTATGCCTCTTCCGTTGCATATCTGCAGGTCACACTGTCCATTTTGAGGCTGCCATAATATTTACTTGAAATCCTCTCAGTCTCCGACACCGAGGACTGCGCAAGAGCTACAGGAGCGACCAGCTTCCATCTACAGATTCGTGCTACTGCTAAAATGAGGCAGCTCTTCTATCCATTACTTATCCTCGCCACAAAAAGTACCCATTCCCAAGCCTCAGCCACTCCTCTGAGAGATACTCCAATTCCCGCATATGTCTTAGAATACGGTGAGTGAGCACTGCGAAGACACTGCATGTGATTTGACTGATGGATTCTGATAGCACCACTTGTCTGGCTACACAGCCAAGATGCATATTGACCCTCCGACATTGGGCAGCAGCTTGTGCACACTATCCCTATGGTGAATTGGACATGTATTCCAGGATCGCCGTCGTCTACGACTCTCGACAATCTTGCAGACCTCAACAGGCTGGGAAATACAAGCGTGTATCTTACTTCCCGGGAGGGCATCGATGCCGAACCTCAGCCAGCGTGGTTCCAGGGGGTGGAGCCAGGTATGAATGGTATAATCGAAGGTGCTGTGTCTTCGACCATTGTCGTTCGTAATCATGGGGACGGAACCGTGGATGCCTTTTACTTTTACTTCTTTGCGTGAGTGAAGCAGACTCAGGGGAGGGAGAGAAGAAGATCCCACAAATGCCCTAACAACTCCGTAGATACAATCAGGGCAACACGGTGTTAGGTATGCAGTTCGGCAATCATGTCGGCGAGTGGTAAGACCCCCGTTTGCCATTATGGCTACGAGACTCAGCACTGTGATAGGGAGCACAACATGATTCGCTTCGACAATGGAGTTCCCAGATCGCTCTGGTACAGCCAGCATGCTGGGGGGCAGGCGTTTACCTATGATGCCACCGAGAAGAAGGGAAAGAGGCCCATCGCATATTCGGCAAATGGAACCCATGCTGTTTATGCAATCCCAGGGTATGGCTTCGAAGCCCAAGTGCCCCGGGTCAGGAGCTTATAGCATTCTTCGATAGGTCTCACGATCACACCATTCCTAATTTCAGCCTTCCCACAGGGCTGATAGTCGACTACACGAACCGTGGAGTGCTGTGGGATCCTACCTTGAATGCATATGCATATAGCTATGACACAACGGGCAACAAGTTTCAGCCCTATGATATCAGCTACCCGATCAGTTGGCTCGAGTACAATGGACAATGGGGAGACGATGCATTGCCCGGTGGACCGGAGCTATTTGGGCAAGCCAAATATTCTGGGGGCCCAAACGGCCCTAAATTTAAGCACATCGTTCGATCCGAAGTGTGTCCGAAGAGCCCATGCATAGTTCTCCCGTTTCGCATCTGGAGCGAGGGGGAGAGCCTGAGCGGCCAGTAACTCTTTCGTGCCATTAGTTGACTTTTGCCCGCATGTGTTTATCATAAGAGTTCTGGCAAGAGCTGATGACTCTAGAAGCTGGTCGACAATGGAGAAGACGTGCATAGCTTGGGGAAGTTTGCTCTCCGAGGAAGGAGAACTGTGATTATTGGTACAAGCACAACCATTTCAACAAGAACAGCCAATTTGAGAACAACTGCAGGTCAACACCTAGGGAAATCCAAGCAATAGTTCCAGCATTGACAAAGTAAGGTGCTCGAATGTCAATTAGTTATGGATGCAGGAGCTAGTTCCCGGTGATGCGCTCGCCGCGGTCGCGATTGGCATCTGTGTGCTCCTAAGACATCATGAGTCAGGGATCCCCCTTAGTGCGGGCAGAAGGACGAGGATTGCAGGAGAGGTCCATGTTCTTCTCGAATTGATATCTACCCAATAAAAGCAACAAATAGACCAAGAAAGTGAATATACTGATCTCATTAGTCAAAACCATCATCCAAACATTCGTGGCCTCTGCCCACGTAAGACACGGGCAACTCGGAAAGGAAACTGGCTCCCTCTCCGCACTAAGAAAAGGGGCGCGGTGAACGGGGCCGTCACTGGTAGGTGAACTGATGGATTCCCCAATCATCAACGCTAACCGAGATTTCTCTTCTTGTGCCTAATTCCACAATTTCCAAAGAATTCCGAATGCTTCGCCAGAGCGAAAGAGAGAGCTTAGGAAAACCATGAAATCCGGGGAAGGGGGGAAGGGGCAGTGATTGACGATAAGGGGAATGCACGAGGACGCCAGATGCAGGAGATAAACAATTTAACGAGGGATGACAGGACGGTACCCACGTGTACTTTAGGGAGTTTTGACCACCGCTCGATCATCAGTCAAACGTGAAGGTTTCATGGTATTGATTACTCCATACGGGGTATGAGTGATGTATTGACCGGTACCCACATCTGCTCCAATCTGCGGTTCGATCGGTCCTCGGTCCATGAACGTTGAGATTAATCTAATTGAATGAGCCTGAATTGTGTGTTGCGAAATCATGCTATGCCATTCCCCTCAGCATTTCGTTCGACCAAGCGCAGATTGTGATCTGAGGCTTCATTCCAAATGAATCAGCACCTTGCCATCAACGAGTAGGTACTTGTACTATACTGTACGCACCACTCTCACTCGGGTAAGTAAAACCTACCACCTGTATGGAAACTGTGGTCGTACAACAGCAGAGAGACTCGAGTGTCCGTTCAACCCGTAGTTGGTGGTCATGTAAGTTAACTGTAGCCTGTAAACCCCGGGTAGAGAACCCCAACAGTTTAGAGACTACCAGCCAATGTAGCCATCTGCCCTACTAGAGCAATCCAACTTAGTGCTCACTAAACCCCAATTGAACTAGACCAATGCGCTGGTGGAGAGAGTCTGGTAGAGACCACCTAGCTCCGCTGCCGCTTTGCCCCTGAATTTTGTTCGGCTCAAAAGCTTCTCGAGCTCTGCCTCTCCGCCAAGTTCGTAGAAGTCCAAAGGTACCTAGACTCAAGAACAGAGCAGATTTGAAATACCAAAGAAAAAGAAAAAAAAAGAAAGAAAGAAAAGAAAAGGTGGTAAGCAAACCAGCACGAAGACGATTGGCTCTCACTGCCCCAAACACGACAGGACAGGACTCCAGGCAGATCTGAAAGTCCAGTTGTCCTGGAGAAAGCCAAACGTGCTGCAGAGTCTGTTGTCAGTCGAGCTTCTATTTTGCGAAGTTTGGCACTGCATCAGCCCAGTCCGTTCAAAGGTAAAGCGGCGCCTTCGTCCAATTTCACTGGTCGATCATCATCTATTCTCAGCTCCATCAATCAACCTTTGCGCTGCTCTTCTCTGTCTCGGACCCAATCATTCATATCCTTCTGTGTCCCCTTTTCTCGCTTCTCATTTTGTTTCCGTTTCAATTGTATGCGCCGCTTTGGTCGGACCTGTTGAGCAGGCTTCACTTTCAAGATTCCCTGGTAGGATCGAACCACAGTGCTGACGCATTGCTCGCTGGTCTTCGCTGTCATACCGCTTGCTCTATACACAACCAGTAGCAAGGTTCCTCAATTCCACGATCCACCTGCTGGGCTTGTGCAAGTCGATTGAAGTCATCACTCAGTTGCGGGATCTCTCGTCTCATCTCGGGTCAAGCATTTGCGCAGACAGATCTGGTCGCTGAGTCGGTTCTCTCCGTTCTTTTCTCCAGTTTCTTGTCCCATCTTTGCTCGAAAAGAAGTCGATGCAAGCGAAATTAGAACAAAGGTGAAGCCACCTATCGAATTAGGTATGTTGATCATCTGGCAGTCCGGGCATAGGATTTCCGTGGAAAACAACCAGTCTTCGGGTAAAGGGGGTGCGGCTCATATTATACCATAGCAATGCACCTCTCTGTAATATCAGCCACTGACTGCAATAGACCACCACCCATCTAGGTGAATCTACCAGTTGAATCCTTCGGGGACCTAGTCTTAATTGAGCTGAGAAGAGAATTCGCCGTCGTGAAAGTGAATCACATTCAACTGACTATATCTGAGACACGCATCATTCCCAGTGACCCCACTTCTGTCTGGCCATTTGCCCCCCCGTTCGTGTTACAGCCAGTCAAGTGATAAGAGAGAGCAGACGTTGCCCAGAATAAAACCCAATGGCAAGCACATCAACAACACCCCGGACTCCGGTTCGGACTGACCCTTCCGCTGTCGCCGCAGACGCCGCAGAAACAAAGGACCAACGCAGAACGTCCTCTCTAGGCTTCCTTCGTCGCTCCAAATCAATTGAGCTCTTGGGTGAGAGGAGACCATCTGCAAGCAAAAGCGGCAAGAGTATTCCAACGGAACTGGACCCTCGCCCCCAACGCGCATCAATGCTGTACCATCAACCCCCTCGTCTTCCGGATCTGTCCCCAGCTCCGGTTCTGGAGACCTTTGGTGGCGAGTCACCCCGAGAGACTACTCCAGCCCCTCCCAGCCAGTCCCCCGCGCCCCGACCGCAGAGTGTGGCCCCCAGTACGATGAGCACGCCGGTGAAGCCAGAGAGTAGCGATCCATACGCACGCGCTGAGAGCATGGCGCACCGTGGACGTTATAGCTATGCGAGCAGCGCTGTTAGTTCCGTCAATAATCCGCGTCGTTTACGTCGGCGCAAAGACCCGACTCCTTACAAGTAAGCTGCCGTCAATCTCGATCGCATGTCATTCCTTTTCTTAACTGACCTGCGTTAGTGTTCTTGTCATTGGCGCAAGTAATTCTGGAAAGACGTCGTTCCTCAAGTTTCTCAAGAAGTCTCTAGAACTGCCACCAAGCAAGCACGCCGTCCGTCAGCCGAGTGGCTTGGATGATCAAAGGTGTTCATCGGGAACAGGTGAAGGCTATACTTCCTCCTACCTTGAAACCGAGATCGACGGTGAACGCGTGGGCATCACATTCTGGGACTCACCGGGCTTGGAGAAGAACATCGTCGATATCCAACTACGCGGAGTGACAGGGTTTTTGGAGAGCAAATTCGAAGAAACCTTGAGGGAGGAGATGAAGGTCATCCGCTCACCTAACGCTCGAGACACCCACATCCACTGTACTTTCCTGATTCTCGACCCAGTACGATTGGATCAGAATATAGCTGCCGCTGAAAGAGCAGCACAAGGGACTCCCAGATCAACCGACTCAACCATCATTGGTATTCTGGATGAAAGACTGGATCTTCAAGTCCTGCGGACCATGGTGGGGAAGACTACTGTCGTACCAGTGATCAGCAAAGCCGACACAATTACAGCGGCGCACATGGCATACTTGAGAAAGGCGGTTTGGGATAGCCTCAAAACGGCCAAAATCGATCCTTTGGAGATCTTGACCCTTGAAGACCAGGAAGAATATACTTCTTCTGAGAGCGATGACGAAGAAGAGTCAACGGAGAAGGGAGGGCTCTCCAGCCCGCCGCGCTCCTCCGAACCTAGCCAGAACATGCCCGAGTCCCAAACTGTTCCTCAGCTAATCCCCTTCACTACCTTGGCGCCCGATCCATATTCGTTGGACTCCGCAGATGAGCCCATCGGCCGCAAGTTCATATGGGGCTTTGCCGACCCTTACAATCCAGAGCACTGCGATTTTCTCAAATTGAAGGAAGCTGTCTTCAGCGACTGGCGGATCGAGCTACGGGAAGCAAGCCGTGTCGTCTGGTATGAAAGATGGAGAACTAGCCGCCTCAACCGTAATACCGCCACGTCCCCGGCCCCTTCCAGAGAACTTGCGCAGAAGAAGACATACAGTGGGAAAACTGGCCCTGATCTTCGTCGCTTCCCGTAAACAACTATGGTCTATTGACAGTCGTCCAAGCCTTGCATCTCTCGAGATTGTCTAAGATATACCTTCTCTCATCTTTTGACATTTTTTTTCGGCCACATCCTTGGTTACCAGCAAACCGATTCTGTGAATTTTATTTCCCTAGCGACGTCTCAGAGTGATGTTGAATGTCTAGCATGTTGAAAGAAATTGCACGAGTTGATTTTAGGAAGCTCAGCAGCCAAAGAAGGATCATTGTACCTGGTCTGGACATGCGTACAATGACACAAGAGAACCGTGATTTCTCTAGCGCCTACTTTACTCCGGAAAGTTGGATAGCTGAGATACCGTGGCTTTTTCACATTCCCTCTCTTTGAAGTCCCCTTTTTTAATGTCACATCATCCCCATGTTTTGACGTCCCAGCGCTGTTGTGTTTATGACTAAGTGCTCAGGTGCTTCGGTGCTTGAGTGCTTGGTCCCATTCCAATTTGCTTTTCCAGTGCGAAGATGTCTTTCTCTCGAGTCATACCCAATCTCATTCCTTATTTGTATTTTTGATGATCTTCTTGCTCTTTCCATGTTGAATCTGTCATCCCTGCCTATCACCAACCTGCGGTTTGTGTCTGGGCTTCTGTTTGTGTTCATCATGCCTACTACTATGATGCTTAGAGGCGGTTGCGGCAGGTAATGCATGTTGAACTCGATTATGAAATGGCTTCGTTTCGGTGAGAAGTTGTGTGTGTTTGTAAATGAGGTTGTCTAGTGTTGACACTTCGCGGTCGCGGAGTCGGAAGCGTACCCCTCTTCTGATGTAGACTAGACTAATTAGTGCTACTTACTCAGTCAGGAGTAGAGAGGTCACTCCCAATTACTGTAAGTGGATCAAGGTCAATCGCGGGCATCTGACCATCAGACAATACGAAGCGCTAAAGTGGCCCAGGCGGGTGGATTCCGGACCCCAAGCTCTCATGAACCCGTTTGTCATTCGCGAGGGCCCGGCAAGAGATGGTTAGATTGCCGCCCAGGGTGGACCAGCAATCAACCTTGATGGTTCTCCAAGGCTGCAGAAGACGGTGTGCGGCTCCAAAACAGTCCTGTTTCATTGTGCATGGTGACCAACGGTGTAAAAAGACCGCAAGGAAACTGGAAATACCCACCAGCCTCTTTGAGTAGTATTTGTGTGTAGGAAAAAAAAAAAAGACAGACAAGAGGCGGTGGGAACAATAATGGGTTTGTGCGCGGGCGAGCGAGATTTACTAGAACTACTCATGCGGACTTGGTTGACTTCAGCTGTTGTTGCTCAGCTGAACTCGCAGAATTCTCCATGATCACTCGTTGCAAATTCATCTCTCAGCCTTGTCTTCCTCATCCTCCAATAACTCTTGAAGAAAACCTGTCACCTCGCTTATCTCCCTTCACCTAATCTCATTTCTCCCCTTTGCGTCGCTGTCATTATATCCGCCCTTCCCCGTCCTTATTTCCTCGGTGCTCCACACGAGGCTGAGGCGTTCAATCCTATCGACTGGTCACTACAATACTTTACTTCAGCATTCAGATTTGACCTATTTTTCTGACATCCCACTTGATCTCAACGTTGACGGGACTCTCCATTTTAAGGTCTGATCTTTGCCACCGTCACGCCGGTCCCTAGCTCTTGCACCCATGTCACTCCAAGTGGGCGACCCACGGTCGCGAGGCCGTTCCAAATCCCCAGGCGGCCGAATCCGCGATCGATCCAAGTCTCGCGACAGTCGAACTCTCGACCACAATTATTTGTCCTCCGCTCCGGTGGATGGGAACCTGAGGACTAGGTCTAGGAGCAGAGGCGCGGCGCCAGGTAATTTTTATTACCGGTCTAGTTCTCGCTATACCCCCTCTGATAGCCGAAATCCTTACTTAGGAATCGAGCACGGTCGTGATTACTACTATCAATCTGACTCGGGAGAGAGCAAAGGTGCAAAGCGCGACAGCAGATATCATTCTTCCGCTCAACGCCGCGATGCGCGCTATGACAGTTACTCGGAGAATAACTCGTACTCCGACTCGGAGGATGATGCGCTTGCTTATGGTGACCTTCCCGACGATGACCTAGAGCGCGCTTACTACGGGTACAAAGGTACAAATCGTGCTGCATCACCGCGCCATGGGGGGCCTATGATGTCCGGTGCTCTCAATCCAAGCGTACCCCAGGTTGGTGCATCGGGGCGTCCCGCGGAAGGCATCAATGACCAGGTCCCTGGCAGTCATCCCAGCTACGCCAGACCCGATCCATTCAGATATGCTGCGCAGTCTCAGCACCCTCACGCCCAGCCCCATCCAGCTTACTACGGGGGCCCTTCCGCTTCGAGTGCAGCTCCTTCCAATTGGGCACCGATACCTGAGTGTGAGCGACCAGGATTTGTGCCTCCAACATCTCAGGGACATAGTCAAGTCATGCCTGGTGCATTTCCCGCTGGCTCCAGTCAGCCTGATATGCCTGCCACAACTGCTGCAGCCCCGATGCCAACGTACAGATATGTGGATCCAGGTACGCAGAATGGTCGCCCATTGTCGGTGTCCGCTACCAACGTATATGCTCCTGGTGTGGGTTCTTCAAGCCATCAACGCTCAATGTCGAGCGATGCGGCGGTTAAACCTTCTTATGCTGCCCCGGCTCCTTTCCAGTATGCACAAGTTGATCCAAACGTGAAATACTCATCCAAGAGTGCAGCGAGCAACGAGACCAAGCCGGTGGCGCATTCCACCACACCTCAATTCTCGAAAGGCGGCGGCAAACCGGCGAATGATGCGCCATATAGCGGAGTCAAATATACGGCTGCTCCTCAGTTTGCTCAAACTCCAATAAGTCGTCAGGAAAGCGGCCCGCACTACGTCGAAATTGCACCTGGAAACAGGACCGTTAGCCGACCCCATAGTCACTCGGTATCTTCCGCCCATAATCTCACGGTTGCCGGCCCCGACCCAACTCAACGACCAGTCAGCCCGCTTCAGGAGCCTTACAAGGGGACTTATCAGAGTATCTCACCCATGCCGTCACCCATCGTCATTTCGTCGAGGCTGGACGATGACGTCTCAGACTTGGAGCTGGTGGGCACTAGTTCAGACGAGGGAAAGAGGGAGCACAGACGAAAGAAGAGCAGAAATGAAAGGGAGTTGAAACCTGACCACGTGAAACGAGAGAGTAGCCGTGTGCGACACGAACGCCATGGGTCTACCGGACCTGATTCTCTAGTCGTCATAACTCCTAGCAGCAATCGAAAGCGTGTCACCTTCTATGATGCGGGCCCCGATGCGCTGGCATTGCAACAGGCTCTTAATCACACGCGGCACATCGACAACAAAACCCTCATTAAGGTGCTGCCACACTTGACGAGCGATGAAATGCTGGATTTACGCAAAGAATACAAGAAACACGTCAAAGTCCACGGAAAGGGAGTGAATTTGGCCAAGCATATCCGACTGACCCTGGGCAACAGCGCCTTTGGTAAAGTATGCTATGCTACTGCCTTGGGCCGTTGGGAGTCCGAGGCCTTTTGGGCAAATTGCTACTACCAGTCAAGTACATCTCGGCGCGAACTGTTGATTGAGTCCCTGTTTGGTCGGACCAATAGCGAAATCAGTGAAATCAAAGAATGCTTCCGGGACTCGCGGTACTCCGATAGCCTTGAAAAGTGTATGAAGGCCGAGTTGAAGGCGGATAAGTTTCGGATGGCGATATTGCTTGCTCTGGAAGAGACTCGACAGAGCGAACGGGATCCACTTGATTCCGAGCTCGTGGAGCGGGACGTGCATGAATTACACCGCGCTCTGGTCTCACGCCATGGAGGTGAAACGTCAATGATCTATATCATTGTTCGGCGGAGTGATAGTCACCTTCGAGAGGTGCTTCGCACTTATGAAAAGTTTTACGAGCACAATTTCACTCGGGCCATGATGGCCAAGTCACAAAACCTGGTTGTAAGTTCTCTAGGCTGCCGCCAAATGATTGCTACTCTGTGCTAATCAAAATCATAGGGCGAGACACTGGCACACATACTCAATGGGGCAATAAACCGGCCCATGCGTGATGCCCTTCTCCTGCACCAGGCGCTGCGTGAATCGCGAACTGGTAAGGAACGCTCCGAGCTCCTGATCTCACGCCTGGTTCGACTTCATTGGGAGCCACGACACTTGGAAAAGGTCAAGACCGATTTCCGTCAGCGCTACCGCGAGCGGTTAGAAGATGCCATCGCGGAAGAAGTGTTAACATCTAGTGGGGGCAGTGAATGGGGAGAATTCTGCATCGAGCTCGCTCGCAGCTCTAAAACTCTCGTTGGCCGCGGTTGAGCATGCAACTTCCTGAACAAAAAGGGTTCTGCTTTGGTTTTTATGTTGGAAGGAGTAGCACACGTTCCTTAACTGCTTCTGATGCGTGACGCGTAACGACTGACGATGCTGATGATGCCGACGATACTAATAACGCTATCAATATCATTAATGTGACATGTTGAGAAGCGATCTGCCGTATGCGTTGATGAGTATCCGTAGTCCTACGCCGTAGCGCGATCAATCTGAGAACCTGGTTGCTGTGAGAACAAGGGGAAGCAGACGCTCCTGTTCTGGGGGTCTGCTTATCGATCTTAGTACTAGAGCTGATCCGGTTCTGACCGTACGGTGCCTCGACCTGGGCCGTGGTGGCTTTGCCAGTCCGGCGTGCATGAAGCATATTCTATCTTTCACAGTTGCCCCCATGGTTGAGGAGACTCATCTCCGCTGGATGTCCCAGATGGGCACTGACCTACGACGATCTTATCAAGATATCGCATGTCTGCATTGACCGGAGACTTAATGACGCGTATCCCTGCACTATTGTCGAAGGAATCATAAGTAGTACGGATTATGGTGGCATTGATCACCGGCCCTGTCTCAAGTATATCACACGACAAACCTGCCGCAGATATTAGGCTGAACGGAGTTCTTCCGAGGGGAGATGAAAGGTGAAGTATTGGCGGAAGAATCTGGGGGCGAGCAGGAAGTCTAATTTGCTGAAAGTTGAGTGTTGAATGTTTGGAGTGTTTAGTACGTAGTTTTGGTCGTCGGTCGTCCTCTGCCGCTACCCGATTTCCCATCCAAGTCATCTTCATCTTCCGCCTATCTCCGACCGACCATGCAGCCATCCTGCTGAGTTGACAAGGTCACACTGCATCATCCCCTGGATCACATCCAGCCTTTAGTGCAGCCTGCTCCCGGTTCCTGGATGCAGGGGAAATCCACTAAGAAGTTCAATGAGGGGAAACTCTCCCCGGACTATTCTACTTCCCTTTGCCTTCACATGATGGCATCACCACCGTCGGTCACACTGTCCACCAAACCTTTAGACTCTCAAATTGTCAGATGCGAACAACAGGAAAGTCAGTCTACCGTCAAAACGCCGGCCAAGTGCAATGCAATGCCATGGACAGATGGCTGTCACGGGCCAAGCCGGGTGGAAGCAATTCGCGCTTTCTTCGGAGGTAATCTCACCTGCAGAGAACCGGCTCCTTCAGATTGACTAAACTATTGAATGCTAGTCCTGTATGAACCATGTCACTTCCTGCCGTTTTGAGAGATTCGTTGAGAGTCGGTCTCCATCTATCTCCAATTATGCCCCTCCGACAGGCCACTCCACCGAACTGCATTTCGTTCATTTCTCCTCGATTCGGGCCCCCCCATCATCAAACCTTCTATCATCATGTGTCAACGCTTTAATTTATCTCCTATGGCTTGGTCGAACCTTTGAGATTGTCACTCGTTCATACTCGCTTTTGCGAAAAGGTAGTCACCTGCCTCGAGATCCTAATAATTGGGCTTCAAGCTGACTGTCTCCCAGCACCACTACACCCATTCGAGCCTCAGCTCGAGTCTCACATGGACCACAGTTCAAGCATTCCCACACACACAATCTGGGCTCTTCATGCGGGGGCGGTCGATTGGTTTCTGGCCTAAGGGGGTTCTGCAGCCTCAGCTCCGCACGAAAAAGAGCGGCCGAGACCAGATGCCTTAATTAAAGCTTGCATGGTAGGTTCAGATCACATTCAGTCATGGCTTCCATGCCAGCAAGCTTCTCCATTTCTGACACGGGGTAAAGCACTGCTCGGAGATTTGGATGTGCATGGGGGTGGCCCTTTCTCCCGGCGACTGTGAGGTCAGACGACGGCTGGAGACATTGCATCACGCATCTCCTGCTCTTTCGTTGAAACTTGCTAAATTCATTGAGATTGACGCAATATTCAGGCGTGTCCACTCTGAATCGCCCTTCAAATACCCCTTCTTTCTCCGCTGGTATGCTGGCTCGTGCCTGTGCTCAAACGTCCTTGACATTCCAGTCCAGCATTCCGGGCTCCACATTCGCCATCATCGCTGCATGATCTTAAAATTATTTTGTCATTCCTTTTCGTGAGAAGAGAAAACACAGACACTTTCATTGATAAAGACGGGCATGCGCCTTTTTTGAGTACCTGGTGGCTAAATCACAATGACTCGGTTTATCTTGGGGCTCCTGGTGACGGTGCTGGCCTCCTTCGTAGGGGCTACATCCGTGTTCTCTCCTGCTCGCCCCCCAGCATTACCCCTGGCGGTCAAATCACCGTATCTAAGCACTTGGCTTGCCGCAGGAAGTGATGGAGGTAATGGAGGCTATTTGGCTGGAGAATGGCCAACGTTTTGGGCGTGAGTTTTCTTCTAAGATGCACTTCCATGAATACACCTGCAGATTCCACCAGGTGAGCATCACTAAATGTATACTTTGAATCAGCGGACAAATCAATGGCTGGGCGGGCATGGTTCGTGTCGATGGCACCACTTATACTTGGATGGGTCTTCCGGGAACTACTACAGTCAACCAGACCTCTTATGTTTACACATCCACGAGAAGCATATTCACCATGACTGTGGACGACAAAGTGCAGATGAACATCACGTTCCTGTCACCCATCACGCCAAACGACCTGAAGAGACAATCACTCATTTTCTCTTACGTCGAGGTGGAGGTTGAATCGCTCGATGGCGAGGCCCATGACGTGCAAGTTTATTCCGATATTTCGGCCGGTAAGTGACCCCGGAATGGTCGACATTGACTGAGATCGGAGGTTTTGTATATGAGGTATCTAAACTACAGTAGAATGGACTTCCGGGGACCGCACAGCCACTGCAACATGGGACTACGGAACAACTAGCAACAATGTCGCGTACCATAAGGTCAGCCGTCAGACTGAGCTTGCTTTCTCAGAGACTAGCGATCAGGCGGATTGGGGAGAGTGGTACTGGGCGACCGACGAGAGCGACAGCATGACATATCAATCTGGTATTGATGTCGATGTGAGAGGAGCTTTTACAGCAAACGGGACGTTGGGAAACTCCCAGGATGCCGATTATCGCGCAATTTCAACAAATTGGCCGGTTTTTGCGTTTGCTCACGACTTGGGATCTGTTGACTCGTCCGTCGGAGTATTGTTCTCCATTGGACTGGTGCAGACCGATGCGATGCAGTACAACGGAACTGACAATGGTTACGCGCCTTTGCCATCGTTGTGGACAAGCTATTTTAGCGACGGCCCAGCAGCTGTGAGTCCTAACCAAACCATCGAGAGAATTCTTCCATACTAATCATTCATGATTGTAGTTGGACTTTTTCCATAATGACTACGAAACTTCTTCTGCTCTTTCCACTGAGCTGGATGACAAGATTGCAACTGACTCTATAACAGCAGCGGGCCAGGACTATCTAACCATCACTTCACTCACTGTTCGCCAGGCTTTTGGTGCCACACAGTTGTGCGGAACGACAGCAGATCCTTATTTGTTCATGAAAGAGATTTCGTCCGACGGAAACATCAACACAGTGGACGTCATATTCCCTGCCCATCCGATCTTCCTGTACACTAACCCAGAGCTTCTTGACTTGCTACTGAAACCACTCTATGAGTTTCAAGAATCTGGAAAGTACCCAAACTCCTATGCAATGCATGATATTGGGAGTAATTATCCCAATGCGACTGGTCATGCCGATGGTAATGATGAAGCGATGCCCTTGGAAGAGTGCGGAAACATGGTAATCATGTCTCTGGCATTCGCTCAAAGGGCAAGCAATACGTCATATCTTGCAGCACACTACGACATGCTAAATGTGTGGACGAGCTATCTGATTGAAGATGCACTTTATCCATCGAACCAGATTTCTACCGATGACTTTGCTGGAAGTCTAGCGTGCGTATTTACCCGCAACACTTGGTTGAGCAGATATTGACCCAGCCTATAGTAACCAGACAAATCTGGCTTTGAAGGGGATTATTGGCATTGAAGCGATGGCTACTATCAGCAAGGAAACAGCTCACTCCACCGATGCTTCAAACTATACAGCCATCTCTCATCGGTACATCCGGCAATGGGAGAAGATTGGAATTGCACACAATGCGAACCCTCCCCATACGACGTTATCATATGGCGCGAATAACTCCCATGGTGCGTGAAGTTAAAGATTGAGCATGGAGCGATTGCTGACTAAATCCGAAGGTCTCCTGTATAATCTTTACGCCGACCGCGAGTTGGGATTGAACTTGGTGCCACAATCAGTGTACGAGATGCAGAGTGCATTCTATCCTACGGTGCAAAACACCTATGGGGTACCGCTGGACACTCGCCACACATATACCAAGGGTAAGCCTAATCCGTATTCGCTGTCGGATCCTTCTAACGTATCGCGCAGGTGACTGGGAGCTATTTACTGCCGCTATCGCGTCAACGACCACGAGGGACATGTTCATCAGTCTTCTTGCCAACTGGATCAATGTCACCCCGACCAACCGAGCTCTTACAGATCTCTACGATACTACTACCGGGGAGTAAGTAAACGCAATATCAACTTCTGGAACCTTAGGCTAATGTCTGTAGCTATCCTTCAATTACCTTCATCGCCCGACCCGTTGTGGGTGGTGCTTTCGCCCTCTTACTTCTCAATCAGGGCGACTAAGTCTCTTGTCGTTATATATACCCATATATTCTTGAGCTGCGTTTTTGTCTTCTTTTGCCTGAGTCTTCTGCGGTTCTGTGGAGCGGATCGGCTTGATCTCTTCGCGCGTGCAGGCCACAAGCTGCGTATTATCCTTCGACTACTTTCATTCTTACCAGAACGTTGTTTGTGTGTATCTTTAGGCCATGTCCATGCTTCCGGATGTCGAGCCAAACACTGGTTGGGAAGCCATGGCGCGCAGGGTATATATTCTCTTGCCTGAGCTGTTGCAGGGCTGCAAATATAACTTGGCGGTTAGATGGTTTGGTTATTTGTGTAGTGCTTTGTGCAAAAGTGAGACAAGGGGTGGCCACAATAATAACCCGTACAATAGCTTTTTGCATCGACATCATAGAAGGAAGAAGGAAAGTTCATACTAAAGCGAAAAGAGTTAAAGAAAAGGGGGGGAAGGGTTAGCTTCCTTCCCCACACGCGATAGGGCAGGCATCTCTTTACACCTCGCTCCTTCCGACAACATCAATTGAGTACGGACATAGATCTCGGCTGGTGTATGTATGTAGCCTATCAAAATATAGAAAAGCGTACTTTTTCAAAAATGCATCCGAAGCGTTTATTTCTCTTCAGAGAAGGAAGAAGAGGAGAAGACAAACAAAAAAAGAAATCCTCCGATGCGGGGAATCGAACCCCGAGCTGCTGTGTGAGAGACAGCGATGTTAGCCATTACACCACATCGGACCTTGTTGTAATTTGGCCGCATTCTTGGCAATATAAATCAAGCCGCTCGATTGATCTAACAATGAGCAGCGACAGTTCGTCCGAGACACCCAAAAGTGGATTCAGATACATAATACGGGATCCTCCCCACAAATCGTGACTTAAGCATCACTCATCAGTAGGTGAGTTGCCAAATGGTCAGCTGGTAAATTGATCCAAATCTACTTAGCTCGCCTAGTATCTGGACTGAGCACACTACTAGTCTATTTAACATCTACGATGTATCAGGCGAGTCTTGAAGAATCGGAAACATTCGTAAAGAATCCCCACCATTAAACCAGACATCAACATGCCATGAAGGGAATAGTACAATACCGCCGAGTCCGCAATGAACAGCTTTTCCGCATAATATTATAAGCGAAAGAACACGATGAGATTGGGTGCATCCGAGCCGGTACACGCAGATCACTCCGGCCAGGTATACGTATCATACTGGTATCCTTATTTTCCTCCCACGGTACTCCTTCTCCCATCTCCAGGTCACAGTTCAAGCAAAACCTCGTCGTCCGTGGCGTCTGTGGTACCCTTCCAAGCATCGAAAGAGCGAATGAGATCTACAAGGGAAAGACAGCGACTGATTAGATTATGTTTCACACAACGCGCAAAGAGGTGCCAGAACAAAAACGCATTTCGTTTCAACATATGGAGGGAAAGCCGAAAGAAGTGAAAACAGGGCAGACATACCATAGTACAACATGATCGCCTCCAGGTGGGCGTCGATGCCCACGCGCTCATCGACGGTGTGGATGTTCACCGCGCGTCCAGCGCGGGACGGACTCCACCGGTAGATATTCCGTGTTAGGGGCCAGTAGAACCTGGTATCAGTGTTGCCGGTCATGATGTCGCCGCTGACGACGACGGTCTTGCCGTGAAGGGCGGGGACGGACTCGAAGACAGCGCGGGTGACGCCGGAGAAGCGGGCCCAGACGGAATCAGTGCGCAGGTCGGTCGGGCTGACGGGCGCCGGGTCGAGGGCGCCGCTGAGCGTCGTGAGGGTGAGGTGGTTGTTGAGGGAGGTGTCGACCTCATTGTCCGCTGGGAACGCGCTGACGCTCAGGTTGTATTTGTGGGCGATCGGGGTGATGATGTCGACGGCGCGGGCCTGAATTTCCTGCGGGGTCTGGTGCAGGGCAACCCGGTAGTTGATCAGGGCGGAAATCTTCTCTGGGAGGGCATTGGACTTTACGCCGCCTGCGACGAGGTCGGCAGCTTGAGAAGTCTGCAGGATGAAGCGGAACTTGTCGCCGCGGGACTGCGCCAGCTTCTCGGCCAGGGAGACGTGGTCCGAGGAGCGCAGGGCCGAGGCCAGCCATGGCTCGACCTGCGCAGGCGAGTGGCGCACCTGGCATTCAAGCTTCTGCCGCGACGGGTGCCGCTCGTCCAGCACGGGTATGAAAAGGTCCTGTCGCTCCAGCGAGTAGATGATCTCGGAGATGATCCCAATGCCTGTATGAGGGGGCGGGACGGAGCTGTGGCCGCCGGACACGGCGAGCGAGAGTATGATGTCAATGCTGCCCTTCTCGCCGACGCCGGGGAGCGCGTAGATGACTCCATCGTCATCGTAGGCACCTACGCCCTTGTCGTTCTCGTTATCGCTGAAGGTCTCCAAACCCATGCCACCTTCGTCGAGGATGAATTCGAAGCTGTCTGGGCCGTACTTCTTCTGCAGGAACTCTGAGATATTTCCGGCGCCGAGGAAGCCGTGGGATTCCTCGTCGAAGCCGAAGGCGAAGAGGACACTGCGTGTGGGTTTCCAATTCTGAGATAGCAGGTCCTCCACCGCTGAGAGAAGACCGATCAGGACGTTCTTGCAGTCGCTAGCGCCACGGCCCCAGAGCCATTCGCCGTCGAAGTGACCGGCAAATGGAGGATAGGTCCAATCAGCGGCGTCGTTGATTGGAACGACGTCTTGGTGAGCCAGGAACAGTATCGGCTTGAGGCTGTCGTCGGTGCCGTTGAGAGTGAAAACCAAGCCTAGACGGTTGACATGATCCACACGGGCACGAGCATGGCTAGGAGCACGTCGATATCAGGCAATGACCTAGTGATCTAGATGGAGTACTACTTACAGGAGCGGGAAGAGGGCCTGCAGAAGCTCGTGGAAATCTAGGAATGCAGCAAATTTCTCGTCATAAGGGTCTTTCATATAATCATCTATCGCTGTTGGGACTTGGACTGCTCGCGAGAGGCGGTCAACCTGTCGCAATTTCACAGCATCGTCCGTGACAAATTTGAGCGATGAGAAGAAACCATCGTCCGGAGCTTCAACTTTAGGAGCCACTGGACAAAGTTCGCTACTGGCTCCATGGGACCAGGAATTGAGGATCTGCTGCGCAGAAGGAATACTGAGAGACGCAACGGATGGGGCTAGCAGCCCTACGACGACTGGGAGTAGCTGATACATGGACGGTGGTACACTTGCTCATCCAAGCACTCGTGGAGGAAAAGCACAACTGCAATTGCGAAACTCTCGCATCCATTATAAATGAGGGGAAGTAGCTTGAGCCACCACGCACTGGATTGAGTTATCTTATCGACAGGTTGCGCAATCAATGCGTCGATTAGCACCCCCTCATTGTATCTCCCGAAGCGATAAAGCTAGGGCGGATTTGGCCGCGCTAGGATTGCCTGAGAGGGCAAGTCTTTCCAGAAAATGGTGCATACAGCGATAGCAGCCGAGACTTTGGTGGCATTTGATGGCCTATCATGAGTAGCGGTGAGGGGCATTGAGGGTCTTTCAGAGCCACTAAATCTGCGGGGTCGAATCTCGAAACCGGTGATAAGAGAGACCTGCGTTTTCATGGATCACGGAAGCCAATTGCCAGTCATTGTGCCTTGCCGGAATGCCAGCGTCGGCTACTTCCAGCACGGCTCGCAAAACTAGTGTCTGCTGCATCGTAAAGTGCATTGAGGCACCGGCTGCTGTTTCAGTCAAATCCATCTTATGAAGAAAAAAATTCAGCCTGCGGATGGTTCTAGTAGTCTGTTGGCTTCAGAGCAGGACCGATGAGTCTGTGGATTCTCTATCATGACGATGGAGGCTGAGGCTAAAATGTCAGTGCATCATTTGTGGCGCTGTCAAGCTTGTGACGATCGACGGTAAAGGTACATTTGCATGAGCGGAGTATGCAGAAGCACAAGCGTGTCGACGGACAATAATTGAGCTTTGGAGGAATGACCGAACTAAAGAGACGAAAGTGATAAAAAAAGTGATAACTAAGAGACAGGAGACAGCGAGCGGGCAAGGAGGGCGAGAGGGAGAGAATCAGATGGTGGTGGTGGTGGTGGTGGTGGTCTCGTGACTTGTGCGCCCCTCCTTTTCTTTTTTTATTGTCTGAGTTCGTCCTACAAGCAAGTATGCTGCTTACCTTTGAGGTTTTCTTTCCCCCGTCATCTGCTATCGTGCAGCATGCTTCATCCTCAGGTTCCATGGAACCAACTTTTCTTGTCGTGTCAATCATTGAGCGAAGAAACGGGATTCAGGAACATCCCAATTGGTGTCATTCTGGTCAGCTAATAGGAGACTAGGAATCCACTTCAGGATCCATCATGAGTTCGCCTCCCCACAAAAAGCAAGCAACTGACAATCGCTAGTCATCGCGTGGTGGTCTCAGAAACCAATAGCGCGCTGATCCCTACATCACTTGGGCAAACCCTTCTCGGAGAACAAGCAGAGAGCGACAGGCACAATGGTGAAACACCAGCCTTAGTCCCCTCGATACAGCAAGGGATCGTCCGAAACGCTGCCGGCGCGGAGTCGGCGATCGCCAACGAACGATTACTCCGTATGGAATTCGGGCAGAAGAGAGGCGTTCGTACGTGCGATCATCAGATCGGCATTTCTGCCGGGTTTCCACCGCTGAATTCTGCAGACTGCTCCAAGGGGTTCGGTCTTCATTGCAAAAGGCGCATCGCCTGGGTTGGTTGGCATATTAAGATGGATCATATTTAAGTTGACTCCGCCCATGAAAATTGGGACCTTTCCTGTCATTTAGCCATACTTATCATTCTTTTGCCGTCTGTTTTATCTCTCTCCTGCCAAATCCATATTCACTCTTTGATTCAGAGTTTTCTTTCACCCATCCCTCGTACACATTCGTTACTCACTTTGCTGTGCTTCCACTGCAACGCCGACAAGATGAATCGAGCCAGCATCCGGAATTTTGCGGTTTTGTCTCTGGCCTCCCTTTCGTCGGCGTATTCCTTTGTGGGCTGCTATAGTGAACCCGGCGAGCTGGTTCCCGCGGGGTCCTATCAGTTCCAGTCCCTCGGATATTGCCAACAAGCCTGCGACAAGCGGAATCAGACTGTATTCGCGCTGCACAACGGAGACGCATGCTACTGCGGTCTGAGTCTACCTTCCGCTGAGGCCCAAGTGCCAGCTGCGCAATGCAACACGCCATGCGCTGGCTTCCCTTCTGAGACTTGTATGTCCCCGACGACTTGCCCAGCTCTTGCACCGTCACTTACCAGGCGAATGCAGGTGGCGGCTCTGACACCTGGAGTGTCAATTCCGACTCCCTTAGCGTCAAACGCGACGATGCGGACTCGGTCATCGTGACTGCACCAGATACATCAGACCCGGTGGCAAACATCCAGGTCAACCCGACCCTGGTCGAAACCGTCATTGCACTTGCCAGTAGCGTCGTCAGCGATGCAGAAGGCAGCGTTCCCCAGACAGCCATCCCGAGCGTCATCCTGACCGCGCCAACTATGACTGCTGCCCAGCAGCAGCAGCAGCAGGTGGGATCTGCCACCGCCACGGCTGCGTCCCTCGTGATCGTTGCGTCGACTTCCCCGTCCTCGTCGCCCGCTGCGGCCTCGTCGAGCGCATCTGCCCGTCCCTCGGCCAGTGCGGGTGCTGCTGCTGGCTTGGACTGCGGCGCCGGACGCGGTTCGCTGTTCGGGGGTGTCTTGGTCTCGTTTCTCGCAACCTTGCTATATTAAGACATGTCAGCATGTCAGCATGTCAGCATGGTGATGGGCGATGACCACGGCAGACGCAGACGGCAATCAGACTTGTTTCCAGTGTACAGCTTTACTATACCCTCATTAGATTCAGAAAAGAGCCGCGGGCCGGTTCGCATGTACTTACTTGCAGACACGGGAGTGATAGCAGTAACCCTGCAGGCCCGATATAATCCAACCAAACATAACATGCGAAAAAAAAAAAAAAAAAAACTATACTTATATAAAAATAGGAAAAATATAGAAAAATCTGGTAGTATCGTATGCCAGGTGGACTGACCGAGAGAGATCGAATACAGGAAGTGGCTGAGTAGCGGCTGCTCCGATGCCCCGATGTCACCAACTAACTTTTGATTGAAACAAGCCTCAGCCGGCGCTAACTGAACGAGACAAGACGGCACAGTATAGTAATTATTCCATTGAATCAGACAACCTCATGCTGACTTCCGACGCCATGAATAAGCTTCTCCATGGCACGGTAGCAGTGGTTAGTCCGCTGGATGACCCTGAACGAGCCGTGGTAGTGTTCCCTGGCCCCCAATCCCTAAAACATGGCCAATGACGGAGGCTGACGGTACGAGAAAAACTGGGGTTTAGATTCAAAATGGGAGTTGTATTGCAACAAAGCCGAGAATAGATCATTCAGGCATCTGAATACGTAGGGAGCAGTCATCAGGGTCTTTCTCTTCCAGTTCCAACTTGTTAGTAAGTAAATAGTGTGATTGACTGCGGCTGATTTTCCTCGCATTGAGATGCTTCATTCGGATAACAACGAACTAGCAGTGGCGAAATCCGCCTCTAGTATAAAATAAGACTCACAACGATGGATGATCTCAATGCAGTGAAATAAGTAACAACAGAATCCATCCACCCTGCTCAAAACCAAATCACCAACCATCATACAGTACTAAAAAATTAGAGAACTGATTCTTCCACCTCCAACTTGCAACCACAATGTCGCTGTCAAGCTGCAACCTCCTCTCCAACCCTTCCTTCGAGACAGGCAGTCTGTCCCCATGGTTCACCACCGTCCCTAATGTGAATATCGCCACAGTCACCAATGCCACTACTGCCTACGATGGAAATTACTACTTGTACGAAAAAAACCCTTACCTAGTATCTTAATTCCTATCCCCCTGCCTACCTAGTACCTAACCCTCTTCACACTCCCACCCATACTAACAAGCAAAACTCAATAGAGACCTCAAAACCGACTACGGCAACCGTGGCCACTCCATCGCACAAGCCATCAGCGACCTACACCGGGGCGGAGTCTACACCTTCACCGCACAGATCCAGATCCCCGAGCCCTCCGGGGCGGAGTACTGTTTCGTGAACGCGTACGTCGGCCAGAATGCGACGACCGGGTTGATCGTCTCGCAGCTGCTGATGCCGACGGGCGAGTGGACGGCGGTCAGTGGGGAGTACACGCGCCAGGGGCTGCGCGCGGACGATGTGCTGACGGTGACGGGGTCGTGTACCTCGCCGGGGAGTTCGTATATCTTTGATGTGTTAGTGGATGAGGTGATTTTTGCTGAAGAGGGGTGTGTGGATGAGGAGGAGGAATAGGGCGATTACACTTTGTTGAGCTAATTGTTTTGCTTGCTCTTGCTCTTGTTTATACTACAAGTATTTATAGTTGGTAATCAAATATTGTATAAAACTATAAGAAGTTCCTCTGACGAAAGTCTAGCACATACGACCACAGGGTGTGGAAAATAGGGCTTCCCGTCCGCTCAGCCGTACTCAAGCCACACGCCGGGAGGTTAGTAGTTGGGTGGGTGACCACCAGCGAATCCCTTCTGTTGTATGTTTTCTTCCTACTCTTTTCTATTTTTTTTTGGGCCCACAGCAGACGTGACACTTACTTATTATATATACAGTCAGTGCAGTGCATACTAATTAAAGTTTAAGATGCTACAGCTGGACCTGCAAGCCACAACAACCAGTCGCACTATGAAAAGCCTAGCTAAGGGTATTCCAAACGGGACGAACCATCGCGAGTCGCTCAGCAACCAATTAGAATAACACACCGAAAGGGTATTATAAAAGATCAATATCATAAATCATAACCACGCAACAAACCAATCCTCAAGCGACAGTTGCAGAACTTGCCCGCTGACGTGGTTCTCTTTTCTTGTAATAGTTCGCGCTCATGGTGACGAATTCAAAGTTCTTGGGAAGTGGGAGGTTTCGACTGCCTCAATTAGTTCGTGAAACCGCAACAGGACAAAATCATCACATACTCTTCGTACCACTGCCGGATATTCCGGGCTTTGTCTTTGATATGGGTAGGGTCTCTGTTTTCAAATCGTTTCTCACCCGGTAGCACCGGCACGATCTCGTTCATCTTGTGAATATTTTTCCAATCACAGCTGTTGCCTTTTCTAAGATGTCCATACTCTTCGATCAATCGTATAACTCGCTGCTTTTCGGTGTCTTTCCAATATACCTTACTTTGCTTTCCGTTGTTTACCCTCTTTTTTCTCGCAGTAGAAGTGCCCTGAGCGGGATCCGATGGTGAGTCTAGAGGGTGCGCTGGGCTGAGTCGAGTCGACTGTTTGCTAGAGCTCCCCACCGCGTCTGTTGTCTGCGTCTCTAGTCGGGCACGCTTGCTGCGTGGCTGGATTGGCTTTCTGGCTCGTTGGCGCTCGATGGACACTTCGCGATCGTCGTGCTCGAATTCGGCATCGCTTTCCGGAACCTCATCAAGCTCTCGCCCACGCTTGCGAGAGACTTCGGCGCGTCGCCGCTCGACGCTTCGGGGATCCAGTCCTTGACTGATGGGGGATACGCGCTCGGCATTCGTTTGGCGGTCAATAAACAGAGCACGCGAGCTCTGGGGCGCAGCCTGAGCCTGCCGAGCCCCCGCATGGTACATTGCCAATGCCTCATTTAGATCATCGTCCGCATCCTGTGCATTCTCGCGGCTGGATTGTTGTGTTGCCCTCTCCCGAAGGGAGGGCGGACGAGAGTGGCGGACAAATGAGGGACTGTGTGATCGCTCTAGTTGCGACTCCCCGGGATCGATATCCAGTTGGCCATGGGTTACTTCGAATCCGACCTCATCCTGAACAAATGTAGAGGTCATATCAGGCGACGCCTGTACCTCGGAAGGATTCTCTTGAGCCGGTTCCGGGGTGTCTGCCCTCGGGGGTTCTGGCAGGCAAGTTTCAACAGTCTTTTCCGACCCGAACTGCTCTTTGTCGGAGCGTTGGGCTGGTTGGGCAGAATGTAGCTCAGGAGATTCTGGAGCTGTTTCCTCCGAGGTCGACTGAATCGCTGCGGAAGTATCTGCAACCTGGACAGGCTCCGACTGCTGGAGACTCTCGGGTTCCTTGGTCATAGCGTTGACTTGCTGTTGTCGTTGCCTTAGTCGATCGATGGACGTCAAGTTCAAAAAGGTCCTTCAGATGTTAGAGGAGACAACCCAAGTAGAAATGAGAAGACTCACGGTTTGAGTTTAGAGGGTTTTCGCCGTTCTTGGTCGACGAGAGGAGGCTTTCTGAGAGTACTGCGCTGAACGTCGGCGCTAGCCTGGATAGCTTCAACAGGATTTCCAGCATTTGTCTTCAGTCCATTAGCGTCAGATACTGGTCGTGCATGCATGGGAGACGTAGCAGGTTCAACAGATTCCAAGGGAGCACTCTGCTGTTCCTCGGTTTGCTCTTCGACGTGCAGCGTAGTAGAGCCGTCCCTGTTTCCAGCCTGATGAACACTTTTGGGTGATTGAGTCGAAAATTCTGGCTGAGCTTGACCTTGAACTTCTGGGCTAGGAAGATCCTGCTCTCGCTCGGCTGAGGGTTGAATGACATTCTGCGAAGGCCTTGCAGACGACCTCAGAGGAGATTCGGACTGCATTAATCTCCGGGTTTCGGGGCTTGTAGAACCCCAATTCGGGTTTCCCTCTACCTGCTGAGTTTCGGGTACGGCATAAGACGCATTCCGCAAGCTCGAAGGAGTCGCAGTATTTCGCGCATTTCGCTCCGAAACCAGGCTGCCGCGGCCAGTTCGCAAGCCATTTCGGGCAAGCGAAGGCGTAAAGGCAGCATAACGCGAAGCTTCTCTCGTAGTGGCAGTCCCGTGAGTCGACTGCGTCAGCCGTCGAGCAGTCGAGGGTGTTGCTGAGTTCCTCGTCCTAGGCGTCGATGCCAACGTGCTTCCAAGACTATGACGTGTCTTCGGTGTCGCAAAGTATGCATCCTTGATCTTCCTACTACTTGGCAAACTCAGTCCCTCTAGAACGGCTTCGATCTCATCGCTCCGTTTGCAAACCCAATCAGCAGCCCGCGCAACAAACTTTCGCCATCCGTACTCTCGTTTGAGTTCCTCAATGTCAAACACGTTGTCTTCTGGCTGGAGCCAAACCTGCATTTCTCTGTACCGATACTCCACTTGACTTGCAAGCTTTGGAGGAATCTCTCCATTTGGACCCGCCAGAGCCTCCGTTCCGAAACCTCGGAAAGCCCATTGGACAGGGTTGGACGAATCCCCATCATTCTCCAGCTCAACATAGAAACCATCATCCAGCACCATGAAAGGATCGGAGTCAGGATCATGCTGACGCTCCTCCAACTGCATGATGACATGCTGAGTACGAATTTCCAAGGCAAGGTCGAATGTTTCCCTTTCCAAGGCGCTATCCCCCGGAAGTAGGGTCTGGTCCGCCGATACTAGCCTGTCCATGAAAGGCGATGGAAAAACCTCATCAAGAACGCTGATTGCCTCATTAGGGGACGGGCTCGAACCGGGTCTGGCCAGGAGAACCTCAAGCGCAAATCTTGCGCAGTTGGCCTTCTGCAGAAATGGGGCTAGACTGCAGTCCATCCCATACAGCTTCTCAGCCACCTTGTCTGATGATGCGAAGAGATCGTTGACCATCCGGACATCGATGTATATCTGTTGGCCAAAGTGCTGTTCCTCTTCTTCGAGGTTCCTTCTATGGCGTTTGAATCGCATGCTATCGGTGTTGAAGGGATCACTCAAAGACTTGGCCAACCGGACAATCCTCGACAATTCCGCAGAGTTGGGCACTAGAAATTTCAACATGTTCTCGGCGGTACGTTCCAAGTCCGGGAGAGCTTCGATCATCACCTCCAGCTTGGAGTCGCTGTCGGGCTCTGACGGTAAGATAGTGGTCCCGGAGAACGACTCTTCCGGTGTCGCGGGAATGAGTTGATTTTCAGGCCGCGAACCCATTAGCTTCAGAGGCGATGATTTGTGAGGTGATTCCTCGACGACAACCCCAAGGGCTAACAACACGAATCAATAGTGAACTCGAAGGGTGAGCTGAACAACAAGAGGATCTTGATACTGAAACAAAGAACGCCAGGCAAAGAGACCCAACCACCACAGCAACAGCGATAACAACAACACCAACCCTAAAGACTGATATACTCCGTCCCCAAAAGAAAGCTTGGGGGGAAAAGTGGACCAGAATGTTTCACTCACCAGTCACATCTCCATTCTTGCCTGAGGCTTGCAAGTGATTCCCATTTCCATTGTTGGGGGAATGACCAGCGTCATCAACATCCACCAGTGGTCGACGACGATGCCCCAACTCCCGACTTTGGCTCCTGGTTACCCGCCTTCGCACGGGACTGACAGTTTTGATGGGGCTACTACCCAGGCCACCAGAGTTCGAAGCAGGACCATCCCACCCTCCCTTGGTCAGCGGCTGAGAGGCAGAGAAAAGGAAAGGGGTTGCTGGTGGTGGTTGATCTTCCACCTGGCGCGACCGCGACCGCGCCATGAATCCGACCGACCAAAACAATGACCACAACAATACACCACCACTACACCAATAAATAGAGCGCTTTCGCTTTCGGAAAGCAGAAAAAAGGCGGTCAAGCGGAGGCGGAAAGAGGTTTGGTGGTTTACCTCCACCAAGTCACCCTTGCAGCTATGAGGAGTAGAGGACAGAAAATGGGTTTAGAAAAGCTCCGCGCAATCCGGGATGGTTGAGGTTGATGGAAAGAAGATGAGGTGGATTGATGGCTGGGAGGAGGGGCCGCCCGGAGAACTCCAGGCTGGCAAGACTTGTTTCTGCAACCGCAGATGGCCGGAGATTCACTTGGGGTAAGTGGTTGCACTCAATAGGGTATGTGCCCACGTAATCCGCTAATATTAGAGGCTATCAGCATACTGGGGTTTCCCGGTTATGGGGCCTTTCCCAGTTCCGAAAAAGGTATAGGGTGTCTGAAATAAGAAGGCGGTCGACTTGAAGCTGGGAAGCCCAGTTCTGTATACAGTTAGTATACCTCACTTTAATAATTTTGATTGGTTCAAGATAGATTGGGCTTTATTTAGGAGTATGCTGACAACCTCTAATGTCAGCGGCAGAATGGGGCGGTGAGAGAACCCTAATGTAAACCCTATTGTTGATTTTGGGGTTCTCGGGTTTTTGGGGGACTGAGATGATGAATGTTAACCTCATTCTCAGGCATCAAGAGGGGATGAGAAGTCATCGTAGGCTACTAGACTAGTACTAATACAGGCCAGTATATTGGTAGGTCACTGTCATTGGCTTCTCTGGCTTGAGTGGTGAGATTACCCCAAAAAGGGTTGATTATGAATCAGGGGCAAAGGGATCACAAGCACGCTTGGACAGCCTTTACTCGGTTCCGTGGATTTTATAGGCCACCAAAGTGATTCGGTTTCAAAGATCATACATCTGTCGGCAGCTAAGCTGTATTGCACTCAAAGCCGCCAGTGGCCATGGCCTACGGAACTCAAATAAGCAAAGGGACATCCGCAGATGAAGCTGAATGAGATTGAAAAGCTACTCATGCTAAACTCGGCTGTATTCAGTATCAATCGTCATAACTCAACGCCGTAAATGCGATCAGGCAGCGTCTGACCCACACCATCTTTTATTAAAACAAAGCCAGTCAGGCCGAGGAGAATACATGCATGCATTACCAAGTATATGTGTATGAGATGGCCCAGCATATCATAAGCAGCAAGGCTAAAGGAGAAGAAAAAAAGAGAAATCTCTAGTAGAGCGCCTCGAGGAGATAGATGACGCCGAACACCAAGAACGCAGTGGCACCTCCAAGGGTGACTGATAGCACGTTAGCATCCCATCAAACAGCCAAACCACAAGAAGGAAACTTACCAACACGCATGCTGACTTTACCGGCAATGGCACTTCCTCCAATCACTGCCGCAGCAGTGCAGAGGCCGTGGCCAGTGATGGCGCCGATGGTCACCCACCAATAATCCTGACCCGCAGCCATTGCGATCGTGGCAATCTGACTACGGTCACCCCATTCACCCAGGAAGGTCATCACAAAGGTTTGCACCCAAGCAGGACTGAGAAGGAGCGAGAAGAGGTTGTTCATCCCGACAAGGATATCGCCCCAGCGGTTGGGGGAAGGCGATGAGCTACGCGAAGAAGAAGACGAGACGCTCTCGGGAGGCGAAGGGAGACGATTGCCAGACGACCGCGACTTGCGCCGACCGATGCGACCGGCCTCCAGCGCGTGAGGAGTCACAGAAGAGCGACGACGGTTCATACGCATCTGCTGCTGTTCCTTCTCTTCCAGTTCCATCTCAACTTCCTTCATTTCCTCTCCGACACCCTCATCGGGGGACATCTCGCGGCCTTCCTTCAGCATCTTGAGCCCGAACACGAAGAACAATACTGCCGCCAGAAGCTTAGTAAGAGATTTGGGAATCAGTGAGGGAACAGCATGACCCAAGATAGCCGAAAGCACAGTCATGATCATCAGCGCGCCGAACGCGGCGGAGAAAACGAGCAGACGAGGGTGACGCATCGCCATGAGGGCGGCCACCAAGAAGGTCTTATCCCCGATCTCCGAAACCACAATCATGGTGAACGAGAATAGCAGCGAATGAAACGCAGTTTCCTCCTGAATATCCCCGGATTCTGCTTGAAGGTGGCCGTCTTTGTCCAGGCCGAGGGGACTCTCTTTCACTGTTGCGGGAGACTTGGGAGGTGGGATGTCATGAGGCTTCTCAGGCAGATCGGCAGGTTTCTGGAAAGCCATTGTCAGCGAACATGCTCCGTTCAGGTAGTGGAGAATAAATCAAAACGTGTGGGCGCTTACCTCAAGTCGACCGAGACTCGAATCGGCAGTGAAGCTCTTCGGATCCTTGACCTCGGCGGCCTCATTCTGCGCCGGAAGCTTCTGCTGCTCGCTGTGCGGCAAAGGTGGAGCCTCCCTGGGACTATCCGGCGTCTTCTCGCTGGGAAAAGGATTCTCTCTCATTTTCTCCGTTACACCACCCTCAGTTCCTCGAGTTCCTTCCTTCGGGCCCGTCCGGTGCGGGTCATCCATCACTCCATCATTCGAGTATGGGATCGGCTTGCCGTCAGGCCCAAGTTGCTCCGTCGCTTTGTAATCGGCAACAGTCACTTCGTCTACAGAAGCACTCGACCCTGACTTTTTGCGATCCCGCTCGGCGCTTGTTTCCACCCATGGACCGGCGTGAGGCCGACCATCTTTGCCGTCAACGGGGGCGTCCAGCGTCCCTTTAGGAGCAGCTTTTGGAGCAATTAGGGCATCTAAGTCGACGGTGCTGAGGGTGGATGCATCCTTCAAACCCTCACTGGCTGATGTCGAATCTGCGACGGCGGCCGAGAGTGCGGGGAGGAGGAGGAGAAGCGAAGATAGATGGTGAACCTTCATGGTGCAAAGCTTCTTTCGCGAACGAGATGGCGATTGAAGAGACAGACGAAAGCGTTTATGAGAAAAGGACAGCTAGGCGGGAGCACGCATCAAATGGTCCGGTCGTAGATGTAGATTCAATTCTAGAGATAAGAATTGTTGTTCAAGCCACGAGAGCACCTCGGACGCGGGAGGGAGTGAAAACGCGAAGGAGGCGATTGACTATACTCAAGCCAAATGGCAAATTCCGGGGAGAGTTCCTTAACTTGACAATCAGGAAGACAGTACTGGAGAGACCAAGAAAAAGATAAAGATAAAAATAAAGCAGAAAGAAGGAAAAGACCGATGGGGCGGGATGCAGGAGAACCAAAAGAGAGGAGCGAGCGAAAGACGGACTTGTTTCTACACCGGCCGCAAAGGGGCAACGCCGCCTCCACATCACGTGGCGGGCCGCTTGCGGGCGGGCGGCGGAGTTGCCTGCCTCAGGAACGGTAATTTCTGACAATCCGCCCAGCCATGATAGGACTAGAACAGTCAGGGGAGATTAATCCACTCGAGTCTCATACAGTACGCACAAATACCCCAAAAAGAGTCCTCATCAAGCAATTGGTGATCAATCTCTTCCAACATTCATCCGCCTTGTCTATTGATTTGTGATCCCAATGTAACCCAGTAAATCAGTACACATAATAAGACCTGCCCTAATATCCAAACAATCCATTTTTATAGCCCGATTGCATAATTGTTGATGCAATCAAGTAAAAACCATGAACTCCAACCATAAAAAAGAACTCCAGAGTCTTGAGAAGGGTATCACTCATGCCTCATATCCGTGTATGGTGTAAGCCCAACACAGAATGATCCAAATAAGAAAACCATAAAAATGAAAAATCCAAGAGACAGGATCCATGCAGGTCGTTATAAAAGGTGGAATTGCTTCATTCGGATCCAGACCCAGATCCTGACATACGCCGTTCCAGCGAGTCTTTCTCCTCCCAATCCGTCAACAGCCTCGAAACCTCTTTGAAGGAGACCGGTTTCGTGAGGAACAAATTGACACCTGAAGTGAGCGCCTCAGATTCATCACGTGAGCTACTGAGGCCTGTTAGAGCAATGATCACAGCAGGGGCGCAGCCCTCGCCGCGCTCTTTCTCAATGGCTCGAATGGCACGTGTTGCCTCAAAGCCGTTCATAACTGGCATGGACATGTCTATAAAAGTTGTGTTAGTTATAGACTATACCATGATGCGGTAGAATGCTACCTACCCATGAAGATGATATCATAACCTTCAGGCAGTTTTTCAACTGCGTCAACGGCTAATTTGCCGTTCTCAGCTGAGTCCAGTGTCTGAAGTTCTCGCTTCTTCATGAAGGTGAGCATGAGCTTGAGATTTATCGAATTGTCATCGACAACCAAGATGCGGGCGCGACGAGTTGGTGTTAAGAACTCTGATTGCTGATCTGGCGACTGGGGTTGCACGGATGATGACGGGGACTCAGTTGCATATAAGGACTCAAATGCGTCAGATGACTGGGAGCGTACATAATCATAGGAAGACGAGGAGTCAGAGCTGGGGGGAGCATCTGGCGGGACCTCAGGAGTATCAGTGGGGATTTCGAACATGTTTTCTCCGGGGGAAATATCACTGGACGACAGGGTGACGGGATAAGGACGTTCAGGGAGTTGGATTGTCCTTGCCGACGGAGCCCCGGATTGAACATCCAGACATTTGCGAATGCTGCGTGCGAGTTTGTGTGGGCCACATGGACGTCGAATGATGTTCACGACATTAGCCATGGACAGCCACCGCGATCGACTCGTGCTATAATCGACAGACTTGTCACAAATGACAAGGAGGCATGGGAGCGTCGTGTTGGATTCAGCTTGTGCGGCCACAACCAGAGCTTGCTCTTCCGCCAGCGTTATGTCCGCGGGTGTCTCATCGTGAGAGGACACTATATCGAGGCCATACCAATCGGTTAGATAGCGCAAGTAAACCGACCAGAAGGAATGTGTCGCTGCTTCCGCGGGTTCTACCCCGAAAATGGCGACACGACGACCAGCATGAGCTTCGCGCAGCATGCGACACTCTGTCAGTGCGTCCTTTTCCTTGGCCGACGGCGAGCGTGGGCCTACTGTTTCCTCCAGATCCACCTCAGGCCCCGGTCGAATCAACGGAAGGGACACCTTCACAATGGTCCCTTCACCGGGACGGCTGTGAATGTTGATACTGCCCTTCAGAGCCTTGACAAGACTTCGCACAATAGAGAGACCAAGACCAGTCCCAACTGCGAGAGTGTCTTCCTGAGCGAACGGTGTGTATAATCGACCGCGCAAAAACTCCTCGGATATGCCCTTGCCAGTGTCGGATACAGTCAATGTGACCAATTCCTCGACACCATGACGACGAGAACGACCTTCTGATGCCTCTGTGACCTCCAGATGCAAAGATACACGGCCACTGTGCGTGTACTTCATTGCGTTTCCGAAAATATTCATGATGATACGTCGCAAGGCCCCAGGTTGTGAAAGGTAAGTCCAATCGTTGTGCGCAATGTCCAGTATGACTTCCACGTCAGATCGAGATGCCGTCTCTGCTTCAAGCTCGGACGCGGGTTTCCTGGACTGCTTAAAAGGCACTACCATGGGTTGATCGTAAGGAGCAGAGGACTTTTGACCATAAGCATGACCTAGGCATACGCCCTCCACAACTTCTTCAGCCAACAAGGCCAGGTCCGTGGCTACATAAGTGTCCAAATGCGTGGAAAACCGATCGAGGCCCTTCAACTCAGTAGGCGGCGTCCGGCCTCGCTTCATATTCCGGTATGTCCGTTCCAGCGAGACGATCTTGCTGAAGTCCAGAACTTGGTTCATTGTGTCCAACAAAGTCCGCCCACAGGCGTTGATGGTCTCCAAGAGCGAGGATTGAAATTCATCAAGCTGCGTACCAGCCAGGAACTCTGCGGCCGCCAGGATGCCATGAAGAGGGCTCCGAAGCTCATGACTGCCGGCATATTAACAAATTGCTGCGAATGATACGAATTTGAAAACACTTACGATATGCTGCCGATAAAGTCACCCTTTTGCCGATCTGAGATGAGTGATTCCACCCGGTTGCATTCTGCCATTACGGAAGATCCAAAGCCGAGAATGGAACTCAGCTCGACTGATGAGGTAAATACTTGCGTCTCCACAGTGTTCCAACAAAAACAGCCGGCAAACCATTGCGAGTTCGCAGAATTCCAAAGTGGTACGAAAAGAACCTGAGTAGCATTCGGGAAATACTGATTTAGCAACGAGTTCTCCGTAGCCCTCCATCTCTTGGATCCCGTCTTGCCAGCATCGGGGGATTTGGCGGCACGAGAACGACTTCTGCGTGGTGTCTCATCATCGGAACTCGATATTACGCCGTCGCGATGGAATGACCAGAGCTTGCCTCTGCTATACCGCCGCAGTAGTTGGTGAAGGAAGGCAGTGTCGAGGGAGGCTGCGGGGTAGCGAACTTTCGAGCCCGGACCGGGGGCAAACGGTTCGTCATGAGTCGAGATAGCCAGCACTGGAGCTGGATTATTGCCTTCTATCGAGCAATCGCTCCCTGTATCGACGTCGATCATCGGACTATTGTTCGCTTCCACGAAAACGACTCCGCCATCCACACCGAGTTCAAGGCTCTCTCGTATCAGATTAGCTGCGCGGCGGAACGCCCAGGCATGTCCATGAGAGTCATCGGAGCCCTTCAATTCCTTCTGCCGACTGCCGGCCCACCAATCTGGAAAGGAGTTATCTGGTCCGGAGGATTGAGCTTGGTCGAGCTTAGATTCAGATGCTGAGCTGAACGAACGAGTATCACTGCTCTGAGACCGTCTGGATGGGGCGTCGAAACTATTGAGCGATCCGAGGGATAGGTGATTGGCTCTCTGACTCGATGAAGGGGGTGTACTGGGTGCTGCCGCAGAACTGACAGAAGAAGAGGGATGGCTCCCCTCGACAAAACTGGAGCTCCCCTCGACGAAACAGCTAAGACCGCGAGACAGGCGGGCTGCACGGCGACCTTCAGACGCCTGGCGGCTGACCTTCAAATAGTCCATGATCAACCCAGCCAACGTCCCCATGGTGCCCTTCTCCGCAGCGCTCAAGCCATCGTGCGGTTTAGTATCGAGAACAAAGAGACAGCCGATGTTGATATTGGTGTCCGTCGTCAAGGGTGTACCGGCATAGAACCGAAATTGAGGCTCGCCTATTACAAACGGAAGGCGTTTATATCGGTCATCTTGGCTTAGGTCGTTCAAGACTAGGAATTGGCGCTGTCCTTGTTCACGGGAGGGCGGAAGAGCAACAGTGGCCTGCACGGAATGCGAATCGTCTCAGTAATCAGTATTGACGAACATGTTCCGAGAAGTCGATGCCTACCTTACACATGCTCCAAGCGCTAGATGATAATGTTGAGCAACCATCCCATACGCCATCATTGGATGATTGATAATCGCTAATGCCCCCATTCTGGGTACTCTGCGCCAGGATAAATTGAGACTGACGGTCCGAAACACTATCGGGGAGGTCGGACGAGTCAGACATCCGCCACAGAAAGGCAGACAGGGATTACCCCATGAAATTTAGGTTTGATTTACGACGTACCTAATTAGAACACGCTCAATATTGAGTCGCAAAGCTGCGAGCTGCGCGAACGAGGTCAATGTCGCATTAGGATCACCGAGTATCAAAGCTTCGGGCACTAGCCCCGCAGGAACGGCATCGATGGGCGGGCTCGAAGGACATTGGGAAGATAACGAGGGCGACGAAGGAATGTGGCCAAAGGGATCCAGGCTCGCAGAGGGAAACGCATCATCACTCGCAGAGCTGAAACTGCGATCTCGAGGGATGCCGGTGCGTTGGGGGTGAAAATACCGGTACAATTCCCGGGCTCGGCGACCCGCGTTATGGTCATCACCCCTTTGTGGCGGGGGAGATTGTTCCATGGCAGGGAAAAAAAAAAGAAGAGAGAGAGAGAGAGGAGGGAAAAAGAAAAGAAAAGAAAAGAGAAGTATTAGAAGAGGAGAGGAAGAATAATGAGGTCGAGGAGGTTGATAATAATAATAGCGAGAACTATAATTATTTTTAAGTGGACCTAACTCCCAAGAAATTTGATGTGACGGGGGGGGAGGGAGTTGGCGCTCAAACGGGCTTATGCAGCCATCCTGGTGGGGGGTGGAAATGGGGGCGCTGGCTTGATCGGATTAAAGTGTGGCGAAGAATTTTAGTGAGAAAAGCACAAAGGAGGTGACGTCGCAGGGAGGAGATATCGGAAAGAGGCTAGATAGGAGGAGAGAAATGAGGCAGAATGATACGGAGCAGACGTAGTAGCAGGATAGTAAGAAAGAAGGAAGGAGAGGAAGAAGGAAGAAGAAGAGGATTGGGGAGAAAGAGCTGCTGGAAAGCCAGCTGGAGTCGAGCGGATTTAATATCAACTCAATCAAGGATTGCTTGCAGGGCACCTGAAGGAGGAGAGAGTTGGAGGAGGAGCAGAAGAGTGGGCAAGACGAAACAAGACCCGACAGGATAAGAGAAGGAAAGTAAGGCAATAGACGAGGGCATCGGTGTAGTTACTTGGTCTTGGTAACTAGTTAGCCATCAGGTCAATGGTTTAGTCAGTCCATCAGTCAGTCGGCAAATGTTGGTACAAAAAATGACTTAAGTTGTTTGTAGCAGTGACAGTGGAGTTGTTTTAATCTTTCATTGGACCCATACAGTAGTTACAAATTGTACAATAACTAATACTGCTGGCTGCACAGTGCAGAATTGAGATGGAAGAAGAAGGTGCTTAGTCACAGCCCCAACGGACACATGAATCAGGCAAATCCGGATGGCGACTCTTACGTGGAATGTCGGCAACACATCACAATCACATATCCAGAAGAAGAGTGCGTGTAGCCGGTGACCCATGGAGACTGTCAATCACCTCATCAGCAGCTGTCAGTCCACACCACACCACTGTGCCTTACGGAGTATTCCGGGGTAGCCAAATGTGGCGATATAAGAAAAGGCCCTAGACTCAAGAGTACTCAAAACGGAGTACGGAGGAACTGACACAGTAGTAGATCTGAGGATCTGAGAATCCGTTCAAAACTTCAAAGGGGGATTGATCCGACAAATGAGATTTATGGAGTTAGTCCTCTTCTTTATCCGCCTGCAACTCCCGAGCTCCACTTAGTGTACTCCGTTGTTGCGACGGCTCAGGAATATGTGCACTGATTTAATCTTCCTAGGCATACATTTTTCTCCATTTCTCTTCGTCCATTCCATTTTTCCCAACTGGTAAAGGTACTATACTGTGTGTAGACTACATACCATGTTCATCATCATCACTTCACAAAAGACTGACGCACCCTTCCCGAACCCTGCATCCAATCCCAACATGTCAGTTGTTCGCCTTCGACGATGACTTGAACCCCACCCTTCAGCGATTTCATCCTTCGACTTGTCGGAAAATCCCAGTTGGAGAGAGTGATTGGACAGCCACCCGCATTGATGGCTCCGCCTATTCCGCTTTCCGGGACGGCAGCCCTTGGAGCCCGGGGCCTGGGAGTCTGGCTTCGAACCTGGTTTCACTCAACGCTAGTCTTCTTGGGGCTGTGATCATTCTTGTGGTGGATCGAGAAGCGGGCTGTGAACCCACCAGTGAGAATGGGTCTTTTCATGGAGAGTCCTCCGCTTTCAGGGTTTTACAGAGTACTAGGTAGGTACTAGGTAAGGTACACAGCATCCTGCCTGAGGCTGTGAAAGTGTGGCTGTGGGTAAAGTCGTTCAGCAACCACCAATTTCCCACTTGCAATATTGCAAGCGGTGGAGGGAGCAATCCAAGCAGGCTAGGCTAGACAAGGGCGCGCGCACATGGAATTGTCTTTCCCTGTGCGTATGCTTTCCGAAACATGTTTAGAGATCAGGTTTTCCCTTCACCGCTGACGTCGAATCCCGTGTCATGATCGACAAATTGGTTGCTGCACCTGCAGCTGCAGTAGCCTTGGGCCGACTGGGTTTTGACTTTGGAATCTGCCTGCAGACCGGTCGCTGAGTGTCCAGAAGATGTGGCCGGCAGATTGAAGTGACTAAGCAATCTAAAAGCTGAATTGATCACATGATCACTTAGTAAGTTCCAGCTGTGATTTGTTTATGCCAATCATTGTGCAGCTATGGAGGCTGTGGGCTTATCGTGCCCCATTTGGCATCAAAAGTAACCTGGAAGTTATTGTGTGAGGTATCAGATGATCATACCCAAGCACCCCATCATTCCATCCAGTAGGACAGCTTCCGTCCCGCTGTAAATGGATCGTGGCCCGTCAGCTACAGCACTCTGCCAACTTAAGCGATGTCATAGCTTGATGCATGTCTACCACAGCATCATGTTTAAGAAAACAAAATAATATGGCGGTGTTCTAATATATGTACAGATGTCGATCGCCAAGCGGCCAAGACGAGATATGCCCCCATCCCGCTGACCAATGGGCACCTCTCCGGCAGGTGAGATGGAAGGGGAATGGGGTCAGAAACCAGACGCCCACGTTGTATCCTTCTAAAATTTTTCCATGAGCTGTTTCCTCACGGTCCACATGCGAAGTCGTTTCCCATAGATATACATGGGGATTGTGGTCGCTAAACAACCCATCTGAATCACACCCAGCGCGATAAATACCAGCCGGGATCCTTCCGCGTCCAACCAGTCCACAATGAAAAGTGAGAATATCAGCCCATGGAACACGTCTGCCGATACAATGGTCAGTGAGGGGTGATACGTCGAAGTCAAAACATTAGCTGAAAAGAAGGGCAATACGAACTTTTGCTCCAATTGAGCGTCACTAGAGCTTCACCAGCATACTGCCGGTAGCTGTCGACGCAGAATGTGATGGACGTCGTACTCCCAAGGCAGCATCCAAAAGAGACTATACCGAAGAAGATGGTCGGTACAATCCACACATCGCGCTCTTGGGAGCTCCATCCGAACCCCATGAGACCGATGGTTGTGGCGATAGCAATTGGAATTGCCATCACCAGACGGAACTCAGGTTCGTAAATACCTCCATTGCGTCGGGTCATATACTTGACAATGATATCGGAGACTTTGCCTGCTACTGCTGTTCCCAGGAGACCACCCACGAACGGCGAGATGTACACTAAGCCAACCTGCAAGGACGTGAAGTTATATGAATCCCGCTTTTCGTAGATGGAGCTGACGGATTCGGAGATCACAATGAGCCATCCCACAGAGAGTGCGTATACAGTGGCCGACCATAGCACTGCAGGGTATGCGAATAGGATGAAAGGTCGCAGTGCAACACGGAACCAGTTGTTGTGAGCAATGCGCCCATTCCAAGGCCGGAGATAGTACGCGAAGGAGATCCTAGGCTGCTCACGGAGGCGGTTGGTGTATTGCGCTGCTGGAGTGGCTGGCGGGACAGCCACACTGGCCTCACTACGAGTTGGAGATAGTTCAAACGGCCGACCCGTCTCGAGCTCCGAAGGAGATAAGGTCCCTTGGCGAGGCTGGTGTGCAGGAGCTATCTGGTTTTCCTGCTCCTCGTTGTGCACCTTCTCCAAATCATGAGTATCATCTTCGCGTGCCCCGTCGACAAACCCAACATGCCCTTTCCTGGTCTTGTTTGACTGAACAGCAGCCGCATCCTCGTCTGAGGGCGGATCCTCCAGACGATGAGCATGTGGGTGACGACCTCTGAATCCATGGGTCATGATATTTGATACACCGCGATAGATGTTAGGGCCTTTGCGGGGTTGATGAGGTCGAGGTGTTCGATCCCAGAATGTCTCAGGCACAAAAAAGAAGAGCAGCGCGAGACAGCCGCCAACAACAATGGCAACAACCCAAAAGACCCAACGCCATCCCTTGGCACTGATGATTGCTGCACTAACCAATGGAATGAGGTTTTTGCCACCGAGCAGAAGAAGCGTATAGATTCCAACGCGGTATGCCCGTTCATGAAGGAAAAATATCTCCGCAATCGTTGCTGAAGGCAAGCACTCGACCGGACTGACCGCAATGCCCATGAATACACGAGCGACGACCAGACTGGGATAATTGGGAGACAGCGCACACCAGACGGCAGAAAGAATGAAGAGCGTTGCACCCAGGAGATACACTGGTCGTTTGCCGAACAGAATAGCTGTCGGCGACATGATCACTGAACCGACTCCGAGCCCAAGCATGTATAAACCCGTGGTATAAGCCACCTTTTGCGTTGACACACCATAATCTGAGGCGACCTGGGAAAAGCCGGCAGCCAGGACTGGAGTCATACCCCCGCCCATGAGGCAGTAAAAGCCCAAGGACACCAAAGCAGCATCTCGGCGCCATACAGGCCAGTTTAAGGGATCATTTGCTGAATCATCGGGCTGCGGATTCAGGATTATTTGACCGTTGGCCGTCTTCTTCTGGGGCGGAACAGAGCGGGAAGAAGTGCGCGATGGTGAATATGGTGATGGCAAGGACGACACGGACCCACGGCGTGGTTGATGCCTCAAGCCTAACGGCTCGTTGCGATTGGAAGAGAGCAATAGAACCGTTCCTATTATTTGGAGTATGAGCTATAGCATTCCCAGCCACTGCTAATTGAATTCCCCTACGCGCTCCGACCACTCACCAGGTACCTCGTCGGTCTCTTTGTCACTCAGAATACCAAGAGTAGATTTAGGACGATAGGAACTGTTCTCTGCATCCGTCGCGGATGTCCCAGACGACTTTTTCCCAAACCAGCTGCTTAGCCGGCTCCTTTTCGGGAGCGGCTTCTCCGACGTTGGAGCCACAGATGATCCTTCAGAAGCCATGGTGAGCAAGCCGCCGGGCGGAGTGAAAACGTCGAGGTGTCTCTATGTGAGGGGCGATCCGGATACTATCGAGATAGGACTTGGTCAATTATCGGCTTCTTTGCTGACAGGCGACATGAACTGACCGACTCTACTCTATACACCCTCCGGCTTGGAAAGCGATCGCAAATGTCAACGCCTCAGCGTTCACTTCGACCGAGCTATATTATAGGCGGGCAACGAGAGATCGATAGATGAACGGAGACCTCGCGGGAACAGCTAGGTGACACGAATCGATCACGGCCTGCGATGGAGAAGCAGAACCGGCCACAGTGCAAGGTCATCAGTTGACCTGACTAGGAGGGGGGGAAAGATGACATTATATAATAGACGTAAGACTCCGGTGAAGGCGTCGAAACCGAAGGCTAAACCCAGGCGGGTGGAAGGAACCGAAACATGATACCAAGAAAAATCAAAATCTAAGTGAGATTTTGAGTCGGTGAAGGATAGTCTAGTCAAGCAATTTGAACAATCATGGGCTGATAAGAGGTGTGGGAGTGAAGAAATTCCATCCACGATTTGGGCCGCGGGAGCAACGAGGGCCATCCAGTGATCCATCCGCCGGCCACCGCAACCGATGATTGGCTTGTCCGCGGTTTCCGGCGGACATCCTTTCGCCTTGCCCAGCGCCCCTCCCCACCAATTCTCTGCCATTTTTTAATATGGAAAAAACAAGATAACTGTCTGATGAGGTGATGAGGTGCTCAGTCCTATTCCAGTCGTCATGCGCGATAGCGAAATCATTTCTCTGACAAAAACGGAGGAGGGGGGGGGGGGGGGGAGGGTTCTGCTTTGCTGGTTCGGTGTCGATGACGATATTCAGTCTGCACTCATGACCTGTCTGCAGATCCACGCTTAAAACCGAGGCGCAACGCCAAACTCGACCTCCAAAAAATAAGGCTACCCCTCCACCTATTACGGGGGCGGTGAATTTTACTGTACTTCCTGTGCTAACTACCCCACGAACATGGTTGATTGACTGCCAGGATAAGCCTTGTCATCGTTCAAAGTATCAGTTCCAGGAACGCAGCGCATCAGGTGCTAAGTTATCTCAGCTTGTCTACAACCCAGGATCCGGGGTGATTTTGTCCGGTATGAACGGCGTACAATGCATTGCAGTAGGGGTCTTCGTGTAGCCTTGTCCGTCGCGGGGGATCGACCCCCTAATCGATAGCGGTGCCGCTCACCTGATGCTGTCAATGGCCAGTCTCAGTCCGAGTGCGGGGGCCTCCGATCTAATGCAGTTTCAACGCACAAAGCCGAGACGCGCACGAGGTGAGCATTTGTCCAGCCAGCAACTATGGCAAAAAACGTCAGCCAGAGGAGGAAGGTGTGGGGCCCCTTGACCACGCAAAATGATCAGCACTGCCATCATGTCATGCGCCTGTGCTTCTTTCGCTGAGTAACTTGCCAGGTTGAGTCCAGCACATAACCAGGGAATTATATATGAAACAGCTGCTGAAGACCCAGAAGGTGACTATCGATGCTTGAGAAAAGGAGACAGTCAGGTTAAATTAGTGAAGTGAGCGGTCGTGAGCTTGTGAGACTTGAAGTGTGTTAAAGTCAAGGAGGAAGGGTTTGGCGTACTGTGGCTCTGGGGTAGTGCTGACTTGCATCCCCACGTGCAGTCCAGAGACTAGGTAGTATCGCAACAATCAAGACTTGATCGACTCAGGAGCCTTACACGCAGAACCAGAACCAGAGCTATGGACGATCGATGAATCTTCTCATGTGTAAGGACCTGTGCAACACCCCCTATCCACGAATTTTGGATTGCCAGTATGGCTAGTATTCATGTGAGACTTTCCGCTCACATCTTCTTGCTCATTGACATCCTGCCCATATATTACAGTCAACAGAGGGAATTACTTGCTGATCGTATAGCAAAAGAAACCTGTGCGGTAGTTATATATTCGGGGGACTCTGAAAACGTGACGTGATCGCGCATCATGTTTTTACATATGATCCAGCTTGGGCAAAGTGCTAGCCACATCACAAAGATTGGCAAGCTATGATATAGGTCTGTGCCTCGGTCGCTCCTGGACGCACATTTGTCGATTATCTGTTATTGGCTGTTATTTGCTGCAACACGTCATGCTGCGCCAGTCTGTGAGCTGCGAATAAATACGTTTCTCATGGAATGATGATAGTGGTGAAATTCAGCTATCTATCTGAGACTATAGGGGCTATTATCGCCACGGCGGCGGGGCAGGGGGCGGTCGGGTGGATCGGCCTGCCGTCACATCCTCCCCTTAGACCGCAGGCTGAAGCCATGAAGCTAAACTACGTACATGAAAGAGGCCATCCGGGCAATTCCCGGTGTTGAGGTTTCTTGGCTGGAGGTCGTCGTAGACATTCTTAATCAACCAATCGAGTTAGCAAGTTAGGCAGTAAACACGTACGCGAAGCCTTCTGGGTCGGGTTGCTGATAGCACCAAAGATTCTTCCAAGGCTTCCATTCAGACAGGCGATCCTCCAGGTGTATGTAGTAACAGTAAACCAACCTATGGCGCTTGTGGCCGCAGAAAGGACACCATCCATTAACTTTCTTAAACTGAGACAGCACGCCAAGGAGCCAAGAATTCTTCATCGGTTTGGCCAGGTGCAGGCTTCTCATCAGGGAGTAGTATGATCGGAGAGACGGTAGTTGCAAGTCTCCCTTCCCTGAAATTCTTACTGCAGCGGGCGGTATTTTCTCCAGTATTCATGTTCCTTTCGGCGTCATTGTGCTCGGCGAGGTCTTTGAAATGTCGGACGAGTGCAAAAAGCCGACCATCATCGTAGTCGTTAACTATTCTCGTTGTTGTCAAGCTTGTTTTGAGAGATAATAGCTGGGACTGGAAATTCATCCATAAGCTGATCAAGCATCATCAAGGGCTGCTGGTTATGGGTTGATCTAGCAGCCAAATCAACGAGCATCACAGTAGCCCTCTCGGAAGGCAATAACATAGGCCAGCGACATGGGGAACGGGTCAAGACGGAGGCTTAAGAAAGCGATAATTATTCCCCGCTTGGTGGTAGGCTTGTGTATAACGCGCTGTATTCCATCCAAATCCTCATCAGCGTACACTAGGTTATCGTAAAACTCAGATGGTTATTAAAACATCGTGCGAGAGGTGTGCAGTAAGCTATCCACCAGCGGAAAACAGAGCACCAATGCCACAGTGCAAATTGGGCATCATTTGCAGCTCGCCGAGGTATAGATGGATCGATCAGAGCGTCGGCTTAGTGAACGCGCAGTGACACCTCAACGAGCCAATGCCACATGCGTCAGTCGAGAAGGATCTTTCAGAAGCGTCCATATGGTCGGAATTGCGGTAGGGGTAGTTTTCGAAAAAGTGTCTATGTCTGTCTCTATGTCTCGCTGGCATTGGTTAAAAACGGAGGTATCGGTGGTAGCCAGTGCTGACGAGGAAGAAGAATCAGACATTTTGGCCCACTCCAGCTCCAAGAAGGGGATATGAACGCGTTGTCTCTGGCTTCAAGTCTTTTTAGGAAGAGAACGATGTGGAATCAGAACGATATGACAATGATAGGGAAGTCAAGCAAAAGAGCTCATGCAGGCATGATGTCATAGAGTGATGATGGTGGTGAGATTCAGCTCTTTGAGGTTATCAAGGCCACATTCACACGGCGGCAAAAGCGATCAAGGATGTCAAGCTAGAAGTGTACGTATCTGTGTCTGTGAATGTGTCTGTGATATGAGGAGAGTTGGTGTCTCAAACCTATGATGCGAAACGGAGTCTGCTCGGCACGAGTCTCTAGAAGTAGTTCGAACAGGGTTGATGTTTCTATAAAAATGCTATCAAAGACTGTAGCTGGCGGGATACTCAATCGTCGTGTCTTTGGCTCCTTTGGTTCAAGTTTTGTTGCACAGTCCTCAGCCTGATCTTGACGTCACTAGTGGTGGGTGAGTCCCTTATTCTTTTCAGATATATGTGGCTTGTGGCTGCTCTTTCCACTCACCACGCTGTATACATCAATAGACCCGAAGTCACCAATCTGGCTTAATCACTTGGAGGCAAAATTCTTGTAAAAGCCGAGAGGTGGCACTAAGGATGGAATTGAGTAGCATAGCGGCTATACTTCGATTACCCATTCGGGCTGCCCGCTTGCCGGCGGGGCTAAGCTACTGTAAGCGCAGAGAAGCGGCTGAAGATCCCATGGAACTTTGATCGTTCACATCTAATCACCTCAGACATACTAGTAAACATCCCCATCTTGCCAAGTGAGATGGTTCATCATGAGCCCCGACCTGGCTCCCTCCACATCAGTCTTACCTTTATTGCAAAGCGACAGCCTCATATCAAACAGACACCAGCACCTGGGTTCTGTGACAGGGTTGGGCAACGTGTACATTGCCTTGATACACGGGTCCGATTGACTTAGTGTGGCGAGGTAGGTCTACCATGCTGGCATTACCTTTGCTCAAGGGCAGTTCGGAATCTCTCTGTTCTCACACACACTCGTCAGCCAAGATTTCGCGTCGGCATGCTAAGTGCTGAATATTCCGACCATACTCACAATCTGAGAGGCTAGACTCTTAGTTCCCTATGTCTGGTTCAGAATTGTCGCGCGATCCAAGGCACCCGCAGAATCGAACTTGAGGTACGTTATACATTTCTCGCATGACTTGCACGAACCACGGCCCTCAGAGATTGACTACTATAGTGAACTCAACACATTCATGTTCTTCAAATTATACCAAGATATCATTTCGCCACGCGGATGTGGGGGGCAATATCTGCGTCAAAGACGAATCGAAGCTGAAATCGTCGAGAGGGTAGTGGATTCCGACGTTATCACTAGCCTGGCGACTATCTCATGGGTGCTAATGTGGTTGATTTCATCCTTCAATGTTCGAGGTTTGCAGGAATTGAACGGCGCACCTCCCACAAATGTTTCCACCGGTTCGAGCCGTGAATTGGTGAATGGACCATGGAAGATATTGCGGGCAAAATAAGCTTCAACACGGGACCAGAATCATGAATCTTGCTTGTGAGACCCCGGCTGCCTGGGAGAAGGGTATATTGAGACTGGCTGCCAGACCCTGCATTTGGTTCTGCATGTGAGTAATCCGTGAATTCCACCACCATGGAGAAGCGACACATGGATAAGTAATCCGGGTTTCCATACAACGGGGGAGCAGCAACAAACAATGGCTCCGAGATAAAGAGTTAAAGGTCTTATGAACTCAAAGCTCTCAGTGATTTAACCATGTTTAACCCTCTGTGGTTAACCCTGAGCCAAGAAATATTGATTGCCTGATGGCTCGGATGGCTGTCCGTGCCAGAACCCTAACCAATGGCAAGGCCAGCAGTCGATCACGAACACGAGCCACTGTATTCCCAACAGGCGACCGAGAGCCTGAAGACGAAAACACGAGTGATAGTTCCAGAGGAGAAGCTTCTCATGTCAAGTCTCTGTTCTTGAGTCTCGATCTTATTTGCGTCTGTACCGACAATCTCTCGGTCGGAGACGATGTCATCTTTCTTTGTCCGTAAATGCTTCAGGTTCAGATACGAATCCCTGTTTCTTTATTCCACCCCCAGTGTATAACTCGCGACCTCGCCAGTCGAACACTCTGTGCGACGTGCACAGCCAGATTCGACGACCTGGTCAGCCTTGTCTTACCCATGAAGAAGGAATTTGTCTCTGTCTTCTATCCAGCCCCTTTCTTCTGACAGCCAACCTTGCCTCAAATTTCACGTCGTATGCTGGTAAAACATCCTGAATCACTTCCTTGTTCTCCTCATCAACCACCAAAACCCTCAGAATGTCCTATTACGGGGCCACCTCGTCAATAACTTCCAAGGCGACGACGACCACCTTATCGTCGACCGCGACGGGAAGCCGCTCGTCCACCTCGTCAGCGACAACAGGCACGGTCACGCACACGGTCGAAGTCGGCCCGAAAACCTCTCCCCATGGGTACTCTCCGCATAATATCACCGCCAACGTTGGCGACGTGATCGTCTTCGAGTTCTATCCGCGAAATCATTCAGTCGTGAAAGCAGACTACCTGGCGCCGTGCGTGCCAGCTAGCAAGTCGGTCTTCTACTCGGGGATGTTCAACAGTTTCAATGAAGATAATGGCGAGATCGTTGGACCGGTATTGCTCCTAATAACTTTCTCCTTGAGCGACTTTCTAATACGCATTGTGTGATAGCCACCTACTTGGTCGCTTGTAGTCAACGACACCGAGGTATGTTCTTGACACGCTCTCAGCTAGGCTTGTGCGGTGCCTTTCGAACAACCGACTAACTCCAGACATAGCCAACCTTCTTTTACTGCACAGCCATAGACTCCTGCCTCGTCAACGGCATGGTAGGCGTTATTAACCCTGTACGTCGTGTTGTCCATTCAAATCTCCCATCCTTATCCACAAACTAACGCTTATTCGCTCGGCTAGAACGAAACAATGACCTGGGAAGCGCAATACGAGAAAGCGAAGACTTACCCCTACATGCTCGTTCCCGGCCAGTCGATCCCGGCGGAAGGCTCGATCCCCACCTCCACCAGCACCTCCAGCGCCGCCCCATCCGCCTCGTCGTCGTCGTCTAAGTCCGGCGGCCTGAGCGGTGGCGCCATCGCTGGGATTGTGGTGGGCTCGGTGGCCTTTGTCGGCATTTTGGGAGCCCTGTTCTTCCTCATGGGACGAAATCGGGTGTACCAGAAGTGGATCTCTTCGCAAGATGGCCGCACGGAACGGACAGCGCGGTGGGCGGCGATGTTGATCCCTGGTCATGGAGGAGAAGATCAGACACAGAGTCAAGGACATGGACGGGGAAAGGGTGAGTATGACGCGGGAGCCGCCGGGCTTGGAGTTGGGATGGTGCAGACGTCCGGACAACCCCTTCAACAGCAGCCGTTGCCGCAGCCGTACGATTATGGGACCGCGCAGTCCCCCGGAACGGCGGTGTATGCAACCAGCCCAGAGCAGTCGGGATCGCCGCAGCCTCAGAGCCAGGGAGGTCATTGGAGTTGGGGTGCGCAGCAACAGCAGCAGGTGTACCAGGAACCGGGTCAAGTGGCGCAGCCAGGACAGGTATATTACGAAGCAATGGCGAGAGGGCCGACTGAATTGGACGCTACAAGTCGAAAGTGAGTGATGAGCTGGAATTTGCGAGCATGTCGAATGAGGTCGTGTTTATACCCTTTCTTGGTCCGAATGTCATCATGGGGTTTCAGTCTGTTGTTTGGATCATTTTCCTTCTTTCTATGTTGCTTTCTTGGGTGTTACTAGGCAGTCTATAACCAGTAATTATCATCAGCCGGATCTCAGACTGTATGTGATCTGAAGCGCCCTCTACGGGAGTCTCGGCCAGCTTTTGCAGGACGAGAGGAGAGATATCAACTGCGCTCTTTCCGAGCCGAAACCTATAATTGAGTTGAAACTATAATCTCATAGCCGTTTCAATTAGCATCTCCTGATCTCGCGCCGATTCCGCTGGGTGGAGACCAAGTGGATATTCCCAAACCACGCCGTTGTAACAAGCTTAAATTACTCAAAATCCGGCCCCTCTCCCCCCTCAATCCAAAGAGCTTCTAGACCCGGACTAAGCACCTCTAGAAGCCTGTCTTGTGATGACAGACCGTCCTAACACACCCATACACCGTCTCTCGTCTCTCGTCTCTCGAAACGAGCACTATCCAAGCAGAAAGGGTGCTAGCATCACAGGATCTAGGCCGTGAGGAATGGCTCCACTTGACCCCATCCTCGCCCCCTGATTTCCGTTTCGCAACGATTCGAACGCGTACTTCTCGCGGCCGGGGAGTGTCAGATATAGTAGGACGGAGTAACCCGATGCTCGATCCGATGCTGCTCATCCTTCAGAACCCGGGAGTTCGGGAGAATTGATGCGGAGAAAGCTGGTTGCCTATGTATATAAAAGCATACACTCACCCCGGGGAACTCGAACTACTTTTTCTCTCTATCAGCATCACCCAGCAAAGCCAAACAAGAAATCCCAATCAATTCGTTGACTCGCAACAATGGTCTCCGCCAACTCCCTCCTCTACGTCCTCCTCAGCGCCGCCTCGCTGGCCGCGGCGACCGTCGACCCTTGCACCACCAACACCAAGGGCAAATGTCCTGGAACCTACAACTGCTCTGGTAACTATCGGCACCTCAACTCATCCTACCCTTTCCCTCTTGGGAGATCTTGGGAGAGATCATTGGCTAACAATTTCACAATATAACAGCGAGCAAAGTCTCCAAGGCTATCCAAGCCGCCGAGTGCTCCCACAACACTCGTACCTCGGGTATGTTCTAAACTCCTCCAACTTATTCTCTCCTTGACGGGACACACATTCAAAGGATTTGGACTAACAGAAAAAACAGGCACCCAAACCTTCGCCGTCTTCGTGACCGACCACGAGTACGACTCCTCGAACGGCGCCCCCTACGGTACCTGCAGCGCTTACACCTGCACCGCGCCCACCGACGCCGAGATGACCGACTCGGACTCGGACTGCTGGACTTTCTTCTGGAAGTATGTTTTCCCCCTTATTTACTTTGTCTGGTGTCTCGGACCGGGGTCACCAGGTTATCTCAATCATGGAAGGAACCGATGGGGCTGACTGAAACTGCTCGAAAAGCGACAACGGCGAGTCCTCCGGCGTTGGAACGGGATGCATTAAGAGCCCGGAGGATGGAACCTGTGGATGTGAGGACTCAGATGGAACTTTCGTTTACGGATCCAGCAGCTGCACTTGATTTGCTGGTGACGGGGATGTGGAAGTAATTGTAAATCATGGATGAGTCTGGGCAGGCTTGGCTCATGCGCGAGTTGACCTTGCGTGAGTTGTATATACAGTGTATAGAATACAAATCTGGGCTCATTGTTTGACCATTGTGTTGGAGGGTTATCTGGATGGAAGGGGGTGGAGATGTTCTTGGTACATTGATTTAATGTGTTTCTTTCTGCATCATGGACTACATCGACCAGTTCTGCAACCTGGTACAGTGCTGATATAGTACTTGTACTAATACGTAGATAAATTCCTCCACCCCCCCTTATCGGGTACTCGCCCCCTTCTGCATGGCAGACAGATGCTCGAACGACAAGGTATCCTCTCCCAGACTCCAGGCCATGATGCCCCCGACCTTCTCAGCGTCGACGATGTCCGTGAACTTACGGTCGATCAGGTCACCCGTGTCCCAGGTCCAGAAGATGTTGACGGCGCTGTCGAAGTAATACTGGCCGCCCATCGTGGCGTCGGTGGTTCCCTCGGACAAGGCGCGGCGCCACGAGTCCGTGATCGAAATGCCCTTGCAGGTGCCGTAGTCCGAAAGGCAGCCAGCCTGGCAGAAGTCGTCGGTAGTACCGCTGTGAGGGTGGGGTTTCTGGAGTCAGTTCACATTCGGACCAAGGTCTCGTGTATTGTGTAGGGTCTCGTGTATTGTGTGGTAAAGGGGTAACCGATTGAGAGCTAGACTGGGGAAAGGGGCAATTACCAGTTTCCATATTGACTGCAGCACTGTCCGGAAGGACACTTGGTGCCCTTGTCGAAGCCGCAGGTACCGTCCGTCGAGGTCTTCAAGTTACCCGGCGCAGGGCTCATGGAGCTCTTCTCAAAGGTCAAGGCGCCGGACTTGCCGTTGTCGGATCCATCCGCGTTCTCCATGACGGCGGCTTTGCAGCCGATGGGGTTGGTCTTGCAGTCCGAGTTGGGGTCGGTGGTAAACCACTTGGCGTAGAAGGCGAAGCCCAGGTTCATTTTGCTGCCCTCGAGCCCGATGGCAGAGTACGCCTTGAGGGTGGTGTGCGAATCCACCACCGAGGTGTGGTGCATGGTGACGTTGTTGCGGCGGTTCATGAGATCGTAGCTCATGATGTTGACCATGTCGACCGACGGCCAGATCTTGGGTCCGTTGGTCGGCGTGAAGGCTATGAAGTCCTCCAGCTTGCCAGGGACGGCGATTGACAGCAGTTTGTTGGGGCCGATCGCGTCGCGGATAGCCTTGAGGAAGAGCGGGTAGTTGTCAATCTCAGGGACCTTGGCTGAGTTGGGTGTTTGCTTGTAGTCCTGGCCATTGCCGCCGGGATACTCCCAGTCAATGTCTGGAGGGTGATTTCTCGCAGGTTAGTCCGATTGTGCGTTTGAGACACCAAGGGGACAGGGAGACGAGAGAGTCACTTACCAACGCCGTCCAGGCCCAGATTGTTGATCATCGTAGCGACGTTCTTTGCGTAGCGGGTTCGAGAAGCTTCGTCTTTGGATCCCTGCGAGAACCCAGCCGTGTCACCCCATCCGCCAATGGCAATCATCACCTTGGTATCAGGACCAAACCGGTTGCGCATCGTCGACACGGGCTCGAAGGGGGTAAATTGCGGCGGCGAATCCGAATTGAACAACGTCGAGGGTGCAAACGCCATGATGGCGTGCGTGATTCCTTGCGTCTTGTCCTTGCCCGGCAGGTTGGCAGTATGGTATCTGCTCAGGATTAGTCGCTGCTGAGGCCCGGATGGCATAGCACCCCGGAGAGACTCAACTGGTCAATGTACATGGCCATCCTCATGGAGGCCACGCACTGTAAGCCCATTAGGGCCAGTGCGAGTCGTTTGAGCATGTTCGTCGAATCTGCACCTGTCTCGTGGAGTTGGTATGGACGGTGGTTGATGGGTGTTGTGCGACGCCCTGAACTGAAAAGCCGGACTTAAAAGCGACCGTCGTCTGGGTTTTGTGTTTGCCAGTAGAAAAGGAACAATGAACATGTTAGCAAACACACTAAGAGACAGGCCTCCATTCCACCTGGGGGTATTTGCTGCCTCCTGCCTAGACCCCGGGATGTCGCCAGTCATGAATAGGCATGCGACGGAAGAATTTCCGACTCCACAAATCTCGCAATGATTGTGTGAATGAGATCGAAATAAAGTGTGTTCATGGTAGACACGGTATGAAGGTTGCTCATACCTGCAGCCAGGGAGCAGATTCTTCTTTGCGTCACGTCTGGGAGTTGGTTGGAGTTTGGTTTGGAGTGACATACCAGTCGGCATTCCACAAGCAAGTACGGAGGATGCCTCAACCGCTAACCGGCACTGTGCCACTCAATTCTGAAACACTTCATACACGCCTCTTTCAGTCCTTCAGGTGTCAAAAGTTAGGGATAGTGGTTTGAAGCTATCGAAGTCAAATCCCCTGTCCTTACTTGGCGTTGCGCCCAATGTCAAATCTTTACACTGAAAAGCCAGCCTGGGATGGTCATGTCATATGAAAAAGCGCTAGATCCAAAATCTCAATACTGTAGGGGTATCTTGTAAAATGTTTTCTCAGCCTGGTATCAGCCACACGACAAAGCCCCGGGGCTGCAATCTCTAATCCCAGTGTCGCCGGATGATCGGACGGGCTGGATCCCATGGACCAGTCACCACATTCTTATACTTCTGAAGGCTGATTAGCCACCAGCTACATCCTCCCATGGCCAGTGCTGTCAGGATGCTGCCTAAAATAGACCCAACCACAAAGGCCGCCCATCCGCCACGCAGGGTAATGCCCACTGCGCCCCCAGCTACGAGCACCAGTGTCAGCGTTAGGAGAACATGACCTGTCCAAGACACATGACGCAGTTGTCGTCGAAAGATTGGAAACAGCCCAAAAACCTCCATTGAGAAAAGCATCAGGCTGAACACATGTGTTGTGGACGGCAGTCGAGACGCCAACACGGTGGAAGCCATCACCGCTGCGTTGGTAGACAGCGAAGCCGGAAACTTGGTGGCGCCTGCGCCCTCTCCGCTTCCATAGTCAAAGGAGAAAATGTTCATGATCAGCAACCAGCAGCTCATGGCCCAGATGGAATCGCTGGCGGTGGACTTGGTAAGTGATTTTAAAATCGGGCTAAGTCCGAGCAAAGCAAAGTAGATCAGAAATGCCGACTTGACGGTAGAGAGACGCTGCCGATTCCGCGAGGAAAGCATCGGCAGCATGTCCGGGTCGTGAGACAAGCCACCAAGAGAGCCGCTCGCTGATCCTGTCACAGGGGATGCGGGTTCTTGTGCACTGCCATCAGCATCGCCACTGTCCCCCGTGTTCTGTCGCTGCATTGGCTCATGGGCTACATGATGTGCCATGGACAGTCCTAGGCCATGCACCTGGCTCTCCCTCTGCCCACCCTGACGTGAACCTGAAGTGTGACCGGACGGGTTGCCAGAACTGGTCATGGAACTGGCACTGGACCCATCATCCCCTTCGGATGCGCGTTCTGCGACATAAACACTCTCCACATGTTCCCGCAGGATCCAGGAATCCCAGAATATCCAGCCCAACGCAGTCCCAACACTGCCCCAGCAGACCACGGAGACCGGACTCACGCGGCCCTGCACAATGCCCACGAAGCAACATACGAAGATAGCTACCGAGCAAACGTGTTGTACAATGACAGTGGAGTCGGCCACGAGCGGCCAGAAATCGTAGGGTCGTACCCGAGGATTGCGCTGAAGGTGGTCCAGGAAGGTCTCCGTATCCGTATAGTTGTCAGGATCTGTGCACCCATTAGTATCCGCACATATCGGAGGATAAGAGACACATGATGGCCGTACAGGACTGTTTCACCCAAAGTAGCTTTTTCCAAGCGCCCTTTCGTCGTCTTCGTCTGCTGGTCCCCCGCAACTTTCGTACCTCCTTTCGGCCACCCGCTCCTAGCACGGCCGGCGGCGATCGCAGCGCAGCCACCGAGGAAGCAGAGATGGCATTGGGATTTAACACGCGCAGAGAGTCGTCCAAGTGGGCCGAGGTAGGCCGCGCGCGCGGTAGCGAAGAAGTGTAGTATGCATCTTCAGGGGCGAGCCGGGTGGGATCAGGGAGGGCTCGTTGCTCTTTCAGGCCGACGCTGCGGTTCGGGTGGGTTTCGACGGGCACAGGGGGCGGTACGGAAGAAGGCGAATCGGACAGCGAAGGCATCGAGCAGGACCCGGACTCATGCTTAAAGCATGATGTGATGCAATCGAGAGAGAGGTAGCAGGTCAAGATGGGAGAGTGGCATCCACCTCGTCAGTGACGCGAATCGCCATTTCCGGCACGCCGCCCACGTGGGATTAGTCATCTCGTCGCTATTCTGTTGTTCACATACTTTAACACAATAATCAGGTTTGAAGCCATATTAACTAAACCAATTCTACTCAGCGAGTGTATGTAATTCCTAGCCTTGTCTTCTATCAACTGTTTCAGATGTACGATACTGCTGAAAACTAGTCGGGGGGTTGCAAAGTTCAAGCTCTGGTGTTGGATGAGTCTTTCGTCGTTTGTCTGATAGCACATGCATCACCTATGTTCACCTTGCGCAAACCTTCTAAGATGGGATAACAGACTTGACCATGATTTATGCAGCTTGAACGTTGCCCTTCTCTTTGAGGCTGTGTAGTGCCGCCCAGACCATATAACTTTTGAACTCATCATGACCGTCCTCGGGGGGCCACACCTTCCCATGAGTGTCAGTCTCGCAGCCGAGAAACCTGAGCTCGGTTTTATGCTGTAGTTTAAAGAAGTCGAGGGCTTGCGCAAAGAATTCGTTCACGGTTTTGCACTTTTCAGCGAAGATAAATCGTTAGGGGTTATCCTCAGAACATAACACAAACACAAGGCAGCCAGTCACCTTCCGCATAGATGATGGGTTAGCATAGCATGATTGATTTCCGCCGCTTCGGTGCGGGTGACTCCAGGTCAGATCTTTTCCTTGAAATCATCATTGGCTGCTGCTCAGGCTCAATCTCTAGCGTCGATTCAGTGTCGGTGTCGACAGAATCCTCTGATGGCGAAAAGTCTCTGTCCAGGAAAGTGTTGTCCTCGCTAGTGGTAGCGACCACCCTGTGGCTCGAACGCCTTGGCCTCGCAGATTCTGAGAGCTTACTCGTGTTTTTGTTTCTGGCCTGAATTGGGTTGTGAACATTCGTTGTAGCTCATTTTGACCAAACAACGTTAGGTATGTAGTTCCACGCCTCTGGATCATATACAATCTCCGGGTTGGCCTTCTTGCTCTAAACGCGGATCGCGCACGACGGCGGCTGGGGATCTTGCTCAGTCATGGACCACTCCCGGAGAGATGTACCGAATCTTGTACGGTGACCTTGGCAGGAATCAAAATCCTTGCCCTCCCTGCCAGACGAGCGTCTAATGCCACAAGCACGCTGGCCTTGGAACTTCCCGTGCGATATCAGCAGAAGTGGAGCTCTTCACCGTTGCGATCAAACACTTTAGGTTCTCCCAGACATCTCACGTCGCTAGTGGGAATTGGGGATCTCTTGCATCTCTTTTCTCCGTGTGCCTCGTGCCATTTTACTATCTTGGCCTGCAAGTACCGGGGAAATGGGATTGGTGGCCCGTCGACAGGCTTCCGGCTGATAGAGAGCGGGTTTGGGACGTTCTCCTCGGGCTTTGCAGCGGTTCCAGTCCTGGCAGTTGTAGCGTTGGACAACATATCGGGTAGGAAGGCGAAGGACGATGGTGGTGTTAGGGAGGAGCAGCGATTGCGCCCACTGGGAGGCAATAATTTCACGTCTGACTCTACATCGCAGGACTCATACTTTGAGTGGTCAGCGTTGGGGTACAGACCGCTCAGTCTCCTGGAATGAGCACAGTGATCTGGTTAGTCAAGCTTTAGCAGCTACCATATAACATATAATAGTAAATGGTGTTCACTGACAACTCCGCAATTTCGGCATTTCTCTCAAGAACTTGGGTAGTCACGTAGTAAAGTCACAAGCTGAATTCGGTGCCGGAGACGGTTGTCGTATCAAGAGTGTGAAAGTGAAACCGGGCCTTTGGTTCATGGAGTGGTCAAAGGCAGAGTGAGCGACACGCACCGGTGACATGGATTGTAACACATACTTCAGATAAATCATCGATAACGCATGGCGGGGTAAGACTAGCAGCAAACCGTACGTGTTGGTAGTTTGTGATCTTGCATGTTTTTGTCGTTTGTCCCAGGTAATTGCAGAAGCTGAATCTGTGCCATTTGAACAAGTCTGTCAAGATCGTCTTATGAAGTTCGAAAGATCAGCTGCGGCGTGTATCTAATAGAAGATCTGCGCCAAACTCCCTACACCCGCAGAGACATCGCCTTTATGCTGCCGCTAACAGACCGTTCAACTCGGGGTCAAGCTGGCCCAAAGTGCGGACGTCAATATAAAGAGAGTACGATCGACATAACATGATAGGGTCGAGAGACAAGCGCCCGAGAAAAGGAATCCATAACATGTCAAGAGGAACCAAAGGTGTGCAGAAGACATTCTATAGACGCGAAGCCGACAACATGTACTCAGCAAGCACAATCTGAGTCGTGGTCTAGTTCAAAATGTAAGATATCTTTGAAATATGATGTGGTCGAGGATTACAAAAGCTCTAGAATAAAACAGTATAGAATGCAGTAGTACGATGTCATCACAATCGACGGGTATCAAACGCTCAAAAATGTGGAGGGGGCCGGACACATCTTGTCCAGCATGCATGCTGTCCGGAATTTCAGCCTTTAGGATGAGTTCTTTTGACTAGCTTGGTGCTTGGCTTCCAAAGCCGCCTTCAGCTCCTGCAGGGATGCCTCGTCGATGCTGTTTCTCCGGCCCCAGTTGGCAGGCTGTCTGCGCAGGAATGCACCCACGGACCCGATGTAGCCTTCGTGACGCAGGAAGTAAGCTTGCTTCTCGCCCTTGGACCAGAACTTGATGGCGTAGGATAGAGTGTTCATAGTTTGTCGGTGTCCTCGGATAAAGGAGCCGCCAAAATATATGTGCTTGACTTGGTGTTTCTCGGACTGCAGATAGGCAATTTGTCCAATATTGTTACTGTAATGTGTCAGAACAGCCCTTTTCTTCGCAGGTGTGATCTATGGATTACACACCTGATAGCATAGAGTAAACTCCTGCTCATGTCTTCGGGCTTAAACTTTGGGTCACCGTTCCTCGAATCGAGCTCCTCCTGGGACACCCCGGCTCCATCGGATATCTGCTGGCCTACTTGATTCTGATTCTTGAGGCGGAATACTTTACCGAACGTGCTTGCGATAGCAGTGTTCTTGAGACCGATCTTGCTGTAGTCCATGCCGTAGATATCTCCTACCAACATGTCGACTCCGCTGTTGTCGCCCCGATCTGCCATTGCTAGCATATCGTCAAATGTTCGGGCGCCCGTCAGCAGCGACATAAGACCCCAGAATGTACCACCACCCAGATGTGTACCACCAACACGTTGGAATTGCTTGGGGCCGGAGACTTTGATCATGGATACGCCGGAGCCAATGTTGACTAATAGGTATGGGTAAACATCCGGTCGGGCCTCGGCAAACTGCATAGGTTCGGTTTCGCTGTAGGTAAAGACCTCGTTGGGAATCTCGGTAATGAAGAAGTCAAGACCTGCGGGAAAAGTTGAGTCAGTAAGGCTCTGCGGTCTCGGATGTATAGGAGAATAAAGATAATGTGTACCAGTAATGAGGCATTCCATCTCATCCTCCCGGATGATGTCCACATTGAGGGACTCCTTCAGCTTGTCATAGTACAAATAGGCACCGCCTCCTGTAGCCATCACACATAGTTCCGTTCCCGATGTGCCCTTCAGCTTCTCGTGTTCGGCTTTCAGTTCTTTGATAAAATCAATGCACAGGTCGATGCGGGAGGTTTCGAAGTTGATGAAGTTGAGTCTACCGCCATTGTCGGCAGAATCGATCTCTCGAGTGAAGTAAACGAGCTTTGCCAACGATCCGCCGATCTAATAGCCCAATGCTTTGAGTTAGCTTACGGAATCAGGAGGTTGGTGCGGATGCGCTCAAAATTGGAATTGCGGGGAGCTTGCGATTGTGTGCGGGGAACCGCGGAGTGCTAGGGATAAAAAGTCGAGAGAAAATATACTCACATCAACAGCTACATGACTAATCTCTTTGTGATTCGGAAGTCTAATATCATGACCTAGGCCGATTGTGAGCAACTGCGTTTGTTGTTGACCGGTGGAACGCCCCGGAGGCGTGCTTCTCGGAGGTGTTGCTCACCTTCATAATGCACCCCATCGGTCCTTACGGGACTTTTGGACCGAGGGTCATCGTCAACAATAAAGGCACCCTTCACATTGATCTTGACTGTGCCTGGGTTGGCTAGCTCCAATCGAGCGCCCCCGCGGTTAGAGGTAGAAGTGGCCATGGCGACTCAATGGCATGAAAAAACCATGGATGTGAGTCGAGCGATGACAAGAAGGGAGAGGGGAGAGGGGGGGGGGAAGAAGTAGTTGACGGTAGATGGAAGCTCAGTCTCGGGGAAATGGATTATTGGCCCGTGATACAGATTACAGCGTATATTTGAGATTCCTTCCGCCCGCTCGAAGGTCGGTAGAATCCACTATGCGGGCTGGGCGGCGGACGGAGACACCGACTACCACCAACCTCTCTTCCCATTTCAGTTCTGTACCGCACTGCTGACCTGCAAGGAGACACAGGTCGATCCTGTCGGATGTGGTTGCAGTCGTAGTCAGAGTTTCATGGATTCATAACTTAGTCGAAACGGTATGAGTGCATCGATCGAAAATATGCTTGCCTCAACAAAGGGAGTCATTTCTGCCCCTTGACATTACGCCGGGGATTGACTGGTGCCTCAGGAATCAGGTTACGAGCGTAAGAAAGAAGTTAGAAACCCCATATCCTTTGGCTCATAGACTGCTTCCTCCGTTGCAGTAAAAAGAAGATGGTGGAATATAGCCTTTCATCAATTCCAGTAGTGTTAGCTCTGAATTCTACCCCACTCAAGGAACGAATGGGGCATTCATGTACAGTACAGTAGAAACGGACATTTCTCGGCCTTAGTCACCCCAGGCACTCACAAAAGATTAGTTATGGACATAGGCTGCTGCAAGGAACCTGACTCGCAAGTCTGTAATCACGGCCGTCATACTAGTATCGGAAGCTTGTGTTTCTGGCCTTGCTTTAGTTCCCATGAGATTAAATAGACCCCGCTCCTGGATTCGAGGTTGCACTTTATAATGTAGTGCCCGCCTCGGACAAGATAAAATAAAACGAGAAATATCATGTCTGCTCACTACTACTAATACATCACCTCCACCTCATCCAAGCAATCATCTTCCAGGCACCTTTCAGCTTGTCCTCTGTACTTAGTGTAGTTATTCCTCGAGGGAATTCTTCATGTTTCGTTCCATGGGTGGATGACGATCACAAGCCTGATGTGACCAGGTGAGGATACAACTGAGCATAGATCCTTCTTCCCAGAAAAATGTGAGGCGCGATGTGGCTTTGATAAGGCAGTAGTGCTGTTACACCAAGATCAAAGAGAGGAAGAAACTTCCCAGACAAAGTGAGGTCAATTTGTGAAGGGAATAGTTCCTAGGCATTTGTACATGAGCTTAACGGGCAAAGGCGATTGATATCATAGCTTCAATCAGGTCCGTGCGACAAAACATTGTCGATAAACACCAGAGATAGTATGACATCCACACAGGTAGATAAGGGAGTAAGAGATTCACTGGTGATTTGGTAGATAGTTGCCTATGCATCCATGTGTCATGTTAGTTGCCTTTAGTGTTCTGGAAAAGATACCTTTTCGCAATTTTGAGCTCAATGTCTACTTTGACAAGGCATGTATCCTCTGGAGTTGAACTGTCCTATCATAATACCTTAGTCTCCCAGGACTCGAGGGTATATTGTAGCTGGTAGGGATTTGACTGCGAATATTCACCTTATGGACACTGGTGCCCAGTACTATCTGTCTGAGATTATTAGTTATTTTCCTGTTTACTTCGTATGAACAGTGATTGCCTCAGAAGTCAGGAGCTGTATTCACTACAACCCAGTAATCACTCATTCACTGGCCACCCATTGGGCGCTTGGAGGAAATGAACTCCCGAGTCTCGAGGTGCAAGGTTGTGCAATTCATTTGCTATGTTTGGATTTGAGTGTTATTCAGACTCACTCCACACCATCTCAGCTCTCCCTCTCCCTCTCACTTTCTCTCCTCTCCTCTCCTCTCGTCTTTGATTTTCCTCACAGTTCTTCATCATCTGTGAAGAGGCCGTTCTTCCTCTTCTTTCGCCTGCTCGCTTCCTTTCCAGAGATCATCTGCCGCACCACAAATCACCGACTCTGCCTGTTTCCAAACGCAGCTCTCTCCACGCAGGTATGCCTATCTCTGCTAGACCACACTCTTTGTTGTAATCACTCACCTTCTATACCTAGATTGACGCTCAAAGCTACGCGCCACTGGTAGTTAATCCATTCCTGGACGAGCAACCATGACGGAATTTGACATGGCTCCATTGAGCACCGCGCTCGATGATGTGGCAAACAACCAGGCCAACAAAGAGAACGACGCGTCCAACATCGCCCGCGCCAAGGGGTGGGTGGCCCCAGAAAGCTATGACTATGGAAAGTATACTACTACAGGCCCAACTACTGAGCAGCCTACTGGTAACGCAGCCGGGAACGATATCCCTGAGTGGGCGGCAAATGCAGCCAAGTACGAATGGAAGGACGAGTATGGTGATGTTGGCCCGGAGATACCTGAGCTCGAAGAAATGCTGTTTCGAAGCGAGTTCATCAACCGAGCTGGTCTCAAGATTGGAAAGTAAGCCAGCTGTTGCCTTGATGTTACTGTTACAGGTGACTAACAATAAATAGTTTGCAAAAGATTGAGGTTGTTGCCGAGAGTCGTGAGAGACCCAATCCTGTAAGAGACGTATGTCACAGATGCCTGAGAGTGCCGAATATAGCTGTGGTCCTGACTACTATAGTTTGATGACGCTGGCCTGCATCCGATAATGCGCAAGAACATTGAGCTTTGTCACTATGCACATCCAACGCCCATCCAGGCGTATTCAATTCCAGCTGTTCTCACTGGCCATGACCTGATTGCAATTGCTCAGACTGGTAAGTAATGTTATCTGTGCAATTACTTGCAATACCCCGCTGACACCAATAGGATCTGGGAAAACTGCGGCTTTTCTCATCCCGGTCCTCTCTCAGCTGATGGGCAAGGCTAAGAAGCTCGCCGCTCCTCGCCCTAACGTGGCGGCGCCTGGTTACAATTCCCATGCAGATGGAGTTCGAGCCGAGCCTTTGGTCCTTATTGTCGCACCAACTCGTGAGCTCGCAACCCAAATCTTTGACGAGGCACGGCGCTTGTGTTATCGATCTATGTTGCGTCCTTGTGTGGTCTATGGCGGTGCGCCATCTAAGAACCAGAAAGAAGAGCTGCGGCGTGGCTGCGATATCCTTATTGCGACTCCCGGAAGACTCCTTGACTTCATGGACCAGCCTCATTTGCTTTCACTGCAGCGCGTCAAGCAAGTCAATCGCCGAACTAATGAGACACATAGACTAACATAAAATACAGGTACACTATCATTGACGAAGCTGATGAGCTCCTCCAATCTGACTGGGAGTCGGACTTCAACAAAATCATGTCGGGAGGAGGTACGTTGAATCTGTTGCTGTCTCGTTTGCACTCTTGGAATTCTGACATCTACTTACAACAGATGTGAACGAGGATGCCGATCATCGTTACATGATGTTTTCTGCAACCTTCAACAAGGCTTGCCGTGAGTTGGCTCGCAAGTATCTTGCAGATGATCATGTTCGCATTCGTGTTGGTCGTCCTGGAAGCACTCACATCAATGTGCAGCAGAATGTGCGGCTCCCGGCAAATTGACTGCTTTCGTTGCTAACATTCCCACAGATCATATTCACCGAACAGCATATGAAGAAGCAGTGCCTCTACGACCTTCTACTCTCGATGCCTCCATCCCGGACTCTGGTGTTCGTCAATTCCAAGCCCAATGCCGACCATTTGGATGACTATTTGTTCAATATGGGCCTGCCAAGCACATCGATTCATGCTGATCGCACTCAGCGTGAGCGCGAAGATGCCTTGTAAGTATTCAAGATTCTGTCATAGGAATCCTTCTGACACAGTTAAAGGCGTGCTTTCCGCACGGCCAAGTGTCCAATTTTGGTGGCAACCGGAGTCTCTGCTCGTGGTCTTGATATCAAGAATGTCATGCATGTCATCAACTTTGACCTGCCTCGGGCTCATCACGGTGGGATTACAGAGTACATTCATCGTATTGGTTAGTAGGAAGTATCGATTACCCAGTCATCTTTGCTCACATGAGACAGGCCGCACTGCCCGCATTGGTAACGAAGGCTTGGCGTCCTCATTCTACAATGACAGCGATTCGGATCTGGCGACTGATCTTGTCAACGTTCTTCTTGAAAGCGGCCAGAAAATCCCTGACTTCCTCGAATCCTACAAGCCCGCGGATGATAGAATTGACTTTCAGGACGATACTGATGATGAAGACAATGGTGACGGCAACGCTGGTGACGACGCTGGCAACGGCTGGCACGGTTTTGACATGGGTGACAACGATGCTGGCAATGATATTGAGGTATCCAACATTAACTGGGATTAGTACTAGAGCTCTGACTTGTCTAGTTGACTGAAGCATTAACCCCTGACATCTCGATTCTGGGTCGAGAATCGACGAGGCATGGAGTAGAACCTTTGGTTCAACGGACTTTGCTGTTGTACTCAGAACTCTTTTTCCTTTCCTCTACTTGAATTGCAGTCTCACTGGACCAAGCGTTTCCTGATGTTGATCGATGAGTTAATACCTCCGTGGCTCTGACGATGATGCTGTTAGTTACCTTCCTTGTTCTAGTCATGCCTCTAAGATCTAGTGGATGCTATGGTGACTGAGTTTGTCCTCTGTGATGCAGGATCTATGGCCAACGACTATGGACGTTGGGTGGTAGATAGGGACAAAGGTTTGATTAACAGCGGTGTTCCCTGGTTGTCAGGCAGAGTCACATTCTGGAGGCCAGAAAAATCGTTCATCATAATCATAGATGATTTTCTACTGCCAAAATCCCGTGCAACCGAAGGGAAAGCTCCTTCCTAACTTAGGCAGTATAGGACTTGTAGTAGCGCTTTCCATTTTAAGAGTTCTTCTTCACCGAATGTCATGCCCGACTGCTGAACCTCGCTCTTTGGGGTTTGCAACTGTCAACGCATTTCCCGTACTGTACTCTGTCAAACACATTCAGTCGTGATTCTGAAGTGAACAACGGCACTACTAACCATGGCCCCGAGCATCTACTGCACTCTCTCGCTTCTCCTTCTCATCATCAACACTATCATCACTCCCACCCACTCCCACCCAAGCAACGCCACCACCGCCTCCTCCACCACCAGCTACTCCCGACATCCTCCACAACTCTCAGGGACCACCCAACAGCATCCTAATTGACACCTTCCAGCACCAAGATGTCAACGACCTCGGCCATTGGCACGGAGCCTTGGAAGGCCTGACGGTGCATCACGGGCCAGGCTTCGTGCGCTTCTTCCCCTCGGACCCGGATCACAATTACCACACCCAGCTCTCTGCGTCCTCGTGCTACGATCTCCGCGCCTACCAGCCGAGCCACTACTTGCACATCGTCTTCGGTGGCACAACCAAGTTTTCCATCTTCTTGAACGAGAACAATGCGGCCTGCGACTTCATGCGCAACCCTTTCCCGCAGACCTCGGACGTGGTTGAGGCGGTCCGCTACTCGCGCGGCAACGACATCTACATCCCACTCGCCCACTTCCACATCGACCAGTCCCGGGCCGTCTCCGTTAGCTTCGGCGGTTTCTACTCGCTAGAGCCCCTGACGCTGTACCGCGTGGAGATCGTCCCTTCGATCCCCGTGGGGTTCCCGGTCCCGCATCGCATGAACAACGGCCGGCTGATGTTGACGTGTACACGGCCCGGGTCGTTTGCGTTCGGCATCGATGACGGCCAGCCCAGATTCGCGCAGGAGGTCATGAAGATTTTGGAGGAGGAGCGTGTGCTGGTGACCTTCTTTGTAGTTGGACTGGGGTTACGGGATCGTGAGACCAACTTCTCCAATGTGTATCGCGAGATGATCAAGCGAGGCCATCAGATTGCTTTGCATTCGGATACACATCGAAAGTATGTCAAGCCTTTCTTCTTCTTCTTCTTCTTCTTCTTCTTCTTCTTCTTCTTCTTCTTCTTCTTCTTCTTCTTCTGTTTCAAAAGATGCCGGTTCCCATTCCAAACCTAGAGATAAGGAGTTTGCTAACTGGAAGAGCTATATAGAATGGAAGGTCTTGCTTCCACTGCAGAAATCGACCGCGAGATTGTCGAAAACATCATAGCTTTCCGGCAGATCCTGGGTATCGAGAGTAGGTTTCTCTGAGCTATCTTCCTCAGACTTTCCAAATTCGATCTACTGACTCCTCTCTCCGACAGCTCACTACTTCCGCCCCCCATTTGGCACTCTCGGAGCACGTACCCGGCAACGCCTGGCAAACTTCATCACCGAGCCACAAGTCATCACCTGGAGCGTGGACATCGAGGACTGGCTGTGGGCCGACTCCAAGACCCCGGAAAAACAGTGTGAGGCTTTTTTCCGGGACGTCATGCACGGGGGTAATCTGGCCGTCATGCATTTCCTGAGCGCGACGACTGTAAGCTACTTCCGGGAGGTGATACAATTTGTCAAGCGTCAAAACATGACGATTATGCGCATTGATCAATGCCTAGAAGACCCGAGGAGCCCGCCGTTGAAGTTTCCAATTCATTGATTTTGAGTCAATGTGATTCTTGGACCGCGAGTTTCTCTTAGACTATGCTGGGAGAGCAGATGAAGTATGAGGGTGCTGCATGAGTTGGTATAAAGCATATTGTATACGATAGAAGAAGCTCGCTAAAGAAGAAAACGCTGAAGCGAGAGACAGAAAAATAAATACCAAGATTTTTGTGTTCTCCTCACAATGGCAATATCAAACTGGAAACTCCTTATCTGGCGGTTGACAATGGACCCAAAGCTGTACAATACCCCCCATCGTGCTAATTATGATGAGGTGGGAAAATGCCAGACGCCCTGGTATGAATGCAAGCCAAAACAAAATCAGCAATGGAACCAAGGTGGCCTTGACCCAATCTCCGAGAACGCCATCGATTGCAACGCTTGCGATTTGCCCTCTCCAAATTGCCGAACCCAAAGGATATCCGGCAAGGGAAATAGATACCCATATCTAAGGCGTGCCGCAAAAAGAAGACCACAAACAGCCACCACGCCAAAGAGGAAGATAATAGAAAATAGAGAAGGGAAAAACAAGTCATCAGCTTGTGATTGATTTACTCGACCCGCGAATACTTCTGAGACGTTTTGTCTCTTTTTTTTTTTCTTTTTTTGTGCCTTCGCTTTGTTCTGCTTGTTTGGGAGCAAACCAACCCCCCCCCCCCCCACCCCCCCCCCAAAAAACACGAAGAGATTCTATAAACCAAAGTCCGGGCGACCACACCGTGGCGCCTGTTCTATCATATTCTCGATCGTGTTCAGGACCCACCCTGACCGCGCGTCGGGGTTACGGACGCCTAGCCGCGGCGTTTCACCGAGAAAGCAGACTCCCGCGCGGATGACGAACTGCGCACAATTGGGTGCTGCGGCGCAGACAGTCTGACACTCATGGAAAGTAGAAATTTCGGGGTGCTCTTCGTCGGAGAGGTTGTCCCAGCTGTCCCGGACGTTCGAAAGTTCGGGGTATATGAGTTCTTTGAAGACGTCGCGGTGGAGAAGGACGTGTTTGTTTGCCTAGTGAAGAGCGGGTTATGTTAGCCAATAAGGTATGGAGACAGGTGATGGGGAACAGATATGTGTGGCTCGAAGCCTTACACGTACATCTTGCCATCTGCGACGTTCATACTCGTATAGGTCTTGAATGTCGCGCGATGATAGGTGATGGAATGCAACCGCGGGAAAACACCATGGCTTGCGGTAGAAACCTGTGGCGAACTCGTCGATCTCGCCGAGGTTGGAGTTCTGTAGCATGGGCCAAGAGTAGTGCAAGGGCACGCCGGCGTCCGCAAGAACCTTGCCTAGAACGCAGTCGCCAGCCCAGTGCCAATCAGTGTACTCGTGCAATTCTACTGTCCGCGCGGCATACTCTTTGGAAGCCAGCTGCATGGCCGGATTGGAGACGAGGAAGCCTGATCCTCCATGCGCGAAGATGACGTCGGCGATTTGGGTCTCCGTTCCGATATAGTGCGGCTCGCTGGGATCGAAATGTGCGAGCCATGCGAGAAGTGTCGGCCACGAGAAATATGTGTCCGCCTCCATGAAGACGTACCACTTGGCATCGTCCTTGTAGGCCAAGGCCTGTTGGACCATCGGAAGGAATTTCCACTTATCAAGCTTCCAGCCGGGGTTGTTAGGTTTGCCGATATTGGAATTGGCTTCGTCAGCGAAGTCGGCGGACTCGAGACCGGCGCGGCCTCGTTCGCGGAGGCGGTTGTAGATGTCGAAGTCAGCGACGGTATCTCGCACTGTCGAGTCCATTGCGACAAAGGCATCGTGGATCATGACACCCTCAATTTCTTCCTCGAAGTCGGAGAATATGACGTAGTTGGGAACGCAACGGAGGGTGGTGTGGAAGTGGACAGGAACTTTGTCGAGAGATTCAGTGACACCAGTCTTCATCACGACGAGGACGTCCTCCATGCCGGGGAGGGGCGGGCATTCGGGCAAGGTGCGACGGGCCTCGTCATTTCCTTGAGGATGTAGCTCGGAGCGGAGAGTATAGAAGTGGTAGAAAAGACCGAGTCCCACGAGGGCGGAAATGGCTGCGAGGCGACGAGAGCGACGAAACATCCTCACAATAATTATGGTCGATGTGAGGGGAAGCGAGGGGAGAAGGTTGGTTGGGATTTAGTCCAGTAGGAAAGCCGACCTGCAGCGGAGTGGGACGAAGGGACAGGAGTGACAGATACGTAGGAAGATGCGACCGAAACAGCAGGACTATCGACTGATCCTCCAGATTGTTTGAGCCACGTTGATCATTTTCCACCTTCTCTATCAATGCGAAGGCTGCCCCTCCTCGAGTGGTTATTTTCTGGGGGATGGTCGAACGATAGGGTCGGATTCCTAGGAGCACGGGCAGGCACGCAGTCGTCAGGCGCTTAGCAAAAAGAATGGGACAGAGTTTTAAGGAAGAGACGAAGGAGAAGGAGAATCTGTAGATTAAGGAGATGAAGAAGGAGGGAGAAGAGCCACTGGAGACAGACAGGGACACAGGCATGGGAAGAAGATAGAGGCTAGAGAGAGCCAAGGGAAAGAAGAAAACGCAGCAGCAGCAGCAGCAGCAGCAACGAAGCTGTTCACAGTGGGACGTGGGAATGGCGACGTAGGAAGGCACGTAGGCAAATTGCAGATCGATCCACAGTTGTCTGGGCGATCTGGACAGTCCCTAAAATCCCTAACTACAACAGTGATCCTCTCTGTCTTGTCTGACTCTCAGCCCAGCAGTCGATGACGCGTTAGTGTCTCTCAAGGGCCCCGACGGAGCCATGGGTTGAGGAGGAGCTGCCATCCTGAAACCGCCCCTGACAGGCCCGGCGCTTCTCAGTTTCTCGGAACTTCTGACGGTAAGGAAGAATTTGAACACGCGGTGTTTCTTCTGCTGATCAATTCGACCACTGCTTCTATGCTTCATGATCCATGATTCATGATCCATGCCTGATTCACCACTTCGTTGTCTCGTTCTTTTGAGATCACAAGAAGAAGAAAAACAGGAGGGAGAATTGAAGAGCGCAGTCAAGAACGGGAAGAGATCCGCCCCAGGTTTGGGGGTTGGGGCTCTTCGTTTCCACCGCAGGCTGTCAATTCTCTGGGTACCACAGTTAGACCCTTTTCCCAACTGGTTCCAATTAATCTATTCGAGGGGAGGCCAAAACGGTCCCTGCGTGGCCTGCTAACTATGGTTTAAAGCTACTCAACTAAGCAGTGTCCCTAGCTCCTGATTTCTAACAGACAGACAAAACACCCTGAAACACATCCTCCAACGGTCGCAATATTTCACGTTCTCGTTCGGCGACGCGACCCGCAATCACCATCTATGCTACTTTGTACTGGGCGATCTTGTTGGAATGTAAATTGACCAACTCCGGAATGATCAAACTCTCGATCTCGACGCCTTCTTCTGCGGTGGTGACCACCTCGGGGGCTCGCCGGTCGCCCCCACTGCTTTCTCCCGTCAGCGCCGCTTCTTCGCCCGCCCGCTTGGCCTCGGCCAACCCAACCTGGTCTTCACTGCCGGAGATGCTCTTGCTGCGCCGCGCTTTAGGCACTCGAATCCATCGCTCATATGGGGGCTCCCGTGTGACAAATACCACCTCCCATTTGCGGGTGGCCAGCAAGTTTCCAATCACCAAATGATGCGCATACCGCTGCAGGGCAGTCTGCGCCTTGTACACCAGCAGATTGGGGTCGGTTTCCAGCTTGAAGGAGACTACCATGCTTCCGTCGGGGGCCCAGCCGTCAACCAGCCGGTGGAGAAACTTGGGCACAGGGTCCAGATCAATGACCAGCTTCTTGCTTCGATTCGGTTCTGGTTGGGGCTCCAGTCCTCCGGTGTATATGTCTGACAAAGCTTCGGTCTGACCGCTTGCCAGGTGGCTCGGCAATTCCGACGACTGAATCTTGTGCTCGGACATGCGATCGCGGGGAATGAAGAAATCACTCACCGCCGCCGCCAAGTAGAACAGAGCATTGGGACCCAGAGGCTTCATCAATTGCGCCAGTGACCGCAGCTCGAACAAATATTCCGAGATGGTTGTGAAGGGGAGAAGTAAGAGGAGGTTGTTTCGTTTGGCATATTTGTACTTGCGCAACACATCTCGCATCTGATCCTGGTATTCCTTGCACACGACGACCGGGCGGTTGTTCTCCGTGTCGGACTCGTCTTCGTCCATGAAATCGAGGAAGCAGTTGGTTGAGTGGCTGTAGTGTCTCGAGTATGGCAGCAGGCTGAACTGCCGGTGGAGGAAAATCACCGCATAGCCCTGTTGCAGGAAGTACTCCGCCGATACAGCACCTCTAGTGCCAGCACTGAAGTTGTCGATGAATCGCACGGTTTGGTTCTCTGCACAGGGTTAGCAGTATTTCTGGGGCGCAGTGCCCAGCTCACAAACCCAGAGGAACAGTGGTGCCTCCCGAGGTGACGAGCACCAGGCGCCGGCCGGCTTGCACATGAAAGTCGACAAAAGCCCGTGCAAGAGCTTCGTGCTTCGGGAGAGCTTTGGGGGGAGGGTAGTTGTTGAAGTAGACGGATTCAGCCTCCGCAGGAGTCATCTCTGCCGTCGGGGCGGACGACATATTGGTCCCGGCGAATTTCTGCGGCTCTGACTAACGATATCGTAGAGTTCCGTGGTCCCAGACCCTCAGCGACCTCTTGAATATTGCGAAATTCTGTGCGGAGTGGTGACGAGGTGAGAGACGATGAATGCGGGCTCGATAGTGGTGTCTGACGGTAGGGGACGGGTCGGCGATCAAGTCAAACGAGCGGAGAGGAATGCGGATGTGCGCTATGTTATGCTGAACTGTCAGCAATTAGTCCCGGATGCGACAAACAAAGCAGGACACGCACTTGCAATGTGCTCGCGCTGGCAGGCAGCAATTATCCTCTGGCAGGAACTCCTGAATGCGTTGCTCTAGTTATTTGATTTGAGGTGAACTGAGAAAAGGCGGGGGGAGGAGGGTCTCAACAATCTGACAGGTTGGAGGGGGAGGGGAGGGGCAGTTGAGCTACTAAGTTACTAACATGACTTGACTTACCGCCTTTCGGAGGTTATTCCTCGGTCGGATCTCCTCGGCACTGCATCTTCACGTTTTCCTTCCCATACTAAGTGCAAGTTGTCAGTCGGACGAATACCGTCTTTTGCGTACTTCCAAGGATATTTTGACAGCTTCTAGGACGGCAATGCCATGCACGACCTCGACTGCCGGCGAAGTACAGATTCCATATAGAGGCGTGCCCAGCCATGCGACAAAGTTCTTTCAATCGCCGAACGGCCGTGCGACACTGCACACCGAATGTACATAAAATTGCTTATTCTTAATTCTGACTCCGGATAACGCCGGGATCAATTCGATCTCCGCATACTCCAACACGCCTAGACCGAGGTGCTAGGTACAGTGGGTAGCGATGGTGGAACGCGGGATGCGCAACGTTACTAAGAATTGTTTCAGGTCGAGGTCCACGACGAAAGCTCGAGTCCTGCTCATTTGGAAATATAAACACAGACCATCACCTTACTGTGATCGATTTTCGAAACCGAAACAGTCAGTGTCGCAGAATTTCAACGTTGGAATTAACTCATAAGTTATCATCAGTCCAGCCCTCGAGACATTCTAGATTAAAGATAACTTAATATACTACCTACACTTCCCCCAATGACCAAAGTCCTCAATCGAACTCACTCCTTCCGAGGCCGGACCGCCTCCTGTGCCGCCGGAGCATCAATATGCGCTGACCACTTGGTCAAGGCGATATCTCCCGCCGTAAACCCGACATGGTATTGTTCATTGCCGCCAACCAGGAAAGTCATGGGGAAGCCGGGGTCGAACGGGGCGGCCAGGTCTATCTCGCGGATCTCTTCCTGGCTCAGCTCGATCTTCAGGGCCTCAATGTTGGCCTTGAGGTGCTCCACCTTGCGCTGTCCAACGATGGGATAGACGTAGGGTTGCTTGTAGCGCAGATATGCGAGAGCCTAGAGGGTGTCACAGATTGGGAGTTTAGCCAGCTATTTCCCCAATACACAAGCGCAGGATCACGCGCACAAGTCATCACGGAACATAGAAGCAGATGGTCCCCCGCCGGGGGAGGGGGTGAAGGGGGGAAAAGCAACTCACAATAGCATGAAGATTAGTACCCTTGCGCTCGGCCACCTTCTCCAAGACCTCCGAGATTTTCAAATCCGCCTCAGTAGGCTTGGAGCCCCGGTTGGAGCCCTCATGCTGCTCGGCCTGCTTCCTGGCCTCAGCGGTGCGGAACTTGCCGGCGCCGAGGGGCGCCCAGGGGGCGATGGCCATGCCCTGGTCGCGGCACATGGGGACGATCTCGCGCTCCATGTCGCGGTAGCCGGCATTCCAGCGGCCCTGGTAGACGGAGAAGGGGCGCAGGCCGTGGGCGCGGGCGTAGTCGTTGGCCTTGACGACGACCCAGGCGGGGGTGTCCGAGACGCCCAGATACAAAACCTTGCCGGCGTTGACGAGGGCGTTGAGGCCGTTCATAACCTCCTCGACGCCCGTGGTGAAGTCCCACCAGTGCACGTACAGCAGGTCGATGTAGTCGGTCTGTAGCTTGCGGAGGCTCGCGTCTACGGACACGCGCATCGACTTGATCGAGTTGCCCGTGTAGTTGGACTGCAGCGGCTGCGTGTCGAAGTGCGCGATCCGGTACCCCGTCGTGTACTTGGTGGCGATGACCATCTGGTCGCGGTTGTTGCGCTCTTTCATCCACTCACCGATCCAGGCTTCCGACTGTTCATACTGGTAGGCGTTGGCACTGGGAGGAAGGAGGAGGAGGTTTTAGTGTGGGGTTCGATGGTCAAGAGGGGAGGAGACCTCAATCGGGAAGAAAGAGGGGAGGAGGAGGAGGAGGCGTACTTACGTGTCGATGAAGTTTCCGCCTTCGTTGAAGAAACAATCCAGCAAAGCAAAGGTGTCCTCTTTGTTGCATTTTCCCATGAACTCCTCCCAAGCGTCACCAAAGTTCATTGCTCCCAAGCATAGAGGGGAGACCTGCCCTCCTTTAGCATTCCGAATCAATCAATCCGGGGTCAAGAGGCGGTCGTTGTTACCTTGACACCAGCGGTGGGAGAAAGGACCTGGTGGTAGCCCAGCAGGCTCTTGGGTTTCGGGGCCTTAGGAGCAAAGGACATGTTGAGGGTTGAATACTGAAATGGGGGGGAATATTCGATGATGAAAATGAACGGGTCAATGAGAAGCTGGAGGAGTAGAACCCGCGAGTTCTCAAGGGCCTTATATACCCCAGAAACCGTAGGCTTCTGAGCATTCGTTGCAACGATGGTCCTTGACATGACATGACGCAAGGGTGGTGGAGCCTGGCTACTCCGTACTAGAGTTATCGCCGAGCTTTAAGTCCTGGGTATCTTGAGTGTCCCAGACAGCTTCGCACCCAAGCTTCGGGGTATGACTAATCCGGGGTCGTATAGAGAGCTGCTAGCCGGGAAATGCAGACCTAGAGCAGTGGTAACCAGTAATCAATCGATCCAAGACCCTTTGATGATGTTGCCCTTTGACATGGTCCATGATGACCAGTCCCTTTCAGTTTTCTTATCTCCGTGCTGACAGCGCTAGTCCCTCTTCGGATAGCTGTAGGATTTAAGCTCAACCTCGGCGGAGTTAATGGGAGTAAGTCATAACTAGTTGAGAAAAAGGATTACATGATAAATGCACATTTGACTTGATCAAACTTGAAATTAAATGGTTGTGGGCCTTGCTCTACCAGGATAATCGGGCAGAAATGTAGTTAGCTTAAGCGCAAGTACAAAGAGCGTGAAAACAAGAATTCATATCAAGGCAGATAGCGACTTCGCAAAGCCTGGCTGATAGTACTCATGCGGCTTGCCATTCCTCCATGCTGCATATTGCTCATGATGGCCTCCTCGAGCGCCGACTGCGTGACGCTGGCATCTACAGATGGGCAACAGTCAGCATACATTCATCTACACGGCGAGCAGAACCTACCATCTAGATCACTAAAGCTACTTCCCATACTAGGCGTACCGTCGCTGGTTTCTCGACCAGCAGATGCAAGAGACCGGCGCGGACTGAACGGGGCTCCTTCGGGACCGCGACGGGGGCTCAATGTGCCGCCGCTTTGATGCATATGTCGACGACGATCAGTGGCTGGGAAAGTCACTGGAACACCAGAGCTGACTGAGCTCGTGGATGACTCGGCCGTGGGGGGCTTTCTATGTACATGGATCTGTTGTTCGGTGGGACGTCGTCGGGGGCCCGCAGGTTCGTCCTCGTTCATCCGTAACGTGGCATTGAGATCTGGACCCGAGGGATGATGATGAACGTGAGCTGGACCAGATGACAGGGGTAGGAAGGCAGGGGAATCATCCTCCTCCTCTTCATCATCTCGTAGACCCGGTTTATGTGTGGAGAACTTGCCGAAGGGCCTAAATCTGAGTCCCCGGCGGCTTGCCATCCGTTCGTCCTCGTCGGATTCTGACTCGGAGGAACTACTAGTTAGATCTTCTTCTTCCAGAGTCGGCGACTTTGGCACAGGGGGATCTCGTCGGCTGCCAGATGGCCGTGAAGTGTGAATTTCTCGAGTCGGCTCTTTCGGCTCGGTCGCCGCGGGCTCGGTGCGCATCGGTTCTCGGGCGGACTTTAATTGATTGATGGTTGTTGTCGAGCTTGTGCGTCTTGGAATCGGAGCTTCTACTGTTCAGCGAAGGCGTTGTAGGGCAGGTTGATTGAGCTGTGTGGGACTTACCTCGTTGGGGCACAGGCACAGGCTCTTTCTGTTGCGAGGCCAGACGACTGGTAGTTCTTGGGGCTTGGAAGCTATTAGAACAGACACGCACGCAATGCAGCGGAGAACAGCTACCATACCATTGTTTGAGGCACCTTTGGCTTGACCGAGGGCAGCACTGCCGGATATTGAGCCGGGAGCGGGCGAAGTCGAAGTCGATTGCGTGGTTGGAACCTTGCGCATTTGTGCACGCACTTGTGATAGCTGACGATCGTAAAGCCACGCTGCCTGCTGAAGTAAAAACTGAAGCGTGACTTCAAAGTGATCTGCTCTTCGTTCAGAGAGACAAGTCAGTACGTGTGTAGAGCAAAATTGTGGTGTGTGTTGGTACAATGCTTTCCCTGGGTTTGTTAGCCATTGGCGCATGGTTTGGACTTTGTGGAAGTAACCTACAATCTAGATCATCGCCTTTGGAGGGGCGTGAGAGAATGTCCCAAAGAGCTTGATCTTTGGCTGCGTTCCATTCCATCTATTGATGTCAAAGCCAGTTCTACTTTTTTCTTCGATATGTAAGACTAAGTACGTACTGGGGGAGGGTCCACAAAGTCACCCCTGGGGCATGGTAGGCGGATAAAGACGGTGAACCTGGTGTTCCCGGAGTGATTCAAAGAGGTCATTCTGGCGATGACGGACTTCAACAGAGTGTTGTATATACGGATAAGGTCATCAGAGAGCAGAGAAGAACTAAGAGTATTTTGGATAAGGCAACAGCAAAGATTAGTCTACTGCTGCCATGCGGAGCATGAATACAAGGATAGGATACCTCGTGGTGATCGTGATTCAAGCGGTGGAGTGACGGGTGCGCGCCACCGATGTGTTGTTGCCCGCCAATCATATCGTGGCGGTGCTTGGCTGCCAGAAGTGGCGGTGCAGCTACTCCAAAGGGTAAACAGGCTTACACTGTAATTTTGTTACTAGTGACTGTTTCGGAAGAAAAACATCCTCCGCTAATGGCGGGTGAGGGGCCGCGGATACTAAGATAGAACAAAGCTATACAAATGATCCCCAACAGCGGGATGAAGATAACCTGTTGGATATTCGTTAGGGTTGCATTTGCTCGCATATGAGAGTGATGAGGGTTTTCAGGCTCAAATCAATTGTCCTCAACGACCGCTCTACATGATAAATATACCTCCCCAATTGTCCTTGACAGGATTCGTTTTACCTTCCAAGACAACCCAGAACTACGATTATTCGACGACAAATCCAGCGCCGCTTGGGCATCTCAAATCCCTAAAGGTTGGTCAAGCGTACAATTCCAAGATGTTCACGGACACGAACTACTCAAAGGCATTGGAATGTACCACAAATTGCACTGCTTGTCATCACTCCGGACACACGTCGCGGAGTACTTGTCCGGATCTACGCGGAAAGAGTCAGTCGACCAAACTGAAGCCTTGATCGAGCAACTCCACCTGGGGCATTGCTTGGATTTTATCCGATAAGTCAGTATATAGGTCTATCTCGCCTCGTTACATGCCATCGCTCACTGCGGCAGGACATTCTTTGCACAGCGGATATTGCCTTGGAGCCTCTGAATGCACAGCTGGAACCTACCAGTGGGCTTGGGATTGAACATGAATGTGGTAACTTCGCGGCTCTAGAGGCGCTAGTACAGTTCGCTGGAAAGAGCACCGGTGGCTAGGCCCCATCTCTTCGGCCCCTTTTATCTCCACATCGGTCAATTATGAGTGAGCTCCGTGATCCGTCTTTGCTCCGCCCACGCACGGATCAATTCATAGTCTTTGCATACATAAATCCCTCCGCTGCCGTCCGTTCCCGGGGCCTTCATCTCCCCCTGTCCCTCTAATGCTGTGTCACCGCAACACTGGATAGATTGACGAAGGTAGTCGAAACAATGGTCCACGTGCCAGAGGTCATCTTCGTTCAGCTTGTTATTAGAACCCACGTGATTGAAAAGCAAGACATCGTAATGATGCATAATCATGTACTAGATTTTATAGTCAATGCTGAGCTAGCGTGATTCACACGGAGGTTTGTATATACGCTCACCAGGCAATGCAATTGGTGGAAGACCGCTGGTGTAAACACTTGCTTTTCATCGATCTTGGAAGGCTATATCGCTCAGGCTTTCCAACTGCCACAAAGCCATTACCTTCTACAGATAGCTGGTGGATGCATTGCTCAGTACAGATGCTTTCGTGTGCGTCAGACGAAGTGAACCTACTCGGCAATAGTGATAGCCACCGCTCACTCACTTCCAAAATCGACCGATGAGACTGATGATCGGAGACAAACTCTTGGTGTGGCCAGAACACGATCTCTTTCGTTGCAACTGTGCATGGAACCTCTGCGTCAGAAAATCCTAGGTGGCCTGCCTGTTGGTTATACTATCTGTTCTGACTCGCATTCCGGGACGAGGCTGTTGGTCTCTCTTAGGGAGAACTCAGATCTTGTCCGAGATAGTCGATAGATCACAATAAAATTGATGAGAAGTGATAGCGAAACAATAATCCAAGGGATCCCTGAGTTACGGCAGAAAGAGTGTTTCGATAATAGCTGTTGCCCTCACCTGTGCCGGCGAGATGCATCCAAGTCATTCTCCGATTCAATCCTGGTGTAGCGCACTGTCATTGTGTTTGTTGAGCAATGTTTGACTCTTATTTTAGTTTCCGTTTTGCAGGCGCAATATGAGGTCTTAAGTTCGAGAAGAAAGCCCTATTTCTTCAGATTTTTCTTGCTGAACTACTCCATGTTGAAGCTAATTTGAGCTGATCTCGGCTCGACCTGCCGGAAGTTGTTTGACGCTTAACTCATCTCGTGCTATAGGACTATAGCAAAATTAGCTAGCCGACAAGACAGCTTTGACACAAGCGCGCAGGAAAAAGCCATGGTTGATCTTTGCCCCCCGGCTTTCCCTTTTCTCTATTGCACCTGAACTGCGAGAGAATACCTGAGCCATCTTGCGATGTATCCTTCGGAAACAAGACCTTGTAGTGATTCCACATGTGCAAAACAACATCATCTTTTATTGTTACCTGCTGAGATCCGCCTTCTAATCTACGAGGCAGTATTCAGCCACCATGTCTGCTCTATTCAACGAAAGCCAATTGCTGTTCAGTGTAAAATTTCGGAGCGCTCCTTAACGATACAGCCAGACCCTATGCGACAACCCTCATACATACAACAGGCTTGCAACCACCCAGAATGCGCGACAACCCAGCAAAAGGTCCTCCAATCCGATCATTACACCGGTCTCGCACCTCGGATCGCATCCCAAAACTACCCTTGTCCGCACGACCTTGCATGCAATTCTATGAATCTTTCTTTTCTTCTTACCTGCCGTCTCATCTACTATGAAGCCCGCCATTTACCCTATATCCGTACTGTATTTTTACCCAGGAGGTTGGAAGTTTCTCCAATTTCACCTTTTGTTTATGGCGCTGGCAAGTTCAATTATTACGCTATCTTGAAATCCGTGTTCCACCAGAGCAAGGAATGGATACTCACCTCGCTGAGTGGAATGAGACCTTCTCGTTGATTAGTCTCGGTTTCTCCAATCTAGCTGCCATCTCTATTCAGATCTATCTCCGTTTCCCGATGCAAACGGTACGGGATACATTTTGGGATGGAGGTCTCCTTGAGCTCTGCCGCCTGAAAGGTCTTCAGGGCATGAGGCTCTCTGTTCTCAAGTTTGACTCCGCCTGGCCACCAACTGAAGACGCTGAAATCTTCTTCGCATACTCTGCCGGCGCAATACCCTCTGTCATGGAAAATACTAGCGGCAGAGAAAGACGAGTTCCAGTCCACCTCTCATCGTCCTTGCCACCTAATGAACATATCTGCTTCCGCCGTGCGCGCGATAAACTCAGAGAGCAGGTTCGACAAGACGCCTCCATCGGAGAGGAGTGGACATCCCATGACTCTTATCACTCTGGCCAGCTCTTCTTCCGCTTCTCTCCAAATGTCTTCCCGCTCTATGTCCGCCACCTGATCCACGCCCTTCCCCGCCGGTGGCCGCATCGAACGCACGCGGACATCCGGCGCGAGGATCGCTTGCATACAAATAAAACAGAGTATGCGTACGTCTATCGCGAGGACAATTCGTGCTCGGAGCACCATCGGCGGCCAATTTTCGGGTTTCAATTCAATCCGAATGCGACACTGAAACATGATGACGAGTACATTGCACGAGGACTGACGGCATTGCGGCTGTCGCGCGAGCGACTGTCCCGCAAGCGGCTACTGCGTTCTTCATCATCATCATCATCTTCTTCTCCTTCCAATTCATTTCCTTTTTCCTCCACGGGCCGGCAACGAGACGAGAATGACACTCGACCAACATTACCATCACCCAGAAACCGGGGGCAAGGCGAGCCTCGCTATTCACGAATCGATGCCTTGTCATCAGCACGTCAACGCCGGGCGAGTCCGGTTGTTCCTGAGGTTCCTCAGAGTCGTTGGGAAGTGATCCCAGCAGAGAATGAAAGACCGGGCGATTGGAGACGGCGACTCACAGAGGAGGCGTTTGCGCCATTCCTTGAATCGCTTCCCATGGCACTCTCATAAGAGTGAAAGACTGCCAGCGAGCCATCGTTGCTGATCAGATATCCTGGCAATGACTGCATTTCGCCTAGGGATGATGATCAGATTGCTGAATTCTGTGCTTGGGGGAGTTTTGTGTTTGTTGGCGGGGGGGGGGGGGGGGGAGGGAGCGCATGGACGCCTTTGTCAGACCTCGTGATTTCTTTGATTTCTCCGGTAGATCAAACGTCTGAAACTATTTACACTCGTCGCTGGAGGGCAATTGCGCAAGGGTGAGGCAGGTCGGTCGTATACATCCATCGGACCCGCAAACATTTGTAATCTCCGAGCTTTACCCACGCAATTACCTGCACAGCCATGAGAAACCTTAGAGATGTCGTAGCCAGAGACTACCATCGTATCTCCAATGGAGGTAAATTTATGTCGGGATCTCTTTCAGCAATCTGATGAAGTTCAGTAGCTAGGGCTTTTGTTCCCGCAGAACCCGTGAATTACCCGGGTAGGAACGAATCCGGACCCATTTGGTGTTGGAAGATAATGCCTAGACCTACTAGTTAGGTATGAGTACGTTCCTCGAACTCGATGACTTGCGAAGCGGGTAATTCATGTCTTGACACCAGTTTGATACAAGAAAAGGATAGAGCAAGTCTCGGTTTTTGCATACTGCCGCCGCTCCATCTGCAAGCTGCATGGTTATTTGACATGAATTGAGATGGGTGCTTGCATTCAAGAGTTGAAGTTCTCTTGGACTGTTTATGTTCAGGTCAACCTCGAATCAATTGAAGAACATTTGAATATGTCTTGATACTTACCCTGTTCTCCAGGTCACTTACCAAGCTAGAAGCAGTGCCAATTCACCCTTACAGCATAAAGAAGAGATCACTTCAGTTCCACAAGATTACAGTTTGGTAGAAGCATGCATTTACGGCAGTTCAAGTCTTTCTTCCGAGGTCCAACTCGTCACACGTTGGACTAACTATAATATGACTTATTCATAAACCATGTCCATGCTGCTCACAATATGTTAATATAGTATAGTTTTTAAATACTTAGAAAGATTAATAATAATAGATTCTAGAAATAAATCGATTTTTAAGTTCAAGTACTTAATAATTGTTGGCCGCCCTATGGGGGTTGCTAGCAGCGAAGATCATTCATGGGATCAAGATGGTTGTTATTCTCTCTAGTAGCAAGTAGCTGCGTCAATGCAATTTACACTGGTCGTTTCAGGTATCCTTGCCTTGTGATTGTTGCTACTAGTGAGCCCACTACTAGCAGTACTGTAATACTAGCACAGGTTATTCCAGCCTAACCTGCAGGGATATATATTGTGATCCCAAACGCAGCTTGAAATGATTGGTTAGTTATACCTTTAATTGAAAATGGACCATATTGAACACTGGAAATATTCTGAGCACCCTGGGAGCTCCCAAATTGGTTGTCTGGCAGCGAATCAAACTTGAAGTAGCAGACATTTCTATACGAGAAAGATCACATCCGTAAATCATTATTTGACAAGAAGTTCCGAAATAGAAACAAAGCTCTGTCAAATAGTGCGGTAATAGGCAGCACAGATCCCACTGCTACACCAGCAGAGAGTCGAGAATGCAGGAAAGGAGTGATTGGAGCCTAGCCCGAGTGGGTACCAGATACTACTCAATTCATCAATTAGCCTTGAGGCCTTGATACGAAGTCAGTCTCATTACAACAAAATCAAAAGTCTAGTAGTAACCAAATCTGGATTGTCTCATAGATGAGCCAGCTCATCGAGCATTATATCCCTTTTCACCTAGTGAACCTAGTATCATCTCAAACCAGCTTAATGTCAACTGACCCTGTTCGATCTCCCTCGCAGCGATCCGACTAGCAAAGGTTCCAGCCAAATATATCCATTCGAAACCTCCTAGCGCTAGATAAGTGGAGACATGCAGGTTTTCAAGAAGGCGTGGGCCACAAAGAGAATTGATCGGACCCCTATTACCCATATACAAGTGGCACCCGATCCAAGTGCGGTGTTATACAAGTGACTACTAGTAACATTGTAAGGCTCGCGACTATAAGTTACCTGAAGACTCGAAACACCGAAACACTTCAGCACCTGGTACTAATGGTGTCATGCAGGGTTCTGGATGTTATGCATAGTATTATCATCAGCCATACGGTGCAGAAAGAGACAAACTTGGGTCTTTTCAGAGAGCATCGTTATGATCGGGGCGCGAAAGATCGCGATCTCGATCTCGGTTATTCGGCCACGCGCCAGCGCAGGCTGACGTATTCATTTCTTCCTTCATGACTGGCACTGTGGGACCTCAGCCCATAGCTTTCCGATGTTTATGGTTAACAGAGCCGCCGATCACAGGTCTCAGAACTGCTAGTACATTCTATTACATCTTTTTGTTTGTCTATCATGGCACCTTTCATAGGACACATTAATGGGGAAATAGGGCGCACAGTCGGCTACACGGGTGTTCGAACAATCGAAGAAAGCAAGGGATGCGGCGCGAGCGCTGACAAGGTTAGTCACCCTGCTCCCCTTGAACCGGCTCTCGGTCAATGCAGAGTCGACAGCGGAGAGGTCTTTGACTCCGTATGTGCAGAAGTTGCGACATGATGCTACACTGGAGATTGCCGAGCCGCCGTTATCCATGTGGACATTTCCTTGACAGCCTCATCTCGATCATGACGGTGACGCCTCTAGCGAAAGATCATTCAATCTTTTCGAATAATAATCTCTGTAGTTGCGCGAATGTAGTTGTCTTCATGACTCTCTGGCTGCGGCCATTGCCGGATCTCACTCTCCTGGGATGATGCGGCGGATTTTGTCGTACTCCGATCCATTCCTCCCATCTCGATGATATTCTCCTCGCTCTCCGATGGTGACAGTATCTCTGTGCGTCCAATGCGGGAGTCGTAGATGGTGTTGAAATGTCGACTGGATCGCGTCGCGTTTCCAGTTTTGGCACGAGTATCATTTGTTTGCGGACCTGTTCCGTATCGGGGGTCGTTGTACTTTCCCTGACCGGCGTAATTACTGGATTTCAGAAAGGAAATCGTCGATCTCGCCAGAGACCACACAAATGGTAGGTTCGTCACGTACATGCCGATGGAGGCTTCGCGGAGGTACCAGAACTGATAGCTGTTGTCATAGATATTTTTGAAGGTGAAGTATTTGGAAGTAATAGCGCATGCAAGCTGGCACAATCACCAAGTCAGTTGCAAGTTCCTATCGCAGTATGCACTACCGGCCTTGACACTTACAACCACGAGGCCCATCGAAAATACAATGATCACTGGCAGTTTGGTCTTCCATGCCATTTGCGCGCGCATGAACATTGGCAACACGACAGAGAGAATCATGACATCCGAAGAAATGTTGAAAATTGCCTGGGTGATCTCGTAGATTCTATAAGTGGCACACTCGCTTTCTGGGGGAGGCAGGGTCCAATGCCCTGTGAGATAAGGCTTGCAGTCGAGGAACAGCACGAGCTCGGAGACGATCCAGCCGCATAACGTGTATATACCACAGATTATGACCACTCGGTTCTGCCATAGATTTTTCCTGTTGGGGCAATTCCGTAAGACAGGCATTCTTGCCCAGAGCCGATGGGGAGATGACCTTACGTGAGTCGGAAATAGACCATCAGCATACAAGCCTTTAGTAGGTATATGGTGCAAAGCTGGCACTGTGCAATGGCTGCGTTAGCACTCACATTCCGCTTGTGCCATGATGGTGGACGATACCTTACATTTTCTGAAGCGAACTCGATCTTGGAACCTTTGACCCTCGCCGCAATCTCCGCAGCGGTAAAGGTTTCATATTGTCCAGGCTCGTATAGATTACTTCCTCCTCCCTCTGCTATCTGGATGTTGGTGACAGCAAATGCTGTATAGAACCCCTGGTAGGCTCAAGCATCAGCGTTTAGGTGGTAGGCCCAGTATTTAGGTCCGCAGGCACACTTACCACGGCCGCAAGCATAAGGTAATCTTCCACCTGGAACACCCAGCGCATTCTCAACCATCGTCCATATCTAGAGAAGTTATCAGCAAGTTGAAATACTAGTCTCGGCCAGTCCCACATACATCCGCACGAAGAACAGCAGCATCGCAATGCTGTACATTATCCAGGTGCTGACCACCAGGTCATGCGAGGAGCCACCGCCATCAGTGGCCATCGTTACCTCCGTTCGATCGGATTGAAAAGCATGAGAGGCATGCTAGCTACTCTGTACGTAAGGAGTGCTAGTCAATATCTTTTTATGAAAAGGGAGGCAAAGGTGGAACAAACCTAGGGACTCCAAGGTGCTGACAAAAAAATGACCCACACAGGCCGAGAAAACGGCTGGCCGCTGTAGGATCCCAACTCGAATCCTTCGTTCGGTGTTCTGGAGAGGTGCATGCCGTGCCAGCCAACTGCCAGCCTACTGCAATCAAAGTGGCAGCAAATCATTGTCAAAGAACCAACCTAGTGGCCACTAAACTCGTTTGTCCTCATGCAGCGGTTCCGGTTGCCAGCATTCTTCTGGAAGGCCCCTGAATCAGCACGACACCTCATAATCAACCCTTAAACAGAAATCTTGCATAAGGCACGCTTGCCAAAGGGACCTTTCGATTAATGCCAGTGCGTGCTGACATGCACAGCTGTTCCAAAAATGCGTCGGAATCCAGAGCCCAGGGTCACTTGACCGGTTATTCATCATCGTATTGCTAGAGAGGCCTGGCTTCCTTTTCCGTGCCGAGGCCCATAAATCCACCGAGCTTCTGTCCAAGTCAGGAGACAATCGTGATGATCCGATCATTTTCTGGGAGTACACCATTTTGCCGATTCATAACCAATGCCAGTGTCCCACAAATTGCACATTTTGATAGGCTCGTTAAACGTGGGCTAAACGTGGGCTAAACGTGGGCACGCCTGTTCTGAGTTTCGCGGCGACAACCACAAGTTGTTATTGCAGATGGCAAAACCATCTTCAAGTCATTGGCGTACTCGAATAAATTAGCTGCGTGTTCCCCTCCACTCAACTGTGGAGCGGCAGTCATAAGCCTGCAGGCAACCCGGCTAAACTCTCGGAAGCGCCAGAAGCTGATCGGAATGCTCCGATGAGTCGCAGTTCGTCATTTCGAGTTTTCTCGCTTGGATTTAACTAGGACTGTAGAGCATTAGCAACAAGTGCAACCTGGGCTACAGCTCCGACACTAACGAGAAGTGGAGGACCACTTGTCATTCGAGTATGCTTGGGATCCAGCGCCGACTTCTCGGTCTAGAGCAATTTCAACTAAAGCAATAAGGGAAGGTGTAATGGAGAAACAGCCATAGCACTCGACTAGTTTGCCGGTGTGGAGTCAATCCTCGATCGTGGCAACGAACGGACTGGGACCAACGGCCAATGAAGACTGAGAGAGACGTTTGGGGGGATGAAGGAGCATATGCAGTGGGGACTTGGACATCGAATACTCCGTCAAGCAGACGGCAGCGCGGGTAAAGCTGTCGGTCAAAGCGTGGCACTTGCTGGCCCCCATAAGTGTCCTTCACAGCCAACAGAGATTAGAGATTTTAGGGGGATTTAAACCTGACTGGCATTGCGGCAGTACTGTGGTTGACTCCGTTGATTTTGTTAGTACGGTGGAGAGGTGTAGGGATTGAATCCTTCTCAAATCGCCATGCGAAGCTTTGAATATCAACTCTGAATGGCCCTTTGAAGTATTAATAATCATATGAACGGCAGAATCCAAAGGATTCAAATCCCTGCCCCTCTCCACCGTACTAATAAAATCAACGGAGTCAACCACAGTAGGTTGCTGAACTAGTAATGACTGGTGTGCTGTAGGAGACTCGACTACTATTTAGTGGCCAATATCATGCCATGAACGTGTCCAGTAACCTGAATTTAATGATTCAGGTATCCAGATGGAAGTAGCAGCAGAAAGTTAGTTACTGTGTAGTGCCTTCATGGCTGGCCTCTTGGCCTTTCTTGGCCTTAGCGGCCCTCTTCGGGCTCTTCACTAATTCCTCCCTGCAGTAAGAGCCACGAGTTGCAGAAACTTACCCCTGTCAATCAAAGGCCCTGCACTATATAGGTTGTGAGGCGGTGATAAGCTAGAAGACGCGAATAGGTTGACAGGGCTGGCACTTGCACAAGGTTAAATCAACCCGGACGAGATCAAATGTTTAAATGTGAATGTTTCCATGGGTCGGCCACGGCGAGCATGATTGGGGGTGGTCTTAGCCAACTCGCTAAGCATTGCTAAGCCCACCTAAGCATTGGGTGGCGGCTTGTCCCGGCCGACAAAACTTGCCATGCGAGAAACAAAAAAAAGTTAGCAGAGAAAAATTCCCGACTGCCAAGATAACAATTTACCAATTTATCTCCGCCGATTGTTTCCAATCAAACCGGCCTGGTTTTATGAAAGAGGAAGACTATAAGTTATCCGTTCGCTACATGACTAGAGAATTCTAAGTTGCTAGTCGTTTGCTCTATAAGCAGGGCATCATATCCTGTCCATCTGCTCTTTGTTTCTTCTTTTTCCCTTTTCTTCCGTCACGCAGGCTGGACCAGCTTATCTTTCAGCCTAGACTTCTTATCTCTGGTGGTGGCCCTCTTCCGGAACTTTGACACTTTCAGACAGCCCAGGCTTTCGCGGATACATAGTCCGATCAGACCTCAGCATGGCCATCCCCATGCATGACGAAGAGAAGGCTATGAGAGCTTCGCTCTCTGCGCCTTATGATTCAGGCAAAGAGTCTACCGCCTCTCCTGCCTCGGGAGGCGCATTTTCAAGAGTGAACGATGCGATTTCATCTCTCAAGCTGCTTGAGAGGCGGGGTATCGAGAGGGTACCCGAAACCGAACGGCATAGCTCCGTGACGACTGCTGACTACCTGAAAATGGGTGTTCTGTGGTTCTCGACCAGTATCACCGCTAACAATGTTGCCGTTGGTATGTACGGGCCGTTGGGATACTCATTGAGCTTTGTGGACTCTGCTCTCTGTGCCACATTTAGCGCTTTCTTGGGGGCTGCTGGAGTGGCGTATATGGCCACCTTTGGCCCGCAAAGTGGCAACCGTACAATGGTGAGTGTTGCAAAATATTGATTGGTTTTGATGGTCTTGCTGATGTGTGGCATTGAAGGTTGTTGCACGATACTTCATGGGCTACTATCCCAGCAAGATTGCCTGTCTGTTGAACATCATTATTATGCTTGGATATGGTATGATTGATTGCTTGGTGGGTGGTCAAATTGTGAGTTTTACCTTCTACCTTTTAAAACCTTTCAAGACCCTATCTGACGGTTTCCGATCGTACCTAGCTGGCTGCGGTGGCTGATGGGAAGATGACTGTTGTGGTCGGTATCATCATTGTCGCAATTCTCACTTGGTTGGTTGTCGTCTTCGGTATGAAACCTTTCCACGCCTATGAAAGGTAAGCTCTCGCATCTCCACGCCGCATTCCTAGAGTTGTGCTCACCATCACAGATGGGCGTGGGCTCCTCAACTGGTTGCCATGTTTGTTCTTGTGGGTTGCGCAGGCCCCAACTTCGATACCTCCCTCGTATCCACCGGCAACACTGAAACTTTGAACGCGGATCGCCTCACATTTTTCTCATTGTGCCTCTCAAGCTCCGTCGCCTGGGCTCCTGCTGGTGCTGACTTTTTCGTCTACTTCCCGCCCACCACCTCCAAGTGGAAGACCTTTATGTCTGTCCTGGTCGGTCTTGGGCTGTCCTTGACCTTTGCCAACTTGATGGGCGTCGGCCTAGCTTCGGGCACCCTGACGAACCAGAAGTGGGCCGATGCCTACGATACATCGTCTGGTGCACTGATTCTGGCCGGGTACGATGGCCTCGGCGGGTTCGGCAAGTTCTTGGGCGTCATCATCGCTCTGGGCTTGGTCTCCAACAACATCCCCGGCACGTACTCCGCCACTCTCGGCTTCCAGATCATGGGCCGGCATCTCGAGCGTCTCCCGCGCTGGTCCCTGGCCTGCGTCAGCACCATCATTTACACCGCTTGTGCCCTTGGTGGCCGGAACCATCTCTACGACATCTTCGAGAACTTCCTTGCCCTCATGGGCTACTGGGTCTGCATCTACCTGACCATTGCGCTCGAGGAACACCTGATCTTCCGCCGCAACCGGGGCTTCGACTGGGACGCTTGGGCCGATCGAGCCAAGCTGCCCCTCGGCATTGCGGCGCTGACTGCGTTCCTCATCGGCTGGGCCGGAGCGATCGTCTGCATGGACCAGGTCTGGTATGTTGGGCCCATTGCCAAAATGGTCGGCTCATACGGTGCCGATCTGGGTATTTGGGTCGGTTGCTCGTGGGCCATGCTGGTATACCCGCCGCTGCGGTACTTTGAGCTGAAGAAGTTCGACCGGTGAACTTGGAATATTGGATTGGTTGAGTGGAGGGATAAAAGGTGGAAGGTCCAAGGTCGACCTTCTGGTTTGGATAACGTCCAGTCGCGGGAATCACTTCATCCCGTGGTCATATATATGATCCAGGCAGGGCTGGGTCCCTAGCATCTACGATGTCTGTGCATGCGTTATGGAGTTATGTATTACTTCATGTTATAGAAATGCTCGAGTCATGTTGGTAATGCATTAATGTCTGAAGTATAATAAGAATTATTTATAGCATAATAGTGCTGAAACTTGTGTCAAGTGTAATGCTGTTAATTAGTTGTGGTCAAACTGCACCTTACTCCGCTCGCTGCCTCCTCCATGTCAAAAAGACGACATAGAACTTCTCCTCCGTCAGCGGATCGAAATCCTGCTTCTTCTTCGGGTCAGGCTGGCCGGCAGCAGCAGCAGTAGCAGCAGCAGCAGCATTGCTTCCCTCGGCTTCCTGTTGCTGTCCAGCAGCCGCTGTGGCAGTCTTGAACTCCTTCTCCGCATCGAATGGAACCAGCCTCGGGGGCGGCTTGACGGCCACCGGGGCAACCTGCCCATTCTCATCTTCAACTCCCCTCACGACATTCCTCAGGATCTCCTCCTTCGCCCCAATCCACGTATACGCCTCTCTCGACCCGGCATCCGCAACCAAAAACACCCTGCCCTCCCCATCCCCATCCCCATTCGCCTCCACCAGCGGAAACCTCCAACCCAGCGCCATCTGCACGATCGCATCCAACTGGTCCCGCTTCCTCATGACCGTCTCAAATTCGATAACCAGTTCCTCCAAGCTAGGCACCCGCTTGAACTGATTCCCCCAGACCCTCCCCTCCTCCCAGGCCGTCAATGGCCGCCGCACGCCCATCTGATCCGCCGGTGTCCTCCCTGCTCGAAACGGGTCAATCCCCAGGGGCTCATTATTCTCCCAGAACCACCAATCCGTGTGCCTGAGCGTGATTGTCATCTTCTTGGGCGCCAGAACCCCTGCATCTGCTTCTTCCTCGGGGCCGGCTACATCGGGGCCTCCCACTCCTCCTCCTTCTCCTCCCCGGCGCTTACTTTCCCTCTCCCCCACCCCTCCGTCCAGACTCTCGCCACTGCCATCGCCACCGCCCTCCGCAGCATCCAGCTTCCGCTTCCCCTTGCGCATCTGCAACTGCCACGCTTCAGTCGCCCGCACAGTTGCCCACATCTGCGCCCACGTATCCTCGAGGAAGAACTGCTGGGTGAAGAAGTGGAGCTCCTGCACAGCATCGCGCTGCTTGGGCGTCATGCGCGCGAAGTAGTCCGCCGGGGAGGAGGGGTGCTTGACGTGCGGGGGCGGCCGGTAGCACCAGAAGGTATGGCGGTTGATGGCCGGGGGCAGGAGCGAGGCTTCATTGTAGATCTGCTGGCATGTCTGAAGGAGGGAGGTGGAGATACGTTTCCGAGATTTGAAGCCCGGGCGGTAGTAGAGGGCTTGCTGGGCGTAGGAGGTGGACGGCGCCTGGCTGCCACTGCTGCCGCTGCTGCTGCTGCTGCTGCTGCTGCCGCCGCCAGTATCGTCGGAGGAGGACTCGAGGGTGAAGTGGTAAATCTTGTTGCGGATTTCGGCGGGGATGTGGGTGAATAACGGGCAGGTGGTTTGGGGGATCATCGGGCGGGAGGGGGCGAGGTCTTGGGGCATTTGGTATGATGCGGCGGTGGGGGGTGAGATGCGGCGGGGAACCGGGCCGCAGCGGGGGTTGCCGCGACGGCGGCGCGCTCGTCGTTGGGCTGGGGGGAGGCTGTTCATTGTTGTAGATTGAAATAGGCTAGATAAAGAATTAGGGATGATGTTGAGGAGGTTGGAAGAAGAAGAGGAAGAAGAAGAAGAAGAAGATGATGATGATGAAGACATGGGAAAGAGAATGAGAATACTGGTCGAATCTATGGGATCTTCGGTGCTTCCAGACACGGCGTTTAAATAACCCCGCAATTCGAACGGTTGCCGCCTGCCTGGCCATTTCTGCCTGGCGGGCTGGAGGTCGAAGCTCGTGCGCTTGAGTCATGTCATCCATACTATTAGTTAGATGTTCGCTACTTCACTGGTTGAAATAGAAGCTAAATCGCTAGATCGTCAAAAATGGTAAGCATTTTTTGTTTACTCTAGTATATGTGGAAGGCCGTCAATGAAGGTGCATCGATCGGACAATAGGCGCAAAGCCCTGTCTTGGTGAGACATGACACCCTGATGATACCTAAATGCGATCCGTCTAACCTCGTATAGTGCTGTACATAGTAACACCACTATATCGTCGGGTACATATATCCCATTGCCGTAAGTTAGATGAAGGCTCTGTAGGGATGAGAATCTAGGATCATTTGAGCGATTAGCAGAGTCTATTCGAGAGCTACGGCCAAGTAGAAGCTTCAATTGAGCCCATAATTGACAGTGTAATTCATACTAGCAGTCGCCTGTATTTTCACTCTGTAACCGGTAAGGAAGGTCTATGCAATTACAGCATACCATCACCTCAAGAAATCATGTATTTCCAAGGACGGAAAACCTGTGCAGCCAAACGGCGCCCTAAACCGTGAACCTGCTCTAGCAACTACTACTCAGGGCCTCCCTGACTGTGGCGGGTGACCAACTTACCAGAGTCAAGGGAGATCTCGGTACAAGACCGGCCGGTCGCACCACAAGAATTACCTACCACCCTCTAGATAGCCTGGCTGCGACGAGGCGGGTGAGTGGTTTTTGGTATGTTTTTGTTCTATAGATTGATGATGATGTCTAAATAGTGAGGGGAGTCTATTCATGAAAGAATGACCTTATTCTCTAGACATATATTACTAATACTGTCTAGAGTAGTCTTGCACCTATTTAGATTCTTCAGTGTCACATATCTTGAATACAGCACATATGATGATTGTCTATGTTGCCATAGCAAAACTTCTGCCTCAACTATAGTGTATCTTAGACGAACTATGTTGTCCGATGACATGATATATTGTCTACTTTGTTCTGAATACTAGCACTCTTATATGATAGATAACGACTTATAGATCTTATACACAGACTATAATAGTCAGGTACACACGATCGATGTGCACGGCCCATCATTGTTTGTGTGTACAGTACATGTGAGGCATCAATGGCAGTCAAATTGGGCTTGATATGTGATACGTGCCTGATCTAGTTCTAGTACAAAATGACATGACAAAGTCGATATGTGATATTTAAACAAGTTATTGATGCATCTTCTTGTGCCACGCAAAGCATACTTCGGGGCATGGGTGCGGTTTTCTGACCAAAGGTTCTTTAAGTCTAGCTCCGAACCAAGGAGATTACACCACGATCCTAAAATGATACAGTCAATGAGATGATACTTGGGAACAGAGCTGAAATTGAATGCATAACGAAGGAAAAGATGAGAGGTTGCTGTGACTATAACAAGTAGATCAGCCTCGGTAAGCATGCGAAATACTGCAATGGCGTCATTGGGCCGAGTGGAGCGTCAGACCAACGGCACCGACCGACCACCAACTACTAACCGATCCTACAGACCTAACTTATTTATGTGCCTGGAACCCAAGTTCTGACCTCCTCTTGGCAGATAGCTATTTGCAAACGTGGGGCGGACCTTATATCCTACACGCCATGTTCTTTCTTACCTACCTCTACTACAAACTGCTAGCCGTCTTCCTCAGGCGAATTACCGTGCGAAAAACCCCTGAAGCCAGCCCTGATGAGGTCCTGCAGATCGATTCCCGCGACGGTGGCCGGACCATCAAAGTGCACTTGTATCGCAATGCCTCCGCATCGACCTCCAAGCCCACGCCTGTATTGGTGAACTTCCACGGCAGTGGCTTCGTCTTTCCGCTCCACGGCAGTGACGACCCGTACTGTCGGCAGATGAGTCGCGAGACCGACCGGACTGTTCTCGATGTCCAGTACCGCCTCGCTCCCGAGAACCCTTTCCCCGCGGCGCTGAATGACGCCGAGGATGTCGTGCGGTGGGTGCTCGCTCAGCCAGACAAGTTTGACCTCAGCCGGGTGTCCCTGTCCGGGTTCAGTGCCGGCGGAAATTTCGTTCTGGCGGCGGCGGGGAATCTCTTCCCCCCGGAGACCTTTCACTCCGTGATCGCGGTGTATCCTGTCGTGGACATCCACACGGATGCCGCTCTGAAAGTGCCGCCGGATACGTCTGGGAAAGCCATTCCCTTGTTCATGTCGAGATTCTTCGACGCATGTTATACGCACGGCAAGTATGATACCAGAGATCCCCGCATCTCGCCGCTGTATGCGAACCCGGAGCGCTTTCCCAGTCGGGTGATGATTGTGACGGCGGCGTGTGATAACTTGGCGGTGGAGGCGGAGACACTGGCCCACAAAATTGCCAAGGCGCCCGGCAAAGATCGTGAGGTGGTGCAAGTGCGCATGCAGGGTTGCAATCACGCCTTTGATAAACGGGCATTACCGGGAACCGTACAGTGGGATGCTAGAGAGAAGACTTATGCCATGGCGGGGGCGATGTTGTCGCGTTAAAGGGAAGGACAGAATAGCAGCAGTGGCAGTAACTTAATTAGTGTGTACGGTCCATGTAGCAGGATATTCAAGATGGAGTCCCCTATGAGGGAACAGGGCAACTTTATTGGTACCGCACGGAGATATGGGGGTCATGCAAATCATGATGCAGGAGATTACGCGGTGAAGTCTTTCTGTATGGTAATTAACTAGGTAGTCAAGACATGGTGCCATTACCCTGAGCGGAGCTCAAGAACACCCCTAGAAGGCATTGGCCTGGGCAGATCACGACACTATAACTATTACATATTACCCTCCTGTTGACTAACTAGAGTCTAGTAACTAGTGTCCTGGATAGCGTCCTCAACGTCCAGGACAAGGAGATTGACAGATCTGGAGCAGTGGATCCTGGGTGGTCAGGTGGTGTGCAGAAGGCTCCGTATCTGAAGCGGCGGTGCCTGACTGTTTGACTCCATCGGCCACGGTCTAAAACCAAGGCTCTGGTAGCGCCAAATACTGCTCTGCCCTATGCCCTATCTGTTGCCCCGATCCGGGCAGCGGCTGTTACTGCCGTTCATGGAGGGATTACGAAGTGTCCAGTGGAAGCAGTGGAAGGTCAAAAAGAGGAACCATGGGCGTCCATTGCGGTTGACGGATGTGCCTTGAATAATAATCATAATCATAACTAATAAAATAACAATCTGACTAGCTAAAGTTCTGTCAATCCCGATTCCCCGACTTACGGTGACAGCAGACAGACGGCTTTTTTGCCCTTCCCCGGTTTCATTGTCTACTGTCAACGGCAGATGATTATGCTTCAGGATGCCCTTTGATTCCAAGAGCACTCCGTATAATTTCATTTTCTCTCTCTCTTTTTTTTTTTTTTTTTTTTTTTTTTTTTTTTTTTTTTTTTTTTTTTTTTTTTTTTTCACTTCGGATGCACGCAGCGACTACCTACCAATGTCCCTCTCTCCACCCACTGGCCTATGGATGGAACGGAGGATGCAGGAATTATCGGTCAGGCGGGTCGTGGGTCGCAATCAGAACAATAATGAATAATATGGATTATGGAACCCATGATAGACCACCTCCGTGCGGAATACCTGACGCCCAAATCAGGTTCCCTTTCTTTCGCCTGCTGGTGCTCGCCTCGCACTGCTGGCCCGCAGCAGCCAGAGTAATCTTCTACTCTTATTAGCCCATGCCCAGGTGGTTAGTGTCAGGCTTTTCTTGTTGTTTCTCCTTTTTCTGCCCGCTGCTGCTTCTGAATCCCTGGGTTGGATCTCTCCCATCCAGTTCAGTCACGGTGTCTTGCTGGGAAAACTTGCTCGCCCCTCCCCGCAAGTCGGATGCTGCTCTTGAGCGCCTCCATCTCGTCCACCGTGCTTCTAGTACTGTGGACGAGTGTCTTAGCGTCTGGCGACTCGTGTCCCTGAAACTTCCGTTCTTCCCCCTTATTGTCTCTTATCGTCATAGTGTTTCAATTTTTTTTCTATATATCGTTTTTTCTACCCCTCACCACTACTAACTTTCGCCTCACCTGTCTCCGTGATCTCGCGTTACTTTACCTCCCAACCCACCCCCTCCCACCCACACATACATACACAGACACATACACGCAAGCTCCATGGGTAACTGTGGACCGAGCCCGTCTGCAATTGCATCATGGAGCATTCGAATTACGCAGAGATCGATGAGTCTCAGTACCGCCAGGAGGTTCTCCAACTGCCCTCCGAGGAAGCCGAGACGGCGCAGGAGCAGAGATTAATCGACGAAGCCCGCCAACTAGGCCTGAACGTCCCAGAGGTTGAGCTGGTCGCATCGTTGACCGCGTCCATCGCTTCGGGGATGGTGGACTTGTCCTCGTCGTCACCCATCATATCGTCCACCCGAACCTCCACCGACCGCAACTCCGCGTACGATATCACCTCCTCCCACCAAACCCCCTCCATCGATCTCCTCGGTTCGTCTCTCTCCGAATTCACTGTGTCCTCCGAACCCATGCACAATGGTAGTGCTCGTTCGATCGCCTCACTGTCCACCCGACCGACATCTTATAGCTCATGTGAGGGGAGACTGATCCCGGGGATAGATACGAATCTGGCCGCGGGGGCGCCGGGCAACCGCCATTCGATGATCAGCGTGATCCCAAGCGACAAGAAAGAGCGACGCAAATCGACCCTGAAGTCAGCCATGGAGAAGATCCATTTTCGCAAGAAGCGGTCGCCGTCTGCAGTGCTTCTTCCACCCGCCGCGCAGCTAACAATCGCTAAAGGCAGCAAGGGTCTTGAGCAAGTTCTAGTGGACTCAAAGTCGTCGGAGTCGCCAGAAGCCCGATCGTCCGGCGAAGGAAGCGGAGTGCTGCGGATTGAGATCCCGACATTCGATCATGAGTCGCTGCAACGAAGTCAGAACGACGAGCAGCTGCGTCAGATGCGCGAGCGTCAGGTGGCGGAGCTGAATCGACACAACATGTTCCAGGATGCCTTCACAATGCGCCTTCGCCAGACCCAGCAGTCTATTGTTGCCGACCGGCTGGCGGCCAATAAAAGTCTTGAGGCGCGGAAACGCGAGAAAGTACGTCAGCCTCTTCGCTTCAATAAGCATTTCCTATACTAACATGACCAAAGAATATCAACGATGCTGCTCGAATGGAAGAACGTCAGCTGACAATCGAAATGGATCAGATGCGGGAGTTTGAACGCGCGAAGATGAATTCACGAACTCGCATCAAGCATATGGAGGGGTATTTTAACAATTCCAGCCCTCCTCCCTCGCCAGGAGGGTCAGTGTCGGGGCCGGAGACCACCCCCGCCCGGAAATTCACCGCGCAACACAAGGCGCAATTAGCGCAGGAATACCACGATCACAAATCCATGGATCAGTTACACGAAGCTAAGATCAAGGTGCTCCGTGATCGACAGGAACTTCGACTGCAGGAGGCGATCGCCCGCATGGACCGAGAATTGGACGAGATGATCGACAAACATGCTTTAGAATTTGCGCACATGCAGCAGACCCACCAGCAGGAAGAGATGGCTATTCTTCAGGCATTCGAAGCGAAGAAGGCCCGATTGACCCACCGGTGGAATCTGGAAGAAGCGATTCTGCGAGCAAAGCTGCGGACGCAACACGGCAAGGTATACGGCCCCTTGCCTCCCCTGTCCTTCCGCGACCCAAACTACGAGACGCGCGATTCGGCCATCTGTGTGGCCGAGCAGACCGGAGCTGCCAGCGCTTGATGATGAGGAGGTGCACCCGGACGACGAAGAGAAGGGGACAGGTGCTTTGATTATGATGTGATGTCTACGTGATACCCTTTCCTTTATTTCCCCATTCTCGGAACTCCTCATGCATATATGCAGCCCCTAATGTGTCATATTCGGCTTCGAATGCCGACCCCTATATCTTGTAATTATTATTCCCATCCGTTTCCTTGCGATTCTTGCTGGGTTGAGTTGACAGCGGCTTCATGCATACACCATAGCGGATTTACGTTGCCTGCATGTGCATAGCGTTTAGATTTGGTGCTCCGGCACCCAGAATCGGCCATTCAAATAGACTCATCTCCTTATGGTTACTGCGATCGTGGAGGTGGGAATACATTAAATGACCTAGGACGTGATATTGAACTTGAATAGGTATCAGATATGAGTTGCACGCAAGCAGACTGCGCGAATAGCGAGGTATCACACCTCCGAGGCCGTCTCCGACGCAACCTCCGAGACCGAAGCAGGAGGTTTCGCGTCGGATGCATGTTTTCTCAACCGGTCCAGCAAAGTTTCCAGTCTCCCATTCCCACCTGTCAGCACCGCCTCCATCAACTTATCTCTCCCACTATCTCCCATCACCACCGCCCTCTCCACCATGCCAGTATTCGAAATCTTGAACCGACCGACTCGGCCATCCTCCCACTCCACGCGCACATACACCGCTTCCAACGCGGTGGCCCCCAACGCGACAATCCCTAGGTCATTCTTGACAATTCTCGTCTCCTGATTCCCCTCGGCCAAAACGTCCCTTTCCCAGACCCCATCCTCCTCCTCACCGTACCCGGTAGCACCGGCGCCTTCTGCTTCCCGTCGAACCACGCCCAACCTCTCCCTCAAATACCGGACCCCGTCACACCGTAGATGCCAGACGACCAACTGCCGGCGCACCTCGCGCACAAACCCGCTGAGATTCTGCGGCCGGACCTTATGCTTCCACGGCTTCAGCTGCGCTCTTTCTGCTTCTTCTTCTTCTTCTGTTCCTTGTACAACATCTCCCCCCTCCCCTTCCCCAGTCGCGCTCCCCTTCGCCCGCGGCAAATACACCCGCTCCAAAGTCCCAAGATCCACCACCGCGGGGATCGTATGCCGATGCACATACAGCACTTTCTGCGGCTTCTTCGTCTGCCCTGCATCCCCAGTCACGGGCATTGGGGGCTGCACCTTCCGCAGCAGAATGTAGTACGGTTTCGTGTACCTCCCGTCCTTCGCGCAGATGTCGATGCGTACTCCCAGCAGGTTCCTGGCTTCAGCCGTCGGCGACGGGTCCGTGAAGGGAAAGGCGGTGGTGGAGAAGGCGATGCGGTGGTGGTTGAGGTCGGCGTGGAGGGAGGAGGCGTGCAGGAGCGGGGAGAGGTCGGCCCATTGTTTCGGGGTTCTGATGGGCTGCGAGGGGGAGGATTCTTGGTGGCGCTTCGCCAGGCGTTGAAGAGGCCGGGAGGAGAGGAGGCTGGTGGTGAGGGTGCGACGGCGGTGGTGGAGGGCTCGGACTGTTTGTTGTTAGTCTGGTGGGTTTTTGGAGGGGGGAGAGCTTGGACGGACGTTCTGCGCGGATGGTGGAGATTTCGGAGTCGAGGGCTTCGGCCTGTTCTTCTGTTGTGAGGGATGGTGGGGTTGACATTCTGGGTGGGTGGTTGTGCTGCGGTTGATGGTCTGGGGTCTGGATGGTCTGGATGGTCTGGATGGTAGTGATGTAGAAGGCAGCAGAAGAGTGGACTGTGTATGCAGTGTTTGTTGACGAAGCTGGGGCCGCAGTCACGTGAGGATCTGTTATCTGCAGCTCCACCGGTTCGGAACCATGGAGTCAATAATTGCCCAAAGAAGTGTCTAATAGACGCGCTGTTGTGAAGAAGGGAGATGTGGCCAGACACGTATAGGTATGCAAATGGAAGATACTTAGTCCTACATGAATGCTTCTCATTGAGAGTTGGTTTCTCTTTTACCACCACCTTTCATCCACTGTAGATGCCTGCGTGTTAATTCAATCTCCTTCTGCATCACTCAACTCATACCTTGACTTTTGACCTTGACGTGAATCCTTCGTCAAGAACACCCAATCATCGGCCCGCGCATATCCACCTGGATCCAGCCAAGGCCAAACAAGGGGGGATTGAGGCCAGCTTGCAATCTGTCTGTCTATCGGAACCTGCACCGCACGCTTTTTCTCTCGACTTCCCAGCTCCACCACGTCGAATGGATGCATCATTCCAACCCCGACGACCCATTATTTCCTGTCCCTCCTTTAATTTCTTCCTCTTCTCCTTCCCACAGTCCTTCTCTTCATGTCCCTTTAGCGGACCCTTCTTCTCAATCTTCTTCTGATCGACCCCGTCTTTCCTCCGAGGTGGAACTTCGTTCTCTAGCATGCTTTACGAAGAAGAATAACCTAGACCCTCGTTACACAGACCACGCCTCCGATCATCCCGGAGATCCCGCTTTTCTGTCTTCTTCTTTCCCCTCCGGCCACGAGTCCGACACCGACTCTCTCGAAGCCTACAACCAATCTCCCCTCCACTCGCCACGACTGCTCTCGTCCCACCGTGGCCGTGCCCAGATGAAGCGTAAAGGCCGCACGGTCACCAAACGTCGCTCCAAGCCATCGTTGACCATATCGACGAGCCAGAACGGCTACGCGAGCGAGGGCATGGATTCCTCCATTGAGATGCGGAAGAGGGAAACCTCCGTTGAGTCGTCTGCTGGCCGGGCCAACCGTCTCATGGCGCGCCCGAGCTTCAGTCTCGACCACGATCCTCCCATCACCCCGCAGACCCCCGCCATGACGACCACCTCCTTTGCCAACCTACCGGCGAGCGATCGGCGCAACTTCATGCTGTTATGTGTGCTCTACTTCCTGCAGGGGATCCCCATGGGCCTGGCAACCGGGTCGGTCCCCTTCCTGCTGAAGCCTTACCTGTCGTACGGCCAGATCGGCATTTTCTCGCTCGCCTCGTACCCTTACTCGCTCAAACTCCTGTGGAGTCCGATCGTCGATGCGATCTGGAGCCGCCGGTTCGGTCGACGGAAGAGTTGGATCACACCGGTGCAGGTCATCGCGGGGCTGGCCATGATCTACTTGGGCGGGCGCATCGACGAGATGATGGAGGCGGCGGGCGCCAACGGGGGCGCCGGCGTGTGGAAGTTTACGTATTGGTGGTTTCTGCTGGTGTTCTTCTGTGCGACCCAGGACATCGCCGTGGACGGCTGGGCCATCACGCTCATGTCGCCGCCCAACATCTCTTACGCGTCGACGGCGCAGACGGTTGGTCTCACGGCGGGCCACTTCTTGTCGTACACGGTGTTCCTGGCCTTCAACTCCGAGGACTTTGCCAACCGGTGGTTCCGCAGCACTCCGGCCTCCGGGGGTCTGCTGTCTCTCGGCACGTACCTGGTGTTCTGGGGGTGGGCGTACATCGTCGTGACCACTCTTTTGGCCCTGATGAAGAAGGAAGACCGGACGCACGAGCGCGACAGCATCCGTGATGTGTATCGCAGTATGTGGAATGTGCTGAAGCTCAAAAATATCCACACGATTATTTTGGTTCATTTGATCGCCAAGATCGGCTTCCAGGCCAACGACGGTGTGACCAGCCTGAAGCTGCTGGACAAGGGGTTCGGCCAGGACAACATGGCCCTGGTCGTGCTAATTGACTTTCCCTTTGAGATCGGACTGGGCTACTATGCAGGCAAGTGGTCGACCGAATACACGCCGATGCGCCTGTGGTGCTGGGCATTCATGGGGCGGCTGGCGGCGGCGGTTCTGGCCCAGCTGACGGTGATGATTTTTCCGGCGGGCGAGGCGGTGCCGTTTTGGTATTTGTTGACGGTGATCGGCGAGCACATCTTTTCGACCTTTATGAACACGGTCATGTTTGTCGCGGTGTCGGCGTTCCATGCGCGCATCGCCGACCCGAGCATCGGAGGGACGTACATGACCATGCTAGCGACGTAAGTGCTGTCTGTCTATTCTCCCCGGGTGGGGGTCACGCTAACACTCGTCAGGGTCTCGAATCTGGGCGGGACATTCCCACGGTACTTTATTCTGAAGCTGGTGGACATGTTCACCGAGGCGACGTGCGTGCCGCCGACGGTGGTGCCGAGCGCAGAGGCGCTCAAGGGCGAGCTGGTTACACAGCCATTTTCGTGTGCGCTGGAGCCCGACCGCAATCGGTGTGTCCATGGGGGCGGCACCTGCAACGTGATCCATGACGGCTACTACACGACGAACATTCTGTGCGTGCTGATTGGCGTGGTGACGTTTGTGTTTTTCATCAAGCCGGCGGTGTTGAAACTGCAGGGGTTACCCTTGCGAGCATGGCGATTAAGCCCCGGGCGACAGTAGATGCTCTGGGTACAAGAGGGTGTGAAGTACCTCGGTGTAGCTACTAGTCTAGGTTTGGATGTATTAATAGAATCACGGTTGCATCAGTGACTGCGGGACCAGGAATCAAGAGAGGGTGTGTGTGATTCGCAGTGGAGGGGAGTGGTGTGTCGGAGAAGTGCATTAGTGGGGAGTTCCCCTTTCTCCACAGCAGCCAGCCTGGAAATTGAGCCCTCGTGTACCGAGTTATCAAAGTATAAGCCTATATAAGGATCAGCCTGGACCCTGACGATCCCCCGCCCCTGAATTCTTTCACTGTGTGTCTCCTCGTTGTCCCTGATTTATTTCGTACACAGTACCATCCAGGCTACCCCCAGCGGTTGCACCAGGTGTCCTTCCCCCGTCGCAATGCATTTCCCCTCCTCCTCCACGGTCCCTCTTTTCTGGATCATCTCGTCGACCCTTGCCCTACCGTCTTCCACCTACTCCCAGCTGGATACCCGGGATGTCCTCCGGCCTCGAAATGTAAGCCCTAGAAATCATCCACATCAACTTGGCCCTCCCTTTGACATCTATCTATCTGCACATCCCCTCCACCACCCCTTAAGAATCTGCAGCGAAACCTAATATCCTCCTTCCAGTGGGACTTTCGCCTCTTCAGCGCAGGCTGCGACCCCAATACCACCTCCCTCGACGTCTCGCTGTGGCACCGGCAGGGCGTGTCGGCGACGGGGGGCTGCGCGACGCTAGAGACGAGTGTGAATCTCACGCAGGTGGAGACGTTCTCGTGGAAGAGTCCGGGGGCCAGCCAGTACGATCTGTGTTTGTACGGGGCGGGGTGCGCGACGAAGGGCGGCGAGGGGGCGGGGACGGTTCAGGTGGTGCGCAGTGGGTGGGAGGTTTGTCAGGCGTATATGGGGTGGAGGGGGTGGGGGGTTGTTGCGCATGGGGGGGAGTGCTAGGATGGTGTTTTATCATGAAAGGTACTGGATGGGATGTGCATGGAGGGAGGTTGACTTTAATCGTGGCGCACTCTGTCACATACATTCGGATAGTGGTGGGTTGCACCTCACTGAAACCACTTTCTACACATACATACATCCATCCCAGCCTCACCTCACACCCAGTGAAACAGTTGTTATCCTTGTATCTGGTGAACAGCATTCAGCAGCAACAACCGCGCATACCCGCGATGCAACCGCCCCGTCCACCCCGGGATAACCTTCTGGTCCTCCCCTTCCGCCGCAACCACCTCGTAATCATGCGCCGACGCGAACCGCACATCCACTACCCACTCTTCCCCCGGGGGCCCGTCTCCTCCTGCCTCGGCCGCAGCCCCCACCAAGTACGGCTCGGAAACACTCCATTCATGCCGCCCCCCACTCATCAACCGGTACGGATACCGCCAGCGCCCCGCAAGATACTCGAAGAACTCGCGCGGTGCGTCGGGCATGGTCCAGGAGACGAGGAGACCATGGGAGGAGGAGGAGGAGGAGGAGTCGGGGGCGCGTTCGACCGTCAAGACCCCGTTGATGAGTTCGCGTTTGCGTTGGCGGTCCGGGGCAGCAGGATGCCCGAATCCCTCAATCGACAGACCGCGGTCGCCCGGCTGGAAGGTGCCCGTGCGGAGCAGACCGACGAGTTTGGCTTCCGTGGTCAGGATGGGGCTGGTGAGGAAGACGACGGCCCAGGCTTTGCGGAGGGATGGCTGGGAGGCGTCGAATTGGGTTTCGGGACCGTCGCGGTGGGAATCTGCTGCTGCTGCTGCTGCTTGTTGTAGTGTCTTTCGGGCGGTGCGCAGCAGCGCCGCCACCGGCACGCGGGCCTGGTAGATGTCGACCGCGGCGCAGCGCTGGGTCGCGGGGTGGGCGGGGGTCAGCAGCGCGGGGCTGTGGCTGGCTGGGCCGGGGGGTACCGCGGGGTATTGGGTTTCGAGATGGAGGAGACCCCGGTGGATGGTGAAGGTGAGGAGAGCGGGTGGGGTGAGGAGATACAAGAGACGGGGGGTGGGCATGATGGTGCTGCCACTGGGCTTAGGTTGAGTAGTGTTTGTTAGTTGTTAATTCAGTGGTGGTGAGAATCTTCCATTGAGGTGGTGGAGGCTGGCAATGGCGTGTTGATGCTTAAGAGTGTTTGTTATCCCATCGACTGGGAATATAAGACGGAGGCCATTGCGCTCCGAATCCCGTCTTCCCTCGGGGGATTCGGCGAGTTTGGCCCTAGTCTCTTGTTCATTAGCTTATAGTACCTCGTCAGTATACCTATATTACTGGGTAGTAACTCCTTATCATAAGGAAGATATGACCTGGTAGATGAATGGCAAGTTTAAGGCATTTTTGAGCCAATCCACTTTTCCAAATGAACTGCGTTGTATTGTATAGTGACTCGTAGTAAAAAGTCAGAAGTAGTAAAAAAGTAGCTTAACTCCACTGTTAACCCCGCCAGCCAAACTCCACTCCATCCCGGCTCTAACTTTTTTCAACCTCCCCCACAAACCTACCTACCTGCCTACACAACAACCACCACCACCTCTACAAACTCAATCAAGCGATTCAAAATGTCCACCTCCCTAGACGAGATTTTCGGCTCCTCTCCGCCGCATCAACCCGCCCCCCACCCTCAACCCCACCACGAACCCTCCGACCTCCCCTCCCTCCGTCGCCAACACGTCACCGCCGGCTACCGCGACGGCCTCGCCGCCTCCAAATCCACCCAAGTCCAAGCCGGCTTCGACGCGGGCTTTCCGGTGGGCGCGCAGCTCGGCATGCGCGTGGGCACGGTGCTGGGGGTCCTGGAGGGTGCGATCCGCGGGCTGGAGGGGAACCACAATACCAGTCGGAAGAAGACTGCGGCTGCTACTGCTGCGGCGGCGGTGAGCAAAGGCGGGGCTACTTCCGCGAGAACCGGGACTTCGTCCTCCAAGGACCGCGCCAGAACTGCTATCGGGTTCGAAGAGGGTGCGGGAGAGTCTGGCGCTGCTGCTACCGAGAATCCTTCCAACAAGGAAGCAAGAACAACAACAACAACAACAACAACAACACCATTGCAGGCCAAACGCGCGGAGCTACTGCGTCTGTATCAGCAGGCAGTGCGGGAGTTGGATGTGCGCAAGGTGTTTGAGGGGGTGGTCGCTACGGATGAGGGGGATGCGACTGCCGGTGGGGAGGGGGAGAGGGAAATGCCGGAGACGAAATTGGCGAGGAAGGCTGAGGAGGTGGTGGCGGCTTGGGAGCGGAGGGTGCAGGTGGCGCTCTGGGAGGAGAACATGGATGCGTTGGAGGTCAAGGAACAGGAAGGGGAGGCGGAGTCGAGCTGAGGGGGGGGTAAGTGGATGGAGGTGGCAACTCCTACTCCCCCTTGGGGAGGTTTTTCTTATCGGCGCTGTGGACATGGCATGTTGGCTTCGAGGATTGCTTCCTGCTCGCTGTTGGAGGGGTTGTGTCGACGTGGGGGATAGGGACGGGTTGTTGACCTTCCCTGCGATGCAGTTCATGCCAGGAGGAGAGGAGGATCGGTCTCCCAGCGCGCTGCATCCGCGGGAATCACTGCAGTGTCAAACCTGCATGCGACATGCAGAGCGGACAGACAGTCCCAGCAGCATCCCATCCACGAGCGGGGCATGCCGGAGCCATACAGCAGCACTAACAAGCGCGCCAGGGTCTAGTGTTCTGTACGCTATACTGTCCCTGTCGCTTGCTGGCGTTGCACTCAGCTGCACAACCCGACAGCCCATCCAGGCGGGAACCGGCCAGATCAGGCTGTCGGGCCTGTGCGGAGATCCCATGGAATGATTCAACGTTTCCTCTCAGACCAGCGACATTCATCGGACAAGTGAAGCGTTAGACTAGACAAGAGAAAGATTGCGGACATCAAATCAGCCCTCACTGGCCGCAGTCCGACCACAATCCCCAAGTTGCACCATCTTGTCTCACAACAGGGATATATCCCTGGATGAGGGATTCCGTTTACTAGCACTAGCAAAACTCCCGGATTTTTGCCTTGGTCCAGACTCTATCCACACCTCAGATAAGTTTCAGCCGCGTTGGATCGTGAAATTCCCCATCTCCAAGGTCGCATTGCCTCAGCGAAAGTCCAGCTCGGAACTACCCCACACATTCCAGGCCCGGAAAATTCGGCACCTGGTATGCACGACCTGTATTTGTTTGTTTTGATTTACGCGACTATGGCAGCAGTGGACATAACAGAGAATATTCTTGGGCCGTGAATCGCTAGACCGCTGATTGTATTGCTTTTATAGACATCGAGATGGTAGGAAATTGATGGGAAGACAAGGGTCAGATCAAGGAGTGACAGGTGTAGACACCAGGGGAGATATGTGTAAGGAGTGTGGCAGTGACAATGAGAAAAGAAACACCGAGACTACGGCTTGGTAGTGAAAGACTGTGCCAGTGTGGCCGACCGTAAATATGAAAGAGTATGCATGAGACAGGTCAAACAGATGATATATCATCACAGTGCATGCATCGGGGAGACCGACGAGCCTGTTTCCATCCCTATAGGGCTCGTTATCATCGGGTGACATGGAGATCCCGTCAAGATCATCCTTCCAGTCATAAACAGCTCAGACTGTTCATCTGAGCCTCATCAGTAGTATCATAAGACATTAAGTTATTTGTAGGGGCTTGGTCGCTCAACGCCCCGTCGAAATATTATCGCACGCAAAACAAAGTACCACCCACCCATCATCACCTGGGTCGGCGTGGTCTCGGCGGAGGAAGGTCGCCATGACATCCCAGCACGCGCAACGACTCCCACACCCGTTTATAGAGGGGGGGTCGTGCGAGCGTCAGACTGTGGTGAATGGCTTTATCAGATCGGTCCTCCCGACAGAGAGTACAGAACTTTTCGGCCTCAGTCAAGCCCTTTGGGCACGAGTCCGATCTCTGCCTCCGTCGGGACTTGGCTTGCATGGCAGCTGCCGTCGTGCGGTCAATGTCGATGTTGGCCGCCCCATTGCTGTTGCGTCGAGAGCGCGGTTGAACAAGCGAGGTCGTCGAGGGCGCCACCAGCCGCAGGGTCTGCTGCGCGGTGGGCCGCAGGATGTCCTTGGAGCGGGACCGAATCAGATCTCGCATCGGTGAAGGACACAGTAACTCTGGCGGCCGGTCTGGAGTTGAGGGAAACCTTTCCAACTCAGATGCCTGCGTGTTGCTGAGCTTGGGAGCGGATTTGGCGACACGAAGATGCACTCTACTTCGGACCTTCTTCAAAGTGTCCATAGGCTTGCGAGACAAGGACTTGGGGTCATTAGACTCGTTATCCGAGTCGGACTCCCAGACTGATTGCTCGTGCTGGCAGACCATCCCGGCCGGCGAGGTTGCTGGCCGCTTGGGGATGGGGTGCCGCTCAACCGATGGCGACGATGGCCCTGGGCTCGGCACCGGGCTCGGACGATCATTCGCGGATATGAACATGGCCTGGTCAAAGTGCGACACATGCGGCTCTTTTGTCACGGGGTTGTACCAGCACGGAGGAGAGATCATGGACGGGGCGATTGGAGGTCGAATCGCTGGCGGTGGCCCTTTTCGACCAGGCTTATTGCTCCGGTTACGGACGCCCCCGGGCAGTGACGGCAATGGCTTCCCACGATTTGATGCGGCGTCGTGGCTGCTTACTCTTTGCATGACCAGGGTCTCAGTTGATGCGTTGGATGGGCCTCCGGGCGCTTTCAATTGCCGCGTCGGGGTGGAGGGCTCCGTGACCAGCGTTGTCTGCGATAGGGTGGCAGGCGTGGCTGAAGCTGGATATACTTGGCGTCTGGGACTGGGCGGCGCTTGTTGGTTGAGCAAAGAGTGATAGTCTGGCCCGGAAGAGATAGTTTCGCGGTTGGTAAGGGCGGAATAATTGGAAGAGAAAGAACTGCTCGGCGTCAAATCGGGCGTCGCGTCCGTTTGTCCTGAGCTAAAAGATGCTTGATCGTAACTTGCGAACTGGCCTCCCCAGGGTTGATTGGCAGCGATCTGGCGGAGACTCAATTGATGCTCCAGCTCAACAACCGACAGAGTCGATCGGTTGACGTTGGACCGTAGCCTCGTAGTATCCCCACGCGACGTCACTGTGCCAGGACCACCTTTGTTGTTGTGTAAAGAGGCAAGCATCAAATACTGACTGGCTTCGTCACTGTGCCTAACATTGCGACTTCCCGGCCGCCCAGGGCCCCAAGGGCCACCCTCTGCTAGAGTGTGCTCCAGGTAGAAGGGATCTGGGTTGGATTCGTCAACGATGCCAGGGCAACGGATAGGATAAAAGGACGAAGCCCGCTTTTTGGGGTGTGATTCAGGACCAAGGGCAATTGGAGGTTTGTTGCGGCAGCTGTAAGAGGCGTTCACGTCGCCGGGCATTCGAGAGTATCTGTTAGCCATGGGCTATGGTTCTGTAGTATAGCGTAAGTTCTGTGGTTGTACATTCAGGCATGCAAAGTGTTCATCATAGGCATCAGACAGAGACGGGGCTGTTTCGTAATGCGGTTCAAAAGAGAGACATGGAAAACAAAACGAAGGAATAAGATGGGACTGTAGTTAGAGGAATGGCCAGGGCCAAGGGGGGGGGGGGAGAGAGAGAATATGTTTATACAATCCTCTCCAAAAATAACAAGCTCGCCTTGCCCAACCAACCTAGGGCATATCCAACCAGTGCAACGGTGGCTAGGCCGGGGAGGAGCTCAGACGCATGCCAATGCCCAGTGGTGTAAACAAAGCTCCAACGTTCCGTGGGAACGACGCCACTGACCTATCAGACCTTACATCTTCCTGTCCTTTGGTAGGGATGAAGATGTGCAGCAAGGCAGGCCGCCCTTCGACGCAGGAGCAAGGGAGGCGCGGAATCCCGATCCGCAACTTAGTCGACGCGGGGTCTGGTCAGACCTCTGGCATTATATGATTAATATGTAACTTTTTGGTCATTCTCTTCTTATCAAGCTTCCTTGTTGTGCGCATATGCTCGAAAGAGGAAGAGTATCAGCGTCTCGGGTGGTTTGGTGGTTTGGTGTGCATATCCCCTTAGGGTTTTTTCAACGAGGGCCCCAACCACTGGGCCATTTTCGTGCTGCGAGTATCACTGCAGTAGTTGTTGATAGAACAATAAAGGTCCGCAGTCCCTGCAATTTACCGAGGTTTTATCGGTGATGTGAGTGTACGAGGCCGGGGCCAGGCCCTTGTCATAAGGTTTGTTGAGTTCAGTTTCGCGAACAGAGATGCTGCGGCACAGACAGTGATTGCAATCATCTGCCCGCAGGATGAATTGAGGCACAAACGATCCAGAAGTCCTTCTGATGCGGGGATCGCAGGATAGAGCCTAGCAGAAGGCGGGCAAATGTGAGAGATCCAAACCCATCCGAGACGCTGGGACGCAGGCAGGCCACTGATTAAGTTAGTGCCGCAGTGATACGTCGATCCTGCCGTTGATCTTCTTCTTGTTCCTTTTACTTCTTTCTACTCCCTCGGTTGCAAGTCATCAATCGTCCCTTCCCAGCATCCCCTCTTGATCCCTTGTCAATCCAGCCCTTCTACTTCATCCAAGCACAATGTCCCGGTTGAGCCGATCGGATCAAGCGTGAAAGTCTGAAGGCTTTCGTCATCGAATTTCTGATCTCCCCAGTCATTGTACGGATCTCAGTTCTTGTTTCCCATATTTCGGAAGAAATTGTAGAAAAGTCTCCGCTTGTCCCGCATTCCAGAATATCATTTTCCCCGGTTGCCATGATACCGAAGGCTCGCAGTGGGGTTTAGTGAACTGCTTCGAAATCTGTCTGCCTACCTTCGAGCACCATCCCTATCGTGGTCTGGTCCATCACTGAAGATTCGCTCCTCTTCCTTCTAACCTCCGACTTTGGGCCCATCACCTTGGGATTCTCCTTCAGTGAATCCTTGCTGGCAACCTCTGTCATCCAGACCCAAGGCTGGAGGAGGAGGAGGAGGAGGAGGAGGAGGACTCTCCCTGTTCGAGCTTTCTCGCTCGCCCGCCATCCAGAACTAGATGTCGCTTTGGCTTTCGAATTACGAAAGTAATAGGATGGGATTTTTCCATAAAGGGATTATCGTCTTCGCTTGTCCTAAATGCGGTCCGTAAACGTTCCATTGTAATAATAGCCATTATGCCTTGAATGAATGTAATCAAGGTCACCCCTGATGGACCTGAAATGCATGTCCTTGAAGATTTTCCGTGGAATATATATATTCTATATATATATATATACCATTCCATCCACGATGCTCTTTGTCACCAGTGCTCGCCAGTCATTCCAAGGTCTCACGTAGCTGCTCTCGCATGTTTACATAGAGGGAGGGAGTCTCTATGCTTGGAAGGCTTGCTTTCCATGTTAGAATGTCCTAAATACATCTTGGACGCAACAAACAAAGCGGGTGCTCGAATGGAATCTGTTCTGTCGGTGGGAGCCGCATCTTACTCGAGAAAGACCCGCATTCCGGACCTGCGTTTCAGGGTATAGCATTAGTCTCATCCAAGTTTCTTTCTTATGCAGGCTTTCCGCAGACGGCATCGTCTGTATGATGCGAGGCCAATCTATCTTTGAGAGGACCTGCGTATCGATGCACATCGCGGACATGGTTAGTATATGCCACCACGGTATGGCTAACCATTGGGATCGCCGTTTCCCAGGCACGCAGAGTGTGGACCGGGATGCAATCTAGATCTACTGGTGCTGATAGCGATAGCGCCGCGAAAAGTTTCTTTTGGTTTTCCTCACGGGAACTTCTGCATGAATTCCCGGCCATCACAGCTGTCACCTCCACCCGGTGTCCCAATAAATATCTTGATGGAGCAAAGTCCGGTTGAAGAGTGGCACTATTATAGTAGGCAATGCGTACGAAGCACATACAAATATGACTTTAACGGACACTAGCGGCACTTCCAAAAAAAAAACAAAAAAACAACTTCTACGTTCAAGTTCTCAGCTTTTTCTTTTCTTTTTTTTCTTCTATTTTTTTATAGAGAAAAGAAAGAAAGAAAGAAAGAAAACGAGTGGCAAATTGAGCAGGATACGATGCGGACACAGGAGTTTCGTGTGTGAGACGGGCTGCAAGGCATTTCGATAGGTCTGAAACCGGGACGGATGGGAGAGTTTTCCCAAAGTCAATTGCTCCCGCAGCCGAAGGACCCTTGCTTTTGACTTGTCTGTTCCGGCGGCTTGAGGAATACTCTAGTTATTGTAAGCTGGCCACTATGATCCGCATAGAAGCCGAACCGAAAGAACCAGAACTCCCCAGATGTAAAATCCAACTCGGGTTTCGTGGCGTGTTCGGGGGCTTCTTGCCCTGAGTCATATTGGTAGCACCTAAATTTGAGGGCCGTTCAGGAAACAATAATTAAGAATGACTCCGACCAGAGATCGAATTTCTCCGGATCGATCAACGGCCTCTCGTGCGACCCCCAAAAAAGACTAGTTAATAGCCTTAAGGTACCGTCATCATCGAATCTCTAGTGTAGGTCTGTGCTTGGCTGATGGAACCAGTGTGGAGTCGATTAGCAAAAGGCCGAAAGCCAGAAGCTGCTGGCCCCTCGGATTAGTTTTATTGACAGGAGTCGCTTGTGATGGATGTGCCGTGAAGAAGTATTCATGCTTGAAGCCTGTTGTGGCCAGACGATGATTATCGACTGCATTTGTGCAGATTTCTGACTCGCGAACTCGCGAATTGCGAGACGGGGCGCAGGAGGAGCTGACTGACGGCGACCTGACGATGGTGATGATGATGATGATGATGATGACGGGTCGGGACTAAATCGCCAGCACATCCGCCTGGGATTGGGCCATCGCCAGGACAGAGCTTGGACTAGCGCTGGTTTCTATATATACTTAGATTCCCATCGCGGTTCGTAGCGATGATGCAATTGTTGTTCGTCGATTTACTGTACTGTGTACCTCAACTAGTTAGACAGAGGCACTCGATTTATGATGATTGTTGTGCATGATTGACAGATCTGGCAGACTTGTACATAGAGATTCAACACTGATCGACAGGGCGGTTAATCACAGCGATCAACCGAAGGAACATAATACTGTGCGCCCAAACGAATCGATAGGAATCAATCAGTCATCTTGGGTAGTCAGACTGTCAGTTGTTGTCTGACGAGTCGCAGTTCGTCCTTGATTGAGCTGTGTGCAACCTGTAGTTGCTGTGCAGGCGAAGGAGAGGGGGGGCTGGAAGGCAAGGAAGACAGACAACTTTGGCTGCTGTGGTCCTTGCGCAGTGGAAGTGGTAAATCAACAACGTCACTGTATAATCGCACTGGCCATGGCCATTGAGTGGTGAATACGATCGGGTAGAGACTACGGAGGGAGTAGAGAGAGAAGAAGAAAAAGAAGAGATTCTGATTCAACTTTGGTACGTTCCTACCTATTCTTTGGTTCCCGGCTAAAAACTCCCACCCCCGTTTCATCTTCCCAGCTTCTGCTTTCCTCGATTTCTTCTTTTCTATCTCTTACTTGTACCACTTGTACCTCACGGAGTTATTATTTACTCTACCTACCTATTCTCTTCAATTTTCCCCAGACCGCTCCTTGGGTTAGGCGTCTCCTTACTAGCCCAGGAAGCATTGGGCTGTCTCACCCTGCTCCATGCCGGCCACGGCCCTCTCTGAGTAGTGCTCGTTACGGTCTGGCAGGGCGCTTTTTTCAGGAACAGGAAGAACAGGTGAGCGCGCAACTCCCTCCCACTCCCAGCCATCGCATTTTCCCACAAACAACACTCCTTCTCATTCGACCAGCCACTCCCAATTCTAATCGCGTGGCTCGCTCTGAAATCCTCTTCTCACCCTCTTTGCTGGTCTCCCCCCCGTGTTTCAATCCCCGAAGGATACCCACATTCCACTTTGTCTCCTACTGACCTACCATTGTCTGTCTTCCAGTGGCCAGGTGTATCGTGCGTGTGCTGGACAAGACAGAAAGCGGAGTCCTGCCAAAGCTGCACAGTCCCCCTGACACGTTAGCCAAGCGTATCTTCGATCGCAAGCCGCCTGTTCCTGGGAATCCATTGAAAGAGAATTTAATTCCCCAGAACTCAAGTTGTCGTCGCATCCGCATCCGCTTCACCCACAAACTATCGCGGCAGTGTCTTATCCTTATCGCGGCACATTTGACGAGACCTACGAAGTTCACGACCCTCATACGTTGACCACTCTTTCACCGCAACGCCAGCAGCAGGCTGCTCCCCGACCCTTACCTGAACCTACTTTTGACCGAGAACTTCGCCCCTCCAGTGCTCTGGGAAGCACTCGATTGTTGCGGAGAACTTCTCGTCATTTCCAACGCCCACCATCGGTCGATGTATCCGGACGCCCCGCCCAAATAGAGCAATCAATTCCTGTCTTCGTGCAGTCTGTCTCAGAACACGGTGGTAACGGTATTGCAGCACTACCCCCTGCGCTATCCGAGGCACATACGGACTACGACGACGACGAGGCCAATTCGGCACCGGAAGACCACCTTGAGCGGGCAGACACCTCGTACTGGCCCCGTCGGTCCACACGAGTTTCTCCTCGTACAGCATCTGCCATCCTCTGGACTCTGGAAGAAGCGATTCGAAAACCGTTTCCTTTCACAACCGACTGGGAAGAAGTGAATGCGCCCATGGCCGACGTAGCAGGCATCCCTGGCTCGACGGGCTTCAGTGCCAATGGCCGTACCCAGAATGGATCTTCGCGGGTTGCCCAAGGCCCGGTGCCCGTGAATCCACACCCTCCGAGTGGGGTACGGACTCCGACAGATATCATGAGACAGCGCCGGGATCGCGAGGCTCGCAAGAAGGCAGAACAGGAAGCTAAGGATAGGGAGCAAGAGCAAAGCAAGGCTCAAGGGCCAGCGCAGCCTTACGCTGCTGGCGTTGCTGGTGACAGAGGACCACAGAGGAGACCGACGCAAAGGGCTCCCGCGGGGCTCGAAGCGCAAGAATCACGCACCGCGGCCATTCCAGAACGATCCGCTAGCAACGCTCGGCGACCGGAACCATTTTCGCCCACGCAGGCCCCGGGTACCGGCGCGGGGCATGGTTATGCCCGGCCAACAACTTCGGCAGGACAACCCAATCCAGCTCAGCCGTCGCAAATCCCGCCCCAGGGCTCAGCCGGGGGCTCGAAGCCCCAAGGCCAAGCCGCTGCTTCGAAGCAACCCGGCACGGGGTCTCAAAGTCAGCAGCAAAATCGTCGAGTTCCTTTTCCTCATGCTTTCGAACGCTGGGAGACACTCTCGTCGCACTGGGAAGGATTGACTGGCTATTGGATTCGCAAGCTGGAGCAGAACAATGAAGCCCTCGAACGGGACCCTCTGAGCCAGCAGATGGCCCGTCAAGTGACGGATCTCTCTGCGGCTGGGGCCAACCTTTTCCATGCCGTCGTAGAGCTGCAGCGGTTGCGTGCGTCTTCCGAACGAAAATTCCAGCGCTGGTTCTTCGACACCCGCACGGAACAGGAACGGGCGAAGGAATTGCAAGCAGAGCTGGAGCGACAGATCCGGACTGAACGACAAGCGCGCTCAGAGGCTCTTGCCTCCTTACAGAAGGCGGAAAGTGACAAGACCCGCGTGGAAGAACTGCTGAAAGAGATGCGTCGTGAGTTGCAGATCTCCAAAGAAGAGGCCCGCCGCGCCTGGGAGGAACTTGGTCGGCGCGAGCAGGAGGAGCGCGAAAGGACTAATTCGCTTCGTAATGGTGAGCCTACATTGGTGGGAGGGGTGCAAGTGGTGCCGATGGTTACTGGCGCCTCGCACCGTCAAGCTTCGAGCACTCGTCCCCAGACCCACGAGAGCCCCTATGCTACCGGTGGAGCTGCCAGTGGAGAGGAAGCGCCAAAAAGCACAGCGGACACCGAAGGTCAATATTACGGCGAGCCTGCCGCATCGCCTACTGGTACGGATCCTTTTGTCGAGGGACAGCCACCGACCTCGTCTCCAGAAACTCAACGCCAGTATCCTGCACACTACTACGATCCGGAAGCTGGCTACCCCGCTCGACCGACATCCGAGAATGACGACCGATCTTATGGTCCCAGTGTGGCCAGCAGTGAACCTGGGGAAGACGAGTTTGGATCTAGCTATCGCCGCAACCCACAAGGCCCAGTTGTGTATCCTCCTACCATGTCCGAAGGGAGCGATGATTACGAGCACGGCTCTCTCGACGAATCAGGCTACCCCCCTGGGTCGCTTCCTGCATCTTCGGGCTCGATCTACGGAGGGTACAATCAAGCCGCCGACTACAGTGGCTCCGGCTGGGGTGTCGGCTCTGGATGGGAATCAATGACTCCTCGACATCGCCACCCTACTCGGCTGAGCGATGTCATTGAGGAGGAAGAGCCACGAACTACACCGAGTCGTGCCAGTATGGCCAGTCGAAGTGTACAGTGAGAGATGGTCAGCTTTGCCGTACATGCATCATGGAGCGCATCCAGCATCTGCCGGAAGGCCGTTTCGCTTTTGTTTCCGTTACTGTTCGTTCATGCATTCCCCTTTTGTTCTCCCTATGACAATACCTCTTTGTTCTGTTTTATCCCGTTTGCTCCAATCACTTTCCATGTGCCATACCATTCAACTGCATATGCCTTTCTCGAACTGCGACTGTGAGGTCCAATGAGCGCGCTGTTGGCAGGGGAAACCATCTCAATGGATGGCAACCCAGCTTTGCTATCAAGAAAGGACGCGACGTATCTATTGTAATGCTACAAGTCATGACATCAGCAGTCTTGCATTCTGTGCGATGAAAGTCCTCGAGTACGGAGTCTTCTGATAGTTAGCTATAGACAACACACGTGACGTACAGTCAAAGTGCCGATTGCACTAAACCGTAAATGGAAATCATCCAGCAAACCCCGGCCCGCCGGACTGAAACGCATCCCAACCCGCGGCCGACCGCCGTAGTCCTCCGCCTGTGAAACGAAAACTCCGCGTAATCAGCCCATTCCTCGCCCTCCTCCTCTCCGCATCAATCGATTCCAGCACAGCATCATGGCCTCCTCGATCCGACCCGCGGGCCGCATTCTCGCGCGTGCATCGCGCACTTCCCTGCTCTCCCTCGAATCCCCGGTCACTCGAACTCTTGCACGCCCAACCTTCTTCTCCGTGGGCCCCGAACAAGCCGCCCGCACGCGCAGCAGCAATGGCATCACGACCCTCCGCCGCGCATTTTCAACCTCCCCGACTCACTGCAAAGCGCCGAGCATGGGCCAGCTCAAGGCCCGGAACTCCACGGGCCCGTTCTCGTGGAAGTCGGCGCTCCTGTTCGTGCTGACGGGCGGCGGCATGATCATCTATTTCCGGGTGGAGAAGGAACGGTTGGAGCGCAAGCGCATCGCGGAGCTGAGCAAGGGAGTGGGCAAGCCGAAGGTCGGGGGTCCATTCACGTTGAAGGATCTGGATGGGAAGGAGTTTACGGCGGAGGATTTGAAGGGAAAGTATAGTTTTGTGAGTGTCCCCATGTCTTCCTCTTGTTTTTTTTTTTTTTTTTTTTGGAGGGGGGATGACCACTGACATTTCCTTCTTTGCGGTGGGAACCACCAGGTGTACTTTGGATTCACGCACTGTCCGGATATCTGCCCGGACGAGCTGGACAAGATGGCCGAGATCATTGACAAGGTCAACGAAGCGACGGGCGGCGAGAAGATCTTCCTGCCGGTTTTCATCACTTGCGACCCGGTCCGCGATACGCCCGAGGTCTTGCGCGAGTACCTCAAGGAGTTCCACCCGGGCATTATCGGGTTGACGGGCACGTACGAGCAGGTCAAGAATGTGTGCAAGCAGTACCGGGTGTACTTTAGTACTCCGCGGGACGTCAAGCCGGGAGAGGATTACCTGGTGGATCACAGTATCTACTTTTACCTGATGGGTGAGTTATTTTCTTGTTCCGGGGCGGTTTCTGATGGGATATGGCTCCATGGCTAACGCTCCTCGACTTTTCTAGATCCTGACAACGACTTTGTGGAGTGTATTGGACGCCAGGACACGCCTGATTCCGCTACGCGGACCATCATGGAGCACATCAACGACTGGAAGCGCGAGGGCAAGCCTTTGCGGAAGGATTAATGGGATTGTGCTTGATTCTTGGGGGCCGGGGGGCCGGGGGGCTGGGGGGCCGGCCAATGCGTGTACTATATAATACCCTACTCGGTAAAATCATGAAGACTCTGTATGTCCGCCGACGGGATGCGGGACTACCACGGGACTTTTCTAGCTTTGTTTTGTTTTGTTTTGTGTCTATTATGATCCCAGCATACACCTCCTAAACCAGCAAATTCCCCTCCCGATCCCTCTCGCGGTTCTCCCTCCACTCTCCACCCCCATCGACAAACACCTCCCGCTTCCAAATCTCCGCTTTCTCTTTACACCGCTCCAGCACTTCCTCGCCGGCCCGCCACGCGGCGCCGCGGTGAGCCGCGCTCACCGCAATCACAAGACTGCTCTCCGCGATGGGCACGTCGCCCAGCCGGTGCGCGATCACTACGCCCAGCAGCCCGTGCGTGCGCACCGCCTCCGCCGCGATGCCACTCAGCGTCTTCAGCGCCAGGGGCGGGTAGGCGGTGTAGCTGAGCTGGGCGACGGGGCGGTCGCCAAAGGTGTTGCGCGTGGTGCCGAGGAAGAGCACGTTGGCGCCCGCCTGCGGGGAGGAGACTCTCGCGAGTGCGGCGGTGGCGTCGAGCGGGGAGTAGGTTAGGGTGATGTGCGTGTTGAGGGTTGGGTCGGTGGTTGTGCGAGGGTAGGTGGTGGGGTCGAGGTGGGCGGGGAGGGGGATGGATTCCGAGGCTTGTTGTGGTTGTGGTTGTTGTTGTTGTTGGTTTTGTGCTGGTGGATGGTTTGTAGTGGACATCGTGGATTTAATAGTAGGAGTGGATGTTGGTGGTTCAGTGGTGGTGCACTGGTTTGTTTTGTGCGGATTGCTTTGAAGGGGCTGTCGCGATGGTTGTATTCTGAACAGGCGCTGCAGTGAGCTCGTGTGGAGGATGTAGAATCTCAATGGATTTCACCAGATTGAAGCACAATTGCACATGCGATGACTCCATTCCAGATTAGCTTATCAGGGATCGGCGGGGAGCTGTCCTGCTGTCCGATCAAAGCAGGCGGTCGGGCGGCCGGGCCCGAGTCGGTCGGAACTTGCGGTGTCTTCTGGATCCGGACTAGTGGCAAATTTTGGGATTAGCCTCTTTGGGACTCGATGCCTCGGGGTCGAGTAAAGACTGCTCACTTCTATACTAGTGTTAGAAAGTTGTTGAGGTCGCTTTCATGGATGGCAATCTCTTTGCAACATTGATTTTGTATATTGAGATTGCATGGTTCTACTATGTGAGATATTTGTGATCTAAGCTTTTGTTGGCGCTGCACTACGAACCACATGCCTAGTACATCCCCGATTCGCAAATAACTTAAAAACATCAAGGCCTAGAGGATTGAGGGATCGCAAGTGAAGCAAGTAAGTATTGTTGACTGCATGATGGTAATGAGCTGACGTGAAGTTAGGCCACGAAGTTGCTATGCTGGGAGGTAGTAGGATAAACTACATCGCAACACAATCTCAATCAATCGAGCCTTGAGTTGGCTTCACTCACGGCATCACATTGATAAAAGATTCATATCTCAGCTCAACAAATCATACTTGACAGAAAATCGGGCTCACTCACACACTCGGCGTGACAACAGGGGCCTACCGATCAAGTCCCCGGCTCAGTCGCCGATGCGCGATTTTCGCGTCAGGAGGCAGAGATTTGTGCCATAAAGAATAGACGCACCCCGTCATTCGGATCTCCACGTCCTCGACTTTATCTCTCGAGAGCATACAGAAATGGTATCCAAGATGTATCTCCACGGCACATCCGCTGTCTTAGTACGGCCAAGACTATCACCGTCTATAACTCCCCTCTTTAGCGCTCGAGTATACCACCAAGCCGGTGCTTCACCCAAGGAAAAGTCAACCCCTTGCCACAGCAAGACTCCTTCAGCCCAACCCAGCTCGTCTAGACCCTCCGAAAACTCTCCGCCACGGCCATCAACTTCCTCCATCCTAAGTCGCTCATTCTGGACCTGTCGCTCCTCCTGGAAGCGAGCCCGGATCAACACCCTCCGGTGTCTCGTCGGCTGCACCGTCGGCGACTTCTCAGCCCTGTGGATATTGCAGTCTTTCGCGCCGACTCTTGGGATTGGCCCGATTATGGGACTGTCCAGTATTTTCCTCCCCTCCCCCCTTCCAATTTCTCGAGCGTATGGGCGATGACCACTGACGTGCTATGTCTCGAACAGTGGCCTCGGGCATAACCACATCTATCGTTCTCGAGACCTATCTCCTCTGGCGGGGAGCAGACCAGCTGTCCCTGCCCGTGGCCTGCCGCACAGCCATGGGAATGAGCATGGTCTCCATGCTGGCGATGGAGCTAGCCGAAAATGCGGTGGACTACCATCTGACCGGCGGGGTGATCAACGTGGGCGATCCGCGATTCTGGCTTGCAGCTGCCGTGTCTGTGGGGGCGGGGTACCTGGCGCCGTTGCCGTACAACTACTGGCGGTTGAGGAAGTATGGAAAGGCTTGCCATTGATTTCTTCCGGTTCGACCTTGGTCGAGTCACCGTGCAAGCCACGTATGATGTATGATGATCTTGTCTACCAGATGTGTAGTGGCCACTCACCACTGCAGGTATATTCAAATGAGATTGCGCTATTACAGAGGGTGTTGCCAGTACTAATACAAGTTCCCTATCGACTGCCTCCATCCTGCTAGGTTCGCAGTGTAAGCCTGCACTCCATTTCTCAAAACTCCAAGTCATACACCAATGTATCCTCACACAGCTCCTCCCGGAGTTTTTGCACCCTGCTTCAATTAGTCTCGCGGTCTCATTTGCGCACAGCAAGCAGCACGGATCCACTCACTCCAGATGCGCCGGATGCGCCGCATAAGTCGGTAAGTCGTCCGGCTTCTCCAGGATGGCCACTAGTCCCATATCAAAGCCCTTGGCCCGGGCAGCAGTGGCCGCGAGGGGAGTGCCGGCCTTAAGTTGGCGGAGTCCTAGCATGGGTCAGTTTGGGCCTGATCACCTCCGCTTGCTCGGGAGGACATGGATGAGGGCCAGCTTACCGGGAACCTGGCCGACCATGCCATTTGCCACGCTGGTCCACTGATTCAGTTGTGCCTTGGTGACGCCGGGCTTGAGGCGGAAGAGGACTGAGTGAGACTTTATCAGTTGTTGATTTCCATGGGGGTGGGGGGAGGGAGCAGGGCAGCAATTACCGATGTGGTAGAGGGCCATGTTGGAGGGTTCTACTATGATCAGTGTGGTATTTTTGTTTTTGAGTGAGATATGAAGCTGGGAAGGTCAGCTTTCATATGACAGAGGAGATAAGGCTTACTTTATACTAGTTAGTCGCGGACGGAGATTGTCCGAGTGCCGTGGGGGAAGGATTCCGGTTCATTCCTTTGCCCGAATTATCTTACAAGCGTACTATATATGATAACGCCTAGTGAGTTAATTGACTCATTTCGTCAATCTGACTCTCAGGAGTAAGGACGAGATTTTCATGGCCACGCTCTATTGTAAGCTTGGTGGACACTAATGATATATACTCCTCCGTAGTAGTAGAAGATCGGGAATGAGCTGCTGCTGCAGTTTGTGGCGTTGCCAGTTGGCGGTTGTTGCTGCCCCTCCCCCAATAGCATCATCTCATCTCTCCCCACCACCTGCGCACGTACTTCAAAGGCGATCGAGTGCAAAACTGTCCGGCAAAGAGGGTGTCGTCCAATTGATTGATTGATCGATCCACTTGGATTTGGAGTAACTTACTCTGTCTGAGTGGCATACCATCATCCTAGAGAAGTGGACAAAGCAAACCCACCGAGAATTTCTCCGCATGAGACGCAGCCGAGTTGATCGTCGAGGGGCAGCAGCAGCACAGCACAGCAACGCACTGCCCCTCCTTGCCAACAAATAAGAAGGATGTGCACCCCTCATGCCGGTCTTCAAAAGTGATACCCCCCATTTTCCCTCCCTCCTCATCCCCCGTGATGCCCAAACCCTCCTCCCAGATCCACCGCGCCTGGTGGAAGGAAAGCTCCGTCTATCAGATCTGGCCCGCCTCCTTCAAAGACAGCAACGATGACGGCATTGGCGACATCCCCGGAATTGTCTCCAAATTGGACTATATCAAGAATCTCGGGGTCGATATTGTGTGGCTATGCCCTTCGTACAAATCTCCCCAGGTCGACATGGGGTACGATATTTCGGACTACTACAGCATCGCCGAGGAGTACGGCACGGTCGCGGACGTCGAGAAGCTGATCCAGGGCTGCCACGAGCGGGGGATGAAGCTTCTCATGGATCTCGTGGTCAATCACACCAGCGACCAGCACGAGTGGTTCAAGCAGTCGCGCCGCTCCAAGGACAACGAGTACCGCAACTGGTACGTCTGGAAACCGGCTCGCTATGACGAGCAGGGCAATCGCCAGCCCCCTAACAACTGGGTGTCACATTTCCAGGGTAATTTCGACTCCCTCCCCCTGTGATGCAATTTATTTTGGCCTGACACTGACAACCCCTGCAGGAAGCGCCTGGCAATGGGACGAGCACACCCAGGAATACTACCTCCATCTGTACGCGACCGAACAGCCCGATCTCAATTGGGAACATCCGCCCGTGCGCCAGGCGGTGCACGAGATTGTGCGCTTCTGGCTGGACAAGGGTGCCGACGGGTTCCGCATGGATGTCATCAACTTCATCAGCAAGGACCAGCGCTTTCCGGATGCCCCGGTCCAGGACCCGCGCACGCCCTGGCAATGGGGCGACAAGTACTACGCCAACGGCCCCCGGCTGCATGAGTACCTGCAGGGCATCGGGCAGATCCTGACGGAGTACGACGCCTTCAGTGTCGGGGAGATGCCTTTTGTCAAGGACACCAACGAGGTCCTCCGGGCGGTGCGCTTCGATCGCCACGAGATCAACATGATCTTCAACTTCGAGCACGTCGACATTGACCACGGCCCGTACGATAAGTTCGAGCCCGGCAGCTGGAAGCTCACGGACCTCAAGTCGTTCTTCGAAACCTGGCAGAAGTTCATGTACGAGAACGATGGCTGGAATGCGCTGTACTGGGAAAATCATGATCAGCCGCGGTCGATTGACCGGTTCACGAACGCCAAGGAGGAGTACCGCACCGCGGCTGGCAAGATGCTGGCGACCGTGCTGGCGCTGCAGTCCGGTACGCCGTTTGTGTATCAGGGCCAGGAGCTGGGGATGAGGAATGTCCCCGTGGACTGGGACATGAGTGAGTATAAGGACATTGACTGTCTGAACCACTGGCATAGGTACGTCTCCACCGGGGAACGAGAGAAATGACAGGAATATGGGGGCTGTGCGAAACCGAGACTGACGTTCTGTTCCATTGCAGGCTCCTCGCACACAAGCCCGACGACACTGAAGCGCACAAGATCGCCCGACAGGAGTACCAGAAGAAGTCCCGCGACAACGGGCGAACCCCGGTGCAATGGTCCGCAGCTCCCAACGGGGGGTTCACCGGGCCGAACGTCAAGCCCTGGATGTCGGTCAACCCGGACTTCGAGCGCGTCAACGCGGAGGCGCAGGTCCAGGACCCGCAGTCGACGTATCACTACTGGTCGTCTGTGTTGGGGCTACGGAAGAAGTACCACGACATTTTTGTCTACGGGGATTATGAGCTGGTTGACCGGGCGAACGAGGAGATTTTCGCCTACACCCGGCAGTACGAGAACCACAAGGCGCTGGTGCTGGCTAATTGGACCGAGAAGACGCTGGAGTGGGATCCCGCTGCAAATGGCATCCAAGGCGTGCAGGATGTTGTCCTGAATACATATGGAAGCGCGGCATCGACCCAGGAACGGTTTACGGGGGGTGGTGGGCAATGGTCGCTTCGTCCATATGAGGCGGTGGTTGCGCTGGTGCAGGCGTGAGATCAGGTATCGAAAATCAGTGAAGGAGCATTTAGCCAGTGTAATGCCACGGGGTTTGGGATTGAGTCCCCTCAAGCATAGAATTGATATCTGGTACTGTAAATGTGATGAGATGAAGAATTTAAGTCAATTCAGAATGCAAGACATCAATCACTCAGTGCTCAGCATCCCTGAAAGGTGGCAAACCCATCTTCTGGTCTTCAAGTATCTCCCTCAAGGAAGAAAACTGGCGTAACACTTATTGATATGGGCAGTCAATCACCCACCCCGGCCATTCTATGCTAGTCGTTACTGACGTCTTCATGCCTTCTCTTCTGTACTGTTGTCTCACCACCAGCACCACCACGCTCCCGGTGATGGATAAGATTGAGAATCGCTTGTATGTCTCTTGAGGAGGCTATGTTCTGTTTAGGTTGGTCACTCTATACGTACTGATCACATTCTACCAGAGCGAGCTAACCCAACCACGGCCACAGCGCAACAACCATCACAGCGAAATACACATCCAGCCACCGCCCACCACCCACACCCTCCCGCAACCCCCTCGCCGCCGTCGACGTCTTCGCACCCGCCGCCAGCAACACGCTCGGCTCGTACGTCGCCGGCTCCGTGCTGTTGCGCGTGCCATCCCAACAGTACTTCTCAAAGCAGCGGGCGCAGACGGCCGGGACCTCCGTTTGCGTACGGTCGAATGAGCGCGCCAGCACGGCACAGCCGGCGCAGGTGGGCCAGTCGGCGAAGGCCTCGCGGGTGCCGTTGGCCATGGTGACGACATTATATCCATTGGTGATCATCTCGTCGCGCTCGGAGATCGCGTAGGTGAGCTGGAAGGTCGACTTGTTCGAGTAGGTCGTATAGGGGTAGTTGGGCAGGTAGACCAGCAGCGGCGCCGGAGCGGTGAGATTGGAGCTGTTGCAGCCAAAGAAGGTGGGCCGCGTATTGAGTCCGAGGTTGACGAAGGTGTTTTTGTCGGGGATGCTGGGGAAGACGGTGCCGTTGCCGGCGCCGCTGGCGTTCTGGCTGCGCTCGTAGGTCGCCACCAGCGGGCTGCCGTTGGGCCAGTGGTTGGCGGTGCTGGCGGAGGAGTCGACGGCGAAAATCACATCCACCTGGCGCGTCGGCTGGATCAGCGGGTGCAGGGGCAGGTTCTGCTTGTCCTCGCCGCCGTCGACGACGTTGAGGTGGGCGGTTTGCTCGTGGTGGTATCGGTAGAACGGGTTGGGCGCGTAGATGGCGATGTCGTCGTTGCGGTCGCCCAGCTCCTCGAGGATCTCGGCGGCGATGTCTTTGAGGGTGCTGGGTAGGTCGGTGGTGTTGAGCTTGAGGATGAATTGGTTAAAGAGGCTGGAGGAGGTGCCCATCACGAACCCGGCGTTGTCGTAGCCGCGCACGCAGGTGGAGTTGCGGGGCACGCGGCCCTCTTCGAAATACGAGCCCAGGTACTCGAGCGGCGCGAAGGCGAAGATGGAGGGGTCGAAGCTGCCGAATTCCCAGGGGTTGAACTCGTAGACGGTCGAGTTGCTGCCCACCAGGATCTCGCCGGGGTTGCGTCCGTCCGCGACGAGGAGCGGCAGGGGCATTTTGCCGGCACGGAAGTCGTCGGTCAAGGCGATGGACGACCATGTGTAGCTGGGACCGCCGTCGGTGGCCTTGATGAGTTGGTAGGAGAGCGCGCGGCCCCAGTAATCGGTGAAGGAGATGTTGAAGCCCGCATCGCGTTTGCCTGCGACCACCTTGACCAGTTCCTCGTAGTACTGGGCCGTGTCCCAGATCTGCAGCCCTTTGGTCTTGGGGCCCTTGATGATCGAGTTTTGGAACTGCCACACCTCGCCTTCCTTGTAGGTCTGGAGGTTGGAAATGGTGGTGAAGTTGTTGATGTAGACCGATCCCAGCAGCCAGCCGCCGCCAGACAAGCCGGAGACATACGTTGCCGCCTGCAGAAGCCCCCCCAGTTGGCCGCTTTGGGTCGAGCCCTCCGTGCGGCTGTCGAAGGCCTTGAGTGCGCCGGCCCCGTTGGTCAAGGCCCGGTAGCCTCCGCCCGATACCGCGATGCCGATGTTGGGGAGGTTGGAGACGTTGGAGGCATGCTGGGTGATGTAGGAGACCGCGTCGAAGTCGCTCATGTTGAGATGCCCGAAGAAGTCTTTCATGGCTGGGATAGTCTGCTGACGGCGCACATCGAGCCATGCAGTCTCATTCTTCGAGAGCGTCGATGCGCTTCGAATCGTGGGTCTGCTGGAAGGGCAGGTCACATTGCTGGGAGCATATCCATCGGGGGCGTTGGAGAGGGCACGTCGCGAGATATCTTGAGTTGTCAAGTCGCTCGAAGTAGGCACAGACCTGCTGCCTGTTGTATGGCATGTTGTCAGCATCGGGATGCTTGGTGAGAGTAAGCTGATTCAACTTACCAGGGAAAGACCCCAGAGCAAGCACCGTCGAAAGAGAAAGGGCTGTCAGCTTCATGGTGTAGCAGGGATGGCTCAGACTGCACCACAGAGTCGGATCGTTGGGATGGACGTTTTATATGATGATGAGGTTATTCGGGCCCAGGAATGATCGAGGAAGCATCGGAGTTCGATCCAAGCCACGCTTCGCTGACTTTTGCTGCCTGGAATGGAGGCGCCTCTGCACTATTGCAACCCCCCTGTCATACGGACGCTCCTCGGACCACAATAGTCTGCCCTGCACGACCGATTGGGTGAGCGATTAGGCAACAGGAATAGAGGTTGCTGGAAGAAGGTTCGGAGGTGGAGATCTCGGGGCCCGAGGCGTTTCCAAGTTACTATTAGCTTTGGCTTCATCGAATCAGTGGTGTGTGACGGTGATGCTGACTGAAGGCCAGGTGGGAGGTGTGATGCGTGATATGCATCAGGAACCGTGGTTGTGTATGATTGTCGACTGAATCCCCTGGTTCTGTGGCTACTACTACTAGTATAGACCTGCTGTTATGCTCAACGAGTGGTGAACCCTGCCCGTGAAGACTCAGCCCTATGGGGCGTGGGCCCTCGGCTGCTCGGCACATCATGAGGCTCACCCACTAGGATCACTACTAGTATAGAAAGAAGACAGCATGAAATCGGTACAGGTATGCTTATAAGACCCATTCGATCCCACGATGCAATGATACACCCCACTCATGACCAGCAAGACGACCGAAATTAGACTGATACTACTAGTAGCAGCAAGGCCACATATTTCCAGAAAGCCGCAGCTGCCGGGCCTGGAGAGGGAGAAGCCTGGGTAAAAAGCCAGTGCCAGCATATAATGCTCGTCTACTTCCTACAAAATTAAACAGCGAGCGCAAACATGCAGGTTCTGATGGATTGATCATCATTGGACTTAGTAGTTGTAGTTGTGTGGATGTTGTATGCCTCAGGCTGCAAGACCCAAAAAGAGCTAGTGTCAGAATGAGTGAACGAGTAGTGACTGACTAATCACTTTTGGAAAGCGGTATCTTCTCCAAGCGGTCAGTCATTCTGCCGTCGGCGTCTCTCTGGCCTCCCGTCCGCCGGCGACATCTTTGCTCCAAGCGCAACCCAACTTCTTCTTCATCAGTCAGACTTCATGACTGCTGTGCATCATGTCTCATTTCCAGGAAGATGATCGATACTACTCGGGACCGCCGCGACCCGTTCCTCGCCGCGATGACCGGGATGGTCGAATGTACGACGATCACTCGCCGTCCCGATCGCGCTCGCCTGGCGGTATTACGCTCCTCCCCGCACGAGTATAGCATGGGCGAAGCTCCGGACACGGTAATAACTGACTCACTTTGCCATGAGAAGATCTACCCCTCTCTCCTTCGCGGGGCTCCGCCGCTGAAAGAAGGGGGGATTACCCCAGAGACCGACCCAACTCTGGACCCCGTTACCGCAGTCGGGACCGAGATGACTACCGACGGCGCTCCTCTCGCTCACCTCCACCCCGGCGCGGCCGACCAGCCTACAGAGACCGAGACCGCGAGGGCTATCGCTCCCCCGCATACGGCAGCCGCAGTCGAAGCTACAGTCGCAGTCGCAGCCGCAGCCCCCGGCGCAGCCGGCATTCGCATCACGGGCAAGAAAGTCGCGAGGTGATGATGGATGGGTTACCGGTGGATATGGTGGAAGAAGACGTTCGACAACTCCTTCCCCCTGCACGTTTGAGTTTCTGGAGCTCTGGCGTGGTGCTCCTTGGAATCCCGTTTTTGAATGGCAAGAAGCTGAGATGTCTGGTCGATGTGTGGAACAGATTTCGAATGAGTTGAAAGAATACTACAACGTTGAGGGCCTGGACGACGTTCGGGTGATACGCGACCGGCAAACGAGTGAGTGGGCTTGAGCTTCTCGGTCTGCAGCGCTAATCATGGGTTCAGAGGTTTCTCGTCAGCTGGGTTTCTTGAGATTTCGCGATCTCAATCAGTCGCGTGCGTTTGTCGAGCGGAACTTCCCAAACATATACCTGCACGGCCCGAGCGCACAGAACGACCGCGGCACGAAAGTGCGCATCGCTTACAGTCGCGAGAGAGAAGACCGTGCTCGGGCCCGAGCAGAGGCTGACTGGACCTGCATGATGGTGAGACTGAAAGATGTCGAGCTTGAGTCCCGCGCGCTGATTTCTTCTAGTGTTCCATTGTCAATTATTCCACCCGCCAAAAGTGCTTTCGTTGTCAAGCACCCCGACCTGGTAAGTCCGTCAAGCGACGGGAGTTATACGCACTTGCTCATTCGTACTAGATGGGGGCCCGGCCGGTCCTCCTGGACTACCGGCACCGAAAGTCGAGAACCACGGTGATAATGACGCGGCGCCTGAGAATCAGCCTTCGCAGTTTCTCCTCTTTCGCGGACTGGAATCCTCGGTTACCGAGGAGCTGCTGGCTAAGGGGGTTGCCAAGTTATACCGGCCTTCCTCGTCCAGCAACGATGCTACCGGAGGTCAAAAGAAGGGAGCTAAAGTGGCTTCCACTACCGGGGACTCGAACCTTGGCGCTCGGGATGGTTCCATTCGTCGTGTGCTGCTTGTGCGAGGGCGCAAATCCAACGAAAGCTGGCGCTATGGGTTTGCGGAGTTTGCTACAATTCAGGCATGTCTACACATTCGTCCTCGGAGAGTCCTGCTAACACGCTCTAGGACGCACAAGCGGCCATCACGCGGCTGAACTCATTCGATAAGTTTACCATCTCGTCGCGACCTGTCCTTGTCAGCTACATCCACGCCGGGGTCTTTGTTCCGGTGCTAAACCCCACTCCGAACAATGAACGATTTACGTTCAGCCCGCTGAACAACCCGTCTTTGAAACTGATGTATTGGGACGAAGAGGCGTACGTGAAGGAGCTTACAGTGTCCACGGCAGAATTGGACAGCGGCAAGGCGGACAAGGCGGGTCAGGAAGGACCGACCAAGGGCACCCGAGATGCCGACAAAGCTAAGAAACGCAAGGCGGATGCGGCAGCGAGTGCAGCGGCCAAGAAGATGGCGGTCCCGTCGCATCTGCAGTTCTGGAGTAATCGCCATGCGGAGCTGCATGGGATCCAGAAGAAGGAGGGCGAGGACAAAAGCGGCGCGGAGCCGACGTCCGAGGCGGCCGCATCGCCAGTGGATATGGCCGCGCCCCCGAGTCAATCCTATGCCAACCCCCAGCAGAGCTGCTGCTATCTGTGCATGCGCAAGTTCAAGTCCACGGCCCAGGTCAACCTGCATGAACGGCTCAGTCAGATGCACCGCGACAACCTGCAGAACGAGGAGCGGATTGCGCATGCCACTCGTAAGCTTGTCAAACACGGGATCATCCCGCAACCGACGGAGTATCGGGATCGCGCCCGGGAACGCAGACAGGCATTCGGCCGAGCCAAGGCTGGGGCTAAGCCGCGGCCCGCGGCGCCGGCTGCGAAGGACGAGGAGCCTGCGGTGCAGGTCCCGTCCAAGGGCGCTTCGCTGCTGAGCAAGATGGGGTGGTCCGCGGGGTCTGGCCTGGGAGCTCAGGGCACTGGAATGACGGCTCCGATTGCCACGGAGGTGTACGCGCAGGGGGTTGGGTTGGGGGCGCAGGGGAGTAAATTGGGCGAGGCCAGTGAGGAGGCGGGGCGAAACACGCGGGGGCGATACGATGAGTTTCTGGAGAAGACGCGACAGACGGCTCGAGAGCGATACGAGAAGATGGAGCAATAGGACGAGAGAATGGTAATTGAGTGTTTCAATTTTGTGTCTGCTGTAGATGCAGTAAACACCAAAAGGGTTGTCAGGTTAGTAGATGATGCAGATGCAGTAAATACAAGAGTAGGGTATTGTATGTATGTATGCCACGAGCGAAGCAAAGAAAAAAAAAAGTAGAGATTATATCCCGGAAACCGAAACCGAAAACTCCATCCAGATAGATTAATCCATCCATCCATCCCACCCAACCCATATCCATATTTTCAATCATCAAGACCGTTCCCGTATCAGTCCTCTTAGTAAATAACTCAACTCATCTCAACTCAATTCCCCTTCCCCTTCTTTTCTTCCAGCTCCAACAACTCCTTCTCCCGCTGCGCCTTCAACTCCTTCCCAAACTTCTCCCCCAAAACCTTCGCCGCCCAAGCCTCCACCTCCCGCTCCATCTCCCGATCCCCCTCCGCGAGCCCCTTCGCCGCATCCTCCTCCGAAAGCGACACCCGCCGCACATACCGCCGCATATCCTCCACGGAATTAATCTCCATCGCGTACAACACCCCGCCCGTCCCCGCCATCGCCAGCGCCAACACGTTCAACGTCGCCAGATTTAGCGCCTCAAACGCCTCCACCCCGCCGCTGACGGCCGGTCTGTGGTACTGCGCCGACGTGAAGAACGGCGGGATGCCGGCGATCTGGCGCTTCTGGATCGCGCGGCGCGTCGTGAAGGCTGTGAGGGCGAAGAAGGCCAGGCCGCCGAGGAAGAGTTTTAGATTCGTCTGCGGAGTCCAGAGTTTCGGGAGGGGGGGGTCGATTTCTGTTGGTGTCGAGGGGAGGGTTGTTTGGGTTGCGGAGGAGGGTTCTCGTGATTCTTCTTGTTGTTGGGGTTGTTGTTGAGGGGGGATGAAGTAGCGGAGGAGACCCATGATGATTACTTTTGTTGGTTGGTCTGAAGGGGGAGGTTCAATTCAATGATCTGACTGTGTGTTTTGTGCTTTTGAATTCGGTTGAGTGTTGAGGGTTGTGAAGGAGGGGAAATTGTCGAGCGGAATGAGGAGAGAAGTGGAGGAGGGGGAGGGTTGGTTGGTTACTCTGTCGGTAGCTACTGGTTAGTCAGATGCTGGCGGAGATTAACTTACAACACTCACCTTAACGCCGGATGTGTCATGGCCGGCAACTTCTCTGCGCTTCTTTTTTGTTCGTTCCCTGTGTTGTCAACAAAAGGATTTTGACACGGCAAGGCTTGGCCTGGATACTCGGACTGTAGAATGGATCCGTTCGATTGAAGTGCCTCTGTCGCATTTGGGTGTTATCACGCGTTTTATCTCCGTTCTTACGACAAGCTAGAGGACAGATTCATTTCTATTCCTATGGTCTATGCGCGTATGTACTGATTCGAGCCTGCCTGCTATACTGAACCGATGAAGTGTGTACATGGAAATGTCGAAATGAAATCATGCCAGACAATAGATGGAACTGATCGATATATATCTCGTAGTTCTTCCTGGTAGATGAATAATGCCCATGTGCTGGAAGACACAAGTCCACTAAAGGCCCGGTGAGAGCAAGGGGTTGAATGCCTGTATTCCTGCGATAATCATGTATTATCTCAATCAGGCCTTTGCAATCTCTCCCTTCACGCACAGCATGATGTATGCGGGTTTGCACCTCGATTGGATGCTGGGGCAGCATTCAAATCATCCCACCAGAACACTCGGGGGGTTTCACAGAGATGCATCGCGCATTCGTCGCGACAGCACAGTCGAAGCATACGTATATGTCTCCCCTCAGTGACGCGGGAGGTACTTCTAGTCTGCGCCTCAGAGTAATACCCCTGTCACAGCTCTCGAGGTCAATTGCAAATGAGGTATGGTCCCGTGGAGTCACCTGGTGGTCGACTGAACATCTAGGCCCGCAATCATGCGCTCAGCCTCGGTTCCCTCAACAGGGAATGCTCTCGGAGCCGAATGGAGCTGCAGGCCGAAGATCAGCCAGCCGGTCATCTCATCGAAGACCCTCCGAGCCGAACGTGTAGATCCGCAGCACGCGCTGCTTCTGCTCCAAAATCCAATCACGCAGCTCATCCGTTAGAGGAAGCATAGTCATATTCAGCAAGTTGTTCGATGCGAGCCATCCCCCCAACAGCGGAGATGTTTGCCGGTGAGCCGCGCTCACCCGTCGGCTGTTCGCCTCAGGGTAGTCGATCTTCTCCATGCCCACCTGCGCCGGCTGCGACTGACTGCCAAGGAAGTACGGGACGGTGGCGCAGATCCCAACGGCGGAATCCTGGATGACGTCTAATGCGCACTGGATCTCGTCGGCACGGAGGGGCGGCCCAAGACGGCGCAGGCAGCCCAGGATAATGTTCTGGATGACGATGCGCGAGTCACGGTAGAAGTTCCAGGTGCTGGCGATCCAGAGGTCCGAGTAGCAGTCGCATCGATTCTTGTACATGCCCACTTTACGGATGGAATCCGATATCATTGTCGCAGGGACGGGGTGCCAGTGGTCGGGTAGGGCATGCGTCCAGGCCACCAGCCTGGTATCTAGATGCCTCGCCCGTGTGAGAATCTCCTCAAGCGCGGTGACATCGGTAGGCACCTCCAGGGCGAGCTTATCCCAGGCTTGGCGGAGGCTGACCAGATCAGACGTCGCCATCAGTAGTTGAGTGGAGGCTGAGTCGGGGGCAATTGGCGCGGGCGGCCAGATCTTGGGAGTCTGCATGACGGGGTACGCGAGCCCTTTGGACATTTTGATCTGACTTGTTAGCCACACACTCAAGTAGGTTTTGCCTGCGGCCGAAAGCTTACAAGCTGCGCATGCACTGCATTTTCCAGCGTTACCGCGACGTCCGTCTCCCGCTGATCGGGACTGCGACTATTCACCAAGGCAATCGCGCCACGCAGATGTGTCTTTCCGGGAGGTCGGCGCTCCTTCAAAGCCAAAAATTCCTGATTCAGAGTTTAGCTAACTTCAATCCACTGGGGTTGACTATCAGAGCCAGCAACCTCATATATTGACAGCAACAGCACTGTCATCAGGATCTCGTCCTGATTTTGGTCAATGCCAGCTTGGATCGCTTCCCTGGTCTTAGCTATTGCTTGCGCACACAGCTGTTCGGCAGTCCGTAGATACGATCGGTTTCCCGTCCACGCGCACACCGAGAAGAAAGAGACCGCCAAAGTGATGAGTTTTAAATGCGACCCAGGCTGCGCGTTCGAGTAAGCCGCGGGCACCATTTCCATGAACCCTTCGCGGATTAACGGGTCCTTGGGCGAATAAAGATAGGAGCTGAAGAACAAAGACGTCACCGTGTCCTCCACCGGCAGCTGAACACTCTTCGGTATGCTGCATGATGAATCGAATACAATATCCATCCAATCCGCGCGGGTAACATTGGTGGACACGGCGGTTTCAGATGCCGCGGAACCTGCCGACGTTACAGCTGTCAGTTTCGCCTCGTCGGTTAGCACTGCATTTGACGGCTGAACGCCTCGCTTCTTGCGCTTGAATGCGACCTGGTCTCGCAGCATGATATCAAATGGATCTGGATATCCTGGACATGACCGGTTCGTCCGCACACAAGCTCTACAGTGCGGGCGAGTCTCATCACACTGAGCGAAGTATCAGCAACCAGTGGCGCAACGGCTCGGAAGCACCAACCTTGATGCGTCTCGACCGGCAATTCTGACACCCTGTGCTGGGTTTCCCACGGTACACCATGGCGAGGTTCCGAGTCTAATCAGACCGTAAATCTGGAGTCGGACGGAGTGATTGTGGATCTGACTGGTACGACAGCATCGAGAAGGCTGGGCGGCAAAGCACTACTTCAATAACATGGTCCATACACCAAGCATTCGGACCCAGGCTGGTTCTAGACGCCATCAAACGTACCCGGATGAATTGGAAATTGGCTTCCGATAAGCAGAGGAAGTTGAGGTGATTAGTTGGAGCCTTGCGCTAACCACAACAGATTGCGCACGTGATGGGTCTCTCACCCGAGGTGTTATCCACTACAGCCCTGGATCCTTTATCCCATAACTAAGACGCATGCATTGGTTGGCAAGCTCAAGGAATCTTGATGCTTCGCAGAAAACGCGCATGAGGTCATTGAAAGAGCAAGTTGGGAGGAAAGGTCAACTACACAAAGCACAGTCGAATCCAACGGCAAAAGAGAAGGAATAAGATGTTCGTAAGTAGATACATCACAGTACAGGCATGTCTCATTAGCATTAAATTTCATCAAAACAGATGTAGGTTAGGCTCGTAACACCGTAATGCATATAACAGGCTTCATAAAATCATCAATCGATCATAATACATAAATCTCATGGTAGGCGGGCGTGCGGAATGACCGTAGGGACTCGACCGACCGGGCGTCTAGATCAGATCAGGTCCTCAATTTCGTGCCGCCAAGTGAACTATCTCGTAGGTGCAGTGTTGAGCAGCATATCTGCCCGACCGGGACGGTCAAGACGATCAATGCCCAGATGTTCTTTGCCATCTCGGCCAACATAGATCCCAAAGCCGTACACTGAATGCTCTCGGTCCCCGGGTGGTGCGACAACGAGTCGAGTGACGAGATCGGCCTTGCTCCTAGGCTCGCGCAGAATTTTATCCGCGAGGAGAGGACTCTGATAGAGGAAGCTGATCAGACCGGCGAGCGTGCTGATATCATGCGGAAGGTAGCGTCGGCGGCGCGGCCAGATGCACAAGAAGGAAACAGTATAGAGAGCACAGAATACCACCATCGCGTAAAAAGCAGGCATCGATGCTGCAATTTTCACGACGTGCTCGGCTGGGTAATTCAAGGCAATAAATACACCTCCAGCGAGAATCGGAATGGCAGCAGACGCAACACTCATAAATGAGATCCAAGCCACTTTGTAATGCTTGTTGACGACCGCTAGGACGGTCACCTGGAAAGGAAAACAGGAAGGATACGCGAGCAACAGACTCTCTTCCGCCCGTGCACCATCGGACGAAGACAACGAAGCAAAGGGTTGCGACGCACGGAAGAAGACGTCAATAGGCTGCCAGGCGAGGAAGAAGATGTTTCCGATGAGGGCTGGAACAAAACTGTAGCAGAAGTTGGAGGACGAGAAGGCGCCAGTAGAAGGCAGTGTCGGCAGTCGTGGAGGGAAGCCTCCCCGGATAGCATCATGGATAAAACTGACTAGCACAAAGGCGATGAATAAAGCGCATATAATAACAGTCCAAGCTATCACAGACGTGTCTTTGAGAAACCATGGGATCCAACGATAACGAACAGCAGGAGAGTACAGATGATCATAGTACTCGCCTTCCTCCGTTATTGCCTGTCGTTCCACATCTATTGACACTTTGGACAGTCCATGCGACTGCATTTGAAGGTTCTTCTCCAGGTGGTGCAAAGACGGTGTTCGGATTGGCGCATCGACCTCGCCAATGCCATAGAAGGTTTCTCCGCGGTTTGACAATTGCCAATAACCTAGCCGGAGAAATCGAGGTTCAAGCGACTCTCCAACGTGGGGCAATGTTTCAGACTGTTCAAAATCATGCAGGATGTTTGACCGTTGAATGACCGAAATGAGGTCCGCCAGGCTAACAGGGTCCCACATTAAGCCAGACCATGTGCGGACGAAGCGGAGCATAAGTAGGATGAGTCCAATAGTCGACAAGCCGTAGATGGCCACTAGCGTCCAACCGACGGCCAGAACGGAAGCCCATCGCCAGGTCCCCTGGCCGTCGATTATATACCATTTGGCCTGGAACAGACAACTGAGAAGCGGCAGTGCGATAATATTGGAGAGCCACATGGAAAGTAAAGCGAATCCAACGAGAGCCTCTCCGTGCTTAAAGTGCGAGAGATCCGGCAGGATGAAGTTGCGCGAGAGAATTGGCAGTCCTTGTAGGACGCGATCGTACGGCCGTTCCGATGCCATGATGGCAAACGGCATGATGCGATACACGGCGGCCTGAACCACAAACGTCCAAAGAGTGATGATCATACCCAGAATCTGCGGTAAAAATTGCATCACGAAGTAATGAGAACCACCCTGCCTCTCATAATCCCATAGTCCTTGATGTCGCGGCGACCAGACATTGCAAAAGATGATTCCCGCCATCATAAGCAGACAGCATGTCGTGAGTGCCATTAAAGCCCATGTGCGTAGTACGCAGGGCACATAATCTAATGCAGGGTACAGTAGGCTTTCCTCCGGAGGATCCACTGGGACGAATGATTCCGGGTCCACCGAATTTTGAGGTGACCTTCTTGCGGAAATGGGAGATGTCTGTTGCTGTCTCACTGCCGGAGTTGAAGAAGGCCCATGCGAGCGGATGAAGCAGCCAAGACCATCATCCCAGAGCAGCGGCTCCGCGGGAGAGTCCTGGCTAATGATCGAACTTCTCCGCCTGGGACCCGCGACGTCCTCATCACGCGTCAGCTGGCTGATGGCGAAGTGAATATAAGGCGAGTCGTCCATTCCGGGAGTCGGTGGGCGTCCGGCGTAGCTATCAGCGGGCGCCTGGCTAGACGTGGTGTGAGACATAGGGCTCAGGTGAACTTCTCTATCCTCAACGGAGCGTATCGTTCGGGACGCGGGTGTAGTAAAGACTCTATTATCGCTCGAGGAGTCCACTGAGGGCTGCGAGCGCGTGCCAGCCACCGGCGGGGCGAGATGTGATCTTGAAACGCTAGGGGAAGGCGTATGAGATGCAGGGCGAGAGTTGGGAGTCGCATAGCGCACGACATTGACTCGGCTGCCACTCGTCCGAGACCTTGCGCTGGAACTCTGGCTCGAGAACGAATAGTAGTCATCTGAAGCGGCAACGGATTGTTGATCTTCGGTATGTATCATCTGCGGTCTACTTGCTGCATAGAGTCAGGCCATCGGTCGAAACCACAATCCAGCGTTGGTCGAAGTTTCAGGCTGGCTGTCAAACAAATCTAACATTCCACTTACAACTGACAGTCCGTAGACTGACATTGCCCGAACCCGGAGCCAACATGGCGGTCGGGATCAACCGAGGAATGTATACGCTCAATCACTCACTTGCACTTTCAGTATGAGATAGCTCATGGGCATTTCCCACGCATAGGACCCGAGCCGGTCAAGGGGGTACATAAGAGTCTGAAAAGAATTGGGGCAGGAAGCAAGGGAGAAAGAAGCTCTGAATTGGGCTGCCATGAGTGTTTGAGGTGGTTGGCTAAACGACCGCCTGTCTTTCCCAGCCTCCGCCGCCCAGCCACCGCAGGTCCAACGAAGAGGGGCCAATCGAGTTGACAATGGTGCTGATGTACTTCATATAAGAGCTCAACATGGCTGCCAGCTATTGGACACATTATTTAAAAGGGAAAGGCTTGATGTGTCTGTTGGGTGGTTGTGGTGGCACGGGCACAGGTCACAGAGCGACGACAATCGATGGACAGTCGATGGACAGCCAGTGCCAAGATTACGGCCCGAACCATCCAAGACCATCCACCTACAACCTGTCAACAGATCAATTCCTTGATTCTTACTTCTTACTCATATGTCTAAGTTAACTGTGGTCTACAGTAGTCAATTCTGCGTTTTTTGAATGGATCGTGGCGAATGCATCTGTCTCAAAATCTTCCGGCTGCATTCTTCACATCTTGGTTCATCTGAACTGTATCTTAGTCCCAGGACCAATGCGATGCAGGCGGGTTGCACACTTCACTGAGCTTGTTTATCGGGCAACCCTCATAGAATGGGAGATAATACTATCTTTGATTACACATCTACAAGCGATAGATGGTTACGCATTAGCAGCACAGGCTGGTCTCACGATAGAAAGGATCATCTCTGGCTTTTCTAGCCAAGTCCCGTGTAAAATGAGTGAGCTGTCGTCACCAATTCCACTTCCGCGTCATCGTGTGCAAAGACATGCTTTGGCAACCAAACCTACAACTCGCAATTCCTGAGTCGAATCCTTAATGATCCATGGCCAGCATCCTGTATACTTAGAGCACCACGGCTGGGATATTCGAAGTGGATTCCCTTGAAGTGAAACCTGCGGCCTGAGAATTTACCATGAGGACGAAGGCATGCGAGATGAGTGTGGAGATTATGTCGACGGGTACGTACTCTGTGACCATGTACCTGATTTCAAGGGTCTTCTAAAAATAGCATCACACTCAATGGACCAGGGCTTCGCTTGCTCTTCACTGTGTGAAATGTGAAGCCCTCTCACTCGGTGATCTACTCATACTCGCCAGTCCATAGCAGATGGATGCTCGTGAGGTCGGAGATGTCGAACTGGGACAGGACATTCGCTATTTTCGGCTGAGACCTCGTGGTTGCATGCGTGGGACTCGAAGTCTCGGCCCCATCATTGTTATCTTTGGCTAGACAAATCAGAAGAGAGTTTGGCGTGGGAACAGGGGGAATGGGGCACTGCTGGTTGCCGCACCTGGAGGGGATGTGGAATTGTGGATATGCATCCCGACGGCACGATTAGCGGGGAGAGGAATGAAAAGTGAACTCACTGGGTAAAAAGCAGCAGAAATGTTCAAATCCATACTCTGGTATGCTAAGTAAGTACTTGATAGAGTTTGACAGGAAGAACGCATTGATTCTCCGGCAACAGGTGGGAAGTGCACTTGTTCAAGTGCAGCGACAGGAGAAGTGACAAGTGACAGTGACAGGGAAGTCGAGGTGTGCATGGATACTGTATGTAACAGTAAGTACTCAGTAGTAAGATTGGATCTGTGGCGGCGATGACTAAGGAACTCCCCCCAATGGCACCAATCAGACCACCGCATACCTCGAACTGCGGCAAGCCTTCCCCCCTCCAAGGCTCCCAGGTTCTGGGCTCCAGGCTCTCTTCATCTCTGGACTAACTTACAGACGCAGAGGCAGCAAGCATCGAGTCTTTCCACACTGCAGCATCCCATCCACTCACTCTCATTCATCTCACTTTCCTCCCTTTCTAACTGAACTAAGTACTACTACTCCGTACCTACACTCTACCAAACTCCTACTTTCTCCCTCACCTCCAGTCATTCTTTCAACCATCCTTCCTTTCTTCTCCTTACACAACATTTGCCTCTTCATTTCTTCTTTCTCCCCTTCGTTCACCCTCCCTCACACTTTCCTCCCTCCCCAACATTAGTTTCCTATTCTATTCTTCTTTCTCTTTAGTTTTTTCCAGTTTAGTCTGTTAGTTAGATCATACCTTATCACGGGCGCATTAGCTCGCCTTCCTCCAATCTCCGGACCACCACCATTATTCCGTCGCAGATTCCTTAGGCTTTCCCGCCTCCCCTGCTCTTCATGTCTCAGGAGGTGGGCAATCATTGATGTTTCGAAAAAAAGGAAAAACTCCCTGCTGAGTTTCTCTGGTGACTGGTGATCACCTTGAACCTCAACTGGACGTGTCCTAAATCAATTGTGGTCAATTCCCTTGCCATTCGCATTCCTCCAACCACTTCTGTCTTGGTTCCCCGCTCGCTTCTCGATCGCGGCGATAGTCTCGCTCCGCTCTCGAGTCGCAATGCTGCTCAAACCCGCCACGCCGCTTACTATCCTCCTGCTGGTCGCATTTGTTCTCCTTCTTATTTCCGTCATCTCAACCCCCATTATCAAAGGCATTCCCCTGGCTACCTTTGAGAATGTCGACTATGGTGTCTTCGGTTACTGCAAAGGTGACCAGTGTACCAGCATCCATGTTGGTTATGCCGACGGTTCGTTGCCTATATCTCTTCTCCTCGGCGCATTTTTTCCCGCCCTCAGATAGGGTTGATGATATCGGTCGCTTACAGATACTTACTCCTGGTCTCTCAGATAACATCATTACAACCAACTCGAGTAGCAGCGAATTCAACATCCCTCCCAGTACTCGGAAGTCGCTTTCGGCCATCTTGATTGTCCATCCTATCGCAGCGTTCCTCACTCTCATTTGTCTTTGCTTGGCTGCAGCAGCGCACTTTCACGCCCCGTCGCATTCGCCGCGATACCTTTTGGTTCTGCTTATCCTACTCCTCCCCACGCTACTTGTGTCTTTACTAGCGTTCCTTGTCGATATCTTACTGTTCGTTCCGCATCTCAAATGGGGAGGATGGATCGTGCTTGTGGCCACCATTTTGCTGGTCACTTGCGGTGTGGTCACTTGTGCAATGCGCCGGACACTGGTGAGCCGCAAGGCGAGAAAAAGACGTATTGCGGAGAACGCTGAAATGAGTGGGGAGAATTTCTACAACCGCCAGAACGCAGCAACAGCAGCAGCAGCAGGAGGGTTAAGTCAGCCTGACAGCTTCAATGTTGATGTCAAAGAACCGGTTGTTACTGGCTCGCCTCCGACTTCTGATGTCGGTCCCACGTTTACTACATTTCGTACGACGACCCATGACAGTGACGATGACCGCACTCCTTTGAACGCTCGCAATCCGCCTAGCGATACTGTATCGCCCACTGCGCCATATACCAACATGCACGGTGACGGATTGGCTTATAATGCTCCACCGGACCGGATCGAGAACTCCTCTCCTGCTGTCCAAGGACCTGGCCCGCGGATGCGCCCCGGACCCCCTGACGCTCGACTTCACAATCAGTACTCTGATGGCAGTATGGGCTCACGACGAGCTCCTTTTCCTCCGGGCTCTGCACCCCGCGGACGTGGTGGGTATGGACCGCGAGGAGGCTACGGTCGTGGCGGGCACTATGGGCCCGGACCACGAGGGCCTAATCTGGGCGGGTCGATGAGAGGTGGACACCCAGGAGCGATGGGACGAGGCTACCGTGGCCCACCTCCTCCTGTTGGTTATGGACCTTCGCCTGGACCTCGACCAATCCCGCCTCCACAGGACGGATATGATTATCGTGGCCCAGCACCCTCATCTGGTCCTCATCGCCAGCCATCTCCAGGTCCGATCGGGATGGCCGTATCTGCGGACTACGAGGCGGCCGGACAGGCAATCGAAATGCAGCCACAGCCAAGACGACTGGGTTCCGCCGATCCTATGTCGCATGAGATGACGTCGGACCCTCAACCGCATGCGCTGTCAGCAGATGGATATCCGGAGCCCATCAGCCCTACCAGCCTTTATAGTCGGACACCGTAAGCTATTTCTTTGCTCAATGAAGATTTTTGAATGTGTTTGAGTGTGTTCTAATCGTCCACAGTTCATATAACCACCCACGTGCTGGCTGGGCACAAGCAGAAGCTCCCGCTCAGCACTCGACGCCGCGTGTGCAAGGCTACGGCTCACAACATGCACGATCCCCTTCAACAGATTATTTTGAGGATGCGGATCCTAGATTCGTGAATCCCAACGAGTCGGCAGCGGGTAACGCACGGCTGCCTCCTGCTCTGACACCAGGTGCCATTGGTGAGCGGAAACCGACGGATAATTCGGCTGAGCCTCCTCACTCACCCACTACTAGTGAAGTAAGCCACTTCACTTCCATCTCTCAGCGGCCTATCAACCCTCGCTGGCGTCCGCCCCCCGTTCCGGCTCAACAGAAGCATGATGTTTTACTGGAGAACAATCCGGATTTTGATCTTCATGCGGGCGCTGGACGAGGAGGGCTTGCCGGAGTAGGAAGTCGGATGCCGCCACTGTCAATACCTCGAGACGCCTCAAGATATCCCATTCCATGAACATAATATAAACTCTGCGTTACACCGTGTCTCCCTCCTTGCGGTTGTCCGGATACGGGCACCCTCCGGAAATTCACGAAGCTAGTCACGGGACAGGATCTCCCTTGGGGCTGAAGAGCCCTTGTGTCGTGCCTGCGCAGCATGGCATTTGCATATAAGCGCATTGCGTCTGTAGCTGTGGTTTTTACGAGTCGGTAATGAAGAAAACGGGTGTACATTCACAACAGGGAACCTGACTCCGTGCGGACTGTTGGTGGTTTCAAGTTATGATTGTTATGTTATTCCCATAGGCATGATTGCTATGTTTCTCTTTGTCATTAATTGTGACCAAGCATACGTGATGAAACCTGCAATCTCTATTCTCATAACGTAACTGGGTAGTGTGTTGATGGTGGCAAGCCTGTTGAGTGTTTGCTCAGTTGGTTGTCTCGTGTCTCCCACCTCAGAACTACTATCCATGACATCATGAATGCAGTCATCAGCAGCATTCCGGGCATCTTGGCCACCCTTTCTGCCTGGGAGCCTCTGTGCAGATCTCTGTGCGGAATTGAAAACCAAGAATGGATATCAAACTGCCCAGCGTGGCTGAGCACTTGAAGAAGCCAAGCTGCATGGTCATTGGCGGCCGAGCTCCTCGCAGATCAACCTCTCATTTTGCGCTAGAGTCGCGTTTATCTTCCTATAGCATGAAGGCCCGAGAAAAAGAAGGAAACGAGAGCAGCAGCACCCAGAGCCTTGAACTCTAGGGGATGAAACTCTCGTGAGCAGGTTCTAGCCACTGTCTCATCTGTCTCGTGACCTGTCCCATTGGAGAATGCTGACAACCCAAGTGTCTCGTTTGTCGGCATCTAAAGGATTGATGTCTGAACATCTCGAATGAGAACGAGGAACACATCCAGACAACTCGTATCTGCCAAGATCCCGCTGGCTCTCCCGGTCAGCTTTGGCCCAATTCTTTCAAGTTGGAGCTTGGCTTCATCGTGATCGACAGACGGCCAGAGCCTCCCGGGGCTTGGACGCGATTGACGCAGCCAAGTTGCGAGCCCGTGCCAAGGGTCTGCCAAGCGACTCATACTGGCAGGCAAGATGATATGTCCAAGATCATGCAAGCCGAGACCGCGATTGCTGTCGTCTGATTGATTTGAACATGGTGTATCCATCTCAAAATCCATGTGTCGCGCCACGATGATGCGGGTATGCGATGGACATTGGGCTGATATCTGAAACTGCTGCTTCGGCGGTGTACCACGACATTCGCGTCTTCTGGTAGGTATGCATCTGTCGAGACGAAAAAAATACGGACACATGGTTGCACTGATTCTGATCAGGACCTTGGCGTGGAGAACTCTGGTGGGGATGGAAAAAGTTGTGTCCAAGGCCGCTGTATAAGGGGATGATCGTGGTTCTGACTCCAAGGATGGAGGCAGCAATCCCTCAATCACTCTATTTCTCCACCCGAGATCAAATTCGGTTGCCTGTTTCACTCCATCATGCATCAATCCCCCGCCGATGACATTCGGCCCGCTCCCGCCGCTGTCACGGCTTATTCCAGACATCTGCAATTCAGTGAGGACCGAGGCGGCCGTTGGTCCTCAGGCAACAGCACGATCGTCTCCCTAAACCAGTCCCATGATGGTGACAAGATGACTGTAATGGCTAGGATAGCTCGTCATCTCCAGGCTGATATTGATCTCGCTTATGCTGATCTACCACTAATCGTCTGCGGCTTCGTGAGTGGCCTGGTAGATGGCCTATCCTTCAATGCCTGGGGTAGCTTCTCTAGCATGCAAACTGGTATGTGGCCGCCATGGCATATTTCCTTCTACTCCTCGTATACAGTATCGTTCCACGTCACGCTTGCTTCAGTCCCATAACTCTCTACTTTTTAGGAAACACCGTCTTCATTGCCCTTGGGGCCTCAGGGCAACCCAAATACCCAGCCTATCTGTGGGCCAAATCCCTCATTGCGCTTTGCACCTTCATTGTCAGCAACATCCTCTTCATCCAAGCTTCTCGACTGCTCGGCCCACCCCGCCGCCGCTCCTCCCTCATGCTTTCCTTCGCCGTCCAGTCCGTCTGCCTCTTGGTCGCCGCCCTCCTCGTGGAGCGCAAGATCGTCTCACCGCGACCGGAGGACCCTCGCGCCCCAATTCAATGGATGCAGATCATCCCTATCTCTTTCCTGGCTTTCCAGGCGGGCGGGCAGGTCTGTGCAACTCGCATCTTGGAGTTTGACGAAATTCCCACCGTGGTGCTGACCAGCCTGCTGTGTGATCTCCTCGTCGACCCTAACCTGTTCGCCCGGAAGAACCCCAAGCGAGACCGTCGGATCGGGGCCTTTGTAGCCTTATTTCTGGGCGCTATGACCGCTGGCGGTCTTTCCAAGGTCGCTCGCCTGGCGAGCAGCTTATGGTTTGCCTTTGGGTTGAAGGTCATGGTTACCGGGGCATGGATGGTTTGGAAGACAAAAGGGAGCGGGAGGGTGGGGAAGGGTGGAGCAAGTATCGTTTGATGCTGTCAATTTTGCCTTGCACTGGAACTCTTCTGGGTGTTCCGTCTCCTTTTTGAATGTTCCTGACGAATTATGATCTTCTATGTATGCCATTGATTTAACGGGAGGTCTGATGGACATCGCAGTAAGAGTCCCAAGAGTCGCCTTGATCGCTTTCTCTCCGGTCTCTTTCGAAGGAGTACCACGAGGACAGACCTGCTGGCTTGAGGCTTTCTAAGCCCGTGCTCCTGTCCGGGTCACTACCACAATTTAAAGTATTGTTGTTACGACTTGGAAGGACTAACGTCTTTCACGAGAGTATTGTTCAAATCCTTGAACCTGAGTGAGTAGAACCTGTAGCCCAACAACTATCATGTAATTATCCTTGCTTAGGCCCTCCTAGAGCTGTCAAGCCAGCAATTTGCCGATGAAAACCAGGGTTGAGCGCACGACCAGTGGATGCAGTGCGGAGTGTGGGTGAAGGGAGGTGATATCCTCTCCCCCTTCGTCGGTCTGCTTTCCCGCGATTGGACGAATCACTTGACATTGCGTACTTGCAGCATGTGGCTACCCACGATTCTGGGTCAATCTCAGTACTGAGTTCATCTTCCCTCTTCTCTATCATTGTACCTATACCCCTACTATAGAGCAAGTTTCACTCGCCAGCAGTAAGAAAAGACCCGCGGGTACTTCCCGGGAAGAGATTCGGACCAGAACATCCCAATCATCTTGCATGCATCATGTTAAATGTTACGGTGAAATTCCAATGGTATCAATCAGTAATAGAGGCGAGACGCTCGCTTATCACAACCATACTACCAAGACGGTCAGATCAGATCCTCCAGCCACTTACGCAGTAGACGCTGTTGTAGGGCTGAATAGAGATCAGACCCACTCTGCTCTCCAGGGGCCCAGACTGTCTAATAAAGACGAACCCCACCCTCCATGGCGGCTTTTATGCATGTTGACGACGACGGGCTATTTGATTCATTTCAAGTAGTAGTACGATATTGGCTCTGAATGCTGTACGGTTTTTCGTCTGCCAGTTGGGTTCGAGGCTGTGGACTTTTGCTGGGGACAGAATCCGTAGTTAGTAGGAGAATCCATCCATGGAGTAGATGGATTGTGGAGTCGGAAGATTAAGCGGTTGAAGGTTCCACTCACTGCCCCCCCCCCTCCCCCCCAACCCTTTGGAGGCTTAGCCATCGATCCACACATGTCCTGTTTACCCTTGACTACTGTATCTCTTTGCTGTGCAAAACGTCTAGTATACTTGATTGATATTACTGGGGATTTAATCGAGTATATAATTTTCCCCATAATACTCACTATACTCATTGTTAGATGATCGATAACGTCATCCACAGAAAGCATGAGTTGAAGAATTTGGTGGCAGCGCGCGGCTTTTGTCACCGCCACGTAAAATGGCACTAAAAATACCCCGTGCCCAGCCACGCGCTAACCCAGTCGGGCAAAGAATTTACAGGGCGGGCAGTCAAGAACGCGTACTACTAACTTTGGTAGGCAACACAGAGGAGACAAAAAGAAAGAGAGCCCAGACTGTCCTGATAAATAGTCGGGTGCCTCTCAGTACGACGCCTGTGGCGGTTCCTCCTAACCCCCAGTGCACTAAGTACAAACCACAGAGGGAACATCAAGGTTCTCTTCCACAACCACCATGGCGCCGTCTTACATGCTGCTCGATCAAAGGGCTTACCACCCAGCCGGACCGCATCTAATGAAACGTGATCTAAGCGTCACTCATGCTCAGGCCGTGACCCTTGGGGTGATGGGCGCATATGTCGTTGTCATCGCATTACTCTGGAACTTGCCTTATCTTCGCTATTCGCTCTGGCCCTTCAAGGTGAGATCAACAACCCTAAAGATATCCTCTGCGAATCCACTTTCTAGCTTCTTCCTTTTCTTCCTCTTCGGCTTGCTGACTGCGACTCCCCCCCGGTCGGTTACAGATGCTGGTCATCGCCTTCCACGAGTTCGGCCACGCCATCACCGCATGCTGCACCGGTGGCCGCGTTAAAAGCATCTCCCTGGATCCGCACGAAGGTGGAGTCACGCACATGTCCGGCGGAATCAGCGCCGTGACCCTGCCAGCCGGCTATCTGGGCTCGTCGATCATCGGATCGTTGCTGATATTCGCCGGGTTCGATATCGTCGCCAGCAAGGTGGCCAGTATTGTATTGGGGGTGTGCTTCTTGCTGACCCTCTGGTGGGCACGCAAGGATTGGCTCACGATCGTCACCATTCTTCTGGCGGTGGGACTGCTGGTTGCGTGCTGGTTTATTGCCCACGGGCAGGCGCTTAAATGGGTGGTGGTAGGTTTCTCTTTTGGCTGTCATGCCATGAAGGATTGGCTGACTGAATGCGCATGCAGCTCTTTATTGGTGTCATGTCTGCGCTCTATAGCGTTTGGGATATTGTAAGCCTTCCCTTTCCCCCCCCTCGAGTCTACGCCGCTCGTGCTTTCTCCTGGATGCTAACGCACGCTGTTTCTGTAGTGTGATGACTTGATCCTTCGCAAAGTCAACACTTCGGACGCCAGCCAGTTTGCCAAGAGGTATGGTGGCTCGTCGCAGTGCTGGGGAGTTCTCTGGTCCTTCGTCTCCCTCGCCTTCATCGCGATCGCAATCATTGCTGCTATAGCAGCGTTCCGTGAATCGTTCACTCAGCAGGAGAAGGACTCCCAGCACTTTATCCCGACCCGCTGATTTGGACTTGCACAAGTTCGTTTTGTATTGCTACTCTGATGACTTATGAGCTTTTGCGCGTCGAATACCCCCATCGGAAAGGAACGTCGGCAGTTGTGCATCTGGCCGTGTTGGTGTTTTATTAGCGTTTTGTCTTTGCATCTGCTGGGCAGATGAGAATGATTAGTGTTATGACCTAGATAGTAAGCTTCCAAGTTAAGTTGTTGCAATGCTGCATTCGATCTTCAGGGCAACTCATGGTGCCAGTTGACGGGCCATATCCAGTGCAGTGGATGCCCGAGGCAGCCACATCCGTAAATCCGGACCCCATCAACATCTGCTCATGCCATCCATGATCCAATCACACTCTCACTTCAGGATTCACTTCCCCCTCGGGGACTCCTGAAAGATGCAGTGTTCGACTACACCAACAGTAAAATTCCTACCATCCGAAGATGCCAGCTTCAGAAGTCACACACACAAAATCGCCCGGGGGTGGAAATTCCAAGACTCCGTCCTGCGTGGTCTGTAACAGACGCAAAGTCAAATGCGACCGCCAGAATCCTTGTTCTGCGTGCACCAAGAACGGAGTCGAGTGCATATATCGAGCACATTTGCCTCCACGACGACGGAAGAGACAGCGCTCCGATGCAGTACGGAGCCCAGCCCATCGGCATCGCCCCAATCCTTCCAGGCAAGATCCAGGCTCTGCTGGGCCCGGTGGCCGACATGGACCGCTCTCGCCAACCGCCACGTCTAATGCATCTCTCGCGCCTACTACGAATGAGTCGGGTGTGTTGATTGCAGGAGGAGGAAAGTCGGTCTATGTTGATGGGTAGGTGGGAACGGAAGTACCAACGGCAGTAGCTGACTGGTCGCCTAGGAATATGTGGTCAAGTATTCGGACGGAGGTATGGAACGATCCACTTTCCCTATGTCTTCGTGCTTGAATCCATTGACCGTGGCTAATTGCTCTAGCTGCCTCCTGCGGATGATGTATTAGGTGATGCCTCAGTTTATAGCGACTCCAGCACGTCTTTGCAGGGGCTAGATGATGAGTCTTCTCTTATCTTGGGTGGAAAGACAAAGACACGAGTCACCAGCTTACATCCTGGCGCTTTGCATATCTTCATGCTATGGCAGGTCTTCCTGGAAAACGTGAACCCTTTGATCAAGATTCTGCATGGCCCTACCGTTCAGCAGCAGCTTATCAACATCTCAGGAGACTTGAGCACTGTACCGAAAGGCCTGGAAGCGCTTATGTTCTCTATCTACTGTATTTCCCTAATTTCGATGACCTCAGAAGAGGTACAGAAAGCTTTCGGCGAGAGCAAGACCATTCTTTTGTCTAGATTCCGCCGTGGGGCCCGACTTGCTCTGTCGAATGCGGGCATTCTACGCACGTCGGAAATTGTGGTCCTCCAGGCGTTTCTGTTGTATCTGGTACGTATCTTCTCTGGTGAATGTTCTCCTTGCCCTGAGCGGCGCTTCCGAATGTTGTGTACCACTCTCCAAATCAGCTCGAGGAAAATCTCTGACATTATACTCGTAGCTCTCGATGCGCGGTTTTTCCGATCCACACTCGATCTGGTGTTTGTGCGGTGTTGCTATCCGGTTGGCGCAACGGATCGGGCTGCATCGCGATGGTTCGCATTACGGCCTCTCGATTTTTGAGACCGAAATGCGTCGACGACTCTGGCTTCAACTAAGCATATTGGACGCCACAACGGCTCAACAGACAGGGGTTTCTGCCCAGGTATCCGTGATGGATGCGGATGTGCAGCGTCCAGCGAATGTCAATGATTGCGATCTCGATCCTCGGATGACGGACAAACCTCGCGAACACACTGGAGCCACCGAAATGATCTTCTGCCTGGCACGTTGTGAGTTTGGCGATTGGATTACTCGGTGGTCCAAATCTTCAACCGTCCTCCAAGCGAGCCAGCGCTTCCTGAGTAGCCCTACCATATCGCTCGCGGAGAAGGATCGAGCAATCGATGAGCTTTGCCAGATATTTGATACGAATTATCTCAAGTATTGCGATAACTCGATTCCGCTTCACCAGATGACGATCATTGTGATTCATTCCGTCACCTCTCTACTACGATTTACTGCGCACCATCCTCGGCAATATGCCAATCATGATAGTTATGAACCATCAGCGGAACGAGACAAGATATTCTCGATATGCTTGCGTGTGGCTGAGGGCTGTGATCTTGTTCAAACGAGCGGTATCACCCAGCGATACAGGTGGCATGTACAGAACCATATTCCCTGGACACCGCTGGTCCACATACTCTACGAGTTGCGACACCGTGTTGACGAAGAAGAATCGCGCAAGGCATGGCTCTTGATTGATCGCATCTGCAGCCAACATTTTCACGATCTGAAAGGCCGACAGAGGACGGCTTTCAGTGTGGCTTTGCAGAACCTGATTTTGAAGTCTTGGAATGCGCATACAGCGGAGCGAGCTCGTTGCAATCGGCCTCCCTTGTCGTGCCCTGCTATAGTTTCGGAACTCGATTCCATGCGGGGCAAGCAATCTTCTGGCGACATCGCATTGAATACTCACGGAGAGGCTCCAATGGGCGCTAGCACCCATGGTCAGAATCAGCTCGACGCCGCAGTCTTCCCTCATGAGCTTGGGACCCTTGATGTGGATCAGGCTAGCAAGTTTAGCCCGCTGGACTGGAATCAGTGGGATCGACTGATTGAAGATTTTCAGTACCAGTACACCGATGATGGCGAGCCCCACCTCAACATGTACGGATAATGGTCGCCCTTGTTTCAGCGTGCAGGACACGGTGCCCACTGTGACGATAGCCGACTCCACTGATCGCGTCGCGGATCGATGGACGGGAACAGGGTACATGGCCGTCCTTGTTGTGTAAAGATTCTGGTTCAATGAGAGTCTGAAGCAAAACTGACCAATTGCTTATTTCGGCCTCTACACCGGCACAGAAAAATGCTGCCCTTTCGAATTCTGTTCTATCTTGGGCCATGGAGACCGAAGTTGGCGAGAGCGTTGATCGGGGAGGCAAGTAGGGTCCACTCAATGAAGATCGGCCCCTCTGATTTCATCCGGCTAAGCATTTGCCCTCGACGCAGCTGGGGCAGCTGATTAATCACAAAATCACAACTCTCTCTCTCTTTCGAAATGAGTGCCAAGCGACTTTCTTTAGCATCGGCTCAAGGTGAAGACTTGATTGTCTGAATTTCTGTCGACAATGAGCCATTTTCTGGAACATCTGCGCCAAGTTGTGCGGCAAGCCAGGCGGCATCCGTCTTCCCAGCGTCCCAGGAAATCACCCATGTAAGTCGCATGGCTCAGAGCTCGGTGACCAGCCATTCTGACTCAATAATAGAACGTCGAAACCTGCGAATAGCACTCCGGCTATCTGGGAGAAGCTTCCTGTGGACGTTCTAGTCAAGATCCTGGTCCAATGCGACCTGGAAGAGATCCATTCCTTCTCGGCGACATGCCGCCTTTTACACCAGCGCATCTATAGCATTGAGCCTACTATAGCCAAGGCCTATCTCCAACGCCGGAGGCGCGAGGATCGATATACCGCTCCGCTAAATCAAGAGAGTCGCATCGCTGCTGGTGATGACCTCACCTTCATATCCGACCTCTTCCCGCCGCCACCTCCCCACTACACCCCGAGTGGTACGCTGCAAGAATCCCCCGACTATTCGTTCGGGTACCTGACCGATCTCGCGCGGTGCTGGCGGACATGCATCCGGCTGTCTTTTTACCTCGCTGAGTACCTCGTCCAGCATTACCTGGAGACCAACTCGGTAGCCCGGGAATTGTGGGCCTCCTCCAAGACAGAGAAGGAGTATGTGTATAGCAAGGGCGTCGGTGCGCTGCAAGCCCGCCTGCTTCCGTCCATGTATGTTCCTTATCTGGATTTTGCTGTTAGGTGCTCCGTTAATAACAGCCCACGCAGAGCCTACCTCGTCTACTTTCTAGAATCCTGCGCCGACACAACCACCCCGACGCACTCGCTCGACCTGCAGGAACGCATCCTGCAGGCACCCCCCTTCACGGATGCAGAGGTGCTCCTCTCCACCCACCACACCATGCACACCCTCATCCACACGGTCCGCCACCTGATGGCCCCAGACATCCCCTACACCTCGTCCCCAACATGGGTGAGCCTCCTGCTCACCACATCGACGCTCGAACGCATCGTGGATCTGTTCGCTGCTGTCGCTGCAGATTCCCAGCCCGAAGCCCAGACGAAGAAGAAGTGTGAACACAATCAACCACACCAGCATCACGATCGAACGCAGGCGCAAGCGCACAACAATTCCCACAAACAACCCCATCACGAACCCAATCCCAGCTCCCCCCACTCCCACTCCCACCACACCTCCACCAGCTCATCCCACTGGTCCCACCGCATGGACTTCCTCTGGCAGATGCGCCGCGACTACGGCGACTTCCTGGCCTCCCTGGTTGGACCCGACCACCACCACCACCACGAGGACCTAGACCTGGACACCGGCCACTCGCGCATGGTGCCCCGTTTGCAGGCGATCTGGTTTGAGGCGGCGGAGCGCGAGATCCAGGCGAGGGGTCTGGGCGGGCATGCGCCGGAGGTGGTGTCGGTCTTGCATGGGGGTGGACCGCGCTTAGGGTGTGCAGTTTGTTGTTCGTAGATTTCATTGTCCGGTGGTTTTTTTGCGGGGGTGTATGCTCCGCTCAGCCCAGCTCAGCTATATTATACTCTTGCCTTAGAGACTACACAATCCCCTTAAACTGACACTATACTCTTCCCTTAGAGAGATTATCCTCTTGCCTTCATATGCTATACTCTTACTTTGAAAACTATATATATACACTTTAGCTGGCCCGGAACTGATGCAATGACTCAGGGCGCGACTAAATGTAAAGTCGGGACAATGAACCTCATTTCAATGGAAAAGGGTGGTATTGGTATTGGTATGGTATTGAGTCTAACAACCGACACAGACACAGACACAGACAGACACTCGTGACATTATGCGTAGAGGTCATGCAGAAGATGATTCAGCAATCGAATCAAATCATGAAGAAACGAAACAGGAGAAACTCAGGCTGGGTAGTAGTAGAAGCAAAGCCCTGAGTCAAACGAAGGGACAAAAGAAAAGAAGAAAATAAAAGATTTTGCACAGGGAAGATCTAGCCATGGCCAAAATGATGATATTGGACAGAAGCAAGAGTTTAACAACGACAACAACACCTGCCGATTGCGACAGGCATGCACACACGCACACCACCCTGAAAATTAAAAAAAAAAAGGTGGGGGAAGTGGGCTACATGATTCCGTTCAGGCACAGCGAGATACGAATATGGACCTGATATTAATACATTATATGGGCGGGAAATGGAAGGAAAAGGGAAAGGGCGTGTCTATCCTGATATCAACACCCAGAGAAGGAAAAAGATCTAGATAGGTGGGGTTAGTTTAGTGTATTGGACGATATGCAGGGTAGAAAGAACTGAACGAACCATTAGAATGCCAAACATCTTCGCGATGAGCCAGCGGTTGCCCGAGACTCGGGTCCAGTATTTCATCAGCTCGCGCTGCGCCCCCTGCACGTTGTCCACCACATCCTCAGTGTTCTCGTCGATGCGCTGGATCATTTCCGATTGCTCGCTGACCATCTGGGCTAGTTGCCCGAAGATCCCGCCCAGCTCGCTGATGGTCCGCTCAATGGCGTCGATGGCTTCGCCGCGGCCCTGGATGTAGGCATTATTGGTCTGCGCTTCTTCCATCACGAGGAGTTGTTGGTCCGAGTGTATCGACGGTCGGCCCAGGGGCGACGGGTTGGTGGGTTCCAGGGTCAGCAAATCCGAGGCGCCGCCTGGTTGCGGCGTGCGACGGCCGGAAGGGTTGTATAGCGGGGAATCGGAGCGCTGCGGATCGAGGGCCGTGTGCGACTTTTGCGAGACCGACGAGACAAAGTTCTCTGTGCGGGAGCGCGACGCTTGAATGTTCTTCGTGCGCACTTCGAGCACGTCCTTGAAGTTGGCGCCGACGTCGGCCAGTTTGCCTTGCAGCATCACAACCACCTGCAGAAAGGAAAAAACTCCTGGTCAGCTTCGCAGTCGGACTGTGTTAGGCATGGTGCACCGAGAACATACATTGTCATTGTGTTCGCCCTCCTGGTCGGCCTTGGAGCGATTGCTCTTGGGATGTTGGGAGAGAGTGAGCGCTTGCAACGAGGCGATCTGCTGGTTCAGGGATGCGAGGTCTTGTTTGATGACATAGGTCAACTCGGAGATCTCGACCGGTCTGTCATCGAAGAGTGTCTTGCGCTTGGCCACTAGGTTCCCATTACCACCAAGTCAGCTTCGTTTAGCAGTGCCTCAGATGGTCAACTCACACTCAGCCAGTCGTTGCAACTTGGCGGTCGTCGCCGTGATCCCGCGTCCAATCTCCACGGCCCTCCGCGCAAACTCCGACCGTCGCTTCCCCGGATGCTGTGCATCTGCGGACCCGTTGGCTTGTCGACGTTGTGAATCTGACAGGAGCGCCTGGCGCTGAGGGCCGACTTTGTGGGAGGCTAAGCGTTTCTGGGCTTGGCCTAAAATGGCGTGAAACTCGCCCGTGCGATCTTGGATGGAGTGGACAGCCATTGTGCGAGTATGTGAGAGTCGTTGGGGATAGGTGGTGGATGGGGAGGTCGATCCAGCTAAGATGGAGCTGGTTGTGGAGAGTGTAAGCGAGGTATAATGTCTGCACTCCAAGATTGTACTCAAGGACACCAATGGCCGGATCTAGAACAAATGGTCGGGGTGATACTATGGGGGGGGGAGGGGGGAGGAACGTATACGGCACGGAGTCCGGACTAATCGATAAGGAGGCAACTGGAGACGTGTCCGTTCGTTTTCGTCAGGGCAGAGACAGGGGCTGAGGATAAGGTGACAGCACGTTGCGAGTGGAGAGGAGAGATGTGGTCACAAGATGAAAGAAACCGAGATTACAAGATGACCATTGTAGGCGACTAGAGGCTGATTGGGACAGAAATGCAATGGGGAAGAGAGCAGGAGAACAGACGGCGGCGGTGATGCAGCGACAGCCCCAACTGGCCGAATGCGGACTAGTGGTGAGTCCAGCCACGTGCACCCACCAGCCACCCCACATCTGCACTAGCCACTAGAGCTCCAGCCACTCGACTCCACACCAGCCACAGAGTCAATAGGCGGCCGTCAAACAAACCAATTAGAGTTAGAGTTCGAGTTGGGCGGAATCAGGGGCAGCAGGAGATCCGGTCCCCCCCTCCGCCCGCTGTTCCCGACTCTCCCTCCACCTCAACCCATTGCTTGCCTTAAAGACCTTCATAAAATTTATTACTTTCCAGTCACCTCATTAACCTTTTCTTGCGGTGGGATGGACGCCTGCTTATTTTCATCTACTGTTCAAAAATAACTCCTCGACCCCGTTCCCCGTCCATTCCGTCTGTTGTGTGCACCGCCCCTCTCTTGGCACACTGCCTCATTCCTCCTCCCACGTCATCTTCGCGAATCTTATTCTCTGCTACTCCCGCTCGACATCGCGCTCACCGCGCCTTGAATTGGGCCCAGTCTTTTGGACTCTCGCATCGCATCTAGGCAGCTGGACATGCCAATCATCACTCTCAGATATCTGCACTGTTGATGCCCAGAAGTCAGTTGACTAGTTGATCTAGTCAGTCGCAATGGCCCGTCCGTTTCAGCCTTATGAGCCCGAGCTACAAAAGCTGTAAGTCCATGGCAGTCACCAGTCCCCCGCCGTCCACTGGACTGTGCTTATATGTCCGATCCCCTCGATCTGCAGCTCCTCGAACACAGAAAGTCCCATGTCGCCAGTTCCGCCAGGAGAAACCCCTGTCTCGTTCAAACCCAACGTTAACCGGGCAAAGACAAAGCGCTGGGTAGAAGCAAAGAAGTATTCCTATGATGGCAACGATTGGGGCGACGATGAATACGGCGAGTACGATGACGACGAGCCTCCGCCGGTCCCGCAACACAACTTGAATCAAAGCACGAGCACGGGAGATCTTCCAAGTATGTTTACCAGGGATCCCTCCCGACCGCCACTGCCTTCAATGGATCGGTCGCGGTCCATGGATCATGTTGCAACTCTAGGGGCAGAATCAATTCGCGACCGATCTACAGAACCGACGGTCGTCGAGCCCGCGACGCGGACCGTTCCGATCGTTCGTCCGGTCGATATTTACAAGAGAATGAGATCTGAAAGCGCCGTGCCGCAAGATCGCAACGGCTCTCTCCAGCCAAGCGGAGGCCTTTCTGCCACTGCGACTGCGACTGTTCCGGGCCTCGCGTCTGACGAAATCCACCTACCATCCAGCAACCAAGCCGCGGCCGAGCCGAGTGGTTACAAGCCCTTTCGACCACAAGGCACCGTGGAGGGGGAGCAAGTGCAGCAACCACTTCAAGATACTCATGCCGCTGAGACATCCGAGACGATTTCACCCGCCATTCACCTTCCTGATGTGAAACGTCTTTCAAGCTTCGACCCCGACTTCTCGGGCGACTCATACTTCCCTTCGCCCCAGGTTCCAGAGCCTAAGCCCGAGCAACATCAACTGCAGCACAACCCATCTATGGGTTTCCGGTCTGTGGTTCATCAAGCCTTCGATGTGCCTGATACCCCCAGCACGACCGTTGACAGTGTCGCACGATCCAACAGCGATAGCACATCGGTAATCAGTCCCATCATCTCGGCCCCGACTCAGAGTGATATCAAGACACCTACGATTGCGGAAGAGCCCGATGAGAGTACACCTCCGCCGAAAGACGCAAGTAGCGGCTTAGTCTTCAAACCAGGTCACCGTCGAGACATTAGCCTTCCTAGCCCCAATAATAGCCCCTCGAGGACCACCAAGATCACCAGTATCCAAGACACACACCCGTCTGCAGCAGGTGAGGTATCTGTGGAAATACCGGTCGAGTCTTCCCTGGTTTCACAGTCGGACGAACAAGCGCCACAAAGAGACCCGGTGCCAGCAACAGCACCAGGCCCTGATCATCCCGCTCCTCTGAGTATTGGAGGTCATTCGGCGACATCGGCCCCATTACTCACACATGATGGTGTCCCCATCATCATACCTTCCATGAGCACCGACGATTCTCCCCAAGATACGGAGAGTGACCGCTTACGAAAGGAGATCATGCGCACATTGAGTCGCGAGAACACGCCCACAAAAGAGCAGGAAGAGGAGGAACCGGCAAGTAGGCCAGAGGCTGAACGTCAGGACAGCCTCATTCCAAGCGAGTACGAGAGGTATTGGAATGCGGCAGAGTCTACCGCAAGCCCCTTGACCCTTGACCAGACGAGCCCAGACTTTGCTGCTTCTCCGATTGCCCTTCAAGGCTCGACTGCTCAGGAAGTGTCCGCTGCTGTCCCAGAGCCTATCACATCCCCTGCAACGGAGACTTCGAAGCCGAAACTGACGCGACGCTTCTCATGGGAGTCTTCTTCATCTTCTGAAGAGCCTGCTCCGGCAGAACCGGTGCAGTCGCCTCTTGCTCCTATGCCAGGACAGTTCCCAGCTCCCAGTGAGACTCCAGTCCAGCCAATCACGGAGACTGACGCGATGGAATCCAGCCCGGCGGAAGCTGTGACAGCGGAGACCGTGTTTTCTGAAGAGTTCCAGAACCAGGCCCCTGAAAGTGTCAGCGCTGTGGGGAATGAGAAGCCCAAGCTGACCATAATGCCCCCGGTGCCAGACAATCGTAGTATTATCTCCGATGGACAGTTGCCTGAAGTATACAACGCCGAAGCCATTCCCGGCACCTATACGGACGATCCACCTGCTTTTGCTGACCACCAGATTCCCCGGTGGACTCCTACAGCGCCTGCATCCGTCGAGCCTACGCTACTTGGCTTCCGCGAGATTCTAGCGAAGAAGTCGTCGGAGGAACGGGTTCAGGCGTTCAACGAGACGCGAGCCAAGTTTGCAACCATTGACACCGGACTCAGCCACTGGATCCATGTCACCATTCAGACCCACCCCGAGCACACAGATGTGGTCGAGAAGAGCGCGAGACTTGCCCTTAGCGAGCCCAAGGCTGCAGTGCCTCGCAAGAAGTTCCCCAAATTATCGTCGCTTGGGAGTTTCGGTGCCTCACAGCTCGATGTTTCCTCGCCTTCTGGCTCTGGCCACGCGCGGCGACCGTCAGCTCCTCTGGGGGCGATGATGAACAAACAACAGGTGGAGCAACGGGGAAAGGAGCTGCTGCACTCTGCCGGGGTGCTGGGTGGCCGGGCAGGCGAGGCTGCCAAAGGTCTCTTCGCTAGAGGCCGGAGCAAGTTGAAGGGAGGACACTCTGACAAGGTAGATTCTTAATCTCTTTTGTGCCTGGGGGGCGGTGCTTGACAGCGAGTGGAGATTTTCATTTCTGATGTGTGACTATGCTTATTGATACCATGCCATAATTGAACATACTTCGATGATGTCTAGCTATGTCTTTTGTTCCCATCATTTGTGCTTCGGTTTATCGCCTCTAATACGGTGATGCGATGTAGGGGTTTCAAGCGTTTCGGGGATATCGCAGGCCTGTCCCACTCACCGAGCTGCAGGATGCAGCTGCTCTAGAAATGGCCGACTATGCACACACAAGCCACAAGCGACATACGGTGCATTTCGGAAGTCTGCCGCTCATCCAGCGCAAGTGGATGGTGAAGCGGAAGGAGACTCCTACTGAGGCAGCGAGTAGAGCACAGCTGGCGGCCCTCCGTGCTGGCGATGAAGGTCTCGAGGCCCATGATAGAAAGCATCCCAGTAATTCACCGCCAGACTTGACTGATGACCCCGGGGCGACCCGAATCCAGTTCGCAATCAATGGTGCGCCAATGACTACCGCTGCAGCTGGGACTGACCATGGGCGCGCTGCTCCGGACGAACAAAGAACGACGAGGGACAGCGTCGAGAACACTTCACGGGCGACCGGCATTCCCCCTGTACGCTTTGTCGAACACGGGCGCAATGCAAGCCGATTGTCAGTCTCGTCATTGGGCACTGCGGATGAGGCTGCCCTCAGTCTGGCGCTTAACAGTGAGTTCTCCCAGGCTAATGCAAGTGAAGACATAGTATTGATCTCCGCAGCGCACGCAGCCTCCTCCAGTCTCTCCCTCCCTTCTTCTATGGGCGGCATGGATACGCCTGCGACCGGCGAGGCTCGGTCCCTGACACCGAGTCGACTCCCTAACGGTCCTCATCAGCATTCTCAACCAAGCAATACCTCGTCCTGTCCTCCAAGTCGGACGGCCACTCCAGTGCCCCCCGCTCCCCCCGTCGTTGAGCACCATGACCAGACATCGTCGTCACATCCGACCCCCCAAGCCAGACTCGCCGCGATGAAAATGAGATACGGAGAGAAAATCCGAGACATCCGGCGTATTTCTATCGGAAGAGAGCCCGAGCAGAAGCCGGTTCCCCCGTATAAGAATGCATTAGGCCGACTGACGGTGAGTTGACTGGCTCCTTACATTAACTGTTCACCCGCTCACGGTGCCACGCAATAGGGTCTGCTACGTCCTCGCCGGGGCAATAATGCCAAATCTGTCAAGGTCGCAGATATCGACCACAGACCAGCAACCTCGGCTTCGATTCGTACACCGAAAGCTACTATACCCATCGGTCGTATTGAGCCAGTCCTCTCCCAGCCCGGCCCTGCCCGCTTCTACTCCGTCGATAACAGCTGTCTCAGCAACCACAGGCTCAACCCCGGAAATGTGCTCCCCGACCACGTACGCTCTACCTCCCTCACCCCGGACCCTCTCCGCCGGGCGCACGCTGTGCCCCCTCACGCCTCCGACCCGGCGATGCCTACTCGAACGACCAGCCAGACCACCAGCATCAGCAGCAGCAGCAGCCGCCGCCGCCGCTCCCCACTATCTCGCGGTCGCAACCCCGAACGCAGCTACACTATGAACCTCCAATTGCGGTCGCGCAGTCCCCGACCTTGTGCGCCCACGCCAGAGGAGAAGACGGCCTCGACGACGGATTTGAACGACCCTGCGCACAACCTGGGGATCTTCCGCACCCGGCCGCGAACCAGCCGCTCCGGCGACCAGGAACTCCCGTGGAAACTAAGCATCCCCGGGGGAGAAGACGAGGGGGAGCCGGGTGAGAATCCCGGGAGGGTCAGGAGAAAAGCGCATCGGGAGTCCTCGGAGATGTGGTCGGCGCGCATCACGGGGGAAGTGCTGAGCTGCATTGGCAACAACCGCATTCTCGTCGAGAAGAAACCAACGCAAGAACCGCCTCAAGCCGAACCTTCCGAGCTGCACAAGCAAGACACAGTCATCGCGGGCAGTACACCGCTCCTCAACCCGTATCCCAGCCCTAGACGCACCCTCCACCGCCGCGCAGTGTCCGGCAGCGCACCTGCCGCCGACCTTCAGATGCCGTCCCCGCCTTCGATGGCTTCACCGTCTCAACCTCCACCCCGCGCACCTTCCACAATCCTGGTCACGTCGCACGAGCCAGCAGTAGCAACCCAGCAAGACCAGGACCAGGAATCCGAAGCAGTCAACCCCCACCTCAAAACGAAGTCAGGCCCAGAGACGGAGATTAACCCCCTCGCCCCGCACCCGCCCCGCGCCATTGTCAATACCCCGATCGTCGAGCTGCCGGTCCCCGCGCGCAACGGCGCAGACGATGTGCCCGGGGAGACGCCCGAGGACGACGAGGCGGAGATTGTGATGTGCAGTACGGCGTATCCGGGCCAGGAGTGGAAGCCGGTGGGGTTTATGGGTGTAGGGATGGGGTATGATTAAGATTTTTTTTTGAGGGGAGGGGGGGAGTTCGTTTGTTCTTCTGTTGTTAGTGGGGGGGGGAGGGTTTATTACTTATGGTTTAATATTGATAATTGCGGGTGGATTTGATTTTACTAGAAGGTATCATTTCGGGCGGGTGATTCCGGGGTACTCTTACTTTTTTAGTCATGGCTGTTAGTTACTTGCATAGCTTAATCTGGAGTTGTATGTGTTAGGGGTCGAGGTCTTATGTATACGCTTGCTGTTGCAATTTGGTTGCTAGAATCGTTCCAGGAGGATGATGGGTTCTTGTCTGGTCCAGAATGGCCTACACATAGTATATTCTTCTCATTTGGACTAGTCTCTCGTAGATAGGTACCTTTTCTTGCATGTTAATTGCAATTCCTGTCTGGTTCTTAATGGACACGGAAGAGGGAGTCTTTGTTTAGATTGTGGGAGCTGAGTTAGCTGGTAACTAACCAATATCTCCACCAACGTCTATCTACCGCATCCTGTCATTCTATGTGCGAGTGTACGCGAGAAGAGTCTGTGAGAAGAGTCTGTGTATATGTGTATACGTATGCTGTGTATGTATCCCTCCCTCCCATCTGCTGGTGTATCAGAGTCCGATCCTGCCTGGAGGTAGTCCAAACCACACCACACTATGACCAACCCAGCATAAGCTGCCTGTCACTGACAAGCTTCGGGAAAAGCCCCAACCTTCAACGCTCAGATTCCTCAGCCCTTGCCCCCCACTCCCCCAACACCTCCCAATTTCTTCTCTACAATACTACCCCCAAGCTCCTCCCAAAGCTACTCCAAGCTCTCCCCCAAGGCTATCCTTCAAAAAGATTCACCTCATTTCCCAACTCCACCCCCATATCCCTCGCCATACCACGCATCTGCACCTCAATCTCATCCTCCATGCCGCCGCCCAGCCGCAGAAACTGTTTAACCTTCGTGAACCAGAACCACAGGTCCGTGCCGAACAGCACCATGCGGAAGAGCACATGGCTCCACAGACCCTGCGAGGAGGTCTCGGCGAGGGCGCGCGAGGCCCAGGTACCCGTGATTTTGATGCGATTGACGGGACTGCCGAGGTACTGGTTGTTGGCCTGGACGATGCGGAGGTTGCGGCCGATGAAGATGAGCGGGCGGGGCCATTTCTCCTCGTCGCCGAGGATCTGGCGGATGGCGCGGCGGGCGGACTGCTGCATCTCGTAGTGGCGGGTGGCGGGGTCGGAGGAGGCGGAGCCACTGAAGGTGCGGGAGACGGAGCGGTGGGTGGAAAGGTCGCCGCCCTGGTAGGGGCGCATGAGGGTGGCGGAGGCGAAGAGGTCGGTGTTCTGGACGCCCCACGAGGTGACGATCTCGGTCAGGGTGGGGTTGTCGAAGGTGAGCAGGGCTTTCCAGAAGCGGGCGTACTGGTGGCGGAAGGTCGGGTCCATGTGGATATACAGCCCGTGGTCGATGAGGACGAGCTCCGGGGTGCCGGCCGGGGTGCGGCGGATGAAGATGTTGCCCGGGTGCGGGTCGCAGTGCACGTACCCCCACAGGAACATCTGCGCGGAGAAGAGGTCCACCATCGTGGTCATGACTTGCTTGAGCGAGAGGCCCAGCCCGCTGTCGCTGTAGCCGCCGCGCCAGTGGGTGCGCTCGGGCTTGAGCTGCGCGGGGGGCCGGTTGGGGTTGGGGTGAGGGTTGGTTGTCGGGGGCGGATGGGGGGTGGGCGGGTCGAGCGGCGTGCCGTGGCAGCCCGGCGTGCCTTGCCGCCAGCCGCCGCGCCAGGGCCGCGTGATCGACTTCTTGTCCCAGAGGCGGACGCCCTCGATCCACTCGGCGGTCATCACCCGCTGCGAGCTCAGCTCGCGGTAGACCTTGGGGATGTACACGCGGTTGCGGAGGCGGGGCTCGCCCGCCACCAGCCGTGCCATGGTCTCCGAATTGTTCGCCTCGTTGACAAAGTCCGTCTCCAGGGAGAGGCGCTCGGTCACGTACGGAACCAGACTGTAGAACGGGATATCAAACATCCGGCTGTAGATCCATGTGACGACCCTGTGCTGGCACTTAGTATTGTCCATGACTTGGCCTGATGACTAACCACAGGAGCTCCAAACATACTTGAAAGCCCACAGATCCCACTTGATCTGCTTGCCGATCTCCCGCTTCTGAATCTTGATAGCCACCTCGCGCCCGTCAGCCAGACGCGCCCAGTGCACCTGCGCCACACTGGCGCTGGCGCGCGCGGTGCGCTCCATGACGCCCTTGCCGGGCTCGCCGCTGAACGAGACGCCAAAGACCTCCTCGACGGAGCGACCGCCAAAGTCCTCGCGGATGACCTTCTCGACGTCCTTCCAGTCGTTCTGCGGGGCGTCGTCGAACATGCGCGCGAACATCTTCTGGAACTCGGGCGGCAGGATGGCCGACTGCATGGCGATCGCCTGGCCGATCTTCAGGTAGAGACCGCCGTTGTGCCGCAGGAGCTCGGACAGCCGCTCGGCGTTGCGCGTGTGCACGGCGGCGATCGAGCGGGCCAGCGGCGGGTTGGGCCGGAAGTTGATCTTGTAGTCCAGGGCCACCAGGAGGCCCAGGCCGAAGGTGCGCGCCGTGCGCGTCAGGCTGGCGGCGTAGAACTGGTTGTCGATGAGGTAGATCGCCCCGGTCGTCAGGGAGAGGTAAACCAGACGCCGCAGCCATTTGCGCGTGCGCGTGTAGGTCTTGGCCGGAGTGGGCTTGCCGAGGGAGGCCGGCGAGGGCGGGACAAAAGGCTGGTATCGCCCGGGATGGACATGGCGGCGGCTGGAGAGGACGGGGCGCGGGGGAGCTGGGGCAAGATGGGCACGCGAGCGGAGGAGAGGAGAGAAGACAGAGGGAGAGCGCAGGGCGCGCAGAGAACTGGCGGATGCCATTATACCATATGCTCAGTCGGGGGCAATGGCATCGCGGGAATCAAGGAGCATATGGAAGAGAAAATTTTGGTTGACGTCGTGAGGGCCGGAGGGAGAAATGACGGTGTTGCAGTTGGGGGGTGCCGGTGCGTTGGAGAGACGGAATGACGTGAGGCGGTGGCGGAGTTAAGAAAAGGGTTAGCTGGAGATAAGCCCGATCGGGTCTACAGTAGTTGATATGTGCGAGTAATATAACTATTATATGCATGCATGCATGCACTATATCGTACTATACACAATACAGGCTACTAAGAACTAGTAACTAGCTATTTAGAACAACTAAAAACTATACATCTCCCTCATCACCATCATCTCTCCCCCCAACTGCTGACAGACCCCCGCATACTCGCGCATCTTCCCTGGGATAATCTCCTCCCAGAGCCGGCTCTGCTGTACCCATTCGTACTGCGCGCGACAGATCGGTTCCGAAGCCAGGGGCAGCAACTGGGGCCAGTAAGCCAGCGCGACCCGCACAAAGCTTTTCTGGAAGCAGGTGCCAAACGCGGCCAGGGTGTTCCGGTCTGCACAGACATCGCGCCCACCGAGTATCGGCCCGCATTGGCGCTTGATGAGGGCGGCCACCTCATCGCCTAGGCGCTTCATCGCTTCTTCTTGTTGCGCGGGCTGATCCGCCCCGACCAGCAGGCTGCGGACAGCGGGCACGAAGGTATGATTGCGCGTCCAGAGGTCCCAGTGCGAGAGTGTCGGTCGACAACCCTGGTCGCAGACCTCATGCTGGAAGTGCTCGAGGATCGCGTGCGGTCGACTGGTAAGGGCGACGATGGCTTTGAGGCAGGTTGCGCTGAACGTGGCTGTGATGGGGGAGATGGCCAGCATCATCCAGAGGCCAAGGATGAGCAGCCGCATGATGATGAGCCGCAAGAGCTGGGGTTGTGTAGGAGGTTCAGGAGAAAGACGAGAAACTCGAAGTGAAGGGCAGGAGGGAGAAATCGCAAGAAAAGAGGATTGAGCAAGTCGAAGGGGAAGAGCGGTGGTTTCAGGACCCCCTGGATGATCGACACCAAACTCCCCCGCATCAACTTACTTACCCCATGGTTCAATCCTCAATCCTCCAACATCCTCGGGCTTCACTCGGAGCACTCTCCTTCCAGTGCACCCTCCCAAGCGGACGATTCCCCCTTCTCACGAAGCTCCTGAGAGACAATATACACGAAAAAGCCGCATGCAACCCATCAATGGTTTCATGACATTCTGCTGCTTCTCCTCCCCACTATCGATTCTTGCTCGCCAGCGATTCAGCAAAATGCACAGCATATCCCAATTCAGGACTCCTCCCATGTGATAGATCAAGAAACAGCTGCAGTCGTGCATCTTCACCTCCTCCTCCTCATCCTCACCTCCTTCTCGACAATACCATTCTCGTTTGCCCGCCACAACCGACAATGCCTGTTGTGTCGAGGAAAATGATCATCCACCAACAAAGCGATCCAAAAATTGGGTTCCGCGATTCGCGGTCAGCGCGGGTACACCCGGCAGGAGGTCCGTGACAATCCTTCCAAGGGGCCTTGATAGTGATGTATCTAATCCGAGTCCCCATCATCATCATCATGAATCGATCTCATGCAGGTGAAGACAGAGAGAGACGCACACACAGACACCAGAATGGTGTGCATTATGCATTGACAGCCAACCACAAATTCCGATCATCCCCTCGCAGGTAGACTATCGAACGATAGCCACAACACCCCCGACCCCGACCCCCACCCCCACCCCCACCCCCGTTGTATGCAGGTAAGAATTTTGATTATGAAGCCCGCGTGCGTGCAGAGGAGACCGAACTACGATCGGTCGAATCTGCTCAGCTGATGGGGTCAATTGGGGGGAATGCGGGGAGAAGGAGAATGACTCGATTGAGGGCGGTCGAAGTGGGAGGTCAGATGCACTGCAGGCACTTCAGGGGAGAGATGGCTATGCTTACTGGATATGGATAGGTGGGGGCGGTGTCGGGCTTCACTCTCGCACTATACCCCCCCTTCGCCGGCCTCTTCTTGTCGGGGACTCTAGTCAATCAAGGGGGAGGGGGCAACCAGCCAGTTGATTAGATTGGGTTTGGGGTTAAGGTTCCTCCCTACGGAGCAATAAGGGGCTGGCTAGCATTACAGTGTTGCGAGGAAATCGTGGGATGCTCAAGCGTGAGTTCACATTGATTCATTAGTTTATTCCGCTATCCGTAAGTGTAATACTCCCCACCACTATGCTAATGCCGAAACCGTTCGTCCCAGGTGTATATCCCCCTTGCGTCTGATGCCCGAAACTCCTCGCTAAAACCAACCAAATCCGAAATGATGACATGGAGAGATGAAACATAAGAGGAGAAATGAATAGGAGGTGAAGAAATGCCAAGTGACAGGACAAGGAAATCGCTCAAGGAGTGAGATCTAGAATGCTTGTGAAGATGGTGAGGGTGAAGGTGATAGGAGATGACAAAGGAAAAGCTGTCGTCCGGGACAGGGTCTTGGCGCTGTGATGTCTAAAAGGAGAAGAGAGGGCTGAAAATGCAAAGTCACAAAGATCAACTGAAGAAGAAAAGAGAGAAGAATGTCGAGTGAAGACAGTGATTGGGTGACAGGCAGGAATGCCCGTCAAGCATGTCGCTGGCGTCGCCGCAGCTCATCTCGGCTCAAGAAGCGACGAATCCGCGAAACAAAGCGGCCAGCAGTGGATTCTGCGTCCGGTTAGCGTGGCTCACATGCACCGGGGATGACAGGTCACACTGGCGGGCAACATACCACTGTATCGCCGGCCGGAGGGCTTAGACGAGAAATGCTCCGGGGTGGATGGATAAGACATATCGGCCCAGTAGCACATATCCGGGTTGTCTGCAAGGTGGCGGGCCTTGGTCCATGGGTTCTCATCGCATTGCAACTGAAGGGCGACAACATGAGGATAGAGGGATCCCAGTGGGTAAAGAATCTCCTCGGGGGAGCGTTGCCGGTCGATGTCCAGACTCTGGCTGGTCTATGGAGGACGATTAGTACGCGTGGGTTGAGAAGAGGATTGTTTGAGGTGATTGAGATGATACTCACATAAGGCTCGTAGTTGCTCTTGTAAGTCATTGTGATTGATGTGTTGTGATCTCGAGAGAGAGTGGATGGTAGATTGAAGTATGTGCGGCGTATAGTTCGGCTGGATCGTAGTGTCGAACGATGTAGAACGACAGAGGATAGCGATCGATAGATATAAGCTAATCGAGGGATGTGATTGCTGATGAAAGAGAGACACGTTCTCTGAAGAGACTTTGGAACTGGATGGGGACAGGTTCGGGAGAAACCTTGATGGTTATATACGAAGCGGGCGAACAGCCGTGCCCTGGTGGAGGTCAGAGGAAATTGCTTGTCAGCCACGCTGGGCTGGTGGTTCTGGTGGGGAGCAGCAGCTGCCACGCACCGACCTGACCCTGGCTAGCCTTGTTGTTTAATTGGCATTTTTCGGCCTCTTTCGGCTTCTATTTTGGATTTGTCCACTTTTACCTCTCGTGGGCTTATCCTGGCCGCCATTGTACTGCAGAGTAGATTTAATTCATCTCGTTATTGTTCTCCTACGGCTTACGATCGATCAGAGGCCAGCCGCGAGGATCGGCCACCAGGATAATCCCAGTCGTGCAGCCGACCAGGAGTCGATGGATCGCATCGCCGGCACTGATTTGAGTTTAGGACAGGCATGATCTCATCATCACCTCAGATCAGTTTAGAGCGAAAAACCGGGCGGAAGCGGGTTAGTCGCAGTTGCCCTGGGCTAATTCAGGTCCGACGGGTTGGGTTGAATTTAGCACGTCTGGCGGCGACCGCATTGTCCAGGCTGACTGGCGGACCGTCTCAGGCACTAGCTGCCCCTAAGCAGGATAGCTGAGCGTATCTTCATCTATCCATTTGTGATCATCCAGTCAGCGTCGAGGGAGGGGACTCCACTCCGCCAGGCACTTGGTTTCGAATCCGGATCCAGTGCGTCAGAGAGCGGGGACTGCAGCAGCAGCGTCGACTGCACGCCTAAAGTAGAGTAGCAGTAGTCTTTACTTCTGTCGCCGGCTAGTTTGACTCTAGCAGTTTGAGTCTAGCGAGGGCTGATCGACCGCCAACCTGGCGGCGGTGGCCGGTGTGTCCGATGGACGGCGTTCCAAGCCTGTCGCTTGCTACCCCTTGCATGGACAAAGCCGGTCTTCGTCCGACTATCATCCACGTTGTGCCGTTCCTGGGAGAGGGCATATGTATGGTGACGCGCTCCTATCACAAATTTTGATGGTTTGATAGTCGAGAACATGAAGATGTTGGTCAGGGTAGCCACCAGAGTTGGAAAAGGAGGGTTGTGTCACGATTGCGTCGGCGGAGGCGGACGAGGAGAGATGATTGTGCGGGGAGGGAGATGAAGAGCGGAGCTGTCACAGATCGGTGGATGACTATTGATTCCTGCCTGGGAGCCTGTTTCCTCAGGAGGCAGGCAGACTTGCTGACTACGAGTACGGTGTACACAGTAGTTAACTAACTAGTTAAGTTAGTTTAGTTTAGTTACGATAAACTCCCTCCTTCTCTCACGATCGCTATTCTTCGCCATTCTTCTACTAGCCTCTTCGCTAGCTCTTAACACTCGTCGTGATATTAATCTATTTCACCTCCTCTCAAAGATTGGGGAGAATACGCGAATCCCGCCGCTGATGGCCATGTTTTCCAAATCCTGGTGACCTTAGCGTCTTGGGGCTGTCCAGGTTGTCGGGTCTGAATAAGAAACAATCCTTCAATAATGCGAAGGCCTAGACGGAAGAATTGGATGCTAGGGTGATAAGCAAACAGCAAACGATTTGTGTACCGTACGGAGTACTGAGCAAATCAGCGAGTTGATGACTAGGATGATGCGGCAAGGATGATAGAAACCCCCCTGTGCATGGCTGCATGCCTGAAGGCCTCAGGCTTCCGTGCTGCAAATAGGGCTGCACAGCCACGCTTCATACCCAAACAAACACACGCTACGGCCCCGCCGGCACCGAGCATAAGCGGACGGAGACCCGATCTGTGGCGGTCTGGCGGAGAAGCCCGTGGCTTGACCCTGTCCGTCTCCGCTTAGGGCGTCAATAGTCGGGATAGCTTCAGTGCTTCGCTCTCCACACTCCCCTGTCATGCAGCCCCTCGCCGTGAGCTCGGAGCTTGTCGCATTGATGCTCGGCCTCTTTCCTTTCCCCTTCGGGATGACCCTCGGGCTGCCCGTCCCCCTTCTCTCGGGACCAGGAGAGGAGCCCGAAGAAGTATAAGGAGCAGAGTCCCTCGTGTTGGATTTCCTTCATGCCATCCATCGTGCGACCCGAAACTCCTCGTATTTGTCCGAAAGGCACATGTCTGCGTCCCATGGCTCTGAATCAATTCCCTTCCGAACACGATTATCAGCCAAGCTCTCCGTCAATGGACTGGTCCGAACAGTCGCTCGCCGCTTTCCCCGTCTATTCCTCCGCAAGTAAGACCCTCCTTCTGCCATGACTCTCCCAAAGACTCTTCTAAAGACAGCGGCCTCTGGCGCACAGAATCTCTCTGGCTAGACACTGAACTCCTATCCGGTTCTAGACCTACTATGAACATGTCCCCTGCAGGCGGCGAAGCATTCACGCCCGCCTCGTCTTCCTCCAGCACCACCACAAAATGCTCGTCCGCCTCTACAGATTCCCCGTCATCAGCTGTTGATCATATCCAGCGACATCACTCTGCATCAATGTCACCATCGGACTCAGCCGAGTCAGCCCCAGTCGACCTGGACAGCTGGTACCCGCAGTATCTGCGCTGCACGCAGTACTTTCTCGAGCAAGGCCAATTCTCCCCGGCGGTGCAATCGCTCGCGGCCTTTCTAAACATCCGCTTACCATGCCAGCGGGTCGAGCGACAGACCTCCTCCTTGTGTCAGAGCCCAGATCCCGCAGCTCACGTACTGCTGCGGCGGTACATCCGGCGGCTGGTGGTGACAGCGCACGACAGCCCGGAGGTGCTGGAGGCCTTCTTTGGCGCGGAGTGGACGGGCGGGGTGGGCGGTGTGGTGCAGCAGGAGCGACAGACCTACCTGTTTACCGCGAAGAGCAGCGGGTGGGCGGCGACCAAAGCAGCGTACGATCTGTCGCCGGACGAGCAGACGCCTTTCCTGCGCCCGCTGCGGGCGCCGGCGGAGGAAGAGCTGCGGCTGGCGGAATCGCGATGGAGTGACTGGCTGGCGATGGAGGATTGGATGGTGGGTCCGCGGAGTCCTTAGAGGTGGTCATGATGTCTACGATTGTGTTTGTTCTGTTTCCTGTGTTGTGAATGTCTGTCAGGTTTCCTTTGTTGGCGTTTTAGATTGAGATTGCAGCTGAATATGGTTTCTGCCGCTAACCACAACCAACCCACTGGATCCTTTACCCTGGTGCAGTACACACGCCTCCAATGCCCGCATCGGGGGTTAGTGAGACATTCGGATTTGTACCCTGGTCGGACTGAGGCCATATGAGGATCAATTAAGATGGACCATCGAGTCAATTTCAAATCCTGGAGCCATCTCGTAGATTGAGTCCGCTATAGTTCCGTTCCTGAGCCTTTGAAACCAGACTAGACTAGACTGCAGTAGTACAGAATACATCATGCAGTGTTGGGGCGAAAATCAAAAGAAAAAAAAAGGTGAACACGCTTGACCCAGCGCACTGGACCTGTCAACTTGTCAACTCTTGGGATCGTCAGCGCTAAAACACAATCGCATTGAGGGCTAAAAGCTGAATGGCGGTGGAGGGCAGTGGGAGAAAAGGGGGTGGGGGGGAAGGCGCCAAACCACATGGCCAGGGGATCTTGTTTGTTCCGTGTGTTTGCTCAGCCAGCCATACGCGCATGGAACAATCCATGGAAGCTTTTTGGACTCTTCTTTCCCACATGCACTGCAGGATCGTGTTTTAAAAATAGGAGATGTTTGATGTTGGGCACCCGACACTGCCCTGCTTGCTTCTCTAGTGGTTGATGTCATGTACCGCGAATTGATTAAATTTGTGCGACTATCTCGACTGATCTAGTCTAGTTGCTGTGGTTTTTTCAAGAGTTGGAGGCTGTCAAACGCTGTCAGCATGACAAATACATGGTACTTCCTAAGACTAACTATTTGATCTACTAATAATCGGTTAGTAGTTACTAAGTAACGAAGGAGATGGCAATCTTTCCCCGTGACACACCAAATTTACTGACTCCACAGCACTATATAAGACCTGTCATATTTGAGATTTTGATTAATTCAAGCATTCATCAACACACTACCGAGTACACACCTCGGACAATTTTATTTACTTTTTTTTTTTTCTTTTATTTTTCCTGCGATGGCCCTGTACCCCAGATAGTAAATTCTCCGTATCCAACCGTCCATCCTCACGATTGAGCTCGCTGTGAGACTTGAGGAAAATTGTGATCCATCATATACTAAGTAGTGTGTACTCGACAACAACCGAGCTACCCGACCAGAATTCTTAAAAATTGTTGATTTGTGGACCAACCCTGAAGCCACCAGATAATCCTGGTTCCAACCTCCCCCGTATTCCAGCCAATCGAGAAAATCCCAACACGATGGCTCGGAATCTAGATTCTGGCAGTGGTGTTGGTGTAGTACACGAGATCCCTGCCTCCAGCCGCCACCTCCTTCATCGCCTCCGATCGCATCTCCCTTACTCGATCCCTCTTCTGCGGCGCATCCAGCATCACCTCGCGTATCCCACCTCCACCGCGCGGATCTTGGCGACTTTTCCTGCTGAGTCTCTCGACCAGCCAGCCCAAGAGGAAGAGCCATGGCTGATCGCCTTTGTCGATCTCTTCGCGGGCCGAGAAACACAGGTGGTGGTGTATAGCAGCGAGGAAGCGGTTTCCAGCCGGAATGTCCCTCTACCAGCACAAGCACAAGCACAAACAGAACCCCTCAGCAACACCAGTCAATGTCGTGGTGAGAGGTTTCTGTCGGTGCTCACCCCATCATCTCCCCTCCGGATGATCGAGATCCGCACCCAGCTCCTCGCTTTGTTTGGGTATATCAAAACCCACCTCCTGCCCAGCTACACCGCCCATCTGGCGAGATCGGGGCCGGTTTTGGGGGCAACAGATCACCAGCTGGCCCCGCCACCGCCACATTCGTTTTTAATCGGGAATTTACACACGGGTGTTTTTAGTGTGTTGTTTGAGGGGGTGGTGCGGGAGGAAGGGGTGGGAGTGGAGGAGGAGGTGGTGGGGGTTTATACCTTCACATCTCGGGCTACTTCGACTCGTACATCTGATTCGGGTGGTGCTGTCTCAGGTACTGCTTCAGGTGCTGCTTCACCTTCTACCTCAGCGCCTCCCTCAGCACCTTCCTCAGCCCCCGAAATATCCCCCTTCATCTCCGGCCTCAAAGTTCACCGCTACGACCGTAGTCCGTACGTAAAGTACCTCTTCGATGGGCAATTAGTCCGTGGAGATGATACCTTCAGTGCTACTACTACTTCTACTGCTACTACTGCTGCTGCTGCTGCTGCTGCTGCTGCTGCTCCTACCCCTACCCCTACCACTACGACCACTGCCCGGACACCCCCCAATCCCACCTCCCATCCTCCAGGAAACCAAGACCACTCCTCCCCCCAAATCCCACCCCTGCACTTCCGCTTCCACACCCACGATGGAAAACACGGCGTCCAACCGGACCATTTCGCCCTCGTGCGGAGCAGAACAGTGATCCCGCGGTCGGATGCCACATTAGCCATGTTACCGGGGGCGGCGGTTTATGTGCACCGCCCATCTGATCCCGATCCCGGTCCCCGAGGGGTCGGTGAGGGAGAGGGAGAGGGAGAAAGTGCCAGCGGCGGCATCCGCACTCCGGAAACCCCCGTCGCGTGGGCGTTTCTTGGTCCGGACGGGTCGTTGGCGACGTTGCATGTTGAGGCGGAGTATCGCGGGCGAGGGTTGGCGGGGATGGTGGCGCATGAGGCGATGAGGAGGGGGATGGTGGTTGATGGGCGGTGGTCTGGCAATGATAGTCTAAATGGTCAGAATGGTGATGGTGGTAGTGATAGTCAGCATCAAGGGTTGGTGCATACGAATGTGGCCATGGAGAATAAGGCGAGTCGGCGGGTGATGGAGAAGTTGGGAGGGAGGCTGGGGTGGACGGTTACTTGGACGGTGGTGGAGGTGTAGATGGATTTACTTGGTATGTATATTCTAAGTACTAGTACTAGGTTGGTAGGTAGATATACTAGAGCAGCATGATGACGGTATATATTAGTACTATACTATATATCTTGGACAAATATATCAAACAATAGTAGTAACCAAACATCTAACGACAGCGAACAACATCAAGCAAGACCCGGCTAAGTAAACATCAAGTATAAGTACCATGGAGTTGTATATATCCCAGCCCTAAGCCAAACCAGCACCGAAAAACCTTCAATCAAACATCTCATCTCCCCCCACCGTCTGAATATTAGCCACCATCACCGCCCCATCAGCTGTAACAATCACCTCCCTCGCCTCACTCTCCTTGTCTCCTCGCCCACCGGTCCCTCCCGCTTCATCTATCCCCCGCCTCCACCACCCGGGAACATTAATCAACTCCCTCTCCATCCGTGCAGGCAACTCCGCCCTCTGGCGATAGAACCCCGTATCCGACAACTCAGCCGCAGCAGCCGCAGCCGCAGCCCTTCCTCCCTCCTCCGTCACCCGAACATCGGCATTGGCACCGACACTCACACCTCCTCTCTGCGTGTCTGTCTCCTCCTTGCTCGGGGGCGGAGACACCTTAAGCTGGAACTTCGGCGGCGGAAGCGCGTGGAGAGGATGCGGCGTGCGCTGCCCTCTCGAAGGCGTCGACTCCGGCGAAGTCAACGGACTCACTCCTTCGTGACCGGGGCGCGTCCTTGCCAGCTGGCGGTCCCGCTCGTTGAGCGGGGAGACTTCCCATGGAGTGGAGGTTGGGGGGGAGGTTGTTCCTGGGGGTGGGGGATGAGGATAAGGATGGTGGCGGCGGGGTGGGGTTGTGGTGGTTGTTGCGATAGTTGTAGCAGCAGTCGCAGCCGCCGCGGTGTGTGGTTGAGGCTGTGATTGAGGTTGTGGTAGAGATCGTGGTTGGGGTTGTGGTTGAGGCGGAGGTCGAGATTGAGGTCGAGCTTGCAAATCACCTGTAGCGCACTCCGTGTAAGACCCTCTCTTCATGCATAACTCGAAGAGCCAGCGCATCTTACCAGCAGAAAACCTCTTCGTCTTCTCAAGCATCTTGGTATCAGCCACCGCGTCCAATCCACGCCCTTTGCTGGAGATGGACATGGAGATGATACTCCCCCGATGACCATGTCGCCAATGCAGAAGTTTGAACTGGCCGCGGCGGCGTTTGCGGGAGCGGTGGATCGAGTAGAGGAGTAGAGCGGCGAGGATAACAAGGGCGAGGATGCCGCCGACAACGCCCCCGGCGATGAGGGCTTTGTTGAGCCCGTAGGCGGGTTGGTGGGACGGATATGTGGGTGTGGCTGTCGGGGATGAGGTACTAGTACTGAGACTGGTATCAGTAGTTCGGGACGGGGTTGCTGTGGTGGTGGTGGGAGCAGTCGTCGCATCTGAAGTAGTTGGAAGAATGGTGGTGGTGCTTGACGTGCTTGACGTGGAGGTAGTTGTTGATGTTGAAGAGGTCGAGGTTGTCCTGCTGGCTGTAGTATCGCTGCTGCCACCACCACCACCACCACCACTGCTGCTGCTGCTGCTGCTGCTATCGTCCGCACAAAATCCCAAAGTGCAGGGATCGACCGAGCAGCATCCACTATACCCTCCCTTAGCACAGACATACCACTGTTTATTTTGGGGGCAGGAATCACTCTCGCGGACGCCTAAATCGACCATGGCGGTGATTCCTGACCACAAGTCTTAAAAAAAGTGATCTGTAAGAAAGACTGAAAGACTAAAAGACTGAATATCAATATCAAGCGAGTGACGCGCAGCACGGCTGGCAAAACGAACGAGTGTCGGTCATAAACAGTCGACAGGAAAGGATGGGGAATTGTGAAGTCTTCGCGAAGGCCCAGGGAGTCATTCTAAAGAGTTCTACATCAAGTGGCAGTGTTCAGCGCCTTGTCTCTTCTTTGTCTCAAGGACGGCATCCAAACACCCAAACATGGACTCGAACCAGACTTGGCGCCTGTTACTCGCAACCCTTTTAACACAAAGAAAACTCCATTGTATGGGAAAGTCAACGGGCTATAAAAGACAACACACGTGAGTACACCAAACTCATCGCCTGGAAAACAACCTTGGATATACACATATAAACACACGGAAACAGACACGGTCGAATTTTCGTCTCGCTCTTTTCGCTCACACACTCGCACGCTCCTTACCCACCCCTCAAATGCGCTTAGTACACACGCTTGAAGGGAGGCACAGACTTGCACTCGTTCTCATCCAGGGTCTTGTGCTCAACTGCACGGTAACCCAGCTGGATCTCACCATGGGGCTTCTTCTGCCAGGTGAGAGTGTGCTTCATCCAGTTCTCGTCGTCACGCTCGGGGTAGTCCTCACGGGCGTGGGCACCACGGGACTCCTTGCGGTTGGCGGCGGCAACGGCGGTTTGAGTACTGAATCGAAGTTAGCCATGATCACACACTAGAAAGCTCAGATATACGTACGCGCAGGTCAACAGGTTACGGAGCTCAAGAGTCTCGACGAGATCGGAGTTCCAGATCATGCTGCGATCCTTGGTACCAACCTGATCGAACATCTTGTCGATCGAGGTAACTTTCTCAACACCCTCATCCAAACTCTCCTGAGTACGGAAAACGCTGACATCAGTCTGCATAGCCTTCTGCATAGCGTTGCGGATGTCGAAAGTGGACTTGGGGCCGTCGGCATTGCGGACAAAGTCAAGATCCTTGATCGACTCGGCACCGGCATCGGAGGCCAGCTCACGGTGGGGCTTGCCAGGGGTGGCGATGTCGCGGACACGGTGGGAGACGGCACGACCGAAAACGACGAGATCGAGAAGGGAGTTGGCACCCAGACGGTTGGCACCGTGGACGGACACACAGGCGGCCTCACCGCAAGCGTACAGACCCGGGACAACCTTGTCCTGGCCGTTCTCATCAACGGTCAACACCTCACCAGTGTACTTGGTGGGAATACCACCCATGTTGTAGTGGACGGTGGGCAGAACGGGAATGGGCTGCTTGGTGACGTCGACACCGGCGAAGATGGAGGCGGTCTCGGAGATACCGGGCAGACGCTCGTGAAGGAGCTCGGCGGGCAAGTGGCTGAGCTGGAGGTAGATGTGGTCCTTCTCGGGACCGACACCACGGCCCTCGCGGATTTCGAGGGTCATGGAACGAGAGACGACGTCACGGGAGGCCAGATCCTTAGCCGTGGGGGCGTAACGCTCCATGAAACGCTCACCCTCGGAGTTGAGGAGGTAACCACCCTCACCACGAGAACCCTCGGTGATCAGACATCCGGCACCGTAGATACCAGTAGGGTGGAACTGGACGAACTCCAGATCCTGGTTGGGGAGACCGGCACGGGCAACCATGGCCATACCATCACCGGTACAGGTGTGGGCAGACGTACAGCTAAAGTAGGCACGTCCGTAACCACCGGTGGCCAAGACGGTGTGGTGAGCCTTGAAGCGGTGGAGGGTACCGTCCTCCTGGTTGTAGGCGATAATACCGCGGCACTCACCATCCTCCATCAGAAGATCGAGGGCAAAGTATTCAATGAAGTAGTTAGTGTTGTGGCGGAGGGACTGTCCGTAAAGAGTGTGGAGAAGGGCGTGGCCGGTACGGTCAGCGGCGGCGCAGCAACGGTAGGCCTGGCCACCCTTGCCGAACTCCTTGGATTGACCACCGAAAGCACGCTGATAGATGCGACCATCCTCGGTACGGGAGAAGGGGCAGCCGTAGCCCTCCAGCTCACGAACACTGGCGGGAGCCTCTCTGGTCATGTAGTGAATGGCATCCTGGTCACCAAGCCAGTCGGAACCTTTGACGGTGTCGTACATGTGCCACCTCCAGTCATCCTCGTGCATGCTACAGGCGCAAAATTAGCCGGATGTTGAGAGTTGAAGAACCATCCATCAAAACATACTTTCCAAGAGCAGCGTTGATACCACCCTGAGCGGCGACAGTGTGACTTCTAGTAGGGAAGAGCTTGGAGACACAGGCAGTGTTGAAGCCAGCTTCGGCAAGACCGAAAGCGGCACGGAGACCAGCGCCACCAGCACCGACGACGACAGCATCGTACTCGTGGTCCTGCAACAATTATTAAAAATCATATTTCCTCGCATGTATAACATCGGAAATCCTTACAATGACGGGATACTTGTCGGAGATATAGCCATTGGCCTCGCGAGCGCGCAGGGGTCCGTTGCCAAAGATCCGGGCTAGCGGAGACGAGAAGTTAGCGAGAGGCGGAAAGGGATGGCGATGCGACTCCAATGCATACCAGCAGGGCGGGAAGAGGAGAAAAGACGTCTCTGATCCCTCAGGGCGCGGGAAATCTGCGGCAGACATTCATGTCAGTATACTTCTTGGAGAGGGAGGGTGGTGTCCCTACGCGATCCAAATCTGGATTCGAGATGGACAGACATTCGGGGTAAGGGAACAGACCTTAGACGCGGGAGCAAGGCTCCGCCAGCTCAAGGAGCTCATGATGACGGATTTAGAAGAAAAGAGGCACTTCTCTAACAAATCCGGGAAAGGAGAGGAGATGGGGAAAGGAATCCAACAGCACAAGTACTGGGGAAGAGAAGTCGGGGATTCAAGGCTGGTGGTGCATGCGAGCTGCACTTTTGGATCGTCGGTTCTGCTGGAAGAGCGAGGAAGGACCGGCTGACATAAGCATTTTGCACTTGCCGACGGGGAGGACCGGGGCCGAACAAGCCAATCAACGAGTGTGGAGTGGTAATCACCTCGGGCTGGCAATTCCCGTTCATTGGCCGAGGTGTGCTGGGCACGTGGTCCGGTCCTCTTCTCACCCGGCAAAGCGCGAGACTTTCCGGAGCAAGACAGCCGATTGACGGCCTTGATTTCGGCACGATGCCTGAGGCATGAGTGTCTCCATGAGACAGACAGACTATTTAAGCTTGTTTCCTGCCTACAGTACCTATGCACCAGTCACCTACACGGTACACCAAATCCCCTTGCTGACTGCTTACGGACTGCCGCCGCTCCGGCAAGATACATTCCCGACTTCTGACATCATGTACGGAGTACAATAGCACACAAATTAAATCATCATACACATCCATTGCCTTGGTAGTAATATAACTCAAATACGCAAAAGTCGTCTAATTATACTGCATGTACGTTGCTGTCGAGTTGAACTTCAGGTTGCCCTTGATGACCTTGTCTACCGCAGCCAAGAAGTCCTTCTCGGTAGCCACCTTCCGACGCGCCCGGATGGCGAACATACCGGCTTCTGTAGCAACACTCCGAAGCTCAGCACCCGTAGCATTCGGGCATAGACGGGAGATCAGCTCCCACCGAATGTCACGTTCGACCGACATGCTCTTGGCGTGAATCCGGAGAATGTTGGCACGGCCCTCAACGTCCGGAAGAGAAAACTCGATCTTCCGGTCAATACGTCCCGGACGCATCAGGGCAGGATCAAGGGTAGACGGTCGGTTGGTCGCGAACATGACTTTGATGTTACCGCGGGCGTCGAATCCGTCTAGCTGCGTAATAAGTTCAAGCATAGTACGCTGAACCTCGTTGTCTCCACCAGCTCCGTCATCAAAACGGGCGCCACCGACGGCATCAATTTCATCGAAGAAGATGATGCACGCCTTCTTAGTCCGCGCCATTTCGAATAGCTCACGGACCATCCGGGCACCCTCACCGACATACTTCTGTACCAACTCACTACCGATAACACGAATAAACGTGGCATCCGTTCGGTTGGCCACAGCCCGAGCGCAAAGTGTCTTACCCGTACCAGGGGGTCCGTAAAGCAGGGCACCCTTAGGCGGGTCAATACCAAGGTTGACAAAGCGTTCTGGCGAAAGTAAGGGCATCTCGACGACTTCCCGCAGCTTCTCGATTTGTTCTTTGCATCCACCAACATCACCGTATGTCACATCGGGCTTGTCTTCGACGGTCATCATCGTGACACTCGGGTCGATCTTCGGGGGGAGAGGCAGCATGATCTGGTATTTGTTGCGGTCGACACTATACAAAATTAGAGCCAAACGGGGCGCCAGACAAGAGTACAGCAACATACCCAACTCTCATACCCTCCTCAATATCTGTCGGGCTCACGCGCTCTCCCAAGTTGACGACGAATTTGGCGATCTGTTTAACATTGATGACATATTTGCTCTTGTCTGAGTCTTTCTCATCCTGGATGATCTTCGTGCACCGAGCTACCTGCAATGGCTGCTCCTCTGCCATACGCTGTCGGTCCGCAGCGACATCCCAGAGATGTGGAGGCGCAAGACCGGTATCGGATTCCTAAGCAAATTAACCTAAAGTTCCTCGGCCTTGGATATGACTCGGTTATACCTTAACACCAATCTTCTCATTCACACTTGCTTGTCTCTCCTTGATTTGTTTCTCGAGCTTCTTCAATGCGTTGGCGTAGGGAGCAGCGCCGTAGGTCTTTAGTACTTGGATATCCCTAGTTCCAGTTAGACATCCACACCGGAGAGCCGGGCAACGCAACCCCATCGAGTAACCTACTCATCTGTGAGAGGAGTGATCTTCTTCTCCGGCTCTTCGTCATCGGCGAAGTTCTTCTGGTACTTCTCCCAATTCTGGCCCGTAGCGCTAGGCATGCTGATGATGTGAGCCGGTGGCGAGGCGACAGGACAGCGAGGGGTGTTGTAGGCGGTTGATTCAGAGGTTTATGTGGCGTATGGAGATAGAGGAAGTTTGCGGATGTTGACGGAGTTAATAAAGGACGTGGGATGAAGAAGATGGAGCTTGAACGGGGATGGTAAGAGTGATGTGGTGGTCGAGCTCAGCTTGAATGCGGTACGAGCTGTTGACGCTAGTGGCCCGCCAAGCCCAGCAGCAACACCGCCCAAAACGCAACACCGCAGAATTTCCCAGTGCCGCCTCCAGGTTCTGGCTCTACCTCGCCTCGCTCCACCCTCTTCTCACTCAACTTTATATCCTTTTCTCTACGGTGTTCATATCGTAGTCTTCTTCACCATGGCGACAACAGCCTCCCAGGGGGCCCCTGCCAACACGACTTTCAAGGTGCGTCTTTCTGCGGAAGAAATCCCGTGTGAACCATTTTCTAACTGCCGGACAGGACAAGGAGAAGCCTATGGCAGTTCGCACAGCCAACATTCTGGCTGCTAGAGGTATGAAGCGCTTCTCGATGTCTAACAAAGACGCAATTGCTGACTGAGCGACAGCTGTCTCCGATGCCATCAGAACCGTACGCTTGTCTTGAGGGATATTTGACAGATGAGGGGCTAACACGATATGCAGTCTCTGGGTCCCAGGGGTATGGACAAGATGGTAAGAAGGACGACCTGTCATACAGGCAATGACTTGCTAACTCAGCTTCTAGATTCAAACGCCCAAGGGAAACACCATCATCGTACGAAGACTTTCCCGTATACCTACAGTTCACCCCCGCTAACCCCTCCTCAGACCAACGACGGAAACACGATGTTGAGGGACATGAGCGTTATGCACCCCGCCGCTAGAATGTTGGTCGATCTCAGTGCCGCTCAGGATGTTGAGGCTGGTGATGGTACTACATCTGTCGTCGTTATCGCAGGAAGCTTGCTTGGCGCTGCGGAGCGCCTGTTGTCCAAGGGTATCCATCCCACCGTCATCTCGGAGTCCTTTCAACGAGCCGCTGCTGCCGCCGTCGAAATCCTCCACAACATGTCCCGGCCCATCAACCTCACAGACCGCTCGACTCTCCTCCAGGCGGCTTCCACCTCTCTCTCCTCTAAGATTGTCTCTCAGCACTCCGGCCTCCTCGGCCCCATGGCCGTCGATTCCGTCCTCAAGGTCGTTGATCCCAAGACGGCAGAGAACGTCGACCTCCGGAATATTCGCATAGTGAAGAAGGTTGGCGGAACAATTGAGGACAGTGAGATGGTTGACGGCCTGGTTCTGAACCAGCAAGTCATCAAGAGCAGCGGTGGCCCCAGCAGAATTGAGAAGGCCCGGATAGGTCTTATTCAGTTCCAGCTCAGCCCACCCAAGCCTGACGTACGTGCTTCTTCCATACGTGCTTCGAGTGAAAAGTATTAACCGCTGTCGTGCAGATGGAGAACCAAATTGTCGTGAACGACTACCGCCAGATGGACAAGATCCTCAAGGAAGAGCGCCAATACCTCCTCAACATGGTCAAGAAGATTCAGAAGACGAAGTGTAATGTTCTCCTGATCCAGAAGTCGATCCTCCGTGATGCTGTGAACGACCTATCCCTTCACTTCCTTTCCCGCCTCAAAATCTTGGCAGTCAAGGACATTGAGCGTGATGAGGTTGAGTTCCTGTGCAAGAGTCTGGGATGCAAGCCCGTTGCCAACATTGACTCTTTTACTGAGGACAAGCTCGGTACTGCCGAACTCGTTGAGGAGGTTCAGCAGTCTGGTGCTCGTTACGTGAAGATTACTGGTATCAAGGCTCCTGCTGCCGCTGCCAACCAGACCGTCTCCATTGTGGCTCGTGGCGCCAACAACCTCATTTTGGATGAGGCAGAGCGCTCCCTGCACGACGCCCTCTGTGTCATTCGCTGTCTGGTGAAGAAGCGTGCTCTGATTGCTGGTGGTGGTGCCCCCGAGATTGAAGTGGCTCACTCACTGGCCATGCGCGCTCGTGAGCTCACGGGCACGGAGGCGATCTGTTGGAAGGCCTTTGCCGATGCTATGGAGGTCATCCCCACCACCCTGGCCGAGAACGCCGGTCTGAACTCAATCAAGGTTGTCACTGACCTGCGCCACCGCCACGCTCAGGGCCAGCACAATGCTGGTGTCAGCATCCGCAGTGGAGGTGTCAAGGACGACATCACCGAGGAGAACATCCTTCAGCCTCTTCTGGTAAGCACCAGCGCCATTGAGCTGGCTGCCGAGACGGTGAAGATGATTATGCGTATTGATGACATCGCCCTGTCGCGGTAAGTCAGGGATTTAGTATAGGTCAGTGGTGTATTATGACGAGTAATCCAACAAAAATCTACGATGTTTATAATATTGGGGTTGCTTCCACGGTAAACCTGGGTTCTTATGATTTGCACTGTCATTTCTGTTGGCAGTGCCATACTACGTATGACATGAATGGAAGTTCCTGAGCCACCTGTTTTGCGGCAACTAGGAGCCAAGTACTGCAATGGTCCACGGTAAATAGCCTCAGTAATACACGCGGTGAGCCTATGTTCGTTAAGGGACCTTCAAATGTGAAAGGTTTGTAGGGATTTTATGTTTTGGTGGATGTGCATGCAGCATGAGTCCCTGTTACATAGTAGTGGTATAGTGCCTTGACTATTCCAGTCCAGTCCCTGCCCCCGATACTATGTTCCTGGGGCGCAGCCCACGGAGGGCCGGAGGTTTTTTGAACTGCGGCTTGGATGGGTTGTCTCCTGCGAACTGTTCTAGATGCTTGTCTCTGCATTTACATGTCGGATTGAGATCTGACCTCGGATCAACATCAACTACTAGTGGGATGATCATACACCTTCGTGACTCTTTTGGTTTTCGGTTTGTGGTATAACTGCCTCGTAAGAATATTTCTGACACCCGGAGCGAGGGATGTCATATTGGGAGTGGTGGTGTGAAGGTGGTGGGAGACAGTAAAAGGATTAGGGGTTTACTGGAGTACTTGTACTATACTCTACCTGGACCCAGGGCAGACTATAACTACTACTAGTAGTGTAACCTAGTACTACACTACTAGTAGTCACTTACTTGACAGACCTCTGCTTGAAGTCCTTTGTTTCAAGTTACGCCATCGCGCGGCATTTATCTGAGGTCGGTTGATTTCAATGCCTCCATTGCAGAAATGTCGTCGCATGCAGCACAGATCATAATTCGTTTTGAGAGAGTATTGCAATAGCAGGCTTCAAGATGTCCCCATATGTTGCTTTTCGTCTACATCTGGTCTTGATAGTATTTGGCATCCAGATGCGAGGCCAAAAAGTCAATCTCCGCGTGGCTGTATACAAACCACGTGACTATATCCGGAGACTACGAGAGTTTAGTTCACTTCAAAATACCAAAACACACATATTTATGAGTTCCCAGTAAATCGCAAAGGCAAATCCCTCTTCTTACATATCATAAAAAAAGAACTGAACCCCGGGAAGAAACCTGTTTCCTAATTAGTGCCAATAACATACATCCATACACGTGACTCAAAGAGAGACGACATGCACATCCGCCGCGCAAATTCTGGGCCTCTTGGAGCTGATCGAATTGATCCCCCTACACCTGCCAGATCCAGCTGAGGTATTGCGGGTCTAGCGCATCGGTCTCTTGTGGCAGAAGATCATCCAGACCTCGCCGGTGCTCTGCAGTGCCTACTGGTATTTTCCTTCACCTACGTCATCCGTTTCTAACACTCACGGGAAACTGAACCCTGCGTTCAACCGCATTGGCGTCGAGATTTCAGTCCCTGAAGAAGCGATAGGGGTTCAGAAGTATCAGAAAGGATATTTGACGGAGAATAGGCAGGTCTACCGCCCGATATCTGACCTAACATAATCGAGAAACACAGGATATGGGAGTGGAACGTAGAAGAAAGAGACGTGAGTTGTTGTTGTTGGTATGCCATAGGAGAGTACCATCTACTCTTTGGCCAACGAATAACTGCAGTCTAGCTACAACTTTGATCGTCTCTGAAGCATCTGGTTGACCCTCGACGAGATGCTTTCCTTCCACTCGTCTGAATACATGGATTTTTCTCTCGCTGGTAATTCTTTCCAGTCTTGTGCAATGCGCTGCTCATCCTCCTCCCACCGCTTGACTTCTTGCTGGATCCACGGTCCGAGAGCCTCCGCCGTGGCTGTGATCTTTTCAAATGGCAGAGTATGTGCAGCGTTTGGAATCAGCTGATGCCTCACTCGGCCATACTCCATTCCACCACTCCCCCCAAACTCGGTTCCCACTTTCTTAACTATTCGCTCGTGGGCCCCAAGTTTACACAGCGGACTCTCTGCTCCACTCAGCAATATCACCGATGGGCGAAGGTGTGGAACCAGCCTCCCCGCCAGAACAGGCTCTGGTCGGTAGGAGTTTTGCTCTGGCGCAAGTGCACCCAGCACGTCGGGGAAGAGGAGCGGGTCATGCGGTGGACTAGGCTCTTCGTGGGGATGTTTCTGGTTCTGCTCGTCTGGCAAACCCAGCTCCCTGTATCGGCGAGGATTGGCCCGCGTGTACATCAATGCCTCTTGATACTTGGTCGTGGCCAAGGTCACAGCAGGCCCTGCGTCCGACGATGACGAGGATGACTGTGCCATTCCCTCTTGGGGGTAGACAGTTGACGGTAGGTCACGGTATGCGAACTGAGCCCATCGATCCAGCACTCGAGGATCCCAGGCCCGGAGGGCCTTGCGTGACTTTGCTACTGCGACCGCCCTTGAAGGCCAGATATCGCGTTTGTTGATGGTCAGGCGCAGGAGAAGCGGGCCGCTTCCTTGTAGCGTGCGCTCGACGAAGTATGGCTCGACAAGCAGCAGTGATGAGAACAGTCGAGGATGAATCAGGGATAGGAAAATCCTGGGATTCATCAGTCAGACTTCTTTGTTAGCCATTGCCATCATCTGAGGGTAACCGACATTTGAGTTGCACCAGCGCTGTGCCCGAGACCCATGATGGGTCTGGGCATCTGGTCGCGAAATCGATTGATCATCAAGAGAAGATCACGACTGTGGTCAAACCATGATGCTGTTGCGGTTAGTCCTGGGTTTCTCACGAGGCGAGACATGGTGCACTCGAGCTTACGGTCATTGCCCAGATGGTTCTCGTTGAGGATACCACTGGCACCCTGGTTTGCGCTATCAGCAATCCAGATTGCACGGATTCGATATCCGTCTTTCTTGCTCCTGGCATGGAGGTCTTCCCACAGAGGTTCGTATAGCTCCTGGAAGACGATGAGCGACAGGCTAAGGATGGCCAGCGGCAACTTCACTTTCTACCTTTGCGAATGCAGTTCCATGTGCAGCGATAATTGTCACATCACCCGGCTTAGGATGAGGGTTGTCGATAGGAGTGTATTGCTTGACGCACAGCTTCAGCGGAGCATCCTGCGTGGTCGTGGCTCTAGGATACTCCCGGATGTATTGGCCATCAACAACGTGTTCTGTCACGGTATATGGGAACGCCATCTTGAGATGTCAAAATGATTAGTGACGGGCAGTTCTGCAGAGGGTGAACTTGTCTAGGACTCTATTATCTGGGAACTTCACTTCCCACTGACTTGTTGCGGACAGCGCAGGCAGATTGCGTGTCATGGGCCTAAGACACGGGCCATGACCGGTCCACCGTGGCAATTGTCAGGATAGAGAGTGTGAGAAATGATCTCACAAAAAGTATATTTCAGGAGCGAACAATAGCCTGAAGCAGTAATTGCTTGTTGTCGATCATCGCGTGGGTCCAATTGATCTCATCGCGAGCTCAGCCAAAGATCTCTTCTGGTCGATCCTCTTGGCGATCGAGCCAGTTCTCACCGCACTCCATGAACCACGCTTCTTTTACAAACACTGACAGACTAGCAATAATTGCACGCAGCCCTTTCTTCCAGGCCAAAGTACAAGTGCAGTATGAGTTTACGCTTCTCAAGCGATTATTATTTCCAAGAGGGACGTTGCTTGTATCAAAGTTCGTGAATTAGACACACTTGGTCCCGACACGGACCTTCACCGCGTTTGATCCATCGACTCCACCAAAGATGAGGATGGATCTCTTCATCAGATCTGTATCAGATGAGGGGCTAGATGTTCTTGTCAGCGAAAACAAACCCAGTCCTGTGGCACAGGTCCCTCACCTAGCCCTGAGTCTGCCATGCAGATCATTGCAGCGATGGAGACAGTGAGTCTCCATGCTGACTCGGTGAATTTTGGCCAAACCCACACACGGGTTATCAAGCCTCGTCGACTTCATTATGTCTCGCAACGTCATAACCACGACAAATGATAAATTCGGTTCTCTTCTTATGAACTCTGCCATTATGGCAATACTAGGCTGTCTGCACGGTCATCCGCAGAGAGCACAAGCCAGGACACCATTGACCAGGAATAAACAAGATTGATCATCAGAATGAGTCTGCACATACTAGCAGGTGCGGCAGTACTATGTCTTGTCTACGTGCGTTTCCCCCCCCAATTTGCGGAATGTCTGGAATCTGACTAGCTCAGGCTTGTGCTTTGGCAATCTATCGACTCTTTTTCCATCCCCTTTCTAGGTACCCCGGACCCCGCCTAGCTACCGTGACAGACTGGTACGTGGTATATTATGCCTGGCGAGGCGACTTGCATAAACAAATCCAACAATGGCATGGCAAATATGGTGAGTTCCATTCCTAGAATGTCTGGTAAAACTGACGCTAATTTCCGCTCGCAGGCGAAATCGTCCGCTATGGACCTGCGACGCTCAGCTTCAACTCGGCCACGGCTATGGCCGACATCTACGGGGTACGGGCCAATGTTCGCAAAACCGACGGGTACGCTGCTCTGGGCCTCAGCCGTCGCAACCCGAACATAGTTACAGCGGTTGATAAGGGGGTACATGGCTTCAAGCGACGGATCATGGCCCAGGTTTTCTCGGAACAAAACATGAGGCAAATTGAGGGGCGCCTGCTCGACAATATCTCAGACTTTGTTTCGGTGCTGGGCTCGGAGGCAGATGCCGCCCGAGGCTGGGGCCCGCCCAAGGATGTCGCGCACGCGTGCACCTGGTTGACCTTTGATATCATTGCGGATCTTTGCTATGGCGAGGACCTCAACCTGCTGCAGTCGGAAGACATGCGATGGTTTCCCTCAGTCTTCCGCAATATCGCCCAGCGTGCCATGATGGTGAGTCTGACCGACCCTCAAGCGCCAAAGCTCCGCCCAACCCAGCCTAATCAGTCGTTGCATTGCCAAAGAGCCTCATCCAACCCGAATTCGTCCAACTCAAGCTCGACCACTTCCTCCTCGCCTCCCAATACAAAAACATCCTCCGCGCAGGCAGCTGGATCCGCGAACGCGGCGAGGCCCGCGCCAAACTGGGCAACAAGGTCGTCAAAACGGACATCTTCAGCGCGATGATGAATGCCACGGACCCCAAGACGGGACGCCGTTTCACGCAGAAAGATCTCTGGGTTGAATCTATGCTCTTGCTTGTAGCAGGTAAGTTACAACCATTCGCCCCCCCAGCACAAACCCTCAACCCTCCCCCCGAATCTCCTCTTTCGTGTCTCATACCCCATCCCCCTCCCCGAAATATCTATATTTCAGGCAAGCTAACCCTCCCGAGAAGGCTCAGATACAACCTCCAATGCCCTCAGCGCCACAATCCACTACCTCCTCCAACATCCCAGCCGCCTCGCGCGCGCAACCACAGAAATCCGCACAAGTTTCCCCACGGAAGACGAGATCCGCTTCGACTCTGCCTCCCCGGCCACCTGCCCGTATCTCGACGCCTGCATCAACGAAGCCATGCGACTGGCCCCCTCCGTCCCCAACGCCCCGCCCCGCGCCGTCTGCGCCGGCGGCATCTCCATCGATGGGGAATTCATCCCCGCCGGCACCATCGTCGGCACCCCAATCTATACCCTCCACCGCAACGCGGCGTACTTTGACTGCCCGAATGAATTCCGTCCGGAGCGATGGCTGGAATCTTCCTCCACGGGGGCGTCCAGCGTTGGGCAGGAATATCAGCATCAGCATCAACAACCACCTCAGCAGCAGCAAACATCCTCCGCCGCAACCACCATGAAACAAACCCAAGCGTTTCCCGCATTCTGTCCGTTTAGTTTCGGGGCTCGATCCTGTGTGGGATGGCGTCTGGCGTACGCGGAGCTTCATCTGGCGATGGCGCGGTTGTTGTGGCGGTATGATGTGCGGTTGGCTTCGGGCACGACAAGCCCCGATTACGAGATGCTGGGCTGGGTGGTTGCTGCGGTGCAAGGGCCGGTGGCGCAGTTTCGGAGGAGGGAGGATCTGCCAATTCCGATCGCTTAAGGGTGGAGTGGAGCATCCTGTCTATTCTATCATGATCGTGTCTGTTGTTCTTCTTTTCCCGAGGGCAAGCTTGGTTGTGCTTTGCATCATATCCGCCTGGAATCATACTATGCTGCACATTCTCTTTTTCTTTTTCTCTTCCTCATCATGTTTATAGCGATGGAATTGATTAGCGAGATTGCATCCTGGGTTGTGTCTTCGATTGCAATGCTCACTGTCATGCACTGGGTTGGCCCTCCCATATCTCGGTGTACTCTTGTATCCTCATTTGTTCATTCATTTGTTCATTCATATAACCAGAGGAACTAAGCGAGGGGTATAAACTGCACAACCGTAATCAAACAAGAAGAAACCACCCAAAACGCCTGTTCATCACAACGTCCACACCAGCGGTCCACGACCTCGGGCAACTTTTCTGTCTTTCCCGTACATTTCCACAAATGAAAAGATGCATCGTGATGAGAAGGATCGAACCTCGAGACCAATATGATCCCAAGAAAGAAAATGCAACCAACCCAGAGTCCATTACCATCGTCCATTAACGTCTTTCGTCAACATAGCCAAGGATACTCCATGAAGAAAACAAATTTATGCCATGATGCCGGAGGCAGAAGTTCCGGTCCCCCAGCGAAAGCGTTTCAGGCTGCCCCGGACAGCTTCTTGACCGCAGCCAGTGGCTACTCGACCCCCCGAACCGTCGCCCATGGCACCGATCCCAGTGCTACCTTCTAGTCTGCCGACTTCGCGGCCTAGCACGTAGCCTGCAGAAAAGCTGATAGCTGAGAACAGCACCACTACTCCAGCGCTGATCACCCAGGTCATGATCGTCGGGCTAGCGGTGGGAACGGGTTCCACGGTGCTACCTCGTCGAGTCTTTTTGGCCGAATGGCTGCGTTCCTTGGACGGGCTGGACCGTCGTTTGGCTCGCACAGGCGCTGGCGGAACGCTCCTGGGCGAGTAGGGGGGTGGGGACGGTCCGGACCGCGGAGACCGGACTTTTGCTGCTGCATTAGCTTCTGCCGTTTCTTCTTCGCAGATTTCCCCCATCGCGACCGACTCTGACACCAGTCGGAATGATGACGGTGCCGGCGCTCGCGAGGGACCTGGCTGAACTGGCTGGCTGTCGGCCTTGGGCAGACCCCGAGCTGCTGCGGCACAGGATAGTAATGTAGAAAGACTGGCGCGGAGGGCGGCATCGTGATCGGCGTGGTGGGACGGAGAAATCATGTTGTATGGACTGTGCTGATAAGAGGATCTTCGAGCAGAGCGGATGCTCGCCTGAGAATCCCGCCGAGCCCTGATAGCGGTCCGTCGACTGGAATTTGACACCTCACTGGGTTCCGAACGGTGTCGTCGTTCCATAGGCCTTGTCCAAGATGGATCTTGAGATGCTGGCGGATGAGAGAAGACGTTGGGCTGAGGGACGAATGGAGATGAGCTGATGCGCATGCCTAGTGCTGTGGAATTATCGTCGTCATCCTCGTCCTCTTCCGAAGGGGCATCGGATGGCAGCGGGGACGGGCCTGTTGGGACTAGAAGTGGATGCGGTCTCTCGGGCGGACGCATCATATCCTCAGAGCTGCTGAGCACTTGATCGGATTCACTCTCGCTTTCCTCATATTCGTCTTGACTGCTACTTTGTTCGCGGGATGAGTAGTCTACTTGAGCTGTTGTGATGGCAGCCAGTTGTTGCAGCCGTCGTCGTCGACTTCGATGGTAGCGACCGGGGTCTTGCTGCTGAACACGAAGACCGGTTGTGATGATATCGTCGTTGGTGCCTGCGGAGGAGAGGGATGAGGATGAGGGCTGAGATGCGACCTCGATCCAGGAATCTATATAGTAACGCAGTGAGTACATGTTGATACACTTTATACATCTAGTTGACGAAACTTGAACCGGAAGACGGTCGAGCATGCAGGGGCAGAGTAGATATCTGAGAGGCTGCGAGGCGATGACGTACCTTCTGATCTCGTGGGGGCGCGGGCAGCGGGAGAACGTGACTGCTGAGAAAGTAGATGATCGCGCGACGACTGATGGTGGTCTCGCGTCAGTCGACCGGTTACTCGAGGGTCTTCGTGCTGCACCTGACCGAGGAAATCGTAGTGATTTGGTTGCATGATGAAAGAGGTATAGGGAGAGCAAGTGGGGCAGTAGCGAGGAGAGACGAGAGCAGATGCAGACCGCTGCCACTAAGTAGTTGGAGTTATAGGATAGAACAAGAAAATAAAGAAGGGGAATGGAGATCAAGAGAAGAGAAAGAGAAGGAGAAAGAAGAAGGAGAAGATGAGGATGATGATAATGATGATGATGGGAGGATAAAATAACGAGAGGAAAGAAAGAGGAGAGGAGAGGAGGAGAAAAGGAAGGAGGGAGATCCACGGGTGATCCTCAGGCCACGGGGACGGCAGGCGGACCGACCAGTGATGAACGAGGTTGAGAGGAAGCGGTCAGTCCCAAAGCGCGGGGTTGATGTGAAGTTATGGATGGATGGATGATACTGTGGTGAGATGGGGATGGGATGAAGTGTATAGAGTTGATCTTATCAAATGTGGGACTCGATCACCTGCTCCACCAGACATTCACAGGAATCAAGGAAGGGACAACAAGATGGAACAGACACGACTCATACACATCTAAACCAGGCCGTTATTGTAGTTCAAATAGAAGAAGAAGAGGCTTGCACATAAGCAAGCAACCTTGACCTTAGCATAAGGTAGGAAGGGATACCTACCTGGTACGTAGTAACAACTTGTGGATGGAGGGGAACACGAGGCGGCATGCAGTGAGTGATCATCCGACCGGCCACCGTGACTGGTCCACTTTGATAGGCCCATCACTGCAGCAGATCAGCAGAGGATCGCGACAAATGACAAAGCCGACCTCGGAGGGGTTTTCCTTGTCGCCAACCAGCTCTTGCAGACAAAGACCTCCTTCATAACAACCACGGTACAACAATCGATGTAAGTAGTAGAGGCTATGTAAGTAGTAGAGGACAATCGATGTAAGTAGTAGAGGCTATTGAAACAAATATTCTGGTCATGGCCATTCATTAATTGTTCTATCCTAGATATCACAGACTATGTTACCGAAGGGGGGGGTTATCAGAAATCCTGAGAAGTAAAAAGAATAAGAAATGCAACAAGAACTTTTTTGAAACCATCCTCCGAGCAAGAAAAACCAAGGAAAGGAAAATAAGACAATACCCAGTCAGATACGCCTACGCATGCACTTAAAAGGTAACCTTGGTGCCCTTGTACTCGGGGATAGAGCCCTTGCCCTTGTTGAAGCCACCGGCACCACCACCGCGACCGCCGAAGCCGCCACGGCCACCGCGGCCACCGCCACGGTCACCGAAGCCACCACGGCCGCCACGGCCACCACCACGACCACCGAAACCACCACGGCCACCACCACCGCCGTTGTTCTGACGGGGAGTGCTGAAGTCCAGGCGGACGGAGCGACCCTCAAGCTCGGCACCGTTGAGCTCGTTGTAGGCAGCACGGGCCTCCTCGACAGAGGCGTACTGGACGTAACCGAAGCCCTTGGGGCGGCCAGACTCGGGGTCAGTGGGGAGGCGGATGCCAACAATGGTACCCTGAGCACCGAAGAGCTCACCGACGGAGTCCTCGTTGGCGCTGAAGGGAAGGTTGCCGACGAACAGGGTGTCACTCTCGGGGCTGGCCTGGTCGCCGAAGCTGCGGGCACGGTTCTGGGCACGGTCACGGGGAGCACCCTGGTTGTTGTTGGCAGGACGACCGGTGGCGTAGTCAAGGTTGATGGCACGACCATCGATCTCAGCGCCCTTCTTGGCCTCGAAAGCCTTGGCAGCATCAGCAGCGTTGGCGAACTCAACGTAACCGAAACTAAGATACGGATTAGCAAAAGGAACCCAGGATTGTGACAGCAAAGAAGAATGCTTACCCGCGAGAGCGGCCAGTGTCACGCTCAGTCATGATGCGGACGCCCGAAAGCTCACCGAAGCCCTCGAACTCACGCTGGAGCCACTCCTCGTCAACGTTCCAGGACAGGTTGCCAACGAAAAGGTTGGCGGAAGCACCCTCGGCGGGCTCCTCAACCTTGGTCTTCTTGGGGGTAGCAGCGGTCTCGTCCTCAGCCTTGCGCTTCTTGGACTCCTTAGGCGACTCGTCACTCTCCTCAGACTCAGAGTCGGAAGAGTCAGAGTCGGAAGAATCAGAGTCGGAAGATTCCTAGGTAAGTCAGCATAAGATTCTTGGTAACAGTGGTGAGAGGGTAGACGAACCTTCTCGGCCTTCTTCTCCTCCTCGGACTCAGACTCAGAGTCGCTGTCAGAGTCGCTGTCGCTAGACTCCTTGGCGGCCTTCTTGAGGGCCTCATCCTCGGAAGAGTCAGAGTCAGACTCGGACTCGGACTCAGACTCGACCTTCTTCTCAGCCTTCTTGGGGGCCTCCTCCTCGGACTCAGAGTCAGAATCCTCAGACTCGGAGGACTCGGAGTCGCTAGACTCCTCCTTCTTGGCGACCTTCTTGGTCTCCTTCTTAGCAGGCTTCTCGTCCTCGCTCTCGCTCTCGCTGCTGCTAAAAGCGTCCTTCATCTCTTCATCGCTCTCAGAGTCAGAGTCGGACTCGGAGTCGCTGGACTCCTCCTTCTTAGCGGCCTTCTTGGTCTCCTTCTTGGCAGGCTTCTCATCCTCACTCTCGCTGCTAGAGCTAGAGTCAGAGTCCATCTCCTCGTCACTGTCGGACTCGGACTCGGACTCGGAAGGAGTAGGCTCCTTCTTGGACTTCTTGGAAGACTTCTTCTCCTTGCTCACAACAGCCTTGGCAATCTGCTTGCTCTTGGCCTTGGGGGACTGAGCAGCCTTGCTCACACCGGCATCCTTGACCTTGCTCAAGGCCTTGTCAACGGGCTTCTCAGCACCCTTCTTGGAAACGGACTTGGTCTTCGACATTTTGAATCTGGGGAGGTAAGAGATTGTCTGTTAGTGGAAGGGGGGGGTACACGGCGGGCGGATGGGTCGATATAAGAAAGCCAAGGTGGAGACATACCAGATAAAAATGATCACAAAGAAACTTCTTGTGCGGCAAATTTTTCTTTAGTCCCACAAATCACCCGATTTGAGATCAGAATAGCCCACTGATTGCTTTCGCAAATACCCACAGGTAACCCACAACTGACAGTGTTCAAGCCCACACGAGTAAGACAGGAGAGAAACGCTACTGTCTATGATATGAAACCCACGGAAGTATCCAACAGATCCCACAGAATAGAACGCAGTATGCTACAACCCACAGCCCTCAAGGTAAAAAGCCCACAGGATGTCTGTTACGGTGTACCTAGTAAGATACAGCTGAGTCAGTTCAAGAAGTTCTTGGAAGAGAGTCAAACAATTGTCTGAATCTCAGAAGATGACAATGTTGAAAAAAATGATGAAGAGAAATCAGAGGATGAAGCGAAGGGGGAGAAGAGGAAGAAGTAGGAAAATTTCTACTGCTGGGGAGCTCCGATAAGGCGGCCGGGGGGAAAAAAAATTCGACTAGTCAAAACTAGGAGGCTGGCAGAAAAAATCAGCAGGGGATACCGCCTGCGTTTCCGGGGTTAGTCAAGGTACCTCGACCCACTGGCCACACCGCATGCATCGCTGACTAAAGGGCACCCTGTCCCAGTGCCTGTCGGCCTCGGTCTGGAGATAGTGTGCTTGAGCCTGATACTGGTCAGTCACCACGGAGGCTTTTGTGGTAGAACAAGTAGAACACAGATCATTTAAGATGCTTCCAAATAAGCCATTCTCATGCAATCTGAGCTATATTCTCTCGATGCCATTGTTGAATGTCGATTGATTGGGATCTAGGTACATGTACCTCCGCCAGGCTACTCATAGATCCGCCCACCGCCCTGCAGTTGAAGCAACACAGTGTCATCCCCCGGAAAGTTGGTCCACTTCTGTCTCCCTCCGCTACGTAGCCTCTCCTACTCCTAGCCTTCCCCTGTCCTCTTTTCAAGAAACGCGATCAATCTACCGATTGCCCCGAATTTTAGAGAGATTCTGCCAAATCAATGGTGTACTTCTAATCCCTTCGTATCTTGTTCTCTTGGCAATGGCTCCTCCATCCTCTTATCGCCCGCGCAAGAAGAGAAAGTTCCCCTCCTCATTCACAGGCTCCAACAATGCTCTCATTATCGAATCTGACGGCAGGTCGTCTCCCGCATTTCCTCTGGTGTCATTCCTGTGGTCCGCTCGAGCAGGTGTTTCTCAATGGCTTGTTCTTCCTCTCGTCTTGATGGCTGTCGGTTTGTTCCGCTGGGCAGTCAGTCTATGGGGCTACTCTGGTATGTTGCATGAGCGCGTCGAACACATCCGCCCTCAAACTAATGGTTTCAAGGCTTCCAGGTGCCCCCTATGCACGGTGACTTCGAGGCACAGCGACACTGGATGGAAATTACCACTCATCTGCCCATGGCGAAGTGGTATTTGTATGACCTACAATACTGGGGACTAGACTACCCTCCTCTGACGGCATACCACAGCTGGCTCCTGGGGAAGATGTAAGTGGCTCGGAATTGGTAATATTATAGCTCTATTTCTGACTCAAGTTAGTGGTTCAGCCATCGACCCGGCCTGGTTCGCCCTCGATGACTCTCGCGGCGTTGAAGATCCCTTGCTAAAGGTATTCATGCGCGGAACAGTTGTGGTTTCGGAGTACCTGGTATTCATTCCGGCTGTCGTCAATTTCCTGCGTCGCTACACCCGGATGCAAAATGTGCCTGTCTGGTCAGCTTCCGTTGCCCTCGTCGCAGTCCTTCTTCAACCAGCGACAATTCTTATCGATCACGGTCATTTTCAGTACAACTCCGTGATGCTGGGGCTCGTCGTTGCGAGCTTGGACGCAATCCTCGCGGGACGTATGCTCTGGGCTTGCATATTCTTCGTGGGCGCTCTGGGCTTCAAGCAAATGGCGCTGTATTACGCTCCCATCATGTTCGCATTTCTCTTGGGAGTGTGCATTTTCCCAAAGATCCGGATTCTCCGCCTTCTTTGCATCGCTCTCGTAACACTTGCAGCATTTGCGGTCCTCTTCGGTCCCCTGATGATCGGCGCGACTGGTGAGGAGGCACGAGAGATCCTGGCTTCAGCCCCACAGCCCCCTCTTCTGCAGCAACTCCCGATTGACCTTGACAAGCATTCCGTGCTTTATGCAGTCGCTTTCCAACTGACACAGACCATTCACCGCGTGTTTCCGTTCGCCCGTGGTTTGTTTGAGGACAAGGTTGCAAATGCTTGGTGCGCTGTCCACACATTCTACAAGCTTCACCGCTTCGAAGCTAGTCTCCTTCAGCGCATGTCGCTTGGCGCCACATTAGGTTCAATCTTGGTCCCCTGCGGCATCATCTTCCGCCACCCGCGTGCATCCCTTCTGTTGCCCGCCTTATCAAGCGTTGCCTGGGGCTTCTTTCTGTTCTCCTTCCAGGTCCACGAGAAGAGCGTTCTGCTTCCCTTGCTTCCTATGACGCTTCTCCTGGCTGGAGACGGCGGTCTCAGCAAGGAAACTCGGGCGTGGGTTGGATGGGCCAACATCCTGGGAACGTGGACCATGTACCCTCTTCTCAAACGCGACGAGCTCCGGGTGCCCTACTTCGTTATGACCTTCCTCTGGGCCTACTTGATGGGACTACCCCCGACGTCCTTAGAAGCCTATCGCAGCCGGGACTTGTCCGAGGACAACGGCGAGCTCAATGTACTCACCAAACTTGTACACATCTGCTTCTACCTTGCTATGATCGCATGGCATGTCCTCGAAGCTTTCGTGCCTCCTCCGTCAGACAAGCCCGATCTGTGGGTGGTACTGAACGTGCTGATTGGCGCCGGGGGATTTGGCCTGGCCTATTTGTGGTGTTTGTGGAGGTTGATCCAGCAGTGCTGGACGATTGACCAGAAGGTGGCAGAGGAGGCTCAGAAGAAGAATCAGTGATCCACAAGGGGGGAGGAGTGAGGCTAGTGGTGCCTCGCGATATACCTATGCCGTTCTATAGTGATACCCCATTTCATTTCCGTGGGCTTGCCATGTGCCGGGCTCTGTGGTCACAGGATATGCCCATGCCAATCTCTACTATGTACACAAATCAAAAAATTTTATCTCATTGACTCAAGCCCACCGATAAATACAGTCTTCACGATATTCACGCTATCCAATTCTAGGAGACATGTATTGCACAAGTGGATCCAATTCTAGGAGACATGTATTGCACAAGTGGAGATGATCATGACACCATCGAGCAGGAATATGGTACATAGTATACACAATCATAAGATAGCACCCCCCTTGAAGGGAGACAAATAAAAGATATCCCCCAACCGAAAACTCCAAGACATTCGCAAGCGCTTCATATTCTATGTAGCAGCCAAAACATAAAAAAAACCCCCGAATGTTATACAACCACCGCCATCGGTAACACCAAAGGCGAGGAAATAGTTTTTCCGAAGGACCAAATTCCGATAGGTCTAGGCCTAGACCTAGACCTTGAATCCATACCCGGCCATGCAAGCCTTATACTGATCGATCATCGACTTGCATTCCTGAGTCGGATCGTCGGTCTTGGAGAAGAGCATGCAGTCGTCGCGCGCGGTCTTTTCGGTCTTGCAGACGCAGCAGGGCTATTTAAGCGATTTGAATAATTAGTTTGAGTTGTTTTGCAGGCGCGGGTGTGGTTTTGAGGGTAGGGTTGGATTGATTGCTGGTAAATTGCTGCGGTGCAGCGGGTGCGATTGAGGCAGGTAGGTCGACGAACCTTAGGCTTCTCTGCGGGCGCTGCGGACTCAGTGGGAGGTGCTGCGGAAGCGCTTTCGGCTGTTGGGTTGGGTAAAATGAAGTTAGTTGGTGAGTTTGGTTTGGTGGTTGTGAGAGGACGGGGACAATGAAGAGCTTGCGGATAATCGCGGAGAGATTATTTGTATGAGGGTTTGAATGAGTGGACTTACTTTTGGGGGAGCCGGAGAACCAGGACATCGTGAGGAATCAGGGTATGGCGCAGAATGAGCGACTAGACAGTGAACGGGAAAAAGAATGCAACGAAAGCAGGAAGAAGTGAAAGTGAAAGTGAGACGATTGGCAAGGAGACAGACAGGACAAGGTAACTAACTACTTGATGCTGATTAATGATACAATCGGAAGATGATGCGATGAGATTCGGAATGGCGGGATTGGTTGTTGTGGATGACCGGAGCGGCGATCGGGGAAAATTTGCGGGCAAAAGATCCGGTTGTCAGGGAAGCAGGGGGGAGGAAAAGAAAGAGGGGCGCATCATCACACTGCAGCCCCATCCTTTTGTTCTTTCTCATTCCCCTCCACTACCAAAAAACCACACACACCTTCACTTCCATCACATTCATTCCTCCTCTTCTTTTTTCCTTTTCCTTTAAAAGAAAACTTTGATACTTGCTGGCTTGGACCGCTGTCTGTCGCACCCTTACATCTGTCTTCTTGACGATCCTTTCCCATCATCTGTACTTCTACTCTTTCCTCACCCCTGAATTTTAATTTACCCCGCCATGGCCCCTCCCAAGGTCTTTTCGCTTGAGGGCAAAGGCCTCAAGCTGGACAGCGCTGAGGACATTGAGACCCATATCAAGCCCTTGTTGGAGAGCACCGACTATACCGAAATCCGCTTTGGAGGAAACACTCTGGGTGTCCCCGCCTGCGAGCGTCTCGCCTCCGTGCTGTCTACCCAAAAGAACCTCGAAGTGGCCGAGCTGGCCGACATCTTCACTTCGCGTCTGCTGAGTGAGATTCCCGACGCCCTCACTTTCCTCCTGAACGCCCTGCTTGAGATCTCCACTCTCCACACCGTCAACTTGTCCGACAATGCCTTCGGTGCCAACACCCAGAAGCCCCTCGTCGACTTCCTCGCGCGCCACGTGCCCCTCCGCCACCTGATCCTGAACAACAACGGTATGGGTCCCGAGGCCGGCTCGAATATTGCGAAGGCGCTCATTGAACTCGCTGAGCGCAAGGAGGAAGCTCGCAAGGCTGGCAAGGAGGCGCCGCTCCTCGAGAGCATCGTCTGCGGTCGCAACCGTCTAGAGAATGGCAGTATGGCTGCTTGGGCACGTGCCTACGAGGTGCACGCTGCCGGTATGCGCTCGGTCAAGATGACTCAGAACGGAATCCGCCAGGAGGGTATTTCCCTGCTGCTGAAGGAGGGTCTCCGCCACTGCAAGGCTCTCGAGGTCGTTGATCTCCAGGATAACACTTTCACCATCATGGGCTCGACTGCTCTGGCCGGCGTCCTTGGTAGCTGGTCCTCTCTTCGCGAGCTTGGCGTGAGCGACTGCTTGCTCTCCGGCCGTGGTGGTGTCAAGGTTGCCCAGGCCCTGGCTGAGGGTAAGAACGAGAAGGTTCAGACGCTGCGCCTGCAGTACAACGAGATCACCGCCGAGGGTGTTAAGCAGTTGCTGCACGCGACCAAGTCTGGTCTCCCCGCTCTGCGCCGTATCGAACTGAACGGTAACATCTTCATGGAGGAGGACGACAATATCACTGAGCTGCGCGAGATCCTGGAGGCTCGCAAGGAAGAGCACGGCTCCGATGAGGATCCTGAGGAGATGTGGGGTGTCGATGAGCTGGACGAGCTCGAAGAGGAAGAGAGCGAGGAGGAAGAGGAGGCGGAGGAGGAGGAAGAAGAAGAGAAAGCCGAGAAGCTGCTCAAGGATGCCGACCTGGCCGAGAACGAGAAGGTCGCTCAGAAGGAAGACAAGGAAGTCGACCAGCTGGCCAATCTCTTGGGCAAGACTGGTCTCTAGACTCTATAAGACCTTTGGCCCTTCTCGAAATACCTCTCTCGCCATATGCTGACCTACCTACACCCACACCCCCTCCTTTTTATCGCATATCCACCTCTACCAAGTCAGTGAATCGGCAGTGACACTCCGGTGCCGGGCATCAGACGCATGGCTGTCCCGACTATGACATGGTGCGATTTGCATCGCTCCGTCATATCCAGCAGGAACTTAGCATGGAGGACCTCATCCTCATACCCATTCAGTCGACACGCCTGTTTGAAGGTGCCCGAGCAAACCTTCAACCGTGAGCCTGTTACTGATCACCTGACACGCATCTTGGATATGAAAGTGCTCCAACCTTCTTATCGCTTGATGTTGCCATCACATAGCCTATACCCATTGGAGAGCATTAGACCTAGACAAGAGCTTTAGCTTGTGCTACTATCACACGTGTTATTGCCTTTATGATGTATATAAGAATTCGATGAATCGGAAAAAGAACATCTGATATGATGATACCTTTTTGGTGCCAGTGTGTCTACGCTCGTTATCTTGGCAATGATCCTGTCTATAAGACATCACCCATGTTCGGAGTCGTTGCCCCCTATGCGCCTCTGAATGTCTGTTTCCCTTGCCGGCCTGTCGGCCCTCCGTCCTCGAGAGTAGACTGATATTGCGAAACACGCCTGGAAAAGGGATCGCTCCTGTGGCCCACTGAAAATCGCTCTGAGAGGGTCCCGAACAATCTCGAGTACGCGCACTCGCCCGATTCCAGGCAGAATAACATCTGCAGACGATTAAGGTGAGGCTCTGGCACACCTCGGTGTTTGCCTTGCTCTGAGTCAGTCCGCTTAGTCTCTGCACCCACGTCTCGGAATCCGAACCATAGCACTGTCATTCTCAAAAGCATCTCAGCGGTCTCGCCCCTTAAACAAGCATTATTGACTGGAATCTGCAATAAAGAGTGACCATGAATTCTCGGGGCTCTCTGCATAGTTGGCTACCTCTAGGCCTTCCACGAATCTTGGGCCGTCTCCGCCAACCAGTTCGTCCTGTGCTGGATGGCCGTCTGGCTGTGCAGCGGTTGGAGCGTGCGGCGTATGGACCGCAGCTCCCGATCCCGTTGGTGAATTGGTGGGGGGTAAGTGGATGACCTGCTAGATCTTTCTCGTTTTCATGCATGCTTAATTCATCTCAGGTAACTCAGGTGATATATGGCTTTCACACCATCTTGTAGCGAATTAGAGCTGAACGAGAGCCAGAGATCTTCCACCCATTAGACCGTGATACACAGAAGTAGATATAGCTGCGTCCACGGAGGATAGCCGCATAACTAGCTGCATATCCAGAGGTCCATTAAGATGTGCTTGCTGGGATTGAAGTGTTACTGCATAGTTCCTCAATCGATTCCCACCTTGTCGACGATTGTGTTTGCCACGGGATAGATAAAAGTACCTGGTGCCCTCGTGCCTGTCAGTTCGTTAGTAGCCGATATCCTAGTGGGCAGATGCTAGGCATGTCGTACACTGCCAGATACAGTAGGAAACATAAGTTCCATATTCTTCTCTCCAGCCGCTACTGAGACAGTCACAACATGAAGTTAGTAAACTCCCTTCGACCCCCAACACCAAGGAACAACCAACAAGAAAGAACTGCAACAGGCGCACAGCTCCTCATCATCATCATCAGTTCTCGCCTACGGTTGGTTTGGACCCACCCACTCTCATTCATGAAGCAATGCATATATCCAAAGCAAGTCACACATCAAAAAGCTTGAAGAAGTTACGTTCAAGGACAAGCAGTATGAACAATAAGATCAGGCCTCAGTCTGCGCCTGTTTTGCCCGAAAAGGACCGCAAAATAGGCTCTCCCAAGCATGGGAACAGTCAGCTCTGTACGCGTATGCGCTTCGCAAAATCCACGTGAGATGCATCTCCACTCCAGTCAAGCCCGTCGTCTTCATCCTGCGCGGGGAGCTACTAGTGAGTAGTGACTGGTTGGTTACTTGGACTCTTAGAGTAAGGTAGTCCACGCAAGCTGCCAGGTTGAGCTATTGAGCTATCCAGCTATCCAGCTATGAAGCTATGAAGCTGGATCTGCAACCCTGCACATAGATAGGATAACAGTACAACAAACACACCCCAAAACCAACATAGTAGAACACCAGAACCAGAGAAAGACCCAGCCCTCAGAGAAGAAACCCAACCAGGCTCTGGTACACTCAGTGGGAGCCAGTTTCCGAATGCCCTTTCTTTTCCACAGCGACGGCACTTTCTTGCCGACAATCCAACAACAATAGATCCACTTTCAAACCACCAAAAGGAAGGGGAAAAAGAAAAGAAAAAAGGAAAAAAAGCCCAAGGTCCCATGCATCATACTCATAAGCACAATACTTCAGTTCAGCACAGAAACGCTGTTGCAAGTTTCAGTCTCGCAATGCATGACTCGAACGGTTCATCCCTCATTTCCGAGGAGGCTGCATAGCAACTCATCTCCTCACCGTAACTACTTTACTACGAGTACGTAGTCGTACTCAATAAAAGATGCTGCAACGAGACTCGGCCGGGCGCGATGCTCAATGCCTCAGAAAGGAAAGACGCACACAAACACACACCGTCCAGGAAGAAAAAAAAAAAAAAAAAAAAAAAAAAACAAAAAGTCAAATGAGCTCCGCCCGCGTGGCGTGGCGAAAAGTGAAACCAAAACCCAACTTGCAAACACTGAAAGGAAACACACTTGAGAAGATGGGCAAAGCCATCCGGGACTTGAAATTACCCCTGGACAATTGGGAAATGCTCCACCGGGCCGAGTGGAGGTCCCCGACTTAAACAATTAAGCGTGGCCGGTGAAGGGCCGAGTCAACGGCCGGGGCGAAGTGTGGAAATTTTGCAGGAACTGCTCTTGGCTCGGGAGCGAGGGTCGGCAAGTCCACTGCAAAAATTTGCGGTGGTGTTCCAACTTTGTAAGTAACTTTGTTAGAGAAGAGAGGAAAGAAGGCAAAGAGAGAGAAGATGGAATAATGTACAGAAGACACAAAAAAAATATTGAATAGGTGACCCTTGATTGACTAAATTTACCACTATTAATGACATACATACATGTAAGATAGAAAAGAAATTGGCTCTATCAAAAGAGACAACGGTAATAAGAGAAAAAAGTCTATAATACGGGTAAAATGAGCAAGCCGGAGGTCTTCCAGCTCATGCATGTATGCGTAGCAAGTGAGCCCAGCGGGGATGGTATCATGGAGCGCTGATAAGCGTTTACTCATCCTCCTCAACCTCGGCGCGAGCGCCCAGGACATAGCGGGACCTGCCGTGGGAGTCCTGCTCGTGCTCAATGGCGAGCTTGGACAGGTGGCCAAGCAGGTTCTCAATCTGGGTGTCGGCGCGGGAGCGGTTCTTGCGGCCCAGGTTGTCAAGGGCGGGGACAATGGTAAGGAGGTAGTAGACAACCGCAATGATGATGGTGACACCAATGGAGTAGGCCCAGATGACAACGACGGTAACAATGTCGACGTGACCGTTGTGGGAGAAGTTGGCGCTGTCGTGGGGGTGGGTCTGCTCGAAGTTGCCGCCGGAGAGCCAGCCGAAGACACAGAAGAGGGTGGCGAGCACATCAACGACGAAGATGGCACCAACCAGCTGCCACGAGGGCCAGGTTTTGCCACCACGGGTAACGAAGATCAGCCAGTTCTCAGTAAGAGCAACCTCAAGGAAGAGAATCTCCTGGGGAGAACCAAAGTTCTGGATAATACCACCGTCCTTGAGGAAGAGGGAGGCACGGATGATCCAGGTGGCACCGGCAAGCAAGACACCAAGGACGACGGAGATAACCCAGATCTTGGGCAACTGCCACTCGACGGGGCGCTGTTCGAAGTGGGCGTTATCGTAGGCGACGGCAATGGTGGCCAAATCAGCGAACAGGGCAATGAAGACAATGAGGTCGGCACGGATGGTCTCCTCGATGATGATCATGGAGGTGACAAGGTAGATCTCAAGGTGGAGACACAGAGCGATACGGTACTGGATGTAAGCCTTCATGCGCTGGAAGATCTGACGGGCAAGCTTGATGGCATCGACAATGGTGCTGAGACCGGGGGCAAGGAAAACGATATCGGCAGCGGCCTGGGCGGCTTCAGTGGAACCCTCGACGGCGATACCACAGTCAGCCTTCTTGAGGGAAGGAGCATCGTTGACACCGTCACCAGTCATGGCAGTCAAGTGACCACGCTGCTGGAGCATCTCGACGACCTGGTACTTGTGCTCGGGGAAGACCTCAGCGAAACCATCAGCCTTCTCGACAAGGTCGTGCTGGGCAGAGCCGGCAAGACCACCGTGGATCAGCTTCTCGGAGTCGTAAACCTTGGTGCTCAGGGCAAGCATCTTGCAGGTTTCCTTGGCGATGGCGAGAGCATCACCAGTCAACATCTTAACGGACAGACCAAGGTGCTGGGCCTCGGCGATGGTGTGGGCAGTATCCTCACGAGGGGGGTCGAACATGGGGTACATGCCGAGCAATTGCCAGGGCTCGCCCTCCTTCTGGACGGCAACACCAAGGGAACGGAAACCACGGCGAGCGAACTCAGCAGCCTTCTCACGGAACTTGTTGGCCTCATCCTCGGAGCACTCAGACATGGCCAGGATAGCCTTGGGAGCACCCTTGGCGCAGACGTAGCGGACACCGTCGCAGGTACAGATGGTAGTGATACGCTTGGAGACGGGGTCGAAGGGAGTGTACTTCTCGGTAACCCAGTTGCGGGCAAGGATCTCACGAGCCTTGGGGTAACGACGGAGAGTCAGGATGGTGACCTTGTCAATGGGATCCAAGTTCTTGATGTTGTGGTTGGAGGCGATAGCAGCGACAGCCATCATCCAGTTAACATCAACACCCTCGTTGACGTAAGGCTCACGGATGGAGAGCTGGTTGGCAGTAAGGGTACCAGTCTTGTCAGAGCAAAGAATGTCGACACCAGCAAGGGACTCGATGGCAGTGAGCTTCTGGACGATAGCCTTCTGCTCGGCCAGGTAAGCAGCACCGACAGCGAGGGTAGTGGTGGTGACGACGGGAAGACCGACGGGAACACCGATGATCAGGAGAATCAGGGTGTAGTGGAGGAGGTTGTTGTCGGAGTTCTCGGGGGTAGCGATCTTGAGGTGACGGTAGAAACCACCGATCCAGGCAGCGAGAATCCAGAACATGACAAGAACCAGGAGGGAGGTACCGATGTTGTCCATGACGGCCTTGAAGTGACCCTGGTCCTTGGCACCCTGGACGAGAGCAGCGGTCTTACCGACGAAAGACTGCTTGGCGGTAGCGGTGACGATGGCGTAGGCCTTTCCACGCTTGCAACCAGTGGTGTAGTAGCAAGTGTCGGCCATGTACTTGTCGACAGCCAGAGACTCACCAGTGATGGCGGACTGGTCAACGGCGATGAGGGAGACACCGGCGCGAGCCTCGATGCCACCATCCTCGTCATCCTCATCCTCCTTCTCCTTAAGAGTGTCATCGCCAACAGTGGCGAGGTACTCCTTGTAGGTCTCGAAGTTCTCGGGCTTGCTGTAGTCGCAGATAAGGCGGATATCAGCAGGAACGATAGTACCTTCCTCAACGACGACCTGTAGGACAAATAGGATTAGCTCGCAGCTCATCAAGGGAGCGACGGATGATGGAACGTACAATATCACCGGCAACCAGTTCACGGGCAAGGATTTCCTGCTCTTGTCCATCACGAACAACAACAGCCTTCATAGCAATATCACCCTTAAGCGAAGCGACGACATCGGCGGCCTGCTTCTCCTGGTACCAACCGACAACAGCGTTGAGCATAAGAATACCGATAATGACACCGAGATCGATCCAGTCACGAAGACCGGCAGCGAGCAAAACAGCAAGTTCCATAACTATGAGGCAGACACGGGTTAGTCAATGATGCCATTGAGTGGAAAGCAAAGGCAAAATGGAGTCCTAAGCCGGCGACTCACCATAAAGAATAGGACCACGGAAATAACCAATGAACTGAACGAAGAAGTTGGTCTTCTCAGTGGTCAACTCGTTCCAACCAGTTCTCTTGCGACGAGCGTCGATGTCGCTGGAGCGCAGACCGGAGCGCATGTCGGTCTCGAGCCAGTCATCGGGGCAGACGAAGCCATCCTCAGCACCATCGGAACCCTTCTTGAAGAGGGAGAAACCACCCTTCTTCTTGTCCTTGCCGGTGCTGAGTCCACCAGCGCTGGAGGTGGAGCCACGGCGCTTGTCGCGCTGAGTCGAAATGTAGCGGTTCAAAGCAGCATATTCCTCAAGTCCTTCACCACCTTCATTGTTGCGAGAATGGTCACCATTCTCCACGTCGGGAGCATAGGAGATTCTCCGCTCCGCCATTGTTGCTTCGGCTCACACAGCCTAGGGACCCAACGATATGAGCAGATGCAAACGAGAAATGACAGGGATGGCAAGAGTCGGATGATCCTATAGAGAAGAAAGAGAAGAGAGGGGGATGGAAGGGAGGGAGAATGTACTCTTTAATATTCTGGGGGAGGGTGGGCTTGCGATTGCACGGGACCAGGACAAACACGTCTTGTTCTCTAAGCTCCAACGGGCGGGCGACCTTCCCTGTGCGTTAAGCCCACTTTTTTTTTTTTTTTTTTTTTTTTTTTGCTTTTCTTTATTTTTTTTTTTTAATTTAGTTGATTATTTTCCCGGTTCCGGAGAATGAGTTTAGATTTTATCTTTTTCCTTTTTTTTCTCTCTCTTTTATTTTTCCTGCTTACCATTTTGAATTTAGCCTTCTTGGTTCTAGTCTTGGCCGGGAACAGTAACCAC